AAATCAGGTCCTCTGTGATATATTTGCAACAGCCAGAAGGATCAGCTATAGCTCAACCCAATCTGTGTTGGAAACTCATAGAATACATCCTGAGCTTAGTCTGTACAAATTTTGAGGGGCCCCGGGGCAATGGGGCACAAGTAATTACTGTTTGTCTCATTAGGTCATGGTGTCTCATTAGGTGGTAATTGACTGTAGATATTGGAGCAGACAAAGAGCTCATCATCTGCCATCGGAGGCAGAAATTTGAGTCGTCGGCCAGAACAGCACCCCAGGGACCTCCAATTATTACGTAAAATGGCTTCGAGGCCCCCTCCGGAGGCCATCAAACCACCCCCTACCCCCCCTGATCGGAGGCCATCCTGGAGGCGCCTTCCTAATTGGTACTCTGCCCAGCCATTCGACCACAGCCAGCATGGTAGGCTAGGCATTGACCCGAGTGTTTATATATGCTGTAGTAGTCAGTATAAAGCCTCAGACAATGCCTTAGCTCACAAAAGCTTGTATTTCTTGCTTGCAAATGGTAGACCACTGGGCGCACAAAATTCGGGATTTGAGCACATGAGCACTCCTCAGGTGCATAGAGCAGCAGTATATATGTTAATTCGAGATTGAGCATGAGGTAGCTGTGCCCACACGCAAAAATGAGATGTTGCTGAAGGGGTGGTTTATGGCCTCCACAACCTCCCAGGGGCAGAAGAAAAGGTGTTGGGTAGCCCACAGGCCCTTGAATTCTGCTACAATAGATCAATTTGATGCTTATGCTTTGTCAAAACAACAGCCCAGCATATAAATTGGATGCTGGAGCAGTGGCAGAACAAGCCTCCACCGCCTCCAGGGCTGGGGACTAAAAGCGGTTATTGTAGATTCAGCCACATAAACCATATTTCTGATGTTGTTTGTCCTAGTCAGAATGTTTGGGTATTCAAGAGAGACAGGTGGCTACATAGATCAGATGCTAGCACTAATAGCAGAACCGGCCTCCATGGCCTCCACAGCCAGTGACCAAAAGTGGTTTTTTGGGTTCAGCCACATAAACCATGTCCATGATGTTGAAGGTCTTCATTATAATTATGAGGGTCCTTTAGTTAACTGTCTCACCACATGAATCAGATGCTGGAGCAAATGGCAGAACTGGCCTCCGCTGCCTCCACAGGTTATCACTTGAAGAGTCTGAATGAGATGACAATGTAAGAGATATATATTCTCCTGGCTGACCGCATTCTGTCATTTCCACCTCTACATGCTAGTTTAATTGCTGCAGAATGTTAAAATTAGAGGATGGGAGACCCTGGAGGCACTGGAGGCACATGCAAGATCCAATCAATGTCATCAATATCATCAGTGCCATCAATAGCATCAAGAGCATCACCGATCATTGGTAGATTGATCAGCCAATCAGATGATGAATAAACATCGAACATCTAGTATGTTCATTCCTGAGAGACACAGACTACATGTATGCTCATACTGAAAGTGGATTAGTGGTCCCAGGACATGCCCCAATGACATATTGCATGCTTGTCTCAGGGACATATGATTAAAAATCGGAGTTGGCAAATGAGCTGAAAGTCAACTGAAGATGAGTGGTACAGTGGAGTACTTTCAGCTCATTTGCCAACTCCGATTTTTAATCATATGTCCCTGAGACAAGCATGCAATATGTCATTGGGGCATGTCCTGGGACCACTAATCCACTTTCAGTATGAGCATACATGTAGTCTGTGTCTCTCAGGAATGAACATACTAGATGTTCGATGTTTATTCATCATCTGATTGGCTGATCAATCTACCAATGATCGGTGATGCTCTTGATGCTATTGATGGCACTGATGATATTGATGACATTGATTGGATCTTGCATGTGCCTCCAGTGCCTCCAGGGTCTCCCATCCTCTAATTTTAACATTCTGCAGCAATTAAACTAGCATGTAGAGGTGGAAATGACAGAATGCGGTCAGCCAGGAGAATATATATCTCTTACATTGTCATCTCATTCAGACTCTTCAAGTGATAACCTGTGGAGGCAGCGGAGGCCAGTTCTGCCATTTGCTCCAGCATCTGATTCATGTGGTGAGACAGTTAACTAAAGGACCCTCATAATTATAATGAAGACCTTCAACATCATGGACATGGTTTATGTGGCTGAACCCAAAAAACCACTTTTGGTCACTGGCTGTGGAGGCCATGGAGGCCGGTTCTGCTATTAGTGCTAGCATCTGATCTATGTAGCCACCTGTCTCTCTTGAATACCCAAACATTCTGACTAGGACAAACAACATCAGAAATATGGTTTATGTGGCTGAATCTACAATAACCGCTTTTAGTCCCCAGCCCTGGAGGCGGTGGAGGCTTGTTCTGCCACTGCTCCAGCATCCAATTTATATGCTGGGCTGTTGTTTTGACAAAGCATAAGCATCAAATTGATCTATTGTAGCAGAATTCAAGGGCCTGTGGGCTACCCAACACCTTTTCTTCTGCCCCTGGGAGGTTGTGGAGGCCATAAACCACCCCTTCAGCAACATCTCATTTTTGCGTGTGGGCACAGCTACCTCATGCTCAATCTCGAATTAACATATATACTGCTGCTCTATGCACCTGAGGAGTGCTCATGTGCTCAAATCCCGAATTTTGTGCGCCCAGTGGTCTACCATTTGCAAGCAAGAAATACAAGCTTTTGTGAGCTAAGGCATTGTCTGAGGCTTTATACTGACTACTACAGCATATATAAACACTCGGGTCAATGCCTAGCCTACCATGCTGGCTGTGGTCGAATGGCTGGGCAGAGTACCAATTAGGAAGGCGCCTCCAGGATGGCCTCCGATCAGGGGGGTAGGGGGTGGTTTGATGGCCTCCGGAGGGGGCCTCGAAGCCATTTTACGTAATAATTGGAGGTCCCTGGGGTGCAGAACAGATGAACAAGGGACAAGCTCAGGCATGAGAGTGCTCAAGAAGGGCTCAGGCTTCTCGAATGAGGGACAAGAAAGATCCGTCATAGAACCTGCTTCATTTTTCATGAGATGGACAGTAGTGAGCAAGGGTGCTTTTGAGCCAAGATTCAGATCTTCTGAGAGGATTTGGGGACAGAGGCAGAGATCGTTGATCGGAATGTACCACCGGCACACACACCGTCACGCCATCAAAGGTGCCCTTGTTCACGATGGCTCATCCTTCAGACACGGAATACTACTGGAGATGCTCTTATGATTTCCTCGCGTCGTCGGGCTACAGATTGCGGCCCAAATTTGCCCCTGACTACGTCAAGCCGTCTATTCCAGTGAGGCCACTCGATGACCCCTCGCGGCCAAGGCATGATGTACGACCCTTGAATTTTGCACGCTCCCAGCCGATTATATGCAGAGAGCAGAGATAATGGACGCAGAACGAATTCGCGACGGAAAACAAGTCATTCTCAAATGCGTCTCGAGATCTGTGCATTGCACCGAGGTGCAGATAGGCACGTTGTTCTCGACTGCTCCGTTGGCAAACGATCCTCGCAATCACTGCATCCCCATCCTCGAAGTCATACGTGACCCAGAGGACAGTGACAAGGACATCATCGCCATGCCTCGCATGGTGTCTGCGTTCGAGATCGTCACGCTCGGCTTTGAGACGGTCGGGGAGGTCGTAGACTGCTTCAGGCAGATCATGGAGGTGAAATCGCTCTTTTACACGCGTCTCTGGCTCATCTGATAATAGGGAGTGAAATTCATGCACGAGAACTTTGTCGCTCATCGGTGGGTCCCAGCTCTGTACGATCGTCTTGGAGCTGACATCGTCTGATCAGTGACTGCGTCTTTCTCAACTTCGTGGTTGACCCTACAGAGCTGTTCCCGAATGGGACCCACCCAGTGCGCACAGTCATGAATCCAGAATTCACCAGAGTATCCACCGTCGTGTCCCGCACGAGCTGCTGGCCGCGCTATTACATCATCGATTTTGGATGGTCGGAGCGGTACGATCCGAAGCGCGGCCTCTTGTTTGAGTCTGTGGTTCGGGGTGGAGACAGGAGTCCGCCAGAGCACCGGACCTCCGAAAAACCATGTAATCCTTTCCCTACTGACGTGTACACCATCGGAAACATACTACGGACGCGGTTCCTCATGTCGCATTGGGGCGAGGTGAGTAATCTCCCTTCGATTTCAGGGACTCGTGTCCTCACCTGCGGCCCGGCAGAAATCCTATGGCCCTCTGCGGTTCCTGCAGCCGCTCGTCGATGAGATCACGCGTGAGGAGCCGTCGGCCAGACCCACGATAGGCGAAGCGCTGGCCCAATTTGATTTCGTGTGTGCGCAACTGACGAAATCTCAGCTCCGTGCACCGGGTGTTGCGAACGACGAACTGTTCGCCGGTTGCATGCACTCCATTTTCCAGTTCCACAACTGGATCACATTTGTTAAGCCGCTTTCTCCACACCTGACTGCGCTCTATGCGAAGATTCGCAAAACGACTCGCCATCCTCCTACGGATCCATGGCCGGCGAATGCTGAGCTGCGGGCTTTCTACACTCAAACCCGTTCGGCGTAGGTATCGTTTGCTTTGTATTTGCTCTCCGATCTGCTCTCTACTTGTTGCTACATACACTATGTAACATGTTGACAGTTGTATTTCATCGCCTTGCTTATTCCGTGTTTCGGAAGAAAGGCAAAGTATGTTCCACGACTTGTGCCGCACCGGGAAATTTCCGAAGCAGAATCTGACTCGATTCAATGGTGACAGACAAAGGACCCGTTCTATCAAACCACCGGCCTGCTTGAAGTGCGTAGCTCAATGAGATCCTCATATCGAGACAGGCGGCCAAGCGAGTTCTACCCAGCTATCCATGATGAATTGCATTTGGATGGTACAGGCGAATTGAAACTTGAATTCTAGCGGTTCCAGCGGAGGATCGGGTGCCACATGCAACGCAGCCGCGACGTTCAACCACTGCATCGTATGACCTCCGCATAGCTCTTTCGAGTTTGTGAGACGTCATGTTGCCCAGATCTGTTCTTCACCGTAAACAGCACTCCACCTCCGGTTGATGAAGTTGTGAGCCGTCTTGCTACCAGTCTGCTTGTCGCAACTTTTAGTCTGGAACGCATCAGAGGAGACGCCGAGCTGAAGCCGCTGGCGCCGTCATCAATAACGGATCGATGAAATTCGACTGCGGATGGGAAGGATGTACAGTAATACGACAGACCCGTAAGTAGTCTTCCATCATCCAAGCTCTCAGAGGTGACGGGATCATCCGCTTCCCCACACATACACCACCTGAGCTTGCTACACAGTTGACACAGAGAATGGCCTATCACGCAGACAGAGAGCACTACTGGAAATGCCACTACTCCTTCTTACTCTCGTGTGGCTACGCACTGCGTCCACGGCTTGCGCCCGACTATGTCAAGCCTACGCAGATCCCGGAGCGGGACGACTCCGATGAGAGGCACCCGGTACAGACGTTCGATGCACATGTGCCCCACTGATCACGCCCCAGAGACCAGAGATTATGGACGCAGAACGAATTAGGGACGGGAAACAGGTTATCCTCAAGTCCGTCCTGAGATCTGTGCATTACACAGAAGTCGAAATCGGAACTCTGTTTTCGAGCAGTCCACTGGCTGGGGATCCTCGTAACCACTGCATTCCTATTCTCGAAGTTCTGCACGACCCAGAAGACAGCAACATTGATATCATTGTCATGCCGCGAATGGTCCCCGCCTTCAGATATGTAGAGTTCGAGACAGTAGGAGAGGTTGTGGACTGCCTGAGGCAGATACTCGAAGTACCCGTCGCTTTCTTCTTTCATACCTCTGTATTCAACGATACATAGGGCGTAAAGTTCATGCACGAGAACTTCGTGGCTCATCGGTGTGTTCTGGTCAGTTTCACATACTAAATGTTTCGATTGACACTCGTGCGAGCAGCGACTGCGTGCACCTGAACTTTGTCGTTGACCCTGCAAAGCTGTTTCCCAAGGGAAACCATCCGGTACGACCGCTCTGGGACCTTAAGTATGAGCATCTAGCCACATATGTTTCCCGAGCAAGCTGCTGGCCGCGGTATTACATTATCGACTTTGGATGGTCTGAACGATACAATCCGAAGAGCGGCCTCTTATTCGAACCCGTCGTCTTTGGCGGAGACAGATCTCCGCCCGAGCACAACACGACTCTCCCGCCGACACCATGCAATCCGTTCCCAACAGACGTATATACCATCGGAAACTTGATGCAGCGACGTTTCCTCCTGTCGGATTTGGGCGGGGTGAGATATCTGCATCTCGGTCTCAGCCGTGAATTCTGCTTCCTCATCTGCTGTCTCATAGGGATCGCATCCTCCTCTCCGGTTCCTGCAGCCACTTGTCGACGAGATGATGCGCGACGAGCCATCCGCTCGACCCACCATTGGCGAAGCTCTCGCTCAATTCGACTTTCTCTGTGCTCGACTGACCAGCTCCCAGCTTCGCGCACCAGGCGCTCCGTTCAGGTATCCGCTTTCTACTTGCATGCATCCGATCAGAAAGTTCGTGAACACCATCGCCTTCGTTCGTCCACTTCCTCGTGATCTGCATGCTTTGTATGCAAAGATTCGGAGATCGGGATTGGGTCCTCCGACGGTTCCTTGGCCGGCGAAGACCAAACTGAGAGACTTTTACACACAGTCCCGCTGGTCTTGAGTAGTTTTGTGGCCCAAGTCATTCACTGGTACACACAGAGTACTTTTGTTCCAGTTTTCGTCTCGTAAGAATATTATCTATCCGGAGCAGGTTGAGGTCCTCCGGAATCTCACATTATTGACGACTATCTGCGTTGCAAAGAATTGTCAAGACGAATATTTTGGCAGAAAATCCTTCCTTTTACGCCAAATAATCCAGAGTCCGATTTTGCATTAGCATGAATCTGCACTTCAGGACTGACTGTTCATCCTCTCTAGACCCACCCGTTTCGATACCAGACATCGAAAGTTTTCTGGACTAGTGTTCATCTGCTTGGCTGGTTTCACTACACCGTGTATTGGACACCATTTACGAAAACAAGAACGACATACACAGCATACTCTACAATTTACAACAGCGGAGAGTCGGCAAGAAAAAAGTACAGCGCAATCGCGCGATGTCCCCACAGACAAAAACTACCAGTCTCGACGGTATCAGGAAAGTTCAGACCATGAAAGGCGGAGTGAGAGAAGAGACGGTGCATAGGAAACTAGTACAGCGCAATCGCGCGAGTGTCCTAGAGGCGGGAAGCATACATACATAGATAATCGTACAACGGAGGTCTGCTCGCTAGGAGCAGGACATTGGGTGGTCGAAAGTGAGCGCGCAAGAAAATGGGTCTCGGGTTCGACACGGCCGATCAGCCTTGCGAGGGTCTGTGATTGCGAGACTTATTTGGGGCTAATGTCCTGTATATATCTAAGCGCCGCATCGGACCCACTGATGCAGACCTTACGCGTAAGGATCGTACTGGGATGAAGAAGCTATCGGCTGCTCGGAATAGTTCGCAGCCCGATGCGCAGAGGGTCTGCATAGCCATCAGTGAATGGAAAGCCGCGGCACAGTGCATGCACTCACCCAGCAACCGGTGGAGGCTGAACATACTGAGATGGGTCTCCAGGAGCCGCAGTGGCTCTCCGCTCCGGAATTCTTCTTTTCGTTCGCCTACGAAAGAGTCAGCAATGAGCCTTCTTTTAGAGGGACAGGGCTAGATTACCGCAGAGCTAGAGCCTCGTCGCGAGAAGAATGCAACGGTTGAGATGGGATCAGAGCGGTCGGAGCTTGAGCCCTAGATGGACTGTGAATCCCAGTGCGCAATATATCAGCAGAAACCGACCTCGGGATATTGTGACTGTCAGACCGACTCCGATACTGTACTGGGGGAGAGGGTTGCTCAGCCTGCTGCCGAGTCCGAGATGGGGCCCGGTGTCTAGCTTCGACGGGGGCTTGGCCAGAAGGTTGCCTGGTTCTGTTGCTCGAACTGAATCCCAGTTTAGATGTCGTTTGAAAATGACGAGCAAGGCTACGCACGAGTGGTGATCCACAGCATTGCCTTGTCTGACCGAAACCGAGCGTTGCGCACGGATTGCAGAAGCTGGATAACTGTGCGCCATTCAGTGCGTCTCAGAGCAATGTAACCCAGCGGGCGCGGCTCATACCTGATAAAAGTCGGAGTCACCGACATCGAGCGTGACAGCCGCTGCGGAGGCTCTGTTGGGTCGGATTGTCTCGAACGGTGACGAGAGCGTTGTTGATCGAGCGCGGGGCGATCGTACATCCGACTCTGCGAATGCGCCCGCGAAGCCGATCGGGGAATTGGGGTAGATGGTCGTGCGATTGGACGGCCAGAACGGTCTTGCGGCCCTGGCGGGGGAGTGGTCCGCGAGCGTGAGTGCGATCGAGAGCGGGATTTCTGGTGTCGGCCTTGCTGGTCACGTCGATGTTGTTCTTGCTGACCCCCTCGATGGCGGTCACCTCGACGTTCGTACTGCTGATCGCGTTGGTGTCGATCGCCTCGATGACGGTCCTGCTCAACAGCTTGATGTCCGCTCTGCTGGTGACCTTGATGTTGAGCTAGCACCGGTTGTTCGGTCTGACGTCGGCTCGACATGCTAGAGGGTGGAGCGTAATAAGTCGGCTGAACGACATGGCCAGCTTGATCCATGTGGACCTGAGCGTTGCTTTGCGATGAGATGTTACCGCGACTGGGATAAGATCGCCCATGAGAGCGGTAGGATGCTTCACCCTGGAAAGTCGGATTGCGACTGTGCGGGGGGTACCCCGTCGGAGCAGGTGATGGAGCGATAGTACTGAGAAACGTTGAGTTCAAGTTTTTCCATGGAGACCAAAATTAGTACTTGATAGCATTTGTTTGAACTGCGTGAGCGGGGCCACCAGCCAATGCGGGCTGAATTACAGGTGCACCGATCGCTTGGATGCGTCCAACAGGTCCAGGAACCATGTTGGATGCGATGACTTGCGTGGAGGGACCAGCGACCGGAGCTGCTCTACATACAATGTCAGACGAATCGAGCAGATGCGTCAACGACGCACGTAGCTGGAATAGTCGAAGTGCCGGCAACATTGGCGCCCGAGGACGGCGGAACGAAAGTAGGCTCAGGCCACTGTAGAATCAATCCATCACACTCAGAGAGAGAAAAAATCTTCATATTGAGCCATACGTACCGAACTCGTGTCCCCTGACGATGAGCTGGGAACGTTCAGTCCATTCGTGGTATAATATCTATATGGAATCTGTTCGAGCTCAATGATACGGCTGTAGAACTGAGATCGTGAAAACGAACCGTATTGTCGGGGACAGACAGATCCGAATTGTTCGAAGGATCGATGTCAATAGCACCGGGGGTGACAAATTTGTGGGTCGGAGCCTGTGCCAAGCATTGATAAAAGCACAGCGAACAAACTAAAACTCACTCCGTTTGCAGCGCGCGCAGCGATCGTTCTCAGCGATGCATGCTCGCGAGCAGAGATAGAGTTGTTCAGCTCTCTGAGTATGACTGTCAGCACATACGCCAGGGCCAAACCGATGAAAACGCACGGAATCTCGGAACCCAAGATGTCTTTGACTGTTTGTTTGATGCTACGGCTGTTTAAAGCGCCAACACAGCGCTAGGAGCGTCACATACCCGTTATTGTCGCGACCTGAGGAGAGAGAGGGCAATTTTTCGATGGGATGCCACGGTTCCCCAATCGAGTCAGCCGAGTAAGCCTACAAGGGCCGTTAAAACTTGACGACGGCAAGCAGAAATTGGCACGGACGACGGCATGGTTGAGTGCAAGACGAGACGCGTTGCTCTGAGCCGCAATACGCCCGTGCAATGAACTTCCCTTGAAGGCAATGGGTGGCAAAGGACGCCCGTCCGCTATGATGCCTTCACGCGATGCTTTGGCTGCATGGTAGCGTTCGGCTCCGATCGCGATCTGGTTGGGCTCCCATTGACGGTGGTATTGGTCGGCTTTATCTAGAGTTTGATGCTGTGCTTTGATGCTCTTCGCAAGCTCGACATTGGGGAAGACGTAAAGCTTGTCCATGCAGGACAGAACGCAGGGTCACGAAGCTGCGCAGAGGAACGAAGGTGCAAGCGCGACATGGAGGTTCTTAAGTGGGGGTCAAGACTCACAATTGATGTACAGATCTGTTGGAGATGTTCAGCAAAGTATGGTATACATGAGAAGTATGCGCTTACGAGGACATGCCGTGCAATCTGAAATCTGATTCTGCACACGAGGCTTCTCCCATGGGGAGGTCATAGGCAGAAATCCCAGTCAACAAGGCACCATTCGGAACTTTCCGTGGGTATGAAGTCAGAGCAGATTCAAAGAGAAGATTCAGTTCGAGAGAAGATCGAGGATCTTGACAGCATTGCTGGGACAATTAGGGACGACTTGTGACTCATTGCGAGCGATAACAAGTAGCAAGAGAGACATGTAAATAGAAAGAAACAACCACCCGGCCAGTGGATATTCTTCGCGATGTGACCTGTGACCGGCACCCCGCGCACGCCGCGTCAATGCACACAAACATACCACTCCGACCACATCGACGATGGGCCATTCCAGAGATTTCGAATACTACTGGAGATGCCTCTATCAATTTCTCGCGTCGTCTGGCTACAGATTGCGTCCTAAATTTGCACCCAACTACGTTCAGCCTCTCTCTGTTCCAGACACGATATTCGGGGATGAAGCGAAGCCGGTCCACGATGTGCCAGATACCGATTCTACATATGCCCTAAGCTTATTGTGCTCTAGAGAAAAGAAATCATGGATGCAGAACGAATACACGACGGGAAGCCAGTCATCCTGAAGTCTGTGTCGAGATCGGTGCACAAAACAGAGGTGAAGATTGGGACCCTCTTCTCCAGCAGTCCGCTGGCTGAAGATCCTCGTAACCACTGCATCCCTATTCTCGATGTCCTTCGTGACCCATGGGACAGCGACAAGGAGATCATCGTCATGCCTCGCATGGTTTCTGCGTTTGAGTTCGTGACCTTTCGGACGGTGGGAGAGGTCGTAGACTGCTTCAGGCAGATACTCGAAGTACAATCGGTGTTTCCCTTAGTCTCCCGTGCTTATCCTTGGATAGGGTGTGAAATTCATGCACGAGAACTTTGTCGCTCACCGGTGTGTACCAATTTTGCCCATTCGGCTAGCGACGAAGCTGAGATATCATCTACTCAGGGATTGTGTTTTTCTAAACTTCGTTGTGGATCCCACGAAGCTGTTCCCCGGGGGGACACATCCGGTGCACACAATTATGAATCCGGAATTCACGAAACTATCAACTGCCGTTTCCCGAACAAGTTGCTGGCCCCGTTACTACATCATCGACTTCGGCTGGTCTGTGCGATACGATCCGAAGGACGGTCTGGTCTCTGAAACTGTCGTTTTGGGTGGAGATCGAAGTCCGCCTGAGCACCGAATATATGGGCGACCATGCAATCCATTCCCCACTGACGTGTACACCATCGGAAACATTCTGCGGACCCGGTTCCTTATGTCTGATTGGGGCGAGGTGAGTTGCTTTCCCCTCAATTTCAGGAACTCGTCTCTTCATCTATTCCCTGGCAGTACTCGCATGCTCCCCTGCGGTTCTTGCAACCACTTCTCGAGAAGATGACGCAAGACGAGCCATCCGCAAGACCCACCATCGGCGAAGCCCTCGCTCAGTTTGATTTCCTGTGCGCACGACTGACCAAATCCCAGCTTCGTGCACCAGGTGCTCCGCCCGAGGATCCGCTTTCCAACTGCGTACATTCCATCTTTCAGTTCAAGAATCGGATCACGTTTGTCAAGCCACTTTCTCCGAATTTGACTGCCATGTATGCGAAGCTTCGCAAAACGAATCGGCATCCTCCCACTGAGCCCTGGCCAGCAAATGCTGAGCTGCGGGCTTTCTTCACACAGACTCGTCCTACCTAAGTATCGTTTGCTTTGTATTTGCTTTCCATCTGCTCTTTCCTTGTTGCTGTATCCCCCGTGTATCATGATGTAACACATTGAATTGTCACAGGTTGCCGCCTCCTAATTCGGATGGAAGCCCAACATTTGTTTTTGATGATCGTGCTCTGCTCCTTGTCACACTTGGACATCTTTCCGTCGCGGAGTTCTGAACGCTGCCAGCTAATTTCAGAGGGCACCCCTCGTTGAGTCACGGGTGAGGCTCGTCATTCACGATTCGAGGAGATCCTCATCACGCGCTGTTCTGAAACACGCGGTCGGGCGATTTGTACTCAACTGTTGTATGTCGATCGACACACGAGGCTCCGGACTATTATACCAAGCGCTCATGTACAGAGTTCTCGATGCCAACAACTCTCCGACGGGAACAAATGGCTCGCTAGTGCTCCTACGATATGCTTCTCGAAGGACCTCTCTGTAGCTGGTCCCAAGCCTCTGTTCTACGTGTCTGGCTGGGACCGGCCCGGGAATGTGGGTCCGTGTAGGTTTTGATGGCGCGTGCCAGACAGGTCACGAACCACTTTCCGTTCGAGCATTCTGACTCGGACACTGATATCTACTGACTTGCAAAGCATATCTGAAGGAGACTCCGCCGTGATTGCTGCAGAATACCGCGTGTATGATCTTCTGGCGCTGTCAGTCCATGCGTTCGAGTTGCAAGCGTTGTTGGGACGAAATGAACCCGGTGTCTGTGTTCCGAGTCATTGTCTGTGTAAACACTTCCAAGAACCTCACCCATAACGTCTTCACAGTCTGACTCAATTACTGGATACGGCTTAACGAGCTCACACACAACACGCATCTGCCTGTCTGCAAAACTTCAGCAACTGATGACCTCGTGTTTTTGGAGCTTATCTGAGTGATGATCCGCTCCAAATGCCTTGTAAAGGATCATCGTTGACGAAACTCTTCCCTTTGACGCGGGGAGCTTCGTTGAGATGCAGATGTCCTCATGGGAAACCCTGCGGAAAGAGCCGAGCCCAGGCTGTTAAATCATGAGTAACTATCACTGTGCGAAGACTCGTCTCACGATGTTGTACTGTGAATGGACGCCCGATTGCTGCCCGTACAAACCATTTCACACGAGACCCTCAATCCTTCGGTCGAGGCTCGGGCTGTCATTTTGATCTCTAGAGTGCAGATAACAAGGGATCTGTGTTCTCGTTGTTCCTACCGTCTTTGCACCGACAGTTTACTTCGCGACTGGCCGCTCCCAGGCGCAAACCCCTGAACGCATCCGCTGGCCGGGACCGGTCCGGAATTGTGGGTCCAGATTGATGCCCATAACACGTGAATCAGGGTCAGGAACCCTGCATGCTTTCTGACGGCAAGGAATTCAATCTTCATGTACACGCAGCATAACTGACACGAAGCACATGAAAAGAGCGCCGAATCCAGCCTCGTGCATGTCGTCTGATTCGTGCAGAAGCTTCGTGAATTTGGCGCTAGGCGTCCGAGTCAGTGATCTGTGTGCACTTCTATCTACGAGAACGTCCACCCCACGGTCGTAACACACTATGACTCGAATTTCCCATGTCGCGGTCAAGATGGGATTGGACCAGGGCAGACCTTGGCTGATCGTTTGAATTTGGGGTGCTGCTCGTGCTTCAGGCTTTATTCGGCACTGAATGCACAGGGCGATAGATACGACACGCAATCTTTCGTCTGCCATGCCTATCAACCATTCTTGGCGTATTCCCTATTGTACATCAAGCAGGTCTCGTGACCGCGTACGTGCTGGACGCTGACTAAGGCCTCCAGTTGAGCCTGCTAAGTGCCACATGATCATGCACGCTCCCATAATATCAGATAGTCTAACTTGGATGTGGCTTACCCGTTCACAATGGCTCATATCAGAGATTTCGAACACTACTGGAAAGACCTCTACGACACACTCGCTTCTTCCGGCTACAAATTGCGTCCCAAATTTGGGCCCAACTACGTCCAGCCTCTTACTGCTCCAGAGACGATATTCGGGGACGAAAACAAGCGACTACACCATGTGCCAGACCTCAATCCCGCAAGTTTTCACCGCTGATTTCGCTCTAGAGAAGAGAGATTATGGATGCAGAACGAATGAAGGATGGGAAACAAGTCATTCTCAAGTCTGTGTTGAGATCGGTGCACAAGACAGAGGTGGATATCGGGACCCTCTTCTCGAGTTGCTCGTTGGCTGAGGATCCTCGTAACCACTGCATCCCCATTCTCGATGTCCTTCGTGACCCATGGGACAGCAAGAAGGAGATTATCGTCATGCCCCGGATGGTGTCTGCGTTTGAGTTTGTGACCTTCGAAACGGTAGGAGAGGTTGTTGACTGCTTCAGGCAGATACTCGAAGTAAAATCGTTGCTTGTTCCATTCCTCTGTGCTTATCCCTGGATAGGGTGTGAAATTTATGCACGAGAACTTTGTCGCTCACCGGTGCGTCCAGTTCTGCCCGGCCGGCTGCTGTCCGGGCTGAGATATCATCTACCCAGGGATTGTGTTTTTCTGAACTTTGTCGTGGATCCCACGAGGCTTTTCCCCCGAGGGACACATCCAGTGCGCACAATCATGAATCCAGAGTATACCAGATTGTCCAGGGCCGTGTCCCGAACGAGCTGCTGGCCTCGATATTACATCATCGACTTCGGATGGTCTGTGCGATACAATCCAAAGGGCGGCCTCGTGTCTGAAACTGTCGTCTTTGGCGGAGATCGAAGTCCGCCAGAGCACCAGATATACGGACGGCCGTGCAATCCATTCCCCACTGACGTGTACACCATCGGAAATATCCTGAGGACCCGGTTTCTAATGTCTGAGTGGGGCGAGGTGAGTTGCTTTCCCCTCAATTTCAGGAACTCGTCTCTTCATCTATTCCCTGGCAGTACTCGCATGCTCCCCTGCGGTTCTTGCAACCACTTCTCGAGAAGATGACGCAAGACGAGCCATCCGCAAGACCCACCATCGGCGAAGCCCTCGCTCAGTTCGATTTCCTGTGTGCGCGACTGACCAAATCTCAGCTTCGCGCACCAGGTGCTCCACCCGAGGATCCGCTTTCCAACTGCGTACATTCCATCTTCCAGTTCAAGAACTGGATCACGTTTGTCAAGCCACTTTCTCCCAATTTGACTGCCTTGTATGCCAAGCTTCGCAAAACGACCCGACAGCCTCCTACTGACCCGTGGCCGGCGAATGCCGAGCTGAGGGCTTTTTACACGCAGACTCGTCCTCCGTAGATTCAGGATCCGCGTTTGATGATTGATCCATCCATTCACTTCATATTTGCTTTCTGTATGTCATGTCTATCAAGACCCAGACTACGGCTGACGACACCAGGCCGAGAGCCAGTTCACTCATACGCAGTCCTACTCCAAATATTATCATATATGCAAAATAATGTACAAGTGACTTCCAGCGCGCAGGTAGTACTACAAAAAATATGAGAACTAGCTTCTCACTGCGGTCGGCGGGGAGGCAACGGCGGGCCCGGATTCGCGACCCCCACCGGCTGGTCGTCCGCGGACGACAAGGTCGACCGGCGAGAAGACGGGGAGGTCGACGGCAGGGGAAAGCCGTTCCCAACCAACTCTCTTGACGCGCGCTTGTCCTTGTCCTTGTCCGCGATTGTCTGCAACGCTTCTGATGCCGACGGCTGGGCAGTCTCCGCATTAGACAGTTGCGGAGCGTCCGCTTCAGGACGGAGTACATTCGACACGGAAGTCGTCCGTCGTGAGCGAGGGGGTAAGGGCGGCGGTGTCGGTCGAGGAGCCAAAGCCGCCGCCGCTTCTTCAGATGCAGAGGGCGGATCCGAAGCGGGGTTCTTCCACAGCCGATAAACGCTTGAGATGGCTGGGGTCCGCACACGCGTGTCGGGCGTCGGAGGCGTAGGATCGGGTGCGACGTACCCCATGGACATGACTTGACCCCGGTGACTGGCGTGAATACCCGGTATGGTCATCATCATGGCCTGCGGCTGGACGAATATGGGCGACGGAGTGCCTGTCTCTGCCGATGGAAGCTCCAGAGTCGAAAGCCGTGACGGGGAAGGCGAAGGCTTTTTCGCAGTGCCTTCGTCTGTTGCAGCCCTCGCTATGGAGTTGGTCGACACAGTCTCGGTTCCGTTCGGTTGGAGAGTAGCTGCGCGATCCCGTGGTTCCGGTATTGAAGGCACGGGACTTGGATCTCTCCCTCTACCACGGCGCTCAGCCACAGCAGCCCTGACCTCGGCATAGCTCTGTCGTGCCTTGTGAGAAACCATATTGCTCATATCTGTTCTTGACCGCGAGCCAAACAAGCCATGGTCAGGCATCTCTTCATGCTCAGGGCGATTGTCCTTGTCCTTCATCAATCCACTCCAGTTAGCACTCCACTTGCGGATGGTTTCCTTGGCCGTATTACTGATGGCCTGCTTGTCACGCGACTTGAGGGTCGAAAGCAACGATGAAGACATCGGACTTGAGCCACTGGCCACAGACGCAGAAGACGAATCAGTGAACTCGTCAACGGAATTCGACTTTGAATGGCCGCGGATGGGCTGTGATGGAGGCCGAAGGTGCGGCTCTTCCCCGGAGTCCACACTCGCAGTTGAGTCTGATGGAGCATTGGGCGTCGACCTGGATCGCTGCGTCTGGCTTTTGTCCACTTCCACCGAACGCCCTCGAGTGACATCATCAACCTCTTCCACGTTCGGCATTCCCTCGCTCCGTGTGGTGGAGAACCAGCTCTTCCGTTTAGTTGGCCGGGAGGAAGACACTTCAGTCAAGGAATGCGTCTCAGCCGTATCCGGTGGTGTAGCAATGGGTTCATGAGTAAGTTCCGCCGCCGACTGGGTCTCGCGCAGACCGACTTCAGGACCAGAAGTCGTAGAGCCGTCTTCGTCATCCGGTTGTTCGGACATGGATGACGCGGGTTTGTCCCGGCGCGCCGCATCTGCCCAAATGCCTCCTCTGTGGGAATAAGGCAAACTGTCGAAGAACGCGACATCATCCATGTTAGGCATCACGACCGATTCTTGGATCTACATGGGTGAGTGAATATATAGTAAATCAAACAGAAATGAGCTACGCACGACAGACTTGATACTGGATTCCAGCGTGCTTGTAATCATGCTCCAAGTGATCTGGCGGTCGCTGACAATGGGTTCCACCTCCAAAACCATCCGCGGCGTCTGCGTGAAAGCATACCAAATCCGATTGCTCGGCGGACGCTTGACTTTAACCAACAAATTGCCCTCAATTTCTTTGAGCACTACCGCCAGGACCAGTTTGACCGTGTAAGGCTTGAACCGAGAGCCGAGATTGATCGTCGCAGTGGCCTCGACGGTGATGCGGAATTCGCCTTTGTGTAGTACATGGACCTCGAGCGAAGCATCGCCCTCCTTGGTTAGCTCTTTGAGCATCGGCTTGCTGAACGTCGGGGCCTTGTTGCCGACCGACACCTCCGTCACCACGATATCAGTAAGAAATGTCGGTCGTTTGACCTTGGACAATTTCTTCATTAGCCGACTGAGAATGAAGTCCTCCAGATTTTGTGTCCTATAGTGACTGAAAAGCACCCGCCCGAGAAGCGCGTTGAACCATCGCATGGGAATGACATCAGGCTGTTCGTCGAGCGTATTCACTAGATGGTTCATATCCGCAACCTGGAACACCGGTTGCAGAGGTGCCAGCAAGGGCGTCTGAGGCGGATGGTCGGATGCGTGGACGAGCGCCAGATACCAATCCTCCATGAGCACGTTGTCCCGAACGAAGATAAACCATGGAGTGGCCGCGTCCAAAGCCTCCTCCCGCGCCGCATCCTTGGCTTTATTCTCCTCCTCCAAAACATCACGTTCCTTCTCAGCCTTTCGAGGCCCAAGATCCGCCTCTGCGATCTTGCCCTCCACATCGATCCCCTCCAGCTGCATCTCCTTGGTAACACTGGGCATCCCGCTCTTCTCCGCGCCCTGCCCCTTGGGCCGCAAACAGATCGCATTCCGCTTCGCAAACAACTCCCCATCCAGGAGCCCCTCCGGCGAGATAGTGACTTCATGGCTCCCCAACTCGATCGCGGCCTCGCACTCCGTCATCGCCTCGTCTTCGTACAGGTACAGTATCTTGCCCTTGAGCACGACGTACCACATGTCCTTGGGGCGCGACTTCTTCGGGTCCTTCGAGCGCGCATCCAGGAGCGAGCGCACCAGCGTGACGTAGCTCCCGTCCAGCGAGGACTCCTCGAACGTGCGTCGCATGGTCAGCCACCCCTTGCGTGTCTTGGGCATGTCATTGGTATCGAGCGCAGCGGCTGAGGCAGCGGCAGCGGTGGGATCCGGGTCCTCCTCCCGGACCCTCTGAGCGAGCTCTCCACGGAGCTTCTTGCGTGCATCAAGGTCGCCTACGGGGACGGCGGTGTAGATGGAGTAATAGACGACGCCAGCGATGACGAGGGGTAGAAATGTGAAGCCGCCGAGGATGTACGCGTAGAAGAGGGATTGGAGACTCATCCAATGGGTGCAAGAGTCTGTGCTTTGTGGCCTCTGTTGTTGGTGCCAAGTGACGTCCACGTCCACGTCGAGCTTGGGTCGATCAAATCTCGACCACGTGTTCTGCACGCCACATGCGCGGCTCAGGATCACACCAGCACGGTTGCCCACTGACCTCTAGGCCGGCAGTGCATAATTAATTGCCTCTTGAAACTTTCGATTTCCGTCATTTCATGTAGAAATACAGAGTGGTAGGATGTATCAGTACTTTTGAGTGACAATGCCCGTGGTCCGTGATAATAATGTACACCTTTTCACGTGAAGGCTCGACTCGGTGGTAGACCATCTGTGGAATGCGGGACATCTCTGTCCCCCCCTCGGCGGGTCGGCGCCTCTAGATAGAGCAGCAATCTGAGGCCCTTCCAAGGAAATTGACAATCTCTGAAGATAGGATGACTACCGCTTGATAGCTGTCCGCAATTTTCTTGCCCGCCTGTTCTTCAATGTGCGCGGCCGCGGCTCCTTCAGCAGAGCCGCTTGCCAGTGGCCGTTTTTGTACACCCAGTGATTGACAACGCGCGAAGGAGTGAATCGTGTCGTAGCCATGGGCGGAAACGCGTGATTGAAGGATGGAGCCGAGGGCACAGTGAGCTGGTTGTGGAACGCGCTGTCTTGATACGGAACTTGGCAGAGCGAGTCAGGGCGCGGGTCGGAGCATGTGGTGATAACAATTGTAGGGATGGAGGGGTCAGGATTTGTGATGACAATGGGCTGGGGGACCAGTCAGCTCCTACGGTAGTAGACGGGATGAAACGGCGTTGACCTTTGGGGAAGAGGAACGTGAGGGAGGCTGGAGAGGGCATGTCAGAAAGGACAGATCGGGAACTGCACGCACGACGCACCTCTTTGGCTTGCAACTCAAGATCCGCGAAGAGCTGCGCCACCTCCTCCATGTCATGCTCGAAAATCCCATACAACCCCTTGTACATTGGATTTACCGCTTGCTCAACAATGCGTGCGACGCGTCCCCAGGTCAAGTCTGGAACAGCAAACACTAGGCGGTAGGTTTCTGTGTCTAGAAACTGAGAGGAAGCGTTTAACCACAACGTCACAGAAACTTGGTGGGAAAGACTGACAATGCGTCGGTCGCCGAGGACATCCCGGTCAGAGGGCTCGGCCGGCGAGGAGGTACTGGCGTATAGTCGGGAAAGCATGGGAGGTTGCCGAAGGAAGAGGTGAGGGAGAGGGAGTCACGGTGGCCTGAGACTAGAGGTGATGGGTAAATGACCCCAGACTTTTAAAGGGGCCGGCTGAAGTCAGACCGACACCCGGTGACGCTGATCACGACTAAGCAAGATTTGGTCAGATCGTTGCGATGTTGCCCCGCACCTTGGCGGTGGGGAACGTCGGGCAGCAGCGGGTAGGACTGTTTCAGTCTGAGGCGTGTCAATGAGCTACTGCGCGAAACATTCCCTTCTCATTTTTTTGACCAGCAGAACCCTGGCGGGGGCCGAGCATAGGATCATCCAGTCGTGCATGGAGTATCAGGAAGACCGGTGGCATTCTCCGTGTCTTCTGAATGGCAGAGAAGAGAGATTGACTGGATAGAAGCCAATCTCCACCCCTCGACCAAGCGGAAGCCAGATCAGGTCTCGTACACCAGCCCAGAACCTGAAAGTCAATCATATCACCATGATGCCAAATCAAATCTGAGTGGCATCAGCGACATAGCCACACCCATCCTGTCTGCTCTTGCTCTACGCCGCTTTCAGAGGCACGCGCTGCGAACGCGTCTCTCCGCCAATTTCGCGTGTATTCACTCTCAAAACATGAGCACGGCGTCTTGTACGCGTCTACTCTCGCGCGAAAAGCACCCTAGGCTTATGAGACACAGCATCCAAGAAACGTGCCGCCTCACAGTTGGACGGCGGGGAAGGCCCCACTTCGAACAAAGTTCCCAAAGGTCCGTCCCATCGATTAACCCGGCCCGTTGCTGAAGCTCCGCGCAAGTGCACCCGTTCTTCTCCAAGACAAAGTCGCCGGCCGTTGCCGACTTGAGCGGCCCGCTGAAGTGGTTGACGCCCCTGGGAACCATCGGCTCTTGCCTACATGCGACGCATCTAGAACCTACACCCTCCGCACGGATAGCCGCGTTTGATCTCGACGGGACGGTCATCGCGTCGCTCCCGTTTTCAGCCCCACCGCTGCAATGGCACTGGTGGAATAAGTGTGTGCCGGCCAAGTTGACCCAAGTTGCGGAGGAGGGGTGCGTCCGCTTTCGGAGAGATGGCCGCTGAACGCTTACTTTTACGCGCGAAGGTACTCGATAGTGCTCATATCGAACCAAGGCGGCCTCAAATCCGCGTCAAAAGCCAACAAGTGGAAAGAGAAACTGGGGCTGATCGCGGCGGCGGTGCGTTTCGCTGTTCCTTTGCGGGTTCCTGAGGAAGTGTCTCATGCATTATCCAGATTCCGGACGTTCCATTCCGACTTTTCGCCGCTACGGCCAAAGATAGGTTTCGAAAACCCATGATCGGAATGTGGGAAGAACTGGAAAGGCTGTACACGGCCGACGGCGTCCAGATCGGTCCGTGTTCATTATAGGCTGTGAACAGCGCTATTGATAGTTGCAGACAAGGAGGGTTCATTCTTCGTTGGCGATGCGGCAGGCCGCGTTCATCCAAACGGCAAGAAGAAAGACTTTGCATCGACGGATCGAAAATGGGCCCTAAATGTTGAGATCCAGTTCTACACACCAGAGGTTGGTCTGCATGTATTTTTGTCGAACGCTTCTTGACCTGCTTCAGGAGTACTTTCTGAGCCAGACGCCCGATACTCAGTTTGCGCTGCACGGTTTTAGTGTCTCCAGCTTGCCTAGTGCTCGTAGGTGCACGTGCATTCTTGATTGTACTGTTACTGACAGCGGTAGTTCCTTTGTTCGCCCCATCCTCGACACCCCTGCTTCCCGACAACCCGACACAGGAGCTTGTCCTGTTCGTCGGATATCCATGTCTAGGCAAAACCACGCTGTTCCGGAAACACTTCGAACCAGCTGGATACATCCACATCAACCAGGACGTACTTAAAACGCGGGAGAAGTGCGTCAAAGCAGTGGACACTGCGCTGGCTGAGGGTAAGAAGTGCGTCGTCGGTGCGTTTCTGCCCATACGATATGCTCCATCCGCTGATGTGCCGAAAGACAACACCAACCGGGACGCCTCCACACGCAAATATTACATTGATGCCGCCAAGAAACGTGGTGTCCCCGTGCGGTATGAAAGTTGCTTCGTTCAACATCCTCTGGCGCTTACCACCGGGTTGCAGCTGCATGGTATTTACAGGCTCTTATGACCTGGCCTGGCATAACAATCTCTACCGAGCCTATGGACTACCTGCCTCCGTCATATCGCGCGAGGTAGCGCCGTCTGCCTGTGCATGCAATCCCAATCTAATTCACATCGAACAGCCTGCCCGTGAACTACTGCCCATCGGAGCATTCACAACGTTCCGGGACAAGTTTGAAGAACCGGACCTGTCAGAGGGCTTCGCACATATCATATCGATCAACTGGACATTCGAAGGGACGGATGATGAAAAGAAGGCGTGGTCGAGATGGCTGCAGCTGGATGATCCCAAAAAGTGATAATGGGATTGATTTTCAAGTAATGTATTAATTCATTGGGCGTCTATCCGGGCCATACTGTATTGGTCGGATCACAGAGCAATTTGTGGAGTTGGTTATCATGTGGACCTAAACAGTAGGGCAACGAGCCAAAACATTCCCGCTAGCCGATTTGTACGACTGACCTCGTCATTACTAGTGACGCGCTCTACCAACTGAGCTAAGAGGGACATGTGTTAGGGGTCTTGGTACTCAATAGCATCTGATAGACAACTCTTCCTCGAGAGAGACATTGATGCAGTGGTAGTACAGATATGTATGATACAAATGCCGTGTGAATGATCCAGAAAAAAAGGGTATGTATGCATAAAAGGGTATCCTCACCAGTCCGGCCAGAGCTCACTGAGCCCCGCATCCGGCTCGATCTCCGGCGCGTCTTTCTGCTTCATCCACCGGTCCGGGATGAGCGGCAGATACCGCTCCATCGCACCCAGAAACCGCTGCCGGTACTGCTTCGGCGTGATGATCGTCGGCTCGCCGCGGTTCGCGCCCCCGCCGAGGAACGCCGAGTCCTTCACCCAGCTCTCGAGTTTCTTGTCCCACGTGTACGTCCGGATGTAGTCGACGATGCCCACCACGAGGGAGTCGTCGTGCTTGTCCACGCCGACCAGGAACGAGTAGTCCATCACGTTCACGTCGCTGAGGAACTTGGTGTCGTTGTAGAGCGCCCCGCGAAGGATCCGTTTCGAGTGCTCTCGTAGGTGGAACGGGTTGATGTGTGCGGCTGCAGGGTCTCGTTGGTTAGATCATCAGAAATGGCACTGCTCGTACGCACTCTCGACCAGATTCTCATCCAACAGCACCTCGTTTTTCCGCCCGGTGGCCTGCACGTGACGGTTCCGCGTCGATCCCTTGAGATCGTAGATGGTAGAGAACTCGCGTGCGTAGAACAGGTTCTCCATCACCAGCAGGTTCATTTGCGTCGATTTGCTCTTGCCCGGTCCACGCCGATTCCCCGTCTTCTTGAAGGTCAGCTTGTAACAGCCAAAGATCTTGGCCAGCAGAGTCGGACGCTGATCACCTCGTCAGTAAGATCTCGTTAAGAGCCAGACCAGCAAGGGTCACGCACATCAGCAGAAACGGCAGATGCCATGTAGTCAAAATACGCCGGCGCGAAGCTCTCCATCGACTGAAGCTCCGGCCGCGAGAGCTCTTTGGCGATATACCGGTCGTCCTTCGTCTTGAGGAACGCAGAACCTGACTTGCCTCCACTGGCATCCCACTTGATGCACCGCGCCAGCGACTCGATCATGCCCTTGTCGCAGTCGTAGGTCCTCCTCAGTGCATCGAATTGCTCCGGGTACAGCACAGTGCAGCTGATAGTCAATCCACTGCTCTCAAACGCTTTATATCCTGGTCAGCAACGAACAGAAACACGAATCACACTGTGCAACGCACTGATCGCCCAAGGCAGCTTCGACGACGCCACCTTCATATCCTCCGTCGGATCCGCTGACTCGGTTGGATCAACCTCGACTACACCCCACGTCGACGTCGACTCGGCCACAGATCGGTCGTCAGGCATGAACGCCTCGCCCTCCGACATCTTCGTCTCCCGTGCCGTCCTCTTTTCCGCCCGGGATTTGGACAGCATGTCGCGGTACTGCGGTGAGCTGGGCGCGGTGAGTCAAACTGTGAAAAATTTTCATTCAGGGACAACCCACTTCAACGCAAGAGCAATGATGGACGTCGGCTCGTCCGTTCTGACGACCATCGAGGAGTCTCGGAAGATGTGCTCGGGGTCATCCAACGGGTCGTCTGCTTCCATCGGGCTCCGCGACTGGCCCCAGAATCCAGACAACGCTTTCAGTAGCGAGTGTCGTTCGGAGCCGCCGGTGAGATCCAAATCCGCAGGAGGAGGCGTCAAGACACTCTCCTTCAGAGATGTCAGGAAAGGCGACGGGGGCAGCGACAACGGGCCTGGTGGTGGATTTCGGTGCGGGGCCGGTGTTTCAGGAGCAGGAATCTCATCGACGATGACTTGCGGCACCGTTGTTGACGGTGGCAGCTCCTCCTCCTTCTGCTGCTGCTGCTGCTGCACGTGCATTTCATCCTCAGGCGACTCGACCGTCGACGGTTTCTTGCTGCTGCCGCTCTCCTCGACCTCGCCATCACCCTCATCGTCAGCCTCGCTGGATTCGCTCGCGCTCTCCTCGCTCTCATCCCGGATGGCGTCCTTGACACTCTCCAATACCTGCACCCTGGCTCGGGCCGAGGCAACAGGCCGCGCCCGCTTCCCCCGGATGATAGCGTACCGGTTCTTCGACCGCTCGGCATCGCGTCCCATCCGCTCGAAATGCTTCGCAATGTTCGACACCTTCGTCCCAGATCGCATGCCCGGCGTCCCCCTGGCGGGCGTCTTGTCCCTCGGCCGGGCAGCCGGTGTCCGGATGCGCCCGGACTTGCTGCCTGGGAGATTTGGCGTGCTCACGAGTGAAGGTGGCTTTGCGCGCGGCGGCGACGTTTGTCTGCCCCGGCCTTTGCCACTGGCCGACCGCTTCTCGGGCGACGGCAGGCGCGACGATTCCTGTGACTGTACCGTCGGCGGGCGAGGGATCCGAGTCGGCCGAGAGAGGTATTTCGGCGCGACGTTGGCTGCGTAACCCTGCTCGAAATCGGAAACAGACGGCTGGCGGATCATCCGGTGTCGGCTCTTGCTGCGGATGTGGCGGATGGGTGTCGTGTACTCCTGCTCGCTCTCCGAAACGACATTTATCCGCGGCGCGAAGGCTGTCTTGGTCAGATCTCGCACGCCCTGAGGAGGCAAAAAGTCCTGGTACTTTTTCACCAGCTCAGCCACATTCATCTGGTTTTCGGACCGTCGAGGAAGTTTGGACGCTCGGACTCGCGACGGGGATGCCACCTGCCACAGTAAGATTTCCCTAATTCCTTACAAGGACAAAAAAACGCCTCACCTGCTCAGATTCCTCGTCCTTACCAGCCCCGATCGTCGAATCGCTCTCCGGATCTGATTTCGGCGCCGGCTCTGCATTCGATCCCTCGCTCTCTTTCTTGGGCGGCACGATTGGCTCCTCGGCATTGGCATCCGACTCAGGCTCCGACGCAGAGGACGTGAACGAATCCCCCGTCACTCTCCGCAGACTCAGCGGCCCTTCCTCGGCTTCCGAAACACTCGAGGACGGCAGATGCTGCCCATCAAACGCTAAATCTAACCGCCGGGGCCAGCGCACACTCCCAAACGCCGAAGTCCGCTTTCCTCGTTCGGTGGCGACATAGGATCTCGGCTTCGGCAGCCGATCAAAGACCATCTCCCACGCGACGATTTTGTCCTGCTTGAACATGTGGACCTGGTTCAGCGCGAGCGTATCCGTCGGCGCAGACTCCCGGTAGATGCAATTGATCAGGCGACTGATTTCGTGCTTCTCGTCATGCGCTCGGACGATCAGCGTGTTGACATCAGCCAGCAGCGTTGCATCGCTCTCCTCGTCGCCAGTCGCGGCCTCGAAGCTGACAGACTTCAGCTCGTTTACGAGATCGTCGAACCAGACGTCGTTCTTCTCGTGCAGCCCGGTGAACATCTTGTTCTTGAGCTCGAGCTGCTGCTCCGGCTTCACCTTGATGCGTGTCGGTGGGTACACAATCTCGTGCAGCTTGATCGGCTCCGCCTCGAAGCGGACGGTCATCCCCTTGATCGCAAAGTAGCGAATGTGGTGTTGGTAGATGTTGTGTTGGCACCCGGCGCCCTGCACGAGCTTGACGTCGGCCGGATAGAAATGCAGCTCGAGGAACTTGGCGAACGAGTACCGCTGCATCTCTTCCGAAACCGGAATGAACGGCGTCGCCGACATGCACACCCGACATGCACTCCAGGTCGTCACCAGCTCCGGCGTCGGCAGGTTGTTCATCCGCCCGATGATCTGCCCGTTCCACGACTCGACCGCCACGGAAAGCTTGGTCTCGTTGTGGACATACACCTGCTCGTGGCGCGCGAGGGGCAGCTGGCAGCTCTTCCCTGTGCACACAGCCTTCGGGTCCAGGAACTGCGCCAGTGTGTCATTCACGCATTTCTCGATGAACTGCCCCAGCGTGCAGTCGTTTTCGCCGTAGAACGTGATGTACTGCAGATTCGGTGCGAAGCAGGCTCGCGGCGTGCCCTCCTCGATCACGTTCTTGAACGGCATCACGTAGTGCCATAGAGTGATGCATTGGTACTTTTCGACAACGAAATCGTCCGAGTTTTTGCTGCATTTGTAAGCTTCGAGCAAGCAAAAAAAAAAAAAGTGCAAGAGCCACACACCGAAGATACCACTCCCATATTCTCCGCTGCTCCTCATGCATCAGCTTCACCGATTTGTACCGACTCTCCAGCGCGATATCCTCATTCGTCTTGAGCGGTTCCTTCGGCTCCTCGGCAGGCGACGGCGCCATCGACGAGCCACCCGCCGACGACAAGACAGGCGACACCATCCCAGATGAAAAGTAGCTCGTCGTCTCCTCCATCGTCCGCGGTGAAAGCATCCGCGGTGTCACCGACATGTCGCCCGGGGACGGGGGGATGTTCAGAGTCGGCAGGGCCTCTATCTGTGCACTGATGTCATCAGAATCAGGTTCCTCGACTGTGATGACCGCAGGCGGGCAGACGGTGGTGGTGTTGGGGACGCTCAGTTGACTCTGTGGATGCGCCCGCTCCTCCTTGCGGATGACATCATCTTCCCATGCCCGTTTCGCCTCGAGTAGCTCGTTATCCAATTCTTTCATACGGACTAGCGGTTGAGGTGGTGGGAACCGCAGCGTTGCGGATACAGAGATGAACGTCGTCGCATACGGTTCCAATGCTGCATCGATCCGCCTCGTCAGCCTGATCTGATCAGCATCCGCCTCTGGCAGATCCTCGTCCTCTGGTATCAACTGCTGAGGTCGCATGCCCGGAGTCGGCGTGGTCAGTCTTGGCGTCGAAATAGAGGCCGGGAACGTCTGGAATGACACAGACGAGACAGAGAAGTTGCCGAATCCAAATCGGCCTCCGCCACCAGGAGACATGGGCACAGCGTCCAGCCCCAATTGCGGCAGAGTGATGACCGAGTCCTTCCAGAGATGCGTCTCCAGCTTCAAGTTCCGCACGATGAAAGTCAGGAACCGCGTGACCTTCTTGATCTTGCGCAGCGTCTCGAGATTCTCGCCCCGCAAGATGATCGTGCAGCCCATATCTCGCAAGCAGCCCTCGAAGCGCATGAATGTCTTCCGACGCCCGGGAATGAGCGGATGATCGAACGTCTGGATCCGAAACCGGGCGCAATGGCCCAGCCGGGGCTCCAATGCAAGTTTGTCCATCGACGAAAAGACATCACTTTGTGTCATCCGCGCCACCGTGTGGATGGCCGACGGCTTGACGGTCCTCGCCACCGCGATGTTGTGCTTGGCCAAAGCGTCCAGCGCAAGCCTTGACACCGACTTCTCAACGAGCACAACGTGAGGCCGTAGCGCGGCGATCCGGGACGCCAAGTTCCCGAGGTACTCCTTTTCCTGACGCACAATCTGGCCGAAGTGCATATACTGACCCTCGACACGCGAAAATTCGAGCGGGAACGTCACAAGCATCACACGCGGGTGGCGTTGCAGGCGAGACATCTGCTTGTGCGCAACATTCTTCGTGATCACAGCGCCGTCGACGTATTCAGAATCAGACGGCAGCCCTCCTGGAATCTTCTTGATCTTCACGTACCGCCGCACATCCATATCCTCGCCCTGACGATGTGGCAGCGCAGTGAACGTCAACTCTCGCGCGATCTTCATTGCCAGTTTCAGCAGGGTCTCCTCCCAAGCCTTGATATTTGGGATATCCTCTTTCGTCAACATCTGCCGCAGCATTATCTTGAGATGGAACATCGACGTCAGATTGAGCTCTTGCGCATATGCTGTGCTCTCCCGCCGCGTGCGCCAGCCTGGTTCTCCCCCGCCACCACCACCAAGACTGTCCATGCGGCTGTGCACGCGACTCCGAATGAACGGCGTTCCAGACTCAAACTCAGAATTAAAGCGCGACCGCAACCGCAATGGGCCTGGGCTATCGAGATGATCAGGCGACCCGCGCGGAAACTGGATCGTGCTAAGGGCATCCGGATTGATGGGGACGGCGCCCGGGAACTCGAACGTTGCAGGCGTTTCTTCCGCGTGGTAGGGATCAGCCACGTTAGCATCGTCGTCCGACGCGCCTCGTCTGAATGGTGCTGGATTGTCGCTTAGAGTTTCTTCCCACGCAACGTGCGGGGGCGTAACGGGTCGAGACCCAAAACCGCTCTCGTCGGAGCCTGATATCCTTCGCTTCGTTTCTGCGATAGAGTAAAGGTTGAACGGCTCATCCGTACGGCTGAACAGCTGCGACGCAGAGAACGGGGATTGGGGGTGTTGAGAAAGTCCGATCGTGTCGATCCCAAGTTGGTGTGCAGGGAAGCTTGTGACTGACGACACAACCGACCTACGATCGTCGTCGTCGTCTTCATCGACTTTGGCCAGTTTCTCCATGCAGAGATTACACACGCGTATCATCCCGTCTTGCCCGAATCGATACCCCTTGATGATGTTGGAGGCGCATCTGGAACAGAAAATTTGCCCTGCAGGGCTGTGAGATAGGCCAAAGCGTCCACCTGCATAGAACATACCGCATATCCGGCAGTGATGTTTCCGCCTCCAAGTACTGAATACACTCGCACAATCATAGCACTCTTTGCAATTCTCGTCGTCCATCCAGTAGTCGCGTGAAAGCCCTATGTATGCGAAGTTCAGCTATGGTCGGTGATACGGCAGCAAGATGCAACACACCTTCGCCTCGGAGGCGCCTCATAACCTTCGAGACCGAGCCAGACCGATGCAAGCTGGTCGACGTCTTGATACTCCGCGCATCATCCTGAATCGGGAACCCGGGCACCGACGTCCCAAAGATCCCCCCATCCTGCGACTCGTACGACGGGAACGCGACCCCGTTGCGCGACGGCGATCGCTCGTACTCCACACTGTACGTCGGAACCTCGGACTGGGCCGGCGTAAGCGACATGAGGGGTGGAGCTGGCTGTGCCGTGCGCTTGACAGACAACGAGTTGGGGCGATCAGATGCCATGGAGCCTGTCCGCGTGGAGGAGAAGTTGGAGGAAGTCAGTGCTGTGTTGGTTTGAAGCACGCTGAAGGACGGGCGCCGCGGCTCGCTCGTGGCTGTCTGGGAGATGCTCGGTGCAGAGCTACTCGGTGCGCTGCTGGATGCGGAGGCGACGGAGGAGAGGGGGGCCGCGAGGGTGTTCTTCATCCGCGAGAAGATGGACGTCACGAACGACTGGTCGTGTTCGTCCTCCTCGGAGAATGGGTTAAATGAGGTGAGGCTGGTGACATCGTCAACAGCGAGTCGGGTCGTGCTGCTTCGTGAGCGAGAGGATGTGGCGCTGAATGTGCCTATGGTGGGCGACGACGACAACACCTGAGGAGTTTCCATGGCCTGCTATAGGAAAGAACGCGCTATCTTGGCTGGATGGAAGTCATAGGAAAGGCTAGCAGGGCCGAGTTCTCATCAGTGTTCACATCACGCCGCACACGTGCCGACAAATTCGGTTTCCGTCTCGCCACTTCGAGCTGTCGAACCCTTTTGTTCTTGAGCGACGGCGCAACTCAACATGGAAATGTTTCTTCCAAATTGGGTGGGTCTCAATGTAAGCGCCTGGGTCTCCATCAAAATTTTGCGTGCAAATGGTTTTCAACTGGCTTCGCAAAATGCGCAAATAACGTTCTGCGATAGATTGCGTCAACGAGACGAGGATGAATCGCTCTCGATTCCATCTGCGCTGCTTTCTTTCAAAAGGGAACCTCCCCTGTCCAACCGCTTGCGCTGTTGATACTTTGGCCTCATCTTATTTGCTCTCAGGTGCCTACGGCCTATCCTGATGGGTACCGTATAAGGAATGCTCACGAACGTGAATAACAGCTCACCATTCAGCGTTTTTTTCTCTTTCCGTCTTCTGTGTTTGTCTTTTTTCAATCAAACGGTTTGAATACCGAACCAGGAAAATCGACGATCCTGCGTCTCTCAGTGCTCATCCTCCTGTCTCGAAACTCGCTCCCCATCTTCTGTTCCTCCTCGCCAATCACGCTCCTTCGGTGAACTTCCCGCTCTCCATATTCTTGCATGGCGTCATATTCCTCAGGTTTCCGATGCTCGCCTCGTCCCATTACTGGCACGCGCTTAACCGATTGGCGCGGTGTGCGCTCGCTGCTTGACGACAATCTATCAGAGCATGGTCACCCCACTGCGACTGTCCATCGAGGCCCAGATCACCAGTGCTATTGCCAAGACATCTAGAGAAACATGTTGGGGGCTTCTACGCCGTTCTTTGCTCAGCTGTCTGTTGTGAGAAATGCAGCCAACCACGATCGGCGGATAGCTCACGAATTTTTCGCGTTGACATGGCGATTGTGCGCGCTCTCGCCGAAGAAGTCGCTCGCATTCGAGGCGGAATGGACTCCTGCGGGCAGAGTGTCCAATTTGCGTTCGGTACTACCAGGAGACTCGAGGAGATAACTGTTGCGCCCGCCTGGACTCATTCGCGACAGTGTTCTGGAACTGTAAACGGCAAGGCTCCTGCTGCAGTTCATGGTCTGTGTTTGTCCGCAAGCCTCCTCAGAACAGAATCTCGATGGCTGTTTCGCTCTCCCACTTTGTCGTCGAGGTGACCATGTATCGGCCTTCGAAACGGTGTCCGCACGCCGCAACACTAGCACTACCGTGCCGCCAAATGGAGCCCGATTCGCAGAACAACCCGACGGAAGCAGTGGACGAGGCTGGCTCGGGCCATCAGATCAAAGAGAGCGCGACAGGATATGCGAGTTCGATGCGGCCGTCACTTTGCCAATAGCATTGCGCCCGTAGCTGCGATCCGAACACTTCGATTCCCTTGTGTTGTTCGAGACCGCATCCCGGATTCCTCTTCCGGGAGGAATCATGGCCGACTACATGCTCAATTTAATCAGTTGCATCCCGGAGAGACCGTCTCGACCGAAGTAAATGGACTCATTGATGTACCCCCCCCCCCCAAGTTCTTACCGTTCTAGCTGGCGTCGAGCAGAACAAGTCACCGTCACGTGCAATTATTGGTTCCGTGACTGAGCGCGTTTGTGACCGCCCGACTCTGAGATGGGATATACAAGGTCATTTGAAGAGTCATTAGGGAGTTGCTATCTTCGACAGTCCATGGTTTTCGCAACCCCAATGAGTGCAGCTCTCCATAAGTACTACCAGCTGAATGGGTCGCGTGCATAATCAAACAAGACCGCAAAGATGTTATCTGTAGTAGTTAATGGTGTTATCTGCATCCATTAACGCGGTGAAAGAAATCCAGCATGCGATCATCCAGAGCGAGTTTGGTCCCAATCGAGGGGTTTAGTGGCGCAAGGCGGTAGTGTAGGTGGTGAACTTGCGATCAGTTTTGGCGTGAAGATTTCATCATTCAAATATCAGATTAGATCCTAGGTCATGTCAGGCTGTCAGCTTCATATCCGCTGACTGACGCGCTCATCAATCGCGACCACAGGAAGCCCAAATCAGGGCATAGGGGTCAAATTTGAGATCTCCTTGCTAATCGTGATAACTCATAATGAAGGGTTTACGGCATTGATAAACATGCAAAGGCCGCGAGCATTCTTATAATTAATAAGTATACTGTGCCGTTGCACCGTCTTCAGGGCCCTCGGCATCCACAACTTTTGCGGATGGCTCGGTTCCTTGAGGTGTTGTGAGCCCTGCTTGTCTTTCCCTGAGTGCATCTTCTGGGGCTAAAAAATCTATGACCTAACTCCTACAGCCTAAAAAATGGACTGAGGCAGTTCTTCTCGAGTTTCTCCATCGCTCGCAGCAGCCTCTGTCCACAGCCCATCCTGGTATCCGTCGCAGCTCTTCAGCCACGTGACGGCCCTCGCGTGCAATAGCCCGTCGCATACACCGATCGCGTTTGAGACAGATAAGTTAAGGGGGAAATCGAGAAAACAATGTTAGCTGCGTGTACTGCGAAAGAGTCGGAAACTGAGAGCTACAAGTACATATGGAGAGATGATACAGTATGATATAATAAATAAGTCGCGAACTGTTTTACACGTCCTCCCAGGGCCGTTTCATCGGCAGGGAGTAGGGGCTTGACGAGGATGACGAAGCCGGATATGCGCTACGCCCCTGCCATGACGCCGAATCGTTCTGAAGCTGCTGGCGTCGACCAGTGAGTGTGAGAGGGACGCCCGTGAATCCGGCATTAGAGTAGGAAGAATATTCGGGGACCTCGTAGCGCGAGACAATCCTTTGCTTCTCCTCTTCAACGGCCTTCTTCACAGCCCTCTTCTCCTCCGCACGTTCCAGCTCCTGGATCTCCTCGATCAGCCGCTCATTCGCGAACCGCAGCTGCGACAACTCATACTGCCAGCTCTCCCCCACATTGGGATCGAGCCGGTGAAACGGATTTGCGTTTGGCGAGGGCCGAGGGGGACACGAGGCGAGATAAACGCCGTACATCAGCTGAGCAGGCGCAACCGCACAGGGCAGCGGAGTGCGTTCAGCCGCTGGAGCGACGAAGCGAACGATGGCGGAAACGGGACCGTTCTTGCCTTGCAGGGTGCACTGGATCTGGCGAATCCCATTCGGAATTTCCTGCCGCCATGCAGCAAGGGTGCTCTCAATGGGATTGGACGGTGCATGGGAATCCACGACCAGGGCACCGATTCTGGTGCCCCGGATACTTGCTGGCTCGAGGCCGAGCACGGTATTCGCTCCAACCCCAACGGAAAGCAGCAGCCCATACGGATCCATGACACCATGAAAGGCGGTGGGGAGAGTGGCGCTGGGCAGCGGCGAACTGACCGGGCTCGTACTCGCACCCTGGCCAGATGTCAATCGATAAGCATCACCAACCAAGTTATCACTCGCCTCGATCCTCGCCCTCTTGGGCTGCAGCGCCCATTCAAGACCACTGCCCGAGCCCGTCGGCGATCCTGAAACATGTCGCGCTTGACGCGAAATGGGTGTAGGAGTCGGCGGTGTTTTCTCCTTCTCCGGCGCTGGCATGTGCGTCATGCCTCGTGCACGGCCGATCAATACAATAGCTTTTCGGCCCTTGCCTGGCTCCACGTGCAATCGACCTCGACATTCGACCCAGACCCAAGTCCCTTGCTTAGTCCGGGCCCGGAATACCAAGTCAACCACACGCAATGCTTCGGATGAAGTGCCACCAAGCGCTTTATCACCAGCCCAGCCTTCTGCAGGCAGACTGGCTTCTTTGAGAGCCCGTCCAACTGTAAGACTTGAGATGCAGGCCTTTTGATAATTAAAAGTAGAACGCACCGCTGACCACATCCCTCGAGAAACAAATATCCTCCAAAGACCGCCCCACCAGTTCCGTTGGCGCCCATCCAAGACAACGCGTCACCGCCGGCGAAACATATAGGAACGCGCCCTGTTGAGCTTGAGAGGAGGAATTATAGAATTACGCACGCACACACACCTTCAGGCTGAGCACGTGTATGAAATCTGGCAATGCGCCAAGTAGAATGGAGTGCAAAGCATGGCTGGATGGATCCGGAGGCAGTCCACCACCAGACGTGGATGGCACCAGAGCACCGACAGTGGAAACAGGAGTGGCATCCAGACTTGCCAAGAAGCGAGGATTGATGAGCAATCGGGCCAGCAGAGAAGACACGAGAGGAGCAGGAACGAGATTGGTTCTCCGCTCTCGCTGAGGCACAGATTCACTTTTTACTGCACAAAAATGTAAGAAAAAGCAAGATGGATAGACCACAAGACTGACTGCCGTCGTCCTCCATCGACGGAGCACTCAACAACGGAACACCTTTATGGTACCGACCTTCTTTGACGCGCTGGACGATGCTCTCGCTCTGCGTCGTCAGATCAACCTGAAACCCAACATACCACACGACCTCTCCGTCCTGCTCCATGCCTCAAATTATCGATGAGTAAGACAACACCCTCATTTGACCGAAGCACTCACCAGGAACACCCGATTCTCCGACAAGTGGTACAATAGACACAAGATTCACAAACGCAGATCCGTCACGGCGGTAGTTCACGACGCTCACTTGCGATTCTTTGTGGCCCCCGACAGCCTTAGCCAGTGCCCGAACAGCTACATGCGAGGTGTGGTGTCTGGGGTCTCCCTTAGCCAGAGGCAGTAGCTCGCCAGAGCTCTCCGACGTCGGCGGGGCTTGCAGAAACCGGCAGTTGCGGCCCATGACTTCCTTCTCGCTGTATCCAGTCAGAGCACAGAAACTTGGGGAGCAGTAAACGATCGGTTCATCGTGTCGGCGCACGTCGACCACCACAAACGACGTCGAGAAATCGACTGGGCCCAGCTGAATCGTCGGATTGGGCCGGGCCATAACACGTGCCAGAAGAGAAAGCGCATCAAATCCGGAACCGGAGTAAAGCGGAAGGCGAGCAGAGGCGGTAAGCGGTGCCGGTGACGTCGAGCGTGGTGCTGTCGTTAAAGCACGTGCCAGGGGGCGGCCCAGGGAATTGTCATGCGATGAAGGCTGGAACGGATTGAACGCTGTCGAGCTAGGCGACCAGCTCTCATCCGACCAGGTCCCGCTGGCGCTCGAGAGTGGCGAAGGGTTCATGAACGCCGCATCGGGGTTAAAAAATGGGGAGACAGACGTCCCGAATGAGGAAGAGAAGTTGGACAGGTTCTCCAGGCTCTCGTAGGCATCTTGCACCGCGGGCATCCCGAATATCCGGGCGCGCTCCCAATCCTCTGTGTCGTTCTGGTCTTGGAGCGTCTCGGGATTGTATTCGTCGAATGGGAAGTTGAGGTAGGAGAACGACATTGCTTTTGTTGTAAAATAATTCGTGTGGTTCGAGGGAGCGAGTCGCAGGGGTCGATAAGCAGAGGCGCCTTCAGTGATCGTTCAGCCGAATTACGCTGGCTTCGGTTTCGCAAAGAAAGGGCGTATCGGTCGCTGCAGCGTGGCTCAACCCCAATCCCCGACCGCGCGATGTCGGATGTAGCTTCCGGTGGAGCCCTGTCAGGCAAGGGGTGCTGGTAGATGCTGAGCCCGCAGAAGTGTGATTTTGGTACAGCGGTAAGGGACCAAGTCTCGCGCGCAATGTAGCTGGTAGGCGGAGAGAAATGAAAGAAGAGAAGCGAACTCGACTGGGACACGGTAGACACCCACCCTCTTACGTAAAATCTCTCTTGCCTCACCGTCTCCCAATCGGGAACACCCCCTCAACTTACTTTCGCACCACCCGCAGTAGCGACGCAACGCGGCACGCAGTGACGCACTTGTATCAATAACCTGACTGCAGACCCTGCCATTACTCGCGTCCCCCCCTCAAGAACAGCGATGGCTGGGTCAGCATCATGATGCTTATGCGACCCGGGGTGTGTGTTGGTTGCCAATAACGACTGTGGTCGAGTTCTGCCGTGTCTGCTGTGTCCTCGTTTTTCGAGTTTCTTTCCCAGAAGAGCCAGGACCCTGACAATGACATACCACCACGCCCTCCTAACCCGTGCCTTCCGTGCCAACGCCACCGTCTATTTTACTACATGTAGTGCTTTTGCTGCCAACCCGTGAGATAGTAGATGTTTATTTAGACAGTTGTACATTCGAAGAAAGTTTATTGCGGTTCTATGTGGTACCCTGACTCACGAAGGGCTCATGGTTCATGAGTCGACGAGAAAAGCACCGAGGTTGAATTATGGTCCAATCTGGCGCAGTTGATCCACGACGGCAAACACCAACTGCTCGAGCACAGTAAACGTCCAGAGCATGAGCTGCATTCGGCGATAACGATTTGGATTGTACTGTGGCGCAAAGGGAAGCTGCTTGCGTTGTCGCCGATACTCGAGAAGTCCAGTTTGAAGTGACGAAAGATTCTGATAAAGAGGCGGAGACTCGCCTGAGGGGACTAGATAGCAGGTTGTGCTGCTCGGCGTACAGTTCGGGCAGCGAGTTGGAGGGTCAGATCGAGTCGGGTGGGGAAAAACATAAGGAGATCATTTCTGTGGACTGCCGAATCGTGCGCATCTTTCGCTATTGAGCTCCTTTCTGCTTAGAACGAGCCCTCCACGCGGCTCAGATTAACACTCCAAACAGAGGCGACTCGGAGCCATGTAGACAATATCTGCAGGGTTGATCGATAGGCAGATGGCACGGATACGTAGTGACCGGCCACACAAGAGTCATACCGGCGCACAAAGGCAAGATCGACGCGGGAGGATGAGAAAATCAAATTTAATCCGAGGGCCCAGGGGCTGCTGGAAGCGACGATGCACGGAGCACAGGGCGGAAACGCGCTCCAAAGATACTTCAGGAACAGAGACGATCGATGCCTCACCTTGCAACCTATGCGTCACAGGAGCAATAGACGGGAGGGTCAGTCCGACGGCGCTCTGTATGATCACGGGCTGCGTCAATGAACCCCAAAATATCCATTCCTTTCACTTCCTCGCAGGTTCCTCGGTGACGTTCTCACAGAAGCTTGTTGGCGCCGAAATCGCAGGAGATAGCGTCGATGGATGTCCAGTGGATCCCCGCCGCGCAACACGTTTGCGCCATCTCGGCCGTGCTCAGATAGAGGATCCAGAACTGGACTAGGACTGGAACTTCGCACCAAGGATGTGGGAGAGATTCGAGAATGAGGATCACACGTGCTCAAGGTGATGGCTACTCCCCTATGTTGATGTTGCATCTACAATGGTACCGGACTTCAGGGTATATGCAGGAGATAATCCAGTCGGATCTACAGATTGCCATTGCGACGTATGACTGCCGCGAGAGTATTATCCACGTCGGTCAGGCTAGTCTCCTTGCGGAAGACCTCCAGATAAACATCTTCTTCGACAGTCCCTGTCTCAGTGCCTAGACCGTGTCGTGCGACATGCCAATGCTGCGGATTTTGACCCCGAGAGAATATTTCCGTGATATTGGGCTCCCTAAAGGGTTTGGTGAGAAGGGATCAAGCAGCATGTATGGATTTTACCTTCCATGCAACAGCTGGCGTGCATTGTACAAGTGCCCAGACCGAGATTGGAAGTCTGTGCTGGGAATGACAAGACTTGAAGTTGTCAAGACAAAGCGGTCTTTGGGTTGCAAGATCATTGTGGCAGATGGCACGGAGTCCGTCGACCTGGAGGCGGGATGTGAGTAAGAGGTGCGGAAATCTTGCTTTCAGACCCTACTTCGTCAATGGCTCGTCATTAAGCCTGGTATATAGAGAAGCTGCCAAGGCGGCAGCATCTTCAGCAAGATCGCCGGCTTCTTCTAGGCCTATCAAGCACACTAGCACGCGACTCCTCTGATCGCAATTGAGAAAATAGTCCCCCGAAAGAGAAATGGGCACTGACTACAACGTAAAAGAGTTTCTTCTTTACGGTATCATTGGGGTCTTGGCCACTAGCAAGATAGACGCTTGTGGCTGAGAACTCGATAGGCTCTGGTCGTGTCTGCTCTTCAAATTGATTCGCAGTTTCGTCAATGGGGACGGAGATTGTATCGATGACGTCTCCCGGTTGTTCTGCTGCATCTTCATCGTCTAGGGTAGGCTTGATGGTTTCAGAAATGGAAGCGTCATCGAAGCTCTTCTCGAGCGGCAAAGGGAGCTGTTCAGATTGTATAGCATCTTCGAGGGCACTCCGGTCAACGTCAAAGTCGGTCGTCTGCTCCAGACGCGGAGTATCCAACGGGAAGGTCAACGGATCACCCTTGTCCTCGTTTCTTGGAGTAACCGCAAACAGATCGGGTGGTTTCTTCCCTCCTTTTCCAAACGTGAGATAACCCGGCCAATTCCATTTCGGCATATCCATTCGCACATCCAAATTCATCCCGAGGAAGGTCTTGCTGTTCTCGTCTGCGGCATCTCGGACCTGTGCAGGTTCGGGTTGCGATGAGGCCATGCTGACGTGAAGAAGAGGAGGCGGGTCTGCTGGTTCTGGAACTATTGGTGGTACGAGAGATAATATGAAAGCGGCCAAAGCAGATGGGAATGAAGAGTCGGTATATCGTGTGGAAGGTATAATGAAGGGGGGAGACACGGCAATGGGCACCACTTCATTTGGTAATCGCGACGAGAATTCATCCATGATTGAGGAAAGTGATATCTGTAGAGGATGACGGGATGGGCCTTGACATAATGAGAATATGCTGATTGCGGGAGAGATCACGACGCACCAAGCAGTTGTCCAAACTCCGGTCCATCGTCTAGGTCCCAAGACCATGCCCAGACGGTGAAGAATCTCTCTAGTTGTAGTTCCAAAGCTTCTCGACCGAGGGAAGAGAGAATGGATGCAAAAGAGCCGTGTTTCAGCTACGATCATTGAAATGCCCGCTCCGAGGAAAGAAAGCGGAGTAAGTGCGAACCTTGAACTTTTCGTATCCACGGAGGATGTCAGCTCTGACGGCCACATCGTAAGCCGAGTAATCATGATAATCGAACACTGTTGGCGTGTCCGCCTTTGGCTTTTCCTTCTCCTTGCCCTTGCCCTTAACAGGTCTTGGGGTTCTGGCCATTTCTATACCCTGGAACCTAACTGAATCAACGTGCGAGGTCAGATTTTGAGAAAGCCCGACTCACCGCGTGTATCCAATAGTTCGGTTCGGGTTGCACCATGGTGAGTCGTTTCGTCTGTGAATGCACATTATCGCAAGGTCCATCGACGCTCAGAATTCTGGATAGCGAGGAAATTAGGCGTGATGTTCCAACACGAGAGCTGTTGAGGTGCATACTCGGAAAAGCTGATGAGTGCCTTAGCCAGTCCAATCTGCCTGAGCATTCTGTCACGCGAGACCGCTCGTTCTTTCGCAGTATAGAACAAGATATGGGCCTGTTCCTCAGCGTCTTCGTCGTCAGGAGATGCATTAGAGGCAGGCTTGAGGGTCGGATTGTAGATAGTGAGATATAGCAGGTTCGCAGCGTTCTCACACATTGGGGTGACTGGCGAGACGTGAAACCATAACCCCAGCTCATCGTGTACGTAAGTGAAGTGATGACATAATATCATGGTCATAATCATCAATAGGCCATCATCACCCCCCTTGCAGTCGATCTCCCAGGCCTCACCCATAGGCCTTGGAAGCTTTGCCTTGGTCGGACGCTCAATTCAGTAGATTCAAATCTGCTTTTCTGCTTGTAGGCTCCAGGAGCTAAAATGAATCCTGAGCGCTGAAGTGAGGCCCTGACACTGCTTAGGCGGGTCCTCGCATCAATTATCTGCGCTGCTCGGGTTAGGGTCTCGACTCGCCATAATCGTTTCTCAGAGGCTGTCTCATACACTGATGTCAGCCGCCGGTGCCCAAGAAAAAGAAAAGGTCCGCACTCAGATTGGCACTAGAACGAAATGATGAACTCTCTACCTCTCATAGGGCAATGCAGCCTTCAAAGCTGGTGATTTCCCAGCCGCCATCGGCCACTACAGTGCAGCAATCCACGCGAACCGCACTGACGCGACTTTCCCGCTCAATCGCGCTGCTGCATACCTCAAACTCGGAAAGTACGCGAAGCAAACCTGTCAGGTTTGTCCAATGACGCCTGATCCAGTGCAGGAATGAAGATGCGGAACGAGACTGCTCGACTGTGCTTTCGCTGAGCAAAGGCAATGTGAAGGCGTTTTTTCGGCGGGCACAAGCACGGACTGCAATGGGAAAGCTCGAGGAAGCAAGGGATGGTGCGCCCATCGAAACTGGATGGCTTGTAACATCTTCACAATTTCATCAGATCTAACCGAGGCGAGCAAACAAGAACCTGAAAATGAGTCGGTGAGGCAGGAATTGAAGAAAGTAGAGCAGCTTCTCCGAGATACTGCGTCCAAAGTAAGTTTCCACTCTTGTACGATCTTGTCCTCATGCCAGGTTTGAAGTCATCTGCATCCAAAGCGCCAATCGATATCACTGTACCGTCAGCAAAAGGTCGGCGAATACCAATAACTATCGTGGAAAAGGATGGGACTCGAAAGATGCTTCCGGTACCTGGCACACAAGATCACGCGGCTCCTCCGGTCACAAAACCATCCTCCATTGTCGCGCCCAGAGCCACTGTCGCAGCGAGGCCAACTCAAGGCAACAGTGACCAGGACATGGTCAGCGCAGTCTCCTCTCGTTCTCTGAGTGGAGCATCAGCATCGGGCCCAAAGCAGTCGTCTCCCCCAGCTGCATCGGCGCCTCCACCGAAGCCCCAGGCACCGCCGAAACCGCAGCCCATGTATACGACGAAAACGGCAAGCTCATTCAAAGACGCGAAGGCCACACGGGACACCTCAAAACCCAGCCGAATGATTGTGGGGGGTGGGATATTTCGTGCTTCTGGAGAGAGCACGGTCATACCGGAACGAGTGCTGATTGTGCCTCCCACTGGAGAGAAGAAAGTGCCTTCTTCAAAGCCGAGCACAAATACGCCAGAACCTTCGTCGTCATCAGTGTCCAGGCCGCCGCTCGCGACCAGCAAGTCTCCGATGACGCTGTTCGACTTTACCCGATCATGGGAGCGAGATCCGGACCACGCAGCCCGATACGCATTGCTTTCTGTATGACCGAATCCAATCATTTTCTTCTTTCACTCATCATGTCGCCCAGGAAATCCCGCCCTCTGCTATTCCATCCCTTTTCCAGACTTCTCTTGAGCCAGAAACATTTTATGAGATTGCGGAAACCCTTGGACAAGCATCGATTGACCAGGATGTCGCCAAGGCCTACTTGCACCAGCTGGAACAAGTGCCGAGGTTCGGAACGGTCGCGAGATTTCTGAGTGCCAAGGAACGCGCCCGGATACGGGATATATGGAGCTCGCTGGGTGTCGGGGAGAAAGACCAAACGAGGAGGCCTGCTGAATTGGCCGAGGTTTGGGACTTTGTCTATAGATGATGGAAATAGAGCAGTCAGTTGTGTTGCGGTTGAAATTTTCGAGGCAGAAAGCAACGCCAAGAGAGCTGGGTTCACACAATTCACTGGATCTATTGTCCATACTTACTGAGCTCACGAATCAGCTTTTGTTGAGGACCACTTGATCCTTCTCGCCAATCCGAATATCGCATTCTCTCGGCAGTGTTGTTACAGATGGAAAACACCTTGGAGAATCCGGTCCAGACAATCTTGATGCTGACACCACCAAACAACAAACTTTAAGTACCAGTCGAGCGTGTGTAGCCCGGATTTCGGCTATGTAGTAACGTACGTGAGGGATATGACAAAATGTTGCCAACTATCGAAGATGAAGCGTGCGTCTACCATACTATTACGGGGGTCAACATACACATCAAGGCCCACTGTCTGGCCATTCTTGGAGTATGGCCGAGCTGCTTTCGTTAGATTGAACCCTGCATCGAGGCTTTGGCGTGTCAGGTCGAATGCCCAGAACTTTCGGCTTTCCTTGTAAGGTCATATACCGGTCAAAGCGCCGAAATCCATGTCTGGGCCGAAGTCCGATCATGATGTCTTACTTCCCACTTTTCTTTCTTCCGTCCACTTCCGCCGGTACCAACACACCACTCATCCCTAATCACACCTCTTCCTGGGGAGATGACACTCCCTCGCTCCGCGGGCATCGACGCACAGCTTGTGCACATCCAGAACGCACTCCGTCATTATGCTGCTCGGCGGTGTCCCGCGCGTCGTCTCCCCACCGAACTCTGGGATCTCATCTTCCAATACGCCGTCTCCGCTACCCCAGAGCCCAGTCTTATGCAACCGCCCCTGAATGCTTCTCAGGTCTCGCGTCGCTGGCGGGCCATTGCGCTCTCGAGCCGAAGGCTGTGGGCGGGCCTTGCTGTCACGGTCACCCAACGGCATACTTCGGACAGCAGGGCACTGGAGGCACTGCACAAGATTGTTGGGACGTGGCTGGCTCGTGCAGGCAGGAGGCCACTCGCTATTTGCCTGGCACAGGGCGAGGACATCAAAGACACGAGTCCAGTCTCGCACCTGTTGGACACTGTTCTCAGACAATGTAGTGCCCAGATCCTCAGCCTGTCCCTTCAAGCGCCAGAGACTTGTCTCTTTCCCCTCGCATCCTATACGGAATATCTGCCCTTGCTGGAACATTTCAGTGTACAGTCATCTTTTTGGCCTCATTTGACGGCACCGAAACTTGTACTTCCCTTGAGTGTGGAACAAACCCCACGTCTGCATGCGCTGACCCTCTATTCTTCCCCATTCGATGTGCTTCCCTCCACAGACGTCACGCAACTCACCTCCATCACGCTGCTCCCTAGCACGGGTGCGCCGGGCCACCTGTTCCTCAGCGCAGACGATGTGCTCGACTGCCTGGCATCCGCTCCCCATCTCCACACAGCTCGCTTTGCCCTGAACGACTTCATGCCGACTCGCCTCACGCTGGTCCGCGCAGGCCTGCTTCGCGTGTTACGGCTCGAATTCCGTGATTCGGTCCCGGCCAGCACCAACGGCCAATTGCGGGGAACACGTATCGGTGCCTTGCTAAGTCTGCTGTATGCGCCGGAATTACAGCGCTTCGCGCTGCGGGATAGAGCGAAGCCTGGCGCTGGCGCGTGGGCGTGGCCTCAAGCTCAGTTCCTCGCGTTTCTCTCGACGACGCCCTTCCTGCAGGCTCTGCACCTCATCCATCTCCCTCTCTACGAGACCCAGATCATCGAATGCCTGCGTCGACTGCCGCTAGTCCGGCACCTCGTTCTCGAAGCCCGAGCCGGGAAGGGGTCTCAGCGGAATGTCGGGGACGTGTTATTAAGGGCGCTAACTGTCGGATCGGGTGCGACTCTGGCTGACGCTCTGCATACACTGGAGTTCCGCCACTGCGGCAAGCGGTGTACTGAGCAGGCGCTGATTTCAATGGTCGATTCAAGGCTTGTGCTCGGCCGCCTGGGGTATCTGTGTGTGCATCGGTCTGCAGGGCCCAGTCCAGAGCTGGTGAGCAAGCTTGCGGCGTGGAGGCTTACTGCAATGGTCGATGTAGTCTACTAGATCCTTGCTTGGATATGGTAATGTCTTGTACTAATCTGTTATACTCGTATAAACAGCATCTGTAATTGTACCCAGAGTATAAATTTCTGGGGACCTATAATGGTTCTCCTCCGGCTCAGTGCTCACTAAAGCTCAATGGACACATAAACACCTTCAAAACAGTCACGGGATATGCTTACTCACAAAATAACTTGGACCAGCTCAGACTCAGAACAGATTCTGCAGCGTACATAGCACTTGAGAGCGAGACGGATCTGGCCGGCATGGGAGCACGTCATCGAGGAAGGCGCGTGGAGGACATGAATCAGGCTGCGGCCCTGCGGCCGCGAGGAACAGTCGTTATCTAATCCGTGATGGGAGATCATAGCCAACACCATGGCGCATATTTGTTGAACGTTGACGACCACGGCGACCCGGGGTTCTCTTACATTGCACGTCCAGTTCTCATGTCGAAAGAGTGAATGCCGAACCCAACTCCGAATTCCTCTTCATTTCTGACTACAAGGTATGTAAGGAAGGATTATATAGTACTAGCGGCGCAGTAGCTGTGGCCGCAGTTAATCAGATCCCCTCCCATGTGCCATTGGAGAGGGCGGGATCCCATTTATAAAAGGGACCGTGCCAAGTTCCCGCAGTCTCTACCCGAATCTTCCTCTTTCCATTACCATGAGCGACTCGAAGGGTGCAATCAGACTGCCTGTCTACACTGACGAGGCTGTCCCAGAGCGTCCTCACCACACTTCCAAGTGGATCAAATTGGGCAAAATCTGTCTTATCTCCCTGGTTGCTTGGATGTTCTTTTCCAGTGCCGCCACGAGCGTGTTCTCGGGTGTTTCGAACTTGCTCAGTGTAAGATTTTCGACTCCGCACTGCTAGGTGGATTCTCTTACTGAGCTGCCTGCAGGGCGAGTACCACTATCCCATTCCATCCGATATCACCACGTCCGACTGCGTATCGTCCTGGGACGTCACCACGCCCCACCCGTCGCAACCTTGGGGATACCACTACGCTGCGTCTGCCGAGCCGTTCAGCTTCGGCGTTCCCGAAGAGGCTCTCTTGCTCCTCTCCAAGGGGTCCCTCCAGGGCGGATCGCTGCACATCTCGGTGGGCGATGACGAAGACGTCCAGGTCCAAGTCACAGTCCTGTATTCCAACGAGGAAGCTCGGGACCTGGCGCGTGTGTGCATGATCGAGCGAGCCGACGGTGAGAAGGGCGTCGGAATCTTCGTGCGTCGCTTTTCGCCTCCTTGTCTCTGTTGTGATAGCTCATGGAGTCATAAGACGCCGACGCAATCTGTATTCCCGCCTCGTCAATCTAACCGTCTGCGATTCGAAGTGGAGCTTGTCTTGCCTCAATCTGCATACATCAAGTTACTCTCGACCGATGTCAGCAACTTCAAACAAAACGTGGACGCTCTGAAGGACGTGGTCGATTTTGGCAAAATCATGCTCCGGGGTTCCAACGGAGAGATTCGCACGGAAGTGGGTGCTCAATCATTATGCTCGACTCGCGAATTGACCGAATACCTAGGCTGTCGCGGCGGACACTGATGTTTCCTTCACTACGTCCAACGGGAAGATCAGCAGCGAAGTGAGTATCTCTCGCCTCGATGCCGATTGAGAGACGCAACTTAGGACCTTCAGCACATGACTGCCCCAGTCATCGACCTTCACTCGTCCAACGGCGCTGTTTCGGGCCGATTCTCGGCCTCCCAGTCATTCGGAGTTGTGACCAGCAATGGTCGAGTCGATCTTTCTCTGACACTCAATGCGACTGGCAGCGAAGAGCCCAAGGTCTCAATCAAGACCAGTAACAGGTGTGTCCGGTGTCATTGACTTCCACTGCTTCGGTCTCATTCGATCATCAAGTGCACTCAACGCCGAGCTGACGTTGCTTTCGCAATCCGGCTCTGGCGGCGTTTTCCCCATCCGGACGGAAACATCCAATGGTCGGCTTGACACCAAGGTCGTCGAGGCCCCAATCGACTCGGTCATCACACTGGATGCCCGGACCTCCAATTCCGCGGGCTCAATCGAACTCCCGGCCACCTACGAAGGCCTGTTCTCGATCTCCACTTCCAACGCCAAAACGTCGATGCACCGTGTGTCCGGGAACGACGAGGACCCCAAGTGTGCTGTCGCGAGTGACTGCGAGCCGAGGAAGAGACACGTCCAGACAAAGATGCAAAACAAGGGCCACGTCGCGGGGACCGTGTTTTGGGAGCAGGGGAACGAGGATCGCGGCAAGGCCACTCTGCGGACCTCCAACGGCCCGGCAGATATCTACCTGTGAACGAGCTGGTTGTTTGTACAAATGTTGTTTTTTGCGTATTGTATGTACAGATCGGCAACGCTACACTCCCTTTGCCTCCTGTTGCGCGACCTTCTCGATGGCTCGAGATACCAAATCGGCGCCGTCGCCCGTCCAGAATTGTTTCTCATGTGAACCCAGTCGGCCGAGCACGTGGTCTGCCAGATCCCCCGTCGAGCGCCCCACACCGAGGCGTATGCGGTGGAAGTCGCGTGTCCCGAGCGCGGCAATCGTGCTTTTGAGCCCGTTGTGGCCGTTGTGGCTCCCCCCGAGGCGGTACTTCATGATGCACGGCGCGTGCTCGGCGGAATCGGATATGACGATGAGCGCGCTGGGCGGGAGACCGCGTTTCCGCAGCGCTGCCGCGATCGACGGCCCGGATATGTTCATGAGAGATTCTAGATGGGAGCGGGGGTGAGTGTATGCGTTCTCGTGAGGAGGGTGCGCACGCACTGGATTTGTAGAGTGTGAGGGACATGGGGGTGCTTCCGAGCGTGACGATGGCGTCGCCGGAGAATCCCTCTTTATCCGCGGAGAGTGTGATTCCCGCTCGCCATGCTAGTTCGTCAATCACCAGTTGGCCGACGCTGGTGGGACGAGAACATTAGTGAGTGTTCGCTCGGCTTCTTCTTGCGCACTGCACGCACCTATGCCTTGTGTTCGGGTACGGGAGGTTGCCCAGTCCCGCTACTAGTATTCTCGGCAGTGTGGACATGGTAGCTTTAGGTGAGGTCGAGGGGCGTGTTGCAATGAATCAGCCCGGCCTCGTCCCTTTTGTCATCGTCGCTCGACGGGAGCTCTGAAAACTTGCACTGCCACGATGACCCGAAATGAGTCGTTGTCATCAGATTGAGTCAGCCGTCATCCAGAACTTCCAGAGTCTCAGTCCGGCCTTCAGCTTCGCTGGTAGATTCCGTCTTGAAGCAGAGTAGCAAGAAGGAAATTCGCTATCTTCGTGGGGATCTGAGAGTGGGCGCATTGGAGCCCACTCTATTTTATCTGTCACAGACGCGGTCAGTCACAATCTGTGATTGGAGCTATGCCATCGATCCGTGCACGAGAGTCCTACATAGCGTGGATCGGTGTGCCCGAGAAGACAAGATTGTATTGACTGAAGCGCCAGTTATCAAAAAATACAGGGGACTACGAGGACACGGGAAAACAAACACAACTGGATAGCAATGCAACAACAGGAAACGTGGCAACAAGCATGGTATCGGAACTCCGTAATAGGACATCGGGACCCTCAAGGCCCGGTGTCCCTCAGTTCACATCCCGTCGTTCCTTATTCAGTGTTGAGTTGAGCGAGAGTTCGAAGAGCGAACGCTCGACAGAGAAGAGAACGAATCAGTGCAGGTCGATCCCGTCCCTTGAGTGCTCCTGCCAGATGAGCCATTGAGCTCAGAGGCGTGGTGCCGTCCGCTGCATATTCCATTTCATTGAGCACATCTGAGAGCCGACGCACCACTTACGACGAAGAAGACGAACGGTGGCCGGAGCCGGCACTCGAAGAAGCCGGGTACTGTCCTGGAATGAAGAGGACTGTCGACTCCCGGCGGTCACTGATTGGGCGGTCGCCGCTTGGCTGGTCAGCGGTCGGCTGATCGTTTGGCTGGTCGTTTGGCTGGTCGTTTGGCTGGTGGGTGCTGGCAAGAAGGATAAATGCTCAATCGTGATGCATTGCTATAGATATACAACCTTCCTGGATCGGTCGCAGAGTCTGAACCATCTTCATTCGGATTCGCGATATGATATTGCTGAAGACTGATAGCACGGTGAGATAGATCGCAAACAGAGGAATCCATGACAAACGTTTGCGGCACCTGCTGAGGCTGGACATTGTCTGGCCCACCAGGGCTGTGATTCGTTGAATCAACTTGATATGGAATGGAATCATGCGAAGACTCACTTGCGACCTGAGCCAGAGTGAAGACGGCGAGAACTATTCCGTTGTGGTTGAACGACCGGTGGTCCTGCAAGGCGATTGGATCGAGACGAGGGTGGACCCTGGACATGCGGATGAGCGGGACTAGGTGCAGGTGCAGACGCGGGTGCAGGTCCAGGACCAGGTGGGTACAGCTGAGTGTGGGGCACCGTCTGAGGAGGCCCTTGTTGCATCACATTCGGCGAAACATGTCCCTGCGGTGCAGTCAACGAATAGGGTGGAAGAGAGGCGCTGGAGTATATCGTATCGGTCCGGCCGGACTGGCTAAGAGGTATATCAGCGTGTTGTTCGGAAAGCTGTAAGCTGAAAATAGACCGTGGATTCGGAGGTTGATGTTGCTGCTGTGGCCGGCGAGACGAAGAACTCTGCGGAGGTTGGCCTAGAGTAGACGAATGTCGTGGGTCGTAACTAGAGGAAGGAGGCTGTGGACGGTCGCCGGAGTTCGTAGCTTGTTGACCAAGAAACAAAGGATCCTGTCCACCCTGACTAGATGCTGTGGCTTGAGGCCTGAGAGGAGTGGGAGGCCCGATAGCAGGACCGGTGCGAAACGGTATCACCTGGAGCCCGATGGGTAATCTGTGAATTTGGGACCGCAAAGCACGAAGCAAGACTCTAAGAGGCATTGTCAACTTGCACCACCGAGCGGGTATTACCTGTACTTACCACGGAAGTTACACGTAGATCCAGTGCTCCAGTATCCTATCAACAGGATGACGATCAGCCTGCCTGAAACAATCAGGATGGTCTGGAACGCACGTCGATAACGAAAGTGTCGCTTTCTCGCTCTTTCTGAACAGGATTTCATCAATCAATATTGAAGAAAACAATATTGAAGAAAAGCTGGACAAAATGGATGTACGAACCAACTTCTTGGCACGCTTACTGCAAAGATTCTATCAGGGATGCAACTCAGAGACAACTTGGACAAATCGAGACGGACTTGATACCCAAGCCTACTGCATTTTGCATCTTTTGCAACGGTCTGTGAGATACTCATGAGTATCCAAACAGTTTGAAGGTGGTCGGATTGCCGTACATTGGTTCCTCTATCGATAGTTGAGTGCTGTTCATATGGAGTAGAAAAGTACGTACCCCTGGAAACGGGTGTGGGTGCATTGGCATTATCCGAAGATCTCTATAAAGAATTGGAAAGCACTCCAAACGAGGGCACGACATGAGAACTAACCCGAGCGCTTCTTTCGGTCTCTCCAGCATAACCAGCAAACGCACGCGCGCGGCCTTTGGCTTCGGCATCAGCCAAAGAAAGCGGATTTATCCCGTATTCGAGTAATCTATCCCGATTCTCTCGTGAGCTGAGAGAGAGAGAGAGATCGGTTCAATGGCGAACACAACTTGAGCGGGAATATGAGACCTACACAAGATAGTTGGCCAGGAAATTTTGACGGTCATCGTCATCCCAGCGGGTTCCATGGGCTTGAGCATGATCAAGAGAAGTGTTCAAAGAGTCAAGTCCCTTCCCTGCGTACGAGCCGGCAGTAGGCATGTTGTGCGAATCCACAAAAGCTGATTCAGGCGGCCTTTATGACGGTAGAGTCCACGAGGAGACGGTGAGCGTGCGGCCCGAAGACCGATTAGGGTAGGGAGAGATCTCAGTGTCCATTTACAGCACTATCGCGAAGAGCACACTGGAGAGATCTGGGGACAAGATCTACCGGTGACACGGTGTGAATCGCGTTTGAGAGGCACGCGAATTGTCCGTCACGTGTCAACAACATGTGTGTGCAAAATGACTGAGCACGTCACTGTTCTACCCTGACTGAAACCCCCAACACCGTTTCTCAGACCTTAATGCCTCAAAAATCCGAACTGTCCGAGTATGAGATACGATGGGACTGGTACTGGATCGAGCGCTATCACTTCTTCCATTCGAGAGGCTACAGGTTGCGACCGAGATTCCACCCAGACCACGTGCCTACCAAGGTAGACTTGCGGGTCAACTGGCGAGACGATTCGCGTGCCAGACACCTGGTTAGTATGTACTCTCAGAGTCTGCGATGCTATGCCGACGCATGCTAGCGAGCTCAAATTATGGACGCGGTGCAAATCTCGACGGGGAAAGCAGTCATGCTCAAGTGGACTTCCAGAGCCAGGCATCCCTACGAAGTTCAGATCGCGAGTCTCTTTTCGTCGCCTGAATTGCAAAAAAATCCGCAAAATCACTGTGTTCCTATTTTCGAGATTTTTCCTGATCCCCTGGACGACGACAAGGATATCGTAGTCATGGCCAGGATGGTCGTATTCTGCGACGCACCGTGGAGAACGATTGGAGAAGTCGTTGATTGTTTCCGTCAATTGTTTGAGGTGACACATTTAAGATCCCCCGATTCTCTTGTCTCATCAGTAGACAGGGTGTGCAATTTATGCACGAGAATTTTGTGGCACACCGGTGAAATATGTGCTTGCGACATTTCGGATTGGACACGCTGACGCTGTGTCTCAGGGACTGCGCTTTACTCAATTTTGTCGTCGATCCCTCGAAATTGTATCCGCAAGGGTTTCATCCGGTTGCGCACTGGATGAGCCCGACCATGGAAAGAGGAGCCGTGACAATTGGGCGCGCCAAATGTTGGCCCTCCTACTATATCATCGATTTCGGTCTCTCCCGACGCTACAAACTGGACGACGGCCCGCCCCTCGAGCCTGTACGCCGAGGCGCAGACCAGACTCCTCCTGAACACGCGGGTTCTTCACCAGAACCTTGCAATCCATTTCCTACTGACATCTATTATTTGGGCAATATGATCCGAGAAGATTTCATGAAATACTCTCATGCAGCTCCAGAGGTGCGTCATTGCCACTTATGCACTGAATGAGTGCTGACCGGTGAGCCTTTCTGATAGAGGTTTGACTGCCCCAGTTCGCTTCGGTTCATGGTACCGCTGATTCAGGATATGACTCGAGCGGAACCTGAACTCCGGCCTACCATCGGCGAAGTTGTTGAGTGCTTTAGATCGCTCTGCTCTTCTCTCACCCGATGGCATCTCCTTCGACCTCCGTCCTCGTTGAATGTGTTCGAGCATGCTTACTACAGCGTGGTGCAAGCCAAAAAACTGATCACGCGGGCACCCGCATTGCCGCCTGCTGCCCTCGATCCCCCAATTCGACCCCGATTTGTGCTAGATGATCGATTGCGGGAGTTTTTCACCGCTTCTAGGACGGTAGATAGCTGTAATAGCTCCATCTAGATACCTGCTATGTAACATCATGACAGTCTGAATTGCACATTCTCACAATGCTGAAGCTGTGAGACGACTCACTGCAAAGCACTCCCCAAATGCTGCAGGCAGATCGCCGCCGGCAAGACTCAGGCTTTACATTCTCTCCCACGTAGAGCAGGAAGCTGATCAGTACCTTAGATGATGCTCTTCTACACGAGGCTCACGATGGTGCTATTGAGCCCATTCTAGATCTCTTCGACACCAAGATTCTCATAGCACATTTAATGCCACATTCCCGGTGAAATGTTCGGTTCGCCCGCTCCGAGGTCGGTCGAATGGTCAGTTCCGCAACAAGTAACGGTCGCCGGACGGGATAGACCGGCCCGGACCGACTGTGGGTCCAGGATGATGCACATGTTTCAGGCATGTGGACCGAGTCAGGGACCATACAGCCTTACTCGTGGCATCCTGTGGCATAAAGCGCGCATGAAACGCCCCGTAACCGTACTCCCACTCAATTGGCATGGTGTAGTGCGTTTCTCGGAAGACCCCGACTTTGCGATGCGAAAATTCAGTTAGTGCTGACATAGTCCAGGATTTTGGCTCTGGTTTGTGCTGCCCTATTTCCGCACCCCCAATTGTTCTTGAGATACCCTGAATACGTTATCGGCTGGTAGACATGAAGAGAATGGCCGGCGTCGTTTTCGATTCTCGGCTTCTCTGATCTTGGCAGCACGAAGATTTTGCAAAAATATGGGATATCACTAATATCCACAAGCTCAGTTTCATGCCCTATCTGGCCATAATTTCACTGAACAGCGTGCATTGTGCATGCATGGGATGACGCGGGCCTGTACCGGACCGAGACTGTAGGTCCACAACTATGTGTTGTACGTGCATGTTTTATGCGTGCGACTGAGGTCAGGAACCGCACATAATTACTCCAGCCATCCTCAGGCATAAAGCGCGCATGACAGAAGCGCCCCCGTGTCAGAGTATCGTCGTGGAACCGCGTGAAGGCCAGATCGATATTGTGTGGATTGTTCAGGACTTTTGCAGGTGCCCGACTTTGATGCCTGAGTCAGTGTTCGCGATACCCTTCTCTCTCAGGTTATGACTTGATTTTAGGTCATAGGATTTCTCTTGCCAGATATGTGACTCGCTCTGCGCCATCTTTGATCGAAATCGAAGGTGCTCCAGCCATGCATTGATGCCTTGAGATTAAGGGGAAATGCTTCACGTATTCCCGCTGCACCCACCGTGGCCATTCCAGTATCCGAATGCGATGTTCTGGATCATCCCTACCCCGTGGACCGAATTATCCTTGTCATGTGGTCTCGTGACCGCGTGTCTGTCAATGTGATCATCGCGCTGGCATGTGTCCGCTCTCCATTCGATCAACACTGGACCTTCGCCTTTACGTCCAGTAGTGCAACGAGGGCTGTTTCAGTCCAAATTTCCGAGTTTTGGACTGCAAGTGATCGCTGTCTCGCACGGTAGACCTACTCGTTAGATGTTCGCTCTCACATTTACGACCATCGCTGGCGCCTCGACTTTCTCATGCATGGTACTATGTCTGGCTACGTCTTGAGTTTCCTCGATCCTGCTCCGTCCTAATGTGCTGATCTCTCCTCTCAAGCTCGCTTCATGAGGACCTCCTCGCCACGGTCAGTCACTCTTGTTGCTTCTCCGATCTGCCGGAACCAAGTCTATCTTCATGATCAATCTGAAGAGCGGACCACTCGACTACCACTAATCGGTGCGTACTGTCCATATCCAACGCCTTACCTCGTATATGTTTGAATCATAGCTCGTTCTTGGTGCCACTGACGCATTTCACCTCCAACATCCCCGGGCTCGTCAACATCATCGTCGAGAGACTGCATCGCAAGCCTTCGTAGATTTGGGCTTATGGAAGCTCGGAGAGCGCGGCATGAACCATCCCTTCCTCCTCACCTGAGACTACGAGTTCCAGGGGAGATAGTGGCGGCAGTGAGCGAGCGTCGGGGAATCTTGTCGGCTGAGAAGAGAAGACTCGGGTGCCTGCTGTCCCCTCCGAAGCAGCCAAGGTGTCGAGCCCGGAGCCAAAACAAGCGGCATCGAGGCATGTGCGGCGCCACAGACGAGGCGTAGTATGCGGTGTGATCGAACATTGTTTGTGCGAAAGTCATCGACGAGCAGATCTAGTTTGCATTGAGAAAAGGGTGCGTGTAGAGCCCTCGTGATTTCAAATGTACATTACTAGAATCCACAGGAACAGCAGCCTTCGCATTCGGACGAACGAAATCTTGGGGATTCAGAGGCGCTGGAAGCAGCGCAACTGGCAGCAACCAGGTTGCAGTCAGAACTATCCCATCCCCTGGCAAAGCAAGCGTTAATGTGTGAGCTCTCCTCAAGGCCACTGGGACAGGACGCACCTTTGTCGGACTGCTGGATCGAGTTCCAGCTCCATGCGATGAAGACACCAACGTACCCGAGATAAGGTGCGAGCCGCTTCAGCACGAGCGCGGCGGGTCGGATCTGGGGAGGTACGACCGCAATGGGGATCTTGTCCAGCATCCATTTCAGGGCTGCTGTGATCATTGCGGCTCGTTTGGTAGCGACGAGGTGCTTGTTGTCAAGCTTCTTCATGATCGGGGGAGGGAGATACATGCGATATCCCCACCTTGGCGCAGTGAGTAGATGGCTGGAAGACGGGATGAGCCAACGCACCACATAGCCTGTACCGATATCTTGGTGGTAGATGGAACCCAGTGGACGTGCTCGACGGTTTTACGCTTCCGATGGCTCTTCGAGGGCTCGACTTTGCTCGGCTCTTCAGCCGGGACTTGTTCAGTATCTTTGATTTCCCCAGGAGTCCCTGCAACCTTCGCGACTTGTTCAGGTTCGTGAGCAGCCGGATAATCGAGATACTCGAGCACCGTTTCCGAATCAGCCAATTCCAGCTCGGACTCGGGGGTCGGCTCCAGCGGGGCGTACATCATTACGCCCCCGTCCTCTCGGACATGCTCCTCCGCCTCGGGCCCCTCCTTCGCCTTGCCTTTGCCCCGGAGAGACGCGGAAGAGTACAGGGCGCTCGATCGCTGTTTCAGCTGCTCGAGCATGGACCACACGCTCTGCCTCCCGAGCGAAAGTGACCCGTTCATCACCCGCTCTGAGCTCAGGAGCCTCATCAGCCGGCTATCCGACGTCAGGGTCGGGGGAAGTGGGGGCCCGTTGGGGTCTAGTTGAGTTTCTGGCTTTTGGGTCGGTGCGGACTCGGCAGGCAGCTCTCGGGGAGGCGGCAAGGCATCTATGAGGGAGCCGATCTCCCGAGCGATCTCCTCCGGCTCAGGGATGTCCTCCTGCCCGTCATCTCGATCCTGTTTGGAAGCACGACTCTTGACGGGGAACTCGCCCCGGACGAGCGCTTCTTCGAGAGACCACGACGGCGGGGGGAACACGATCTCGGGGCGTTTCTCCTGCCGTGTGGTGTTGAATCGGATGAGGGACGCGATCTTCTGCGTTGGTATCCGTTTGAGAAAGGTGGACGCGGCGGACTCGGGCACGGGGGAGTCTGCGTTGGGTGTACTGGCTTTGGGTTCCGGCGCCGACATGAGTGGTGAGGGCAAGGGGGGATAGCACTGCAAATGACGTTGCGGTGCCACAAAGGTAATATCTGGAGATAAGATAAGAGTGATGATGATGGGACTGATCACATATGACATATTTGAGTTCTGCGTGACTGCCGTATTTGATAAGTACTTTACATGTATTGAAGTTATATACACGGCCCAGCTTCAACTGACTGAACGCCCAGGAGTGATCTTTGTGTTAGCATAAATGTGCATCCGGAGCAGATCCGAGGCGGGATGGGCCTTCATAGTCCGTGGAAGCGACTGATCGAACTTGGTGAGCGCCTTCATCGCTGTGTCGTGAGTGAGGGGCAGGGGAACTAGATCGATGTACTGGCTGATGCTTGAGTGGGCCTTGGTGGCTACCGCAGAGTCTTCCAGGGCCGAAGCTGCGAGTCCGAGAATCAGGTTGATGATGCTCGCTGGGAGACGCGTTTCTCGACTGGGATGCCGGTCCAGGGCTTCCTCCAGCAACGTAAGCAGTAGGGACTGAGACTGGACCGGGTACTTGTCAGAGTCGACGTTCGCTTTCAGAAAAAGGCGCCGGAGCGTGCTGAATGCTTCGAATGGCAGGGTGGGGCTGCGGACGAGTATGGAGATGAAGTTGAGTATGAGGAGGAACCCGATGTGCCTCAGCATTTCCTGGAAGCGCTGGATATACTCCATGGCTTCCTCAGCCAGTGAAATGTCGCCGGTGACAGATATGACATCAGCCAGGTCGTCCAACGCGTGTCGAACGGTGTTGATGAGAATGTACATAAACGGATGGGTGCACTTGTCTGCAGCCGTGGTTTGCTCCAGACTGATGAGATGCTCCTCGACCTTCTTCTTGGCGTGCGAGGTCCGACTGTCGTACCATCCTGAATTAGCCTCCGGCGACGGACGGCGTTGGGACCAATGTCCGGAGCGTAGAAATTCGGATATCTCAGCAGCCAACGCAGCTACCCGGTCCATCTGGAGATCGAGCACGTTGCGTGCGATCACCGCAGCTGCGGAGTGCACCGATCCGCTCACCGCAGGCAGCTGCATGCGAATGCCATGCAGCCTGTTGAGCGTCTCGCCGTCAAAGGGCAGCCCCGAACGCATTTCGTCTGCAAAGGGCACAGAGAGTGGCACGGTCATCATCGTCAGCGACCATATCGCATGGATGCAGGTCGTGGCACGTTTCTCCGCAAGTGAGGGACTTCGCACTTCGCCGCACGAGCTGAGAAATCTCGGAATGCGATAGCTCAGACTGATGGTCGGATTTTGGTGGTGCAAAAGACGATGCAGCAACAGCTTGGCGCTGTAGTCGAAGCCGGCAACCAGCTGGGGAATGAAATCGACGAAGGGTTCCAGTTCGCTGTCCTCCCTGGACACTGCCAGAGCCCATTCCATAGCCTCCAGATCCCTCTGGTCCCGCTCGGGTGTGGTGGTGATCGCATCTGCTATGCGAGCTTCTGCCATCGTCTCGACCTTGGGTATGTTTACGTCATATTGGGCATGCCCAACGACGCCCACAGCGCGCAGGATCCGCCACCAGCCGTTGGACAGCGGCGTGTGATACGGGCAATTGGTGTAGAACAGCGGAAGGAAGGTAAGCAGCGCGTATAAACATGTGCAGATGACCAGGACACTCAGCATGAGGTTGCTCAGCCATGCGTTGACGGGGTACAGGAAGAAGACGAGACCAGCGAAGAACAAGAGCAGAGATATGTGCAGTAATGTGGGGATGAGGTCGACCATGACATTCAGGTAGAAAGTGCGCAGCCCGCGGTGAAGATATGCTGATATCCGCGCTCGTTTGCTCAGCGAAGGCAGGCTTTCTGTCGCGAGGACATAGTTGCGAACCCATTGGTCGACCAGCGTGGCAAACAGCGCACATGTGAGACTGAACGCCAGACTCAGGAACCACAAGGTGTTGCAGATGAGTGCAGGCGTGGGAGGAACGAATGGGGTGGCAGTTTGCACAGGAAGTGAAAGCGCCGGGAACGTTACATTGGATCCAGACTGGGTGAGGATGATCTTGGAAAGCTGCAGAGCGAGATTGATAGTGGTTTCGCTAGGATCGGGAGGCGGCCCAGCAAGCGATTGATAACTCTGTATCAAGAACGTGGTAAGGCTTCCCGAGAAGAGACCAGCCTGGCAAGCCGTTAGGATCCCTGCGACCATAATTCTGCGACAAAAGCTCACAAAAATCAAGATTGAGCTCATGTCAGATCTCCAGCACTCCAACAGTACTTTGTTGTGCTTCTCCGCCTGAGTGAGGTACATGGTCCACATATTCTCGAAGGGATCATCGTCACGCTGCTTGACGGTCTCTGGATATTTTCTGAGTGGATTAGAGCATATTGGTGCATGGCGCGTACCAGTTGTGGCCATAGCGAGAGCTTTGAGTGTGAGACTCGGTCGGCAAGCGTACTCATCAGCATCAGGTGGATAGAAGACGATCAACACAGGAAAACAGCTTGAACTGGGATGATGGGACGACGACGGTAGAGTTGAAGGGAATAAGCCATGAGTCTGGATCGAAAGGATAGGGTAGAGGATATCTTCATCGGTGTCAGAGGATAACCTGCGGCGCCCACGATCATCTGTTTGTTCCGATCACAGCGGTGACTTGTCCCTTTTCGTCCCTTGTTTTGAACACCGACGCGACGCGCTTGGCCTCGGGCTCGTGCTTGAAACGCCGTCATTGCGGACTATTGCATTTGAAGCCAGCTCACCAGACGCGATAAATTACCAACAATGGCATGTTCCAGGATCGTGCAAGCAATTCGCTGAAGTCTCACTGCATTCTGTCAGGCGATGCAAATTACTACAGGCACGTCCGAGTTGCGCGATATAACTAAAATGGAGCGCATCGGTACGACTTGCCCACGTTTTTTTGCTCAAGGAAACGAACTGATCCTTGTCTTCCTCCAGGCGCGCATTCTCATATTCGCGGACTGGGTCTGGACGACCGATTAGAACCGCGCGCCAACTCTCAGGGAATGGTTGGGCAAGCGAAGGCGCGAAAAGCCGCCGGGATGATTCTCAAGATGGTGCAAGAGGGACGGATAGCAGGTCGCGCCATGCTTTTTGCGGGGCCCCCGTCCACAGGCAAAACGGCCATTGCTCTAGGTGCATACTAGGATGGTCTAGGTTTTCGTGTTCGAAGCTCAGTGTATTTCAGGCATGGCCCAGACACTAGGCCCCGATGTGCCTTTCACGATGATCGCGGCCAGCGAAGTGTTCTCACTGTCCATGTCGAAAACAGAAGCCCTTACGCAAGCCTTCCGGAGGAGCATCGGGGTGCGAATTAAAGAAGAGACGGAACTGATTGAGGGCGAGGTGGTTGAGATCCAGATTGATAGGAGCTTGACTGGGGTGGGTTTGCACACGCTTTTCCGCGGTGTATGCCCAAATGTGATGCTCTACCGCAGGCTACGAAAACAGGGAAATTGACGATCAAAACCACGGACATGGAGACCATCTACGATCTTGGAACCAAGATGATAGACGCGCTTTCGAAGGAGAAGGTTCTTGCCGGAGATGTGATTGCTATAGACAAGACGTCCGGTAAAGTCACTAAACTGGGGCGATCGTTCGCGCGGTCCAGAGATTATGATGCTATGGGCGCGGATGTGAGTGTATTTGCGACTTTCTGCGAACAGCTCGGAGACGCATCATTTGGCAGACGAAATTTGTGCAATGTCCGGAGGGGGAGATCCAAAAGCGCAAAGAGGTGGTGCACACCGTGTCTCTGCATGAGATCGACGTCATCAACAGCAGAACGCAAGGTTTCCTGGCTCTGTTCGCTGGAGATACCGGGGAGATCAAGCCAGAGCTGCGGAATCAAATCAATTCAAAAGTTGCCGACTGGCGAGAGGAAGGGAAAGCGGAGATAATACCCGGGGTATGATGCCTAATCTGGTTCAAGAGGGTGGAACTGATGCAGTGATAGGTTCTATTCATTGACGAGGTGCACATGTTGGACATTGAATGCTTTTCATTCCTCAACCGTGCGTTGGAGAATGAGCTATCTCCTCTTGTCATCATGGCCTCCAATCGGGGGATGGCCCGCATCCGGGGAACCAAGTTCCGCTCTCCCCACGGACTCCCAGTGGATCTGCTCGACCGGGTACTCATCGTCAGCACGAAGCCATACGTGGAAGAGGACATTGCCCAGATCATCCAGATTCGATGTCAGGAAGAAGATGTTGTGCTCACTGCCGATGCGACAGGCGTTCTGACCCAGATGGCTCTGGAAACCACGCTGCGCTATGCTCTCAACCTGATCTCCTGCGCGCAGATTGTTGCCCGGAAGCGGAAAGCGACGGAGGTCGACGTCGAGGACCTGCGGAAGGCATACAAATACTTCATGGACGAGAAGCGGAGCGTGCAATGGCTGAAGGAGCAACAAGGTTCGCTCGTCTTCGAGGAGATCGGGACAAACCCGTCAGCCGGAGATGAGATGATTACCGACTAGGATCGCTCATGTGAAGAACCGCCTGCTCCCTGTGAGCGTGATATTGTAATAGCTGTGTCTGCTTTCGGTGTAATCGCTTGTTTTTAAATGCCTCGGCCCGCTTTCGACCAGTCATGTGCCGTTGATTAGCCATGCTGTGCATGGGAGCCTGTTAGCTTGTTCTGGAGAGTCTCTGCGGTCGTTAGCTGTTGTTTGCGGGGCAATGACGGGGATCATTGGCGGCATCTACCAATATAGTTCTGCTCCGTTGAATCTGCGGCCGACGCAAGTCCGACATCGCCCCGTAATGTCTTGCGTAAGAGCATTCAGGCCCGGTCAATCATTGTTGGGCGGCCAAACCCCACCTGACCTAAAATGTGTCTGAGGATATGTATATAAGGTCCACTGGGCTAAGGCGTCTCCACCTTCTCTCGCACCGGAACTTGAACATGGTACGAACCTCAATCTCCCCCCGTCCCCCCGGTCACTGACTGTCACCCCCAGTCCCAATTCGATTGCCCTCCGCAGTACTCTCAAAAACTCAGCAGCCAGGTCCGTAGGATGGTAATAATAGACGTCTGACAAGCATCTATTGACCAAAATACTCCCAGGCTGTAGCACCACCACCACCGTACACACCAGCACGAAATTCATCCAAGTCGACGCTCAGATTCCTGACTCTGGGAAACGAAAGGCGCCTGCAAGCAATCCCAGGGGGCGAGAAGTACGTGATGATTTACGGGCGTTGCCAATGACGGCCAGCTGACTGCTGCGGGTAGCCTGAGATGCTGGATCCTGAAGATCGTGCATGGGGACGATAGAATAGCAAACCTGTACGACATCGTGCCACCATTCTATGCGCCGCATATCTCGCGTTCGTACTATCACACATGTGTCTTGTCATGCCATACCATGTAATACCACACCATACCATCTCAACCATATCGCTGCTTCGCAAGGGCTTGGAACATGGCCATCGTTTTGTCTTCCCTGTCCCTCAGAGCTTGAGTTCGTTCTCGTGAAGCTGATATCTTCTCTTCCCGGGCTGCTTCGTGCCGTTTACGTGCGGCATCTCGGCGAGCAATTCTGTGGGAAGTCAGGACATCTGTTGGGCAAGGATCGAGAGGAACTGTGGCGTGACGTACTGGTCTTTGAAACTGTCGCCGCTGCCAATCAGAACCGATTCGTCTGCCTCCAATCCCTCATCAGCTTTATCACGGAACGCTCGATCAGATTCTCGTTTCGCCCGTTTCTTTTCCAGCATGCCTTCCCGCCCAACTTCTTTCGGGCCTACCATGTCTTCGACCCGGTCCTTGGCGTCTGCTCGATCCCGCTTTCGCTTCAGACCGCGATCCCGATCATCATTCTCGCGTTCTAGTTCGCGAGCGTAAACGAGGTCGGCGGACGATGGGAGCGTGGGTCCCCGGACGCGGCTTGACCCAGGCGCTGAATTAGTAGCAGATTCGCGGCCATCTGTTGCGGCCCCCACTTCTTGACGCACAGCACGGAGTGCATCGTCATCTGCACGCGAGCGCTTCGACGCAAATGACCATTTATAACTCGTCTGTGCCTCGGTCACACTAGTCGCATCTACGCCAGTGTAGAGCGAGCCTGTGCGTTTGACAGTGGGTTATTTGAGGTGCCTAGATTGAAGTTGGTAACCTACTTGATAGTTTGCCCTTGTTCCAAGCCTGGTGTCTAATCAACACAACTCGAGAGAAATAACAGACGAAATGTTACCCTGACAAACTTGCGAAAGTAGCTGCGCTCCATATTTCAGGCCCCTGCAGAGGAAGAGCGACTGGACTGACCTCCGTGCTCTGTCGCTGGAAAGTTCATCGAAATGCTGAGTAATCGGTGATATTCAGATTCGAGTCGGGCTTGGCCGCATGTGGGCTCCATACCTTCCTCTTCTCAGACCTAAGCCACACCCTGAATTCGTCCCCCTTACGGAAGTAGTCGGATTCAGAGATAGCTAAATGTGATTATTAGAGGATGCGTGGGTAGTTTTGTCCAAGGGCGCGCACCGGATGCATTGTGTGGTAAGCTGGATTGCAAGTTTAGCATTGTGCATTTAATCAAGAATGGGAAACGCGAACCGAATCTCTTCTTCCTCCGATGCATCGGGAGAGCGCGAACGAGATCGCGTACGGGAACGCCGTGAACGGGCGTCTCGCGGCATGGCGGGGCTGGGGAAAGAGCTGATGATGGCGACACAGCCACGCGATTTTTTCGACATGTCCTTCACCCTTCTCTCATCCTGTAAACCGCGCTCGGGCTCTCTCGTCCCTTCCCAAGTCCGCCAGTACGCACGACCTGCAGAGGCCGCTGCGGGTGACCCTCGGATTTCCCTCATCCGACGGACTCTCTACCCCGCCAACATCCGAAACAAGGCCACCCCAATAGGAACATGGCGCCCGGACGTGCGCCAGACCCTTCAACGCGCCATACCCTCGGTCCAAGCACATGATACTATCGAGCGCGCCTGGCTGCTCCACAAGCGCCACCTGCGCAAACGCAGAGAGGAGGAGATCACGCGCAAATATAATAGCATGAAACTTGCCATGGAGGAGCTGCGGAAGATGGACCCCAAGTCCTACAGCGAAGCCAACAAGGTCGAGGATCCTAGGAGGAGGTCCCAGAAGGAGATGGACACGCTCAAGACCATGCCTGCTTTGGAAGGCCGAGCTTATGACGCCAGAATACGTGGTCTTTTCCCCCGCGAGCTCAAGATTCCCAGCGAGACGCCCTCAAAAACAGGCTGGAACTATGACTGGAAACCCATGGACCGACCTTTCTAGTGTATGTGCTCTCTCGTGATCGAACTTGCTCGGGCTGAAGTGTACAAATGGCATGGCAGTATAAAATACACAGTTCGAGTAGATTCATGCGCAAGGCAGTTGACAGACAATGCATGCACATTCATAACATCCACCTATCGTCTCGAGGAACAAATTCACTCAAGTCGCCGCCCGTGATGCCACTCATCACTGAGCGTGAGCTGGGCGCTGTCTTCCCGACCACAGCCGTGTGCACATTCTCCAGAGCCTCCGTCCACTTATTCAAAGCGGCGTAGCGTTTCTTCTCCAGGCTCTGCTTACGATCTAGCTCCAGTCGCATTCCGACCTGATCGATTCTTCCCTCCACCTTACCTTCCAGAATCAGACCGATGAGCAACTCCTCGACCTCGGTGATATCAACATTCAGTTGCTGTCAAGGCATGAGAAACGCCGTGCTCAATTTGAGTAACCGACGAACCTTGGCTAGGAAGGAAAGCTCCAGTCTAGTGTAAGGTTTGATCAAGTCGATCAGGTACTGGGTTCTGAGACTGCGAAGCAGTTCGCCGATGTATGCCCGAATGAAAGCGTCGTCCATGATTGTCGAACGGTTGTCTTTGACGGTTGAGTGCTCTGAGGTCGTTGGCCATGAAACTCGCACCTTTGAGAATCTTCTCGGCGGAATGAACTTCCCGACGTTGATATGCGTCAACGAGATCGGTCATGGCTTTAATTTGTGGGTCCGTCTTGTATCTGCAGAAGCTCCTATTAAGTAGGTTCTTTTGAATGCGATTTATAAGACCAACGGTTTGGTTTCTTGACTGTCGAACGGATTGACCTCACTTCCGGTCAACATGTTCGCGAGAACGAGATACTTCAAGACTTGAATGCGTTGAGGGGACCCAGCTTCATCGTAGTTGCGGAAGGATTCAAAGAAATCTTCAGAGGCGCGATTCCATTGGCCTAGACAGGTTCGTATTCACCCACCTCAATAATATCGCCAGAGACTCACGTTCTCCCATCCACATCTTGCCGCCACACTCCTTGATGACACCCATGATTCGAGGATGTGGAATGGCAGAGCGGACAGCATTAGTTGCGTTATAGATTTCCTGCGAGCTTTCAAGTAACTTGACAAAGACTGTTGATCAGCTACCCACCTTGAGCTTCTTGAAGTTCCTCATCTCGTTGTACATCTGAATCTCGAGGGCATAGATTTCGAGAAGCTGTGTGCCGTGCTGAGATTGGGTTTCGTCATTCTCCCCATCTTGCTCAGTAGCACGGTGGAGGTCACGGATGATCTGGCTGCATTGAGACCTCGACAAATATGCAAGAAGAAGTGGTCAAACCTTGGAAAGGCGAGTGAATTCTTTGCGGTCTAGCCACAGCTTCGCAAGCTTCAGATTAGTCTTGGCGGAAAGTCGCTAGAACCGTTGTGAGCGAAGGCATACTCGGCCGGTAAGCAACAAACGTACGTCATTCTTAGCATCTTCCAAAGACACTTTCGTGACTTGATAGAATTGCTCCAAAACATCGACATCGACTTGTCCGCCTTTGCCACCGCCAACGTAGTCCAGGATACCATTGATGGATTTCTCCGAGTAATTTCGCGTCACCGCAGATTTCGTGTAAGTCAAAAGCTGAGTATACGTCTTGAGTGCATCATGCGGACGCTTGAGGACCAGGAACAATAGCTTGGTGGATTGTTTCAATGCTTTAAAACCCCTGCACACGCAGAGTGTGAGCATCAGAAACACAGCACAACGCTTGAGCCTTCACCAATCGCCCTTCTCAGTCTCCTGGTCAACTATCGCCTTGAAATCTTTCAAAGCTTCCTCCGGATTGTCGTCCTTCTTGGCTGTGTATCCACCCCGGTCAACATGCAGAATGAGCGCTACGATACGATCGACGCACACTTCGCCTTGTAATACATATTTTCAACATCGGCACTTCCTGAATCTTCTGCGTCGTCACCGTCAGAGTAGTCGAAGCCGTAGTCCTACGGATACATAAGAACGGGTTGGTCGATCGCAGACACGGTATCTGTACTTCATCATCGCTTCCTTGCATGTAGTCGGCATCATCGTCATCCATGGCCGCCCAGAATTCCAATTACGGCAGTTCAGTCAGGAATACGCGGACTCCGATAGAGAAGACTGGAATCGGGTCGCAAAGGGCACAGGGAGTGAACGCGCACCGGTGGCTGTGTCCGGGAGTAGTGCACACCAAATACCCACAAATACAACGCGTTCTCGCTCCTCACAGTCGCGTCGGATCGCGCCGTGGCAACTTGCCATCATATTTTATCAACGACGAACTCGCCATGCTGGAAAACACGCTTCGATTTCTAACAGCTGTGGTCAAGCCCAAACCTGTATGGAGGTCGCGTATCCTATATTGCATCTAATGAACAAGGCATGGCAGACCTTCACAATCCCACCCTCAGACCCCGACCCGGTTCATAACTTCTCTATGAGAGATCGAAACTCCTCTAAGAACCTATCTTCATGTTCGTGCATACCACGCCTTGAATATGAGACGGCCTCTAAAAGCTGACCTTGGCCCAGATCCCAGTGGAAACTCCATCACCTCTTGGTCTTCCTCGCAGCGTCAACCTCAGGCGACAAGCACTCCTCACCGTCCGAATAACTCGTGCCACTGTGCATGCCACTCCAAAAGCCGATCAGCCTCGCAGGTGCGGCTTGCTTGCTCGCCGTTTCTTTACCGCTCTCATGGAAGATCTAGCCCTCTACAAGTACAGACCCGCTCAATCTCCCTTGCTCACGATCGGTCCGTGCCTTACATCTATGGCTCTCGCACGTTGTCCTTCATACCAAGTCTAGAACCAACGTTTGCTGAAGGCATGTTCTTGTGGTGAGCTTGTCTGGCTTGGCTCACGGCTCATGTCCTTAACTTCTGATGATTGAACAGTTTAATCTCAAGTTTCTGATTGATCAACTCTGGGACTTAGCCATCTCCCCATAGAAGGGTCAGTCCATGTTTCAGCGCCGTCCGCGAACTTATGTTGTGAGCATAGGAACCTAGCTTTCGCGACACGCCGGTCAGCAGTCCGCAAGAGTCACACAATAGCTCCTCACTCATAGTGTATCAGGCGCAGTCCTTGTCTACCGTCAAGATTCAGCCGTTGGCAACTCTGGTATATTTACTAGTCAGCTGCCAGTTATGCACCTCATAACCTGTTCAGGTTGGAAGGTCATCCCGATCGAAAGAGGTGAAACTAATGTCATTCAATCTCGTTGCGTGCGTGACGCAAATTTGCAGAAACAAGCCATCCCAGTTCTCGTTTCCGAGGTGAAAACATACCGCCCGCCTGATATAACTCTCACTCATACGCGTTTCCGCTAGATGGGAGAGCTTCCCAGCAAATCCCGGGTTAGTCTCTCTTTGAATTCTCTCTTTCGATACTTGATCGTTTAACGCCACGACTAGACTACAGCGAGAAATGTTACAGTCGATGAGTCTTCAAAAATGGTGCGACTTCTCACATCTGTTCCTGTTCAAGCATCATGGATATCCCCGAGAAGTCGGAATTTCACTCTTTGCGACCTTTGAAGCGGACCAGGACGAAGCCCAAGGTAGGCGAAATTTAGAAAGGAAACCCTGCCCGCTATTTACGACTTGTCAGCGGTCTTCTAAGGTTCCTTGCTCGAATGCACCAGGGACTTGAACGCACTGACGAATGGGCAGACCCGAATTCCCTCTTTACGATCTGAGAGTGTTAAACACTCCAAATTTTCACTCGGGGTAAAAATAGTGCACCGATCAAGCACCTGGACCGGGCAGAAAAAGAAGTCGAACACGTCTGCTGCGGTGAACTCACATGGGTTCTTGATTATCATTCTGTCGCTCACGTGGTCATTCAGGCTGCCCGTTCGAGCTTTCTATCCCTGAAAGACAAAACCAGCTCGATCAGAATTGTGCGCAAGCGTGACGGCACGACAATTTTTGTCAATCGATTTGGATGGGTTTGGCTTTCCTTTCATCGCTGATTGGGTGTTGATCAAATCGCAAGCCTTCCAAGTCAGCTAAAGAAAGAACGGCTCCTACCCGGAAACCCGTTCCCGCAGATAGTAATCAACATGACAGCGCCGGCTCAACTGCGGTCACGCAAACGCGGAATCATCGACCTCGCTCACGACCTTCATTTGAAACGGGATTATCTCCAATCATCGAGGATCTGCCTTCTTTTCCAAGCTTGGATGACGTCGACTCACAAGTTGATCCGTTCATGGTGGATTCCAACGAGGACGGCGAGGCACGCCCTTCCACATCTGGTGATCTCAAATCTGATAAAGTTTCAGAACTCGGACCAGCGGCACGATGATGATTCCAGAAACTTGGAACACATGAATCTGAGTGGGTCGTTTGTGCTTCAGACGGCCTCGTTTCGTAATCTACGAGGTTTGGATCGTTCTGTTTTGGCTCATCGTAGTCTGACAAGCAGCAGACGGATCATCGTGCGCCAGTGGAGATGAGCCCGAGTTTCTTCCAGCCCTCGTTCTGACCTTTCCCACGCCTGAGCCTCCAAGATCACCTGTGTTACCTACTCCGCTAAACGCTGAAGAGGCTCTGGCTACTTCCATCAACATGACCTTGTGTATACCCAGTCTCCCTCGCTGCGCCCACTGTGGATTTGGCTTTGGGCTGGACATTCAAGATCTGGAGCTGCCCCTAAGCACGAAGCCTTGTCGCCACTGCGAAGCCCAATGGTCGGCCTGCAAGAGATGGTCTCAAGGCAGCACTCACCGCGCAAGACTGGAAGACACGTTGAATGTTCTAGCGCTTCCTGAGCAACAGGTCGGCGAGCTCGGTCAATGGAATAGGATCCGTCCTGTTGGCCACCGCAGTGAAGAAGTCTATGCAAGCTTTTCCAACGTCTTCATCCGAGACAGATCACCACGCACCGTATGGAAGAAGGTCGCGCGATTCTTTTCCAGCAAGAGGTCTGATTTGAGTTGAATGAAAAGCAAGCAGGAAGGGTACACATTTCAGTTCCCGTGTTGCATACTATAGCAGATTCTACTTTTGTTTCATCAATGTCGTGTCACAATATATTTATAGATCCCATCAGTGGGTCTGGGGAAGCTTCAGGGACCACGCTCCTTTCCCGTCGTTTTCCTCGACTTCCGCAGCAATCTGCACAACGCCGTGTGTTGCAGCTGCAGCACAAGACCAAGAGGACAGAGTGTTTGAAGAGCGCCGGCGGCTCGGGATTACGCCATCCGACTCATTCCGCAATGCACAAGTCGATCCATTCTTCTGGGTCTACCCAAACCACCGGTTCTGCTCCTCAGTATAAATGCACCTTGGCCTTAATCATTCACGGTCCCCATCCACGCACATGGCCACCAACATGACTGATACCGAAGGCCAGCACCGTCTACCGCTACCACGCTCGGAAACACGCTCGGAAACCCAGCCCTCGGCCCTGTCTGTTTCAACATCGATGACCAAGCCCCCGTTTCACGCTCGCCTCAAGCGCGTAGGGTCGACAGTCGCACTCCATGCGAGGAAGCATGCGGGCGTCGGCGTCATCTGCGCGGTCGCGTACTTCGATCCTGGCAACTGGGGAGTAGATTTACAGGCGAGTTTGTTTTAGTGTCTAAGCTTGAAATTTTGGAGATTCTGAGCGGGCTTAGGCGGGCTCGGAACTAGGATTCAAGCTGTTGACTGTTGTTCTGTTCGCGGGGTTGTTTGCGGCATTTTTACAAGTGCGCCGGGAACGTGGTGTCTCTTCACACCTTCTCTGATTCTGCTCCCTCAAGGTTCTAGCGACCCGTCTTGGATGCGTCACTGGACTAGACTTGGCTTCCCATTGCCGAGTGCTGTTGTATAATCGCCCAAAACACACACGACTGTACAGGTGGCTGGGACTTTACCCGTTGTATCTGCTCTCCGAAATCGCCATCATATCGACGGATCTCGCGGAACTGCTTGGGTCTGTTCTCCTCTGCGCACTAGTCCTGTTCTTCAATAATTCAATTCTCGTCAGGTCTGCCATCGCCTTATGTCTACTGTTCCCCCGATTGCAGCTGTGGCACGCCGTTTTGATTACCGCCTTCGATGTAGTTTTGTTACTTGCTTTGCGAGATCCTCTACGTTCCAGTCCAGTGAAGATGTTCGAGTACTTGATTGCAGCTATGGTAAGGGATTTTTTTTCTCGGTCGCGAATCTCCATATATTTCAGGTTCTTGCGGTGATGGTCTGTCTTGTTATTATCATCGTCAAAGTCGATGTAGATTGGGACGACGCATTTCTGGGATTTGTTCCCTCGAAATACCTGTTCACGTCAAATGGTCTATACTTGGGTATATTTCCTCGATTTGCGTGCGATTTTTGATCTGAGAATGCCTTTTCAGCTGTCGGTATTCTCGGTGCCACAGTCATGCCCCACAGTCTGTTTCTTGGCTCTGCCCTCGCAGTACAAGACAGAGTCGGAACTCCGCTGGAGATGCGCGAAGAGCCCCCGCCATTTAATCTGTGGCTGAAAATAAAATTACTGTTCCGTACCCCTCCTGCATCGACATTGGCCAAGCCTCAGCACGAGAATAACACCTTGACTTTTGTTCGAAATCATCTAGCGCATCAAACGTTCGACGTCGTTGGCAGCTTACTCGGTTTCGCTGTCCTCATCAACTCGATGTGCGTCGTTTCGGTGTCATCTTTCTCCCGACTCAACTCTTGCAGGATACTGATACTGGCCGCGACGATGTTCTATTACGGCGGCGCTCAATCGAGCAACTCTGCTAGTCTGTTCGACGCGTATGATCTCATAAGTCGTGTCGTTGGCAAACGTGGGTGCTCCAGTTTCATAATTCAGAGCCCATTCATATGTTCCGATCAGCTGCTGCGACCTTATTTGCTATCTCCCTCCTGGCTGCTGGTCAGGTCTGTCATTCCGCCTCAAAATCCGTTTGAGGTGGGATTCTGATCGTTGAATAGAGTTCCTCTATCATAGCCACAGTTGCTGGTCAAGTCGTGTCCGAAGGATTCCTCCAGTGGCGTGTATCGGTGAGTGCCAGCCGTTGATGAGATGGGCAAAGGTGGCTGATGACAAACCACACAGCCTGTAGTCCGTCGTCTGCTGACTCGGCTTATCGCTGTCGTTCCTGCTACCGTCGTGGCGGTTGTTGTTGGCCGCCCCGGCGTAGACACGCTGCTCGTCGCATCGCAAGTGATCCTCGCCATCGTTCTGCCATTCATCACTTTCCCCCTCATATTTTTGACATCATCCAAGTCGACGATGCTCGTTCGGAGGGAGCACAGCGATCCCACGCAAACGGCTGTCGACTACAGCAACAACTTGCCTGTGACGCTACTTGGCTGGACGATTTGGTTGATCATAGTGGCTGCTAATGTCTATGTTATCGTGACACTTTTCATAGCGCCTTGAGCTTTGGACGTTGCCGGTGCGATATGTATTCTAGATCCCCATGTAGCTTATTCTTATATTGTAACTCTGCCAAAGAATTGCTATTCAATAGTCTATGATCGGAATCCCAGGAGCAGACCGCGAGCTCAGAGTGACTTTCATTATGCGAGTCACCTTTTTGTTGGCCTGGTTTTGACTGCTGGTCTTGACATTGCCAGTAGTTCGCTTGATAGAGTCCATCACATAGCGGAAGTTCTTTACGACATCCTCGACCGGAAAATCGATCTGGGAGAGCAGAAGCCAGTCAGCAAAGACGGGCGAGCTCGAGATGGAAAATGCGCGCCTTGGCAATGGGCATCCGGATGTTACCAGTACGATCTGACTTCCATTCCGAACTGCTCTTCACGCGCTTGATGTAGCCAGCGACATCGTCCGTGACCGTACCCCTACGCTCCGCCGGCATCAGACCAAGGGGGCCGAGAAATCGACCTAGACGCGGTGTGATAGCGCGAATGAGCCCAGGCGTGGACAGAATGGTGTTCGCCCTGGTACGTCCCTCAAGAATCTAAGAACGCTTGCTTGAGCGACAGCAAAGGATGGAAAAAGTGAGCCATCATACACCCTCAATGAGCTCTGTCCCTCCGACAATGTGCGCACCCGCGCGCTTCGCTTCCTCCGCCTGCTTGCCTTCCGCGAAAACAAGGATAGTGTCCTCTGTGCGTGGCTTGGGTTCCCTGGGGATATTGATACGCCCCTTGGGCACCGCGGTACCCTTGTCTCGCAGATCCATCTTCACGTAGAGTTCATAGCAGCCTGTGGGACGCGCGACCTCCATGGCCTGTGAACGTTCAGGTTCAGTTCTGCGGTAAAATCAGGCAGGTGGCTGCTGCGCGCACCCGGAGGACAGCAATCGCGGGTTCGAGGTTCATGTCATCCGAGTGGTCCACCAATCTAGCCTCCTTGGCTAGCCGTCGTCGCGCTTTGGCGGCGGCGGCTTTTTTCGAGGGGACACGGATGGTCGTGCCTTGGCCCTTCTTCTTGTCCTTGTGCTTGACATTATTGAGGACTTGCGTGGTGGTGAATTGGCGGTTAAGGAGAGTGGCGGAGGCGAGAAGAGTGCGCCGACACGGAGCGGCGCGCAACGCGGACAGCGCGAACAAGGACATCGGAGTGAAGAAGTGACGGTACGGCCTAATTAGGAATGAGTTTCCCACGATCAGAGATAGAGGGGGTCATCTATTGCTACAAGTGCTGGTGGGGGTGTGTGAACCTATAATACATGAATTAAACATAACTATGCGCTGCCGTTGTCATCAGAGATACCCGGACTCTGATACTGGCGTTTAAGATCCATCCTTCGACGCTTCTCAGCCTTTCTCTCTGCTTTGAGGTCGATGGCAATTTTGCCGTAGTCTGCGTCCGTCGCTTGGTTTTTGTTGCCCCGTTTCCCGATGTCCGAGTGCTTCACGGGCACTTCTTTGCCTTTCACGCGTTCAAACTGCACCCGAATTTGTGGTGGGTTCTTCGGAGGGTGGGGGAAGATGTCTCCCCAGCCAGATTTACGGGCGTCATAGAAAGGCTGTTTGCCTTGTGACTTGGGAATGGTCATCCGCATGATTTTGCCTGCGATGAGATCAGCTAGTGAGGGGAAGAGAGCCAGCGGACCAGCAGACCTTCTGGTGTGCACCCATCCAAGATGATGTGGCCACTCTTTTTGAGCGGAGGAAACACAAGTCTGGGCCAGTGGAACGCCTCAGCTCTCAATGCTGCATTCATGGCCTGCCTGTTGATAGGCTGCTCAATTTCAGTCTCGTTCTCTTCCGCTGCCTCAAATAGAGGCTGCATTGTGTCGTGCTCGCTGTCCAGGAAGATCTCTTTGACAGGCTCGCGAGCAAGCTCCCTCTCGATCGAGGCTTTCCCAACAGTGCCAATTCTTCCAACAGAGGTCTCCGGTTTCGGGGGCCGTGTACCGCGTCGGATAACGACGTATGAATAAGGCATATCTTCGTGTCCTTGACCGGAGTGCTTTGTTTTGCGCACAAATTCCGGACGCTGGAGCCGCTGCGAGAATCCGCAAACGAGTTTGATGTCGCCAGGGTAGTATAATGGACAAGCTCCATCATGAGGGCACTGAGAAAGCAATAGTCAGCTCGGAAGAGAAGAATAAGGGAGCTATGGCTCACTGGGGCCACAACGTGAGAGCCGCGAACATCTTCCTCCCATTCGCTGGCTTCTGGGTCTTTCATTTCTTTCCGACCCGCACTCAGGAAGAATTCTCTCGCAGCTGCGACACTCTCAAATCCTCCCTTGGTGCTATGATCGATCACAATCTGTTGGTTATATCAGCGCATGTGGGGGAACGACTATCCCAGTACCGACCATGACGTGCGCACCGCTCGCCCACATTTCCTTGATCATTTGCTTGCGAGCGACATGGGTTGTAAGCGATGTGAGCATGAATGCGGAGATGGCAACTGTATAATGCCCTTCAGAACGTGGTACAGTATCATGGTCAGCGAGTGATTTGCGCCAGGAGACACGCATCGCCCCAGTGTCTACATCTGAGCGAGCACGTTGAGACGGGCAGCAAAGATTACAGATGGAACTCACTCTTCAGTAATCGCCTGCTCACAGTCACTAGACCCTCGCGCTTGTCAATGCCGATGTATTGTCGAAGGGACGTATTTGAAAGGGTACGATCCGTGACTTCTGTGATTCCGCCAGCGTTGGGTTCTTGAAATGAGTAGGCACTGCCCCTGTAGAAAGTTCAGAGGCAAGATACATCAAGGGAAACTTTCGCACCAGAGCGCACTGCCAGCCCCGGACCCCCAATCCAAGATGCGCTCCACCCTCCATTCAGGTTCGAGTCTCTTTTTGACATGATCCAGAACAGCCGTGATGGCAGAAAAATGAGCAGGCAGTGCAACCGAAGCGAAAGCAGATCCGTCGCGCTCAGAGTGCTCACGCGCTTGAGCTTTCGTACGATACCGGGTGTCGTGCTCAGCGTTCCAGTGATCATCTCCGTCGGAGTTGTCTCCTTGGTTGAACAGCCTCTGCGCGTCATTGTGTAATTGGCGTTTGTCCGTTTCTGCGGGTTATAAGAGACCTCGACTTGCTTGAATGCACGGCTCAGCATACCCGCAATAAGTGCATTGATTGTGTTGGTCAGTTCAAGAGGTAGGACGACCATCCCAATATTCTCGCTCCCAAAGGCCGCCGCAGGAGATTTGCGAGCCAGTTTAGCGTCATCCTCGAAGGGTTCGAAGTCTAAGAGGTCCGCAGGCGGACCAGTCACAGCATCCAGTAATTCTATGTTTTCAACTTCTTCCAGCTCTCGGGTCGTGGGTGCCGCCGCTGTGCGCGCACGCTTTTTTTGTCCAAGTGACATGTCCACATCGCGCATGAGTTGAGCGAGCGATGGGTCAAGGTCGACGCGGTTCTTGAGCTGGGACGCGCATTTTGACGATGAGCTGAACGAAGAAGAGGCTGATGCCCGTCGGAGGACGCTACTGGTGAGTCGCGTTCCGAGGAACATGAACGTAGTGGAGGAAAGTTCACGACACGCTCAGACATTGCTGGTTACGTAATCTGCTTCCCACTCTCATGGCCACACCGCGACCTTCCTCCTCGGATGACAACGATAGGCCCACTAAGAAGGCAAAGGTTGCCCCAGGGGCTGAAAATGCAAGTGAACTTGTGGAGGATCAGGCCGAAGACGATTTTGACGACGAGGAAATGGTTGGGACCGGAGCCACCGAAGTTCGCGCGTCCGACCTATATCTAGACACGGCAACGCGTTTCTCGTCTTTCAAACCGTTTTCTTGCTGAATTTCGCGTCAGATAAATCGCGCTGCTCTCGATTTTGACTTCGAGAAAGTGTGCTCGGTTTCGTTGTCGAATATCAACATCTACGGTTGTCTCGTTTGCGGCAAGTATTTTCAGGGACGCGGTCGCAAATCGTACGCCTATTCCCATTCCATCCACGAAGACCACCACGTTTTTATCAACCTTCAGACACGGCAGGCAATAGGTCATGACGGCACCTTGTCACACTTGTCTCATCTCATCTTGCAGGTTTATGTCCTTCCCGACGGTTACCCTGTCTCGGACCCTTCGTTGGAAGATATCGCTTTCGTCTTGTCGCCGACCTTTACACCCGCGACCATAGCAAATCTCAGCTCTGCGACACATCCTGGAAAGCTTTCCTACGATCTCAACAATGAGGCGTACTTGCCTGGCTACGTTGGGCTGAACAACATCAAAAAGAATGATCATCTTAACGTGACCATACACTCGCTCCTCCACATACCGCCTCTCCGAGACCATCTACTGCTTTCGGACTTTCGCGGGAAGGAAAGCGAGCTCTTGAAACGCTTTGCTGGGCTGGCCAAGAAGATATGGAACCCCCGCCTGTTCAAGAGCCAGGTCAGTCCGCACGAATTCTTGCAGGAAGTCAACAGGGCCAGCGCGGGGAAGTTCCGTCTGGAACAGCAAGGAGACCCGGTGGAGTTCCTGGGATGGCTGTTGAATCGGCTACACAAGGATTTTGGAGGAACCAAGCGGAAAAACTCGAGTACGTGTGATTTGCCGTTGTGACTATCGCCGCCCCTCTGAATTCGGAATAGGCATCATCTTCTCGACTTTCCAGGGCGAACTGCGGATGGAAACGCAACAAGTTCTCCGCTCTGATGTCGGTGAAGACGAAAAGCCCAGGTTCGACATCGGTCGAGGTGATATCAAATTCCTCTATATCTGCTCCCGTGGTCTCATTCTATCAGAAACTTCGTCATCTACGTCGCCGTTCCTGTTTTTGGCGCTCGACCTCCCCCCGCCGCCCTTGTTTCAAGATGCCGTAGAGAAGAATATCATACCTCAAGTCAACATTCACTCGATACTTGCCAAATTTGACGGCAGCTCAACTCAGGTAAGGCTCCTCTCTAGATCAGATCGCAGCCTGCTGATTGGCTTGTAGGAATCTGCTGGGCAGTTGCGGAGGTACAAATGCCAACGGCTACCTCCTTACATCATCACTCACATCAAGAGATTCACCAAAAATCAATTCGTTGAGGAGAAGAATCCTACGATCGTCAACTTCCCTTTGCGTGGCTTGGATTTTGGGGATTGTGAGTGAGCGCTTCGGGCGAAGTTATCTCTGAACTCATGTCACGGGTTTTCATCAGATGTGGATACCCCCAGCTCCGGCGAATCAACGGTCTACGATCTAATAGCCAATGTGACGCACGAATCAGTCGCCGGCACGACCAGAGACAAGGAGAGCACTGTGTGGAAACTCCACCTCCGTGCGTCCGGTGGCGGCGGAGAGAACGAAAAGTGGTTCCTGATCCAAGATCTCATCGTCGAGGAGGCCCGCAAAGAGATGATCTTTTTGGGAGAAACAATCTTGCAGGTGCGTGCCTGCGCTACAGTTCTGATTATATGCCGAGTTTCTCTATTAGATCTGGGAGCGGCGAGTCAGTGAGCCGTCCAAATCCATGGATGTAGATAGATGAAATACCGTGTTCTACTACCTACCCAGCACTGTCTATCTATGCTACGTCGGCGGCCTGGTTGTTCTGCGGACCACCCTCGGTAGAATTGGTCTCTTTCGCCCTGGGCTCTAGAGCGTCCTGTGGTTTCGTCTGCTGCTGCCCGGGCGCCGCTTGTTGTGATCTTGAGTTCGCACAGCAGAGTTCACGGAAGTAAGAACGAGGACACAGCGGCTGAGGCTATCTGACCTTTCGAGATTCATCTGCTGGATGAGCGGGTACATCGTATAGACCGCAATCCCGGCTCCTAGTTCCGAAGTGTCATGGCGTGCTTTGACTGTAAACTAGCAGGGATGGTGGTTACCAGTGACTGCTGCGATGAGATACTGCCCGCCTGATCGTTGCATGTCGGTGATAGTCAAAGGGCGACCACGGGAGATGCTTCCCCTAGTTGATCGGGAGCGTGACGAGATGGTAGTGCAGATTTGTTCTGTGTGAGAGCAATTGCTGCCACGAGATGTTGCTGCGAACGTTGAGGTGAACCCGGTGAGACGAATGAAGGGCGAAGAGTGCACGTGGCCGCGCCCGGAATAAGTCCACGTGTCTGTCACCTGATTTCCATCCGTGGCTGACGTCATAATGCCCCGCGTTTTTTCGAAAATCGAACGCGTGTTTGGGAGGGAGACAGCCTGGACCTCATTGGTGCGGGAGACACGGAAAACAGAAAGAACTGGCCGGAATGCAGAATATTCAGATATTTTGCCGAACGGCTCACGTCTCCACGTAAAGTTATAAGTAGATCTGTGGGAAACACAATCGAATTATGGAAGTTTTCATAGCAGCATTCTCGGCTCCCCGGTTGCAGAAGTACTACGGAGTTCCACGCCACAGCTCGTTGAACGCCTGGTGGGGCAGGTCATTCACTCGATGCCGATGTTCTGCGACATTTGTCACGCGGATCAATGTTCCTCAGAAAGGGTAGAGCCTACCGTGCAAGCTTGCATTGCTGCAGCTTCTTTCGCCGCAGCCTTAGTCGTCGCTTGTCCAACACCTCGTCGGAGCAAAGTAAGCCGGACTGAAAACTGGAGACTAGGCACACCTTTGACCTCGCCGGAGACTGCATTCTCGTGAGGCGCGGCGCGTTGTCACTAACAAGTGTAGATACCTTTGCATTCCATTGTCCAGATTCTGTTGCTGGAGGGTCCCGTTGACGATTCAGCGTAGCTGATCAGATATGCCTGGTCGAGGGCTTGATAGTCTGTAATTCGGAAATCGTACAGTGAGCAACGGAAGATGGGCTTTGGCGTTGCGCCGTGGCACGCACAATTATTGAGTCGGGTTACGTAGTCTGTCAAGCTCTCAGTGGAATGGAAAGTGATCGTTGGCATCGGAACATACTGGTGGGCATTTATATCGAGTTGTAAGAGTGCTTGAAGAGAAGAGGGGACACGGAGTTGGATATCGGACTGCAAAGCCCTTTTATCTTGGTCCGAGAGCGCTTCAACGTTCAAAGATGTCATTGAGTGACAGAAGCGCTCAGCTATGAGATAAGCTGATCATCACCCGAGGAACTTTTGAAGAGATTCGGGGGGGTGCCCGCGCTATAAACAGCTGATCTGTACAATTTGCCCCAGTTCTGTCGTAACGAGGAAATGATATGAGCTAAGGGGATATTGACAAACAGATGTCCACTGGTATGGGCTCTCGTCCTGATCTTTTGCGAGGTTGATAAAGTTCGTCGCCAACAGCAAAAGGAGCGAAAAAGTTGATTGCGATTTCATCTTGCTCGATTACTACATCCCAGCCGAGGAAGAGAGCCAGTGGATGGATGTTGCGCGCATAGTTTTCGGAAATCGCACGACCCGTACAGTTACGATGCCGGTCACCAGTCGAACGTGCAGCAAGGATGGAGATCCAGTATGAGTCGGGCCGGATTCCGGCTCGAAAAAAGTACCAGAGATGGAAACAGCTCCAAGGGAATCTCTGGTGCGACCGATCGAGCGAGGCTTTGATGTACACAAGGTTGATCTCTCGATTCACGAGGCCCTCTGTGCGTTTGAAGAGGCCGATAGTTGCGATACCAATGAGATCACCATCAAATGATCGAGAAGCGAGAGGATGGCGAGGTCCATGTTGCAGCCGCAAGGCCCCAGCATTTTTAGTCGACTTGCTCTAGGACGAAGTCGATGAGTAGATTCACTCCGGATCTATGCGAGAGAGCCATTGATGGACAGCAAACGACTTGAGTAGTCTCAAGCCAAAAATAAAATCCACTTGTCGCCATTCACTGGTTCGATTGTCCCGAAAACGACAGAGTCCATGACAAAAGGGACAACTGAGCGGTAGAATCTTTTGCCTGATCGCTCCAGGAGTAAGCCTGAGGTTGATACATCCAAGTTTGTCCCGAGGACTGTCGAAGATGAGCGCTACAGAACTGTCAGCAGATGACAAGCTGGTTCTCGGGGGATTACACTGACAATCTGGAGCTTCAAGTCGAGATTGATCAGAAGCTATGATAGTGCCTGGGCTCTAGTCACCGAGGTCCTAGTAACGGGCTTGCATCAAGCCACGCATTTGCTGATTGGATAAAGACATGTGGCCGGTGGCGGCTGCGATGTTCAGCGTGGCCATGGCCGGACGTCGTTCATTCCCGTGAGATCAGAATCAACGGCCCAGTATCGCGAAGGACAACGGCACGGTGTCTAGTATGAGACTGGAACGGAAACGACAGGAGTTCCCAGGATCCGTCAATGTTCTCGGGAATTGTGCCTGGTCGATCGTGGTCGTGGTTGGGACCAAGTGTGGATGCCAGGGCGCTCCGTCACGTGGATGACGACACTGAGACGCTGATTACTCTATGATCATTCTTTTTCGCAAAGGGAGACTAAGAGACACGGGTCTGACAGTGAAAAAAAACGACAGGAGTCCCGGGTCGTTCACACTCGTTATTCCATGTTATGCAAGCGACGCGAGAACTTCTGACGGTTTCTAGACCATCATAGCCGTAAGAAGTCGTTCCACGGACCGCATTTGGCCCGTCTCAGTTCTATTCAATCACAGAATGTGTGCATGACATCAGATATCACCGCCACAGAACGCCAGTGTAAAAAGCTGGAAATTCAACCGTGGGAAAAAGTTTCGGCAAGTAGTCTTTGCGAACGACAGGACACCACATACCAGGACACAAGGGAGACCAGCCTCGTTATATTGGTTTATTTTCAACCAGAGGGAGCATTGAAACTTTGTAGCATTCAAGCACCACGAAATATGAACGTGCAAGTGGGTTAATTATGTCGGTGGGTTTTCCTCACGGTCACTTTCTGAATGCAGCGGGGTGGTGCTTCGATGTTCTGGAGAACATTCACGGGTTGAAAAATTCAGCGTAGAGGATCTTCGAACTACAACTTACGATTAAGTCCCAGCGGCCTGAGCTCAGTTCAGGGTAGTTCAGAATGAGACCTTTCGAAAACTTTCGAAAAGAACCAGTAGCAAATCATTCAGCAGCTCATATTGCCTAAGAAGCCCCGTGTTTGCAGCATCTCCAGATTTGGTTGTTAATCGCTTAAACCGTTCCGAGTCCAGAATCGGAATATCATCATTCTTATCTACGACGAGAGTAACAGTCTGGCGGACCGTGGCACACTGAAGAGCAAGATGGACGATGACAAGAGTCGAGAAATACGATGGTTCCGAGGACAACGTTTGCTGTCGGCCAAAGTCAGATCCGGGGCTGAGTGCTATGGGGCAAGAAACAGCGTGATGTTATTATATCCCGGGATTCGAGACGTTTCATAGACCAGGATTTTCGAATTTGGACCGACATCATCCGCTCTTGGAAGAGTGGGAGAAACAATGATAAGGATCAGGAATAATCTCCGCGGGTAGGACAAACATTTCGGTTAGCCGCACAAGACTCGTAAGATCGAGGCTGTCGTCCTGGAAGCACTCTATCGAAGGGATGTCTCTGGAAGCATACGAGAGGGCTCTTCAAATATGAGTGCCCGGTGTCTCGTGTTGAATGATCAGATAGAGCCGGATCTCGCATCGCAGAGCTTATACGTAGTGCGCGTGGCAGGCACCAAGTCTCTCGAGCTGCAGGATGTGTAGATCTACCGTTTTCCTGCTGGCCTGAAAGGAAGAAGGCGCTACGTAGCAAGAATTGGGTTTCGATTAGTCTAAGCGGAGCGCATGCAGAATGTTGAGTCTTGACACAGAATGGCCGCCGACAACCAGTGCCGACATGGTGACATCAGGATCAGGAACTGATTGCAACAAGAGCTATCCGAGTTCGCCGCCCGTGTTGGGAGGCTGTGCGCCCGGGCCTTGACTTTCCAGGGGAGATAGTCTCATAGTCATAGCCAGACAAGATTACCGAGAGCGACAGACGACAGGGAGACGGTAGCTGACAGACCCAGAACCGCCAGGCCAGCCAAGATTAGTAGATTGATCTGTCACTGTCGAATGATGCGAATCACCGCTAGGTTCTGGGCATATTATTCTATCGAATGTAGGCATTTGGGGAACAGCGGACAATGAGGATGAGACGTTGCAAGAATTCGCAAGTCATAGGAGGATGAAAGGAGCCAAAGGAACCAGCGAACTAGCGGTAGATATGAAGAACGTGTGACCTGGGCCAGTCAGTCACTTGTGACGGGCAGCAATCAGGAGCAGGCGGTTCTTCTTTCCCACAACACACCCTTGTCTTCGTCCGTCGTGCTGGGCGTCGCACTCGCCTCCCCCAACTTGGTCCTTAGCTCCAAGTCCAGCATTTCTCTCGCCTCATCCCCTCTCTCGTTTTAGCCCCGCTCCCGGCCTCATAGACCAATTTGTAAGCCAGCATCGCCCTCTCCTGACCTTGGCTGACAACTCCTTTTTTGCCCCCAGTCGCTGACCCTCAGCATCAGTTTCCTCAGCCAATCAGACCATGTCTCAAAACCAAGGTGATATCCAAGAGCGCATTGCCGCCGCGCGTCGGGAGGCGGAGAGTTTGAAGGAGAAGATTCGGACGAAGAAGGAATCCTCAGCGGACACCAGCCGTACGTCCTCGCATTGCTCAAGTCGCACGCATCTCATTTCTTTCACTACGTTAGTACGCGCGATGGCTGCAGAAGTTGACCCGCTCCCGCGTATCGTCATGAAGCCTCGACGTGCTCTCAGGGGCCATCTTGCCAAAATCTACGCCATGCACTGGGCCGCTGATCGCCGTCATCTCGTCTCTGCCTCTCAGGACGGGAAGCTCATTGTCTGGGACGCATATACCACCAACAAAGTCCACGCCATCCCCCTGCGCTCCAGCTGGGTCATGACCTGCGCCTACTCTCCTTCGGGCAACTTCGTCGCTTGCGGTGGTCTTGACAACATCTGCTCTATCTACAATCTCAATAGCAAGGACGGCAATGGTGTCAAGGGGGCACGGGAACTCAGCGCCCATTCTGGCTACCTGAGTTGTTGCAGATTCATCAATGACAGGCAGATTGTCACCAGTTCCGGTGACATGACCTGCATGCTCTGGGACATCGAAGCTGGTGTGCGCGTCGTAGAGTTCAGCGACCACACAGGAGACGTGATGAGGTAAGCGCGCTCCCCACATCCTGGCATACAATTGGGCTTATACATCTACCAGTTTATCTCTGGGTCCCAACTCGAACGTGTTTGTGTCTGGTGCTTGTGATGCCACGGCCAAACTGTGGGACATCCGCAGTGGGCGGGCGACACAGACTTTCACTGGACACGAGTCCGATATCAACGCTGTGCAGTGAGTCGCATATTTCACCCGTGTCATGACATTCACTCCAAATCCCATGATAGATTCTTCCCGAACGGCGACGCCTTTGCCACGGGTTCAGATGATGCGTCGTGCCGTCTGTTCGACATCCGTGCCGATCGCGAGCTGAACACATTCACGCATGATAACATCTTGTGCGGTATCACCTCGGTTGCCTTTTCGATTTCCGGTCGTATCCTCTTTGGTGGATATGACGACTGGACTTGCAACGTCTGGGATACTTTGAAGGGAGAGCGTGTTGGTGTCCTCACCGGCCACGAGAACCGAGTCAGCTGTCTTGGCGTTAGCACTGACGGCATGGCGCTTTGCACAGGCAGTTGGGACAGCACTCTCAAGGTGCGATTTATGGCTAAAGCACTGATCCGTACTCAATCATGAGCAGGTTTGGGCATAATATGTCCTTTATCGTGTCATGCACCTTCCTTGTATCTTAGCCGCTCCATCTCGAACGTGAAAAGACCGAACTCCCTCTCGCAACGGCCCATTCCACTCACATATGTCATTCTACATTCACTCACCCGCGTTCATGTTATTTGTGCGCCCAGAGTCAGTCTTTACCCAATACAGGTACAGCCGCCTTTTATCCTACATGTGTCTCTTGCGTGTTTATATATCTCGACGCTCTGGTACCTAAATTCTTTCTGCTCGCTTCACTCTCTTATATATATGTTCAATTCTATCTGTTCCATGGGAATGTACTGGAGAACTTGCTGGTCGCTCGATCGCGACCGCTCGAGACACGTGGGATCAGCGTAGTCGCAATTGATCTCTCCTTCCTTCCATGGCCGACGACGAAGAGCGCGCAGCCAAGGCGGCGCGAGCGAAAGCTTTAGTATGTGGGCGCGGCGGGCACAATGGTACAGCATGCTCAACGATCCATAGCTCAAGAAACGTCAGCAGAAGAAGGCAGCTGGTGCAGCAGTCGCCGCTGGTCCGTCGTCACCCGTTACGAGTCCTCCGCCTTCCCGCTCTTTCACACCCGCACCCGCGGAACTCGCCTCTCCGCCACCGCCGCCGCCAACATCCGCCGCCGAACAGCCAGTGCAGGAGAAGCACGACTTGGCAGATGTGTGAGTCGTGGTAATGCCGTCCGTTGAGAGCAACGCGACGCGTGTTTGTGTGTTGGCACTCATGCATGGCCGGTCTCCAGATTCGACGTGTCCAACGACGGTCCGAACACGTCGGTGGATTGGCTGTCTGGATTGACGCGTGCGCCGACGCCTCCGCCTGTTGCGAGGGTGCAGCGGCATTCACCTCCCGTCGCGAGCCCAGTGGCTTCGCCTCCCATCAGCGCGTTGACATCACCGCCGCCGTCTTCTGCGCTGCCGTCTGGGAAGGAGGTGGAGCTGCAGCAACGGGTTGCCGAGCTGGAGAAGGTGGTTGCGGACTTGAGGCACTTCGAAGCCCGTGCGTCTTTTCTGTTGCAGCGGAAGGGCGTGGTCGGTCTGAAACGCGGCCGTGCATAGGAACTCAAGAACTGGAGTCTCGAGTTCGAGATGCAGAAGGCGTCCGAGAAGAACTCGAGCGGCGTCTGCAGGAATTACAACATCGCATTACAGATGTGGAAGGCGAGAAGAGCGCGCTGTCTGTGGATGTGGCGCGTCTGAAACCGTTGGAAGCTGGTATGTGTCTGCTACACTACTCGTATCACGTTGACTGACGACTGATTTGCGGCTGCAGAAATACAGCAACTCGGAGACGAACTACAGGAATGGAAGTCAGCAGCTGGGGTGTCAGATGCACGGATTAAGCAGCTCGATGATCAACTCGTTACTCTTCAAGACGAGAAGCAGGCGTTGTCAGACGACGCCGCACGTTTCAAAGCTCGTGTGTTCTTCGTGTCTTTCCCCTCTCCCCCTCGGGCGATTAAACATCGAAATAGGAAATGAGGAACTGGAGGCTGAACTGCAACCGAATAGGGGCAGAATCCAAGAGCTGGAAACTTATGTCGAGCAGCTGCATGCTGAGAACGAAACGCTGCAGCAAAACCAGCAGCAGACGATCTCGTTGTTGGTCTCCGAGAAAGCTCATCTCGCGTCCGAGGTAGAGCGTCTGGTGGGTTTTGAGGACGGTATGTGGCGTGTCGGTATATGCGCCTTGTCCGTTCTCAATACGAACAGAGGCCCAACACACGGCTGCTGCTTTGGAAGCGCAGCAGAAAACGGTCGAGCAACTCGAGGAGCAGTTGCATCGTCTGCAAGCCGATGCACACGAGACTGCCAATCGGATACAGCAGTCTGAGGCCAGGGAGAAAGAGCTGGCCGATAAAACTCGGGATCAGGTAATTCCGTTCCCGTCCTGTGATTTAGCCTGACGTGAAAATCAAGGAACGGGAAATCACTCTCGCCAACGCGAGTATTCAAGAATCCAAGAAGGAAGCCGAGAAGCAACAAAGGAAACTGCACGAATTGCGCGAGCAGATTCAAAATGACGACCGTCTCGATCGCGCAGAGGCATCTCTGAAAAACACGCAGAATCGCGCTGACGAGCTCGAGTTCCAACTTTCAAAGTTGAAACAGGTTCGACTCGATATGTGTGTGCGTTGGTTGTGCCCAAGTTCTCATCCTCTCCCAGGTTCATAGTAGTGTGAAATCGGAACGAGACGAATTCGACGGACAGTTGGCATCTCTACGAACGAGTGAACAAGAATGGAAAACGAAGCACTCCTCGTTGTACGAAGAGCACAACCTCCTCCGCGGACAATTCGATTCGGCGACTCAGGAGAGAGATGCTCTTGCAGCCGAGAAGGCCACTCTCCAGTCTCAAGCCGGCAATGCTCAGCAGACGCTCTCGCAGTTGAACGACAAGCTGAAACAAGTAGCGTCGGAGCTTATGACTGGAAGTCGGCAGCTGCAAGCGACCCAGACCGAGCTCAAAGCTGCGACTCGTCGAGCAGAGGAAGCTGAGAAGATGCAAAAGGATCTGCAGAGCGAGGGCACGACATTGATGCGATCGCTGGACGAGATGCGGACAAAAACTGTGGAGCTGACGGGCGCCCGAGTCGAGCTTGTCGAGAAGTTGAGTGGACTGGAACACTCGCTGAAGAACCGGGATGCCACCATAGCATCGTTGGAAGGGGATATCGACGAGGCGAGACATGGAAAGGAACAGGCTGAAGAGAGACTGCAGAACATCCTGGCACAGCACAAGAAGGACAGCATGCTGGCTCAGTCCAGTGCCGGCGAGCTGCAGAAGGCGTATGCGGAATTGCGAGAGGAGCTGGACCTGGCCACAGATAGCGTGCGATCTCTCGAAGCTGAACGTGCCTCACATCGGCAAGAACTCTCTAGGAGACTGGACGAGATTGAGCACGTTACGATGGCCTCCAATGCTCAGCAAGACGAGTTATCCATGTTGCGCCAGGAGATCGCCCAGCGAGAGCATGCTCGTGAGGAAGAGCATGGCTTTTTGGACGGAGCTCAGAACGAAATTGAGGCTCTGAGAGCCGAGTTGACGAGCAGGGACGACGAGATCGAACGATTGCTGTCTTCGAAAGCGGACGAGTCTGGGCAATCGCTGGACGACGAACTGCTGAGTTCGATGCGACAACAACATGATCTCGAACTTTCCGCAGCACAGTCGCGAATCCGTTCATTGGAGAATGCAGTTTTCGAAGCGGAGGGCAAAGCGCACAGTCTGAAGAAGCAGATGGGCACGCTGGAGGAAGAGCTGGTTCAGGCGCGCTCGATTCGGTCCAACTCGCCTTTGCCTCGGCCAGTCAGTCGGGCCGCGTCCAGTCGGTCGCATGGACCCTCGTCGCTTTCTCGCTCGGTGCTCGACCAGAACCTCTCGCTGGAGACGCGCCATAAGCGCAAAGTGAGCCTCAGCATGCTTAAAGCTCGGATCGACAGTGAAGTGGCGGCCGCTGCCGCCGCCCATGGCCAGATGTCACATCCGTCATCGAGAGCGTTGTCACCGGTTCTTTCGGCAGACGGCATGTCCCGCCCGGCCACACCACCTGTGCATGTGCACCATCGGCGTCCCCAGTTCTTGGACGAGTCGCATGTATTCTGGTGTCATTCGTGTCACGGAGATCTTGTCATACTCTAATACGTGACGTACATTGTGCAGTAGGCAACGGACGGTAGCTGAGCCTTTGATCATCTCGGGTGCAAATGCTGTAGCGTCGAGGTGAATTTATGTAGTTGGAATTCCATACGGACTGTTCAGATCGCCAGCCGCTTGAGTACGTGACTTTCTTCGATACAATCCCGACCCGTGCGGTGGGCACGCGCTATTCGCGCACTAGATGTCCTGGACCATCAAACTCAGAATTTCATCTGCGTGTGTCCACCCGAAGGACCCCTTCCTTTTCTGGTACCGCGGAGACTCCGACGGCGTAATCGAGGGAGGGGCTCGACTGGCCCGAGATGTGTGCGCTTAAACTCATGGGGGAGGTCGAGAAGGCCGTTCAGGAGTCGATCGTCTCGGAGGCCTCGTCGTATCGGCGGGCGTGGCGATCGGTGAAGTGCCAGCGCGTTTATAACGCGTTGTGCACTTCATGAGCACGACCGATTCCGAGTGTGGACGGGTTTAGGCCTGGTCCGTCCTTCGGGAGGTAAAAGCTAAAGTTCTCTAAGCACGAGGGAAAGGAAAAATAACACCGCCACTAATTACTTTGACGATCTCACGTGGATCGTTACAATATACCTTGCGAGACCTTGTCTCGTAGGCCGTAACGTAGAGGAGCCTGAACAGATGATAACAACAGGATGAATCGGAAAAGACACCCTCTGACTACAGAACTAGTAGACTTGCATGCCGCAATGCAAATAAATTAGCAGCCAGTGATACAGGGGAGCGAGTTGGCGTATGGCGATGAAGAAGAGGACCTCGTGTCGGGATAGTGGGTGAGAGAAGAGAGAACGAGGAAGGCTCAAGGAAGGATATTGGACATGCGAAGAGGGCACAAGTGAGACAGACAATGACGAAAACGGACGGGCTAGCCATAACGACCTATAATACGACAGACGAACAGAGCGGCGCGTTCTCCACACGCACAAAACAACAGAGCAGACAACAGGGCGGACGAGCATTTCGTATTCCGCTTACTCGCCGACTGCCAGCCCATTCATGGCGCGCTGAACCTCGCGCATCGCTTGGTCAACGCCGCCGGTGTTGTGCGGCATTCCTCCACCGATGACACGCGGGCCGAGAGCCGGGTGTCTCACTCCAAGCGCGGCACCGAGCATGCGCTTGCCGGGGTTGCCGATTTGGGGCCGCGATTCCGGCGACGAAGCCAGTGGAGCCGCCGCGAGAATAGCGGGATCAGAGTGGGGCGGGGAGCCACTCAGTCCTTGCGAAAGGGAAGAGTTGATGAGCGCATTGAGGGTCGGATGGGATGGCAGCGATGGAAGGGTGGGAGAATGCTCGCGCGCACCACCGCCGCTGTGCTCAGGGATCGGAATACCAACATTTATCGCAAATCCACCCGGGTTGGGACGGGATGAAATAGAGCCAGCCGGTGGGCGGGTTGCGACAGGACTATACCCAGAAACGGAATTGGACCGGCCGTTATGGGCGCGCGATGGATTGTTGGGGTTATGTTGACCGCGGTTGTTGACGTTTTGGATGACGGTTTGGGCGTCGGGTCCATCGTAAGGGCGAATCGTGGCTGGAGGACCATTCGGCGGGCTCAGCGCCGCAGGTGGGAACGCGATTGTGTTGAGATACGCTCGTTTGGCTTGGGCGACGTCAGTGCCTGATCCAGCTGCGCAAGAAAATCACGCGGACGACACACCTATCGAGGCATCCTGGAAAACGATCAAGAGACTCGTATCGTCGCGCCACTTGATCTTGAAGCCACCATTCACAGATTCCCATTCTGAGAAGGCGGCATGGATGTCCTTAGTCTTGAGCTCCTTCGGAAAGCCGGTCAAGTAGAGAATGCGGGTCACAGACGCGGATAGCCCTGCAAGGGAAGACATCTCGAGGTCGACTGGATTAAACGGCGATTAATTGGGCGCGCAGGTCGGCGCAGACTCGGGGGGAGGGCAAAGAAATATTTAAACGACGTGTAGAAATAAGGGAGAGGGTAGAGGACGAGAAGGAGACGGAGACGATTGGCAAACAACGTAAAACATATCTCCCCATCACATATCATGACTTGATCATGACTTTCATCCTTGGCTGTCAATTCAGGGGGCTATAGGACGAGGAACGCTCAATCTATGAATTTCGTCCCTACAACTGGAGAACTTTTCCAGCATCCCCGTCTCCACCGCGCTCGACTTTTTCTTGATCTGGGCCCTCCTTCCACGCAAAGGTCAAACCCTCGGCTGCAGTTCCAATCGATGTCTGTCTCGGAACAGAGTTCCTGCATAGCAGCAAGACTTGGACGCGTTCTTTATACATCGCTTGCTGGCCTCGTTGAACCCATGCGTTTCGGTGATCCGAAACCAGTCCACTCCCACAATCTCTCTCAACCGCGCAGGCTCTTCTCCCCATGATCCTATCTATGTTCGCGCGCTAAGGCAACGTCTGGTAAAGCCAGGGGGCGGCGGTGTGCTACCACTGCGGCTGACATGTTAGGGTCATCGGCATCGCACCAAACCGAGATCTGGCCGCACCCAGGGTCCCTGCCAGCGTTTGGCGCATGATGATTTCTTGCGGGACTGCGCTCCGACACCGAGAACTCTTCTTCGTTCTCTCTTCTCGTTGCTGGGTCAATCGCCTCGCGGTGCTGCTTCCGCCAGCCAGCATCAGCGCTTTTGATTCTTACCCAGCCTCGTTTTTCTCCGTTAGTGCCTTACATCAGAGATCGGACTGGACGAAGGCCGTCCCCTCTCCGGTCCGAACGCTTGGACTTGTGCGTGCTTCTTCCTGGTTCTATCACACTTCCGGCGAGTTTTCAACACCGACCGCTCACACTGAGGGTCTCCTGACCATGAGACACTCACGTCAAACCAACATTAAACTTTCAAGATTCGAGTGCCTGTAGCAGAACTCTGTCCGACGACTATCCGCGAATCGAAACAGCACGAACTTGCGGCTATGGATTTTGCTTTTTCGCCTCTACAGTACGAGACCGCTTTCCCCAACACACCACCACTTTCCTTTTTAACGAGCATCAGCACGGTTACCATAGCAATTTCCTATTTTAGAGCATTGGTGTTGATGATGAGATCACTGACGACCTCTTTGAGGGGCCTCCGAGTGCCTCGAGAGCCCAAGTCTTCTATAACCACATGTTGGTTCAACTGAGCTCGACGGTCAGTGGATAACTTGCCAGGTGTACTCCAGGTATAGGAGCTGCGATAGATACTGTCCATACATCATCAAGCAGTAGTGAGAAACCGCGTGGAGAGCCTCGTTCTTGGACTGTCTGGTCGTGCCGTACCCGTTCTAGAAGAGAGTTTCGGGACTTTCACATGCAGAATACATTGTATTGTAAATCTGAGTGGGTTTGACGAGACGGCATGACGAAATGGATCAATTGGTCAACACCTAACAACTTGAGCGATCATCCCTTACAGTCAGACGCGACTGTCCTCGCCACCTAGTCGTCTTGAACCTTCCCTCTCAGTAAACTCAAGATGGATGCGGAGCTATTCCGAATCTGGCAGCTCGTCAACGACCTTAGCGAGCAAATTGCACAAAACCAGCGGACGACCGCCGCGTTACAAGCCCAGTCTGCATCGCTCAAGGTTTTGTTGTGCCGTTTTCGACGCGCACGCCGCAGTGTTCTCACTCCGGATCTTTCTTCTGCAGAACCAGGCGTCTACTTCCGGCCGAGCTTCTCGTTAAGGCGCTTCAACATCGACATCTCACAGGGTGCGCGCGACAGCAGTGTTTCGGCTTGATCACTGACGTTAGTTCCAGAGACTTTTGAATCTGAGCTGGAGCGGAGCAATGCGCAGATTGTCATCGAAAATCACTCGCTGCTGCACGAGAACAAACAGCTTAGCTCTTTGCTCAAAGAGTACGAGGGGACATTAGAGACGGTGATGAACAAGTTCCGAAATCACTCGGTGCGCCCTGATTCGGCCCAGACGTTGGACAATCAGTGCTAATTTGGCCATTGCAGGCGGCCAGCCAGCAGCATGAACACAATCTGATACGCCACTACGAGACATTACTCACAGCACGCGAGTCACCGATATTGTCCGCTGACCTCGTATCGGGCCCTGACGTGTCGCGCGCGGTGGCGCGTGCTACCCATCTTCTACAAGCCATGCTCCACACGATGCTCGGGGAAGAGATTCCTCCCGACGCAGATCCTCTCCTTCTCGAGTATTATCCACGCGACGATGAAGAGCTGGACCCAGCTAGCCAAGCGGCACAACTAGAGTCCCTTCTCCCTCTCATCGAGGCTGCCTTCCCGTCCAATGAAGACGCTCCGGACTGGGCGCAAGAGCGAGAGACCGAGATCGCACGGCTAGAAGCAGAGAACGCCGCCATGCGCCGCAGCCTAGGCATTGACCCAGAGACGCTGGCGGAATGCGGGGTGGCAGCAGAGCTCGAAGCCGATCTCATCCGCGAGCGACAGCGAGGGATCTACGCGACGCTGACCCGGAGGAGGAACGAGAGTCAAGGCGGCGGGAGCGCCATGAACGGGAACAACGCTGGGTACCAGTACTGGGATGGCAATAACAATAATGCCCAGCCGCAGCAGATGGCGCCGCCGACGCAAGGCCAGCCGTTCACACCGATGTCGGGGGCTCCGTTGCAGCGCGTCGGGGACATGCAAGCGCAGCCAGGGATGCGTGCGAGTGCAGGACCTGGGACGCGGCGTCCAGGAATGTTTGGTGCAGGAAGGGGTGTCGTTCCCCCAGTCGCATCCCAGGCCGGCGGCGGCGGGAATGGACTGTGGGGCTCTCAACCACCTCTATGGCAAGCGGCAGGCAGTATCACTGGCATCGATTTCAGCGGGAGATAAGCAGTGTTGGTTTTTTCGGCCGATCACACGGACGGATTGGGCCCTGGGACGAGCTATGCTGTTGAGGCTCTGGCGCAACTGCGATTGTACATGATTGCCCCTTCGGGCTGGAACCGGTGAAGCTCGCGAGCTAGTAGCCTAGCCTAGCCTTCCTACATGTCCCTGAACGACATCTCTTGTGGGCACTTGCCGAGGACACCGACCACGAAAACATGTCGCATGTGGTTGAACCTTCTCTCTGACCGGCAAGATCAACTGCAAGGGAAGCTTCAGGGTAAGTAGCTTGCGTGGTTCGATTCTGTAACCTCGGTCATTCTAAGCCTCTTGGTGATTCGGGGTCTATACTCGGATTTGCGACATAGCTGTCTCTGGCTCGGCCGCATTCTCTCACCTGAGGCTCCACCACATGGGATGCGATGTCATGTCGTGTTCTGAAAGGAACGGTCAATGTCGGATGTCCGAGACCGTTGATGACGAGACAAAAGCTGTTGGAGCGAGCGGCTGGCAGTGCGCTCGTTCAGGACAAGGGCATCGGTCCATTCATATGAGGTGCTCGACTGACACGCAGCCCGTTGGACTTGCTACGGAGATATGACTGCAGATGTGTGTCATGACTCATCGGCATGATCGTGTGATCATGAGCATGGCCTTTTGGCGTACACGTCAAACACCGGCGTTGACCGCAGTCGCGGTCTCGGAGACCTTCCCCAAATATGCATGTTGGCCGCTGGAGCGATGTAACAGATGGGCTGGATCTGGACAAGTTCCGCCCGGCAAACGACATTTGGGGTGCAAACAGGATGGCCCCCGATCTCGGGCGCGGCGGAACGCTTTCTTTCGCGCGTGACTCGCGAGAGGATTGCCAGTCAAAGCTAGAATGCTGGCCGCGTGGTCTCTGGGAGGCTCTGGCTTTGTTCGGGCAGAAGAAAGACAATTGTGAGACGTGGAAGGAAGGCCGGATTCGTTGGCCGAGCTTCAGGGTCGAGGCAGACATCGCATAGAGGATCCCGGATTCGGACGGTTCTGCCATCTTTCTGCCAACAAAGACGCCCACAGCAGCAGATGAATATCAGGCAGGCCATCCGTCCGTCTGCCTTTGATGTTCTCTTCCCGTTTCGGTGATGCTGTTGTTCTCTGCTCTGGCATGGTGGTCATGAATGTTCGTGCCATGCTAGTAGAACCGAGGCCAAACTGAGCATCGGGTGCTTGAATGGGCTTTCCTCGGACTGTCTGAGGAATGATTCACTTCGCGGCTGGCCGTCAAGTGCCATGGGTGACTTGACTTGGATAATAATGGGCAGAAGAAACAGCGCTTGGATACCAAAGCTCGAAACGGAAACACCATCGCCTGCGGGAGATGGCGCCGAAGCGAACCCGGTTTTTCATCTCAGCATATGCTATGATGAAGATGATGAGATGCGGTATGTTATGATGGGGGAAGAAAGTTGCCTTTCAAACGCGGAACGGCAACAAGTCAACAGCCACGTTGGAAGAAAGACTGTTACACGGACGGAAGAACACACTGGGGGCCATCGATCCCCAGAGCTGGGTGATCCACCACTGAGGCGTGCACGCACGCTGCAATTCTGAAGGGTAATAGCGCTGCTTCCGAGCGACTAGGCTTCCCTCTAGGCTGGCTTCGATGCCACGGAGTGTTGGCGGAGCTTTTTTTCGCTCAGCGAGCTTGGGCCATCGTTGGGCCCCGGTATCCATCGCGGGGAATGTGGAACAAGGGCCACCACACATCGCCATCTGCCAAACGACTTGACCCTCTGATTCGCTTGATATGGAAATATCAGCGTACAAACGCCTGTTCGTGGGTCTTTGCGTACCGCTTCCGAGCTGTTCATTTCCATCATTCTGCGCTTCTCGCACCAATCACGTTCATGCCGTACCTGATTACCATTGTTCCTCCTTCACCAAACTTAAATCCATTCAAGCGCGGCGCCACAATGCACCTCCCCCGAATAAAACCCCCTCGCCCAGACGCGCCAGTCTGCTGCTGCTCTTGTGTCCCCTCTTGCCTTGACGACGTGCTTTGTGCTTCTTCTCTTCGTCGTCTGGCTTCGATCACCCACACTTGTCTTTCATGCACTCTGCTTCGATGAGCAACTACCCTGCAGCCTCCTGCAGCACCAGCACCAATTTCGCCTCGTACCGCGCACCTGACGACTACTACTACTGCTATCGCTACAATGCATCCGACGTCTACCCCAGCAGCGCCCACCCATCCACCACATATGACTCGCCGCATTCCGACTCCCGCATGTTCGTGGACGATTTCGAGACCGCGCCCATCTCTCCATCACATTCCGTGTCTAGCTCCGCGTCGTCCGACGTCGCGCCATCCAGCCCAGCTGCGCTTCCAAAGATACAGCTCCTGTATACAAAATTGGACTCGGCGCCCTGGGAAGAGATGGAATCATCCCCGGATGGGTACGATGATGATGATGATGATGATGAGGATGTTGATGATGCTGATGCCGATGCTGTTGCCGGGGATGAGACCGAGTGGCGGCGCCCAGAACCCCCCACATCTTCTGTCGTTCTGCACCACCAGAACGACGTGACGCAGATCGGGAATGACGAATCCTCCGCAGTTTCAGTCGCCGCGATCCGGCCGGCGCTCGAGAAGGCCGCGGCTGCCTTGCGGGCTTGTGAATTCGCCCTCGCACCCTATCAATCCTTCCACGCGTCGCCAACGACAAGCATCCCTCCGATGAACTTTCCACCCCTATCACCCGCGACCGCGTCGTCATCCGGGTGTTCATCTTCCCGGCCCTCGTTGTCCTCATCGTCTTCTTCTTCCTGCTCGCCTATCACGTGTCTCTCGCCGATGCTGCTCTCCATTGCATCCCCTCCGTTGGAGCTGCATCAGCCCCAACCCAGGCGAAGGATCCCCGTGGTGTCGCTAGCCGAGCTCGCCTCGTGCTGCACCGCAGATGGCTCGTTATCTGACCCCGAAACCTCGCACTCCTCGGCCAGTGTCACCCGATACACAAAACGGAAACGATCTGTTTCTCCATACACCCAATCTCGGCGTCCCTCAAGGATGAGCCGGGACGTTCCTTGCATTGATACCACGCATATAGGCACATATCCTCGCCGATGTTCTTGTCCAGAATGTTTCTAGACCGTACCTCATTCACACTGTAGCTTCTTAGCACATAGCGCATTGCATATCATCATCATAACTTGTACAGACATCCACTTGTATCTTGCTCCGACCTTCTTCAATGAACTATGTATATTCGGTACATCCGGGTGTCGCAATCTCGTAACGGGGGTCAAGGGGTGTCGCTTGGGTGTTGCCATACAGAAAGTATAACTACATATGTAAGCAACTCCACATAATCTAATTGAGAACCGGTCAGCAGACATAAACCTTATCGCATATCGCGCTCACCAAATCTCATGTTGCCAAGTTTGTGGCGCGATCAGTGGCGTCCAAACGAGCGGAGAGGCAAGCATCGGGTTTCGCGGCGGGACAGTGAATGCTTCCACAGGGAGAGCCATAGGTTGGGCGTGATTGAACTCACGATAGTGAGAATCTCGGACTTGATACGTCGAAGGGGGGATGGTGACGGGTCCAAAATAACTCATAGTGTGCGGGCTGACGGGCGTATTCTCGCTGGAAAGTACATTGGAGGGTTGGATGAGAGTCGAGAAGCTAGTGGTCGGTACTGGAGTGACTCGATGCATATACGATTGATCCACGTCCGACTTGCATGTTCCTGAGCTCTCCTCGATGCCAATGGGCGGCCCGATGCAAGCGTCAACCAGCTCGTAAAACTGGGTTCGCTCGCCTTCCGTCAGCAGACTCAAGCCATCCGAAGAAGCCAGCGGGTCACAGAACGTAAACGAGTCCATCTCGAAACTCAAGGTGCGTTCTTCGAGGGCATCCATCTCCGCAAGAAACTCACTGGGTGCATCAAGCATGAGGCTCGGCTCGCACAGCGTGCTGTCGGCGTGATATCGCAAGTCCATTTCATCGAGGAAAGATGTGGGTTCTTGAACCAATGTAGAATCGAGCGTGAATTCCGGCTCGTCGGGAAGTGAAAAATCGTCCGAAAGCGAGACAGCAGAAAGGACAGGTGACACATCATCGGTAGCAAAGGGGGAAAGAGAACGAGCAACAGGAGCGGGAGCAGATTTTCGTGGCTTGGGTAAAGGTTTCGGCACAGTTTTTTGGCGCTTAGCGGGTCGTTTCGGCTTAGTAGAGAGGCTTGAAGCTTGGGGAGCAGGCGAATTGACGGCAGAGACTGAGTTGATGTCCTCCGATTCTGGAGCAATATTCTCTCGGTTGAATTTCGGACCCTTGGGCTGGGCTTTCCGGTTCGCAGAGCTTGCACCCGTCTTGCCTTTGCGTGACATGCGGTGAGAGAGATTTGAATGCTTGTCTTCCTTGGCAACCCTCAAACCTGAGATGCGATTAGCGAAGTCGCCTGTTGAAGGAAAGTGTGGTTGCCTCGCGAATGAAAATAATCGTATATGTGTCTCCTGTCGACATTGTACTTTTTGACCAGGTATTGACGAATCTGCACATCATGAGATGATGAGTTGTTGAAAAGTCAAACACCTGCATCGAAGGTAGGCATCTTCGCCCCGGGGACGATGTATGCATCCATCTCTGCTGTCAGTTCGGGTCCAAGGCGCACGGCAAGGCTGACACGCAGGTCAAACCAAAGACGAAACCATCACTCAAGCACTCACCGATCTGGATCTATGCGTCTAGGCTGCGTAGCACACGTGTGAGTTGAACAAGGATCCCGATCACACACCACACCTTCATGCGGCCATCGCTATAGGTGCAAGGGAACACGATCTCAGGAGGTGTCGGCTCAGATTCTGATGCTTGGCGTTTACGCTTGAAAGGTGCTGAGGGGGAGTCGTTGAAAGAGCGTGGAGAGCAAGGAGAGCTAGAGCGTGAAGTCATTTCGAATGTGTCGCGACGCAGGACGAGGAGGTTGGAGAGGGGAAGAATCGTGACTATGTGCCCAGTGTGACGTCTGCTGAAGAAGCGGTCATGTGATCGTTTCCCCAAGTCGGTGTCAATTTGCCGCCTGCTTCAGTCCGATTCTGAAGCGGTCTCATATACCGAGAAGTCGGGCAATGCGGTGTTAAGTGAGTTACTAACGCATGCGACTGGGCTCGTGTCGTATCGCCGAGGATGGGAGCCGACTGAGATGTATCGGCAACTTCAGACTTGGCCGCCACGATAGGCAAGGGGTTCTTACTGCATAACTTGGACATTTTTTGCAGGGCAGGAGAAAGGAAGTCCTAACTGATGCCGTGTGCTTCTTACTATATGCTCTGAAGGTTATCGATCGACATTGGCGACGCTCTTGGTGTTCAAGACCACAATTCTGTGAGGTTCTACGGCGTAATAACTGCTGCAAAGACACTGGCGCGGACTGCAACCAATGACAGCTGGTTGGTTTCCTTTCCAAGTATCAGGGCGCGGGATTGTCGTCTAAACCTGTGTTATCTGGGACTGTCTCCCAGCAATGATACCAGTCCGTCCAGCTGTTCAACTACGGTTCTCTGGTGACTTGTCTCGGCTGTCCTCTCGATCAATGTCTGCTAGATCAGAACCGCGCTATGATGCAATTTTTCTTTCTTCGATTCTTCTACGACTCAAAGAATATTCCTAGGCGCTCGCCCAACTTAAAATAGTTTGACGCACTGGAAGATCTGCGGCGGAATGCTCTCCTCGGCTTGGAACATACCCGGCACCACAGAATCATTCTGGCCAACAAGAAGTAAGGAGATCAACGGCGCTTCAGCTCGTTGAGAGTGTTGACCGAAGGCGAAACGGCAGCGGCTGCGGCGTAGGGCAATGCCAGTGGAATCGGACCTCGCGCTCAGTAAAATCAATCATGACAGATTCAATGTCACAGGACAGATCAGCAAGTTCCCCTTCTGGTGCTATACCTATTCGCGTCAATCCAGTATTGTCAGTGCTGTCACTTGCCCTGATTGGTGCATCTGTTATGTGGTCCTGGCTTCGTCCCAGAATCGCAGTCCCAGTTTCCCCAGCCCCGCAGGCGATCGAAAACAAAAACGGTAGCTTCAACTCGAACCACCCCGGAGTGCGAAGCTCCGGCACCTTGGGGTCTCTGACCATCGATCCGCGTTGCGGCTATCGGCCATCTAGCACGTCTCGTCCCCCAAGCGAGACAAAAGATCATGGCTCGGCACATCAACAAACTAAGCCTCCCGGCATCCGAGAGCGTACGTTGCGCTTTCTATCTTTATCCAGAGATGTATTTTTACTCTCTGGAAAAAACAAATACATAGCGGCATATTTTTACTTCCTGTAGAAATGCAAATAGATAGCGATACACTCATACACTCATTTTCATCGGGATACTAGCATGTGGCGCGTATCCTTCGACTACGAAATCATCTGCCTGGAACTCTTCGATGTCCGTGATACCCTCCCGGGCCCATCTGATCTTGGGAAACGGCTTTGGCGCGCGCTTCAACTGGATCTCTAGTGCATCGACATGATCCCGGTACACATGCGCGTCGCCAAGCTGGATAATCAGCTCCTGCGCGTCGGTTCCCGTCACATGTGCGATCATGTGCGTCAAAAGCGCGTACGACGCGATGTTGAATGGGATCCCAAGCCCCAGGTCTGCAGAGCGCTGGAACATTAGACACGACAGCTTAGGCTTGGCTGTGGGAGAGTCGGGGAGATGGACGTAGAATTGGCACATCATGTGGCAAGGTGGGAGCGCCATTTGTGGGATATCTGCCCCTCGTAAGCGCCCAGTATACCATTTGAAACATCGGCCGACAACGCACCGGCGGGATTCCAAGCACTAAGAATGATCCTCCGATCTGTCGGATTCTCCTTGATCTTCTGTATGCACTCCCTCAGCTGGTCCACACCCTCTCCCGCGTAGTTCTTATCGCAGTCCTCATACTTGGCACCAAAATGGCGCCACTGAAATCCATACACGGGCCCCAGATCACCTTCGCGGCGGTGCCCCAGCCCACGCGCCTCCAAAAACTCTTTCGAGCCGTTGCCATCCCAGATCTTGACGCCCTTTTCGGAAAGCAGCTTCGAGTCCGTCGCACCGTGCACAAACCAGATGAGCTCCTCGACGATTCCTCTGAGGAAGGTGCGTTTGGTGGTGAGAAGAGGAAGGGTGTTGTCGGAAAGCGTGAATCGGAGGGACGGGGGTGCAAAGAGGGATATGGTTCCGGTCCCTGTTCGATCAGGACGCGTAGCTCCTGAATCCAACACGCGTCGGATTAGATCCAGGTACTGCTGCTCTTCGTGTACAGATTCTGTCATGACGAGAAGAGAAGAAAAGAGCTTAACATTTGTCCCTGTTGTCGCGTCGCGTCGCGTATGGTCACACTCGTCACAAAGTCTCCGGTTTCATCAAATATGCGTGCACTGGTTTGAGACGAGTAAGTTGTAGTATGGACAGATTAAATCGAACGGTGGCGAGCACGGAATAAAGCAATCGAATAAGCTATCTTTAGTAAGTTAGGGAGGAGTTCAGTAAGGTAAGCGATATGGGTAGTAGATGGCTCGAAGGTATGTGTTGCAAAAGTTGGGGCCATTAAACAGGCCGAGGGCCAGTGATGCGAGTGCAATGCAGATGTTGAGTGGATGGGAGTTGATCTAGGGAGCGAAAATCGGGATATGCTTGAAGGATATGCTTGGATGATGCAAGATTGTGAAGATGAGTGCGTGCGTGTATGATCGAAAGCGATTTGGTATAACGTGATTGACCGCCCGTCAAGCGGAAGTGGTTGTCATTAAAAAGCGTCGTCATAACCTGCTTGCGATCAGCAATATGCGGCGCAAACAGAATATGCAGACACACCCGAAAAAAAAACCAAAACAGACCCTCAAGATATTGCCAAGGTCCGTCGTCTTTCCCAACCTTCCAGTCGCGCACCGCGAGGCACTCCCTGTTTTCTTCCTGCTTTATCCTTCGCACTGCGAGCTTTCACTGGGCCAAACACATTGCTGTCACCGGTAAAATCCAGTTCCACGTCGAGGCCCATCCCCTCTACGTCCAACGTCTGGCTGAGCTCCAGATGCTGCAAGTCGAGTTCGATATCAAGGTCGTCGATATCACTCTTGTCGAGCTCGATATCGTCAGGGCCGGCGTGGACGTCAGCTGGTAACGAATCCAGGTGCGCCAAAGTGGATCGCGTTCGCTGTAGGCTGCTCGGAGGCATCATTCGCTTCCGCCGTTCTGGGAACGATTTGGGCAAGGAGGCAACGACATCTTCATAAGATGGCGGCGCTTCATCGTCCAGAAGGACAAGCTTCTCAATCTCAGAGGCAGCCACCACCATTCGTCCCAATCCCGACGGGCGGAAAGCCTTGGCAGCTTCTATTCTTGCCGCTGCCGATTGTTTGAAAGTGAGCGGACCCTGTCTCGGGTCCAAGAGGGCTCTGCGCACGCCTCTCTGCTCGCGGATTTTCTCGGAATCATCCTTTTGCATTTGAAGAAGTCGTCTTCCCGCCGTGGCCTGGGAAAGCACAAGACGCAGCCGCATTGTCATCCGAACAAACGCCTCGTGCTCAGTGGTCGCTGCTCGCTGTGCACGTTTGCGCTCGCGCAGCTCCCGTTTTGAGGCCCCCGAAGCGTCGCGAGGATGTGCACTGGACGCAGAACGCGAGTGAATCGGCGAAGAATGCGCCGGCCGTCGGAGGTGCGAGGTTGTTGACGAGGGATCGTCGCCGTCTGCTGTGTCCGCAGCACATGTGAAGTAAGAGCTCGTCGAACTCGCCGAGGTTTCTGTGGTGTGCTGGACACCGCTGTAGCCGATATTCGCGTGAATCGACTCGGGGGTGTGAACTGAAGACCCATCCGTGTCAGATTCCCCACTGTCTTCAACGAGACCACACTCGTTCAGGCTGTCCTGGTCCACCTGGCTCTCATCCTCGTCCGACTGGTCACTGCCACTTTCGTCCGACGACCATGGCTCAAACGTTGCGCGCCGCGGGGAAACCGGGAATGCGATAGTGTTCAGCGCGTTTATCGATGGAGCAGAGTGGTCGACAGAATGTTCTGAAACCCCCCGTGAGTGCGGCGAAAGCTCGGGCCATTGATCTTCCAGTTCATCCATACGCACTTGGGCACGGCGCATCATGCTACGCGCAACCCAAGCATGATATCCGCCACCCGGAGCAAGCACCGAGCTCGACATGGTGCTCACTGTCGAGCTTTCTGAGGACGACCGACGGTGATGCTGTTGGCTGGATTGTTCGTACAGCCCCGCTCGCGGTGCTAGCTCAGGGAGCACGTGAGCGCGAAATGCATCCACTAATGTGGACCGCGCCCGCCGTCGTAGAGCACGTGCACTCATTTCTTCGGATGGAGCAGGGATGATGGACGACAATGTCTGCATTTGCTGAACCGCAAGAGAAGACGGAAATGAGGATGCTGGGGCCGATCCTGGAGGCGTTTCCAGATTGCGATGGGTTCGAGGAGTCGTCGGTGGCAGTCCTTCGACAACAGTTGGCTGATCGCTTCGTGCGGTAGGGGTAGCACCTGACAGCGTAGAGAAAGACGCTCGGCGTGCGAAAGCTCGAAAGGGCGATGTTGATCGCTGACCAGCAAAGGAAGAACGTGAGGCAGGTGCCGAGGCTGGAATTTGTGCTAAAGGAGAGGATGGTGGCAAACCTGAGTTGTTACTCGCCGAAAATGTCCTAGAGATGCATCAGAAAATGCCTAGTAGGGACGGGCCGGAGAAGGGGATATGCCAGCAACAATCCCACGCCACAAAGAAAGAAGTGAAAATGCTTACTGTACTAGCGCCATCAGTAATGAACGGGAACGTTGTAGCCGACCCTTGGACTTTTGCCCTTTGTGCGTCGGTGGCGAGTTTAAGACGCGCTCTTTCTCCTTTCCCTTGTCGACTGGCACATCCTGGCACTCTGGGTCCGTCTCTGATTCCCTCTCCCTGCTTGCCTCTTGCAGTTGAGCCAGTTCGCGCTGCAATTTCTCCTCTCTTTCCCGATGCCGTGCCAGAGTTGCAGCCTGAGCTCTCTCAGTCTCTACCTTCTGCCAGTGCCTCGCTCTATCATCCACTCTTCCGCTCTCCTCCACATCCTCAATGACGCGCTTGAGCATCTGCTCGCACTTGTCTCCCAGCTCCCAATCTTCAATCTTTCCGTCAAGGAAAGTGCACGTCACTCTACGAACGGGGAGGTCAAAAAGCACCTCAGAGAGAAGAGACGGGATCCCAGCGGCGCGGTCTAACGCGTGAAGTGACGGTGGGGCTTCGAGGTCGTCGGCGGCTAGCCGTCCGAGTTGCATTGACCAGGCCGGCGGAATGGGAAGAGAGGGAGGGAGGTCGGGGAAATTTAAGGCAAAAAGGATGGTTGGAGGAACGGATCCTTGGCCTTGGCCATCTTTGCTAACTGGGCCGGTCGGAGGAGTCAATTTGATGAGCATGACTGGTTGCGCTTCGGAAAAGGCTAGAGAGCGTCGTCAAAGAAAGAATACGAGACGACGCCTTCGATGAGCCAGGACCAGTAGGAGAGCGGAAAGAGGGTATAAGGGATTGGAGACCTAGCGGCCGTTTTCGGAGCGTATTGAATAGCAACGGGCCTCCTAGAAGCGTTTATTAACTGAGACAGAGAAAGAATGGAGGTATGAAGGTGATTAGGCGGAATTCGAGCAAGGACGACCTCAGAGAAAGAAGCCGGCCAACGACTGAGGCAAGGAGAGGGAAGAAAGAAGACCACGCTCAAGTTCGAATAACGAATACTCGATCACGACAGGATCCCATCATCAATCTCGTCACCTTTTTGGTAACATACAATCTCCGCCAGATTTGCTTCCGTCTCTGAGCCCCACAACATGATGTCTCGCCACCACAGGCAGCAAGCGGGACCGAAACGACTCGGCGAGGAAAAGACCAAGTCTAGACCGAGAGCCAGTAGAACAGTGCTATCGTAGTCAGGAGCTGGAACACAATTTATTCGGGAGTACCGTGGTCATGTCAGGGAGCGCATCGCCCCCCTAAGCATGCCAGATCACGTTTTAGACCTGTGAAAGTGTAGGTTGTACGGACTGGTCGCGCCTCACAGTCAGTGTTGGCTCCAACTGTAGACAGTGCACCCGAGACATCGGTTCTATGCGCCGATAACTAACATTCAGGGTTGTACATCGACAAACATTCGGATGGACACCCTGACAGCATTGGCATTTTTCGTCATACTTTTGGGTGGATGTTAGTCTCGGAATAAAGTCATGTTTTACGAAGTCCTTGTTATAACCCGTTCCGTCAATAGCTCTAGGGATGCCTTGGCCTCACTGTCCGGCAGCAGCTGCAGCACTTCGCGTGCCTTTTCGGAATGTGCGTACGCCAGTTCCCTTGTTCTGGCCACCCCCGAGGAGCGGCGGACAAGGTCCCGTGCCTGTGTGCTCTTCAACTACGTGCAAATGTAAAAGGGCTAGACACGAACCAGCTCAACATCCCCGGGCTGCTCGAATTTGCGCATGATAAGGGGGCCCATTTCTGGATGCTCTTCCCAAGCATACAATGCAGGTCCGGTGGCAAGACCCAGTTGAAGATCGGCTCCTCCTGGTTTGCCTAACGTTGCCTCGCCAGCCTCATAATCCAGCACATCATCCACCAACTGGTTTCCGCATGAGTATGTCGCCCTTGAGGTAATGAATATACACTCGCCTGGAACGCAAGCCCAATGTTTCTCCCGTACGCGTAAGCGACCTCTTTCCACACTTCACCCTGCTCGCAGCCGCCGAGAATCACCGAGGCTCGACATCCTTTTGCCATAAGGCTAGCCGTCTTGAGGTATGTCTTCTTCAAGTAAAGGTTCCAGGCATCTTTGCTGACACTGGGAAGGTCCAGGCCCAACTCTGATGCGAATGCATCCTTCATCTGCAGAATCTCACCTTCCACGAGATTCGCAATAACACTGGCGATAAGTTCCACCACCTCTAAGTCTCCCAGCCGCGAGAGTGCAGTACTTGCTCGTCCTAGCAAGAAATCGCCGCCGAGGATGGACAGTTTGTTCCCAAAGGCTGCCGGTGCAGAGGGGGCGCCGCGGCGAAGGTCTGACGTGTCAATGACGTCGTCGTGCAACAGCGACGCAACATGTATCATCTCCACAATTTGCGCGAGGCGGCGTTGGGTCGGTAGTAACGTTGCATCCAATGTCGGGGTCAACAGCGACGACAAGAATTCTGGCGGCAGTGGCGGACGCTCAACACGTATCGTGGGCGCCGTTAACGAGAAAACGGTCTCAAACGACGTCGTACTGTCGGGCATACTCGGATTCCAGTCGTTCAAAACGTCGGCGCGCGCCAACGGTAGATCAAGCTCCTCCGCCCGCCCTCCCGCCCCTTCACATTGCGCTGCCCACGCCCTCTCCCTCCAGCTGTTCCCCAGTCCATTCGTCGCGCGCGCAAACAACAGCACGAGCATGGGCCGCATCTGCTTCGACGGATGCAGGAAGTAGTATTTTGCCAGTTCATCGAGCCCTGGGTGCGCCGACCCGAGAAGAGTGAGGAGGTTCGTCCGCAGTTGCTCAAGCTCGAGTGTTACAGGGGCAGCCGGGTCGCGTCGTTTCGCCGCGGGCGGCACCGAAAACGCCTGGGCGGGTGAAGCCGGTGACGAGTGCGATGCCTGCTCAAGTTTTTGGGCGAGCACAGAATAAAATCGGCGGCGGCATGGGCGCACGGCGGCAGAGGCAACATGTGCGCCCCATCGTCTCATACTCTAAGAGTCAAAGGCTGGCGCGCCAATGAAAGCAAGTAGTGGATGAGTGAGGTGAGAAGAAGCGAGAAACGGTTACGTTTCGACGGTGGACGAATTTGGTTTGGCAGTTTCCATTTTCTGCGAACCCGCGTTTATCGTACAAATCTAATCCACTGTCTATGGTATCGAAATTAAAGGCACAGAGCCCGCGCACGCACCAGCGTATATCTAGAGCACTCCCCCGAAATCCTTCAGAAAAAATACACGAGTGATACGTATCATCGTGTTCGGACGGGAGACGTCATTGCGGACGGCATGGGAGGAGGCTTGCGCACTGCCAAATGATCTCTGAACTTGCTCAGAGGCTTGGCCATCTGGTTGGCGAGCGCCTTGCCCTGAAGCTCCGGGTCAGAGCGCAAATGCTGAGTCGTCGCGGGGACATGCCTTGATCCGCAGGTCTTCCCAGTCCATCTCTTCCGTTGAATTGAGGGCGAGCAACATGAGAGGTTGATAGTCTTCGGGGAGAGGATGTGGTTGTGGACGCGCCTCAGGCGGTACATCGATGGGGAGGACAACGATACGACCCAACTGCCGTACATCAGTTGTGCGTCGGACTTTGCGCGCAGTCGGAAGTGCAAACGGCGCACACGCACCTCACAAGTAACCATCCCGTAAGGATCTTGAGTTTCTTGCCATACCTCTCCACTTAGGCCAGCGATCACGCGGACCTCATCCTTCGTCCGAGAGGCATGAGATGCGAAGGAGATGAGTTGTCCTGAGGGTGAGAGAAGCACTGCGGTATGTAGCGTGGGCGATAACGTTTGTCGCAAAGAGTCTTGTAGCCGCGACAGTACTAGCATGGTGAAGGTAGATGTCAAGTTGGTGAGTACCGATGCTTCCGTGGTTACGTTTCCGGAATTGCCTTTTTGAGTGAACGAAGGTTAGGCTGTGGGCAGGATGCAACTACGTTAGGTGGTAGATACAAGATTTATAGGTGCCCTCAAGCAGTACAGATACATCTCAGAAGCACAGCAAGGGTCAGAATTACACACGAAGGCAGGATCACTGTCGATCCTAAGAAGGTGGAGGCTTGCCATTAGCCGCTGCTTGACGCTGCAGGGAAGCCCAGGGTCAGCGGAAGAACTTGTCGCTGCATTCGAGATGACTGACCAACTGGTAAAGTAACATCTGCTGATACTGCTGCGGATTCGCAGCAGGCGGCGGAGATTGAGAATTCATGGGCGGCATCGCACCGGGTGGAGGCGTAACAGCTGCACCGGGGAATTGGCTCTGCTGATTATTTGCCTGCGCCTGCTGCAGGAGCGCCAGTAGATTGGGCGGAAGCGCGCTAAGAGCTGGGTTTAGTTGAGGAGCTACTGGTGGTGGTGGCATCCCATAGCTGTTTGATGGCGGACCAGCGGATGGAGGAGGATAGGGTGCAATTTGTGGAGCAGGCGGTCCTGCGTAGTAGGGCGCTTGCATGCCTGGGGGTGGCAGTCCGAGTGGTGGCTGAGCCCCAAGAGGGGGGCCAACAGGTGGCGCGGCTTCTGCTGGCTTGAGAGCTGCAAGAAGCTGAGGAGTGAATTTAGTTGGACTATCATGAACACGACAGTATGACCTACCGCTTGCACTTTCCGAGCTTGTTCCAAGCGATCGTCTGCTGGTCCAGCGGGTGGGGAAAATGCACCTGGGCCAGCACCCGCTCCTGGTGGCCCATATCCTCCTGTCTCATACCCGCCACCGCCACTTGAGGGCGGCGGGTTATATCCCGAACCGTAGCTGTTGCGGTTATCGAAGCGATCATTGCTGTAACCCCCGCGCGGTCCATAACCTCCGCGACCACCCCGACCATAGTCGTCGTCGCGTGGCCGACGGCCTCCACCCTCGTCGTACCCACCACCACCGCCACGACCTCGACCGCGACCCCTACCCCGCGGAGCACCACGACCACCGCGACCGCCTCTGTCTTCAGCGCTGTGCTGTGATTGGTATTCTGCGGTGAACATATACGAGCCGCTTACCCGTGTGGACTGGAAGTGTCGGTAGTGTCCCACGCATAAACTATATCCATCACTCCGTCTTGCAGTCCTTGATGCCGCAGGCGGTTGAAAGCCTCGTCACAAGCCTGCAGGTTGTGAGCATAAGATACAGACACGAGGAAATCCACGAACGCGCATGTCATAATATTCGACATAACGTGAACTGCGTCTAGCTCAGAAAACGAGTGAGAGCCGAAGCTTGTCCCACTCACTCTGAGCGGTTGTCGACAGGCTTGACTGCTTTGACATCCCCGAATTGCTGGAATTTTATCCGCACTTCATTATCGTCGATGGGTAGATTAGACACAGAACTCCGGAGAGTGACCTGCAGACACCCTTGCAGTTCCTGTGATGGCCATCAAGTTTGGTCCAAAAGTCCGTCATGAAAACTGACTTGACTCCTCTCGCGCTCGCTCTTGTTCTGATCGTCACGAGGGAGAGAGTAGTGGACATCAATCTGATGGAAGATCGATTAGTATACATTCGCTTTTACGGATGAACCACAACGAACAGGACGTCCACTGATCTCGGATCCTTGCAGTCGGTCTCGGGCACGTTCAGCTGAGCGCAGATCAAACTAGTCATCATCAGCATCTGGTCGAGAATGTTGGACGCTCAGTCATACGTAGGTCACAAAAACCATGCCGCGCGTGGAAATCAAGTCGAAGAAAGTCTTGATGTCTCCATGTTCCTGGAACTGTCGATATACTTCATCACTATCCGTTTCATACTGCATCGAGGTCAGAGAATCGATGCGCTCAGTCGGCAGCTCACTAGCCTTAATATTCCTGATGAATAGCGTCCGACACGGGCGTTCACGCTGGATACGTTCTTCAATAATCGAATCGTGTGCCTTGTCGTCTTTGTCCTTTCGAGGCGGGCGACGACCAGCATCATAACCTTGATTGTAACCTGCGGGATCCGCAGAACCTGCATCGCATAATACAGATTCAAATGAGAACAGGTCCAATGACGAAAATGAAAACTGAAAATAGGAGGAAGACAGACACGCGGACGAAACAAGGCGCGCGAGCAAAGATTCTGACCATTCACAGGTAACTCTTTCACTGCTCACGAGACGCTAACAATGTCCGGTCTCAGGTACTGGTCCAGTCCCGCGTGTCTTACGTGCAGTTCACGTTCTCCCTCCCGGCGAAGACTAGCTTAGATTCCAGCGCACCTTCATTGTAGTTCCGATAGCCCTGATTCTGTTGATTCTGCCCAGCATACTGAGGGGGGCCTTGAGAATACCCCGTGTTTTGATAATAGGCGTCTTGCGGAGGACCGCCATAATTCATATAAGGGCCGCCCATCGAGAGGTCGGAGGGCGGGGGTCCATACCCACCGCCACCACCACCATTGCTCATGTTGTTGCTGTGGTGGTCGTAGCCGCCACCGCCGCCGCCGCCGCCTCGGCCACGTCCTCGGCCACGACCTGCAAAGCGCGGCGTTCGTTCGGGCCCAGCACCAACAGGACCTCCTCCTCGGCGGGAGTTGTTGTTGTCGTATCCACCTCCGTACGGATGGTGGCGATTCATGATGACTGTCAACTGGCTCTGTTTTCTTGCTCGCTTGCGTATGCGGATTTCAGAGGCTTAGGGACAACGATGGATGTGGTTGGCCGCTGAGAGGGAGACGAAGCTTGAGATGTCGCAGAAAGACCTCAACAGAGCGAACTCAGTGACTACAGGATCGCACACGGAGTGGTGCACTAGGTGTGGGGTGCGACGTGTCGATGTGGTTGTGAGCAAAAAGAGACGATCAGATGATCGTGCCGGGGAGTTCCGGTCAGCTGGCCCGAAGCGGCACCGACTGCGCCATTGGCACACCGCTCTCTCCCTCTATCCTCATGTCTAAGCAGTTTCAGTTCAAGCTCGTGCTTCTGGGTGCGTCCAGCCGCTCAAATAAATTGAAGAATCTGACTCATGTGCTCCAGGCGAGTCTGCGGTCGGCAAATCAAGGTCTCTTCCCATCCACGCAGTCCCCACTACCGACGTTAATTGCTCGTTCAGTCTTGTCCTTAGATTCGTTAAGGACCAGTTTGATGACTACCGAGAGAGTACGATAGGAGGTGCGTTGGGATAGACATAGCGACTGCACTCGCTCACATCCCGAATAAGCCGCGTTCCTCACCCAGACCGTCACCCTTGAAGACCAGACAACAGTCAAGTTCGAAATCTGGTGCGGAATCTTGATCTGACGTGGCTGGGCCATTATTCAACTCTCGACTGCAGGGATACGGCGGGTCAGGAGCGATACAAGGTGCGTTTACTGTGCGGTACTCCACACAGATTCAAGCTGATGCCGTGCAGTCATTGGTATGCTATGCGCAAGCCACCCTCCAATTCATCCCTCATTTCGTCCCGGATAGGCGCCCATGTACTACCGCAATGCCAATTGCGCCGTTGTCCTATACGATATAACGTCGTCCGCCACCTTGGAAAAGGCGCGGACGTGGATCCGTGAGCTGCAGCGCCAAGCAGACCCCTCCATCGTCATCGCTCTATGCGGCAACAAATCGGACCTCGCCGCTCGTCGCCAGGTGACCGAGGAGGAAGCAAAGAAGTACGCCGAGGAGGAGGGTCTGATGTGGGCAGAAACGAGTGCCAAGTCCGGTGAGGGCGTTGCGGAGATCTTCACGGCCATCGGTACGTGCATCTTTTTTAGTGGCGGAACTTTGGTCCACGCTGCCCGCTGATCACGCACTGACTGTATCTCAGCCAAGAAGCTACCTTTGACTGCCCCTGCTCCTTCATCGCGCGCAGGTGCTGGTCGTTCAGGTGGCCGAGCCGGCGTAGATCTCAACAAGCAAGCCGCATCGCAGCCCGGACAGGAAGCGTGCAATTGCTAGATTGACTTACCCGACATCTCTCTACACTCTATCTACCGCCCTGTTTGTATCCTATTCTCTTCCATGAATCTCTCTCTCCCGGACCTGGAATACAGTATTTTGTATCGAGGACATGTGACATAAAGCCATACAGTAATCGTAAATGGGTTTGAAATTGATACAACTTGTTTACAGGCGCAAAAGCGAATGAGTCCCTCTAGCGTCAGCATCGATCCCTGTCCCCGCTGAATCCAATAAGTTATCGAATTGGCTTCTTAGAAGCCAGCATGCTCTAGTCCTTTGCGGATATCCGCATGGGCAAGCTCAGATTTCTGCACTTCCTGGCTCTTCTCCCAAAACCAGGCCTGATCGCGCATGCTGTCTGACAGCAGATGGTCCTGAATGAAGTTCATTGTGGACTCGTTCTCTGCAATCTGGTACGGCTTTGCCTGGGACTTGAGCATGACGTGGACGACATCAAACCAGCGCTGCCGTTTAACGAAGCTGATTTGGCCGTTCGAGTCGGAGAACTGGTCCATTATATGGATGATGTCGGTGAGATACATTCCAATGAATGGTATACTTGGGCCCTCTGCGTTGGAAAACAATGTTCTGTAGCCAGAAAACCCGCTTGACGGGTCGTTGGATTTGACGAGGGCGTCGAGAGCAGCCCTGCGAGAGACATGTGCCCGGTGAGTTGCAACCGAGTGATGACCGTGCTTGTTAACGCATTGATCAGAGCGCTCATTGACGCAAAGTTATTCAGTGCTTTGCATCGCTAAACATTCTCTCGTAAGCGGAATGGTCGTTCATGAGGCGAAAAGAGCTTACTTCAGCGACCTTGATCCAGAAATCGATCGTCTCCGCGCGTTTTTTCAATTGATCATTCAACAAGATGCTGGCTTTGATCCAAGAAGCTAGTTTGTCGTGGGTTGAGCAAAAGTTCGTCAAGTTTTCGACCGTCTTGCCGGACTGAGTCTTGGCGTAATGCAAGCACTCCTGAATAGTAACCTTCGCATAGAGCCGGAATTCCAGCAATGTGAGCTGCTCAGCAATATCTTGCGGGACGACTTGAGTAGCTTCGGGTTCTTGGGTCCCTTGTAACCCTTCTGGGGTGTTAAGCAGGGCACGACGGCAAATGTCTGGATATTGTCGAATCAGATTGTGAGCATGGGACAACACTCAAAACTGCTCACAAGGTCTTCGATGGTCTTGATGATGAGCTGGGCTGTCGACGCAAGAGGGGGCTGGGTGATTTGCTTCAGGAAATCTGTGAGCCGCTGAGCGATCCAAGGCTCTTCCTCGAGCAGTCGCTGGTCCTTCAGCCAGGTAGTGAACAACGTGAGAATACGGCCTTGCGTCGGTAGCTGCATCTTCTTGATCCACTCATCGGCCTCTTCCTCGGCAAGATGATCTGGCTGGTCCATGTGAAACCGGGCGACCAGTAAGTCGAAGAACTGGTTCGCAGTTGTAAATGTTCGGAACGTCGTCAGAAACACGTCTTCAAATTGACGTGCGTGGGATAGCTCTGTGTGCGAGGTAAGCGAGTTGCCAACGCCGCAAGAGCACTACTCACTGATCGGGTCCTTGGTTAGCGGTGTCGAAGCAAGTTTCTCGACCAGTCCCAGCAGGGTTCCTGTTCTCACTGCGCCCTCGGCATCATACTTGAGTTGATCGGAATACACGGGCAGCAGATACGAAGGCAGCGTGGCCTTCGCGATGGGAGTGTCTAACCAAGATTGGTCGCTTCCCGTCAAGTCTTTCAATTTCTTCAGTTGTTTCTCACTCGGGCTGGCCGGTGAGTCCTTCGCGGACTCGATGAGAACTGACAATCGAGCGGCGAGATCTTCATCCGCTCGTATTGGCTGTCGTCGATATATTCGTCCATTGCTTGGGCTCGGAGCATAGGATTCCGAGTCATTCGGTATAGGTGGTGTGGGTTTATAGAATGACTGTCCGGACACAGGCTGCAGCGGATGTAGCGGAGGTTGTGGCATCGGTGTCAGCGGTGACGGAGGGGGACGCCGCCCTCCAGGAGATACAGGAAAGTGATCTTTCCTCTGAATGAGCCATCATCGGCCATGACGTATGATAAACGCAGTGAGTGTTACGCACCGGAGACGCCACGCGATGAGCGGTAGATAGAACTGGAGATGAAGCAGGGGAGTCATCATACCACTCGCGGTTCTGCACCGTCGGAGCGGCGTTGTACAACTGCTCTGCGCTCCATTCGTACACGCGCAGCTCCTCTCGGACATTGAGTAGCCTTTCGGCCATCTCCTCGGTCAGCGGACTAACGAATGCTTGGGGCACCCAGCCGACGCAATCGCCCCCTCGCCGCATAGCCGCCCACCAACCGGTGTCCTCCTGCTTTACGATGTCGAGGAGCTCGTTCTTTCTGAATTCAAGATGATCCGGGTCGCTTGACTCAAAGTCGTACATGCAGAGCACAGAGCAAATTATCAGGCCGTCGCTGCTGTTTCCCGGAGAGGTTTCCTCTGTGCCGATGCTCGCACGCGCAGAAGATGAAGAAGGGGATGTAGAAACGTTAGGGTACGACGCGGTACGCAAGTGGTACGGAGACCGGTCGATGTCAACATGGAGAATCTGGCGGAGTGGATGAGGTTGGACCACGGCCATGGAAGTGGAAGTTCAAGAAGAGATATGATCAAGCGAATGCGGTGATGAATATTCCGTTATGTATGTATCCGACAGTTTCTACCCCGCAAGATCCTTGATGGGATGTATGTACACTACATTAAACCCGCAGGCGTGCCAGCGTACATCGCAAGGCCCAAACCTGTCTGAAACACGGAAAAAGATGACACTGCTTCAGCTGTGCTCCCTGCAGAATCTGATCAAAACACGACGCCTATAATACAGGCTGAATCAATCACGTTCAGCTACCAGGGAAGGTGAAGCTGTTGAGGGCACAGCCCGGCGCTTAGTGCTGGCTCCTGGGTGACTCGTCGAATGGACTGGAGCATATGAGACTACTGAGAGTCTGGACGGGCTCAGTCACCGTCCGACGATCGAATGACATTCATTGACACGCGCGGCAGTCTACCACTCTCGGCCAACTCTCGGCGGTTGTCCCATGGCCCCGACTGGCAGATGCTTAGGCGCACCCGGAGAATCCAGTTCCATATAAGGGCACGCATACACAGACCAGGGAGTGGATGAGTCGATTTCAGGCTTGAATTCCCGGCTTGTCCCGCGTCCGTTGTTGCATAGCAAATGGGGGCAGCGGTCCGTTCGGTCCGAAAGACACAGTGCTGGGACGTAAGAGCAAGGGTCCAACGTAATGCACGGCGAAAGAGTCCAGATCACGGAACAGCAAGGGTGGTGGGATCGGTGGGCAGGGTACCAGTAGTGAAGAGCGTTACATCGGCCTGGGCGCTCAAGCTCAAGGCTTGGACGGCTCAAGTGGGGAAAGTCAAGTGAGCAGACAGCTGTGGCGTGGTGGGTGATCTTCTGTCAGAGATCCAATCACATATGTAATCAGACTGACGTCACTCACTTTACTGCTTCATCTCCCGCAGCCATGCCGGCCTGGACTTGGAACGCACCCAAAGCCAAGGTGCGTGCATTACGTGGTGCGCCAAACGGACAACGTACGAGCAGCGCTGATTGTCTCTGCTCTCCCACTCGTCCCTTCGATCTTACTCTCTTGATCGTCGCGATAACATTCTCGAATTCTTAGGTGCAGCTTCGTCTCTCCGTGCAGCGTTTGCGCACCCTGCAACAGAAGAAGGAAGCTCAAGCCAAAGCTAGTCGCCGAGACATCGCTTCGCTGATCGAGCGTGGCAAGATTGAGACCGCCCGTATCAAAGCTGAGACCAGTGTGTGTTTAGCACCTCGCATCTATCGTCTAGTAAACGAGCGCGACAGTCATCAACGAAGATATCCATATTGAACTTCTGAACTGCTGGAGCTCTATTCAGAACTTCTGCTGGCTCGTTTCGGTCTCCTAGACCAGAAGTACGTTGCCATGATGGCTTTCGCGTCAGCAATTGAGAAACATCCACCAGCACAAGAGAACCCGATCCTGGGATTTCAGAAGGGGTCTGTTCGTAAGATCTGTCATGTCTTTCTCGAATGCGTGCGTTGATCTGCGATCCAGCATCATCTATGCAGCACCGAGAACGGAGTTGAAAGGTGAGCTGCGCCGATACGACCTCGTGGACTGATGCGACACGCACTAGAACTGCACATTCTGCGGGAGATCCTCATGCACAAGTATGGCCGGGAATATTCCGTTGCAGTGATGGAAAACAGGGACAACTGTGTCAGCGAACGGGTGCGTGGCCGGTCCCAATTTAGACTCGATCCTCACGTTTGTTGCAAGATTGTTCGCAAACTCGGAGTGGGGACTCCGCCAAATGATCTCGTAGACGCGTATCTGACTGAAATCGCGCGAGGCTACGGCGTCGAATGGACTCCGCCGGCCCCGGCTTATGTCGAAACCGCGCCACAAGATGTCGCACATGGTGATGCAGCCGAAAACTCCGATATTGAGGAAGAGAGCACGAAAGTCGACAACTCCTCGACAGGGAATCTGAAGGACAAGCTGGAGAAGAAAGTCGCAGAGGACTCGGCCTCGCAGAAGCCGCCGTCGTTGCCGTCGCTGCCGTCACAATCAAAGTCGGCTGCCTCTGTTAACGAGGATGACTTCGATGCGCTAGCCAGACGATTTGCTGAACTGAAGAAACGGTGAAGAGAAGTCGGGCCCTGTGTACGCTTTGGCACATTGTAGCATGCAGTCAATCGCTTGGAAAGGCAATTTGCCGAGAATGTCGATCAGCAAGCTCCGTCTTGGCGACTGGAGCAGCGAGCAACCATCCGCTTCGGCAGGCAACTGACATTCAGCACACACTCAAAGTTGAGACTCGTGTGGAAAAGCTGCCGGCGATCAACTCATCTTCCGGGCAGGCAAGGTGAAGGATGATGGATCCAGTGATGCAGCTGGTACATGGCATGGCATTCAAACCGTTACCAGAGCCGAGGGCAACATTCGACTGCCGGTGAACTCTGTCCTCTTGTTTGCTACCATCCTTGCAAAAGAGACACCCGAAAAGATACGTGCCAGACGAAGGAAGTCACAAGCGTGAGGTCGGCGGTGCCAGTGTACATATCTCCGCACTTCCTAGAAACGTGGTCGCTTCCGGATCACCAGCCAGCAGCAAGGCATTTCTTGGAGGTACTTAATAAAATACTGACCGCAAACCTGCAGTTTGATCGCACGTCCAGCCGCCGAAAGCCGACGGGTCCGAGGAGCCCGGTATTTCCACACCAAGTGTGAATTTGAGAGGGTTATTTTTGTATGATATAATACAACGTACTTGTGCGAATTCTGGACCCACTCACACCCACTCATGTCCAATACACCGTCGAGCGAGCGAAATCCGAGCCAAAACATGACCCTGATCCATAGATCCAAATACGGAACAAACAATAACCTCCGTAGCGTTTGTTCGTTTGTTCCGTTTCTGCGGCTCGGCAAACCGCCAACTTCCGCCGCCTCTACTTACACGGTTTGCGCGGGTGGACACCTTATTATGCTCTTGGCCTACCATCCATATTCCAACGCCCAAGTTTCCTCTGTCCGCCTCCTGCCTTTCCATGCCCAGCTGGACCGCCGAGTACGACAGCGATAACGACTCTGAGTCCCTTGCGTCGCATCCGCCCTTCAGCTCAGGCCCGAGCGCACGCAATACCGAAACATCCTATGATGCCTCCTCCATGCGCTCCGCGTCTCCGACGCCCTCCGTGTGGTCCATGTCGAGCTCGATGCGCGCCAACGCGTTCAAGCAGGCGTACGGTCGCGAGCTCAACAACTATTCCGAAATATATCGACTCCCCGCCGACGACGAGGAGCTTGACCGACTGAGTGCGTCTCTCCCCTCCGTGCATTCCCCGCAGCCTCGTTCCCCGCTGACGGATAGGTCCAGACAAGCAGCACGAGATGTTCAAAGACATCATTGGGAAATATCCTCCCGGACTGGTGGAGACGATGCAAGACGATGCGTCCGGGGAACGGAAAGCGGGTCTGGATCTGGGATGTGGGAGCGGTGCTTGGTGTGTCGGTCATCGTAGGGCATGCTGGGCGTTTTTGCTGACGTCAAGCAGGATAATGGAGTTCGCACGAGACTTTCCTCACTGTCAAGCCGTCGCCGTCGACTTGGTCCCCATGCAATCAGTGTACGTGAGGCATCTCTCATGACATCACGCACGACGCCTTTGCTCATGTTGCGCAGAACGATGCCTGATAACTGCAGGTGCGCTACCCACGCGAAGCTCTGTTCTACCGTCTCATGTCTCTGTCAGGAGCGAGGTCGACGACATCAATCTCGGTTTGGAACACTTCTACGGCGACTTCAATATCGTTCAGGCTCGCCTGATCTCTTCTGGGGTGAGTCACCGGACGTTGGATAGATGAGACCACGCTGACTGTTGGTAGATTAGGGATTACCGCCGATTGATCGACCAAGTCGCTCACTGCATCCGACCCGGCGGTTTCCTAGACATGATGGAATTTGATTTCCATGTGTACGAGCCACTTCCGGACGGGACCAAGCGACGGCTGGATCTGGACACCGAAACCATCGCTGGGCCCTGGGTCGCGCGGTGGTTTGTTTTCGCATCGGTCGCTGTGGAGAAGGCCGGGGGGCGATCCGATGCAGCGACCCATCTGCACGAGTGGATCTCCACGCACCCGGCGTTCGAGCAAGTCACCTACGCCGACGTCTGGCTCCCCATCTCTCCGCGCCCCGATATGGACTCGTTCCAGAAACGGGTGGGGATGCAGATGCGCGAGGATGTCCTGTCTTTCTTCAAGTCGGGGCGCCCGCTGCTCCTGGGGAGCGGGGTGCCCGAGAACATCGTCGACGAACTGCAGGTGAATGCCGAGCGCGAGATTCGACGCTCCACGAACACGCATCTTCTTCGCTGCCAACACGTTCGCGCACGCAAAGTTGTGCGCCGACCATCGTAATTGTGGCTGGAGATCCACACGCTTTCTTGCTTACGTCTATGTTTTCCCATCCTCTCTCTGGCATATCCATACACTCCATGCATAATTGTTTGGGCATGTACTACTGCAGCTATTTTTGAAACACACAACCACGCCTATGTATGGGCGATCACGAAGCAGGGCCCGTGACTTGCCTCCAGAAACGCTGTCTGACCGGTCGAAAGCATTTATCCGCCGCAGCTGGGAGGCTTCCGTCCGTCAAGTCTGCATCCATGCTTCGCGGATCTGTCTGTCGAGTAAGTGAACCACGCACGTGAAAGCCGTCAACGCCAGCATTGGCCGCAGGATTCTGGGGACCAACAAGGCTCGGTAGGAGAAAGATATCATCCAAGCGCAGACGTCTGTATCCGAATCGCGCGTGGGGGACTGGGAGTCTGGAACAACTAACTACCTCGCTGGTAACACACGGAGATGTGATGCAGTGAGAAGTGTGCGGTTGGTAGGGTCTGTGCGCCCTGGCCGATGGCTGTTTTGCATAAGCGGAAGTCTGACGGGGATTGCGCACGTGGAGCATTGTACGCCGTATGTACATAAGTACGTACTGGCCTCGCTGATACGGGCCTTACGTCCGAAAACTACGATTTTGAATACCCTATCACAGTCATGCCATTATCAGATAACGCAGATCAGTAGATAAAATCGGCAAAGCCCGGACGAACAGTTACGTAAAAAACCAACTCGCTCGTTACCAAACGCAGAGAAATGGCCATTCACACACACATTGTTAGCACGGAAGTAGGTACTGTATACAAGAGTTACATGGGAATCAATAGGCACACAGTGTGGTTCAGCGGCTATAGCCGACAGGGTATATGTTGGCGGGCCCATTGGACCACCTCCTCGCGGGCATTAAAGAGAGGATTGAACGGACCAACAGCGAGTACATTCCAGCCGTTGTGCCCGTAGGCGAGTGCAGACGTGCTGAGAAGCGGAGTATACATTGCCGCAGCAGCAAGTGCGAGATAAGTGTGATAAGGGTCTGCAACGATCAGTGGAAGGCAGTCATTCTGAGTGGAGCACACCCACCAGGGTATTGGCCGGGAGCTTTGGCGATGCCGCCATACGAAAACTGGCATGCTGAGATAAAGTTTACAAAGGCATAGGCGTCCACTTTGTCCTGCTCGCCGAGAATCTGTGCACTCGAATCAGCATCACACCGAGGGTGGCGTCGAGTTTGTCTGTCCAACCTGGAGAGCGCCACCACCCCAGAAGCAATAGCAGGCGTCGGGCATCTTCCCTGTCCGGCCGCGGAATCCCCCGGATGCGTCTTGGTTGTGCACAAGCCAGTAGATAGTCCGATCCTTCTCCGAAGGTGAGAGCCTCGGGCGTGATGAGTGCGTAACCATCTGCAGCGCTGCGATGGCCAGATAAGTTGTGCCACCGTGAGCCTCTGCGCCCGGTGTTTGCCCATATCCTCCTTCATAAGTCTATCGATTCCCGTCAGAGGCGGGTGGACGAGCAGAGGGGTGACAAAGCTCACGCGGCAAGAAGCGATGTACGCCACAGCTCGCTCGACATTGATGGACGACCAACTCTTCAGCAGGGCGCAGATGCCGAATGCGCAATATAGATTTCGCAGGTCACAGTCGCCCACACCAAACGGCATCGCCGAGAAACTGCTCGTCGATCAGCACATCGGGCGGACAGGGCGAGCATAAACGCACCTGCCATCTGCCTTCTGGCAGGATTTGACGAAATGCGCGAGACCAGAGCGGCTCAATCTCGTGAAATCGTCGCGCAGAAGGGCCAAACAAAGCAGTGCAGTGTACGTCATGATGATGTGTGGTGCGAGAAGAGGAGTCTATCAGACACTGCGGTCAACACGGCAATCCCCCAAAAAAGCGAAAGTCCGAACCGGCGAATTGGTAGACATGAAAGGCCCCGGTCTGAATCCAGCGCCGAAAGATCCACCTGGAACGACCTGAACACATAATCTCTAATCGATGCAGCTGATAGGCTAACCGGTGTATTGCTCCCAGACCCAGCTGCGCCACGAGGCCCGGTCCATTTCGGTGGTTTCTTGGTGAAGCACACCAAGCAAATCCATAGTTCCGATGCAATAGAAGATGATGGACATCCTGCAAACGGCGTGATCGGGTCCGCGCGGTGGTGCGATTGCGCTTACCTGGACGAGTCTAAACTGACTTGCTGGCCAGGAAGTTGCGCTAGAGCCCGTTTGACGTGCATCAAATGTGCAGAGCGAGCGAGTGGAGGAAGAGGCTCCCGCTCCTCCGTGTGCGAGTCGTGCATCTCGAGTCCTGACAGCAGCCTGTGCCCAGGGCACACTAGCTCTTATATCCCATCCCGTTGTCGATGATCAGCGAGACAGGGAACTACACGCAACTGATCAAGGCCGTCCATCGACGTCCCGGGATGCGGCGATCCTTCTGTCCTGAGGGCTGGGTGGCTCCCAACGAATGTTCCGGACCGAAGGTGCGTACAGACCGCGTTCAGCGTGAGCGACGTGATGCTTTTGGGATCCCATCGCTGCCTGCAGGCTACTGCTATACTAGACCCTCGTCATCCGCGAACTTGGCGCACCGTGCACCGCGGGGGAAACTTTATTCCCGGATTCTAGCAGCCAGGACTCGGGACTGAGCTCAGAGTCTACGCGGGGTGTCGGCACAGAGAATGGTGGGACCCCCCGCCGAAGCAGCGCATCTCGGCTTCGCTTCTACATTCGAGCCGCAACAGGCACCGTGCATCACTTCCAGCGGAAAACGAGGAGACTCGAGAACCAGCGATCGAGTCATATCATGTCATGCGGGCGTGCGTCCGTCCGCAAAGTTCCGTACGCCTTCCTCTCGTTGTCATCGTCGCACATCTTGCAAGAGAGACGTGAGACTGGATGGGATGAAATGAGTGTCGTGACAAGAGTTACACAGTCCCCCATGTTTTAGAATGATCATCGGGAGAAGTACGATCGTCTCCAGAATAGCTGTGTATTGACGACTTCTCGGATTTACACTGCTTTGAGAGGTCAAAATGGTCGTAGATCGTCACGGCTGTATGAATTTTAGGTAGAGAGAACGTCATTTCAATATGGCTGATGACAAGAAAGAGTGACTCGGCTATTGCCGAAAACGTCCGCGGCGGCTACTTATGATAGTCTTTCCCAGCCTTGCTTGCCATCTCGCCCATCTGGGTCGGCCCATCTCCATCGCCACGATCTGATTCCCACCATGATACCTCGATGACGCGCGTAGAAGCTCGCTCACGACATACCTCGCATGGCCGCCGCCATCTCGTACAGTTCTCGGGCAATCAGGGCACCCAACTCCCCTGACTTCCGCGCATACATCACGCACAATGGCTGCGATGTCTCGGCCTTGAACGATATCCCGCTCTTCCCCCCCGCGCGTCCTACCGCCGCCTCGGAGCTGCACGTACACATGATCGTGCACGCCGGGCGGTGGACCAACGCGCACATGACGCTCGACACGCACACCGCGTTCACACCCATCAGACCGGTCTTACGCGGGCGCAAGGTAGCCTATGTCAGGAACGTATTCCCCCATCGCGGGTATATCTGGAACTGTGGGATCCTATCGCAGGTTCGCACTCTTCTCTTCTCCGTCCCCTTCATCCATCTTCCGCCACATCGCGCGGGCCAGAAGGTGTTAACATTCTCTGTCAGACGTGGAGCGATGGTGGCCCGATACACATCCTGGAGGTAGGAGACCGAGTCGCTGACTTGGGGGAGGTGCGCGTGGTGCGCGTGTTGGGTCTTCTCGCGTCGCGTGACGAGGGACAGCTCCGATGGGCGCTACTCGCCGTGGACACGGCAGACGATCTTGCACAGCGTCTCTATAGCCTCGCCGATCTCGAGCGAGTCTGTCCGGGGATGATCACTGCGACCAAAGAGTGGCTTAGGTTTGTGGCCGCCGTGTTATACTTACACCCCGTGATCGTATATTGAAACACATGCGCGCGCACAAGGTTATACAAGCTCCCTGACGGCAAGGATGAGAATACGCTCGAATTCAACGGGGAGGTCAAACCTGTCGACTTCGCCCGTGAGGTCATATCCAGGTGCCACGACGAATGGAAGAATCTGGTTTACAGCTCGGGGGCTGCTGCGCATTTTGATCAGTCAGCAGCAGTCTTCGGCTGAGCCTCATGGTCGCGCTGATACCAAGTCCTACAGGACGAATGTCACTTTGCGTGACTCTCCCGGTTACTTGGCACTAGCCAAGTCGCAAGAGGAGCAGTCAAGAATCGACGAGATGTCTATCTGGCCTGCAAGATCAGGCATGTATTCCTTCCTCTGTCTTCCTTTCATTATCGCTCGCTAAATCAAAGCAGCATCAAAATGGTGTTTCATTGGGACTCAACTGGCTTGATCACTTGATTCAACAAGATCCAAAGCGCATGTAGATTGAGATTATTAATATACACATGGGGTATCCCGGAAAGAAACAAGATAAGTTTACGTGTCAATGATCAGTCGTCGTCGTCGTCGTCGTCCCGAGCCCCGGGCTTGAACAGAGCAAGCAGGTCGTCCATGCCCAGCTTCATGTTCTTGATCTTGTCTCCGCTCAATGCAGCCTTGGCCAGCAACCGTTTCTTTTCCTGCAACTAGAGGGCCGATATCAGTAAGCGCAACATGTCATGGACATCTCTGCACTCACGTCGAGAATACGGTCTTCGACGGTGTCATCAATCTTCAGCTTGTAAATATTTACCGGACGGGTTTGGCCAACACGGTGAGATCGGTCAAATGCTTGATCCTAGAAGTTCTATCAGAAAAAAGAGCAAGAACGCAAGAGCTCGTTCGCCATACCTCGAGAGCAGGATTCCACCACAGATCGACCAGAATAACGTTGTTACAGGCAGTCAGGTTGAGCCCTGTCCGCCGTGTTTGTTCGGTAATATCCGATAGCAGAAGAACGCACCAGTGCTCCCGGCCTTGAACGAGATAAGGATGACCTTGACGCTCTCGCTCTTTTTGATCTTCTCCAACGCAGCCTCACGGTCCACAGGCTTCATTGATCCGTCATCTAGAGTCTGTAAGAATACCAGGAAAGGAGATGATGATCAGAGACTTGCATCGGACATAATGCACCCCCGCCTCATACAAGAACGGCTCCAACAGATCGAGCATGGTGGTGAACTGAGAAAAAATGATGGTCTTTTCGACACCGTCTGATCGAGAGTGAATGTCGCGGAGCAGCTTGAGCACCATGCGGATCTTGGCCGATGAGTTGCGGTCCCGGTCTTCCATCCTCGCTTGGAGGGCCAGCGAGGCACAGCTGATGCAGAACGCTTCGCCAGCGGCCATGCTCCTGGCGTCCATCCTGAGCGAAAGCTAGAGTTCAATTCAGGCGGCAATCGGCACGTCAAACGACGCACTCTGTCATGCATACTTGACACGTGCGTGTAGCCACATTCAAAGCACCAAAAGCGGCAACAAGATCGTCCCCGTCCACCTCACTTGGGCTGTCTGAGCTCGCCGTTTTCTTGGCCCGCGGCTCAACGGCATCAAGGTCAGTTTTGTAGTCCTTCGACACCAGGCACGGGTGGTTGCAAGCTGCAGAGTCACGTCAGACCTGAGGGGATCCTTATAATACAATCATTCAATACTGACCTTGTCGCAAACGCAGCAGCAACAACAAGACACTGATGTAGGCACTTCCACCTTTGGCCTCACTCTCCTTCATCAGCTTGTTCATCGTGTCCTCCATCTTCACCTCAAGCGCAGAATAGAACGCCTGCTCAGAGGGATCAAAAGCGCAAGAAATGACGTTGATGGTCCGCGATGGAAGATCGACGAGAGCCTTGCCGTTCAGCTGCTGGTTCTTGGTCCTTCGTAGCATGATCTGCTTCAATACAACCTGCAACCGTTTCATCGCACGGCCGGCCCCCTTCCCGCTCTTGACGGGTTTCGCGATCTGCAGGTTGAAGCGCTCCCATTCGTTCAGTGGTTTGATGCGGAGAAACTTCAACAGGCTGAAAAGCTCGTCGACACTGTTTTGCCTGGACAGCTTGTTCAGTATTCAGTGCAGGTGACTGCAGCCCAGAAGGGACTCACATAGGTGTGCCAGTCAAGCACCAGCGAAATTTGCCTTGCAGCGCACAACACGCGATTGAGTTTTTGGTGTTGCGGTTCTTGATATTGTGTGCCTCGTCTAGACGGAAGCGATCAGAAGTCTGTAGCAATGAGTCACGCCCAGAACAGTCCCGTACCAAGCACAATCCTCCACCACTTGATCTCGAACAGCGGATGCACCTTGGCCTTCGGCTTCGAACCCGCCGAAGCTTTGCCCTTCTTCGCAACGGTCCGTCCAAAATGTTCCGCATCGCTGTCCGAGTCGTCATCCGAGGCTGCCTTCTTCGTCTTGGTTACAGTAGCTTTCGTCTCGTCCTTGGCCGTAGACGCAAACGCAGCGTGCTCGGATCTCACTGTATCATACGTCGTCACAACGATGTGCGCGCGGGCCAGTGATTGGGCATCTATGGAAGATGATTAGAGCAGACAGAGGAACAAGACCTGACCCACTCTTGCTTCGGCTGGGGCCCTGGTGCTTGACGATGACGAGCCCCTCAGCCATCTTATTTGCCTCTTCTTCCCACTGAGCAACGAGTGCCAGTGGGCAAACAACCCTAAAGACAGACATTGGAGATCGATGTTTGTTAGAAATAGATACTCGAGCTTACAAGGTCGGTGCGTGCCACCCTTCGTCTCTGTCCTTCTTCCTAGGACGGTTCCCAACGACGCGGGTCAAACATTGAATGGTCTTTCCCAACCTGCGAGAGAGGTTGGCATCAGGCGGAGCATGAAAAAGGAGGCCGCCCACATACCCCATATCATCAGCCAGAATCCCTCCAAATCGCTTCTTGCTCGGGTCTTCGCGGTCGCGCATCCACGCGCGTCCAAGCACCTGATGCGGCAGCAGTCTGATGTTATCCCGGAAGCCGGGCACAACCGCCTCAGACATGTCGATCTCCGTTTCCTCGTCGGCATTCGTGTCCGACGCCATCAAGTCGCGCAGGGCCTTCTCCGCCTGGTCCGGGCTCAGCGAGTCCATGAAGCCCGGCTCACCCTCGAAGTCAGGCACGCGCACGTGCTCGTCGTCCCCGTCGTCCTCCCGGATCGGTGGCCCATGCTGGTACGGCTGGGGAACAGGCATGCGGACGGGTGCGTCTGGGCGGTACGCGCCAGAGGACTTGACCCCGAAGCGGTGTTGTTGCTGAGAATGCGTGTGGCCCATGCCTTGTCCGTCGTCGTTCGGGCGAGTGCCGTCGAAGTTCTTGTTCAGATCTTTAAGTATCGGCCTATGGCTCCACATCAGCATGCACGTCACTCGACGCGGACACCATATATATGTATGTGTGTGTGGATCAGGAAACTCACTTTGCCGGTTTGCTTGCTGGTGCTGCTGGCTCGTCCTCCTCATCAGACGAGATCACAACCGCGCGGCGCGAGCCACTTCCCACGCGCGCGACTGGGTGCGACGGACCGGAGCTTGCTGCCGAGGTTGAGCTGGTGGAAGAGACGGTCTAGACGTGGCAAAGTCAGGCTAAGGGGTATAAGACTGGGCGCAATGCATACCATGATCGAGATGGGTGGGGTCGCTCGTGTTGGGGCGGGCATGCCAGGGAAGAGATCCGGATTCTCAGCCATACGGCGGCGACTGAAAACTCAATTCAGCACGGAGCAGACAACCTGAGAATAGAACTAGACGTGCATTGCTTCCATGTCTATGGTGGTAGTATTGGTCGCTCTGCGAAGTGCTTGCGGTGGAAAACCAAGTTAGTCTACTCAAAACAAACGCGTTGCCGTCTTTAATCAACCGCGGTCACGTGCCTGTCTATCAATGCACGCTCACTTTCTTCCCACTCTCGTGCCACGCACGCCCTGCACATGGATTGGCGTTATAACATGCCTGTGATTGTGTTGAAGGATTAACAGATCCGCCAAGTAGCTCTTCGCGAGCTGCGGCCTACTGCGTTTGCTGCGATCTGTCAAATAGAACCACGTCCACGATTACGAAAATGCGCGTCTCCTTCTCAAATAAGGCGCTCTCGAGCGACGGTGTCAAGCATTTTTATTGAACTTGCCTGCGATACAAAAACTCATGAGCGACTCGACTCCTCTCCTCGCTGACGTCGACGGCGTCGACACTAAGGCTTCCGACCTCAAACTCGACGCCGAGGCTGAACTGGCTGCTCCGTTGGCCTTCCGGATGCCTGCTGAAGATGGCCCGAAGCATGCATTCCCTATCAACGCAAGAGGGATCCTGCTGCTCCGTAAGTCCTTCCCATGTACAGTAAAAGCATTCATGAACGTGTCACTCCAGTTTCGCTCGTCCTCGTTGAGGCTATCTGGACGGTGTTCGTCGTGATGCTGGTATTCGTTCCTGCATGTGGGTACCGTCCATCTGCGTCCAGACTCCTGCTCATTTTTGAAGTCGGTATCCTCATCCCCGTCGCTGTGTCTACCGTGCCGAGTGCCGTGATCCTCGGTCTGCTGTAGGTTCTTTGCTTTGCAATCCTTCTAGACAAGTACTCAATGGTATACCAGCCTATACGCGGGCCGCCGTCATCACACCGCCGCTAAAGCGAACGGAGACAAACGCCCCCTGCGCCGCAACATCAACCAAATCCGGGTGCTCATGGTCCTCGGGACATCCTGGCTTGGTGGGTTCTAAAACGTCTCTGCATCCACCCAGCTGATCCAGATATAGTTATGGCAATTCTGACTGCGCTTTTCGTCCCTCTGCTGTGTGCTCCGCTCTTCCTGCTGTGCCTCATTCGTATGTCCGAGATCGTCTCGGTAACAAGCATTGTCACGCTCATCACGCATCTCAATTTGAAGTGTATCTTGCGGTGTATGTGACCTACAGACAGGCCGTGACAGTGCACGGCGCTGACCCCAGGTCGCTGTTCCCGTCGGAGCGTCGAAATGGAGACTCGCCGACGTCAGCGAGCAAAGCGACGGCGGAATTCAGATTTGATGGATTTTGTAAACGACCTCTCATATGCGTCGTGTCACAGAGCAGTCCAGATGAACAGGTGGGGCGGTTTTGACCCCGAATATTCGGGCAATTCCGCCAGACTTTTGAGCGGTATGCCAACCAAATCCTCTGCGCGAAGGGCTCCAACATGGACTGTACATAGATTAGTAATCTTTGCAATCACACATTCTTTCGAAGAGGTTGTTGAGCTCAGACTGCGTGCGAGCATACTTGTCATACGGGTGGACTTCAGCTGTCACTGAATGCGACTGGTTTAAAAGAACGAAACCGCCATATGCCATTTTATGCTTGTGTTTTAGGACCAGGGCAAAGCCTGGCCATCTGTACGCGATAACAAGGTAGACAAATAGAGAGAGCGATGCTCCCGTCTGCCCTCTTGGCGTGCGCCCACTCCTCTCCCCGTCGCCCCAATAATAGTCCGATGATTTACTTGCGCTTCTTGACGGAGCTCTCGTCCTTCTTCTCGCCGCCAGCAGGCGCCACGGGGGCAGCAGCCTTGCTTTTCTTGTCGTCCGCAGTCGGGGCATCAGTCTTCTTCGACGATTTGGTGATGGGCTTCTGGCCAGCGCCGACAAGGCCGAAGAGAGCGCCGATCATGCCGAAGAGGGTGATCAGAGCAGCAATGAGCGCTCCGCCGGTCTCGGGCTGCGTCTTGAAGGCAACAACGGGGTCAATCTTGGCCAGGTCGATAAACGCGAAAACCTTGTTGCGGATGAACGCCATCGGGTCCTGCTTGAATGACACCTCTTCCTCATCTTCGTCATCGTCCACCTTCGGCTTGGCAACGGCAGCCTCAAGAGGCTTCTTGATGTCGAAGGTCTGGGCGGCAAGAGCCTTGGCGTCCTCGGGCGAGTGTCCAACGTAGATGTTGTCGAAGAGGATGTCCTCAGTCATCGTCCAGAGCTCAATACCGACACCACCCTATGGGAATATGGCCTAATTAACGAATCCGTGCGCAGAAGTACTCTACTCACGATCTTGTTCAGACTCTTGACAGGGGCGAGGTCCTCGAAGAAGTCGGGGTTGGCAATCTTCTTGGGGGCCCACTCGCCAATGTAGAGAGGGTTGTCGACGAACGGCGCGTACCACTTGCCCTTGTAGGCAGGGTTGGCAACCATGGGGCTGAGTCCACATCAGCAAAGCCAGGCAGCCGTCAACAAAAGATAACACACCGCTTCCATTCACCGCAGCCGGGAGCCTCGGCACATGCAGGGTTGGGCACGGTCGGGGCAATCCAATCACCATCCTCCTCGTCGTCCCATTCCTCGGGCTTCTCGGAGTCGGGGTCGGGAATAACCGTGGGTGCGTCATCGAGCCAGCCTTCAGGCTTAACGGCCTCCTCATCAACGATCTCGTAAGGGGCCTCCTCGTCCCAGTCCTCGGGCTGCAAACAGTCCGGTCAACTGATGCACTCGTCACGTGCTTGATGAGGTAAGCGTACCTTGACGGCCTCGGGGTCGGCGATACGCTTCTCATCAACCCAGGTCTCGGGCTTGACATCAGTGGGGTCGTCGATCTCGGCGGGAGGGTTGACAGGAGGCTCAAAGTCCTCGAGCAGGCTTCCAGATTTCTCAGAGATACCGTTAACGAGGACCTCGAAGGTGTTGTCGGGCCTGCGTGTAATTATAAGCTTCCGCACACGAGTAGACAAAACTAGTCGCAGTTTACGCACTTGACGATGAGCGTGTAGAGGTTGGTCAACTTCTCGATCGTGGGCTTGGGAGGCAAAGAGAGGTGCTTCTCCTCGTATTCGCCGGACTTGGGGTTCTTGTGGCGGAAGATGAAGTGAACCTGGATTGCGCGTCAGCACGCGCGCGCAGTTGAGTCCAGCTACGTGGCACACGAACCTTGGTTCCCGGGCAGGTCAAGTCAGGACCGAACATGACGACCCACGGAGTGGTGTCGGAGAACTCCTTGCCACTGGTCTGGAAGCCATCCTCGAGCAGCTTGAGGTATCCACCACCGCAGTTGCCGCCCTCCTGGTACTTGACCTCGTACTGCACGACGAGAGGCTTGTCCTTGAAGTCGACGGGCTTGGCGAAGGGCGCGGAGATGGCGTGGTGAGCGGCCTTGCTCTTCGCGACGAGACCGAGGTCGCCCTCAATGACGGAGATAGATGGCTCCTCGACCTTCCATTGGCCGACGTAGCTGAAAGTCTCACTGCCAACGGGGGTCTTCTTAGTAGCCTCGGAGGGCGTCCAGCGGTCAGACCAGTCCTCGGTGAATTGCTCGAGGAAGGGGGCAGAGATTTCAGTGGGCTGCACGTAGAGTTGCGGTGAGGAATACGAGCTAGCTGGCGACACGACACGTACCTTGAAGGAGGGTTTGGGTTCATCAGTTTGAGCCAAGGCGCCAGAGGCAGCCAGGGCAAGGACAGAAAGCGCTACGCTTCGCATGGTATACGAAGGGCCAGAAGGGAAATTACAAGACGGAGGGAGAATGAGCTGTAGTTTGATGAGAGCCGAGCGGCCACGCTTTTAAAATACGTGTAGATTCGCCACGTGATCAAAGTATCGACGTGTCACTTCTCGCGAAGCTTCAAAGGTGAGAGCCTGTGAATTCGGAGACATTATCATTCTCTACGATACATACACGGTAAATACAACGACGATTTTAGCCAAGAAGGTCAGCGTGCCCAGAAGCCGACAAGGCAAGCTAAAAGTTGGCATCAGCAATGCATCGAGCCAATCCCCTGTACGCGAAAGTGACTAACCACAAATTCGTCATCCAAGTATTTCGAGACTGCAATCTGGTCTCCGAGACCTTTCCTCCTACGTGTCTTGAGAACCAAATCACGCGCCAGTGCTTGCGCGGAGGCCGGCTCTAATGGCCGCAATTTGATGCTGGTGTCAGTCGGGTCACCTGCCGACGCTTCGGTCAGTACGAGAGATTCGAATCCGCACGTGGGAAAACAACGGCACCTAAGACAACCGCCCAGTGATCGAACACTTGTAAGCAAAAGGCCTGACCCTGTGTTGCTGTCCGCAGATCGGTCTCAAAGCCGTTTGCGTCGATGACGGGTATGAGCGCCTTGACAGTGTACAGCGGCGACCCTGCTTTCGGGGTGTCGTGCGTCACATGACCACGACGTCGAGCGAGAACGGTGTAAACTGCAGAGATACAGTCTGCGGGAGCTTGCACTTCCACGTAGTAGATTGGCTCCATCAGCCGAGGTGTAGCCTGCCACATCTAAGTTGATATGATAAGAGAAAAAGAGACCAGAATGCCCACCATCAAGAATGAAGAATAGCACACCCGGCGCGCTGTAGGCACAATCTGTCCACCGCCGCGGAATATCGGCTCCTGGGCGAGGCTTGCGTCCAGCAAACGGAACTTCACATTCCGCATGGCTAGAAAGACCCGATCAGTCTCGGATCAAACATTCGGCATCCACTCACGTTCATCACACAACGGCCCTTCTCTGGCACCCCACTGGAAGCCCTGTTTGAGGTGGTCCTTGACGGTGCCCAGCATCTTCTTGTCGATCTGAGACGGTAGTGTGTCATCCAGCAGAACATTGGGCCCGCTGTCGTCTGGACCAAACGCCCAGATTGATCGCGAGGCAAGAAGATCCCACTGGTAGTTCTGTTGGAAGAACGTCCCTCGTTCTTTTGGCGTCATCCGCATGTTGACTCGCCCACGCTCGATGTCCTCAGCAATCCCCCGTTCCAAAGGCTCTGCGATCATCGTGATTTTGTTCCTAGGTTTAATCAGTATCAGGCAACACATTCAAAACGAAGACCCACTTTTTATTGGGTGTGTCCGCATAACACTTGAGCGCGCTCGTCTCCAGAACCGTCTCGCAGAACTTGGTCACGGGATCCGAGACCTTGATCTCTATCTCCGAGAACAGTTTCCGCAGATCGTGCATCACCGAGTCCAAGTATAGTTCACCTGTCCCGATAATCACGTGTTCGCCACTCTCCTCCACCTTGGTCGCTAGCAGCGGATACGACTTGTTCACGCTCCGCAGCCCGGAGAGCATCTTCGGTAGCTCAGATGGTGCGATAGGTTCGATGGCGATCTTCAGCACGGACTCTGTCATGTGCTTGATGGGGCGGAAAATGTGTAGGTCCTCCTCGATATTCATGCCGGCCAGGGTCGCCGATTTAGTAATGGAGGCATCAACACCACCGAGAAGAACCAGGTTGCCGGCCGTGATCTCTTCAGCAGGAATAAAGTACCTGTGCGCGAGTCAGAGGAGAATAGACAACACAAGCAAACCACACACCTAGCTTCGCTGATCCAGATGTCCTCGACAGTGGCCTTCATCATGTCTTCCTCGTCTTCGGGCGAGTAGCCTTCACCCAGGACTTTGATCTCCATCCCCTTGCGCACAGTGCCGCTCATCACACGTCCAAAAGCACGGAATGACTGAGCGTCGGTCGTCTGGTACAATTTGCTGATCTGCACCATGACCAGACCCTCGGGGTCACATGCTTTCATGGACGCAACCAGCTCCGAGCTCTGAGGACCACTGTACGTGGCTTCGACCTACTTCAATCAGCATCCAGAAGAAGATAAGGGAGGCTGAAAGAAACACACTTTGTTCTGAGCGCTCTCCAGGGGCGAAGGAACGTTCTCCACGATAACATCGACCAACCCAGTGGCTGGACCAAAAAACTGGGCCAAAATGACCTTCAGCAAAGGCCGCACGTCCATCTTGTACATGACTGGCTTCAGCCGAATACCCAAGCTCTCAACAGTAGCCTTCAGCTCATCGACGTCCTCGCTGAGGACGTGGCTGTACAACTTGTACAAAGGATCGAGGATGAAATGCACAAAGGTTCGATTGGATTCGGGATCTTCCGGTTTCCGCGTGAACTTGCGTTCGCTCGAGTACCAGATGTCTCCCCATAACCGATCAGCAAAGGCCCGCACATCCAATGACCCTGGCGTCGAATCAGTTCCATGATACGTTCGGGGAGGAGCAGAAAACGAACCATAGGCATCGGCATACATCTGGGCAAAGGAGCGCAGCGTGAAACACCAACTCATATCCGTGCTCGCGAATGCGACGTTCCCATTCTCGGGGCTGAGTCGCAATTCTGGGTCAGGGTCAATTCCACTGCGCAATGAGACGCTTCAGCTTCGGCATGAATGGAGTGGAAGTAGGAAGACGCACGCAATGAAAGTGTTGATTTCTTCAATAGTGTGCTTGATTTTGTAATAAGCGTCTGCGGGCTTGATCCGCAGTTCTAGGATGAGCCGGTCGATTTTGTTGACCACCAGAGTGATTTTGACACCCTCTTGGAGTGCGTGGCGGATGGTGTTTTCAGCACCAATCATAAGCTGCCTCTCTCAGTAAGCAGTCACGGGACCACGACATTGGGCGGAACATACCCCTTCGACAACGTCGACTACAAGAAGGATTCCATCCACGAGTCGGATTGCGCACGCGACCTCGTCGACAAAATTGACGTGCCCAGGGGTGTCGATGAGATGCAGTAGGTGGGATTTGCCGGCAGTGGTGGAGAGGACTAGCGACATCGGAGAAGATTTGATAGAAATATCTCGCTCCCGAGACAGAACGTGTGTATCCGTGTACCGAGTCTGCAGCCCTCGTTATACGGGGGGCACTAGAGAAGGAAGAACAAGGGCGGCAGCGCACCGGTCGGTCAGCATCCCACACGAGCTTGTGCGTTTCGAACACGAGCATGTCCATGAGGGCTGTTTTTCCGTGATGCAAATGCCCGACAACGGCGACATTGCGCACCATCTCGGGGAACGTCGTCATGTTCAACAAAAACCTGACAAGCGGGCAGACCCTCGCATCAGCCCCGACACCACACTCGCAATTGCACTCGCAGTCCCCAGCCCACGCACCCTTTGTCGAATCGCGTCTCCGGCATGTCCTTCTCCTCGATGTTCCACTTCCGCACTTTTATGGGCGCGATGATGGGCTGCGTGAGCGGCTGGTTATCCTCCTCCTGTACCATCGTCTCGACGTCCGGCCCATATACATCCGCAGCAGACGGGTAGTACTGCTTGTCTTCGTGGAGAATGACCGCATTGTGCACCGGTTCTACGTGACTGCTGAGGATTGAGATATACTGCCGTATGCGGGGTACGCACCTTCCAGTTCCATTAACGCGTTTTGCTCCGTGCCCTGCATGGGATCGTCCTGGTCGTATCCCTCGAGTGGAGCAGGGTGCGCCTCGGTTTGTGCGCCGAACTGCTGTGGCGGCAAATCATCCTCGTCCCCTTCATCCGAGTCCAGGTCCGCCCCAATATAGTTCCCAAACTCGTCGTAATCTTCCAAGGAGGCCATGTTTTTGTGGTCAGGGAGTGCAAGTCTACGATTTTAGGGTGTGAATGCTTGCACTTTGACTCTCGTGCAGAAAGATCAGAATGAGGCGCGCAAGTGGTCAAACTTCGCGTCAAGAGACGGGTAAACAGTACCAAACTGACCTTGAATGAGTACTGGCAATTATCAGAAACGGATACCGACACATATGCGAATTCATTGTCCAACCACTAGCACCACGTCGTAAAGTACCCAATATAAGAAAGTCCGATTGTAAAAACTACTTCATATCGCCACCTGTATTTCTCAGCCTATCCTCTCTAGTTTTCTGGACCCTGACCAGTTTCTCAATTTCACAATTGATAGCCCAACACCAGGCGTCGCGCTCCAACTTGTTGCGACAGCGAAAGACGGCAATCTTCCGTTTGGAAGAAAGGGATGGTATATGGGAAGTCGCGGTGTCGGATCTCTTTTGTCCTGGTCCTTGTTCGCCAGCGACGTCTTCTTCGTCGTCGTCTTCGTCGTCAATCGAAGGTCGCGCGACATCAGCCGCAACTGCATGTGGATGGTACCAAATCATGAAAAGAGAATCTTCGTCCGGGTCGTCCGTCTCGAGGCCATCGTTGTACCGGCGAGGAAGTGTGGCATCCGGGACATATTGGTCGTTGGGCAATGCCAAAGCTGCAAAGTAACCTGAACAGACATACGCATCTGCCAGATTGATCCGGTGCTTCATGGCAAGATGCAAGGACGAGTTGGGAGCAATGTGGAACTGCACCAGATTCCCGGGCAGAAGGAACAGCTGCACAAACCTGCATGCGAGGATGAAAAGATCGTTCGAGGGAAATGAAACGAACGCACTTGTATTGACCGTACATTCCTTTGCGAACGTAGATTCTGCCGCCTCGGATGATGGGTCTGCATCCTTCAAGCACACACCAGCTGTACAAATTACTGAGCGCAGGCAGCGGCGCCAAAGGATCCACAGGCGGCTCGGGTGGCAATTCACTGTCGTTCATGACGACGTGTCGTCGTGGGGTAAGCCGTGGTCGATAGGCTTGAGCGAGATCCATTTCATCGCTGGCGTCAGTCCGATGACGTTGCCTCCAGTACAAAATCAAGGGCCGAAGCCTCTCAATCCACTCCAGCGCAACTCGGCATGAATGTGCCTCGAATCTGATCACATGCCCATTCTGCAGAAGCAGCTCAAAAGAGCGCTTCATTCTGAGATGTGCCTTGTCCTGCGCCGCAAAGATGCCCTCGTCACCCCCCTCGTCTTCACCCTCGCTCTCGGTCCTCTCGACAGCTGCCCCAAAGCTGTGGTCGTCAACGACCTCCAGACCATGTGATTCGGGAACTGCGACCTGGAAAGCTCTGCGCACAGCAAGGACTGCCCTCAAGTCACAGACACCCGTAGAATGGATGATCTGAGATGTGCCTCTGAGCACTTCGGACTGACGGAGGGCGTCGGGCCCGTTGACAGCTGCACCGATGCCCATGGGAGAAGGAGGATTCGCGTGGCTCTGCGGAACAGAGAACAGATTTCCATCATGCACCACGAGATACACCAGGTGTTTGGCCTGGGACCTCGGACTGATGCGTTCGAGATAGCCTTCGATCGCTGGTGGTTCTAAGATACGTGTCCCTGTCTTGGAGAGCAGGTGTTGTGCGGCATGTTGTCCAAGTCTGATCTCGAGGTATGGAGGTGGAGAACACTGGATGGCGCATCAGGCTAGATTGGCGGGTGAAAGAATCACCGGACCTGTTGCATGGCGAGTCCATATAGCACAGCGCAGTCGCGCGGATCGCCAACCACATCCGAGGCAAGCCAAATCCAATCCAGCTGCGCTCCCATCCTCCAAGCAAGCTCGAGTTCCTTCCCTTCAGAAACTTGCATCTCGATAAGCTCTCGCCACGCTTTGACACGCCACAGGGCTTGCTGGCACAGCGTCACGATGTTGTCACGCGTGAACATCTCAGGCGACTCTACACTCGGCAGCTCAATCTTGACTCGGGTATCCAAATTGGGCGAGCGAATTTCGAGAGAGGCGGGCAGAATTCCCCCTAGTCTTCTCCTGAGAGATGTCAGTAGCAGCCCTTTACATATCAGGAGATATACCAAAGCTAGAGTTGGACGATAGAATCAGAATCACTCGACACAATCAATGATGATTGGGCACCCACCAACCAAATCCAATCGGCCGCTCGGGACCGACTCTTAACCTTACATATGAAGATGTTGGTGCCTTCTTTAGTCATGTGAAACAGGCCGCGAGCCTTTTTGTTGCGGGAGCGGATTGCCTTGGGAGGGCACGTTAAGCAAAACGACATGTCCACAAAGGAATAAACGGAAAGGCGAGTCTGGGTGGACTTGAGAGACACTACAGATGCCAAACGATAAGGCTTGGTCCCTGGAATCCAGGTGGTCCCCTCCGAATGTGTTAGATAATGTTTTAAAGAGACGCCCTGTCCTTACATGCGGCTCATAGAATCGAATCGAGTCATCCTTCCACAGTACAAGGTACTCGGACCATTGCTCGTAACGTACGCCCTGCGTAAGACGGCCGATGCTCTCGTCAAACACTGGCGGGAGGGAATGTGTTGAATAGCCGATCCGGAGCAGCATTCGGTCTGTCGCCATCAATCAATTGGTGGGACCGAATAAAACATGGAAACAGTACCACGCATGGTGACGTCGGTCCAAGAAGAGCTCCGTTGGGCCGGAGCGACCATGGCTTCGGCGCTGGTAGCAGGAATCTCAGACGGGGACCTCTCGAGCACCTGTGACGGAGGGACGGGTGATGGCTCTGCTGGGGCCTCTCTGCTAGGATCGGGTGCATAATGTACCCTTTGCTTTTTGAGAACCGGTACATGAGAGTCACTTTTCGCGAGCGCCGTCGCCTCTTCAAGAGTGGGTCGTACATCTGAGTCCGACTGCGTCCGTCTGGTAGCTTCGCCAGTCTCGACACCGAGATGGGACAAGGACATTGTGACCTGATTCATTCCGACGGTCCCATAGAAGGACGGCGTCGCGCCTTCGGAAGCGGTCACGAAGTCGTCCCCGACAGAGACAACGTGAGACGCCGTTCTAAATGATTGCGAGGGTCTTCGGCCAGATGAGAGGTGGGAGATCCGGTCGCGTACGCTCTCAGTCGGTTCTTGGAGGATGTTGACACCGACGAGATCCCCAACCTCGAAGCTTCCTCCGATCCAGGTCTTGGCCGCTTGCTTCGCGCTCTTCTTGCCGTGGGCCCGACCTCTCAAGGCTGTTCCCCACTCAGATTCCTTCCACCGGCGGAGCATCTCTTCCCTAGATAGCAGTCAATACAGAAACACGCGCTCCAAACGCTACTGACCTGACAGTCTGCTCCCTGGACTCCTCCCAATCCTCTTCATTTCCGCCGTGCTGAATAAAGAACGAGAAAGCGTGTTCGCGTATCACTTTTGTGACTGAGTCCTCCTGATCTGGGGAAGTGCCTGGGAATCGAAACCGGCGTCGCTTCTTGAGTTGTGCAGAGTCCAACTGAGTACCACTTTCTCAAGCATCGGGCCTACGAAGATCCTGCGGTGTACATGTCCTGCTTCGTCCGTCTTCAGCCTCCTGCTGGTCCCACTTGTGCTCTGTACGAGGTGGCCAGCACCACTGGCGTCGTGATGACGACTTCTACCATGAGTGGAGGGCGCAAGGGGTATAATTGGGCTGGGTGGCTCCTCGACGATAGTTGGAACGATTATGCCGCGCGACATTAGTTGCTCTGGGTATACTGCGCCAAATTATCAGTATGCTGAGAGCAACGTGTGGCCTTGGGCCCAACGAGAGCGCACCATTGGCATGAGCGTTGAGGAGAGCAATCGCGTAACGTCATTGATCTCTATTTCTCCTTTTGGTCAAATCCGTGCACCCCTTTCTCAGCTGTGGCGCGTTCGGGAGATGGTCTGGATTTTCGTACGAAAAGTGTCCAGTGAGTAGCTGTTTGATTGCAGAGCACATAAACTCTCATAGACCCCCGTCTTCTGATAAGCGAGACCAGTGATCTGCGGGGACGAGGACTCGGAACAACTAGAACCCTACATTATTGAGCTACACGACCACGTTCAAGACTCAAGACTATGATTTTTCACTCGATGACCTGGCTCCTCTTCGCATCATGTACCAGGATGCGTTTCGCCTAACCACTCGGTGCAAGGGGCCCGCCGACAAGGTGCTGTCAGCCGCATCACCAGAAAGTTGGCAGTCTCGGCTTCCTGAGTCTTCTCCTCTCAACCCCCATGTCAACGCAGCCTCTCCTCCAGCGCACCGCCGCGAAGCGCATCGCTCTTCCCGTCCGCGTCGAGCCCAAGGTCTCCTTCGCAAATGAGCGCACGTTCCTATCCTGGCTGCATTTCACGGTCGTGTTGGGCGGACTCGCGGTGGGGCTGTTGAACTTCGGGGACAAGGTTCGCACGATTTTGCCACTGGTCCCTCCCGTCATTTGTCCACACCATGTTCTCGAACTGTCTCCTCACTGCGTACACAGGTGGGCAAGATCAGTGCAGCAATGTTTTCAGTCATCGGTCCGTCCGCGGCCTGCGTCCATTATGCTTGACTGCTCACGCCACGCTAGCCGCCGGAATCATGATCTACGCGCTGTACACATACCACTGGAGAGCGGCGTCCATAAGGCGGGGTGGGAGGGGTCCGTACGATGACCGGATGGGTCCGGTATGTCCCGCCGCCGCCCACCTCGCTTGATTTCTGCTGACGTTCTCTCCGCAAACAGACCGTGCTCTGCGTCTCCCTCCTCATCGCGATCATAGTCAACTTCGTCCTCAGATTTTCGCAGCCGTAGAAGCGAGAATGGTTTCGCAGTTGTCTTGTCGTGATCCTTTTCGTACACTTCCACATCCACATCCTATCCCAATGTACAATCGTCTTGGATAAAAAAACAGCTTTCGTGGGTCTGAGAATCTTTGTCATTCGCGTGAGGATGCCTTGAGTCCGCGCTACAAGCACAAAAGAAAGCAGAGAGGTGCGCATCAGATCAAATCGAGCCGGCAAACGCCGGATCCGAGGCGCGCTCATCTATCTCTCTTGACCATGTCCATTCCCGATGAGACTCTAAGAAAGGTGTCGCGTCCCCCGCTCTAGTCTCTCACCCCGCTCACCGACACGATTACTCCCCACTCGCGTCGGCCACCCACAGATCCTCCTCCAGATCCAGCAAACGGCCGTCCAGTCCCAGCGCGCGCTGGGCGTCACGGCGCAGCAGGCCACGGGCAAGGAGCGCGAGCGGCGGATCCTGCAGCTCACGATCGACGAGATCAGCAGCATTCAGGGCGACGTGAACCTCTACAAGGGCGTGGGCAAGATGTGCGTTCGCTCTCTGCCCCGTGCAGAACCACTTAGAGTCGGTTGCTCAATGCGCGCACGCTCCAGGTTCTTGATGGTCCCCCGGAAAGAGATGGAGAAGGACCTCAAGGCGCAGGAAAAGGAGCTGACGGACGACATCACCAGTCTGGCGAAGAAGGTGCGCAGGGCTCTCTGGCTTTGCAACGCATCGCAGGCTTACACGATCGGTCCAGAGCAAGTATTTGGAGAAACAGTTCAACGATGCCCAAGCGCAGCTAAGAGATATTGTGCGTCGTCCTCTCCGAGTCGACCTTCACCTCCTCACTACTGCCGCAGTTTCACCACGCGCCCAGGCAGCAATGACCGCAATCGCGGCGGATACGTCTCTCTGCTTATCCCACGCATCTCATCTCAATGAATGTCATCAATTGAAAGATTGGCTATTATGGAAACGCAGATATAGATGTAAAAAGCTGCCTCTTTCTAACGGCGTTGGGCGATTTATAATGCTTGTAAATTTGGGGACGTCGGCACATCTAGGTCAATCAGCCAGACTACCGCTTCGCATAACGCAGGAACCTGGACGCGATCACGGTAGCGATGATGTTGAACACTGCAAGCGGAGGTCAGATGCGTCGGGCGGGCTGACAGATAGAAGCGGACTTACCAGCGAAGACGAGGACGATGAACACATCCCTCCAGCGATTCGAGAACGACATCCCCAGTGGAGTGTAAAACTCGTCTGCGACTTTGTACTGGCAGTACCGGCAGGCTGATGTGGCGCTCGGGTTGTCCAGATACCCTCCAGCGATGTTGATGAAATCTTGAGCCCACTGCACGCAAGTGTTGTTGGACGGCGGGTTGAAGATCGAAAACTCGTCGCTGTTGCAGCGAATGGGTAGCCCACTAGAGAAGTGTCAGTCATGTGTATGCGAAAGAAAGAGAAAGCCAAACGTACTGTAATTCGGTCACCACCATAGACGAGATACCGCGGGTGTAGGGTACCAGTTGGTAGAGCCAGGTCCACTGCAACAGTCGTAAGCAACTGGGCGCCAATCCCTGTCCGCGACTCACCCATAGGCTGTTCGAAGTATGCGGAAGAGTGACACCGCAGAACGTGGACAGCACCAGCGTCAAGAAAGGATTGAAGAGGGCAGCGACCTGGACACTAGGGCTGATCGCGGCAACCAGCTGTCCGAGCGAGATACCGAAGAGCATCATGAAGATGGTCACCAGCAGCTGGAAGCCGTTGCCGTTCTGTCCAGCACTGCCCTGTCCGAAGCCGATCGGGTACACCATCAACAGCCAATACACGATCGCAGAGACTACGACGCAGTCAGAAAGGGAGGTCTGGGACTGGAATGGAACATACACATGGCGCCGGGCAGCTCGCTGATGGTCTGCGAGATGGAGAAGACGTAAGGCGAGTAGATCCGACTCGAGGCCTCGCGGATGAAGATTCTCCGGTTCATAATAAACAGCGGCTCAATCTGGGCCATGACGAGGGCGGGAAGAATGCCGACCCAGAAGATAGCGAAGACACGGAACTGCAGCTCACGGACGCTGGTACCCAGTTGGAGGAAGGACAGCGAGACGAACAGAGAGATGAACGAGCAGACGAAAAGACGGGTGAACATGTAGTCCGGGCGACGCCAGAGAGCGAGCATGTTTCGGATCGTGACGATGCGCATCTGGTACATGAACGGAGTGGCATCTGTAGAAAAGCGTAGTCAGAGCTGGCCCAGGCTTGGATAACACGAAAACACGTACAGACGCTCTCGTGGCTCTTGTCCAGCACAGGCTGAGCGAGTCCGCGCGACTTGATGGCATCAATGGTGTCCCGCAGCTGAGCGCACTGGGGGGAGTCCAGCCACACGTCCTTCCAGTCACGATCTCCAATGCGAGGAGCGACACCAGCACCGATGGCCTCGAGCATGAACTCAGCCGGGTTGACGTTCGCAGGGCACGTGGCTCCGTTCTCAGCGAAGTATTGACGGATCACGTGAGAATCTTTGCCAATATCACCAAAGTAGACAGTCTCGCCACCGCGCTCGAGCAAAAGAAGACGGTCGAAGGACTCGAACAACCTGCGTTCCATGAGTGAGGGGAATGAGGTGTGTAGAGAGAACGTACAATGAACTGGGCTGATGGATGGTGCACAGAATAGCCTGGCCTTGGTCTGCCAACTTGCGCAACAAACGGACGACGTTCCAGGCGCTCTGACTGTCCAATCCACTGGTGGGCTCGTCCTGAAGAATCATGAGCCATCTTCAGCACAGATCGCTCCCAAAGTGTACTTACCAAGAACAACAACAACTCGGGCTTGCTGGCAAGTTCAACTCCGATGGTGAGACGTTTGCGGGATTCAACGCTCAGAGAGAACACCAGAGCCTCAGATAAATCTTGGAGCTCGAGAAGCTCGATGATTTCTAGACGCACGTTCAGTCAGTTTGTGCGGAACAAAAAAAAACGGTGAGCTCACCCTCAACGTAGTCGTCCTTCTCCGAAACAGGAACCGAAGAAGGCTGACGCAAATAAGCAGAGAACCGGAGGGCCTCGCGGACGGTGGCAGTCTCCTCGTGAACATCCATCTGCTCAGCTGCACACCAGTCAGTCATTACAGGCTGACACCCCGCGCAAGTCATTGCACGCACCGTAAGCGGTGCCACGCGCAAAGTCCGACGCGAGGGGGCGCCCGTCGACAAGGATATCACCGCTGATCACACCGATGTTCTTGCGCTGCGCGAGGACATCCAGACACGTGGTTTTGCCAGCGCCCGACGCGCCCATGAGCGCGGTCAAGCCAGGCCCAACGTAACCCTGGACGTCGTGCAACAGGCGGCGAGTGCCTCCCGGAACCGGGACGTGGTAGTTGAGGTTTTGCCAAGTGAGAGTCTTGCGGTGCACATCGGAAAGAGCAGCAGGGGCGCCACTGCAGCATGTCGTCAATTATTGCGGTAAAGAACCAGACAGTGAGATGAACGGACGACTGTTTTTCGAGCGCTGCAGCCTTCTCGGCGTTGATGCGCGCCTTGTCAGCTTTGCGCGCCTGCAGGATTGCATTGCGCTTCGCAGAGTCAGCACTTTCCTTGGCGAAGATCTGCAGAAGAAAGTCAGCCCTTGGCAACCCATCGGACTCAAGAAACGCATTACGTTGACGGAGATGTTCGCGTTGTACCGCTGCATCGGGTAAGTATTGAGGCGACCTATAAATCAACCGCACTCACAGGGAAGTACTCGAGGGCCTGAAAAATCGTCAAAAGGGACACTGGATGCAGGACATTTCACATACCACTACTTGAGTCACCTGGAACACGATCATGAACCCAAGCAGGACAAGCAGATTCCGCTTCCAGAGATTGCTGGCACTGATTCCGTAGCCGGCATTGATGTACGCGTTGCCCGAAACACTGGCGCTGCCGGCGCTGGCACCGAACAGCGTGCAGACCTGGTTAGGTCCCAGCCCATTCCTGATCCCCACTGTCAGCGCATACACGCATGTCCTGACGATGTTGGCTTACGGGTACTTGGTCAGGCTTCCCAGGTTGCGGGGAACAATGTAGTTGCCGTCGCAGGTGATATTGATGCGCATGAACTCATTCTCCATGCAGGCTTGCCAGGCTGGAGCAGATGTTAGCACATGACTGCAGATCGTTGACAAACAGCCGTACCATATGCGATCGGGTTGATATAGTACTATGGAATGTCAGCATTTACCGATAATACCGGAGATGAACATACAATCCAGAATAGCCAGCGCTTCATCTGTGCGAACAGTCAGAAAGATGTTCCAGGAAACATGTGAGAGCGTACCTTAATGACTGGAATGATGTACCCAGTATACTCGATGCTGTCCACTTGTCAGCTGCGAAGCAAACTCACACATGACCCAGCAACGCACAAATTGGGAATGAAAAACACCGCGAGCCGGAAGGCGACGTCAAAGTTGGTGCACAACACACCGAACGTGCGGAAGAAGCCCTGCATGGTCAGGTAGGCCACATAAGCGAACAGATGGAACGTGAAGAATCCACCCGCAGAGCGGGCCAGATGCGTCATAAAGTACACCGGCACATTGAACATGAAAATGCGAGTGGCGGAGAAGGGCAGATCAGCGAGCGTATTGGCCACAGCGATAGCCGACGGACGGTACATGCTGTAGCCGGTCTGCTTCCGCAAGATCGGGCGTCCCAGCATCTGGGTCGGCATCTCACCGAACGCATCCAAACAGGTCGTCAACAGCGCGGCGAAAACGACACCGCCTCGAGTAAAGGCACCGGCCGATGTCGTTGGCATGTTGAAGAAAGCGGCACCGATGATCAGGGCGAGCACCGTCGACAGCGAGAAACTGGTGTACAGCTGGAACTTGTCCTGCATGCGCATCCGGAACTGCCGCTTTGTCAGCGCCATGACCTGAGCCGTGAAACCGAGCGTGTAGGGGCTGCTGCGCGATACGCCCTTTTTCTTGTCGTCGGCGACGGCAGCGCGGAAGGCCTCCTGGTCGCGCCGATCGGTCTCCATTTCGACCTTGAGCGCCTTGAGCCCGCTCTGCATTTCGCTGTAGGCCGTAGACTGGCGGAAGGCTTGCTCGAGGGCCTCTGGCGTGGAAGGGACATCGTGCTCAGAACGACCCGGCGCGAACTGCCGTTCGTTGGCGTCGGTGCAGCCGGTGAGATAGTCGGGTGTGCTCTGTCGGGGCATGGCATTGTATCCGAGACCTTCGAAGTAGGCGCGAGCCTCAGTCGGTTTGCCGAAGAAGACCTGACGGCCACCGGAGAGAACGAGGACCTTGTCGAACAGATCGTAGATACCTTCACCAGCTTGATACCTGTATTGGGCTCAGTCGGTGGAATCCACACCCACTGACCGGCACTCACAGTGTGACGAAAGTGGTCTGACCGAGAACATCGGTCAGAACACGCAGAGCCTTCACGTAGTCGAGCGCCGTCGATGCATCCAAGCCGCGAGTGCTGTTGTCCCAGGCTTGGACGCGCGCGCGGGTCGCCATCATCTCCGCGATACTGACTCGCTTACGCTCTCCACCAGAGACACCGCGCACAAACTCATCTCCGACAAGGGTTTGCCGAGTGTGCGAAATGTTGAGCATCCGGAGCAGAGTGTCGAGCACCTCCCTGTCGAAGTCCTTCCGTGTGACACCCGGAAGACGACCGTTGGGACCGGGGGTTTTCCTGGCAGCCAATCAGAATTAGAACAAACATCCAAGGGCTGCTACACGCACAAAGATAGCGCGAAACTGAGCGTTTGCGCGACAGTCAAAGTCGCAATATGCCTGTCGTCTGGCACCGATGTCAGCATCGGCCCGTTCATCCCCGAAGCAACACCTACCCTCTTCGTTGAAGACGACCTCGCCCTTATAGTGCTCGCGCATGGTCTCAGCATCGATTCCCTCGTACAAAACCTGTCCTAGAACCTCTCCGAATGTGTCGCGATCGTTGGTGATCGCCTTCATAAACGTGGTACAGCCGGCTCCTGGGCAGCCGAGAACCAGACACATCTCGCCAGATTTCAACATGCCAGAGTTCCTGCGAAGGATGAGCGAGCCGCTCAACATGCTAGAGAACGGGCGGACTTGTGTAGGATGGGTCGGGTCGGAGCCTGTTCTTTCTTGAACATCGACATCACGAGGCCCCAGATGTACAGAGGAATAGCGAGGAAGAAGTTGAGACAGGAACCTGGCGGGATGTTGCATCAGTATACCATGTATGAGCGTAGTGGTGTCTATGCTCTCAGTACCTGCGAAAGTGCCGACATAGATCTTATAAACGTGAGCCACACGACTCCTGCACTAGACAATCCGCATACCTTCATCCCCAAACCTCCGAAGACCCTGACCTCGAGGTCCTCCCAAGTGACATCCACATGCTATCCATGCTGAGTTCGTGGCGAGGCCGCGAGATAGAGAAACGTACTTTATGCTAGAAAAGATTAGCACAGGGAATGCAAGGAGACATCGCCGGGCTCACTTTGATTCCGGCTTGTTCTTGAGCGTCGTTGGAAGCGGACAGATAGTCCCTTAGGTTGAATGGTTCGGGTTCATCGCCCTGCTTTCCCTTCTCAATATCAGACGGGGCGCGCGTCGTTTGGCCAGAGAGCGTCTCATGCTGAGACCTGTTGGTGAGGACGCGTTCGAGCGTGCGGAACTCATCCTTGGCCCGCTCGACATCGATGCCAGAAGCGTAAGGGCGTGGATCGTTTCCATGGGGTGGGTTGCTTGTAGCTGCGTCGTCGGGCCAGTCCGCCATGTTGAGGGGTCTGGGTCGTAATCGTAGGACACTTCGAAAAGCTACAATCCGCTTTTATCTTCATCCGCAACTACTTAAGGTTCGTCATTTGTCATTTCTGCACACAAGCACGTCTGCCGGGCCGTGAACTATGACTTGGGTTGATCTCCGGAAGACGGGCTTCAGGGTTGAAAGGGTATCTGACTCAGCATGCCCGATGGAAGCCTGAAATCCCGCATTGCAAACGTGGAGATTGCACTGGAAAATGCCGTGGCTGAGTGTGCGAAGTTGAAAATTTAGCCGTTGGTCCGAAAGGAAATCAAGAGCCAGCATTGGCGGGCCCCGATCAAGCAATTTACGTCATCCACAACCTCCCTTCTGGCATTGCACACCCTCGTCCGTTCCGAGTACACCTCCACCGCCACACAGGGGTCACCAAGACCGACCCCAGTCCAAGTACAGCTGGAATGCAAATTCAACCATGCTGACTGGGCGTGATTCTGTCTTTTGTCCGAGATCCCGTTTTCCATCTTCATCGGGAAATGAGTAAGCCTTCGGGCACATCACAAGAGGATCTCATCTCGTCTCATCGAGTATATACTTGCGTGGAATTAATGAGCAATATTCCCGGCAAAAAAACAATTCGGGAGTGGAGAGCCAGAGAGCGAGGTGGAGGAGCGAGATGATCGTGGCCAATTGAGAACGATCAACAACCGTCCAGATCCCGGAGATGTCTGACGTACACACCCGGCTGTCATGCGCTCGGGATGAAACAGCTGCCCATCACTGACGTCACTTGATGCGCGCTTCCGTCGCGTCCTGGTCAATGCGCACTTTCCCATCACGTTGTCGCGGCGCATCAAACGGATTATGTCAGCTTCCCATCAACATCACCTTCGTACAGACTACCAGCATGAAGCCGGTTTCTCTTTCTCTCCTCGCATTCGCGCCCTTTGTCTTTGGGCACGGAGAGCATGGCAAGCTTCCTGGTGAAGACATCAAGACTTATGCGATTCGACACGTACGGCATGCCGTTTTATGAGGGGCCAACTCATATTCATCCTTTTGTCTGCTAGATGACCTCAGAGCATCACATGTACGCCCGCACCAGGCCTGACGCGCAGGGTCGCCAATGATTTTTGTCTAGTGACTCTTTTGACCTGCGGAGCTTCTTCCATTTGCATGATTTGAACCGGTGCGTGCCCACCAGCGCGGACCTGGAGCATCGCTCATCCTACGTGTCCTGTACAGAGACGGCTTCTGGGACCGGGAAGAGATTGAGGCTATCTATGGTGTCCACCACATCTATTCTCAGAAGAAATCAAAGGCAATTACAGTGCAGGCCCTCCCCGCTTCACTCTGACCTGGAATCTCCAGGACGACGAGGAGCACCAGAAGAAGGCTGATCATATTTCCGGCACTGTCCTCACGATTGTCGACAAGAATGGGGATGGGAAGATATCGCCTGAGGAGTTGGAAGCTGTTGGGTTAGATGGGCTCCCTAACTTCGACGACATGGGTGCAGAAGGGCATCACTACGATGTGGAAAGCGAGTTCTTCCTCCACCACGAAGGTTTGAATTCCCAGTTTTCAATTGCTGATCCGCAAATGATGTATTTGTTCGCAGAGGAATTCCACTCGACGCCTGAGACCCAAACCGATGAGTCCTACAACCATCCTGAGGACCTCGAACACTTTGCCCACCACGAGGAGATCGAGAACAAGGAGGCTATCAAGGAAGCAGCATATCAGGGCATTTCAGTTGAGGAGGTGCTGCAATCGCACCAGTCAACACCGAAGGAGGACACCGAAGGTAAGACAGCCCCGGCCGCATTTGGGGATGTGGCGGATCTTCCTGGCCAAGCTGCTCATCCTCACGCTGAGCAAATTGCTCTGGAGCCTCTCGTGGAACCGCCGTCTGATTCCGATTCCTCAGCCAAGAAAGTCAACCGGGTTTCACCTCCTGAGAAGCAAGATCCCAGCGTCCGATTCCGGGAAGCTAAAGCACAGGGGGATGCCAAAGGCGAATGGGGGACTGGGTCTGATGGATATAAGGCGCCCACAAATCCTGGAGATAAGATGCGGTATGTTTATCTGGTGCTTTCCACTGTTCAACGCATCTGATGTTCACCAGCAAAAACTTGCCGTACAAGGTAATGCTTGCCGTTCAATGTCGTTTCAGTCTGTCGAATGCGCTAACGGGTAGGAACGAATGCAGTACAAATTCCGTCGCAGCTGGGGCGACTTTTAGGTCGATTCTTGTGCTACTCAGTTTGTATAGCCCTCTCTATTGGATATCTACCGGAGCCTTTCTCTCATGTACGAATACACCTCACTAGTAAAGGGGTTTGTGCCGGGCTCGATTGAGAGTATATTACGACGTGCTTGTTGTGCGTAGGTACTGGGTCTATTGCCAAGGGATCTTCCACCGGGTGCCGAACTCGGATCACCGGCCAGCCCACTTACTCAGCCCCGGCATCCTCCCATCTCGCGAACATTGCGGTTGATTTCCGGCCATGTCTAATCTCTTGGGGACTGGCCAGCCCCCCTCGTTCTACCCATACCAAACCGTATTTCCGGACAACTTCGCGAATAGTCATGGTATCGCTCAGGAAACTGATCTCAGTAACCCCGTCCATTCGGTGTCCCCCGCGGAACTGGCCCTCCCCCTCGATATTCGAATAGAACGGAAATGCTCCGTGCGCACCTGCCTGAACGTGATCGAACCTCCGACGCACCCAGATGAAGCGCCACGGAAGATGTGTGTGCCCTGTCGCGAGAAACACCGGTCGTATGCAAGCACGAAAAGGGCGCGACGCAAGGCGGAGAAGAACCTCGCCTGCGGGGTAATCCCCCACGCGACTGGGCCAGCAGACGTGATAGACGGTGGTGTGCCCCCCGATCCGAGCACGTGGGAGGAGGTGAGCAAACTGCGCTGGTCCGGAATGCTCGCTAAAGCCTGCCTTCTTTCAGCATCTGCCGGCTGCACCCCCATCTTCGGCATGCATCTCGACGGCTGCCTTATCAGCGCCGTCCGCGAGTGCCGATGGCCACTGGCCTATAGATCAGGTTCTCTACGCGCAATCCCAAGCCTCTCTGCACTCTACCCTTGCTGGTGCTCTGACGCTTCAGTCGACGGCCGATTCGTCCGGTCAATCTCCTAGTTCTTCTCACCTTCCGGTTGTTCCGGGGAGCAGCGAAGGGGCGCAAGCCGGGAATCCCGCCGGGTCAAACCCAGTCCGTGCAAACCCAACGGTCTACCCAGACCACGTCGTCTCCGTCGGACCTCCTGGCGTCAAGCTCAATGCTGCCCTGCTCGAGGGAGATTCTCGTTATTGCTCGGTCAAGGGCTGCAGAGCCGTGATCCATGAAAGTTTGGGTTCGCATGGTCAACTGTCTGTCTCCTTCTTTCTCAGTCGTTTGGACAGCCGACTATCCGTACAAAATGTGCCGACTCTGCCGCGACCGATACCGTCTCTATGGTATCAAGAAACGCGCGAAAGACAAGGCAACTAGAGTGACGCAGGACAAAGTACTGGATAATCTGCGCGATATGGAGGACCTCCGTCGTGACGCTGCTGGGCTTCCTGTGCGTGTCATCTCCACCTTGGTAGAGTGAGTGTAAATCAGCCCCGCAGCCTCTGTCGGAATGTCCAGATGAGCTCCAAGCATGGGAAGCCTCGATTATCGAAGAACAGCGGCCGACGGGACCGACTCACCAGGCCTTGGTACGAGGGCCTGTCCCCATGTCCATGCCACCTTTGGACGAACGATATTCCCATCAAGGGCCTGTCACGCATACCCGCATGTGTTCAGTCTCGCACTGCCATGAGATCCTTCCCAGCGAATATCGGTACAAACGGTGTGAGCCGCACCGGCTACAGAATCGGTGGCACTCGAGGATCAAACGCGGGAGGGAGAAGATCGATAAAGGGTTCATGCTGCCGGACGGAACTGTCCTCGTTGAACCAGGGCCGGTGAAGGTAGCTGACCTCGCCTATTCGCTACAAGCGAAGACATCGGATGAGGCGACGCCGAGCGAATCTGAGTCTGAAATCGATCCGGAGCTGTGTGCGACGGTCTGTCTGATTTGTATGGGAGCATGGCTCATCGCTCACGATTATTAGACAATGAAATCGAATTTTCAGTTACCAGACAGAGAGTTTTGTTTGGAGGACGGTTGTCTCAATCCTTTACCTCCGGGAACTCCCCGGAAGAGTTGTGAGAGCTGTCGGGCAGCGCAACGTAACTCGGAAAAAGAAGGCGTAGCCCCAGCCCCGGAACTAGCATCCTCAGCCGTCGCCTCTGATAACGCCTTGACTTTCGTCGTTGCTTTGCCCACACCGGACCCTCCAGTCGAGGATGCATCTCCCACTGCAATCGCATCCGATTCTGCCAGCGAACGATCACCCTCGGTCAGCGAGCAGTCCCCCGCGCCCCCAGTCGATGGCCACTCGGGCTTGCAGCCTACCGTCGTCTCTGTCGTTTCCAAGCCCAAGAAGCCACGAAAGTCTCGCAAAGCAACGCAGCCTTCTGAAGAGGTGGAGCAGACGCCCTCCCATTCCGCTGTACATCCTTCTGTGGCTCCAACGGGAATCGTGCCGATTCCCTATCCGACCAGCCCATATCCCTATTATATGCCACCGGGATACTATAATTACAGCAGCGGCCATCCACCTCCCCCGGCCTATATGCCACCAGACAAAGCAAGAACTGTAGTGTCCTACGCCTATTATCCTTGGCCTCCTGGATATCCACCCGCTGGATCAGGCCCTTATGCTTATTACCCCCCAATTCCCCACCCACCTACGATGAATCAATATCCACAGAATCATGCCAGTACCAGCGCCGAAGTACGTTCATTTGCACAGCATGGCGAGACGCACTGATTTGTTTTTAGCAACCTGCGGCAAAAAAGGCTAGGACAGACGCAGAAACACCAGATGCAGTGCCAGAACCGCAAGTTGGCTCAGCTGAGCCTTCTGTCTCGCAAAGAATCTGCGCGGGTAAGACATGTCACAGGTCTCTATCAGCAGCTGTCGCTGGCAACTTCTGCGAGAGATGTCGAGCCAGGGTCAAGAGGCGACAGGCTTCAGCAAAGCAGCGGCTTAGATTGGAGCCCAAGAAATCAATATTGTCGACCCGTATATCCTCATGAATATCATCTTGTCTATGTATCTACATGCAAATCTGCTTACAGGACTCTCATAATAGTGCACACAAATCAGGTTAGGGTTTCCGATGGCCGGATTTTCCCGAGCTCGTCATTCTCCTCCTTCTCCAAAATTATTTTGTCAGTTATCCCGCGACCTCTGTGATTCGCGACCTCATTGCATCTGTCCCCAGTAACCCGGGCCCTCTGCAATAAACCTTTGCAGCTATGGCTTCCCCCACCGTCAATGTGCGCATGCTTTACTTTCCGGTGAACCGCTCGTGATGCCACGACAGACCGTGCGGTACTCCGCTCTCTTCTTCGGCGTTGTTTATGGCTGGTACCACCGCCGAACACTACTGGCGGAGCAAAAGGTTCACAAGATCGAAGCTGCGGCCCACGACCGGGAGCACTTGATACATCAGGCGAAGGAGGCATGGAGGAAGAAGCAGGAGGAGGCTCTGAAGCCCAAGACGGAGAACGGTGCGTATTTCACTTCTACATGTGCTTCCGGGCGGGCTTGGGCTGCGCGCACACATTCAGTATTTGTGTCGCTAATCTATTCCTTCTCGCCAGCATTGATCACCGACCCGGAGGATCCCCGGTTCGACCTCGAAAAGCTCGTCGCGAGTTGGGAAGCTACCGCATAACTTGTATCTCCTCTCCATCTTCTTTTGCAATAGAGAGCTTTTGACCTATAATATGAACTATGAACCTGCCATTGCACTTGGGCTTGGTACGTCCACTCTCATGGTTTCTTCCCGTTCCCTGCTCATGTCTGCGTCTTTTATTTAGAGTCAGCAACCGTGTCAGCCGACGTTCCTCCATCTTCGACTTCCTTCCCCAAAGGAAACTAGTCTGATGATTTGACACGCCGACGATAGCACATGATTTCCACACTCTTGAGTCTCCCCACAATGTCAGCCTTGGTGCACAAGGGAAGATGCTTTTGCGGTTCAATCAGCTACCAAGTCACAGGCGAGCCCGTTTTGACCGCATTTTGTCATTGCACTCGCTGTCAGGTACGTGCTCGTCTGCCAGCTCGCACGCTTACTTCCATTGAAGGCAGGCCATGAATGGTCGGTGGAGATCAGAATCGATACGGCGAGGGCTAAATAACGTCGCTTTCAGGGTGCCCTTTTGTTTGGACGCTGCATTTCCCATCTACAGCCTTCGAATGGACCCATAGCGAGCCCCACTTGGCGAATCTAGACTCATACGTGACAGATGGCAAGCCTTGGAAGACACGCTATCGTTGCAAAACGTGTGGAACTTGCCTCAGCTCACATAATTCGAAGACGAACCGCAACAGTGTTTGGGGTGCACACTTCGAGAGGGATGAGGGTGGGAAAACAAAGCATTTTGAGCGAGTGAAGCCTACGGCACATATGTTTTACGGGACCAGGATAGTCAGCGTGGAGGATGGCTTAAGCAAATGGGAAGGTTACGAAGCCAAATCGGCGAGAATTGCCTAGGGTCGAAGCCACGTTAGATAGGGTCGACGATGTGCCATATCGAGTGCTGAGACAAACTTCGGCAACCAATCCAATTTAGTCAAAACAGTTATGTTGACGGAAACATCATAGTCTCATTGCCTCTCTTCCTGCTTTAGCCGACATTCGGTTTCGGGGAGGACAGCCTCTTCTCATGGAGACCCTCAAGCAGGAACCCGCCGATGTCGACATGGACGCACCGCAGATATCCACTCTCCGTCAAGAGGATAGTCCACCCCCGGCCCCACGTAGGGTCAAGCTGCTCCTCAATAACGACAAACCTGGCAGCAGGTCGACCAGTACGTCCTCGCGCAAGCGGCCGCTCTCCGACCACGAAGACGATGAGGACGAGGAAGACCAGCTCGCGGACGACGATGACACGGGTCTTGTCGTGCCACCTGCTCCTCCTCTCCAGGTCTTGCCCAGTCCCACTGTGGAACCGGCGGCGCCGTCCAAGCCGCGGAAAGCCCCCGCCAAACGCAAACCCCGCAAGTCGGAAAAGAAGCTTGCCGAGGAGGAAGCCGCAACGGCGGAGAAAACTATGCAGTCAAGTGCGCCCGGGATGGCGCCGCCCACGATGTCGTGGTTTGAGGTCAATGCGTCAAAGGCGTCGGAGAACGCCGGTCGAACGAGCTCGTTCGATGTCCAGGTGCCGGTGAACATCGTGGCAGTCGATCCCGGGAATTCGAAACCCCCTCCGAAGAAGAAACCACGGAAAACGCCGACGACTAGTACTACTACTAGTGCGCCCAAACCACGCACCAAGTCTGGGCCCAAGTACGATCTCGGTTTCACTCGCGCGCGAGGTGGCTCACTTTGTTTTCAGACTCAAGCAGGTCGAAGATACGACCGATGTTGTGAGTGAAGGTCAGTGGATCGTGATTCATTGTAACCTGTTTATGAATTACTATGCAGCTGGTTTCACGGCTACCGCAGCCTCTTCACCTATCACCGCCGCGTTTGAACCGAATGGTTCACCAGAACCAGACCCAATACTACCGCTTAGTATCGCACTGCCGGTTGAAGATGCGCCCATTATCCTGGCAGATACGCCTCTTCCCCAATACCCACTCCCCGTCAAACCCTTCTCGGTTCTTCCGCCCCAGAAAATGAACTCGGGCTTCGCACCCATCATCCCGCTTGACCGAAGCGGTGCTCCAGTACGCCGATGGCGCACCGTCAATCGGGAGATCCGAGGCATTGCGGGTGGGCGATGGTTCACTCGGGCCTGGGTCGGCGCGAAAGAGTCGTCTGCGTTTGGAGGAGAGAAGTCGGTGGTGGCGAGCGCATCCCCGTCGCCGGCTAAGCCAGTGAAGGTCCGTGCTGTGACCAAGACTGCAAGTACATCGAACGCCGCGTCGCGTTCGAGTTCGACTGTCCCTTCGAAAATGCGCAACATCGTGGCTGAGAGCGTTGCCGGAGATGATGTTGTTGTAATGGCATAGTCCCCGTGTCATGTATATTATTTACTTGTAGAGCATATGCACTTCAGATGGTTTCGTCAGAGCTGCGCGTCCGTCACACTGTGACCACTGAGTCCCGCCTCGAACCTTGACGAGCATTTGCTTCGGATCGCCTTCTTCTTCTTCTCGTCGTTCGTTCTTGTTACATACGCTACCTTTGAGTGCTTGAATGTCGGTCCCTGGTGCGGAGTCGAACGCCTCAGATCCAAATACTTCCATCAAGACATGGCTCTCGAAGAGGAACAGTGCGCGCGGTGCGCGTTGTCTCCCTCGGTGGCCGAGGACACATTCTAACTCAGGTCGCAATAGCGGCGGCCCAGCAGGCTTTCGCGGCGGATCCGAAGTACAAGAAATACACGCAGCAGGTGGAGCGTTGCCTGAACTCATTCGATAACGTGCACGAATGGGCAGATTGCATTGCGTTTCTCAAGACGCTGCTCAAGGTGCACTTGAATCCATTGATAATCTCGCTTTGGCTCACTCTACGTTACGCCATGTTCAGACTTTCCAATCGTATATGCAGTTCAAGGAGATCCCTCGGAAACTGATTGTCGCGAAACGCCTATTACAGTGCTTGAACCCGGCGCTGCCAACGGGTGTGCACCAGCGGGCACTGGACGTGTACTCGCATATCCTCGCAGTGCTGGGGGCGGAGGGTCTCAAGCAGGATCTGGCACTCTGGTCTTCTGGGCTCTTTCCGTTCTTCGAATATGCGGCGACGTCGGTAAAGGTTCGTAGTGTTCATTATGCCGCCAATCCCAAGCTAAATGAGTCGACACAACAGCCTGCATTATTGAATCTATATGACACGCACTACCTCCCGCTTCAAGCAGATTTACGACCCATCATGAAATCGTTCATACTCGCACTGCTGCCGGGACTGGAAGAGGAGACGGGAGAGTTTTTCGAAAAGGTATATTGACCATGTGTTTCATCATTATCCCCAAGGCTGACTGCCTCCAGGTGATGAGCTTGCTCGACCGACTATCTGGCACAGTATCTCCCGCGTTCTTCTTCCAAAACATATGGCTCGTCATGTTGACAACGCCCGCGGCACGGGGGAATGCGCTCAACCTACTCTCGCGCAGGCTGCCGCGTCTGAATGCTGAAGAGGGTCAGTGGATTGGGTTATTCGGCGCTCGTCTCTGATGTATTCATCAGACATTAGCTCCATCATTGGGCAGGACATTGGTCTGATGATCCGGGCCTTCTCTGCGGCATTAGAGGACGACAACTTGCTTGTGCGTCGGGGTGCGCTTGATCTATTGCTCCAGACGACGCGACTGGACAGCGTTGCTCTTCGAAAAGCGCAGGCGGACGACCGGGGTATCTTGATGCGAGCTGCGACGAGCGTCGTTCTCCGGCGCGACCTGAGTCTGAACCGACGGCTTTACACGTGGTTGCTGGGCCCAGACGAGCGTAGCGAGGTGCAGATGGAGTATTTGCGTCAGCACGGGCTGGAGCTGCTCAGGAGGACGCTTGATGACGAAATGCTGTCGCCGTCCGGAGAGTACGCTGACTCGCGACCGTTCAAGATCTTCATTTCATTGCTGGACAAGTGGGAAATCGGGGCGCCTCTGACGGAGAGTCTGGTGTTCGATGCGTTCAAGGCCGTGAAGAGACTCGTAGAGGAGCCCGGAAACAGTGGCGAAGACGTCACGATGACCGCCAGCACACTGTACGAAGCTGTCGAGCCCGCAGTTCTCTGGAAGCAGCTGCTTCGCCGTGTGTTCGACGAGATCAACTCTGAAGACGGAAGCAAAACAGAGGCGATCCGAATGGTCCTGTTTATCCTGCGGACATTCTCGCAGGACGATGAGATCCAGACTATTCATCTCCCGATCATCTTCGCAGGACTGACGGATCTGCTCGATGCGCAACTCACCAAGGATGTGGGCAGGAGTTTGACTCCGGCTGTGCGCGAAACGGTCATTCTGCTGGAGGAGATTCTACGGCAAATTCCCCACACCACATTGATGGCACCGGTCGAAGGAGAGGGCGCCCGCCCGCATTCATTTGCTGCGTCTTTCTATGGCTTTTCTGTCCCCGAGGCCACAACATCGACAAATTCTGCGATGCCTGCACCATTTGCCAGCTCATTCGAAAACCTGATCACGCTCAGTCGGATGTGTTCGCGATACCTGGTCGATGGGAACCCGAGCAATCCTGCGTTGCTGCGAGAGGTCGCGTCACAAGTGATGCTGCTGCTCGAAAGACTGGTCAGTCGGCTCGAGTCCCCATTGACAGCCGAGTGGGAACCGAGCGAGTGGCTGGCTGCAGTACTTGCTACTCTGGATCACCCGCAATGCAACTTCACTCTCGTGGACCGGTCCATCTCGTTAATCGTCGTTCTGCAGCAACACTCGCCTCAGCTGGTCGTGGACGAGCGTCGCACGATGGGGGTCATGGTGAAACGTCTGCTCAAGTACCTGCGCCCAGACTTGACGGTATATCACGTGAGGGCGGTAGCGTTGATTTGGGCGTTGCAGGGCATCACGCATCGGAAGTCACATGTGGAGTCCGTTTTGGCGGAGAAACTTACGGCCAGGCAACCACTGGAAGCGTTCGAGGCATTTGGCGTGCTTTGGAGGTTGACGGAGGATTCGTTCCTGCCTGGGTTCCGGTTCAAGATGCCGATGATGATTGTGTTGGATTCGCTCAAGTCAGAGGATGTGTCTCTGAGGAGGGTCGGCGAGACCTGGATGCGCTGCAGTCTGCGGTCCTATCTTCGGTGTGTTCGGTGTTCTGTCCTATGCTTATGCTTATTGTTGTGCAGCGTTCTAGACCCGATCCTCTTCGATTTGCTCGACCCAGCGATTCAACGGACAGCGTACACACACCGGGTCAAGGGCAAGGAAATCCAGGGGTATATGTATGAGCGGTCTTTTGATCAACACTACGCGGGACACTTGTTGGACTTGTTACTTGCGATCGTGCGCTTTGGTGGACAGGGCTTCTCCAAGACTGCTCGTGGGTCGCTTATCAAAGGCGAGCTGCTTCTCAGCCGGGTCGATGGCCAAGGCTCCTATCTGGATGCTCTGGTTGACGTACTATTACGGTCCGTCTATCTCGTCGCGCTTCATCTGATTTATCCTAATACCATGAAGCTTCCTCCAATCAGAGCCCAAAGAAAACCATGAAACGTCAATGCTCGCAAACAACTTGGCCATTCAGTCAACTACTGTCGATTTACTCCAGGCTATTGTGGCCAGGGGTGAGGTCGATCCTGTCACGGTCGAAGTGATCCAAGCAGTCGTCGTGGGGAAGCTGTATCTGTGTATCCACAGCGGAAAGCTGGATTTGCAGAACAAGCTCTTGCATCTACTCCATTCCTTGATCTCAGCATCCGCGGCTGAGAAGCCGGGCAATGCCGAGTCGTCCTCCTCGGCGTCTGACACGGACGCTACCCCTCATACGGTCGCGAACACATTGCTCATCCAGGCGCTCGTGGATGGGCTCTCGACGCCGGAGAACCGGCCCGTGCTGCAGCACTGGCTGGACTTCGTGCTGATGGCCGTGCAGCTGTTCCAGCCAGCGCTGCAGAATGTGGTGACTCCGCTCAACGAAACGCTGTGTAAACAAATACTAGCGAACCTCGGCGACTTGCTGACGGTTACATTCGCGGATGGATTGTTCGGGGACGATCTGAAATCGACTGCGACGGATGCTGAACTGGGGATGTTGCTGGGGGGACTCGAGCGATTGGTGTTGTTGAGTCTGGCGTTCCCAACTGAGAGCGGTGGGGCAGGAAGTGCCGGTGGCGGTGTCGAGGACGATACTGTCGAGAACAGCAGCGGCCTATTGGGCTATGTGTCGACCGTTTTCAGCTCTGACACAGCGCCGCCTGTCTCGGATGAACAACAGTTGACTGCTAGATCGGCAGGATATCGCTCCTTGCACGAGGCCGTCCGAGTCTTGTATCTCGTGTGGTCGACACTGGCTTGGGAGGAGCGAAGCACGTGGTCATCCAAGGACGAAACCCTCGAACTCATCTACTCGCGAACCAGGCTGAGGTGTAGACGGGTCCTCGAGCATCTCTTCAGAGTACAGAGTGCAGAGGTGTTCGAGTCGATCATTGATTACTGGAATCGAGAGTTGCCGGTCGGTGTTTATCTCAACCGACTTCATGACGACTAACGAGTTGTCGCAGGAATCGCAACTGCCTTATGAGCAAGCTTTTGAGCTTGTTGACGTTCTCATTTCAAGTGCGCAGGGTGTGGTGCATATGGTCTGTGAGAGCATCACCATCCGGATGACCGGTGTCTCTGAGAAGACGAAGAAACAAGCCATCAATCCTGACTTGTACGTAGTGGTGTGAGCCGTGCCATCATCGGTTGCTGACTACAACTTAGAACGGATGCAGTCCTCTTCAAGTTCTTGGAACAATATCTCGCCCGTCTCGAAGGTCCGATCGCACTGCAGGTCTGGCCGAGATATCTGCAACTGGTCAAAGATGTATCAGGGAGCACGAGGGAATACAAGCCCCAGACGTACCCTGCATTGCGTTGCTTGACTGTTCTTGCGGAGAAAATCACGCAGACCACGGCGATGGAAGACCGACGGAACCGGAAGGAGCTACAAGAGACGTTCGGCCGGCTGCTGGACTCGTGTGTGATGTTCATCGGGCGCGACCAAGGTTCCTGGATCCGCCGGAGTGTGAAAGAGAATGGGCGGGACTCGCCTGCGCCAGATAAGGACAAGGAGAAGGAGAAAGAGAAGGAAAAGGAGAAAGCGATGGTTCCAACGACCGCTTCGGAGGAGGTCTTTGTGCAGATCAACGGATTCATTGCAGGAACGGCAATGCCCAATCTACGGAGGTTCCTGATGGACAACGACAAGGTCGTGGCGGCGTGCACGAACGTCGTGTATTACATTGTGGGGCCTGCAATGAAGGGCAAGAACACTCGGCCGTTGGACATCGACCCTGTGATTGTCAGTATCATCCGTGAGATGACACGGATCCCCGCCGCGCTCAAGACATGGAAGCCGGCCGTCGCAGAACTGCTTAACGACAACCGGCTGTTCAATTGCACACCAGACAGCGCGGAAAAGTGGAAGCCAATCGTGAAGACGCTGTTCGATCAGGACAAGACAGCGTTCCCTGAGCTGCTCAGTGCGTGTTGTTTGTCTGTTTGTCTGCTTATGCCATGTGCTGAATGTCCCGCAGCGAAGGTGGCCACTGCTCCATCTGCGAACATCTTTACCAACAGGGAATACGAGATGCTCCTGCGGTCACTCAACATCAGACGGTTGTCGTTTGTGCTGCTGACGGGGGACAAGAACTTTTTCCTGACACAGCTGCCTTCAATCCAGGAAAAGCTGGTTGACATTTTCCGCAATGTGACAGCACCGATTGTGCAGAGCGAAGTCTATCTGTGCATCAGGGTGTTGTTGATTCGCCTGTCGAGACATAATCTGACATCGTTCTGGCCGGTGTTGTTAACGGAGATGGTGCGTCAGGGTCTATTTGGGTTTGGTTCTCCCGCTGATTTGAACAGTACCGGGTCTTTGAGCAGTTGATGACGAATCTGCCTAGCGATGGGTCGGAGGATCTGCAGCTGGTGTTGGCGGCAAGCAAGTGTCTGGATCTGCTGATCACCTTGCAGTCGGAGGAGTTCCAAATGTGCGTTGCCGTGTTTCGTTCTCTGATAATGTACTAATCAGGACTGCAGTCACCAGTGGATCTTCATCACAGACACCGTCGATGCTATTTACCGGCCAGACGGGTGTTTCCCAGAAGCGATGATGGATCATCTCGCTGAGATCGTCAGCAGCCTGCCCGCCGACACGTCCTCGACATTTCCCGTGACACCAGCAACGCCGCATGCAGCGATGACAACCGCAGCGGCGCGGCCGATGCGTCGCCCGCTGCTCAACGGTGTGCGCCAGCTCGAGAGCATGCGCGATTTGGTGCCGTTTTTGACCGGCGTCAGCATTGCCTCGTACGAGAGCGTCTATGCGAGTGCCGGCAGCGTCGATTGGGCCAGTGTCGAGGCAGGGATCTTGGAGGATGTATTTGATGGCAGGTAGTCCGTGTCTGCATATACCACAATTTTAGCATACCAGTTATATATAGCAACTTGAAAAGTACTTTATTCAGAACACGATTCGTTCTCTAAGTGGCAGATGGTGTTCAATATTGAATGGACCAAATGGTTTGATTGTCAGAGGGCAAAAAATCGCGGTCACGTGACGCAGACTGTCGTGTCCCAGCTTCATGGGTACAGACAAATTTCAGCACTAGTATATTCCAGTGCTCAATGTGAGTATCGTCTGCTTCGTTCACCGCACCAACGTCCCACTCGAACGCGAACGCTGGAAGCTCATCATCACTCAGTGCTGATGCGCTGATGGTATTTGCTATGACCAAACATCATCTTTTGGTCTGCTCATCATGCTAGCACCGGTCGCGTCTCGACTGTGCCCTAATGCCGTGACCAAGGCACGATTCCACGCGTCTGCGTGCGCAAATGCGCTCTCGCTGAAGCCCCCAAAAGAAATCTCGGGCATGAAAGTCTCTCGCCGCTTCTCGGGCAAGAAGGCGTTCCAGTACAACTGGTACATGCGCATCCTCAACTCCACGAAGACTTCTCCGCTCCTCATTCTCTACCACAACGACTTCAAATCCGAGCGCCTCGTTCAGCTCCGCCGCGACGTCACCGCTGCATCGAACCGGCTGAAGCAGCAGCAGCAAAAACGCGCACAGGCAGCCGGCATACCAGTGGAGGAAACGGACGACCCTTTGCTCACTGTGATACGCTCGAGCATATTCGGCGCCGCGATCCGCGACTTTCCCGCGCTCGAGAACGCAGAGGTCGAGCCCATGGTGGAGAACGTATCGGGCTCGCTGGCGGTGCTGTCCCTGCCTGTGCTCGACCCGCCACAACTTAAGGCGATCCTGCGTACATTCGAGCGCTCGGCGCCACCGCGCAAGCCCAAGACACCTGAGGAGCTGAAGAAAGAGGAGCAGGAGAAGAACGCGGACCCTGCGAATCCGGGAAAGCGCATGAAGCGAATGCGACAGGTGGTGGATCCGGAGCTGAAGGTGCTCGGCGCTTTCTTTGATGGGCAGGTGCTGCTTCCTGCTCGGGTGAAGCAGGTGGCGGACATGCCGACGCTGCAAACGTTGAGGGAACAGTTGCTTGGACTGTTGAGTGCCCCGGGGACACAACTTGCGATGACGCTCAGTGCGGCCAGTGGAGGCAGGTTAGCCAGGACGCTAGAGGGACTAAAGAAGGGTTTGGAGGAGAGCGCAGGGGAGGCACCAGCGGCGTAGATTGTTCATTTTCCCCCTATGACACGGTGGAACGTAATCGGGATACACTTCAACTAAAAACAGCCGTACTGGGTGGGGACCAGTTCTTAGCGCGTTCTACGCATCGCAGGAAGTTCTATGGAACCTCAAGCAGCAAGCTTCAAGGTCGACGAATGTAGATTCTATTACATTCCTAGTTCCTGAATTGCTTTTGTCATGGTTGCCACTAGGGCGCTTCAACCTGCGCATCGCACTACCAGGAGACGGTCAGGCATCTTGCAAGCTGTCCGTCTCAAATCGGCATGCAGGGTCGAAGGAGCACATGCATGTGCCCGGCTGGGTCAGCAGAGGTCGCTATATTTTGTCTTGGCTGTTAGCCTTCTACTTCGCCGAACTCGCCCGACTAACTCTCTACACGAAACTCAAGCATGTATGCTGCTTAAAGGAAATTGGAGCATCGTGGCTATTGCACAACAAAGCGGCTTAGAGTTGCAGCGGTCGGGTAGAGAGGGAGCTTGAGGCAACGATATCAAGAGAAAAGAACCGGCATCAACGATCAATATAACTTTGTTCCTGTCTGCTAGCAGACTGGGATGGACCCCGTACGTCTTGACGCTCCCTCGCTCTCTGTGTCCCGCGCATCATCTTCAACTTCTTCTTCTTCCACCTCCCGTGCCTACTCCAGCGGCGACCAGGACTTTCCCCAGGACCACTCCCGCAGCCCCTCGGAGACCACACTCTTTTCGATTTACTCCATGTATGGTCGTGACTCTCTACCGCCAGTACCCAAAGACGACATACCCGCGGTCCGTCTGACCATCCCCGAGACCTTTCGGCGCTCTGTGATCAAAGAGGACGGTCCAACTGAGGACACGGACTCGGCGTACTTTGACTTGCCACCTGTGCCGTCGGCACGTCTGCTCGACCTTACGAAAGAGCAGCTCTTAGTCACTCGGCCGACCCGAGTATCCAGTCTGCGGCCCATTTCAGACTATACGACGACCTCGTCATCGTCCATGCGTGGCAGTTTGACCGCGACGGAGGAAAGAAGGGCTTCGACGAGTAATATCCAGCTACAGTCTTCTCGCGAAAGCTCTCCGCGGCCGGATTCGCTTCTTGGACTTCCGCCACTTCCGCCCTCCCGTACGCCCACACCGTCTTTGAGCCCTCCCCCTCCCGCTGTGTCACCCACACTCCCTCTCAAACACCCCTTCTCCGTACTCGGGAGCAAGACATCACTTGTTCCATCAGAAGGCGAAGACCTGGATGGTTTCCATGTGCGGAATACATACGCACAGCTGGAAGTCTCTGGTGTCAAGGGCGATGGCTGGGAGGAAGGCGTCGAGCGCACGCGTGCGCGCATCGGCGCCAGTCGGGCGAGCCAAATGATGGCCGAGAATGCGATCGGAGATGGCACTGAAAAGTCACAAGAATTGGATCCGCGCGAGATTCGGACTTTGAGAGAAGTGGACCGGTGAGTCTCGTTGAGATATTCATTCCATGACAGATTCCAGGCGGCTGATATCTGCGATAAAGATATGGATTCTTCTCGATTCCATCACACGACCGCCTGGTGCTGTTGCCCTCTGCACCGTTCCTTGTCCGCCTCAGTGTTGTCCAAGCCGGCCCACCTGCGGCTGGGCCGTCCGCCAAGTCCTTGGAGTCGAGTCCGCCAGCACGGAAACCGCCGAAAGAGCTTTCTCGCATCGAGAAATGGACCCGCATGATGCTCCCGCAGCTTCGGGACCAGGGAGCGAATGCTCTGTCTTGGCATGTCAAACCATCGAAGGAGGCCAAGTTGCGCGTGCGCGTGTACAAAGGAATACCCGACCGATGGCGACCTGCCGCATGGGACATGTTCATGAGCACCAAAGCGAGCATGGGGCCCGAACAAATGTCGCGGTTGGCGGCCCGATATCGTGACGGCCTCGACAAGCCTTCGACGTACGATATTCAGATCGACCTGGACGTTCCCCGTACGATCAGTGGGCATGTGTTCTACCGGACGAGATATGGTGCTGGGTGCGTTTGCGTTCAGCTACTCATGCTGAGACATTGCTAACGTTGCACAGGCAACGCTCCTTATTCCACGTGCTGCATAGCTTCTCTTTGCATTGCGGAGAATGTGGATATGTGCAGGGCATGGGCCCCATCGCAGCGACTCTGCTGTGCTATCTCGATCCAGAAAAGGTGTATGCCTCCCTGGTGCGGCTGCATGACGCCTATGGCATGCACACCATCTTCAGCCCCGGGTTCCCTGGCCTCCTCGAAGCCATTTATGTGCAGGAACGCATCACAGAGACGATGATGCCGGCCGTGTATGCTGCTTTCAAGAAGCACAGCATCTCGACGACGTCCTACGCCACCAAGTGGTACATCACGTTGTTCGCCAACTCGGTCCCTTTCCAGACCCAACTGCGGCTGTGGGATGCGTTCTTGTTCGAGGGTACGGATCTGTTCGTTGCCGTGGCTGTTGCCATCGTGTGGGCCTACCGTGGTGCGTGCCTGAATTCTACATCCGCAGCATTTTGCTTACCCACAAACTCAGATCATATCACCTCGTCTGCCGCCAACTTTGAAACCATTCTATCCTTATTGTCGTCATTTTTCATTCCGGAAGACGAAGATACCCTGCTGCTCTGGATGGAGAAGACTCTTGGCGACAAGAAACTCCGCCAGAGCATGGTGCAGTGGCGCGTCGACTGGAAAGGTCTCGTTGCTTCCGGCAAGGACGGCGCCGCGCTCTTATAATCACACTCGTTTCCTTCTCTATCTTCCTCTAATATTGGGTCTTGTCCAGACATTATTCCCGTAGCTTTCATTTGCTTTTCAAGATGCATCTGTACCTCCGCACAATCAATCTGTTTTTTTGTATTCGATTTCGGGCGTTGGATATCCTCATCCATATCGTACATATTACGTACACACAACTAAAAGCTGATGTTGGCCAGCTCCTCGTCGTCCAGGAGCCCATCAACATACTCATCGAGGTCCTGCGTACATGTCATGTCAATCGCGCAGATTCAGCTCCAACTGGCAGATGCACTCACATCACCAGGCAGCTCAGTGCTTGAGGACGACAGTTTCGAAGGCGGAATGTGGTGTGCAGACATAGAGACTGAAGGCTCGATTTTGCGAATCTTGGATGGGCTTTCTGACGGCGGAGGACTCCGAATCCGGAATGCATCAGCAGCAGCGAGTTTGGACTGAACATCGCCACCAAGCCTGAGCTCAGCTTCGAGTGTTACCCAATCCCTCTCCGGTTCCTGATGCAACGCCGCCCCATGATTAGCCATTAGATCGGCACCTTCGTTTCCTGCTTCCCCGCTGTGCCCTTTGACGTGCTCGAAGTGCACTTTCTGGCCCTTGAGGGCACGGGCATTCAGCAGTGTGGCAATATATCGAATGATTTCTTTATTCTTCACTGATTCTCCAAGCGAACTCGTCCAATTGTTTCTCACCCAACCAGGCAGCCACTCTCCCAAACCTAGCTGCTCATGAGATGTTGCGAAAAGGAATGAAGAGCAGCCCACATTTGATGGAGTAGACGGAATCCGATCTGATGAGCAGAGGTTTCTTGCTGATGGGTGTTTCCTCCAGAGCACGAACGATGGCCTTGAAATCACATCATTAGAACGAGAACTTGGGAAGGGGAAGAAGTGTTGAGAGCATCCACGTACAATCAACTCCGCTCGATTGTTGGTTTGATCACCCGGACACCTTTCCGCGATGTTTCTGACAAGATCTTCAGTGCAGTCCCAAGTTTATTGAGGAGAGAACTCACCTCGGATCGCTGGGGCCCCACCAGACTCCTACACCGGCAACAGACCCCGGCTTTCCGTTCCCTTTACATGCTCCATCGGTGTAGACGATGTCCCAACCTGTGGTGTCTTCGATCTCGGGCACCAACGGTCGTTTCTTCCCTCTCGAGGACGATGCTTTGCTGGTGGAAGAAGCTGCCTCTGCAATAGCAGAAGAGGGGGACTGCGAGACGACACCGAGCCATGACTGCGCCTCCGCCATGCTCTTGAAGCTCTTGTACACGGCTGAATTGAACCCTTTCACTTGCGACTCGCATTCAGGCCTGACGTGGATTCGGAGACACGTTATAGCCGATCGCCATCGAACGCACCAGCTATTGTAGAGACCCGGTCGTCGACCGTTTCTCACAGCGTACCACTTTCCGGGAGCCATTTGCCTTGCCAGATGAGCTGTGATGAGTGAGTATATCGAGTGAGGCCGGAATAATTTGCCCCGGACGAGCCGGAAGGAGAGAAGGGGGAGTCGACGCGGCAGAGTGGATTGATTTAAGCAGCGGTGACGGTCAAATTTAAGCTCCACTGTGAGGGCCAAGTCAGGTGCTCGCGTTTTGATGAAAACGCACCGCCACATTCATGACACCTGTCGTTTTTGCTAAGCCGATAGATCGGAGCTCAATCCCTCTCCAGCAGACCAGGGTGCGCAGCAACATTTGAGTTTAAAAACATGCAGACGTCCAAAAATTGATATATCACCGACACACTGATCTGCGACCTGGAGTAAGAAAGCTTCCTTGTGCCAGTGACGGTTCCACGACTCCCTTGTAATTATCATAACGTATCACTCGTCCTTCACTTTTCGCTAGTCCGACCGACATAGCTCACAGTCTCCTCCGTCACAAGTAGCTCTGCTTTGCTGAGTATAATAGCCTGTCTCGGCAACCCCCGATAATGGTCAATCACCCACTATTGCGATAAGCGGTTTCTGTTTATAGGCATTCCTCCACCAGCTCATGAGCGCCGCTTCTCGTCCCATACAAAGCTGTTTCCAGTGTGATTTCTTTGTTGCTATATGAGCCACTCTGTCTCTGACCACCCGCTGCCAGGTCGAAAGCGCAAAATCAAATGTTAGCACGACCGATGCTGCCCATAGTTCCGAGCTATCGTTGACAGACAACGGAATTCTACCACAGGCAACCGATCTTACCCATGTGCCCCGTGTATACTCCGAGGAGAGAACGATACCTGCAGAGAAGTGGATAAGAGCACCGACGGGTGCGTGCGCAACATGCGCGGTCAGGACTGCCTGGTCTCCTGACTTGCACACTCCAGCTCCAGCTCCAGAACGACCGCAGAAACAATCGACGAGCTTTTGCACCGTGTATCGACTCTCGAGTCTATCGTTTCGCAACTATCCGACGCGTCCAAACTCTCCCACCCCACCCCACCAGCGGCACCCTCTCATGAGCCGTCGATCATTCGCTCAAGTTTCGGAACGGACACCAAAGACGAGGATGTCGCTATGATGCTTGAGGTTGGAGTGTTCCAATGTCAGGGAACTCAATGAACCCAATGCGTTGCAGGACTTCGCCATGGGCCACCGCGTGAACACCAACCGTGCAGCCCAAGAACTCGAGGCCGCGTCTCACAGCACTGTCAGGTCACCGCAACTCAGGGTCACGCGGAAAGGACCGCAGCTCGGTATTCTCCCCAGCCACCCCCTCGCACTGCTCATCGACCCGAACACGGATATCCTGGGTCGTCTGCTTTCTGTGATGCTGCCAGAACAGCAGGCTGGTGTGCTTGTGCAGTTCTACTTTGACCGATTGGACTGGTACTCGAAGGTTCTCCACCGGCCGACCTTCGTCGCAGAAGTGAGCGAGTGAGGTGGCATCGGTCGATTCGGCTCACACCAGACAGAGCAAGAATCTATGGGCCAACATCTTCCCGAAATTTCGCCGCCATCGACATCGGATTTCTGGCTGTCTACTATATGGTGTTGTGCTTGGCCCTTCACCTCATCGAGTCGATCGTACGCGAACAACTGGGGCTCTCTTTCCTCGCTGCATCAGACCTCGCACGAGACATGCACTCTGCCGCTCAAGTGGGTCTCAAACATTCAGCAAGACGCGTGTTGAATCTTCTATTTCCATAGGCATGTCTACATTTTGACGAGTTCCTCGGCTCGCATTCCCTCGAGCATCTGCAGTGCATCATGTGCGTGAGATGCAGGCTTGCTTTCGTGCTCAATTTGATGTATCCAGTCTTATGGGTGTTTACCAGCAAAACCTGGACGAGTCTGAGTCTGTGGCTTCCAGCTCTTGCTCGCATGTAATGTCTGACATCTCGGCAGCACGCACTGGGCTCTTCTCGGCGCCGCCATCAAAGTAGAATTGTCTTGAGCGGGAATCATTTCAAACATCTGACAGGCTGCGTAGATTGCTCAAAATTTGGCATATCCATGCTGGGCACCGAAGGGGAAGAACGAACCTATTCGACACCCTGGGGCTCTATCGTGAGACGAGAGGTTGCACGCAGAGTATGGTGGATTCTGGTGAGTCTTCTGTTATCAACTGGATCGCCCGCCAACTCCTCTCCAGATCTGGGATGACTGGCTAGTAAACCGCTATTCTGAGGAGACCCCTTGGTAGTAACAGTAGATCGCAGGTCACATGCTGCTGCTCATAACGGGACGTATTCCATCCACCCTAGTCAAAACCACACTGGGTTTCCTGGTGCGTCATGTTTGTCGTGTGGCTGGTCGGCTCACAAAATCGTTCTCAGCCAACGTCAACGACATGGACCTCGTTGACGGGATCCCATTCAAACCACATCCCCCACGGGAATACACAGAGATGACTTTCTCGCTCTGTCGGTTGCGGTTTGTCGAGCTTTATCGCCAGGTCCTCGATAATATGCAAGCTCCCAAAGGGCATTCTTTCATCGTGGAAATGGACAGCAAGATCTCTTGCGCTTTATCTGAGCTGCCCACCTATTTCCGGGGGCCTGGACCAGCTGTCAAGGGCTTCGAGCTCACGCTGGCTCTGATCATGGGAGAGACAAGAAGACTGCGGTTACATCGGCCTTTCTTGTTCGGGGCTACAAGGACAAGAAATATGTACGTCTTTCTGATGGGGTGAATCCTTCATGTCCTGAACGGACCAGATGGCTTCACGAGTCCAATGCGTAGCCTCTGCTACGGCTATTCTCAATCACCTGAATTCGGACGACTCTGCTCTGCTGCTCAAGTGGTGGATTGTTCTGTTCTACGGCTTTGCGGCTGTGAGTTGCCCCCGACTTGTTGAATCGGATCCAGGATTGATCCACTGACAGGCAGTTGTACTGTTCATCGATCTGTGCCACCAGAAGGCTGAGGGGCAAGCCGATCTCGAAGGCCGTCGCATGCAGCTAAGAGAAGCGCTCGATTTGTTCAAGTATGTCATTCGCATCGCTCCTCGCTAGTGCTGTGTCCAACAATACCCAGAACAGCCGAGCAAGTGTCTCATGTCTCGCGTAACGCAATAACGTTGCTGGAGGGCCTTCTGAGTATGTGTTCCGGGCGGTCATTTGTGCGACTGTTGATCTCGAGATGTAGCTGCTGAGCCTGGGATGCCGTCGAGACCATCTCACAAGCGTGGGGCTACAGACGATGCGCCGTTTGGCCGAATCGTCAAACGCATGATTGTACGTCCTCGTTCTTTACACTATTGCATTTCCCTCAACATTAACTAGATCGATGCCTCGCGGAATCTGACTGTGCCAACGGCAATATCCCCAGCAAGTAGCAGCAGCGCAAACAGTGCATCACCGCCAATGCCCCCCATTCGCAGTCAAGTTACCCGCCAGCCCGAGACCCTGACATGATGCCTGAACTATTCATGGCTGGAGGAATGTTCCGCGACGAAGGCGTATTTTCTGGTCCTCATTTCGACGACCAGACGATGGCACAGCTTTCCCAGCTACTATACAGCGATCCATACGGTTACACAGACAACTACGCGGGGAGTGGTTGAGGTTCACGCGGCTTTTTCGTTTCACTGTATCATGATTAGGCCTTGTAATATTATGATATGCCCATGTACTTACTTCATACGCTCTGACGACCTGGGGAATCCAGCCCACTTTGGCAGACCATCCTGCACGTCCACCACTCGTGTATTGTAGAAGATGTGGGCGGTCGGTTTCAGGATGTCCCAATTCAGCACCATATCGTCTGCTCCGCGCGCGAACTGTGTAGGACGAAGTGCCCAGTTCCCCGTATTAGCTTGGCAGCAGCACAGCTGCGGCATTGCTTGCAGCGGTAGAGCTTCATGTCGCCGACAGTTTCGAGTTCGTTGTGCGGCGCGCTCGACGCAGTGAAGGCGAAAGCTTCGTCGGGGAAGTGAGCCGAAGCTACGAAAATGGCACCGTCGGCGCGTTGACACCGGGTGCCTGCAGAAGGGTGGAAATGGTGTGGTGAGACACGGCCTGCAAGCCAGATCTTGCTCACAGTGGCAAAACACGCTGAAGAGAGGCTTGCTGGAGAGATTGAACTGCACGAGGCCGCAGGTGCAGCCGCCCGCGAGAGAGACAGAAGGGGTCTCTTTGTTAGCCATGACAGACGAGCTGAGTAGGCAGCGCGATTGGGCAGTCAAGCTAATACTTAAAGGGGTGGATCCCTGGGCTCCGGCCCGCCTGCCCGTTTACATCTCATTCCCGATCCGATCATGATTGCTTTCCCTAGCGGCCTGAACTTGCACCAATGGATGTTTCCAAACATCTGGAACTCGCCCGAAAGATCGCATCTGGCCCTCTGAGCAAAGAGGAGAAAGATGAAATTCTGTCCAATCTCGGACTCGCAGGTCTCCCCTCACGAGAGCAGGTCCACCGGCAGATCGAAGAAAGATTCTTGACACCGCAGGACACCTTGCCTCCACATTGGCTGCCCACGTACCAACTGTACGCGCGACCTTGCTTTATATCTTTTGGAAACTCCCCTCATAGTGCTCCTGTAGATACTGGACACCAGAATTGAACATCCCCTCTCTGCTCAAGCTATCGCCTTCGCCTGCGCCTACGACCGTGTCATTTGTGCGCACGGGCCTCGAAGGACGCGTCACCGGCCACGTCGAGGTCAGTCCTACAAAAATCAGCGGCATCTGTCTTGCCTCGTCCTTACTGCGTCTGCCCGTCTTCGCACAGATCCCAAATCCACGCAAATCAACAGGTGCGGCCTCGACATCTCTCGATCGCGCACCGGACCCGAGCAAGAACTTCGTCCGCGGGCGCTCAGGAAATGTGCCCTTCTGGCCCGGTGGGCTGGAGGATGTGGCTCTTCTGGATGGCGACAAGCCCGGCGGGCGCGGGTCGTCGAGAGGGCTGAGGACGATCCCGCCTGGGTTCGGGGGCTGCTGTTCCCCGAGGATATGGACGACAGTATCTTGGAGCTGGATGAAATCGAGAGGGATGCAGTGGAGGAACGGGCAGACGTTGATGAGATGGTGCGTGTGATTGCTCATGCGCAAGGGACCGCTCTTGTTCACATCACGCTTTTACATAGGACGCCGATGCCGATGCGTTCTTTGAGGAGACCACAGCTCAAGAAGGTGTTCCTGGTGGTGCCGTCGATAGCATCGACGATCTGCTTCCGACGACAGTATGTTCATCGGCACCCATCTTGAACGAGAGCTGACACTCCCTCCAAGCGCACAAATCTGAACCCGGTGAAACGGGCTCGCAAGCGCATACAGAAGACCATACAGAAACGAGATTGGGCGCATGTCATCGATGTGAACACACCGCTATCCAACTTCCACGAGCTTGTGCCGGAGATGGCTCACAAGGTGATCTCGTTGTAAGCATCCAGTCTCTGAATGTACTGAAAGGGCTCTCTGTAGTACCCGTTCGAACTGGACACTTTCCAAAAACAGGCTGTTTATCATCTAGAAATGGGCGATTCGGTCTTCGTCGCTGCTCACACCTCAGCCGGCAAAACTGTAGTCGCCGAGTATGCTATAGCTTTGGCTGAGAAGCACATGACCCGGTGAGCAACAAGTTCTTGTTCCCTTCAGCCTCCTCACTCACCTTGGCAGAGCGATTTACACCTCCCCCATCAAGGCGCTGTCAAACCAGAAATTCCGCGACTTCAAGCAGACGTTCAATCCCGAGTCTGTTGGAATCTTGACTGGAGATGTGCAGATCAATCCTGAAGCCAGCTGCCTCATTATGACGACGGAGATTCTGCGCAGTATGCTTTATAAGGGTGCAGATCTCATCCGTGATGTCGAGTTTGTGATCTTTGACGAGGTGCATTATGTGAATGATGCAGAGGTATGTTGGCCTACCCTTGGATGGATGGAGTGCTCATCGAACACGCAGCGAGGCGTTGTCTGGGAGGAGGTGATCATTATGCTTCCAGACCATGTCAATATCATCTTGCTCTCTGCCACTGTCCCTAACACGAAGGAGTTTGCCGACTGGGTTGGGTGTGCAGGACTACCTCTCGATTCTCCTCAGCCCTGACGTCATCCCAGGCGGACAAAGAAGAAAGACATCTATGTCATTTCCACAGCCCAACGGCCAGTTCCTCTTGAGCACTACCTCTATGCAGGGCGGGAGATGTACAAGATCGTAGATTCGCGGCGCAACTTCCTGGCTCTGGGGTCGGTCTCCTGGTACTTCCATGGGCGGTGAGACTGATTCATGTACTAGATACAAAGAGGCTGGCGAGGCTTTGCGCCGGAAACAGGACAAAGAACGAGAAGCAGCGGGACTTCCGCCCGTACAGCGGGCCGGTGCTGCCGCTCAGCGGGGCGGCGGTGCCAATCAACGTGGTGGGGGGCAGCGCGGTGGGCGGGGTGCAGTCACTCCCGCTCGAGGCCGTGGCGGCGGTGGTGGAGGGGGAGGCGGCGCGGGCCGATCATCTCACCATACGATCGACAAGAACCTCTACGTCCATCTACTTGGGCATCTGCGCAAGAAAGGCCTGCTCCCTGTGGTGGTATTCACATTGTCCAAGAAGCGATGTGAGGAGAACGCATCGACGCTGACAAATGCCGATCTCTGCTCGGCTGTGGAGAAGAGCGAAGTGCATGTTGCTATCGAGAAGGCGCTTTCAAGGCTCAAAGGTGCGCCAGGACATGTACGCTCCAGTTGGTGGTTTGTAATGCTGAGCAGGTCCGGACCGGAAGCTGCCTCAGATCGGGAGAATGCGAGACTTGTTGTCGAGGGGGATCGGTGTGCACCATGGTGGTCTGCTACCTCTGGTAAAAGAGGTCAGCGAAACTGTCGCTTTCATATACTTGATTCAACTGATGGCTCCCCAGCTCGTAGAGATCCTCTTCGCTCGGGGGCTGGTCAAGATCCTTTTTGCCACGGAAACCTTTGCCATGGTGTGTAGCTCGCCTCGGATGACGATTCGACTCTCACAGATCATAGGGTGTAAATATGCCTGCAAAATGTGTGGTGTTCTCTGGCATACGCAAGCACGACGGACGCAGCTTCCGGGAGATCTTGCCCGGGGAGTACACCCAGATGGCCGGTCGAGCTGGTCGCCGTGGTCTGGATCCCACAGGGACAGTTGTTATCGCTGTCGGAGATTCTCTGCCAGAGGTAAGTCAAGTTGGTTTGTATTCAAAACACGCGACTGATGCCACCTAGCAAGGTGTTCTGCAGACAATGATGCTGGGGACGCCTGGAAAACTGTCGTCACAGTTCAGGCTGACGTACAACATGATTCTGAACCTTCTTCGCGTTGAAGCGCTCAAGGTGGAGGAGATGATCAAACGAAGTTTCTCGGAGAACGCGTCGCAGCGGTTGCTGCCGGACCAACAAAAGCAGGTGGTGGAGGTATGTTCCGACGAAAGACAACCTGGTTCTCTTCTTGAATTTTGCGCCCAGAGTGAAAAGACGCTGTCGACTCTACCCAAGCTCCAATGCGAAATTTGCGAAGCCGACATCAGCCAGTGCTATGATGATTCGTTCAAGATCGTTGCTTCGAACCAGAAGCTGTTTAGTATGGCCGTTTCTCATCCTCAGGGATCGAAGCTGTTCACTCCGGGTCGGGTCGTTGTTCTGCGGGACGGGGTAAGTTGTCTGGGTATGTCGTGGCACGTTCTCAAGAATGTCACAGCACTTCCGGAGCAACAATATCGCTGTCTTGCTCAAGCCCGCGCCAGTTACTGCATCTGAATCCGGCGTACTCGACAGAGTCAAGACGTACTTTGTTCTGGCGCTTGTCGATCTTGCCACCAAAACTGGACACAGGGGTGTGTAGGGCTATACCAACGGAGATCATCTCTCGATCTAATCTCATCGATTAGATATCGATAATCAAGCTGTGACCCCTCGATGGCCCCCTCTGCCCCAATCACTTAATGTTTCAGAGGGTGTCTACGAAGTCACAGCTGTTCCACTGACATCAATTTCACTTGTCACTGCTCGCACAATCAAGGTAAAACAAACATCTGTATTGGGGGTTTTATGCTCAGGTTGCCAGATTGACGTGGATGCTATCGTTGACCGACATCTGATCTCCCGCATGCGGGAAGCTCTGGCTTTGCTCAGTGGTTTGATCGACGAGTGGGGATCACTCACACAAATCCCTGAAGTCGACTGGGCTCGGATGCGCGCACTCGAGTTCCAAGAGACACTTCGAAGCAGGAATGCGATTGTGGAGAAGCTTGCGGGTCGTTCGTGTCTTTTGTGTGCGAACTTTGAAGATCACGTAAGCTGTTTTGACCGCGGGTTGGTCTTGGTACTGACTCATTCGTTTGCAGTACGCGATTCTTCACGGAGAGAAAGTGCTTCGGGCCAACATCGCCAATCTGAAGCTCGCCATCTCAGACCAGAATCTCGAGCTTATTCCGGATTATGAGCAGCGGATTGGCGTGCTGCAGGACTTGAAATTCATTGACGAGAACTCGACTGTCCTTCTTAAAGGCCGGGTCGCTTGCGAAGTGTGTGGTGACATCCAGTGCCTGGCAAATTTTTCTATCTCACTGATCCCCCCGTTTAGATCAACTCTGCGAACGAACTGGTTCTGACAGAGCTTATTCTCGAGAACACACTCGCAAGCTACGAGCCCGAAGAAGTCGTAGCCCTCCTGTCTTGTTTCGTCTTTCAAGAAAAGACGGACGTCGAGCCCGTCATCCCGCCGCGACTGGAGGAAGGCCGGGATGCGATTCTGGCTATCAGCGATCGGGTGGGCCGCATACAGGACGCGCACAAAGTAGCCGCAGCGGAGTTCCGGACGGACCTGAAGTTCGGGCTCGTCGAGGTTGTGTATGAGTGGGCCAAAGGCATGGTATGTGGGCTCCAACTTTGCAGAAGATTGTCTCTGATCCATTCACCCAGCCATTTGAGCAAATCACCCATCTCACAGATGTGCCCGAAGGCACCATCGTGCGAGTGATCACGCGGCTGGACGAGACGTGCAGGGAAGTCCGCGATGCGGCGCGGGTTATTGGGGATGCGGAGTTATTCAAGAAGATGGAGGAGTCACAGATCAAGATCAAACGAGATAGTGAGTGCGCACTTTGCTGCAAGCTGTCACGACATCTGATTCTGTCGTCCAGTTGTGTTTGCTGCCAGTTTGTATTTCTAGACGCACCGATGTTTGATAGGATGCACGGCGTCCGGTAGCAGACGTTACATTCAAGTTTGTTCCGCGTGGGTAAGGTTCAGCACTGCCCGCGGCGGTGCAAACTCCATCCATCGTGCACTGTTCTTTTTTGGGAGACCTTCCAAGTCTCCTTCGCTATACCTCATCGTCAACAGCTCCGAAGCGCTCATCTCTGACATTCCTGGGAAGCGCTATAGGATTGAACCGGAAGCACGTCCACAGCTTGAGGACGGTCAATCAAAGATCCTTGTCCAGGTCTAGCATTCTCAACGAAACAAGGATGTTCGAAACGTAAAGTGGATACGAAACCCCTTTCTCAATGCCACGGGTCTCGATAACCATGTCCATGACTCGCGGGATTCTCATGTTTTGCCCACCAGACCTGTATCAGGGTCTTTACCGTTTCTGGACTCTGTCCTCAGGTGTATAGCATTGACCGACAATCTGAGAGCGGATGTATGTGAGTTACATCGTGCTTTGCTCGGTCAGGATGGTGAAAACGAAAGTGTCACGTAGGCGTCATGAAGCTCAGTAGGAGCTGAGTGTCGTCTCCAAATCAGACTGCTTGCTAGCAATGAACCAAGTATAAAGTAGAATTCATGGTCCCTCGACGATGAACAGCCACTATCTTATCTGATTCTCGATATGCGTTCGCCAAAAGCGATCAGCAAGTGCCACGTTCACGCTCGCACGCGATCATCCAGCTTTCGTCTTACCAACTTCCTCTCCCACAAAACCACAGTCCTTCATTACCTCTTACTTCTCCTTCCAAAATGGTGCGTACGAAGAGCGCTCTGGCTCTGTACCTCTCGCGCAGCCTGACTGGTCAACTAAACGCTGCTGAACACAGCCCACCTCCTTCGAAATGCGCCAACGGAACGCCAAATTCGCCTCGGCGGCCAAGTCAGGCAAGAAGCCGACTCACCCCTCGCGCGCGGAGATGCTTGCGAAGCGGAGCCCCGTGAATATCTGGGTATTGGGAGTCGTGGTGTTTGTAGTGATGGGCGGAGGTACGTGTTGTGTGCTGAAGCCGGCGCATGAGTCCCTGATGTCTCGAACCCCAGTTGTATTCGAAATCGTGAAGCTGCTCTTCCTCTAAAATTGCGGCGCGCCGTGCGCTTCCGGATCGTGTCGAGGGCTCGTCAGGCACCCATTTGTATTAACAGCTAGCGTCTCCTCGTTGTCTTATCTTATTTTCGTCCCCTCCGTGGCTGCAATACAACATGGATGATATACAGCATCAGGGACATATGCGAACCAAGCGGGGAGCCGTGCTACGGCTACTCAGTCATCCCCGGAGATACTCGCGCTGACACTCATGCTCTGGCTGCTCAAGCTGCCCCCGGTCTCGACGTTCTTTCCTTTCCCTTTCCCGCTGGGTCCAGTGACCTCAATGCCTTCCATCGCGTCTGCTTCAAGCTCCTTCTCGTCGATGTTGACCGCGTCGCCCGCCCAGACACGCATGGTCGGCTGCCAAACCATGACGATATTGTCTTCCGATGTGCTGGTGGCCGTCCAGTTATCCGCCTCGCCAGGTGCCCAACAGAAGTCGGTGGGCCGCGAGGTGTGACCTGCAACGCGCTTGAGTGAACAACAAGGTCTCGAGCAGTTCAAGCCTCACCTCCATGAACGAACAGAAGCTCCGGTGCACCGTCTTCTTGATCGTCCGGTGTCTGCTCCTCTCCAATCATGGATAGATCCCAGATGTTTATTCTCCGATCGCTCGATGCAGAGGCGAAGATGGTGGGATTGTGGGGTGACCATGCCAGGTGCAGAACCTCGTCAATGTGACCTTCGAAGATGTGCAGTTTCTTGGCCGGTGAGCGGATGTCGTGTAGTGCGATTGTCTGTGGATCATGTCAGTGGCATTGAAAAAGAGTTTAGTATCAGATATACCTTGTCGGCACTGCCAGTGATGAGTAGATGGTCGGCAGCCGGATTAAAAGCCACAGCCAGGATCTCTCGGTCGTGGGCTTGGATTTTGGTGGACGGATCTGTTGGTGCCCGTGTGTCCCAGCTATGGGATATCAGATTGTGGATCCTCTGAAGCATTGGTGCGACTGACATCATGAGCATCTTATCGTCGCCGACACTGGCGAATACATTCTCTTTGGTGGGGTGCCAGTCCACGTCCTTGTCAAAGTCAATATGACTGGATGAGTTGTGGCAAGTGACTACTCACTCCAACGACAGAAGTATGACCGCGGAAAACGTTTGTGGGCTCAATCGAGGTCTTGGCTTTGGTGTACGAGTTAACGTCCCTGATGAGTTTTAGTCCATGGGGGCAAACGGCGCCTGAGATGCCTCACCAATGACAAACCGTTGTGTCCTCTGAAGCGCCGAGAACATGCCCTTGTTTCACAGGGTTCCAAGCCAGTCCGTAGCTATGAGCTCGGTCAGATTGCGAACATGAATCGTTTGTCACACCCACCCTTCTCGGGTTTGTCCCACCAGTCGTATATCCGGCTTGCACACACCTCCGCGTTCAGGCTCACTTCCATGCTTCGTTCTATCGAACACGAGCACCTCGCCTGTCACCGCCTTGGTCGCGATCAGGTCTGGATTCTGTGGCATGTACCGCGCGCGGTTGACCTCTCCTTCATGGTTGATCTTCTGGATGATCTGGATGCGTGGGGTTGGAGGAAGGGTGTGCCCGCCAAGTTCTCCCCGCTGATCGTCGTAGTCCGCGCGATCCAGCTTCTCAGCACCGGGACCCGAACGTTTGGGAATTTGGACAGAAGCAATTTGAAGGTAGTCTTGCGACTGGCCTGACGTGTGCGTCCCCAGTAAAAGCCGATGCGTTGTGTAGGGTTTGTCGGGGGAGCTGTGTGCGGTGTCCGCGTAAGGATGGGGGCATGAATGCCAGAGAGGGGACAGAACGCACGATACGGTGTCAGGGAACCATTGACACGTAAGACTGGGCCAGTCCAGCGCGTGGGTGATGACTATATCATAGAGATACGGCGCGTTTTTCTTCCTGTATGAAGTTCGTTAGTCGGGCAGCTCAGTAGTGTATAAGTGGCACGGACCAAGTCTTATATTCCTTCAGAGCAGTATTGAGCTCCACATCGGATCCTTGATTCACGTACGGGAGCACGCACCTCGTTGATGAGTTTGTTCTCCTCCTCAGCTGCGAGGTCATCCTCGACATCTTCGGCTTGTGGACGCATTTTGGATCCGAGAGAAGCGTGAAATAGAGTCTTAGTCTGCACTCAGGTGCAAATTCGATCTAATTTCGCGTGGTGAAAGAGACTGAGGATGGTAGACTTGCAAATTCGACGCGTTCGCGCACAAGAGGGCGATCGCAAGACGCGTCGGTGGGTTAGGGTTAGCTGAAGCTTCGCACATAAACAAATTCGATCTTGAACTTTCTCTAATGGCTAAATCGAAGAAACCTCTGAAAGCTGCGCTTCAATCCCAGCAGACTCGCATGAAGACGAAGCAGAAAGCTGCGCAGGCGGCCCAGACGGCTGAACTCATGGCCAGGAAATCGAACAGCTCAAAAAAGTCCAATGCGAAAGGCAAGGGAAAAGCGGAATCTGGTGCCTCTGCTTCGTCGAATATCTCTCGGCGAAGACAGACGATACCATTTTTACCGACGGAGAAGATATTGCTCATCGGGGAGGGGAACTTCTCGTTTGCTCATGCCCTGATTCACGATGCGCCTGCTGTTCTGGAACATCTGCCTCCGCGAAATGTCACCGCTACTGCGTACGATTCAGAAGAGGAGTGTTACAGCAAATATCCGGAAGCTGAAGAACTTGTTTCGAGGCTTCGGGCTGCCGGATCTGAAGTGCTGTTTTCCGTTGACACCACGAAATTGGAGAAGATCGCGGCCTTCAAGGGAAGGACGTGGGATAAGATTGTTTGGAACTTTCCGCATGCTGGTCAGTGGATGATGATATGTTCGTTTGCTCTGGTTCTGGACCTCTATCTTCAGGAAAGGGTATCGCTGATCAGGACCGAAATATCCTGTCGAATCAGTTACTGCTTCTTGGATTTCTGCGTTCTGCGGCTGGGTGTCTGACCAGAGGTCCTTTTCCTCAGATCTTCGCACCACGGAAGCGGCGGGCAGACGACGTTGAAGATGATGAAGGCGAACAGGAAGACCTTGATGAAGACCTTGACATGTCCTCATCTGCGAAGGCTGCTAGCTGTCGCGGATCGGTTTTGATAACTCTACGTAATGTGTCACCGTATACTCAGTGGTGAGTCGACCATCCCATTCTTCCATCCCCGATTGATCACGACCCCGCAGGGATCTGCCGCGGCTTGCCAAGAATCCACCCCCTCCTGCGTCATCTGGACACCCTGGCAACCCTCGCTACACGCTTCTGCGCTCATTCGAGTTTCAGCGGAGCACCTGGTCTGGATATGCTCATCGAATGACAAAAGGAGAACGTGCTGGTGGCACCGGGACAACTGGAGTCGGCGGGGAGGATCGCACGTGGCAGTTCTGTCTGAGGGATTCGTGATGCATATCAGCTGAGTGCTCGGGAACTACAACGTATCCCCCCTTCTCGCCGGATCGGAGTCAATGTTGCATCCCGCCAGGTTCACCGAATCTTGGGGAAGGATAGGACACTGTCGTTCACAAGCAGGTCTGCTGTGTTATCCCATTTGCAGTTTTACCGCCTTGTATCTGCTGTAGAGGTCCTGGATCAACAGCTTACCCAGATTCAATCTTCCGAATGACGCCAAATCCTGTCCTTGCTTCTGGCCGCCGCCACTTCTCGTTCTCATCATTCTGGATCAGGCCCCCGGTCACTGTCGACTCAGTCAGTTCGCCTCGACCGGCTGGTTCATCCTCTCAAATCCGCTTGTCAGAAAGTCCGCCTGTCAGAGACTGATCTGCTCTGAGATCACCTCAGACATGGGCCACTTGCCTCAGTTCACACGCCTTGCTACATAAAATGCAGACCGGATGCCTCTCTCTGCGGCCTGCGGTGCTGGCAGCACTGATCGACGCGTAGATCTGGCATGATGTGCATTGATCGCCACCCAAGGTAGTGGCCGGGGCTACCACCTTAGAGACGACAAGCAGAGAGACCAAACTGCAGCATCAAGCGATGCCTCAATCATTGTTCCCGAGCGACTCCAGCTGACGCCGACATTCAAATTGCATCCCTGGCATATGCACTGCACGTACGACTTTCACGTAATGAGGGTGATATGCATCGATAACTCACGCACGCTCGCTGCACACTCGCCGTAACCACCTCGTGGCAGATTTCATATCCCATTGCAGTATGTTTGAATTCCGGACTCGGAGTCGCTGAGGGTTGCACCGGAAGTGGCGCACCGCCCAGTTGACGACCGCAATAGAGTCGACTCTTCGTCACTTGTCAACATTCGCACGTCGTATTTTGGGATGTGGTGCTTTTAGATCCTCCCGTCACTCCTCACCCATCTCTCTGGGTGTGCGGCTCGGTCTCTCCGTTCGGAACGCAGAATATCATGATTTTAAACGCATCTAAGCGCTCCTATAATGACTATTTTTCATCCTTCTTGGCTGGCTGGGCAGGCTATTCACTCGATAAACTTAGACTGCGCTGAACGCCAGTGACAACTTTGTCAATCTTGGAAAACTAGACTGCGCACACCTGCTGAAACCCGGTTGACGTCAGGCTTGATCTGAGTTAGCGCGCCATTGTGACCTGATTTGACCATATTGACTACGGAAGGTGATTGTAATTTTTATGAGACAAGCCTTACGGTGTAAACTAATCAGGTAAAAAGACGATCTCGAAGGGGTTTCAGCCTTGGGACAAATAAGGCAAATTTGTTTTTTCTCACAAGAACCGGATGTAATACTATGTGTCTGTCTGATAACAAGTTCAGTCGAGTGATCCATCACCACGGGGTGCCCGGAGCAGGGATTCTACAGCTTCATGACCCCGGATCCCGGTCGGAAATCAAGCATTCGCGAATTCCTGCCAATCGTCCTCGCACTGCCGATCCCCATTGGTCGTCGGACATTTGTAGTGGAATAGTATGATTCAGATTCTCCAAGTGGATCGATAGGATACACCCGTCGAAATTATATAAAACCCCGTGAGATGCAAGAGGTAGGTCAACTCCGATCCTCCTCCCAATGCCGGCCATCTCGAATGTCCACCTATCCACCATTCTCCTCGCACTGCTCTGCGCCACAAGCAATGCCAAGCTCCAGCTCGTTACGCTTGGTCTTCTGCTTGGTGTCGCTTTGAAAGGACTCGCGGAAAACCTGCTTCCCAGCACACGAATGGCCCGTCTGGATGCTTTGATTGAAGATGCCGAGGCTCGATTCCATCGAGCCCGGGAGGAACACATCTTCAGCCGCAATTTCGTCCTCGGTGTCCAGGCGCAGCTCAGACAGTAAGTCTGATTGCAAAGCCCAGAGAGACACTGAGTCGAATCGAACCTAGAGTTTATCTGACGCGGTCAAAGCTGCAGTCAGAGCTCCTGGCCCTTGGTCTGTACACCCCGACGGCCGAGTACTGGTACATCATTGGCAGTTTGGCCAAGCGCATTGAACGCTGCAAACAGCAAGTCCGAGCCATCCATTATTCTGTTCTGGTGAGCTGTTTTCTGCAACGCTCTTCGGGACATTGCCATTAACACGAAGACAGTTGGAGGTGGAAAACGAGAATCAGTATGTCGGCAGTGTGGAGCGTTAAGAGAACACTGAGAATGGAGGTTGTAGGATATGATAGTCAGAGTTTAGCGTGTGCGTCATCTTATAATAGGGTTGTGTGTGTAACTTTTTCTCGAGTAATTCATTGGCGTTGTTAACAGAGTGAAGGGGCCGCAGGGAAAGAGAACCGCGGGTCTCGTGATGGGATGCGTTCCTCTATCGTGACGTCGGTCACAACGCCAACTGATTGACAAGTTGGACTGTCCTGACCTCGACCGAATGTTGGTGCCCGGATGTTTGCTCGACGAATTGCCCCAGGCTAAGATCCGCACAGGGACGACGACGACGACTTTTTGTATGGTGCAAATCCGGCCGCAACGTCTACTCCTACCACAACAGCTCCGGGTATGCATACCTTCCACAATCTGCATTCCACACCAGTCTTGTCTTGTCTTGCCGTATTCAATGAAATGACATTGTTAATCTTCATGTGTGATCCTCAGTGACCCCCTCGTGCGTATGGAAACGTTTTTGTGTCGTCCAGGCGTTCATACTATGTGTGTCCTCCCTGCAGAACATCGTTCACCAGTGCTCCGCCTGCATCCGCCCTCCAAGTATTCCCTTCCCAGGCGACGGAGGTGGAAGAAGAGCCCTTCCCGGGATTTCTCTCATCCGCCGAAGTGCACGAAGAGAACGACGCGGAACAGGAAGACGAATATGTGGACGACGAACAAGAGAGTGACGAAGAAGAGGTAAATGGCCCCTACTTGGCTGCAACACGTCTCACACGCGCTCCAGGATGTCGAAATCATTATGGAGGCTCAATCTCGGTCGCTGGACTTCAGGTGCGTCTTTCTTGCTCTTGAACGTTCTCGTTCATTGACCTTTTCCCCGCAGACAATCCAATGCTAAACTGCGGTCTCAGCCGTCTTCCGCCTCTTTGCGTACGTTTTCGTGCTCGTGGGCTGTTCTTGACAGTTAGACGCTCTTGTTAGGCACGGCGCCGCTGGGACCGACTCTCACTACCGAATACACTCCCACACAACGACCGGCTCCTTCATTCGAGACGCCCTCGAGGGGCACATCCGAGATTCCGCCCGCATCTCTATCTGTTGCACCACCACCTGCTGCTGCATCGGCAGTCCAAACATCCGCACCGGGTGCATCGGTCGTTTCCGCCACAGCTGTATCCCATCCTGATGAGTATGGCAACAATGTTCCTGACGTGTCCGCTGCGCCAATGGACGACGTCGATCTAGAATCGCTTCCACCGGTGACAGCGCCCCCTTCGCACCCCGTCATCGACCCGACCGTGACCGGAATGACGGAAGGGCGGTCCATCATCGATGTGGATCTGAACGCGTTGGCAGACAAGGCGTGGCGCAGGCCCGGCTCGGACATCAGCGACTGGTTCAACTATGGGTTTGACGAGCTGTCTTGGGAGCTGTACTGCTACCGACGGCGCGATCTGGGCGAAATGGCGAATGTGCTCAAGACGAACGTTCTCGTGCGTGTCTCTGTTGCTGTGCTATCCGCCACTGATACTATCTATCCTGCCAGAACTTCTCCGGGATGGAGGAGGATCAAATGACTGTGCTGCCGCCCGAAGTGCGACAAATGGTGATGACTGGGACGTCGGCGATGATGAATGGGGCGGCTGGAGGCATGGGTATGATGATGGACATGGGAGGGATGATGCCCATGGGCATGGACATGGGTATGTCGGGCATGATGGGCATGCCGGACGTTGCCCAGGGTGGAGTCGCTCCCGTCGGCGGACAGGGAGAGATGCAGGACGGATTCAATGCGGGGATGATGGGCATGGGTATGGAGTATCCTCAGGGGCAGGTTCCGGTGAGTCTGTCTGTGCACTTTATGCGACGGCGCGTTGATGATCTGTCTAGGAGACGCCCCAGACCCAGATGTCACAGCAGCCGATGTACCCGCAGCAAACGGAAGGTCAAGATACACCGCCGCCCGGGCCGACGGGGTCAGCTGTTGTGCGAGGTGGATCGGGCGGTGCACCAGCCTACCGCGGGCGGGGGGCTCGCGGATCGCGTGGATTTCCCGCCCGAGGTCGGGGCCGGGGTGGTTACGAAGGTATCTTCGTGTTTCAGATAAGCTCAGCACAGGCTGAACACTGGTTGCAGGCTCGCCGGCACCCGCTCGTCCGACTTCCCCGCTGCCTCCCAATGTTCCGACTGGACCCCGAAATCAGAACAAATACAAAGACAGGGACGGGATTAGCGCTGCAGTGGACGGATTGGATTACGGGGGTGGAAAGGACGGTCGTGCAACCGCAAGTTACGAGTTAGATGAGAGGAGTCGGTGAGTCGATCTGTTGTGTATCTCCTCGTTTATGAACCAACATCCCGATCCAGCAAAAGACGAAGTTCCCCGGGCCTGGACGATCCACGGAGCTCAAAACGCCGTTGATTGTCTTCGTACTATATTGTACATAGTCAATTTTGAAATTGGTCGGACGAGGGTTTACAGCTTCTTGCACCCATCAGCGAAGGTTGTATTTAGAACCGTCTCCTTCTATCCACCACCACCGCGCGTGCGTGCGATCTCTATGTCTGCTCCAGTCATCAGGAAGTTCGCCCTGTTTGCTCCGTATATCACGACCGCCTCTGCACAAGAGTTGCGATCCAAACTGTACCCTGCTCACAAAGCAGGATTGACAGAGCAAAGAGCCAAGGGCGTCCTCAGTGAGTGCGCTGCTGCACCGCTCCGCGCACCCGCCAGCTGATAAGACGCGCCCCGCCTTCGTCTAATTAGAGTTTGGAGGTCCTGTCTGGAACGACGAGGGAGCCGGGGAGGCGCTTGCGGACGCGAGCGCGCGCCCTTATGGGGGCTCGTTCTTCCTGTACGAGGGAGAGAACCGGGCGGCGGTGATGGAGATAATCAAGCAGGACGCGTATTGGACTGGAGGTTTGGTGAGTCCGGCCTTTGCTTGGCATGCGGTGACCGGTCATGGACGCGTCGTTGCTTCGGTGTGAGAAGAGGCATCGAGCCGCAGTCTCGGTTCGGATGCGTTTTGGCGGAGGTTCCGTCTAGTTGGGTCTTGACCGCTGGATTCCGCTCTGAACGCGAAATTGTGTTTCCTTCTGACTATGTTTTCCGAGTCTGACCTTGCAAACAGTGGGACAAGTCTAGTCTGCGGCTGGTAGAATACAACCCATTATCGGGGTATCCCTTCTAATCAACATAAGACGACCGCTGCATCGTCACATCCAAAGCGCAATGACAGAATCAAATTTCATTACATCCTCTCGGGGCTGACCTCTTTTGTTGTTATCATAGTCAACGAGAAGTAGGCAGCGCTGCCGAAATTTGACAGAATTTCCCAGAATTCCATCAGGTGGGGTCGGTTCAAGTGACGTGCTTCGTCAACAGTCCTTGTTCCCGATTGAACGAGAGATGTCCATGGCCGTGATGAAATACAAGGGCAATAACTCCATAGAGGCTTCCCCTTATCCCGAAAACGGAAGGTGCCTCGCCAATCAACACCTACGTACCGTAAATGGAAATGTCCTTGTACTCTCAACAGCGGCATTCATGGGTGATCCTGAGCGGCGTAAACATATAAATTCACGCGCGAAGCGCCACAGTAACCCCAGCGCTTGACCGAATCGTCGAGATCTCCTGCTTCGCACCAGCACACGACTGACATTATTGTCCACAAGACAATAAACTCCTTTCGGATTTCGTTATTGTGTTACGAGAGCACTTCGCCTATACAAACGCCCATACGTCGTTTGCCCTCCATTCTCCCCTACCTCCAACCGACCCGACGGACGTCCCTCCATTCCCGTCTTCTCCCCTGCACGTAATTTAACCGCGGTTCGGCCCTCGCATTCTTTTGGTTCACGACCCACACCCATTCATATCCACACATCTATGTCGTCCTTCACCAAATTCCCGACCGCGACCGTCTCTGCCCCAGGCTACGGCTTCTTCCCTGTCGGCTCCACGTCGCCCAACGGATTCGCCGCGCTGCATCAGCCGCAGTCGCCCCGCGACACATATGCGATGTATGCGCAATTCGCGTCGCCCGGTGGAGCAGGAACACAATCGTCGCAGGGCCTCGGAAAGAAGAGCGCAGGACGGAAGTAACCCCGACTGCCATTGGAGAATACGAACCTTACGACCCATCACCACTAATACTTGTCGCCGTTGTTGTCCAGGTCCTTGCGGATCGCTGTCGTTTGTGTTGACCACATCGGAGAGCTCTTGTCCATATACGTATTATATACCTGCACGCATTGTATAGCATAGACTCATTTGTATTTTTTGTATCTTCCAGGGTCTCGGTTGAAGTTGTAACACAGCAGAGTCGTAGGCATTATTGAGAGTCCAATGGAGCTGATTATTTGCGATTCGGCAGGGAAAAAGAAGTGGCATCAACGTGGATTGAACACGTGACCTGTAGATTGGCAAGTTGCATCAACTGCTTCAGTCTATCGCTCTCCCAGCTGAGCTATGACGCCTTGAATCAAGGCTCAAATTATGTTTCATGTCCAAATACCTTCTTCCAACGTTAATTTCACTGGTCGCACGACCTGTGTCAACTGATTCACGCGGAAGCTTGTGAGAGTGGAAGTGTGACTGTATTATTCAGTGCTGATGTAAAGTGCGGTATGTACAAGAACAGATGCATAAGTGGACACGAGAAAGAACAAGAACAGGAACACAGGATACTGTTATCCGTACATGGAGGTAACACAGAGACCAGGAGAAGACGCATAGTGAAGAGTCGAGCGACAGAGCCCTAGTGGACAGCTAAGTCGTTGAGGCCGGTGAAGGGAAGGAGGCAGAGCGGAACGCGAAACCAAAGGGATGGAGGGGTGGCCTCTGGGACATGGAAGGTGCCTTCAACAACTCCATGAGATCGAATCATAGACTGGAAGCGGAACGTACGACAACCATCTCCACATCCTTCCCGTTCGCTTCTCCATCCCAGTCGAAAAACTGACTGGAGAACGCGGGCGGGATCACCAGAGCAGGGGCAGAGGCAGGCTGGGGGCGAGCGCTTCCGGTGGCGATGAGAGATTGAAGGTATGTCTCCAACCGAAGCTCCTAGAGAGTATATTGGCAACCGAGCGCAGTTCTATAGGTGCCATACACTCACCTCGAAACTAGTGCTCTCCAGACCAGTGATAGCTGTGATGCTTTGGAACAACTCCCCCTCGGGCATTTGCCTCTTCGGAGCATGACCGCCCTGTGTCTGCATTTCGACGTCCGGAGTCTTCGGCGGCAGAGTTGCAGAGGCAGCTCGTGCAACACGTCTCGCCCCCGCTATCCGACGTGGGACTGCCGGTGCCATCTCCCGTTGAAGGCGCAGTAGGGTAGAGACGTAGCCATCGTCAGATCCACTCTCGTCATCGCTCGCGGAATCACAGTCGAAGGCGATCTCATCCAGCGGGATGCTGCTCAGATCAACAACAGCAGCACGCAGAACGGGTGTAGGTTTCACGCGTGGATCGGTGGTCTTCATGTTCGCAGACAGATCAATGGAAATGGGAAGGGGTAGAATGCTCGTGTCGAGCACAGACGGTGCTGAGTCGCGGGGAGTGTAATAGTGGTCTAACATCATCGGTGTCGTAAAAAAGGTCGGGGTGCGTGTGGGTGCTAAGAGCGAAAAACGGACGAGCGGAAAGGATGTTAATGCGTGGGGAAACACGCATTTGGATGAGGGCGAGAGCGACTTGGAGTGAAAGGCGAACGCGGGTTTCTCAGAGCGGGGCAACCATTGTCAAGATGAGGAAAGGTGAAAAAGGAGGCTGCTGTCGAAGCAGTGTCGATCACGATTGACATTTACTCACGGTGCTACAGTCATTTACCACCTAATGATACAGCAAAAACTTACACGCCCTAATGCGGTCCGTTCCAGACCAATTTCTCAGATCGGACTTGATGACCTCATAGATTATATCCTAGAGAGTAGAATTCAACCGATAGTTGCTACATAAGGAGTAGTATCGTACAATATCGAGCCTTATCTATTCCAGGATTGCTTATTTGGGTCAAGTCAGCTAATGAGCCAGTCACATCTTCCTTTCGGCTTCCTTTACATAACGGTTCCGAGGCTACTCCGAGCTGTCGGAATCGTCATTCGGGCCATTCATCTCATCATCCGATGCATCCGAAGAGCCTCCTGTGGACAACGAGGCGCTGCCCCCATCTTCCTGAGCATCTTGGGCTGCCTTCTTCTTTGCTGGAGGCCGCAGGAGCAACTTCTCCTTGAAGTCCGTGCGTTGATCCAATTAGGACGGTGTGATGTGACACAACGTGATGTTCCCACGAGAGCCACTTTTGGTCTCTCTTTGCAGTTTTTGTTCTTCATGATTCAGTTTGCATGCAACCCATCTCGGATGTTCTGGTAAATGTTCACTATGAGTTCGACCACCAAAGGGTTCAATAGCACCATCATACAATTGAAATTGGGTATGCCTGTGCTTGATTACTCCGCATTTATGTTTTGAAACCCAAGCCTGAATGATTTGATTGCAAGGGCCAAAGATATCCGCTGAGCTATGCCTCTATCCCTTTTAGTAGTCTAAAGAACACATCCTAATGATGTCCCATGCAAAGTCCGAAGGTAAGCAGGCCACGGGAACAGGTGCTATTGCCATTTGTATCATTAGGTCATGGTGTATCATTAGATGGTAAATGACTGTATATTGGGAAGCCAACCTGGGCGAGGGACAACGCAGACGGGAAGCGGGTTTTCAAAATGTCTCCACATGCCTGGAGACGCGCTGGGAGGATTTGTACTAGTTGAGCGCGTTCTGGTCACTGATTTTGAGCAATAGACTCGAGTGCGATCTAATGTGAGACTGGACTCGCACGTGCCCTTGATAGCGGCTTCGCCCTTTGTCCTTACCTACCCATGGCCCCAACAAAAGCGTCGAGCTCCTCGACTTCAGCACCGTCCACCGCTTACTCCCTCGCCATTTTGACCGAATACACGCATACACTCGATGCTCTCCCACCCGAGCTCTCACGCACCATGGCCGAGCTTCGTGAACTCGATGCTGTACTCTCCTCATCCCTGTCCTCCCTCACCACCAAAATCCAAAACCTTACCGAGATGATAGAGCAACGTGTTGGCTCCCCGGCCCAGCGCCTGTGGCTACTGACCGAGTTGGCGGAGGAGGCCCAACGTCTTCGTTTGGGCGGCGAAGACAAAATCCGTGTCGCCCACCTCGCCGCTGATACTCTTAAGGTCCACAATAGCAATCTGAAGACTCTGGCAGAGAGTGTACCCGATTTCGATAACTCCCTGCTTATCCGGCGCACAACCTTCCCCCATGTTTCGACGCGGCCATACATGCAGCCAGTCGTCACTGAAGGCAGACGAAGAAGGGCAGCGGGGGCAGGGGCTTCTGCGAACGTCAGTGCAGCCGTCGATGCGAGCCCTGCCAAGCGCAAACGTGGAGCTGGACGAGATGACGAGACCCCGCGCAGAGAGAGAGCTGTGGCCCGAAACGGCGGGCGCAAAAAGTGCGTGTTCCCCAATAGTACCTGTTCTCATACTCATCGAACAACAGAGTCGAACGAGCACCATCGCCCACGGATTCACTCCTCTCAGCTACCTCGCATATCCCCCAACCCTCCACCGCACGCACAGCAGCGCGCGCGTCAGCCGTCGCCCACGCGAACGCGACGGCATCCGCCTCAAGTGCACCAAAACGCCGTGCGGCAGCGCGCGGCGGAAGTAACCAGCCCGAAATCTACACTAACGGCGATTCAAACCACCTCAACGGCGTCCAACCCCCGCAAGCCAATGGGAGATTCAACGTTCCGCCGTCGGCGGCCCATCCGTCGCTCGCATCTTATCCCACGGGTCCTGGGATCAGCAACGGACACGCGACACCTTATGAACTGCACGCGCGTGTCATTGGTCCTCCTGTGGCTGATTGGACACCGCCGCCACCGGGCATGCTCGAGGGACCGGGCATGCCACCGCGGGCTATCGCGCGAGGCGCCGCCGCCGCCTTCAACGCCGGCGATGTCGCTGTCGCTGAGGGTGCCAATGGAGAGGCCGGCGGCGATGGCGAACAAGACGCCGATGATGGTAAGCTGTACTGCACTTGCCAGCGGGTCAGCTTTGGGCAGATGATTGGTTGTGACGGGGATGACTGTCAATGGGAATGGGTGCGTGATTCGTTTTTTCTCTCCCCTTGTAAGATGGCTGAATCATCCGCAGTTCCATATTGGATGTGTCGGACTGACCGATTCTCCGCAAGGCCGTTGGTATTGTGACTGGTGTCGACAGAAAAAGAACAAGAGACCCACTGCTCGCGGAGGCCGAAGGAAAGCCACAACTCGAGCTTCTCGTGGCTAGCAAGACGAGGAACTCTTTTTATACACTATGTAGATCTCTGTACCTATTCTCGTCCTCCCCGCTTGATCATCTCATCTCATATTCGTTTGATATACTGTCAATCAGTGGCACTGCAGCGCTGTCAGGATCGATCATCCGATTCTTCGTTCTTGCTCTTCCAGTCCTCGAACAAAGCTTTCCTGAGCTCGCGACCCAGCGCTCGCGAAATCTGCCACGGCACAGCATTGCCTATCTGGCGATGGAACTGCTCTAGGCAGTCAGATTGTGGGGCACAGCAAAAGTTCCGGCACTGACAGTGACGACGCTTCCCTCTGGCCTATCGGCCACGAAAACAAACCAGTCTGGAAATCCCTGCAAGCGAGCGAGCTCTCGGACGGTCACCATCCGAAGACACTGTCGATTTATCAGTGCAAGACGATGAGGGAACGACAGGTGGACTCACGGTGGGATGCAGGACCTCGCCTTGTTTTGCAGTAGGATGCACGTTCGTGACGATGGTTGGGAAACATGTGTCCCCGTCCAGACGCTGATATTGGTCTTTTTTTGCAGTGAGACGGCGGGTCGATGCAAATCCTGCCATGACTTACTCCCGCGGTATCGATTTCGCCCAACAGCCGATGTCGCACTGTGGGTCTGGTATTCACCCACGTGGTCGCCCAGAGCTTGGACCATTCAGATAAAAAGTAGTTTGCTATTGCCTTTGCGGCTCACCTCTGAAGTTGGCACCCGCCTCGACGGGAACCAAGATCATCCTAGAGGAAGTTTAGGCTATCCAACTTCGATGATCCGCTGATGATCAAGTGACCCACCTTTCGACGGTCCTGGAAAAAAAGCACTTGGTGATATGCTGGATGTCTGTAGTCAGACGCTCTCTCATCATACGCTGGTAGCTTGTCCTCGGCTCATGGGTATACTGAACATCCGGTCCGCGCATGCCAACGAAGAGCTGTCCCGGCTCGTTGCATCCAAATGATCGTATTCCTGGTCTGGTGTTGTGTTTAGGGTGTTTCCTGGAACAGTCAGGCGTCTAAACGCAGTGCAAATGAAGAAGGACGCGCACATGTCCCACTTGGGCAGGTCACTGGTAGCGTCGTTGATGGTTACACCTGCGTGGGCAGCATAGCCACGTCGGGTGCATATCGGTTTCACCGTTAAATTCTGGTTCTCAGGGTAAGGCAAATGCATAGCTAATTGCTGTGCGCTAGGAAAGTCATGCCTGAGAACTCGTCAAATACTTCCTCGAGGATCTGAGAGGAGGGCAGAAGAAACCCCGACTAGAATCTGTTTGACGCACGTAGGCTGAGGCATCCCAGGCAGAGGCAGACCTGCTTTGGCTGCGACCAGGAGAAAACGAACGCGACGCTGCGGAGTGCCATAGTGCGCTGCTTGCAGTAGCGCGAACCGGACTTGATAACTAGGCTTTGGTCAATCTCAGGCGATCCACAGACAAATCCACCGTACTTCATGGACAGCAAGGCTTTGACGGCTAGTTTCAAACCACCTGATTTGACACCGCCCTCTGTTCGATGAGGTCCGACTTGCCTCGCAAGTAGATTGTAACGCAAGAATCCGGGCACGTTCTCGATGTAAAAGTAATCTGGCCGAAGCAGGTCGACGAACGAAAGGGCAGTCAGCAGCAGATTGCTTTTGTGGTCTTCGGCCTGTAGAATGTCAAAACACCGACGTCGAGATTGGATCTTTAAATCACGACCTTTCGGTACATGTTCAGCCCAGAATGCGATTGACTACAGACATCGATCAGTGTCCGTCCAGCCACGAAACAAGAATGGTAGCTCGCACCACGGAAGGCCAGCGAAGATAGTGCGGACAGTACCAGGCTTGAGAGGAGCTGGGACCGGTGTCTTATCGTCGTACAATTGTTTAGGCGCTTCCATGCCTCTGGATGCCTTGACCCAATACTCGAGGATCTGGTTGGCATCTTGACACGAGACTGCGAGATTGGGCCAGTTCTTTCTGAAGATTGCGGCGTGATAGACGGTTTCTAGCCTGATGACAGCGACTCACAAGACTGTCTTGGCTGCACTGGGGCTGATCTCGACGAGATGAGTAGGTTGGACACATCCCCGGCTTCCTTGAGCCACGCCACCACTGAAGGCACCTGAAAACGGTTCGATAAATGCACCAATGTGGGTTGCTTGGACTCACCAGTCCCGCCGAAGAGATCCAGGCAATACGGCTTCTCCAACTTCTGCTGCTCATCGAACTTTTTCTCCAAATCCTGTTCATGTCGGTCGAATAGAGGAGGCTTGCAATGTCGGCAGACCGGCAGACTCGCGGCCGTGACCGGCGTGCGCTGATCCCGTAGACCCAGGATCGGAATCCGAAAGGAACAGTAAAAGTTGAACGGCGAATGAGCCACCCATTTCGCCAGTTCCCCCTCTCGGAAGAAATCGAGCGCGAATACATGGATCCGTCGGATGATGTTCTCCACTTCAACGACGACATCATCGTGATCCGTGAGAACGAGATGGCGTTCAGGCTAGATTGTGTGGGTGGAACGACGATGGATCGGAGCACGTAGTTGACGCACGTAGGGATCATCCTCTACCAGCCCTACCTGCCTGATTCGTATAAGCATCTTCACTTCTACTTGGACTATGTGTCCCGAGCTGGTACGGAGGGTCTTAATTTGCCCCACCTCCGCAGGGCCATCTCCTTTGAGATTCTGGAAAAGAATAAAGTCGTTGGGATGATACTGCTCATCAGCAAGAATAGTTTTCGATCGCTGGCGGCCTGTGCCGCTCCTGTATTGTGGGTTCTTCTTGGAACACGGCAGACAGTTTTGACCGGGCTGTCGAGCGTTGAACTCTTGCATCAGCTTCCGGTCCAACGTAGTGAACGAGGCATCACGCTCGTCATAGGTGAAGCTGAGGACCCTCAGTGCGGCACGAAAGCAGATGAAGTAGCCACTCACCACTCGAGGGTGTATTTATCCTTGTCAGGTGACGCGTTCCGCAATTCGACTTTGAGAGGGACACCGACGATCGACTCGATACTCTGGTCCTCACATAAAGTGGTCAAAAACAATCCAAGTGGATCCGCCATGTCATCCAGAAACATTTGCGAGGCGTGGTACGCCCACTGCACATGCACCTTCCGTGTATCCACATTAAAATAAACGATGCGAGCAAACCAGAACAGTTTAAATAACTGATGCTCGTCGGACGGATCCACCTTCAGCTCCGGAGCCTTGAGCGACGGGAACAGGCTTTGCGTGCCCCTGCGAATCAGTACAAAGTCGCCTCTCTGCAGATTGAAGATCAGAAACGAGTAGAATGTATGCACATGGCTTGCGCGACCTTGTATCTTTGTTGATTGACCATGGCAGACTCCACATAAAGCTCACTGCCTCTGTCGAACTCAAGATTCAGAAGGCCCCTGCGTTGCTGGCGCGACAGCTCGACGTGAGCTTTCAAGTATTCCAGCGCAGCTTCCCTGCGCCGTGCCACTTCCGCTTTCGATGGGTTCTTTGTAGGTCCTCCGGACAGCACATGTAGCTTCTCTTGGAAATATCCACTGGCAAACTCAGCAATGAGTGGAGTCACGTGTGTGGGTAGCTGCTGGCGGAGGACAGCGAGATCTCTGTTTCCAAGGAGTCGTGTGAGAGGCCGTGTGGTATCGGTGAAGCGGTTCATGCGGTCGGTTCTGCTTTGGCCAGGTAGCTTCAGGAGATTGACCACGAGCATCGACCTGTTCAGGGCTGCCTGGTCTCCCGCTTCAGAAATCGCGTCTAACACATACGGGACCTGTTTGGCCTATGGTCGGAAGGGATGACGTGTGCACGATCAAAGCATACCGAGTCCACAAGGTTTTGTCTAGTCCACCGCGGGTTCTTCGCGTATGCCAGACGGACGAGATCACCCTGGACGCGGGAGCGCGCGCTCTCAATGATCCATCGAGCAATCTCAATCGGGACTAGATACTGCTCGAAATGTCGTCGATACAAGAAGGACGGTCGCATGAGCACGTAGTACGCATGGGCCGTCGAAAGAATAATTGCACTGGTCAAATTAGACGCATGTCGATGGCCAGCAGTGTCACGCACGCATTATCAGTGGAATAGTCCAGGGGACATAGGCGGATATTGGCCAAGGACAAGAACTCCTCCTCGTCATTCTCTTGTTCCGCGTGGTCGTCCTCGTCTTCGTGCAGCAGGAAAGGTATCCCCACGGCAAAGAACTCCCGGGACGGAGACCTCGCTTCCAGCTCCCTCAGAGAAACGCACTGATTCCTAGCTGCGGGCTCGAATATGCAGAAGTTGGATAAGATGCGGATCGGCTTTCCGTCGTTGCCGTCGTAATCCTCCTCGCCGTCGACGCGAAAGTGTCGATCTTCGACTATGAGGTTGGGAGGCGGCTCGAAGTACACTATGACGCGTTCGATGCGCGGAAGCTCTTGATGTGCAGTCGCACTCACCGAGGTCCACGGGTCGGGAAACTTTGGGGGCGCGTTCGGCAGCAGGAGCGTGTTGCTCTGATCTCCGTTTGGCTGGAATCGATGGGGTAGCTCGTGGAGGAGGAGGCGGTGGGGGAGGGGGACTCTGTGGTCGGTCGGTCGCATACGCATGTCGGCCCTCTGATGCTGCGTCGGTTACGTCGAAGGCACTCGGTCTAGCTCGAGGCATGATGAATACAGGGCTTGAAGCTCCCGTGAATAAGTGTAGTCAATGGTTGGATGGAGGAGTGCTTTCTTGTTCATGGAATGATCATAGGCTTAAATTCCGCATGGGCCTTCTGTTACTATTATCTCGATGGAAATCCGGTTAGTCCGCAGTCCCTCGAGGTGGACCGGGGCGAGATGGAAGAAGGTAGGTCAGGATCATCAATATCTCGAGGACGAGTGGCAGGCGATCTAACCTCTGAGGTTAGGGTCCAAACGCCATCTCTCGTTCACCACCCATGTCTGTCGACATTCTCATCCTCGGCGCGGGCTGGACCTCGACATTCCTAGTCCCCCTCTGCCAGAAGTCAAATATCTCATTTGCGTGCACAACGCGATCCGGATCGTCTCCCAATACCCTCAAATTTGAGTTCCAGCCAACTTCAGACGACCCCGAACCCTACGCGCTTCTACCCGACGCGACAACGGTGTTGATCACGTTCCCCATCCTTGTGTCGGGTGCTGCTGAACGTCTGGTTCGGCTGTATAAATCAACCCGGCGCAATACGACCGTGCAACCCGCGTTCATCCTGTTCGGAACGACAGGAATCTGGGATGTGGGTGGTACTCATCCCTACGGCGACGTGGAGCTGCACCTGACGCGTCTTAGAAATCACCGCCTGGTCTGAAGGAGGGTCAATGCGCGTTCTATGATCGCAACTCGCCCTTCACTCTCACGGGGCGCTCCACTTCGGAGGTCGAGTTATTGGCTCTGGCGGATCCGACCACGGTGATCAACCTGGCCGGTCTGTGGGGAGATAAAAGGATCCCAAGGAATTGGCGTGCACGGGTTGGGCCCACCAAAGAAGCCCTCAAAGCCAAAGTAAATCCCATTCTTTCGCATCCGTGCCTATCACTGATCCATATCCCAGGGCGGTCTGCACCTCATTCACGGGCACGATATCGCACGTGCTGTACTGTCTATTCACGCGGACTTTGAAAAGGCCGCAGGCCAGCGATGGATACTCACTGACGGTCGTGTGTATGACTGGTGGGAGTTGGCATCGGCCTGGGATGCCGAGTCGGGCCGGTGGGTCCGGGAGCTCATGCGGGAGGAAGGCATACACGTTCTGCCTCGAGACTCCGCAAAGCTGGGGAGAGTGCTTGATTCGCGGGACTTTTGGGAAGTGTTTGGAATCACCCCAGAAAGGGCGAGAATCGAAGACATGGAATGAAAAGAGAAATCGCCCGATGTAATATGACCCATTGTACTCGTCTCCTGTACGCAGTGTAGTAATACATCAAATTTTCTAACACGGGAAATACTTAAGCTTTGGACGCGAGCTCTGATTCGAGATGTGCCAGTTATCTACCCACCTGACGCCTAAGATAATCGATAATCTCAGATCAGTATCACTAGGTATTGAATCTCTTCTTGCCATGACCTACCTTCAAACCTTTCAATCCGATCGATTCGGAGGACTTGTGATTAACAGAATCGACTACCTGAGATCTCGGACGACTGGACCGTTAGATGCATATTCTACGATTACGTGACCGGACAGGGGCTTCCCCACTCGCCTTGCACAAACGTTACAATGGCTGTATCGCCTGCCACGATTCATGCATTCATTGAGCATACTCTGAGAGGTCGGGTGAGCTGGGCGATTCATGCAGACCCGCGAATTACTGAGCCGCGCATTCACAGGATCTCGCCGTAGGCTTCGACCTCATCTTGCAGGGTGTGATGTTCGCGCAGCTCGCACGCTACGTGTCAGCTGGTTTCCACCGCACAGATAGAACCATCTTGCGAGCGTGGGTCGCGGGGCTGTGCGTGCTCACGCTGACGAAGAACTTGTACGATCTGTGCGTTTCGTTATTCGCCACATTTCCACAGTTGAAACTCGAGACGACGTCTCCCCTGCAGATGTTTGACGCAGGCTCAGAACACGACGTGGTTTCTGGACTCTTTTGGCGTCCTAGCGGATTTCTTCTCGGCCAAGTTCGCTGCCAGCTACTGCCTTGACGTCCTTGTTGTGTTGTATGTGCAGCTGTTCTTCTGTTGGCGACTATGGGTGCGTTCATCGATATCTTGTCCAACCCAGCAACAACATCTTATGGCACCTGACAGATGCTCAGCAGAAGTGTGTGGCTCCCTCTGATACTCGCCGTGTTGTTCGTGGCGCCGGCGGTTTGTGGCTTCATTTCAATCTTGACAAGGATGAGTTTGGAAGGTATCACGGACCTGGGTGCGCTGTTCATAAAACGAGGCGCACTGTCCTGAACAAGTTTCTCAGCTGCTGCATATCTGAGCCTGTATTTTGCCGGGGACACGATTCTGTGTGCATCCATCACATTTTACCTCGTTGTGAGTGACACCGGGGATCCCCGCCACATGGCCTTTTGACGTTCATCCGCTCGCAGAGAGTCGCCCGTTCGAATGAAGGCTTTCGCCACACATCTAGTATTCTAACGCGACTGATTCGCATCACTATCCAGTCCACCCTCCCCTCGGCGGCCTGTGCCCTGATTGCTCTCGCTGCATCCCAGTCTGCCGACGATTCACCCTCTGACGCGACGCAAGTCATCACCATCATCGTGCTGAACATTCTCCCTATGGTCTACGCGTTCTCGGCCATGTGGACTCTGAATTCCAGGCGCAGTCCGAAGGAACAGGAGACGGGTCACGGAAAGACGCCGAGAATATTGATTGTAACAGGCGGGTCGTTCGCAGAAACCGCGGATTGAGTTGTTCGACAGTCGGATTCTATGAGAAGCTGCACCTGGAGGTACCAAAGGTGACACAATTCTCGTGACATTGTTTGATCTCGCTGCAGACACAGATCTTGCACTGGTACTACGCTTCTACTGAAATTATTCTCCGCGATCTAAAATTTGAAAACCTATCGACGTGTGAGAAAAAGTCCCTATTCCAGAGGCAGTACGTACCTGCTCCGCTGAGTAGCCCAGCTCCTTGAGCACACCGCCCAATTCACCCTGCTGGTACCCTGCCTTCTTTCCAGCAATCGCAGCCACCTGGCCGGGAGGTCCTACGAGAAACATAAGTATGATTAAGCACAATGTCATTCGGCCAACGTACCGCAGACCATAATCATAGTCTTCGCAGTCGGAGGCGACACGAATTTCTTGATCACGTCAGCGTTGATAAATCCCGTAAGACCTGGGCTTCGTCAGCACTCCGTTTAACCGGTAGAGATGACCATACCTTTCCATTCGGGAGCGGGCTTGTCCAGGAGGTAGACGACCTCGAGATTCTGGGGATACTTCTTGGCGAGAGCGTCCAGGTTCTCGCGCAACAAGATGTCTTCCTCAGTGACGTTGGAGAAAAGCAGCTTGAACTTGGTCGTGTTCGAGTTGCTAGACAGAGCATGGGTCATGACCTGGTAGAGAGGAGTGCTGGTGGATGACGGTTGTTAACATAGACATAGTATAAGGGCGAACACACGCTTACATGCCGCTGCCACCGCCGATCAGGGCAACTTCCTCGAACTCGTTCTCCTTGTACGGGAACTTGCCAATGGGACCCTAGCCGAACGGTCTAGAAACGCGAAAATGGATGGATGGCTTTGCTGACCTTGAAGTCGACTGTGTCTCCAACCTTCACCCGGAATCAGAAGCGATTTGAAACGGAAGATGGGACAAACCTTGAGTTCGTGGAAATACTTGGACATAGTTCCGGTCTCGTACTTCTTGACCAGCAAAGCCAGTTCGCCGGTATTGTCCGCGCCAGACAACGGTGTGTAAGGCCGAATGACGGGGTTCCCCTTTTTATCCTTGAGAGCCTCAGGGTCGCTTGCTTTGACTACGAGACAAGACGCGACAGGGAGCTTCGAGGAGGTGTTAGCAGGAAGTTCGAAAATGAAGGTTGATGAGTTGTGGTTGTAGGGAATGATTTTCTTCAAGGGCAGCTGGATGAACTCGTCCGGCTTGAGGACATTAGGCTCAAGAGGCGGCGCAGTCCGACTAAGATAGGTATAGAGTCCTAGCCCAGCCAGACCCCCCAGAGCGAGGGTCATGGGCAGAGCACTATTTTTCTTCGCGGGGGCGGCTTCTGACGCATACCCACGGAGGCCTTGCCGCTACGCACACATAGACACGTGAGATTACACGAGTGTAAAAAGATCAAGAAGAACTGACGAGGATGGCTGGTCGCAATGACGCGGTGGACGTTCTCAGTAAAGACTGCATTGGTGGCAGTCACGCTACATCAAATCGTGATTCTCCACATACCGCTGATCATGTGAGCCGACGGAGCATACGATGCGCAGTCCTCTAGATCTCCTATATTGCCCACCGCGGACTGATTTGAGGCCTGCAGGCAACGGTGTCTTCATCGCGCCAAACTTCTCTCGCGCCTCCAGGTTTGCTGCTTATCGCGGTGATGAGGAGTCGTTTGGTAGAGCATGTGTTGACGTCATAGCATCTATGATGTAACCGCCAGTCGCAAGAGAATGGCATATGAGCGAGGCAAACGTTGGTGTCGTAGCCAGAAGATCCTGGATACCACAAGGCCCGGGTTTCACAGGCCCCGAAAGCTAAGGATAGGATAGATCTTCAAAGTTTTCAACTCGATTCGATTGCGATCAACTGATCAATTTGGTGCCTTCCTTCTCTTCCACCACCAGGGTCGCCGCTGACCCCCGACTTCTCCTCTTTCTACACCCCTCAGTCTTTCTCTGGCGATCGTTCCAATGTCGTTCGTGAAGCTTAGCATCTTCGGAACCTCTTTCGAGGCACGTTGATCGTCCCTGTGCACGTCTGCGTCCCTCCTCACACGCATCGCAGGTCACCACTCGTTATGTCGACCTGCAACCCGTAGGAATGGGTGCGCTCAACTTTCTAGACCCTCTCCAGTCTCTTATCGCCGTTCGCAAGGTGCTTTCGGTCTTGTTTGGTGTGTATCACGCTCCTTATTATCGTCGTTGCTGACCGCCTTCTAGCTCGTCCAAGGACCAGCTCACTGGCACTTCTGTCGCGATAAAGAAGATCATGAAGCCGTTCAGCACACCGGTGCTCAGCAAACGAACCTACAGAGAACTCAAGCTCTTGAAGCATCTGCAGCATGAAAATGTATCGCTATCCGGCGTTTCGGCGCTCCCTGTTCTAATCCTTTGACAGATCATCAGTCTCAGCGACGTCTTCATTTCGCCTCTCGAGGATTTGTGTGTTGTACAGTGCATCTGGGGGACTTCGAACTCAAATTGCGCTTGTCAGGTACTTCGTCACGGAACTGCTTGGAACGGATCTCCATCGACTACTCACATCACGGCCACTGGAGAAGCAATTCATTCAGTACTTCCTCTACCAAATCCTCGTTCGTCCCATCGCTGTGCGTCGTGACTGCGGGCTAAACTATCTCAGCGTGGGCTTAAATACGTCCACTCTGCTGGTGTCGTCCACCGAGACCTGGTCCGTTCAGATCTCTGACTCGAATCAGCCAAACTTAACTATGAACAGAAACCTAGTAACATCCTCGTCAACGAAAACTGTGATCTCAAAGTTCGCCCCCGTTCGAAGTTAGGGACTCCTATTAACAAGCCTCACAGATCTGCGACTTTGGTCTTGCCCGGATTCAAGACCCTCAGATGACCGGATATGTGTCGACGCGATATTACCGAGCTCCTGAGATTATGTTGACGTGGCAAAAATACGATGTGGCCGTCGATATCTGGAGTACCGGCTGTATCTTTGCGGAGATGCTCGAGGGAAAGCCGTTATTCCCAGGCAAAGACCGTGCGTCCGCAGTCATTCCTTCTACTCCAGTCTCTTACGGCACTTCAAGATGTGAACCAATTCACCATCATCACTGAGATGCTGGGCACTCCTCCAGATGATGTGATCGAGACCATCGCAAATGAAAGCGTGAGGACACTTGATACTGATAAGATAACCGCTTGCTTATCCTGTCCTATAGACTCTGCGATTTGTGCAAAGCCTTCCCAAGCGGGAACCTCTGCCCTTCAGCCAGAAACTGAGGACAGCTGATGCGGACGGTCCGTGTGCTTATGTATATTCCTCTCTTGTTGACTGACAGTCGAGTAAAGCGATTGACCTCATCGAAAAGATGCTTGCCTTTGACCCACGCAAGCGGATAGATGCCACCGAGGCCCTTTCGCATGAATATGTCGCACCGTACCACGATCCCTCGGATGAGCCTGTTGCCGCAGAGAAATTCGACTGGAGTTTCAACGATGCAGATTTGCCCGTGGATACATGGAAGGTGATGATGTACAGTGAGATTCTGGGTGCGTGGCTTTCTCTTCCGTGCGGAGGTGTACATCAACTGAATATGCTCGTGTGTGTGTGTGCAGACTTCCATCAAGTCAGCGAGTCGTCCACCACCGGACCTCCCTCCTCCGGTGCCCTCGCCGGCCCCGAGACAGTATCGGCCGCTGCCTAGACATTCCAAATGACATCTGCTGTGGAATTTCTCTCGCTTGGTTATACAACTCACGTAATGCTGCTACCCTTCCTTTCAGTTCTGTCTTTTTCCCGCCTCACGGACCACATTGTTTGTTGTGCGATGATCCATTATGTATTCTATGCCCCGGAGTTGAAGGCTCCATGATGTCCTTGCCATACACGGTGCTGCGTCGTCTGCCTGCAACCAATCCATCCAATATGTGTATATACATAGTGTATCAGACTCAGACGTATATGATGGTCAAATCAATTGCCTCTGACTGGGGGGGTCTATGTTGTATCTGGCCGTGCGTGAAGCATAATTACCTTAAGAGCCTGTCATCTCGGTGGTGATAGGTTTCGGCTCACTGAACTAGGCTTGCGGGCCAGACTGCTGGGTTGTTCCGCTCGCTTTCTATCACGGACCGCCCTGACAGAGTCAGACAGACTCGGGTCGGCATGGAATTCCCCCCGGGCCTTGAACTGATCGATTACTGCTCAGTCATTCAAGTTTACCTGTGAGTTATAAACTAATCGGTTCCAGAATGCTGTGTCGTATCGTTGAAGGTGCCAATTTCCTGTTGTTACCAAGTATGTAGCTGTGGTTTTAAGTCACTCGGGGATCAGCCATTACAGTATCTCGAGCTGATGTCACGTGTTTCCTGTTTGATCTTGGCTCTCAATGCCTCTCATCGTCTCTGATGTCTGTGGACTGGCAGCGCATGCACCTCGAAACAGGTCGCATGTTAAGAGATTGAATTTAATTTCTGGCTCAAACCCACCGATCAGCACCGCGTTCAAGGCTCTGCAAGGCTACATCTCCAATCTAACACGTCGTCTCCTTTGGCTATATGGGATCATCGCCCCAACTCCTTATCTTGTTTTCTGGTCTGCAATATACCCGCCCTTGTCCTCTCGCGCGGCTGCAGACGGCCGGGCTGACATCGCCTCCGTGCTTGAAGCTATGATGAGCTGTGATGCTGTCGTGCGCGGTTGTCAAGTGCCGCCAGTCCGTGGGCTGCACATGCACCTGCGAGCGGGAAGATCGTCTGGAGAGACTGTCTATGGCATGCGGCGTATATGTATCTTGGGTTGCTTCCCGCTTAGGCACTCTGCAAGCGGTTGGATCGATACGGTGTTATGGGCGGGGCGGGCTGCTGCAACGCGACAGTCGCCCGCGATCCGTCTCCGTCTGTCGGAGCAAGAATGAAACACATCCTAGAGCTAGTTCTTGTCTCATTCACTGTGTATGCTGGAACACCCAGTGCTCACGGATCATTTCGAGACGCCGGGGTTTGGTATTGGACCGGAAAGGAAACATGTGGCTCCGGGGAGTCGTGCACATGCCATCGCGGACCCTCCGTCCTGTGTTGCCGATGGTATCCAGTGGCTCATTGCATCCGAAGCCAGGCCCTGCAAAATCTACATGGGTGGGTGTCTGATCTCCTCGAATCCGCAACATCTATTTTTAGACGCGACAGCAGAGTACGATGAATCACAGGCCTGGCCTCGATAACGGATTACTCTGCATTGCACCAGTGCGATGATAGGTGGGTGATCAAAGTTGGTAGCCGTCCCCAGTGCGACTAGGGCTCGAATTGAATTGGGGCGTGCTGATGCTCTGCACATGTCAATTCCACGTACATCTCTATGGCACCGCACCTCTACAAACTAGGCCGGGGTGAGATTGATATAGACATGAGAGGCTATAAAAGGGCGCCAGCTTCAACGACTTGAGCCACCCTTCCTTCCTTCGGTCTCTCAGATACTGCGTAGTGAGTTCTCTCGCACTTGCGCTTTTCCATTTCCTGATTTGTCGCCGTCCAGTCTTGCTTTCTTTTTTTCAACTTTCGTTCTTTCGCCGCTTTCATTTTCAAACCACATCCACTTCTTTCTTCTTCCGAGCAGCATGTACACCAAGTCGATCTTCGTTTCTGCTCTGCTGGCCGCTTCGGCCGTTCCCACGTTTGCTGCACCCGTCCCGGCTGCTGTTGCCCCTGAACTGGAGCTCCGCGATCTCGAGGCGCGGCTGTCGCTGCCCTCTGGGGCCTTGTCGGACATTCTCAAGTCGTTCGGCAAAGGCGTCCTCAGCGGTGGTGCCATCACCGGTCTCATCGGCCTTCTGGAGGGAGCTGGCAGCTCCAGCTCCAGCAGCAGCACTCCGGCCACGTAAGTTTGAATATATATCCATCGCTTGCCCACTTCTTATTGAACGATCTAGTCGTGAGCTGGAGGCACGGGCAGGTCTGGCCGGCCTGCTCGAGAAGTTGCTCGGTGCCGGCGAAGAGGGTATCGCGAGTGTCCTCAAGAAGGCTGTCATCGGCGGCGTTGCTGGCGGCGTCGGCGTCGAGGCGGTCAACGGCATCGCCGGCGCCGCGGGGGCGAACACCACAAGCAAGCGCGGCGCTGCGTCGGTCATCGGTACCGTCGAGAAAGACACGCTGGGCAAGATCATCGGCTCCGGGGCTGCTGACGGAATCGGGTCCGCCATCGGGGGTCTTGGCATCACCGCGATCCTGGCTAAGCTCTTCGGGTATGTCTCCTTCCCGAGTCCTGTCAGCGTAGTATTATGCATGCTGAGGACCAACAAGCAGCTCTTCCTCGTCGACACCCGCGTCCTCGAAACGGGCGCTTGCTGACCTGTCCGACGAGGAAGTCAACACCCTTCTGGAATACATCAACGACCTCAACGGCGGCGGGGACGTCACCGCCCGCGCGGTCAGTGTTGGATCCTCCGTCGGCAAGGGCGTCGCGGGTCTCCTCGCCGGATTGGCTGCCACCCAAGGCACGGAGGGCATCATCGCCGAGATCGAGAAGCTCTTCCCGCGTCAGGGCAGCCTCGACGAGCTGGACTAGATCCTGGGTGGAAGAGGAAGTCACTATATTTATGAGTCACTGTGTTGGATGTCGAATGCGCATTGGTTCGAGTTGAGCTTGGTGGGTGTGACAGTAATGAAGGCTGGCGCGTGAGCTGAGTTCGCGTCAGATATTGAGTGTATGCGCTGCTTTTGACTCTTGAGTAATCTAGCGCTGGAACGGCTTTGGGTCCATTCTGTCACCTTGTCATGAGCTCACTGCATATTTTCCAGCCCGAGAGAAGTCATGATATGTCGAGATAGATGTCCTCGTTCTGTTTAGTCTGGGAGCAGGAATGAATCGAAGTGTCAGGTACCTAGTACTGAATGCGCGTCAAGCGACGAGGACCACGTGTGGTGACGTCACGCGTGCAGTGTCACCACCATGTTGATCAACGCCTCTTTACGAACACGCTGACAGTGAACCGTAGCAGAGGACTCGAAATGGCTTATGCACCCACGTAGCTTAGCGTCTGCTAGAGCTGAGAATGCTCTCGGATCTTTGCGGCCATATAATGTGCGCCGACTTGTCGGGCCCTTATTCCTAAAATGGCTGTTATTGTTCTTGGGCACGCCTCACTAGTGAAGCACATACTTTTAAAACGTAAGGCCGGACTTGATACGCCCCTCGTCGCTCATACTGTCCGATACTGTCTCTGCTGCGCAGACTGGGCCACTTCCACTTCCACTTCCTTTCTTTCCCACCGGCGTTGAGCGCTAATCACTTGACTCATGTCATCTCTGACCTCTTACCTCCCCAGTCTCTTCCGGAATGCATGGACTCCAAAACCATGCCACATTCAGCGCCTCTCCTTCGACATCTTCGTTGACCACATCTTCATCCACCTGGCCATCGAGGATATCATGTCCTTGCGCGCGGTCAACCGCACCTTCTTCCTCCTCACGCACGAGCCGATCATCTGGAAGCGGTTTCTCGAGCGCATGAAGACGCCCGTACCCCCGCTCCGCCCGTCGTTCAAATACGCACTCCAGGCGACGGACTTCGAGGCGGAGCACCTCGTCACGCGCGCGCTCTCGCTCGAGGACAACTGGCGCTCGGACACGCCGAAGGTCAAGCGCTACTGGCGGCACGACGCGCACTACCGCATCCTCGACATGGCCCTCCTGCCGGGCGGCAAGTTTGTGCTCGTGTCGATGCGCGACGTCGCCAGCCAGCGGTACTACATCGAGCTGGTGTCGCTCGACCATCCTGCGGGCAGCAGTGCGGTTGCGCGGATGAGGACCCGGTCCAAGGCGTATAACATGCACGCGCGGTATCTGCGGTTCCAAGGGCGGAATGGGATCATGGTTGGGTACACTTGTAGGACGTATGATGATGGGGTTCAGTGCGAGTGAGTTTTCTCGGCTGCACTCTATGGTGCGGTTCACTCAATGTATCTAGTATCGACCCCTCGATCTTTCGAGACTCGGACGCTATCGACCCACCGCATCCCTTCATCTTCCACACCGTATGCCAGTTCATCGCGATGGACGATGTGGAGGAACTGGTCGATCCCCGCCTGCAGCCTGGCTCAGAAGACTACGTCCGCAGAGCCCGCGATTCCGGTCCTCCGTTCTGTCAGGTCGCGTACCTGGAAACGACGACCCGTATCACGTGCCTTTCGCTATTTGAGAAGGACGGCAAGGCGCATATGTCGTTTGTCAAACACCCGCACGTGGTCGTCGTTCTCGATCTCGATGCAAGGACGCAGTGGCAGATCAAGCTCTCTAGATACGGGGGTCTACCGGAGTCGGTGAGCTGGTGTTGTGTGCGTTCTGCCTGTGTGGAATTCTGACTCCTCGAAGGACCATCAGATCTGGGCTATCCGCGTGTTGCCTCATCAGAACGATGTACTCGTCCTGCGGGATGTTGTGAAGGGACGGACGAACCACTCTCGACCGCAACATGAGCATCTTCTAGAGCTAGTGAGGATTCCGCATCCGTCTCATGTCGAGCCGGTGGTCGTGCACCCGTACGAGAGGTGGATAGTCGACCCTCGCGAGTACACCAGCTTTTCTCTGTCAGACCCGATCCCGCCGTCGATCGGCCTGGATCATCCCCGATTGCCGTCCCAGCCCACAGAGCCCGCGCCGATTTCGCTGTTCGGGCAGACGGCGGGTCCGCTGGGGATGGTGCACTACCTCATCTGGCCGACCGAAACGCGGCACGCCGACGCGCCGTCGACGTGGTCGTTCTCGCTCGAATACGTCGTCCCCCAGACGGTGCACGTGAACTTCATGCCGTATGCGACGCACGTGCTGGCGGGTGCGTCGAGGGCGATGATGTACACGCTCGAGACGGAGAAGGAGGAGGACGCGCGGCTGCTCGGTATCAAGCGCTATCTCTCGCCGCAGCTGCAACCATTGTGGGCCCAGCGGGCGCCGGAAGACCCCGCGGAGCCGATCTCGAGGAGAAACCGGCCTGAGCTCTCGAAGAGCTTCTACGTGAGTGGCGCGGTGTCCATCGCTGATACACGCTTGCTGACATGTGCAGTGCTCATTCACACTCCCGGCGAACGTCCGTCGCAAGGTCGAGAGCCTGGGGCTCGCGGCCATCACGTGGGACGAGACGATTGGCCGGCTGTGCATCGCCTGCGGCGACGAATTACGCGTGCACATCATCGATTTCTCGTCGGCGGCGCGGGTGGATGACCGGTTCCGCTCGTGGAAGCATCATAAGCTCGTCGGGATGGGTGTGCCGAAGTAGCAGGCCACCTGCAACGTGCATAGCGCACAGACCAGACCAGACCAACCCAGACCAAGACGTCACGGACGCGGATTGTCACAATAACGTGCTCATGTCACACGCGTTGCCGGCCAGTTGATACATTATACAGTGCTACGATTAGTGTGAGCGGCACCATAGAGGTATTCCTTCGCGAGTAAAATACAAGGCGGGATAGTTAGTATTGCTAGGTCAAAACATCGGGACGGATGAAACAGCGAAGAACGGAATAAAAATCGCGAAAAGAGACGTCCGTGTCATCCCAGGAGTAGCCAGCAGCAGTAGCAGCACCCGCTATGCCTTGCTGCTGCCAAAATAGAACGAGCTGGGGGACTTTTCCTTCGGCTCCTTCTTGTCCCGCCTCCCGAATCCGAGGCTCCCCAGCAACGGCGAGCTGAGACTCATCTTGCGCGTCGCCCGCCGTGGCGCGCTGCCGTTGCTTGACGTGCTCGACGTGCTGTAGTTCCCGCCCGCTAGCGACTCGAGTGCGATCGGGCTTGATGGCAGCTCCAGGGGCGCGTCGTCGGTGCGCTCGTCGGCGTCTGCCATCGAGCTCGCCGCGGATGTGCGCTCCTCGTCCGTTGCTGGCGGCACCGGGGGGAGCGGCCGGGAGGAGGACGAGGGTGGCGCATCCAGTATCGGGCCAGCGGTTGTTGGACGCGCCGAGGACTTGGTGGGTGGTGGGGCTCGGGGCTTGGAAAGGGACGAGAGGGACTTTTTGTGCATCGGGGTGTCGAGTGACAGGGGCAGTGGCTGGGGCTGTGATAACGGCTGCAGCGACGATTTCCTTGCTGGGGGAAACTCGATCACGGGCGGAGAGTGTATGGGTGTCATCGCCGGAAAAACGGACGTCGAGCCGGTCACGGAAATGAAGGACGACGAGGCGGAGCCACTGTCGTACCCATTCGTTGTTTGGCTCTCGTCCGGTTTGAACGCGTGACCGGTCCCTATCGACTTGGGTCGTGTGCTGGCAGCGGACAGGGTCTGCGCCGTCCGTGACAAGTCGATCAGCCCGGACTCGGATGGCCTCCGAGAGTTCTTGTCGGACGAAGATAGCCATGTCGACGAGGACGCATGTGATACCGTCGCTGCGATCGGCGATGGCGGCGCATCGTCGACAATGGTGTCCCCGCGTGACTTGTCTCCCAGCCGGAAGCTCTTCCTCTTGACAAACCAAGACCCCCGGGAGGTCTTCTCCTTCTCTTTCTGCTTCCCATTCGGAGTCGCCGGCACTGAAACGGGCGGAGGCGGTGGTGTGAACGGCTTGGGGTCATCGTCGCTGACACCGTTGCTGGTTCCGGGCCGCGTCGAGACCGAGGCAGTCCGTCTCGGAGCGAAGAACTTGGCCTTGGGGGGCGGAGAAAGTGCATACTCTTCGACCGGCGTGACATCGGGAGAAGGAGGGGCATTCGATACAGGGTCACTTGTGTCCGAGAGCTCAGCTTCCTCAACCAATCCCGGAGGCAGAAGAGGGTTGCTGCCCACAGATGGCGACGAGTCTGGAGGCGAGTACCTCTTTCCAGCATGCACAGGTATGGGCACGACTTGCAGCCCGAGCTCAGAGAGATCGATGTCGACGGCCTGATAATAGAGCACGTAAGCTGAGCCCGCGTTTGAGTCCCCGAAATACTTGGGGATGTCAGCTTCGGTGATCGGATAGACGTTTTCATCATCAAAGACAAGCCAAGCCTCGCTCGTCTTGATGATGGAGATGTAATGGCCATGGTGCGGACCGCTGCGATGCGATCAGCCGGGCCGAAGAGTCTAGACCCAAACCACACATACGTTCCGATATGCACGACAATCGCGAACAGCGAAAATAGCCGGTCAGCATCATCGATTTCGTCCACCGTGTTGAACAACCGTAGCTCAAACGGAAATGCGACCCGGTAGGCCAGCTTGACGTGCTTCCCAAGATCCTCCTGGTACTTGAATCGCTTCAGATGCAACGCTAGCACGTTGGGCGATTTCTTGATCTTCATGCTGTGCAGATAATCAGCCACAGGTGTGTGTGATCCAACGCATGATGCCGAACACACCGTTTTTCCGCCTCTTGTAGATCACAGCACACATCGCAGAAGAACTTGTTCCTCTGACACAGCATCTCGCTGGCACTGAATTGGCGCAGGCACGCCGTGACGCTGGCGTTCTGCTCGATATCGATAGACAGGTCGAGAAACGACTCGTCGCGGGAAGAAACCTGGACCAGGGTCATGAGGAGGGAGATGATAGGCCGTTATCAATTGCCCACGCACGTTTTCGCATGTCAAGCACTTGGTCTCGCTTGTAAGAACACCTTCGAACAGCTTGTGCACCAGAGTCGCATTGTGGGGGGCGGTCCCCGAGTTGTTGGTGGAAAGCGTGGCGGCCGAGTTGGAGACTGGAGAATCGGGATGAGAAGTTCCGCCAGAGAACAACAACGTCTGCCCCAGCCTCTCCCTGCCACAGAGCACACGCGTCGAAGAACGGATCGACTCACGATCGTCCGGTATCCCAGCTCCATTGTCACCCGCCCTCTTCTCCTCCTCTATCTCCTCTACAATCTTATTAAGCAGATAATTGAGAAACTCGTGCGCGTCCTGGTGCATCGTGGAGCGAAACAGCTCGTTGAACTCCTTGAGCTTGTCGATGAAGGCGCGCGGCGCGACGGTGCCCTTCTCCAGCGGGTTCGTAGATATGTGCACGTAAAGCGAGCGGAGCGCTGAGAACAGACTGGGAGGGTTCGCAGGGATGGTGGGTAGTGGGGGGTGGAGGACGACCCCATTGTCCGCAGGTCTGTCTGTCTTGCGACGGACGGGCGCAAGAGAGCCTGGGGCAGGTGTCGGTGGCGCTTGAGGGGAATCCTCGATAGCGGACGAGTCGTTGGCCTGGATTAAGAGATCTCTGAATGGCCCACAGAAGTACAGTGCCTGGATCACGGAATTGGCGTAGCTGCGGATCTCAGTGAGCTGGGAGGACTAGCTGAAGCCTGTCGAGAGGGTCGCACCAGGTATTTCCGAACTATAATGCAGTGATAAGCCAATGACTGATGAGGAGGGAAACAGGTAACGGACATTCTCGAGTCCGAATTTCTTGGTGTCGGCGGACACGATAGCAAGGGGCTCGGGCTGGGCTGTTTCTAAGGAGGCAGGGGCTGACGGTCCAAACGGCCATTTGCCTTTAGCCATACGTACGAGCCCTGGGGTTTATGAATGAAGACAGCGTCGGAATTCCAGCCAAGCTTGTCGGTGTGATGGAGATATCCGACGGCTTCAATCAGGTACAAGGTGGGTGATTCGCCATCAGCACAGCCGCTGATTATGGGCCACGTCACGTTCACCCAAATTCTCCCGAGTCGCTGAGCAAGCCAACAGCAAGTTCGACACTTGGAAACTCATCATCTGGGCTCTACGATATCTCCAACCTTCAACTCTCCCAATCGCAACGGTACCCCATTTACTCCGACGCAAGGCTTCATTTTCAAAACCGGATCCAAACCTGTCCGGAACTTCATCAACGTCTTGTAGGGCACGGCAGGGTCCCGCACTCCGGTTTCTGGCGAAACGTTTGGCAGCTGCGTAGGGATCTTGGTCAGAAGGTATCACGAATCAACAGGAGATGTTTGGGCGCGCTTACCAGACATCGTGTACACTTTGACACTAGACTGATCTTGGGCCCTGAGCCGATCTCGATCTCCTTCCAGGAGTCCTCCGCGAAAGCACCTGCTCCCTGAAAGACAATATTAGGTCGGAACCTAAGCACCGTCAATCATCAGCGGGAGATGCGATGGCCCGTGGCCCAATCTACTCCACCTTTCTGTTGCCAAGCGCTCGGTCTTCCAGCACTCGTCCACGCCTTGCTTCCCCACATGGGTCCGGAGCTCTTCCTCAATTCGCGTCGTCGACTCCTCGGAGAGCACCATCAAAGGAAAGAGATCTTGGAAAACGGTTCTCGCGTCTAACGCCGGGTGCGTGAACGTCGGCTTGCAGATGCGCGGTTGCGTCCCCTTGTACACGAGATGCACGGGCCGCTCAAAATACGTGGACAGCATCTCCGACACTGTCTGCGCGTTCATGTTGCCCGCGGGCAGCGCCTCGCAGATGTACCCATCGAATGGAAACACGCCGAACATCGTCACATCTGCGACTCTAGGATGGAAATAAGCGTCGGTCCCCTCGTGCGAAATCTGTGCGTGCGAACCGCGTCCAGGTGCCAAGGACATCCTGAGTGGGCTTTAGCGGCACTGAGAAGACCGGAGATCCCGGCCCGCCTAGCGAGACAGACAATACTTGGGCGTCTTGATCGATATGTGGAGTGATCAACACCATCTGGAAAGTCTACGAGGTGATTGCTTGTTCCAGGCCGAGAATAGTCGGCTCGCCTTGGAGACTTCTCTTGCAGTTATGACGGAGCCATCGCCAGCGTTGATGATGCACCATTGGCGGTCGTACTTTCCATCAATATTTGGCGTGAGATTCAACTGGATGCGTATGCGCAGCTCCTACCTCTAGACCTTCCAGTGTTACCCGAGCCTGGTCGACCGAGATTCCGCGACAACTCTCCGGACGACTCAATGCTGGAGTTCGTGGCGTTGTAGCCGAGTGTCTCACCTTGATAGGATGCACCAGGATCTTTGAAACACGAATAGTCGACATCGAAGTAGGAGTGCAAGTAGAAAAGCGATCTATTCTATGCACTCACCTGAGACCAGACCATTGGCGCACATGTGACTGCAAGTTTCTCGCGCCCCGTGATATTTCGGATGCAGCTTTCGTTGAGTAGGCGGCCGATTTGGGATCGCTCGTAGATAAGATTGCTCATCAACCCATTCATATAACATACACTTGCAATTTACTGTACTTCAATGTTTCTGTTCAAACACAGCCCAACGTTTAGGCTGTCCGCATGACCAAATGCACTCCGCTATCCGTGCTGATGATATCGCTGATCTGTCCGGGTTCAAGCGAGTACGCGGCCTCCTCGAAAGCTTTCTGCATCTGCCCGGGGCCAAAGTATCCGAGATCGCCATTTTGCTCATGAGACGAGCAATCCGAGTGCACACTGGCAAGTTCACCGAACTTCTGACCGTCCGTGCCGATCTGCGCCTGGAATCCCCGCAGGATCTCGATGGCCTCGTCCTTGGAACGTGTGATGTTGCTCTGTCATTCGGGCTGCGTAAGCACGGCAGTCGGATGTGGACGGCGCAGCCGCGCGCGCACCTCTTTCCAGCTCGCAGGTCGGCGGCTGCCGTTATGCTTCACGAGGAGGTGGCTCGCGCGCACCTTGCCTTTGGGCGCGGGCACAGCTTTGAGGAGCGCTTGGGCCTGTTCCTCAGAGAGATCGGCGGGGCGGTCCCACAGCGATTCGCGAGTGGCGGGGTTGAAGAAATACGGCGTCCCGCGCGAGGACGAGATGCGGACTTCCCAGGCAGACTGGAACGGCGCTCAGAATACCCAAGCCGGGAGATGAGATGGACTGACCATCTTGATCGTGGGCGAAGAGAAGCCTATTGATGTGGCTGTGCCGTGCACGCTCTGGCTCAGGACAGTTCCATCAACTTGGTTCAGTTCGTTGGTACGGGAGCCCCATGCGATTCAGCTTCCAGTCTGCATAGTATGGATCCTCCTGGATGCCCGTCAGCCAGCTGAACTTGTGTGATAACTCGCGTCTATATTTTTCTCTCCCTGGGGCCGACCCTTGAGCATTCGAGCTTCTAATCTCGTTTAGGAAACTTGTTCGACAAATCCGTTTCTGAGGCCATCCTTCTCCGTTGCCTTTCCCACTTGTGTGAAATGATATATTGTTGACCTCAATCATCTCCCTCCACGCACACTCAATACTACCATGCAAGACGACCATAATGCGAACGTGAAACAGGAGGACACGGGGCAGGACGCGATCTTGGACTGCGAGGTAGAATGTCGCAACTCTCAAGGCGTTCTTCGCCTCACGGCTCGCGTGGCTGAGATTCTGGAATTTGTCGTGGAGAGCGGACAAGACTTGTGGGGTTTCCTTGAGCAACTCAACGCCGTGCCCCAAGAGCAGTTGTCAGTTTGGGAACGCCACGCCGAGAAAATGCAGCGGTTGAAAATTCCATCATATCGGTATGGCCTCGTAGGCAAGACAGGCAGCGGCAAGTCCACACTCGCCAACTGTCTGCTCGATGCGGATATTCTTCCGTCGTCAGCTGCTGTGAGTTGTTTCCCTTCCTTCCAGGTAAATGGTCTCGTTACTGACGCGTGCCCCAGGGGTAAGTGTTAAAGTGGTGGGTGCTGTGCGCTGTTCCTGTCCTCATTCTCGGGACAAGGGCATGTACCTCGGTACCAACGGAAATCGGATATCTGGATACAGACCACATCGAAGTCACTGTGGTTTACCGTATGAAATCCGAATGGCGCAAAGTTTGTTGTTTTTCTGCCCCCTGGCTGTTAGCTTACAGGCGCGCTTCATAGCAGGTCCGCGATCTCCTGGATGACATGTGAGCACTTCGGGCCTTGTTTGATTCATCCGCTGCCCACGCTGACTTGTCTCTAGCAACGAAGCCGAAACCTCTGACTCGACAGCCCAAGAGACGCTATTTCAAGTTCGTTCCTCGTTTGACTTGTTAACACACCTCTTATCGATCCATTCTATGAAGGTTTACCCGCGGTATGATCTCTGTTTCGGCAGCGCAGTAGCACCCGTAATGCAATCCACTCTAGGTTCAAAAAGGAAGGTTTTCGAAACACCACGGCTGACATCCTGATGCAGGACTCAGTCGTCCAGGATCGTCTCGGTGCTCAGACAAGCTTTTCAATATCCGAATTGGAAAGCGTTGAAGAACATGTATGCGCATTTGAAATTCTCTGATGCAGATGCTGACTGGTCGTCTTATTAGTTGAGGCATTACCTATGCCCTGGAGACGAAGATGACAACTCGCCGCAGGTCAGTCCCCTTGCGTGATGCACGGTAGTTGCTGTATTCAGAGTCTGCGTCAGCTCTGGCCGCTTGTTCAGATGGTTAAAGTGCGAGGCAGATTTGAAGTGTTATCGAGCGGAATTGTGCTTGTTGACATCGCGGGCCATGGCGATAACAACGAGATGTGAGTTCTTTCGGCATATCAAAGTCGCAAACATTCATTCATTGGCTCTATAGTCGTGATATCCACGCCGATAACTTCATGAAGGCCTCAGATACTAGTGGAATCATCGTTGGTGAGCGGAATATCTTTCTAATATATGGGGCGTATGACGCAGATCGTGGTCATCGGCAGTCGCAAGCGCCACGCGAATCCACAGTGACAAGGTCAGTGTCAATCCGCTGAAAGATTACAAAGTCACTGATTGGGTCGCGTGTCAGGCCACATCGCAGATTCTCGATGAACTGTAGGTGTATCGGATACACGTTGACGATCCGTTTCTGATCAGCCGTAGGATAACCACCGTCATCCGAGACAATCGACGGGTGGACGAATTCTTGATCGTTGCGGCGACACACAACGACACTCCGATAGGGAACTCGGAGATAGGACTGCAGGGTGCAGATCTGCAGCAAAGCAAGGAGTTGTCCAGCGTGAGCATGCAATGATGTCCTGTCTGATTCCGGTCAATGACTCCGACTCAGCTCTTGAAAAAATTGGGGCAGCAGCTGAAACGTCAGGGAGTGGGCGCCACAGAGATCAACCAAGTGAGTGACTGTGCATGCCTTGCAGGTCGAGACTGATTCTCTTTCCAGCAAATAACTGCTGCGAAACGAGAACTCGATCTTCTGAAGGCTGTACGTTCTTGCGTGTGATTACTGTGCAGCATATGACTGAGCCATTTTGCCAGTCAGCCCGAATCAAGCTGATCAAAAAGAAAGTCCAAGATTCGTTCCAGAGGAATTATCGGCGACTTCGCAAGGTCTCGAAGTTCCCCATGCACATTGATGACATGCTTATTTTCCCGAAGAACTGGGCGCTCGAGCCGCCACAAGAGCTCCCGGTGTTCGTGGTTGGGAGTAGAGACTATCTTACATCAAGAGATGCCGTTGCTGGGTTTTCGGACGTGATCCTGCATGAGCCCGACGAGGTCAGCTCACGTTAGAGGTTCTCATAACGATGTTATTGAACCAATTCTTCTCCAGACATACATCCCTCAACTGGTCTCTCATCTCAAAGACACAGCGAAACGCTTTCGCACTGCCTGGGCTTTGCGTGTGCTGCAAGAAGCCGAGACGTTCGTGAAGGACTTGAAGTCTTTCTCCACACCCGTGGTTCCCCTGTCGCCGGAACTCAAAGCAGAAGCAAGCCAGGTTGTCGCTGCACTCGAAACAGTCCGTTTCGCCTTTGGCTAGTCACCCCTTTGGTTGACCCTCCCGCAGGAGCACGGGAAAGAGATTCAATCGATGATGGACAAGGTCGCCGCGGCCTTGGATGAGGTGATGACGACGTTGAAAGAAGCAACACGCCAGGTGCATTGTTTTTACGTTCACTATAGACTCACTGGCTAAATGTGTTTCCAGGCCAGTGAAAGCGCACTCACTAGCGTCGACAAGTTCGCGACCAAGGTTCGCTGGAACACATACAAAGCGTGTATGCGCCGGGAAGGCATCTGGAAGCATCTGAACCTCAACCGGAGTCTTACGGTTGGGATCATGCCTGCTATCGAGTCTGCCTGGATGTCCACCTTCAGCGAGAAGATTCCGCACATCTTTGCCGACGCGACTCAGGTGAGCTCGCCCAAAGCTTGTCAGCTCCTTCGCCCTTACTCAACGGCATAGGCCATCGAAGAGCTCACGCTAGCCCATATCGCCCAACTGGCCCGAGTCCTGGCCAACACGAATACCGGAGAGCGTATCAGAGCGGCGCAGGACTTTTTGGATATCCCGAGGAAAGCACGAGATCTTCGCGAGTTTGCCACGGAGACCACCTCGGCCTGCCAGCGGGAATGCACGCGCTCGTTCCAGGAAACGGTGCAGAAGCAGCTCGAGGACCAATACCTCGAGGTGCGGAACATGTCAGGGGCAGGCTCCTACGTACGAATGAAGGTCAGCCGAGACGACGACCTACAATTTCAGTTTGCACGACTTTCTGACGAAGGTGTCACAGGACTCGAATAAACAGTGGTTAGAGAAAAATAGAGACAGGATGTTCGACGCTGTCAATGACACCGTCAGAGGGGAATTCGACAAGGCGCTCGTGCGTGTCAAGGAGCGGGCCACAGAGGAACTCGGCCAGTGGGTTGAAGAACTGAGAGCCTTTGTCACAAGTGCGCGAAAGTCTCTCACGTGTATTTGGCGCAGACTCAGCTTTTGACAGATGACGGCCACCAGAAGACATCGGAGAGGGATAGCAAAACCTGGACTTTGATATCAAAGCGTCTGCTGGCGCTAGAACCGCAGATAGAAAAGATGCGAGATGGACTGAGATAGTAAACTGTAGACAGAAAGAGATCTATCCATCAATGAATCACGAGGGCTTCATGGTCACTACTCACTCAGTACGCGACTGGGCACTGACAATGGGTTACATTCGTTAATCGACGCGACGCGACGCGATGCCTCCCACTTCGACGAGCGAAGATCACAGATATCCCCCATCCGGACTACCCTGAGGGAACCCCGCTCTTCCCTCAATCGCAGCATGACGACCCTTGAGGGCTCTAGCAAGCTGCGTCCCTGCAGCTCCACGCGACGCACTCTGTTCTTCCCCACACCCCAGCTGCACCATGAACAACGAGAACGACACTGACACAAACCTGCTCTCGATACGTTAGGCTGAGTCCAGCGACAGCGGTCACGACGGCATGGATGAACACGGAGAGGGGCTGACCAAAGACGCGCTCGTCCGCGAGATCCAAGCCTTCGTAGCGTCATCCGCCACTCGTCTAGCCGACGTGCTGGAGGACCGCTTCGCTGCCGACTCGGGAGACGCGCCGCCCCAGGTCCGGCTCTGGACACGCAGGGCCCGGAAGCTGGCAAAGCTCAAGGTGCCGACGTACCGGTACTGTCTTGTCGGCAGAACTGGTCCGTGGACGCGTGTCTTTCGTGCCGAGGAAAGCAGCGGTGCTGACTATCGCAGGCTCCGGGAAGTCGACGCTGACCAACTGCTTGTTGGATGCCCTCGTTGTGCCGTCTTCCGCTGCAGTGAGTGCTGGTATGCTTCTTCTGCAGGAGTCTGCTCCTTATCGATCCGCACAGGGGTGCGAGGAACCCACTCGGCTTGGGCTTGAATTGGTTGCTCACTACCAAGTCCAGCGCTTGTACATCAGTCTCTACCGAGATCAAGTATCATGAGTCGGAAACTCTCGAGGCGGTCGTCGCCTTTTGTTCGAAACGTGAATGGAAACAGGTACGGCACAGTCCCTTGCTCGAGTGTGCACCTTCTAAGTGGTTGGACGGCAGCATGTAACTGAGCTCCTCAATGACATGTCGGTTACAGCTATCCCCACCGTGACTTTCGGTGCACTGACGAGGACTGGCAGACGGGCTGAAAGCGAAGAGGAAAAAGGTCACGACTCACCCGCGGACAAAGCGAGGGATACTCTACGTTCGGTATGTTTTTAGTCCTAGATCGTTCAGGACCATACCATCGAACACGACGGCAGGTACATCCCTCTTATGTCTACGACCCTCTTGTCCCAATATCAACTGCGGTCGCCACGCTCATGAAAGAGCCCGTTATACGAGAGCATGTGGGGAAGTCTATTTCGCTGACCGAATCGGCGACGGCCGACCTTAGGGATCAGGTTTATCCGGTGCTTGCTCTCTTGTCCCAGCTGCTCATTTTGTTCAAGCTCAAGATATATCTGTCCGCAGAGGGAAATCCGGATACACCCAAGGTACTAATACTCGTGTATGACTCCCATCGCATACTGATCACATTCCAACATCCCACAGCTCTGGCCGCTTGTGGATAAAGTGACCATCAAGGGCAACTTCGATGTGCTTTCCACAGGCGCTGTTCTGGTCGATATCCCGGGTCACGGGGATAGCGATGATGTGTGAGTGCTCACGTTCTTGGTTACCGGCCACGGGGTGATACAACCCCTCCCAGTCGTAACAAGTGTGCGGAACAGGCTGTGAAGGATTCTAACACCAGCGGGGTCATTCTCGGTACGGGGTCTTGGCCATGGCAGACAGATCCTGTTCATACTTGAGTGCAGTGACCGACTCGAGACGAGCTCAAGACGACAGGGTGCGCTAATCTTTTCGCTTCTTTTCTAGTTGCTTAGCCTCAGTCCAGGATACCTTCGATTTCTTGCGAAAATTGTACGCCATCGCAATGGCCTTCGTTTGTTGTCTGGGCTCTGATTCCGCATCCAGGTTATCTCAAATCATCGTCGACGGTCGATCTGTTGAAGAGTTCATCATTTTTGCCGCGACAGGCAGCGACGTCAGTTGAGGCTATGGACTCGGCTTCACTCTGTTGACGACGGAAATGTAGAATTCGATTATGGATGGCGAAGTCACACTGTCGGCTGAAGCGCAGAAGAAGATAGCTGCCATCGACTCTGTTGGTTTCCCAGACGCTCTGTGTGTTGCACCTATCGGCTGATATATCTTCTTTGGAGCAACTGGGCGAGTTGCAACAGCAGCCCAGCAGGAAACGAGGCAGGTCCTGTGCGGGGACACCCATACCGCAAGACAATCGTGAGAAAGTACGCTCGCTAACCATTGAGTGATGCGTTGCTCTGACGGCCGATCCGCAGATCCAGAAACTGTTACAAGAGCGGAGCCTCATCAAAGCAGTAAGCCTCTCATCAGCTTGAGTTCGTTAGGTCAATCCAGAGCACAGGAGGAGCGTGTCCAAGCTGTGGAGGAACGCATTCAGGAGGAGTTTCGCAAGGTGTACACGGGCATCAACCAGGCACGCCGTGTTTTCCGTTGCACAAATGTCGCTGACCGACTGAACCCGCATATCACAGACACAAGATGCGCCAAGACTCCCGGTGTTCGTCATGGGCGGACAAGATTACCTCAAATTGAGCGGCATTGTCTCCGAAAATCCATCGGTATTCACAGATGTGCAGCAGGTTTGTGAGAATTACTTTGCGCACGTGCACGATCTAATGTATCCCCAAGACGAATATTCCGCTATTGAGAAAGCACCTGTACGACACAGCGGATGAAATGCGAACGAAGTGGGGGGCAGATTGCTTGGAGAGGCTGGCCACTCTCGCCGAGGACATGCACGAGTATTTTATCACGACAGATTCTCCCGTTCATCATGTGGACGTGGACCAGAAGGAGACATTGTTGACGCACATCAAGGCGCTGCGGCGCGAAAACGAGAAGGAACTCGAGTCTGCGTTGTCTGGTATCAAGGACGAGTTGCATCGCGTGCAGGACTGCCTCGAGATGGCCGTCAACAAGGTACTATCCATTGAACACAGATGGCATGCATCGCCTGACAAATGACTCTGCAGGCCATGTTTGCCGCGCCCGGGGTGGTCAGAACGTTTGGCCTCAACATACATTGGAGCAGCTACCGCGCTATGATGCGCAAGCGGGGCTTTCACGGCCTGTACAATCTCAACCGCAGTCTCACCGTCCACATCTTCGAGCACATCAAGAGTACATGGAACGTCGCGCTGAACCATCGGGTTCCCCTCATCCTCAGAGAGGCTGTCGAGGTGAGCACTGCTCGTCCAGATCGCTGACTGGTGGACCCTCACGTGCTACCACGGCAGGAGACGATCATGGGTAACACACAGGATTGTGTCGAGGCGATAGCAGAATCCCTGAAAGAGGAGGCTGTCCTGACGAGGATCCTCCCGGAATTTCAGAGTCTGCTCCGGGAAATGCTTGTGCAAGCTTTGGATGTTCTATCCGATGCTCAACGGTGAGGCGAAACAGCGATGGTCCACTATCGATGCTCATGTCCCGCGGTGTGGTTTCAGTGTCTGTACGCGATCTTTTGTTGACACAGTGCGGACGGAGATGGGGCCCGAGTACGAGGCAGCCATGCAGATCAAAGGAAGAGGGTCTCTGGTACAGATGAAGGTCCGTCTGCTGCGTTGAGTCCTGAGTGCCATCTGTTCATAGCGGGACACAGGCATCGAACGAATGGTACTTGAGAGACTACGGAGAGGCCGTCTTTGGTGCCATCAATATCAGCGTCGACCGTGTTTTGCACGAGGCTCTCGCCAAGATCGGGCGGCAGATCAATTCCGACCTGGATGACCTGGCGCAGGACCTGCAGGCAATTGTGAATGGTGAGCCCGTTGTCCCCCGCACTCCTCATCTTCTTGGGACCGATCATTTTCTGTGTGCAGATCCTGCCAGTGTGATGTCATCCGACGATGACGAAGAGACCCGAAGCCTGATCTTGGAGCAGGTCGATCTGATTCTGAAATCGAGCATAATGAAGAACTTGGACTACTCAGCTAAGACCGAGTACGAATCGGACTGCGACTGGGGCAGGTCGGGAATACATGAATAGATTGGATTGGATTGAAAAGATGATGGATATAGTAGTCTGTGGAGACAGCGAGCGTTAGATGAGAGCGTAGACCGAAAGCACTAATGACAAAGATAGCTTCTAGATTCTACCTATTCCAGCTTTCCGTAGCCTTCAGGGTTCTTGGACTGGAAGTTCCACAAGTCACGGCACATGACATCCAGGTCCTGTGTCGCCTTGAATCCGAGCTCCTTCTCGGCCAGTGCGGGATCAGCAGTCAGATCTGGCACATCGCCTCGGCTGCAACTCATCAGTCAGTGTCAGTCCGCCCAGAATCAAAGAAGCAACACACCGCCGGCCGACGATCTCGTATTGGTATTCGAAACCCGTGGCTTCGCGCATGGCCTGGACAATCTGGAGCACACTGAAGCCTTTGCCTCGTCCGAGATTGTATGCCTTGTAGCGCGCTCCGGTCGGGTCGTTGAAGATCCCCGCCTCCGACGTCAGGGCCTCCAGAGCCAGCTGGTGCCCCGCCGCAAGGTCGAGAACATGCAAATAATCACGCACACACGTTCCATCCCTACGGGGTGGACAGATCAGATCAGTACCAGACCACCTGAGCACGGGGGGCATCGGACGCACGGTGTCGGATAGTCGTTGCCGAAGACCTGCAAGGTCCTCGGATCCACTCGCCCCACGGCCATGTGCGCGAGGAGAGGGAGCAGGTTACCCGGACGTCCCCTCGGATCTTCACCAATCTGCCCCGATGGGTGAGCGCCAGCGGGGCTGCGTGAGAGATGCGGTCATGATTCGGCGCGCGCGAGCGGGAATCTAATCTACGCACTTGAAGTATCTCAGGGAGATAGCAGACCACTTCGAGTCGGCTGTAGCGGGGAGGGTCAGTGCGGGAGCACAAGGACGTCGGAGCCGATAGACTGACCATGGCACAAGTCGTCCATGATCGTCTCGCACATGACTTTCGTCTTCCCATACGGGCTGTCGGCTTTCAGCCGTGTCGTTTCGGATATCGGGATCTCGGGTGGGATCCCGTAGACGGTCGCCGAGGACGAGTACACTATCCGCGTGCAGTCGAACTCGGCCATGACCTGGAGCAAGTAGAGCGTAGCGGCGACGTTGTTCTCGTAATACGTGAGTGGGACCTCCGTCGACTCTCCGACGGCTTTATAGGCCTACAGTCACAGTTCCAGTCAGTCGGAGGCCCGATCCGCATCGATGGTGGCAGGCAGGACTCACAGCGATGTGCACTACACCCCATATGCCGCCCTTGCCATACTTCTCAAACACCCCCCGAATGTCCTCCTTCCTCGTGAGATCACAGCTGTAGCTCTCGATCTCCGTTGTCTCGATGTCCCGCTCCGAGGTGTTCTCCGGGAGTTCGCTGCGTGAGAGCGCGGAAATGCGTGCGAGTGCATTGGGGTGCGAGTTGTGGCCGTTGTCGATGGAGATGACCTTGTATCGTCTCGTTTTCTGGAGTGTGTAGATTACGTGCGAGCCTGCCAAGTAAGGACTGGTCAGTTTCTTCCGCTAGAGCGAATGCGGAAGCAAAGCGAACCGATGTAGCCTGCTCCACCCGTAACGAGGACTTTCTAAGGGGATGGTTAGACTAGGGAGACTATTGAGGTCGAGTGGCATTACTTGGAGGGGAGGGAGCTGAGACATGGGTAAAGGAGGAGTTCAAAAATGGAGGCAGAGGCCAAGTTGCGTTTGTATTCCGTATGCGATCGTCTAACCGACAAGTGGGGGTGTGTCTATAGGGGCTCCAAAAAGTTGACTCCTTTTATATCCAGTCTATCGATCATCTACCGACCCCATTGGAACATCTCCATCATCTGTCTTTGTTGTGCTTCCACTTTCATCCTTCTCGTCGCTGACATTATCAGACGGGGAAGGTGCTTTTGTCCCAGCTGCCTCAGATTCGTCTCCGGTTGTCGGATTCCTGCGTTTTTCAGCCTCGGCCTCAATCTCCTTGACCAGAAGTTCGATATCGCCTGTGCCGATCTTGCCAAAGTGCTGCAGATGCTGGTCCCGGGCCGCTCGTAGAGCCAGCCAGGCTTCCCGTTGCTTGTTCTGGAACAAATAAGATCATGGAATACCACGAAAGAAGCTGGCGAACCTCCTCAAACTTGATGATCATCTCATCTGTGGATGGTGCAGGTGCTACCACGGGTATTACGACCGGGGCTGGTGCAGGTGCTACCGGGTCTGGTAGGGCCGGTGCGGCACTCAGGGCCGGGGTCCCCGGCTTGGCTGGCAGCGATGGGTGTATGGGTGGTGCGACAACAGCTGACGCAGTCGCAGCTGGCGTTGCATCATTCATGGAGACATCTTCTGTTGTTACCGCTGCATCCGGGGATATCACGGCGGCGGCGGCGGCCTCTTGTTCAGCCTTGAGTTTAGCTTGCATCGCAGCTTTGTGCTCGGCGGCAGCGTCCAACCTCTTCTGTCGCATCTCAATCCTGGCGTCTTCTCGCTTGATCTTTTGCAGAAATGACGAAACATCTCCAGGGCTACGTGAAACGTCCGTTGAGATAAACCGATAGCACTGGAGTGGACTCACCGGAACGGCATCTGTACATCTTCAAGACCTCTATACCCCATCTGCCAGATCTCCGTCAACGAAGCTGAACCCATTTCATGAGGGAACTCCTCTAGTCGCTCCCGCATCTTCAATCGAACTTCTCGTGTCGCTTCTTCGAGTCCAACCTTGTGGTCCCCGATCATGGTCGACCACGGATCTTTGTCGAACGCAGCACAGACATCGCACTTCCACTTCACCCAGTTCTTCTCTCGCTCGAGAATGGCGCTGGTGGTTTCCGCGAAAGCGCGACCGTTAGGCGCGGTCTGCTTCAGCTCATCCATCACTTTGTTGAACGTCTCTTGTGCCCATTCCGCTTGAGGAGGCTCTAATGTAAAGTCCATGTGCAACGAGCGATTGCGGATGTTGACCCAGGTGGCTTTCTCAGCCTTGGTAAATGTCTGGAGATGGGCGAGCAGCACGGCAAGTTGAAAGAGGACTTGTCGGCGGAATTGAGTGTCGGCAATCTGTAAACAGCTTCAGTTCATTTCAGCGATTCACGTTCTCCGTTACCTCGAGCTCCAAGAGATCCGGGCTAGTCAGGAATTTGGCAAAGAAGTATTCTGTTACAGCGCTGCTTTCCGTTGCCGGTTCAGTTTCGCGTTTGCGCTTCAAGGATCCAGCGCCACCCCCTCGGCTGCCCATCATGGCGCGTTCCTTTGCAGTGGCCTCCTTAATAGCAGGAAGCACAATGTTGACTGCCTCCTGAAACTTCTCAATGGTTCCCGGCTGAGAGAAAAGTGTGGGTTTGGAAAATGGGAGTTGGAGCGACCAGAACGTGTTGTAGAACACTGAGGCCTCGTTGAGTAGAATCTAACAGTGCAATGGATCCCACACCTGCATTCTTGTCTTCGGCCTTCGCGCCATCGACGTCCATTTTCTCCTTCCCGTCCTCCTCCTCTTTCTTGTCTGTCATGACCACATCCTGTCCGGGCTCTGGTTCTGGCGCTGCTGGGGTCGGAGGTTTGACCGGAATATGCACGCCTTCCCAAGTAGGTCCGTACTCTCCTCGTAGATTGACACCGCTGCGTTCTCCCAGCGGAAACACGCCACTCAAGAACGTCAATATTCGTCCACAAAAGATCGTCGTCGAGCCCATCTTGGAGAGTCGTCGGAGAAGGTCGTTGAGTGTGCGCAAGAGGATGAGGGATTTGCCCTTTTGTGGAGCCATCCCTGCAGTGAGTCTGGCGGAGCGCTCTTCGATCCACGAGAAGATATGCGAGCAGGACTGGATCGTGTGCGTCTCGAACATGTCGCGCAAGATTTCGAACGGGACTTGCTGCTCGAGCGCCTCTGCAAGAAGATGCCTGAGTGCCACTCGAAAACCAGGGAAACACAGGCACACCTGCTTCGGCGAAGGCCAAAGTGACATCGAGCAGAAGGCGCAGGCGCGCATAGTAAAGCGTGTTCGGATCCTTCAAGGCTCGACTCTCATCCCTCTTCATTCATGAAACCAATTCAGACGCGTCAGAATGCAAAGAGATGCATCACGTACCGCGAGGTTGAAGAATTCCTGCCTGAGCAGGATCTCCCATTGGGTCTTGCGGTTCTCTGGTGCCGACGTGGTTCCGAGGTCGGAAAGCGCAGTTTCCACGAGCTCCTTTATCGTGCCTTGGTCCCATGGCTTCGATTCCGCCACAGGCAATGCGTCTAGGAGGGTGGCCAGCCGTGATCTGAGGGAAGTTGACATGGCCGTAAGTATCCCCCTTTGATCAGTTCAATTACAGGCCAAGTTGGAGCGCATCACATGGGGATCACCGATCACGGGCACTCATCACGCTTTCGCTTACTTGCCTCTCTCATGTCCGCGAGCGCAGATGGATCTCCAGACAAAGTGAACGACTCTTCAGAAATCAAAACTGCCTCAGATGGCTCCACTGAACCTCGGCTGGACGCGTCCATCGAAGCCGATCTCGCCGAGCTGACCGATCTCCTCTCCAAAGGGACGTTGGACGAAGCAGGGGAGGCGAACTTGGCGGAGTTGCTTTCGCGCCTTGAAAGTGCGAACGGTGTAGCAAAAGGCGTGGAGAGCAAACTAGACTCTCTCATCGGGAATCTGGACTCGCTGTTGGAATCCTTGGAGGGAGAGTTCGCCGCCCAGCAAGACAGCAAGACGAAGGAGACCAAGACGGACTGAGCGGCTGGCTTATCTGGTGAGTACATCCCAGCTGTGGTGTTTAGGCTTTGTTTCCGACCTTGTTCCCAGCCCAATCCGCTACGCACCATTTGACGAGTACAAGAGAGCAACGATACAGTTAAATAATGCCGAGGGTAACGATACAATGTGGAATATTTAGGCTATAGATCAGCGACCACCTCGACTCGGTTGACAGTATCAACGATTTCAGAGCCTTTCCGAGCGAACACAAGCTGTGGGTACGGTAATTAGCATGGGGATGGATGTCAGGCCAGGGCAGACACTGACCAAGTAGGGATTGGCAGTAGAGCCCGTGGTGTCGGCCAAAACCTCGCTCTTCGCAACATCTGAGACATCCGAATCGTTGTACTTGAACCAAGCATCCGGGGCTTCTGGCAAATGGCGGGAATAGAAGAAATAATGGCCGAATGAAGGTGAGGACCCGCGATGGATGAAGACAGAGGTCAATTCGTATGGTGCATCAGTGGAGTCCTGCCAGAGGGCCTCCAGTTCTTCCTTGAGCTGGCGAGCACGAGCCCTTTCCTCCTCGATCTCTTCGCCGATGCGTGCCTGGTCTTGCTTCATGGATTCCAAGACATCTTGTTCCAGAGACGTCACGCTTTGAACCAAAGCCAAGTAACGGGTCGCTTTGTCCAGCTTTGAGCTGAATGTGTGCTTGTTCTACAAGACATTCAGCAGAGTCAACAAGATGAACTGGGACTTTCCTGACCTTGCTGGTTTGCAATTCACGAACGCGCTCTCTGCTCTTGTTCAGCTCAGCCTGGATCGCTTTCCCGCGAGACTTCTTCTGGGGATCGGCACTGTCCAGGAAGCGATCCATGTAGATGGTCTCTCCGAATTTGACGTAGGCCTGAGACTTGAATGGCTGCAGCGTCTCTCGATTGAATTGGACTCTCTGGTAACAGATGGAGAAGATGTCAATGCGAGAGAAAGGCACCACACCTGCAACTGGATCTGTAACAACGGAGGGGTCTCCACCAATGTGACTTCCATTCGCGCCTTATTTCCCTCGAACTCGACAACATCATCGAAGTAGGTGCTCAAGCCATCGTAGATGTCCACTCCTTCATCGTTGACGTTGACCGGAAGATGGGAGAAGAGATCCTCTTTCTCATGCACAGATGATCGCGCGGCCTCTGAATAGATGCGCTGCCGGATCTTCCCGTAGAACAGTCTTATAAATCATCAATGTCGCCCTTGCCATGCAGCAAAGCAAGCTGACCGTTTGACAACACTCGTCTTGTCATCCTGCATGCCATCAAATCTGAGCAAAGCTGTCTCGATCTGGAACATGCAGTTGTCCATGCACTCGGCAACATCGTGCTGTTTGCCGAACATCATCGTCGAGCTAGACTCGGTTGGCTTCCGAGGGGGCAACGGCGGTGGCTTCTTGGAAGAACCGGCTTCGCCTTGCACAGGCGATGTTGTTCTTGGAGGATCGACATCCATGGAATCTGGATTGGTCGCGCGGGCAGGACCATCCTCGACCAGGGTAGCATCTGTGTCGTTTGAGGAGTCGGTGCCCCCCTTGTCTTCGTCCTCTTCTTCGTCCTTGGACGTCACCAGAGCCAGCTTGGCCAGCTCGAGGGCTGGAGTGACAGCAGGGTGTTCTGCATATTCGAGATCGAAGAACAAAGAAGCCAAGAGGGATATGACTAATGCCCGTGAGTACCTCGATTAGATAAATTGAACTCGCTCACATTTCTTAGACCGGACTATTTCCCTCCTAGTAACCAATCGGCCTCCTACTCGGTGCCGCTTCAGATCATCATCAGTGAGTTTATCCTCCTCGGCGGCTTTAACACCGGATTCCTTCATTAGCGCCACGGCGTTGCGCAAGTCTTTGATAGTGTAGAAGTACTAGAGCGTTGACCTCAAACGGTTGTCAAGAGTGCAAAAGTCGGAGAACGCACTTGGAGTAGTGAATTAAGATAGCAGGTGTTTCCCAGTTGATTGAGGCCGCGAGGAAGATCGGGTCTTGTCTGAGGAGCAATGAAACCAGCTGTCACGTCCTCAGTAATGATCCAGTCTCGAGAAAACAACTCACGATCTGTGCCTGTGTTCAAAAGTTTGCGTAGCCGCTCACTGTCGCGCACTTCGGCAATGACTGTCAAAGCCTCTCGCATCTTGTCCATCTGCAGAGGAGCGTCTTCGATCTATCCAACAGCTGAGCCCCCTGAGCGCACGCAACAGAGGATCAACTTACCCTCATGTTGTAGATTGTGATGAGCATATCATCGTCTGTCGTCTCCGGGACTTCGATCGTGAGATATGCCTTCTCGGGGCTCATCACACCGTTTTTACCCTGCTCCCACACGCGCATCAACGTGTGACTTGCACGTGATTGTGCTAAGATTTTCAGTGCTTTGGTTGCCTCGCTCTGCAGCACCGTTCCGTCGGCCGAATCTCGCCAAGATCGCTTGATACACTCCTTCCATGCATTCTCGACAAACTCGTCAGGAACATCCGTCTCGTATTCCACCCTGAGAGACCCCTCAGCGCCGAAGCCCAGGATTTGTGCCGCAGCTTGAATGTCCTCGTACGTGAATCGACCACGCTCCGATTCGTTGTGCAGCAATTGAGTAACCAGAGGAACATCAGGGACGACGGCCGCTAATGTCATGGCGATCGAGCGAAGTTTTGTGTAGTACTGGATGGTGTTTCGAGGATCGCATCGGCATTGTGCCAAGTAGGCGAATGTTAACAGCTCTTGGGTTTCGAGAGTCAGACGATCAGAACCATGCATTTCTAGCTGACTCACCGTCAGAGAAGGTGATGGGTGTCAGTCCCAGGACTCTCCAGTCCTGGAACTTCTTCTCCAGTTCGCTTCGGATCTCACTGCTGTAATCGTTGCGCGGGACTGGAAATAATTAGTCAGACAAGAGGAACTCGAGAACACCAGCACGCTGACTTTGATCGGGATGCGACCCGGTGGCCTTCTGGTAATTCTCCCTCTCATGCTTGAGAGACACCCAGAGACGGTATCCCTTATGCTCATGTTGGTAGAGTGCAGCTATGCGCCGATGAGCAACCCGCGGTCATGTAACGAGAGCTTCGTACGATGTATTCTTTCGTAGTCTGCTGTCCAGGCCGCGATCTCCGTCCAGGCGCGAAGGAAACGCGCGCGGTTGTGCTTGCCCTGCGGTGTGTCCGGGTTTGTGATCGGAGGTTGCAGGCACAGTTCTCCGTCAACTGAATCAGTGCGAAATCCCAACAACTCGAAAACTTGTTTGATGATAGGGCTCCAGCCCATTTTCTTCCTGAAACCTTCTCGTTCAACCCGCAACATGCGCATTTCTCCCTTCCACAGGTTATTTTCAATGGCCCTTATCATGGATGAGTTGGAGAACAGACGGAGGAGAATCACAGAGGCTCACATCAACAATGTTTCCATCCCCATCGCGGTAGCTCGCTCCGAGGACCTGCCAGGCGGTGGGTTCGCCACCTTCTCGTCCACGAACTTGTCGAAGAGGGATCTAGGAATGACCGCGGGGATGACCGGAGAGCGAACGAGATAAAATGTACATTGGCAACACACATACAAGTCGAACAAGGACCCTTCGTCGTCGTCCACGTCCATGGCATCATCCCCGAATGTCGTTGCCGCCCATCGGTCAGGATGATAAGGAACATTGAGCAGCCGCGCGTCAACAGCCTTTTCGTATCGATGGATATGATGCGTTACATTGGCAGCCGACGGATCGACACAATTGTCCGGACTTCGCTGTGAGGGTCGTCGGGGTAATGGATGGTGTTTTGACGCTTCAAACGATGGCGCCAGCCTAGGGAGTGTGTCTGACTCGCCCCATTGAATGATGACCCAACCGTGGTCTTTGGGACAGTAAAGCGCATCTGGGTGCGGCTTTGATGCTCTGACTTCGTCAAACGTAGGTGCATTCGATGTAGCACCCGCAGCAGGGGCTAGTGCAGGCTCAGTGTGAGAGACAGACCACAGTGTGTGATCCGGATTGTGGAGGCTGTCCGCAAGAACGGGAGGCAAGATACCAGGGCCAGGTCGTCCCTCGATCTTCCGCTTCGTATCCCACCAGTCATCCTCCTCACTCATCTCCCGACCATCGATCGGAACCAGCGACGTGTAATCCGCAGCACTCCAAGACGGCCCGGTTGACCATGCCGATGCATCGAAGGCCACATTTTCATTGTAATCTGTATGCATTGTATCCTCGACCGGCACCAACGGAGGGATGTCATCGTCCAAGTCCATATGACTTGCAGGCCTTGATACTTTCGAAACAGACGCGCCGTAAGATGGTAGAGGGTCCGCCCATGATGCTCCTGACGTCCACGACGACTCTGCTCCCCCCCAGTGTGCCGTGGTGGAGGCTGCACTGCTGGGCCGCTCGTACACCACTGTGCGATTCGAGCCTAGATTCTGCGGCCGGGATGACGAGACTGTGGAGCCAGTCTTTGAAGCATAGAAGCTCGAGGCCGGAATGACCGTCGAATCCGTTCTCTCTGAAGGAGCTGGTGGTTCAGTGATCGATGTGTCGGAGGATGCTGACTCCATCTCCGTCGACGAGGAGGTCGTAATCGCGGCTTGGTGAGCTTGAGTAGGTTGCGGCGCAGCAGAAGTGCTGGAAGATTCGTCTGCTGCGATCGACGGCTGCGCGCGCGCCTGCGTAGTGCCAGGCGTTGGAAGCGGCCGCCGTGACGGTGATGTTTTGAGATTTTCTTTGTCGTCCATCAGCTAAGAGTCCACTGCAAGGCTGGTCAAAGGTATCGAAGGAGGGATATACGACGATCGCGAGTGTCGAGTAGACTACTCGGAGTGCGTCACGGTCAAGAGAGCGGAGTGTGGCTGTGATTGGCGGCCGTATCAAAATCAGCGGCGCCATCTCGGGTTCATATACCCGTATGTCTCGAATGTACAGTACAAAACTACACAGTTTCCCTTTTATTTTTTTCATTCCACCTTGATCAGCAATTTCCCGGTGGTCTTGCCGCTAGTCAAGTCCTGCTGTGCCTCGATCGCAGCGTCTCGCGTGAAAGCGTATTCTTTGTGGATATTGATTTTCAACGCGCCTGACGCAACCAGAGAGAACAGCTCGGTTCTGTATTTGTATATCTTCACAAATATCAGCCCAACCACTTCCGCGGGATCAGATGAGGACCAACCTCCTCGGGAGTGAAGCAGTAGTTGGCCACTCTGTTACAGTTGCAACTCTTCAGATGGACCGGTCAGTAGCTTAGAAAGACCGACTCACGTCGGACGGAGAATCTTCAGGTTCTTCTCCACCAATCGAAGAGGAGCAAAAGGAGCAACGGGTCCAGAAGCATTACCGACGCACACCATCGTTCCCTTGCGCTTCAACAATTTGAAATTGTTGTCGAACGTGTCTTTCCCCACGCCATCGAAGACGGCGTCGACGCCCACTCCATTGGTGAGCTCCATGACGCGTGCAACGGTGTCTTCCGTCTTGTAAAGTATCACGTGGTCAGCCCCATGCGCTTTGGCCAATGCCGCTTTCTCGGGTGTCGAGGTCGTTCCGATGACAGTGGCACCGCGGGCCTTGGCCAACTGGGCAAAGATCAGGCCGAGCCCCCCAGCAACCGTATGCACGAAGATCGTCTCTCCTTTCTGAACGTTGTGAGATTCCGTGACGAAAGTGAGTGCAGTGAGGCCCTGCAGTAAGGCCGCTGCTCCCATGCTCGTCGAGACGCCCTCGGGCAGCACACTCGCATATTTCCAAGGCAGCGAGACATAGTCGGCGTGCATGCCAAAGGTGCCACAACCCTGTTCCATGCTTCGTCCAAGAAACTTGACACAAAACTTGAAGGCGCACCACAGCAACCTTCGAGCCAACGGTGAAGCCCCGCTTCTTGAAATCGGGATCCTCGAGAACAGCAGGATCTGTTGGAAGCTGGACGACAACGCCGGCTGCCTCCGTTCCAATCACAGCCGGGAACTCCTTCGAAGGGTACAGTCCTTTTCTGATTCGGATTCGGATTCAGCTGCATGAAGGGATGGAAAGCAGAGAAGTTTCTACCGCAGATACTGGAAAGGACATTCAACGTTAGCGATTCCCGACAGACTTGTGTTCTCACAGTATCGATGAAGTTGATTCCAAGGTACTCGTTCTGTCCAACGTCAGTTCTAATCACTGCGCTTCTCAGGCAATGTATATGACCTTGACGACGATTTCGCCGGGAGAGACCTTCCGTCGAGAAGGTCAGATGATGCCTTGGCTTCATCGAGCGCGTCGACTCACTTTCAACGGAATAGTCAATTTCTGATGAGCACATGCGTGTTTTGTTATCAGGGATTCAAGATAAGGGTGATCTCCAGCTGGCGAACCTCCAGTACATCGAAATCGCCAGGCTTGCATGGAGCGATTATCAGTGGTCTCCCTCTCTCTCACGAGGTTCCAGCACCCACCTGATTGAAAGCGATGGCCTGTTTAGTTGCAGGGACGGACATCTTCGTGGCAAAGAACTTGAGGGCGCTTAAAGGTCCTGGTGGAGAGCGAGCTCGCCGCGGCAGATGATGGAGGTTGCGGAACAAGGTAAGAAGTGACATAGGGAAATCATCTCCTTATAAAGCAGTTTCACTCTCTCGTATGCGGTCTGACCGGGGACGACTTCGCTATCTTGTAGTATGAGTAAGTAAAGAAGAAGATGGACGACGATACCATCTTGCGTGCGCTTGTCATTCTAATTACGCGATTTCTCGAGGATATGTGTGATAAGGGCTGGCCTGGGGGGCATCCAGACACTCCACTTTCAGATCGGACTGATAATATTCCACTAAGGACATGCATACACGACTCGCATCAGTTTCAAACACGAAATGCAGTACGGAGAAGAGCATATATGATCTGCAGTTGCGAGTCTTGTTGGACCATCGTGGTCCTCTGCTCGCGCAAGGAATCGACTTCCTGGGCAACGACGTCGCTGTCAAGAGCGGATGGCAAGGGACCCAGTGGCGAGTCAGCCGACAACTCGTCAGGGAAGCTGGGTTTGGAGAGAAAGCCATAGGAACGGAGAATCGAGGAGAGAGCAATGAAAGTTCCGGTCCGGCCAACACCTGCACTGCATCCGACCACAATCGGTGGATCAGGGTCGTCCGAATCGTTTCTATTCGAACTATCCACCAGACGAAGGAAAGCCATTAGACCTTCTTCGTCTTTCCCTTCGGGGACGCCATGATCGGGCCACGCTGTGTAAAATAGATGATGGAAGATGACTGTCTTGCTTTCGTCGCCTTCAGGAAACATGGAAACAGTGGATTTGATGCAGCACGCTTCTTCGATCTGCTCAACCTGGAGCAATCTCAAACTCAACGCAGGGCTTTGATTTCCTGCCTCCGGTGAGTGCACGCGACTCTGGCCGACTCTGGTTGGCAGATATTCGTGCGCCTTTCTTCGATCGCCCTCGATGAACGGTGTAAGCTGAGCAATTGTCCGTATTCGTGTACTTCTCGGTCCATCCGTCGTCCGTGAGGGGAGGGTCGATGGATATTGGAGCAAGGACAAGAACGCGTGGAATGTCTGCGGTAAAGGGGCTTGGGCTGCGATCCACCATTTGTGACCGAATCTTTCAAGTACCCATGATGCATTCAAGTATCGCTGCAATTACGTTGAGGTTAGCGAATTGCAAAGATTATGCACGCACCTGAGAGTCCCTCGGGTCAAGAACGCGCGTCCTGTCGTATGGAACGATATCACAATACCGGTTCTTCCGTTCATGATCAGGATGGGTCCCTTGTGCGATCGAATAGAAGTCAAAGATGGGCCGAGGAACGTCTTTAGGTGGATTTTGGAGTCCTTCCAGATGGTAACTGCGAATGGCCTGGCGAGCACGTTCCCGTTTCCTCAAAGCTTCATGCACAATCTTCTGCTGTTTCTGGGAGGTGAAGTAGCTGGTGATCCAAGACGGTGTGGAAACGCGGTGTTCGACTTGCATGGCGACGTTGGATGGGAGTGGACAAGGACGCATCTGGTAAGATTGGGATTTGATTGACTGACTGCTGGTCACGCATGTACATGTGCCAGGCGATAGTTATAATTGGATGTCCTTTGACCTGTTTGGCAGCATTGAGTAGGAAATCTACAGGCCAAGGAAGTCCGGGGCAGAACTTTAAGGTACCGCAGACGACACAATCACGTAATCAACGATAACGTGACGGACAATCTGAATCTCTTGACGGTTTCAATTGACTTACTGCCCCCATCTCGCTGATCCGCCTCCATGTCTCGGACACTGAGAATGCAGGGCATACGCTGTACTGGGGCTCCCTCTTCTCTCGTTGACGACTATCATGCCTGGAGTCCAGGCCTCCTCCTCCTCGAAGTTCTCTTTCAAGCCTAAGCAAAAGTATCATGAATTCTATCCCCCCGCTCCGAACGTCTTCCTTGCCACCGGCATCATCATTCCGGTCCTCAAGCAAACAGACTATGATGCTTCTCAATGTATACACTCTGCCTACTTGAAAGCTACCCACCAACAGCGGGTAGACGGCTGGAAACGCCGTGTGATCCGGGACTCATTAGATCTGCGGAGATTCTCGTGGGCTGAGCTTCAGGAGGGAGAGGGTGTCGACGACGGAGAGTGCCAGTGCGGAGAACATAGCTGGAGGAGTCAGTCCGCGTGCGGCGAGCAGCCTGCTAGCAGCAGACGGAGAGGGGAGAAGCCAGGACGACATTGTGACGCCAATAGGATGATTCGATATGAGGTGGAGGACTCAGCACTTTTCTTCTCCACAAAAACAAGCTCCTCTCCCTCGTCTCCTTCTCGCCGCACGTCTGTTTCCTCTTTCTGCTCTGGCCAATCAACATCTTCCGCCAGCTCGCAGCATTCTTCCATCACTAGCTTCAATCCCTCTATGGACGAAAAACCGGCGGAGTCTGAGGCCGAGCAGTCGGCGTCTCCATCGATGTCATCGAAAGCGAGTAGAAACATGTCCAAGCGAGTGGCCGGTGCTTGGAAAGGTTTTGTTACTGTCAGACCTGTCTTTCACGTGCCACATACTTTGTCTCATCCGCGGTGCAGAACTTCACAGACGCATTCACTGTGCCCGATCCAATGCCAGGAGTTGACCCTCTTCCAATGATGCGGGATACGGCACGCCGTCAACTGCCTGCAGCTTTCGCAACCTTGAAACAGGGAGAGAAACGGACGAGGTTCTTATGTCCTCGTCGGGAGAGCACGGATGCCCTGTGGCCAGTTTTTGTGAGCAACCACACCTCTAGCTGCTCGCATGCCATTGAGCTGTATCAGGACGAGAGAGAAACGAATGAATTGCAATAGTATTAAGGTACAGAGATGATAGCGATTATTTAAGGTCCATTGCTAGAACAAAACAAAAGCAAGCCAAGGAGCGGGGTTCAACGCAGTCCATCATGGCATTTGAGAGGCATCTGACGGAGGATCGCTCAAGGTCAGTGTAAATGGCAGCAGTCTCTGCAAGGTCTGGTTGCGATCCCGGATTACAGACGCCAGGGCCGCAGGGTCGTGCATCATCGTCTGCTTGATATGTATTGGCTGGTGTGTGCAGGAATCCACGAGTTTGATTAACGCGGTCCAACAAACCTTTCGAGGGAAAAAAATCATTGAGATTGGCTGGGAACCGCTCTGAAGAAGCGACTCACGGAAAGAACGGGATCGAGATATTCGCAATCTTCCGGAGTCAAGTCGTTGGTGATGCTCATGATTTCTAAGCATGCATCGATTCTCGAGGCGAACATCTCCTTGTTCGATTCTTCGAACACTTGGGTCAGTGTGATTCGGGCCGTCATCGTCAGAATCATGCAGACTTTGATGCTCAGCATGATGAAGCGCAACTTCGGACAGAAAGAACCCTTGTTCAGCGTCAACGAAAGGAAGCTCCGATGCACGGCAATGGATTCCATCAATTTCCACAGTTGTTCGTGCCAACCAGTGAACAATGCTTCCGCTGAAACAGATTCAGCAGATGTCCGGATAAATGAACCCCATTCATACGTGAGCTTTTCCCGGGGTATTCTTTAGCCAGCTGCTGCGCATCCCAGAGAAGCAGTGCACTTTTGGCGCGAAGGAAATTGACCTCGGCGTTTGAACGTGGTCGGTCCTTTTAGAACAGTCAGACAGAATGGACCGCCGATGCAAGTATTGGGACCTGCCATTTGGTCCCTTAGTCGGTCCCGAGCACCCTCGCAAAGCAACGAAGGAAGTTTCAGAATGAGCATGTGCACCAGATCCAGATACACGATTTGAGCAATCGCGGCTTCGGCCTGATCTGCCTTGGTCTTCGGTCCGGCTGAAAAGCCCCAACTGGGCTCTGCGGGCTCTGGTTCCTTTTCAGAATCTGGGCCCGATAGTGTCTCCATCCATCCAGTCTCCTGCAAATGCCTGTACGCGTTCTCAATCATGTCTCGTGCTCGAACGAGATCGCCCTTGTTGAAGAAGTAGCTCGACATGAGCCCAAGTGTCTGCAAATACGACACCGTCGAAGCATCTTTCATTGCACCAAGGCAAAGCTGAATCTGCTCCGCTTCGCGGTCGCTCTGGCCGGGTAATGGTACCCAAGTCCCGTGTTGTAAGTGCCGAGCGAGCATATAGCCGAGTAGCTGACAGGCGTGGAGGAGGACAGGATGCATGTGTTCTTCGTCGAGCGGTTTCCCATGCTTCAGCGCTTCCAGTGCCGATTGGGGCACGCTCAGCCCAAATTGACAACGATGATTCAAGAACAGCTTGCGACTGTGCTCGTGTGAGAGTTGACAGCGGGATAATAATCATTCATACATCGTCACCAATTCATCCTCCTTGTCTTTTGGAGTCTCGGGTAACGAGTAGACTTGCCCCTGCACCTCTGACTCGAAGATGAGATCGAATGTCGGAGTGTCAGGTTTTGGAGGATCATTCTTGCGCATATTCTGGAATTGACCGACCAAGTCTCGATCCTCCGCGAAGTCTACGAACAGTTCTCGCCTGCACGGGTCATCAAAAGTAATTCCGACCATCCGAATCCAAGACACTTACGCCTGAGACAAATCAGAGAAGGTGATGTAGTCAGGCAATTCGGCATCGACGAAGGGACTGGGGGAAAATCCACGAGAAGTGATGCAGCGGAAATGCTCATCCACACTAGAAGGTGAAGTATCGGATAGAGTGGACGAGGAGGCGCTGCTCCCCGAAGAGATATCCAGTAGTGGCGAGGCGTTGGGGGTTTCTAGTCTTCCGGGAGATGGACGGCGAAGAGGCTCAACATTGTCTGCGTATGTGCAGGGAATGGTATGCCGGCCTGCAATGCAGGTTCGGCAGGGCAGCATTCCGTCGCAGCGCTGATGGACGAAAGTTCAGCGAGAGGTGAGGGCTGCGAACAGACCACACACATACTCACCTTTTTCTTCTTTCTGCAATGGAGAGTAAGTCGCCGTTGGCACCTGCGATCGTAAGAGTACTCGCCGACAAGGGATACATGCAGCACCCTTCTTTAACTCCATCCCAAAACGACCCTCCTTCGCACCATCGGGATAGTTACATGTCGAATTCGCGGCGGAGCATTTGTTGCACGGCTCATTTCCGTCGCAGCGCTGCACAAGAGGATGAGAACGAAGACAAGGGCTATTGATGGAGTCGCCGCACGGTCTTCTTCGATCGACACCGTGCGCAAGTCCCAGTTTTGAGTTGTACAGGGGGCATTAGTTGGAGAGTGTGATGTAGTCTGAATGTTGAAGAGAGTGATTTGCAAGTTGAAGACAAGTTAGGCGTAGATTGCTGATCTCCTGAATAACGAGCGTAGTGCCAAGTCTTGCTACATAAGTATCTTGCTAAGTATAGCACCCAAGGGGGATATTATGAAAGGGAGATTACTAATGAGAAGATACATTTATCCGTTGATCCGTTCCCAAATAGGCCATCGGCTCGCGGAGCCTGGTAGTGTTTATCCGAATTCGAACGCACAGCCTAGACAATGTTCGTCGTTGAAGATGCCTGGAGCTCACAGTCGCATTGATAATACGTTCTGAAGATAAATATGAGAATATGATGCCCAAATTAGGACCAGATATCGATCACATGACCTAGTTATACTTACGCGCCCTTCAACTTGAAAAACGGCCAAGAGAGCCCGTCGAACATGTGCGTCTCGACAAATCAGATCGTAATGTAGCTGTCATCCAATTTGGATCAGGTTACAGACATATGCCACGTGATCCATGAGCGAGCAAGCGAGCTCCATTCGGGCACGTAGCGCGGCTTTTAACTTGTATCCGACAGATTCGAAGCAAATCCCTGCCCTACAGGCGAGGATCATATGTTTGTCCAATGATCCCGAGACCATTTGTGCCTTCAGCCCTCGAGGGAAACACTCGCCGGTCTCTGATATCCCTTGTCTTCTCTCCCTTCGAATTCTTGTAGCTTCGAATTCTCTTCCTCGTGGGCTGTCGTGAATAAGTGAAGATTTGAAGAGTAGTTACGTGGCCAAGGAATCGCCCCATCCTGGCCCGGTAGTCTCGCATCAAGCATCGGCATGTCGCGGAAATAGGGATATCTACGCGATCAACTATCGCTTCCTTTTGTACCCCGACCATGTCCCAGTCCTTGCTCTCTCCCGATATATCGATCAGGCGAGTGAAACATATGCCGACGTGTGCGATGGAGAAGCCTAAGTGCCTCGCAGGGTCAGTTCCACGCTAGACAAATCTGTGGGCAAGAAACATCTCGTTGACAACAACCCGGAAACATGCTGGACATCTCAACAAGTAAAACCCCGATCCGAGATATGTTGCCAGCTGAGACTGATTCTCAGGGCCTGCCACAATATGTTCAGTTCACGTTCCCACAACCTGTCGTTCCTCAGATCGTCGAGTTTACATTCCAAGGCGGATTTGTTGCCACGCGATGTGTCATCAAAGTGGCCGCCGGATTAGAAGAGTGGAAGATTGCCGCAAGGATCTATCCCGAAGACACAAATCGGCGTCAGTCATTCACCGTAAAGGCCCACGATGGAGCGGAGGATCCGATTGTCGGCGGAGTGGACAGATTGAGACTCGAGTTCGAAGAGAGTTCCGATTTCTTCGGTCGTATTACTTTGTACGACTTGAAAGTTCTTGGAAGTCAGATGGACTGAAAAAATCTGTGTCGGAAATCGATTGTGGACGTGAGACGTGCCAGCACACTTTATCGACAGCGTTTCGAGTGTTCTGTGACATTTCGCCTTATTTTACTTGAGCTGAAGGTAAACGCACGAGTTTTCCTCATGTCTTGATTGCTGCCTCACTTGTGATAAAAATTACCGGCTGCTTGTCGATGCTGATATTCGTGAAACGTCCTCACATGGTATGCAGGAATTCGGATTTGTATCTCGAAGAAAGAAATCTCACACGGAGATGAGGAGTCCTGATCCATGTCGATCCCTGGCCAACCTAAAAACCAGAATCACGTCAAGAAAGCCGCCATCACCGGATCACCTGACCGCGTTCTGGGCAGCTCTCGGACACACTCGGTCAACTCTTGATTATACTGTATGCGTCGGAGCGTCGAAATCGAGCACTTAAAGTCTTCGGTCCTCACATCGATCCGTGTTTCCCAAAGTGACCGCCCCAAATGCTATTCTCAATCTGTCAGAATGAGCGGTGATGTCATTGGGACTGTATAAATACCACACATGCCCTATATGATTAGGCTCTGTCGCCATTTCCGTTCTTTCGCGGTCTCCTCTTCCCCCCGGCACTTCAAACTCCGCACGATGTCAGAAGATCCTGTATTTCGCGTCGCCTTACGCGGCGATGAACTCCTCAACAATCCCCGCTTCAATAAAGGAACTGGCTTCACCATCAAGGAGCGCAAAGCGTTTGGGCTGACTGGGCGTCTTCCATCCAGAGTGCGTCAATTGGGAGTGTGCGATCGGACAAGATATGATCCTGCATCAGGTAAACACCCTGGATGAGCAATGTGAGCGGGCATACCAGCAGTTGCAGAGTCGTGATGCGCCAATCCGGTGTGTAGGCCGCGATATCAACACATATCTATGCTGACATTTTGGCTCTCAGGAAAAACTCTTTCCTGCAGAGTCTGAAGACCCAGAACATCGTGTTGTACTACACTTTGCTTGCCAAGTGAGTTCAGTCAGTCGTACAGAGGGTCGTTCTAGCTGCTGACGCACGGGCCCCAGACATCTGCGAGAGCTCATGTGGGTTGCCCTTCCTCTATCCACGCATCTCTTGCTGATGAGTGCTTAATGTAGTCCTATCATCTACACGCCAACAGAGGTGTGTGTCTGTTCCGTGCATGTATCCGGTGTCCTTGAACGATCTTTCTAGGCAGAAGCTATCTCAGACTATTCCCACTTGTACAGACGCAGCGAAGGCTTGTATTTGACCTTCGACAATCAAGATAGCATGGAAGAGGACTTCCTCGAGGTGTGTTCCAGGTGTGATTCCCCCGATAGTCAGTGACATCCGCTCAGCAAACTCGAGGAGTGAATATCGATCTGGTTGTGTGCTCCGATAGTGAAGCGATATTAGGAATCGGGGACCAGGGCGTCGGGGTGGGTCCTCCGTTCCCAAACGAAACCAAACGTGTTCTCACGAATGCAATGTGACCTCCAGGGAATCGGGGTGTGTGTGGGTGTAATTCGATTTGTCGTTCACTCTGATTATCGTTCAAGATTTCTTCGGCGAAATCTGTGATTTACTCGTATGTAGGCTCACGGGTGATCCGGGTGTGGTACTAAAAGTCGATTGTCAGACTCATCGGGGGCATCAATCCTGCTTGTGCTTTGCCTGTCGTTCTCGACGTGGGAACTGACAATGAGCAATTATTGAATGATCCACTCTATGTCGTACGTGATCTGCTATAGAATCAGATGGTCTGTTCAATTGAGCCTTCCAGGGATGGCCGCACAAACGGGTGAGAGGCGAAGAATACGACAAATTCATCGACAAATTCGTCCAACTTGTTCGGAAGGTACTTGCTTCTCATAGCTTCGTGCTTAATCTCCACTTAAAACTTTCCATAGTACTTCCCGCACAGTCTGCTCCATTTTGAGGACTTCGGAGTGACTAACGCCCAGCGTATCTTGAGACGGTACCGAGATAACCACGCTGTGTTCAACGATGATATGTCAGGCCGTGATAATACCCATCTTTGTTCAGACGCTAATGGATTTGTTCAGTCAAGGCACTGGTGCTGTGACGCTTTCTTGCATCATGGCCGCTGTTGGTGTTACCAAGACGCAATTGGCGGATCAGCGCTACATCATATACGGTGCTGGATCGGCTGGACTGGGTGTGTAACTGGTATCTCTCTCTCTTCCTAAGCTAAACGATTACAACAGGGATCGCTCGCCAGCTGCGCGACGCGATTGTAGCGATGGACAACGTATCAGTGGAGGAAGCGACTTCCCGCTTTTATCTTCTCGACAAGCATGGCCTGATCAAGCAGTCCTTGGGACCCAACAACATCCGAGATGACCTGAAGGAGTTTGTGAGAGCTGACGAAGAGTGGAACAGTTCCGAAGAGATCGGACTACTGGAAGTTGTGAAGAAGATCAAGCCAACGGTGATGATCGGCACGTCGACTCATGCTGGAGCCTTCACCGAAGAGGTTATCAAGGCGATGGCTGAAAACTGCGATCGACCCATTATTCTTCCGCTCTCCAACCCCAGCAAGCTGGTAGAAGTTGACCCCAAGGACGCGAATGACTGGACCAAGGGCAAGGCGCTTCTTGCGACCGGGAGCCCGTTCCCGCCTGCCAAAATGCCGAATGGCAAGGACTACGTTATCGCCGAATGCAACAGTGAGTTCATTCCTAGATGATCGAAATGTTGCTGACGATTATAGATGCCCTGATCTACCCGGGACTTGGCTTGGGAGCGATCCTATCCAAATCCAAGTGCATGACCGACACGATGCTCATCGCAGGTGCCCGACGACTTGCTTCGCTTGCGCCAGCCTTGAAAGATCCGGACGACGCTCTTCTCCCCGACTTTGCTGACGCACCTGCCGTTAATCTCGAGGTTGCGATCGCAGTCGCAGAACAAGCGATACAGGAAGGCAGTGCTGAGGTCTCATGGACCAAGGAAGAGGTCAGAGAAAAGGTGCAGCAGGGTTTGTGGCGTCCAACGTACGGGGAATATGTGTATGACAAGGACGGAATGCAGTAGAAGACAAACATTCTCTAGATAATCTGTACGATAGAACTTGGGACAATATAAGTACTAGGAATCAGACACTGGAGTCAAGCTCCCGTGACATCCAGCAAGTGACGGGACGGCGTCACGACCCGATTAGTCCATTTCGTCATCCCTGTCGCAGAAAGTGTCCACCCACCACCACTCAACCTTTGGCACGCGCAGTGGACGCGTAATTTCGAATGTGGGAGAGGACATTGCAAGATCTCATTCGGGGTCTGCGCTCGAACAAGAAAGATGAAGCCCAATTTATCGCAAAGGCGGTGGACGAGATTCGTATTGAGATCAAGAGTGACGATATGGAGCTCAAGGCAGGCGCGGTCCTCAAGCTTACCTATGTGCGCAAATTCCATGGCTTTCGTTGCTCTTGGTGTATGCTCAGTCGGACTTTTGTCACAGCTCGAGATGCTCGGGTATGACATGGGCTGGGCATCGTTCAATGTAGTGGAGGTCATGTCTTCGCCGCGCTTCCACCTCAAGAGTGTGGGATACCTTGCCGCCGTTCAATCTTTCGACCAAGAGACGGATGTTCTAATGTTGACCACGAATCTACTAAAGAAGGTGCGTGCGCATGCCTCCCGCAGCAACCCTTGTTCCAACGTTCAACGCACGGCTTAGGACTTGACGTCTACCCCCGCAGACATTGCCATTACTCTCAACGGACTCTCGCACATTGTCACCCACGACCTTGGACGCGATCTATCCTCGGAGCTGCTCACCATGCTCACACATTCCCGAGCAAATATCCGGAAACGCGCTATTCTTGCCCTTTACAAAGTCATGATTCAGTACCCGGACGCCGTTGCGCCTGGGATAGCTCGCCTGAAGGAGAAGTTGGAGGATCCTGACCCAGGTGAGTAATTGATGTATACGCTCTGTGTGTTCTTCCGTCAAACGCCGATCATCTCAGGTGTCGTCGGAGCGACGGTCAATGTGCTTTGTGAACTTGCTCGACAGCATCCCGAGGATTATCTAATCATGGCACCTCAACTCTTCCACCATCTGACCACCTCCTCCAACAACTGGATGCTCATCAAGATTATCAAGCTGGTATGTGCTCTTCGATTCCATGTTATCGAGCAAAATGACACCAGTAATAGTTCGGAACCCTGTGTCCTCACGAACCTCGTCTCGTGAAGAAGCTCCAGCCCCCGATTACTGACCTGATCTCGACAACGCCAGCAATATCTCTCTTGTATGAATGTGTGCACACCTGCATCATCGGTGGAATGCTTCAAGGGTCTTCTGGCGACTCACTTGCGAGATTGTGCGTCTCAAAACTGGCTGCGTTCATCGAAGACTCCGATCAGAACTGTTAGTGTCTTACTCAGCCATTCTCCTGGGCTCTGACTGCTCTTTGTCAGTGAAATACATCGCGCTGTTGGCTCTGGTGAAAATCGTACCTTCGCATCCTTATCTCGTGGCGGAGTATCAAGACACCATCCTTGCAAGCGTGAATGACCCCGACATCAGTATCCGGATGCGAGCTCTGGACCTCGTCTCAGCCATGGTAACGCCGTTCTTGAGTACCCTGAACTTGATTTCACAAATTTCAGGTTACCAGCAATAATCTGCAAACAATCGTTCAGCAACTTCTTACGCATCTAGTTTCGGATTCGCCGGGAACAACCGATGCAGCCGCTTCTCTGGCGAAACACACCATGCATTTGTCACCCACTACTGCCCATGTTCACGACATTTCACCCAGCCAATCTCCAGCCTACCGCTTGACGCTGGCCCAGCGGATCATCACGCTGTGCTCACAGAACATGTACGAACACGTGACCAATTTCGAGTGGTACCTCTCCGTCTTGGTGGATCTGTCGCAGGTCGCGAATGTGGATATCGGTCCCCAGATCAGGGATCAGTTGGTAGACGTCGTAGGCAGGGTCAGAGGCGTGCGCCGATCTGCCGTCAAGCTGATGCATGCTCTTTTGTGTGACGAGACGTTGCTGCACAACGCTCGGGAAGAGGGCAGCTGCTCCGAGGTGCTGTGGGCAGCTGCCTGGATCTGTGGTGAATATTGCAGGTGAGGCAACTGGTTTCGCATCCCGCACATATCTTATCTCGCTGCAGTGAGCTTGCGGACCCACAAAAACTGCTTCCGTATTTGTTGCAGCCAGGGATCGCGACCCTGCAATCGGATATCATCGCGGTCTACATCCACGCCTCTTCCAAGATCTTCGGATACTGGGCTGGTCAGGTGGCAGAACGGTGGGACGAGGAAGATCTGGTCGAGGTGAAGAGCGCGGTGGAGCTCATACTGAGCAGCGTGAGCGAGTTTGTGAGCAACACAGACGTTGAAGTTCAGGAGCGAGTGCGTTTGTCAACTCTCACGTTCGTTCTCCGTTGTGTTGAACCCTGTTTCAGGCTGCCAACGCGCTCGAATTGTTCACTTTCGTGCAAGCCGATCTAAATACGCACAAACCACGAGCACCTACAGACAGCAACAACCCTTTCGCTGGAGCGCCTGCATCTCCATCGGACGACGACCTCCGCTTCCCAAAGAGCATGTATCTGATCCAACCGCTGCACGACGCTTACGAACTCAATCCCGTCGCGGCGCTCGCTCAAGCAAGCGTGCCAATTCCGGAGGGCCTCGATCTGGATGTGTGGTTCGTGGCACCTCCACCTGAAGCTGCGCGGCCCGATGCAGAAGCAAAGGCCCGGAAAGTCAAGAAGGGCAAGGGCAAAGAGATCAATGGGGGTAAACTCAAGAGCAAGAAGAAGCCCAAGGATGCAGACGAGGATGTGGACGACCATCGAGTGGAATCGGCGGAAGAGGCGTTGGAGCGAGAAAGAGTGAGTCTCGATGATGTATTGGCTTCCGGTTCCTTACCGGCTCCTTTCAAGCGAACGGCGGAGCGACGAGAACGACAGAAGGACGACCCATACTATATCCACGGAGATCGGGGCCAGTCGAGCTCAAGTAGGCTCGCCGATGACATTGACTCCATCCCGGTTGTGCGGCTGGATGACATGCCAGCCCTTCCACCAGGCAAGAGCAAAATCTTGGCCTCGAGCCGACGGCGATGCTGACCTCCATCGTAGACGAAAGCAGGTTACTTTCCTCTGCAAGGCATGCTGCGGCGCCCACAGTGGCCTTTTCCGTGGACCGGAATGGTGAAATGCCGCAGGGTGCGACGCCACCACCGGTGTCTTCCCCACCGGCGTCTCGCACGGTCACAAGATCAGGCACACCAGTCACGATCTCGTCTTTCCCGGAATACGACCTGGCGGACGACGTGCGAGCCAACACACCCGAGCCAATTGCTGTGACACGGACGAAGAAGAAAACAACAGGGAAAAAGAAACGGACACAGCAGCCTTCATGACATGCATCGGATTATTACTTATACAGAAAGCAGGCAGAGTTGTTGTATGTGATGGTGGGGAAATTATGCGAGTGCTATCATCGTTCGTCTTCGACATGCTCAACCGAGTCCACAATCTCGTTCACGAGCTCCATTGTCACCCCAGGGATGATCCTCTCGGCGTCCGTGAATGCCCGCTGCAGAGCACTCAGCGCAACTCTTGCTTCTTGCGAGGACACACGCGGGAACAGCTGTCCAAGTTTTCAATATAGGGTTTAAACAATGTTGAAACAAAAGAACAGCCACGCACCGACGCGATCGCAGGCAGGATGACAGAGTCCAGCATGGTCGTGTCCGGCAGATCATCCTCGAGCTGCACTTGGCTGACCTTGTCCGCTAGATGCGCTGCTGCGTATTCGTCGTCTTCGAAATCCTCGTCGTACTCGTCTGACGGTTGACGCTGACCAGACATGTGGCTTCCTCGGCCATCCGATGGCATGTGCCGGACTGTGGCCTGTTGATCGACTTGTCGCGGCAGGGGCGGAAGCTCGCCCTTGACCGTGATGGAAGAGCTCGAAGAAAGGTACGTGCTGGACGACCCTGAAGATACGGATGAGTTCTCAGCGCGTCTCTTGCCGTCGTTTTCCCAGGTGAGAGGAGGCCCAGACACTTGCACCGGATTCTGTTGCGCCCGTCCGACAGTTGCAACATGGCGCACTGTCCCAAAGTCCCAGAGATCTTCTGGATCGCCACTGGCAGGACTGTGACATAGCATCCGTCAGTCACCATCCCAAATAGAGGAATGAACCCTGACACTTCTGGCACGGCGCGGTAGTCGTCTTCGTCACGACCGTCCCCTCCCTCAGCCTTCCATCGCTCGTGTCGTTCGATCAGTTCTGTCAGATAGCTTGTCTTCTTCGCCATGCGCACGAATTTGTGCTTCAGGAGGTCCCGAGCAGATGGCCGCTGCTCGTGCATCAGCGCACGAAAGACGTTCTGTTTGGCATGGAACTTGCATCGCGAGGATCACGCTGAAGGCAGTATGACACGAACTCCCGGAACGGTTTCGAGAAATTGCCTTCTAGGACGGGTGGTGGGTTTTTCGGAATCAGGAACAGTACCTGTCCATGGTTAGATATCCACATGTTCGTTAACCACTGGAGCACGTGCCTTCATGGGATGCAATTCCGCATATGGCGGCTCGCCCTTGGCCAGTTCGATTGCGGTGATACCCAGACTCCAGATATCAGCCTTGTGATCATACCCACTCTGCTTGATGACCTCAGGAGACATCCAATATGGTGTACCGACGAATGTGTTCTTCTTCGCAGAGAGCGTCCCCGAAAGCTGACCCGAGACACCGAAGTCGGCCAATTTGACCTCGCCTCCCGCGGAGAGGAGGATGTTGGCGGCTGTGAGCAGAATGAGCAAGAATCTCGGGAAGTACGCGTGTGACAGTAGCGCACCCTTGATGTCCCGATGGAGCTTTCCCTCGCTGTGCAAATACTCCAGGCCCCGCAATAACTCCCGCACTATGATAGCGATGTACTCCTCCCGGAAGACACCGGGTTTCATCTGCGCAAGATTTTAGAGTGGCCCGCGGCCCTCAATAAGGAAATTGACTTACCAAGTCTGAGCACGAGCCGCCGGAGCAATATCTGCGGGGCCAGTCAGGTCAAATGGAGGCGCATCGAACTCTCGGACAAACTCCATGACGATCCATAGATTGGATCCCTTCAGGTAGGAGCCATGATATCTGGTCTGCGGTGAGGACGGGCGCGAATGGAGAGCTAAAACGCACTTGGTAACATGTGGCGAGTCCAACTGGGAGAGAATCTGGATCTCCTGCTGGATATCCTCAATCTCGTCCTCTGCACTTTCTAGGTCGATGATCTTGATAGCGACCGTCTTCTGCGTCCGCTTGTCGTATCTGGCGAAACGCGCATTCGAGCGACGATGAACATAGGAGCGCGATGATGACCTACCCTTTGTAAACCTCTCCGAACGAGCCCTTTCCTACATCGTTCAGGTAGCTAAGGTCAGCACTGCGAAAGCGGGGTCGGCGGCGTGGAGGACGCACCGATCCGGTCTTGCTTGACATAGAACTCTTCGGGATCCTGGTTTTTGGTCTCCTGCGTGGGATGGACGCGTCAGATCGTGGGCGATTCGTCGAGGAAGCGACCCACCATGATGCAGACTGGGAGCTAGGTCGGCGATGAGGTTGTGAAGAGCGAGTTCGTGCTTCGTGTCACGTCGTAAGTTCGTATCCAAAGGCCTGGTTGCCGTTCGGAGGAAAGTGAAGTGTGGAGAGAGAGAGACTCAAGGAGAGCGGCGGGAGAGCCTCGAAGAAATGAGAAGAGAAAAAACGGCTAATATGATTGGAGAAGGGGAAGGTTTCGTCTTAATTTATTGAGTGCTCCTCGCGGTCAGACTTTCGGGGTGATTGTTTGTCTTCGTTGAATCGCTTGCCAGGTTGCTTCCTCATTTGGACATCTCGCGCTAACCGCATGTGCACTCACAGCGCGTGCTACTTCTCGAGCTTAATACGAATTTGTGAACGGAATAAACGACCAGAAATGCAGTACAGCGTGTCCGACAACATCGATGATGTCACTCATCCCCATGTTGCCCTGTTTCATTTCGCCATTTGCAATTTCCTCCGATCATCGACGCCGAGTCCTCTTTTGGGTCAGGGAGACAGTTGCTCTGGTACTCGCCCCGCTCGTATTCTGGCAACGTGTCGAGAGAGATCTCTGTGAACTGGTCTAGCGGAGCGAGCAGTTTCTTGTCGTGTGCCAAGTCTGACTTGTTCTTCTCCTGTCCCCCCTCACCGTCCTGTTCGACTTGAATCTTGTCTGGGATAGTGATAGGAGGGATAATGGGAATTTGGCATAGAGACGGTGGATGGAGCGACTGTCGAACGTATGATCTGTCTCCGTCCTGTTCCTCCTTCTGCCTGAATCGTTCTAGCTCGGCCCGGCTCAGTCCTTCGTAACCAAATCCAAGTCCACGGAATTTTTGAGTCTTGGCGAGTGCCTGAGCCTTTAGTTTCGCGTCGCGTTGCTGTTGCTTCTTGGCACGGCGTTCTTTCCACTTTTTGTGGATCCCAGGAGCAAAGAGGCAGATGGCGATAACCCAGAGCACGAATACGAGAAACGCGAGACAAATTATGATTGTTGTCGGGTCACTTGACAGTGTAGTATTTGCATGAGGATCGGAGGTAGCGACTTGTGAGTCTTGTGGTATAGGCGAGACAGAGGATGTGGGCGTGTTGTCGCGTCTTGAGCGTGATACAACTAACGGACTCATGGCGATAAAATGTGCAGTAGGGTTGTAAATAATGATGAAGATGAAAAACCTCGCAGAGGGCGTGCAGATAGAAGGCAGTTGTGCAAACGGAGATGGCAAGATGTGGCTCGAAGAAAGCTGAGTGAGGTATGGTACCCCTAATAGTGTCTGATCAACCGTTGGCGTTCTGATACAACACTGAATGCAAGCTTGAATAAAACTATGTTGCAGACAGAGGGACGAAATCGTTATCCTGATAATCTAGTCTTTCGATGCTCCTGACATATGATCAGAGAGTGCGAGCCCGATTCTGTAACGGAACGCACCGGGGTGTGTGATGTCTCATAATCTACATGCACGAACGCTCTCTCAACGTTCGGGAGAACTTCAATCTTGTCCTGCAGTGCTTGGCTGATATCGTGTGCTTTCGACAGCGGGGTGCTCGCGTCCATGACGATATCAATCTCGACGAAATAGTCCTGGATTCGAGTCAGTCAGAAAGCGTGCAGGGTACGGCTGAGAGCAGCTGCTGACAGGTCCGCTCTTCATTTTCATGAGTCAGACGGAATTGGACGGAAGGGAAGGTAAACGGACATGGTAAGCTCGTACAGTGTCGACCTTCTGGATCTCGGGACTAAATGTCGAGGACTTGTATACCAGGAGTTGAAGAAACTCAAACGGCGCTGATTTCCCCGCCAACAGCTCGAATTGACCGTGGATCGTCAGTATCCAGGAAACGATTACGCCTAGAGCAATCTATGTGGTGATGTGAGAACATGAAGTTGACAGAGAATCCAGGCTAACGATGATAGCACCCATCGGGTCCAAGTCTGGACAAAAAGTGAGATGCAAGCACAGGGCGACACATCAAGATATCATACACCATCGTAGTTTGCTGCCGCCACAAGACATCAATATACCTGGTCGGACTCAGATTTCAGACTTGACCATCAAGACGAAAGGACGGACCGAAGCCATTCACGAATAAATCGTTTCGGTGATCCTCCCAAAGGACATGGACTTGGCTCGATCTCTTCCTCAGAGAAAAACAGTACACGAACAGAACGAGTTTTGCCGCTAGGGCGTTTCCATACATCAAATGATCAATTACAGTGGCTGGATGTTGCTCACCCAGAGCTGCCGCGACTGCCAAGATGGAGGGCAGGAAGAATGTCTTCAGGTTGTCGTTTTTCTTGGTGATCAGCGACTGGACTGATTCCACGATGACTACTAGGTTAACAGAGCCCATACTAGCGATCGAGATCAGGCAATGGGCACGTGCTCGAGAGGACAACGAACAGAGAGCCTGCGAGCATTCATTTCAGAAGACAATCTCGAACGAGCGCGAGATCTGTACCATAAACAATATTTCCAATAGTTTCCAGGCGGGCTCCGCCGACAGGCCATTTGTTCTCAACTAGCCCATCAGCCTTCTTGTGGAGCCAGAAGAGGAGGATGTTGCTCCCGATGTCGAAGACCGCATCAATTGCCGTGGCAAGAATCGAAAGCGAGAGAGAAGAGATGGCGGCATACACTGTCGAAGCTTGTGAAATTCTGGAGACGCGTGAAAACGCGCGTGTTACATTGTAAAACGCAAAGACATGCATTAACGACCAGACTAGCCCACACAGCAATCTTGACCTGCTGTATGTTAAATCCTGTACTTGGCGTAAGATGTATTTGTTCAGACTGACCGGAAGGCGAGCAGCATCTTCCTCTGCGCGAGCATCCTCGGTATGCTCTTCCATGGGTTTCAAAAGATATTCGATCAACTTTCAGATCGAGTTAAGATTCACTCGGCGGGTCGAGCGCCGCATGCGAGACTCACAGTATTCTGATTGTCCTGGTAGGCCGCCAAACGCTTGCCTTTCCTCCTTCGTCGCAATTCATCGATCTCTGCCGGTGATTTCAACGCCGCTTTGAGGTGAAAGGGATCTGAATCCGAGTCCTGGGTAAGCCCGAGTTCCGGATCCATGGGCCTGGATACATCAATTACCACTGTGTCGGTCTGGAGTAACGTGGGCGTCGGCTCGGGCTTTTGCTTGGGAAGGTACGACTACTGACTGGATGGCTACACGTTCGGACTGAGGTACTCGAGATGGAGAGTCGTTTTTCGCTCATATTCAGAGTCGCTGGGCTGTAGAGAGAAGTTGTCGGTGAGACCCGAGGCAACGGTACACCAGGACTGAGGATTGATCAGTGCGAAGGTACCACTGTACTGGAGCGACAACCACGAACTCGGTCGAGGTTAGCGTCAACTCTATCACTGCTGCACTCGAGGGCAACTCAGAACAGACAAAACCGTTCCAGCTCAAGACCCTGGAACGATATCAGAGTTTGCCGACGCCTGTTGTCACGCCGTGTCGAACACTTCTTATCCTTATCTCCGTCAGTCAGTCGTTTCTGTCTCCGCCACTGCCCTCAGCGCTCAGCTCTCAAACAGACTTCATGCAAACCAGTGAATCCGACATGGCTGCTCTCTTCCCCATAATGCTACTCTTCGTCGGTCTTTTGTAACTCCCAATCCTTGACCAAGATCAGGACATTTTTGACACGCGGCCGTGCTTTGTATAGGACTTGCGCGTTATTTTGGTGTCTCCTCTCGTCGTGTCTCGGAACTTCGACCCGACAGGCTCTGAGCAATGTCTGGGAATATCTCTTACTTTCTTCAAGGAACTCTGGCGACAGCCCGTTGCGAATGAGGCGTCGGGCCGCCCAGGGTCGATTTGGCATGGCAGCAGAGGAGTGGGAGATGAATAGCATGCATCGAGAGTAGAGACGTTACTCGAAATAACAAGAGGACGACCATAGCGCGTTTGATCTGTTAGGGGGTGTTTTGACGTATAAAAGCTCGCCCCTCACCACCTTTCTGCCCGAGTCTCTCTTTCTCTCTCCACTACAACATCTAGGCACCCACATTCACGCGCGTCTCGCCCTACAAACTATTCAACCATGAAGATCTCTTCCAGCTCTTCAATCCTCCTAGCAACTCTCGCTATATCCTCGTCCACTTCAAGCTGTCTCGCTGCACCGACCGGCGACCCGCCCAACTCGGATGTCGCCGCGATGGCAAGCTCGCCCAGTGTGCATCCCGTATCCATGGTATCTGACCAGGTGTCGCGTGCACCCACTGTTGATCAAGCAATGAACATGGCGCGAGCTTTCAGTGGTGCGTGCTTGAGACGCGTCGCATTTATCCACTATACTGACCCTCCCCGTCAGTGGAAAACGGACATGATTCTCGCGGTCTGCTTGATCCCCTCGGTGTCCTCGTCTGTCCCCTATTCAATTTGATCTCCGATTGCGGGCCCAAGGCGAGCAACAAACAGTCCATGTCTGAAGCCTCAACCCACCCAATCTCTGTAACTCAAGCCATTGAGAATCTTAACGCTGCTATCGTGGTTCTGCAAGCGCAGCAAGCAGCCGAGTACGATCCGGATCAAGATTCTGGCAATGACGGCAACTCCCGTTTCGCTCATCCTCACCCAGATGATGGCAATGATCAGACCGGCGGCGTCGACAACAACAACAATGGATCTCAATGGTCAACGCATGCTGGGTCTAACAACAACGACAATTCGAGTGACTCAAAGGATGACTCGTCTCCCGGCTCTGGATCTGCAGAAACGACACCCACGATGTCTTCGACTGCTACATGGGGCGCCCCGTCTGCCCAGTCAAGCACTATTCCTGGTCGTCGCGACTTGCCTGTTTCTGTGCCTGGCCCGGCTTCTGGTCCAGCGGGCATCGTCACTGGTGCAGTGGGAAGTATTCCTGGCACTGTGGTTGGTGTTGCCTCTGGCGGCCCTGGTGCTGCACCTGGTGCTGTCGTTGGGACTGTGAGTAGTGTTCCCGGCACGGTTGTGGGGACTGCAGGCGGTGTGCCCGCCATTGCTGGGACCATACCTGGTACGGTTCTTGGAACAGCAGGGAATGTTCCAGGCACTGTTGTGAGCACCGTCGGCGGTGCACCTGTCACTGCTGGTGGTGTCCCGGGCACCATTGTAGGAACTGTCGGTGGTACACCTGCTGGGGCCATTCCCGGCACGGTTCTTGGGGCTGCAGGGAATGCTCCAGGTGCTGTTGGTGGCGTTCCCGGCACTATTATTGGCACTGCAGGCGGAGCTCCCGCTATGATCGCTGGTACAGCAGGTACCGTAGCCGGTGGTCTTCCAGTTCAACCACCTGGCCCCGTCGCAGGCGCTCCTGGACAGGCTGCTGGTTTGCTCGGCAGCACTGTCGGCCCCGTCACTGATGCCGCCGGTAACGCCGTCAACACTGTAGTCAAGGCTGGTGACAGTGTCCTTGCAACGGCAAACAGCAAGGCTCTTCGGGCGTTGCCGATGCCTATGCCGATGCGTCGATGGACTTCGCGCCGGGCCTTCGGCTCGCGTCAGGCTCCTGTTTCTCCGCCGGCCGCTCCTCCAGCTCAGCCTCCCGCTGCACCCCCTGCCCCACCCGCTGCACCCGCTGCGCCTGCTCAGCCTCCCGCTCCACCTGCTGCGCCTGCTCAACCTCCAGCTGCTCCCGCTCCGCCCGCGCATCCGCCCGCCGCGCCTGCTCAACCTCCGGCTGCTCCTGCTCCACCTGCTCAACCTCCGGCTGCTCCTGCTCCACCTGCTCAGCCTCCAGCTGCTCCTGCTCCAGCTGCTCAACCTCCAGCTGCTCCCGCTCCACCCGCGCATCCGCCCGCCGCGCCTGCTCAACCTCCGGCTGCTCCTGCTCCTCCGGTCCAACCGCCGGCTGCTCCCGGCCCGGCCTCAGGCGTTCCAGCGACTGTTGGCTCAACTGTCGGCAGTGCGCCTGGCACTGCTGGTGGCACCGGCTCAACTGTGATTGGGAGCGCTCCAGGACCCGTCGGAGGATCGCCTGCTAGTGCGGCGCCTGGGATTGCGGCTGGTGTCGCTGGGGGTCCCGTGGGCGCCGTTGGCAACACTGTCGGCCACGCTTAAAGTTGTTTGTTCTTTCTTATACCTAGTCAGCCTTAGTGAGAATACCATAATTTCGTTCAGACCATCTGCGTGCACATCAGACTGTTCTCTTGCTATTCTCCGAAGAAAACGAATGAATGATCGCCGAGTTATGTCTGTCAACGACGTTGTTGATCGTCGCCGCCATCTATACTTACTTACTACCACTGGCCACTATTGCCTTTCTATTCTGAATTTGGCTCTGGCCGGTCCCAGCCATGTCGCGTCCTACTCCCCTCTATTCTACCTCAAACATCGTTCCAGGCCGCTTCGACAATGCTCAACTCACTCCACGGACCCCTCACTCGCGCGCAGGACGGGCAGAAGAATCCTTCTCAGGTTATGAACTGGAACAGGTCGACATCGACGATGACGATGACGACGTGCACTACGGCTCTGCCACGCAACAACAAAACGCGCCGCTGTTAGCGTCGTCCGCCAGCGACAGCTTTCCTCCGCAACATGGCTACCGAAGTCGCGGAGATGATTACGACGCACATGCGCACTCCCCAGCAAAGAAAGCCAAGTTCTTCGGTCTCGGCGTCGACGTAATCATGTCGCGGCTCCCATTGGCGCTGTACTCATCGGTCGCCGCGGTGCTGCTGGTTTTGGTCTTCTTTTCATTGAAGGAGCCGGAGAAGTTGAAAGAGTATGTGGTTGGTACTACGTCAGCGTCAGCAGATGCGACGAGCGTGAAGGTGGATCTGCATCAGGCGAGCGCGACGGCAACCCCTGCCTCCGCACACCATCACGGTGCCAGCGCACCCCGACCGTCATGGGTGGCTGAACGTCCGCATCTCGTGGCGGAGCCCAACATTGAGCTCATTTCGTACGCCAACTACTCCACGTTCCCGCTGAACCCCCTCGACTACCGCGCTGAATGCATCAAAATTACACCGGAAATTCAGACCGCGCATCCGTTTTGGGTGAGCAAACCACCGCGCGACGTCCTACACAAGGACGAGTCCCCCGACTACATCCGACCGTCGAACGAGATGCCCGTGTGCCGGCGGACGATGACATACCAGCTCGATGGGTGGGCAGGGCTACTGACTGATTTGGCATTGATCGCACAGGTTGCCACGTTGGCGCGCACGGTGAGTGGGGATGCCTTGTGTGTTTCCTTATTCAGTCTGACCTCCGACAGCACAATGCGACGTTTTTCATCATGGATCAATTCTGGAACCGAGGCCGGTGGTCAGATTATTTCGATGATGTGCTCATAGGCCAGCCGGGTCCTGAGCCAGGATGTTGGCCTCCTCCAGCTGAAGGTCTGCTCATATGCTCGATGTGAAGGAAAGCTGAGCTGAACCCTATTCCAGAATATGTTGCCTGCCCCAGGACGGCCAGGCATTGGATCATCAATTCGCGCACAGCCAGATATCACCTCCGCCACGACTTCCACGAAGAGTATACCGATCCGTGAGTCTGGTTCTCATGATCTGAACCGACTATGACTTACCCTGGCCACAGATACGGCCGCAACTTGAACCGGATGAAGCCGATCTTCGATGCCGCATTCACGAGTTTGCAGCACACGATCCAGCTGAATGCATACATGAAGCAGATGGTCAACGACGCGCGGGAGGAGCTGCATGCCAAAATTGTGAAACATTTCAACACACGGGTGCCGCACGCGGGGTACATCGGCATCCATGCGCGCAGAGGCGACCGGAATCGCGCCTGGCAGCAATACGGGATGGGGCGCTACGTCCCGATCCCCGACTACATCTCCGCCGCAGTTGATGCTTGGACACGCTTGGGCTTGGAATTGCCAACGTCGACACACGCGGACAACCTGATCCAGCCGTTCGTTTTCGTTGCATCCGACAGCCCGGATGCGTTGAAACAGTTGGCCGATGGATTCGCGCCGGACAGAGCATATTCTCTGGCTCTCAGCGACAGACCCGAGTTGAGGAAGCTGGCGAGTCCCTCAGAGTATGATCAGAACACGTTCATGGCCGTCAAGGACCCCATCGCTCGAGTCCAATGGACCCGGGGCATGGTGGTAGACTTTGCACTCCTCAGTGGAGCTTGGGCCGACGATGGGCAGGTCATCCCCGACGCATTGGTGTGCACCATCAGGTTGGTCCTACCTTAAAATCATCCACCTCGTCAGGCTAACTTTCTCAGCTCTGTCATTTGCAAATTCGCTCCAGTCGCTATGGGCTGGAAACGCGCCTTTGGCAATGTCGACGAGATGGGTTATGTCGACAGCGAGAACAAGCGTTGGGTGGAAATTGACGTCAAAGGTCGCGTCGTTCCCGTTTGGGATGCGTTCGAGGCACCATGAGATGATCGATTTATTGCGGTCTATACATATGGATGTGTTGTACAAAGGTGGATATAGGATTACAAGGACAAAACGGGAAAGAGAAATTGTCACGGTAAACGATCCTCACGACGCGGCAACATCTTTCCTCAGCTGCTCGAACCGCCGCCCTTCGCTTTCCGCACGCTCCACACTCTTCACGAGCTTATTCTCCCGCGTCTGCAACCGTTTCTCCATTCCCATAACCAGCATCCGAACCTGCTCGATATGCGCTAACGTAGCTTGTGGATTCACATGTGGAGCTGCAGCCGCTGGTGCGTGTGCGTGCGAGAGCACCGGTGAGGGAGTGCTCGCCAGGGTCTTGGACCGTTGGTGTAGGGATGTTATGGGCTTGCTCGTGTTATTCGAAGGAGAACCTGAAGGCGATAACTCCAGTGTTTCCTGTCCCACGAGGTGAACTGAAGATCACAAGACACCACAAGGTTGATCGCTGCTGACCTGCCAATTCTCGCCGACCAGTTTGCTCAGCTCACGTTCCAGCAGCTGTTCGCGCGCTTTGCCGCTGGAGGCGTGTGATCAGGATACAATATCGGTAGATGTTATATAGTATGCACCGCACCGTTCTATCTCGGCCATGGACCGCTCGTTCTCGCGTTGCATGCCCTGAAGGATGAATTCCACATTCTTCCGCTCAGCCTCCATCCCCATCACAGTCTCAAGCGGGGGACGCTGCGCCAGCTGGGCCTGCAGGTTATCCACTAGGGCTTGCAGCTGTGTATATGGATAGTTGAGCGCAGCGGGGCTGGATCGAAGGACGACGAACGCACTCGGTCCACCTCACGATCCCGTTCGATCAGCTGTCGCTTCAAGACATCTTCGTTCGTCTCATTGGCCCCACGCAGGATTCCTAGGTCGTCGGCACCTATAGCGAGTGAGGGGCGCCCGTAGTTGCGAATGCTCTGGGCGCGCTTCATGGTGAGGTAGTAACGAGGAGACGAGCAGGGAAAGCGACAGGTGTGGCACGCGGTGTCACTGTCAAAGAAACTACGCGGTCACGTGGGACGGTTCTTGATCTCGATGTGTAAGTTACATGACTGTACTGGACCGTCGTCTTTTGCACTGTATGCGAAACAATTCTCCCGCGATCAGTACTCGTGCGTGAATAGTGATATTCTATGGGCCTGTGCCACTTTGAGGTATCTTGAAACTAGGATCATACGCTTCGGACTCTGATCTAAACGATCCCGAGTCGAACATATGCAGCAACGCATCCAGATTCATGTAACCTCCCCACTCATTCCACCTTCCAAAAAGACGTCTCAGAGTTTTTGTATAGGTATGTATCAAAATTGACTTACTCGGGATCTGTGAAGAAGTTGTCGAAGTGCTGGCCGGGCTGCCAGGCTACGAGGACAGCTGGGTTAGTTGTTTCTCGCCAGGGAAGGTAATGCACAGATACGAACATGATGCTTCGCTTCCGTCTTTCGGCTCTTCTTCGCTTGCTTCAACAGACTGAGGGTTTTCGTGATATCCGGTGAAGAACTCGTCATGATCCTCTCCCCCACGCGACCGCTTCCGAGAATCTTCGCCATTCTGGCCGAGATCAAGTTGCGCGGCATGCATTACTTCTAGGATGATATCCCTGTCGGATGAAAAAGGTGCATTCTCGTCAAAGAGATTCTCAACCAGTCATGTGACACAGTCCCGCACCGAAGTCGGCCAGCTGTCTGCCATCGACCCTCATTTGCTTGTAAAATTAGCAGGCAAGTCTCGACGTCCTTGACATTTTTCGCAAGGTCGACTTTCATACCCGTTGAGCGGCCCACCCAGATGTGCACGAGGAGAATGATGGCCGAATAGAACACTGGTGTCTGTTCGAAATTTCACTCATTCAAGTTTTGGAACTTGGTGTACATGACACACTTACCAAGATATGCGAGTGGAATTTCGATCCCCGGTTGATGGCAGCGGCCATGATGTGTGTGCATGCCCGTGCCGAATTAGCACATATCGCCAATGAGGCGCTCGAGTTCAGAGACATCTGAGAAGACGACTGATGGCCGGAATACACAATAAAGATTCGATGTATGTGTATTTGGACTGTGTTCTGATAAATTACTAGGTAGGGCATCATTAGAGAGACACCGACGCACTGTGATGAAACTGAGCATGCAAAATGGCGCTTTGTGTTAGAAACAACGGGTTTTCCATGTATGGGTTCCATCGCACTGATATCATCCGTCAGAAAATGCTCTGAAGATAACAAACATACGTACAATGTTCCGGCACGGCATCCATCCACGCATTCAGAGCGGAACTGCAAGAAAATCAACAGGAATTTCGAGCTCGACGCAGCGTCAAGAGACACGCACTCGATATCAGCAACTACAGCTTGAAGACGCATCGTGTCTTTCTTGGGTGTCGAGTTCTACGGGATACTGGTTCAGAGAGAGCGGATCGCAGCCCAAAAAAAGATATCACGCACGATCTTGGACTTCGCTAGTCCAATAATATCGATAAGCTTGAGATAAGCTACGAAATAAGACATGAACGGAGGATTCGAATTCTCTGTGGGAGATATCTCGTCAAAATCCTGCTCAGATGAATATAATGGATATTCCACGTCGCAGCTGTTGTCCACGTGAGATCCAAGGGCACCTTGAACAAAGAAACGTACGGACTCCTCTGAGGAGATGGCGACTGGTCTATCGGTACTCCAGCTAGATATTCGGTCTACGGCAAGCATAATCCCTGTACACATGAGATCTTGAGCGAGAAGCCCGATGTAGACAACGCGAGACACACAGAATACAAACTTCCACTGTTCCTCTTCGCGTTTATCACTAAATCTGTTTCTCCGATGCGCGCCAACGGCCACAAGGGACCGCATTCCCATTCCTGCAAGAGCCCAGCAGCCCCTTTGCTGGGATGACCCTTGTAAATATAGCATGTACAACTATCGCGAAAAAATTAGTCTCAATGCCATTCGGTTGAACTGGACTCACACAAAGGGTTTGGGCTTCATACAGGGTGATCAGCCGGGTATGAAACGTAACTACAGGCTTCAATTGCCGATAATATCTGAAACCGGCACTCAAAGTCGAGTCCGTGCCCTCAAGAATCACTCTGGGATCATCACAGTATTTGGATCCTAGAGCACAGACCCCAAGCACTGTAGAGCCGAACTGAGGGTCGACAAGGTGACGGCCCGTGGCAAGAGTAGCTTCGAATATTTTTCGATGCAGTACTGGGAGACAGGGATTGAAATGGGTGAAGTAGGCTGTTACGAGAGTCGCGAGCAGATCCGGTTCGGGAAAGTCCAGAATTGCCAGTTGACGATATTGGACTTCCATATTGATATGCAAGACTTCCCACTGCGCGAGTTGAGAACAAGACACGAAAGCCAAGATGGAACCTACGGGACTTTCCCAAAAAACCATTCTTCTACCTGTGGGTCCAGGTGAAACAGTCGACGCAGAGCGTGGTGAGTCTGATTGCCCGTCGAGAAGAGTCTCTTTGAGACCGACGGCAGTGCCTACCAGCGAAATGAACGCAGATTGGCCGTAATAGCGATTCGTATCCGAGTCGAGCCGGAGGGCATGTAGCCTATTGATCACATTCGAATGCTCTTCGGAATCGTGGGAGTCGTCTGCATCCTCAAGAGTCGGCAGTGGATCTCCGGTGGGTACAGAAGAACCAGGGCGCATACTGATCAGTTCATTTTCTAGAGATCGGCTGTAGTTGCACACTTCCTGTAGAATGCGCCGCAGTTCATCGTCCTGGAGGTGCTGGGTGCCTTCCAGGACCACTGTGGCTACATGGTCCCGAGCAGCTCGTTGCCGCTTGATCTGGAAAGGAATCAGTGAGATTTTGGGGCCCTGGACATGAGGATCTACTCTGGGGAGGACCATGCTCGGATCACCGTACTTTCAACGCCAAACGCCGAACATCAGGACGATTCGTAAACGTGGAGCCATGTTACTTGCCTGTTGCTCAATCGTAGTATCATGGTGCACTCGTGTACACTGGATCCCGAGGGTCATGCAATTCGAGCAGATGTTCCCGGGCATGACTGAGCTGTCGCCTAGATCATAGTGGAGTCAACATTCCTCCGCAGTAATGCGCAGTCGCGTCTGCTCACATCGAACTAGAGTGATGCCAGATCAGTCACCATGGGGGTGAGCTCCAGAGGGTGGACACCAACCTTTGCGCTGTCTGCATGCATCACACGAGCCAGGCAGTCTTCGACGCTTGACTCTCTCTGCGGGAGCTCTTGACATCGTGGTATGAGGAGGAAAGCGGGGCACAGCCCCCTGTTCTTGGCATGATTGTGTTAACGGTTAACCTTCCTCAAAAGGAAATCGAATAGCCTAAAGCGGCCAGTCTGACTGGCGGACTCCACGAGGGGGACGCTTGGATTGTAGAGAAATGAGTGGGCTACCTCTATAGCTTTCTAGAAAAATCGCATCGATGCTGGATACCAGATCTGAGACCGTTAGCACATAAGCCCGTCTTGTCAGCTTCGTTTTGAACATCGTCTCGCCCAAGTCTTTGGCTTGGATGTTCGTGGCTTATGCTCGCGAGATCTCCATTACCAGCTGGATCACCATTCCTACGAGATCCTGAGCACTGAGTATTCGACGATTTCGACTACAGAGGCGTGCCTGTGATGCGATAGATTGACGAGGCACGTGTCCGTATTCCCACGCTGTCGAATGTATTCAATCCCGATCAATCAGCGTTCGATGCTGTTGGGCTTATCGGTGGAGGACAGTGGCGCTGAAGACAGTCACTGCCAGGCCGCAGAGAATAGAAATACAAAAGACAAGAATGTACAACAAATGGGGAAAAGATCTTATTTTCTTGCGAATGTAATCTAGAAGGGTGGATGTCAATGTAGTACAGAAGCGGCAGAAACCCACGCACCTTGATCTTGTTTTCTCCGTCCAATTTGTAGTTGTGTAGCGCATCCTTCGCCGTAGCCGAACTTGTCTCGTCCATAAACTCGACGAAGGCAATATCCTTCTTCGTCGGGATGAGACGAACTTCGTACAAGTTGGGATACCTGAGCAGCTTATCAGGAAACAGGAATACAATCGAGCCGTGGATTTGACGCACTGAGAGAACAACGCCATAAGTTGGTCTTTGGTGACTGTCTCCGGGAGATTTTGCAAGAAAAGAATCTTGTTTGGTGGCAGGTATTCGTCTGGCATCTGTACATTTGGCCGCTTCGGGGCTGGAGCTGCAGCAGCACCATCGACTAGAGGGATATTGAGACACATAGAAGATTAACACCGAAAGGCCTAGCCCACCATCTGTAGCCGTGCGCTTTGCCTTGAGTTTCTGTTTGAGAGGGTTTGTGTAACGTGTAGCCTCTGGGACAATACATGAGAACCAACGAGGCGCGGTGCAGCCCAAGTCACGCACTCTTATGCTCATCCCTTCGCGTTTTGTGTTGATCGTAATTGTCTGCGTCCAGCTTCTTCACCACCGCGTCTGAACGTGTGCGTGCGAAGGAAATTTGCTGTGGGTCGTCAGAAGGAGCATCTGAGTGACTGAACGAGGGCTGACCATGGGTTTCGAGTATAACGGGAACCCTCTAACCTCCTTCAACGCCTTCTTTGCGGCTTCCGTAGAGTCAAAGGAAACGAATGCCTGCCCACGCATACGCAAGTTGCTGTGCGCAACGACATCGAGCACCTCGCCATAAGATTTGAACAAGCCGCGCAAAGACTTCTTGATAACTATGGGGTTGAGGAGGCATTGATGATAGGTCGTACAGGATGAGGCTGGACGCATACCATCAATCTTAATCTTTTCGTTCAAGTTCTGAATATATAACGTCTCGGAGGTGTATTCGGGCTCTTCAGGCTCTTCGGGTGCAGCAGCGGGAGCAGAAGCGGGTGGTATTTCCTGAGGTGCGACAACGCCCTCCATGATGACCGGGGCCGGGGCGGGGACTTCAGACATGGCGAGTGCAGCAGAGCGCGAGACGAAAGCAGACAGATTGATGTGTTATTTCCGGAGGCTGGTGGGATACAACTTTGACGTGTCACGTGCCGACGATGGCACGCGCGTCGCCTGCTGGTACTTACTTTCTCATTCTCGTTCTCGTTCTACAATGGAGTCGGCATACAAAGATCTCAAGGCAGCATTCTCCAAGCAACCTCCAGATCTCGCGAAGTGTGGCGGCTTGCTGACGAAACTGAAGGTGGATCAGCTGCGTCTGGGAGAGCAACAAACACTAATCCAAGCATTCTTGCAGCTTGGTCTGATCCAAAGTGGTCTTCTGTTACCTCAGGGAGATGTGACGAATCCTAATGACCTCGTGGTTGCTAGTAGGTCTTGTTCTGCCCGCGTTGAAGCTCTCATTATCACTCACCCAGGGGAAATTTTGGAGATTGGCGCGTTCTGGAGTATCCGCACACAAGATGTGCCTTCATTCGACCGCTATTTCTCCCAACTTCAAACTTTCTATACGGACTATTCGTGCGTCCCTGTCTCTGGGGTTCTTAAGACAGCTTTGTTGAGTGTCGATGAGCAGGACACTTCCACACTCACAACACGAATATGCCATTCGAGGATTATACCTCATCCGACTTCTTACGCAAAACCGAATCGCAGACTTCCACACCGCTTTGGAAAGTCTACCACCCGCCGCTCTCGAGAGCCCGTTTATCGCACACCCTGTCAATCTGGAGCGTTGGCTGATGGAGGGCAGCTATGCCAAGGTTTGGGGAGCCCGCGCAGAGGCACCGGCTGCCGAATACGGCTACTTTGTCGATAGCCTGATGGGCACCATCCGGTACGTACCATTCGGCTGAATTCGCATTCCAATCTCATTCAAATGTTGTACAGGAACGAGATCGCCAGCTGTGAAGAGGCCGCGTACGAGAGCCTACCTCTGAAAGACGCCGCTACATTACTCTTCTTCACCTCTCAGTCCGAATTACTAGCCTTCGCGCAACAGGTTCGCAATTCTGCTTTTGTGGTCTGCTCTTCTGATCCTCTGCACAGCGCGGATGGCAAGTCAATCTGAATCAGGCGACAATATCATTCGTGAAGAAAGAGGAAGAGTCGATCGATATCCCGAAAGAGAAGATCATCTCTTCGTCGCTACTATATGCTCGTGAACTGGAACAGATTGTGTAAATTGACAGATAATGCATTCATTTCTCATCTCTACGCAGCGGGATCGACTGTTTTTCTGGGGATTGGAACCATCCGGACATTCGGGACCGTTGCCGGGGGCAGGTCGACCGCTCTGTAGAAATGGGATTCCATCGGGTCCCTGTTGTGGACACTGCAGGTAGCATTAGCCTTGACCCCTAGGCGACCGAGATCACTTGCCTTGTGATGTGCTGTTTGACATCGTCCGGGCTGGCCCAACTAGACCGTTCGGCAGGAGAGAAGCGACATAACGCACATCGCCAGAACTTTTCTTGTACCACTGCTTTGGCCGTGGAGAGGGACCTGGCTTCTCGGGTGCTTTCCTCGGACAAACGTTCCCAATTGACTGATCCGTCTCCCCAATGGACTTTCATGCAGTGCTGTACCTGGCAGAGTTTCGAAAATCACCAAAGATAACTAGGAGAGACAATCGACGCACCGCCATGCGCCACGACATGACCAACCTAGGCATTTGTCCGTCGCATTTGGTTCCAAAGCTGCACTTGAGACAGATGAATCGCTCATCCAGCTCATCCAGCTTCGCCGTGGTCGTATATCTGCTCAAGCCGCAGGCGTCTAGCAAGCGTTCAACCGCCTTCGATGCCTTTTCGTTGAGGAAGAGATTCTTGCACGTCCATGTTCTTCTCCGTCGCCCAAAGAACCCATCGCTGGCCTTGTAGAGCGGATTCTCTGGGAGATCCTCCTCGGCGCGCGGCCGTCGGATAGTTGCTGTGTTACAAGGATGGTGCAAGCACTCGGGGTACCACATCACTGGATAGGCGCCAGCGTCGTAGGGCGGGAGAAAATAGTGCAGTGCACATTTGTCTTCGCAGCTGAAAACGCTGATTGCAAGTTGGAGATCATCTAGAGCCGTGCTCAGGACGCGACCATAGCCCCGGACAAAGTCGTACTTGACAGCGACATTGAGGCGATTGAGTTTTTCTAGTTTGTCCGACGCCCAGTCGTCGATCAGGCCAGAGGACGACGAAAAGATGCGCGTGAACGTCCCGGGAGTGATAGCGGTAATTTCCGATGACTCTTCCCGACAAACGATCTCGTCAGTCTGCATAGGTATTGACGAGGGAAGCTCAAGGACATCCTTGATGATCGGCCACGAGATGATCTCGATGCCCGAGGGTAGCAATCTTTCGGCAGGACTCTGCGAGCGAAAAGCAGCCCAGGCTTCCACTGCCATCTCCTCTCGCTTGCGGACAACCTGGAGACGTTCGGCATCCAAACGGTGAGTGCGCACTTTTTCCATGTACGCAACAACACGCGGCTCGATCGTTTTCCAAGCTACAAATGGTCGGGTCTTGCCGGATGGAACAGAGGACGGATGCGACGTACCACGATCGGTGAGTGGTTTATTGACTTTCACGTCTGGATGATCTGCGAATTGGTCCAACGGAGGCAGAGTGAGATAGTTGATGCCTTCAGCATACTCCAATTCCTCAGTGAAGCCCAAGCTGGCCAGTTTCTCAGAGATGCTGCCACCGTCTCAAATTGATGCAAGGGCGCAGAGAGAGGCAGTCACTCACTCAGTTCGCCGTTGATCACGAATGCCTTGCAACTGGTCCCAGCGTTGATGTGACATCGACTCGGCCCACTGTTCACAAGCAATCGCAAAATGTTTGCGGGATTGCAAAGCTAGTTCGCGATCATCCACGTAGGCCGAACGTTCAGCTGCGGTGTGCCGGAGCCCCAGTCCTGAGACGAAAGCTTTCCTCTCCTGGGGCAGACAACAGAGACCCTTCACTGCAAGACATGAGCTTGGTGGTGTCAGCACGACACAGAACTTACTCTTAGGAATGCGGAACGCGCTGCTAAAAGCTACGCAAGCGAGAATCGCTTGATCTGTTGCATCTGCCTCCGTGTTCAGATCGTTGTCCGTGTCCAGCCTGAATATGCCGAGTCAATGGAGCTCCGGCAATGGGACGTGTCTCGTCTTACACCCCAGGAGTTCTGATGCAGGCTTCGCACAGTCGAACACGCAGAACATAGTCGACACGCAGCACTCGCGCAATAAGACAGTTCTGGTATCGAGAACGAATCGTGAGCAGCGGGCGAGCATTGCACGAGGAGGGCATACATGACAATGCTGGCTGAACATCAGATTCACGTAGAAGGGCAAGCTCATATCGGGTGGACATGGAGGCAGCCCCCCGACTTCTCGAAGTGCAGCCTTCCATATCGACGTCGCAGACCGGCGCATCACTCCCAAACAATTCAAGGACAGGCTTGGGAGAACATAAGTTAAAAAAAATCTCACGCATTGCACGAAACGCGCGAGTCAGACGCGAGAGGTTCAGTATATCCAGTGGGTGAAGGTGCCCAAAAATCTGGTGTCAAGAACGGGGTTGGCAAAACGAGCGTCACACTACGACGCGGCTAAACGCGACGGACCTCGAACAAGACATCAAGAGGGAGAGAAGGGAGTAAAGAAAGCTTGAACTAGCTCCCCTGTCAGCATGCGCACAAGTGATTGCGTTCAAGGCATAGCGGACCTTCGTTTTCACACTTTTGACAGATTGTGTCGAATCCTGAGATGAATCAGTAGGCTTGGCTCCCGGCTTGGAGCCCGTGCGCTGCTTCTTCACGAGAGGAGAAGAAGTTTGAAGTTTTCCGCCGCTTTTAGTCCCAGTAGTCGACGAGGGCATTTTGAGCGCGTTCAGGAAACTTTCGGTGAAGTCACAGGTGTGACGACACGCGTCTTTCAGCATTTGATCGTAAACATTGCGGCAATCACCTGCACGCTCATTCATGGCCGAAGGGGCGATTCTGGGCTAACGATAGAAGTAAAAGACCCATTTCATGCCCCAGATGCACTATTCATACAATTTATGATTATTCGACCTTGATCAGCAGCTTTCCCGTGGTTTTCCCCCCGGTCAAATCTCTCTGTGCCTGCTTGGCTCCTTCGGCTGAGAATGGATAGTCTTTGTAGATCTGGATCTTCAACTCTCCGCTTGAAAGCAATTTAAACAGTTCTCCCGTGTAGTGCTCGATCTTTGCAAAGCCGTCAGATCCAGCAACCACTGAGCCATCAGAGTGCTTACTTCTTCCGTAGTGACAAGATAGTTGCCCACACTACATCAAAAGTCAGCATTATTTTCCTCGAGACAAGGCTGATGGATAACTTACGTGGGTCTCAGCAGCTTGAGGTTCTTCTCGACCAATCGTAAAGGTGCCATAGGCGGAACGGCCCCAGATGCATTGCCGACCGAGACCAATGTCCCTTTGCGCTTGAGCATCACAAAGTTGCTGTCGAACGTGTCCTTCCCGACACCGTCGAAAACGGCGTCCACGCCCTGCCCATCGGTCAGTTCCAATACCCGTTTCACCGTGTCTTCGTCCTTGTATAATATAACGTGGTCAGCGCCATTGGCCTTGGCGAGTTCGGCCTTCTCCTTGGTCGAGGTCGTCCCGATGACCGTGGCGCCGCGGCGTTTGATCATCTGTGCGAAAAGCAGTCCCAAGCCACCAGCTACGGTATGCACGAGGATGACGTCGCCCTTCTTGACTTTGTATGCTTCTTCGATGAATGTTAACACCGTGAGACCTTGCGAGGAAGCCGCCGCAGCGTCTCGCGTCGAGACATTCGGAGGGAGAACGACAACGGCGCGCCATCTGATGCTCGCATAATCCGTATGCACACCGAAAACGCCTCCACTCTGAGTGTGCAAGCTGAGGAACAGTCTCGATCGGACGGTCGAGACACTCACACAAACGACTCTATCGCCAATCTTGAATCCGCGCGCCTTGTATTCCGGGTCCTCCAGCACATCGGAGGAAGTTGGCAAAGCGACGATGGTCCCTGCGACCTCTGAACCGATTCCGGTGGGCAGCTGCTTCAGTGGGTACAAGCCTTTCCGATAGTACTGTGCGGGCACTCGTCAATCGATCAGGATCATCGAAGGAGGTACCAGTTTGACAGACTGTGTCAATGAAATTGATGCCCAGATATTCCGCCTAAGACACGCATGTCAAGATTGAGAAGGTCGACTGGCAGATGATGGCACCTTAACGACGATCTCCGCAGGCGCTGGTTCCAGAGGGAATTCAAGAAGCTGTGAATGACCACCTTGTGAGCGATGGTCCAGCCATTTCCATACTTATGGGAACAAACCTCGAGGACATCTACATCCCCAGGCTTTGAAGGCGCGAACAAATCAGCTGTAACGCTCCGAGTCCGTCGAGACCGTTACGTACTTGGCGAATGCCGATGGATTTCCTCGTAGCTGGCAGACCAGTCATGGTGGACAAGAGATGACGGTCAAGGCCGTTGCGCGTCGCCTATAAAGGGCAGTTTCAGATGAGGTAATACGCTCCAGTTGGACTGAAGCCGCCCGAGACGACGGGCCAGAATATGAACTGCTTTCTCATATCGCCTCGGCCATATCACATGGTGCCCGACGAGCTAGTGGTACCTCGTAGGCGGCCAGGAACGTTTCTAGACTTCCCAGGGTGACGAGATGTGGGATCGAAAAGTCGCAACTTACGACTTTTCGGGTACCAGGTTTGGCACATGTTCCGCTTTAATCCCGATCTCGTGATACTGGCCCAATCATTTGTAGTCGTGCCAGACTATTAGTATACGAAAGACAAAGACAACGGACAAGTGTGATCAGTGACACGACAGGAACCCCCAAGTACTCTGCAAAAACCGCATGAAAATCCAAGTTTGGTTCTTAACAAACTAATCTATCTTTCATACCATTGCAAGACAACTGTTTGATACCATAAAAATCTGACGGATTTTGACCTACCCACATATAGATAATATCTTTATAGGAGACAAAGACAACACTCCGGTTAATCTATCTATCTATCCATCCATTCATAGACTTGTAACGCTTATAGCATTCCCAAATGATAGCACCTTTTCTACTTGCCCTAAGGCTTAAGATGGATCATTTGTCTTCCAAGCAGTGTCCATAAGATTTGTGGTTATTCAACTTTAATCAGCAGCTTTCCCGTGGTCTTCCCACCAGTAAGATCTCTGTGTGCCTGCTTTGCTCCGTCTGCAGAAAATGGATACTCTTTGAAAATCTGGATCTTCAACTCTCCGCTCGAGAGTAGCCTGAACAGTTCTCCCGTGTAATGCTTGATCTTTGCGAAGCTGTCAGATCAACCATCAAGGTCGTCAAAGTGCGCACCTCTTCAGCAGTGACAAGATAGTTACCCACACTACATCAAAAGTCAGCATTATTTTCCTCGAGACAAGGCTGATGGATAACGTACGTGGGTCTCAGCAGCTTGAGGTTCTTCTCGACCAATCGTAAAGGTGCCATAGGCGGAACGGCCCCAGATGCATTGCCGACCGAGACCAATGTTCCCTTGCGCTTGAGCATCACAAAGTTGCTGTCGAACGTGTCCTTCCCGACACCATCGAAAACGGCGTCCACGCCCTGCCCATCGGTCAGCTCCAATACGCGTTTCACCGTGTCTTCGTCCTTGTACAAAATCACGTGATCGGCGCCATTGGCCTTGGCGAGTTCGGCCTTCTCCTTGGTCGAGGTCGTCCCGATGACCGTGGCGCCTCGGTGTTTGATCAGTTGAGCGAAAAGCAGTCCCAAGCCACCAGCTACGGTATGCACAAGGATCACGTCGCCCTTCTTGACTTTGTACGCTTCCTCGATGAACGTCAGCGCCGTGAGACCTTGGGAGGAAGCGGCGGCAGCATCGCGCGTAAAGATATTCGGCGGGAGAACCAAAACGGCCCGCCAGTTGACAGTCGCGTAATCCGAGTGTCCACCTGTGATTCTTCCGCTCTGTATTCGGATGCTGAGCAGCAGACCCAATCGGGCAGTCAGAGCGCTCACTGAAACGACTCTGTCTCCAATCTTGAAGCCGCGCGCCTTGTACTCCGGGTCTGCTAGCACATCGGAGGACGTCGGTAAGGCAACGATAGTCCCTGCAACCTCGGAGCCGATTCCAGAAGGCAGTTGCTTCAACGGGTACAGGCCTTTTCGAAAGTACTGTGTAGACGATCGTCAGTCGATCGGAGCTGTCGAAAGAGATGCCCGTTGACGGACTGTATCGATGAAATTGATGCCTAGATATTCCGCCTGCGTAAACGCATGTCAGGATTGAGCAGGCCGGATCGACAATGATGGCACCTTAACGACGATCTCCGCAGGTGCTGGTTCCAGAGGGAATTCAAGAAGCTGTGGATGACCGCCCTGTGAGAGACAGATCCTGTGTTTACATATCTATGCGGACACACCTCGAGGACATCTATATCACCAGGCTTTGTAGACACGATCGATCAGCTGTACCCCAAGTCCTGGGGGAGCTCGGTCACGCACTTGACGAATGCCAATTGATTTCCTGGTAGCAGGGAGACCGGTCATGTTGGACGGTAGATGTCGGTCAGGGTCGTTTCGCGTCGCCTATGAAGCCCAGTTCCAAATGAGGCGATATGTTCGTGCTCGAATGGAGCAGCTCGAGAGAAGGCTAGAATCAGAAGCTTCCTGGTGTTTGCCTGTGTCATATGACACGGTTGCCCGGCCTACACCGCACTCGCACATTATTTCCAGATGACAGGAGACGAGTCTGGAAATCGGAATGTGTTCTCTGTGATGGCATGTGAGATCGAGTAAACGAAGGTGCGATATTGACGAGATTACACGTGCTTCGAGCACACCACGTGATCGCTGAACGGGATATCTGCGACTTCTCGGATGCGTCTCACAGTCCGTATATACCGGCGTAATCAACGGACACAACAGACAGCCTGGGATTGATAGATTCGTAATACCTTTGAGTGCCAATTGAAGGATCATTCTCAGCATAAGGAAGTCATGCGACGAGATGATCACGCGTGAAAGGTATATATATAGACGGAGGGAGAGGCGGTACAAGGGTAGACTCAAACCAGGCGCCATTTGACACACTCAAACAGCCGCACCGAAGTGCACTCCATCAATGTTGGCGTGATACATTTGTCATTTGTAGGGACTGCGCTCGAGTCCACAAGCGCTACAGCAGCTTTGCGGATCGCTTCCTCTTTCAGCTGGATGTTTTATGTCTTAGCCACATGTTCACGGTAATCAAAGCGATCTTTCAAGAGCAAGTGCTGCTTTAGAGGGCCGCCCGACAATCAGGATGAGCCACACGAGAATAATGACAAGCGCCGCTTTCCGCCGATTGCACACGTCCATCTTGTGTCGAAACTGGCGACTCCCCGATGCAAAATTTATGGAACCGATCGTCATCGACGAAAGAAGAGACGGATCGGACGATCGGAGAGACGATCTCTCAGTCCCAAATCCCGGCATCCACCTCAATATACTTCTTGAAAAGGACATTCCAGGGTATCCTACAAAAACCCTCAGGCCTAAAACATGCCCTCTCGCTGGGGAACGGCAGCAGACGGAACACGAGGAGGCGTCATCCCACTCCCAGGCCGATTCGAGCTACGCGGTGGCGGCCCAGCACTGGGCGCAGGACTGGCACGGGATCGCATCGGCCGCTCACGTGTTCCCGACGGCGTCTGTGATCGCGGCCCGCCACCGGTCGGCAGCGGCGAGCGAGTACGCCGGGGGGCGGGAGACGCGACCGGCGGTTCGGAGAAAGCCGGTGAGCTAGCACGTGGCACAGGCGCGATTCTGAAAGCACTCCGGGTCGCAGTGAGTGGTTCACGGGATCCGCTGGAAGACAGAGGCGGGGATGGGCTGAACATGGGGCTGCTCGCGGTGGGCGGTGCGCTCGGGAGAGGCGGTGTGACGTTGACCTTCAAATCTCTGCTGCTAGAGCTAGACGCCGAAAGGGTGAGGGCCGGTGGGGCATGACGCGGGGCTTTGGTCACTTGATGGCCTTGCAGCGTGAAATTCGTGGGGACGAGGATATTGCCTTTGGGATTTTCCGACAGCACATCATTGAAGAGGAAGCGGAAGTCGAGGCCGTATTCTTGCAAGAGCTTTGCAATAGCTTCATGAGTTGAGCGTTCAAGTGAACGAAAAGAAATGATCACCTTCTTGCTCTGGGCATATGTGATGGTCATGGCCTCGTCAACGACCTTGGGATCCACATCCGACGAATAGACCTGAGTCCTAAACAGTTCCCCGTAATCTTCGATCTGAGTTTTGGCCCAGTCAATGAACGCTTGCGAAGCATCAATGGATGATCATCGAGTTACTATGATCACTCACCACTCGCGACTTCGTTCTCTTTAAAGCTGGCCAAGAACCAGTCCGCAGTGTGTTTGATACCGGTGAAGTACACGACAGCCAGATCCCCGACGTATGCACCAACATGTCCCTCGAATCGGATCCGCCGCACGTGACTTTGCATCACTGCTGTGCGCATTTTGAGGAACGCTGTGCGAGCAGCAGGCCCGGCGTTGAGCCGAAGCAACAGCGAGATCAGAGAAACCACAGAGCTCTTGCGATTGGTCGGGGAGGCTAGCGACCCCAACAGAGCAGACGTCAGCTGCGCTGTGAGCGGAGGAAGTTTCGAGGCGAGCAGAGTGTTCGTCGCGAGCTGGGATTTGCCTATTGAATTTGAGTTCACGATGATCTCCAAAAAGCGCACACGCCATACCTGACTCGACCAGCTCTGTCGCTTTTTCCCATTCACGCAGGGCAATAGACACAGTGAGATTGTCTGCCCATTCGGTCGCCCATCGCCCATCTCGTTCGGCCTTTTCCTTCGCATCGCTGACTTGTTCGGTGTCCCCCGCTCTCCGCGCGAGATCTGCCATCCAATCAGGCAACGGAGGCCGATCCGAGTCGCCCGTTGGACCACCGTTCCACATGCTTTTCCGTCGCTCATGCTCGCCCTCGCGTTCCTTGCGTTTCTTGGCGGCAAGTTCTTCTGCGACCAAGCGAAACTGGGTCAGCAAAGCCTTCTTCTCCCCGGGTGTCTCGGTGCGATAGACATGGGTCTCCTTTCCCTGTCGAATCTTCAAGACGTTCGTCATACTCGGCGAGTCCTTGGTGTCAAGAACGAGCATGTCGTTCAAAGGCCAGCAGCGCTCCGCTACGAGCTTTCCTTCGCGCAAGGTACCGCCGTCACCACCCCGCCGGCGTCTTCGGGCCACGAGAACAGCATCGTCCAGCACCACAAACTTGACCTTCCCAGTCGCCTTATATGTCGCAGCATTGAGGCCAATCACGTTCTCGAACTCGGCAACAACGTGTCGGCCTGGTGTGGTCGGTGCGAATTTGGCTGAGCCCTCGATTTGTGAGTGCAGGGTCTGCATCTGATTGAAGTACATGATACGCAAGTCAGCGACGGAGGAACGACGGTAGGATGAGAGGCCGGCGGAAGTTGTGGCCGTCGGATCGGGGATGTTGAGTAGGGAGGGCATCGACTTGTATTCGGACAGGGATTCTTTCAACTCGAGCACTTCGTTCTCCAGAGTCGAGATCTCTTTCGAGATGAGCACGAATTCCGCATAACTGCAATCGTATCAGCCTGCGTGATCAGAATCTCGGAGTGGGACCTCACTTCTTGAACACATTCCGCTGCAACTCGGAAGCGGTATCATCCTTCGTATTTCGGAGCGATGACTGGAGAGACTTCAGCTCGTATTCGGTAGAGTTGGCAAGCTTCAATTTGAGGACTGTCCGGAATCAACACACGCCGCACACCCTCACGAAAGCCAAAAGGCACACACAAATATCCGGGTCAAAATCATCCTTATCCAAGAGCTTCTTATCGTCGGCACCGCGGTCCTCTCGTTCACGCCCCCGATCCATCACCACTTCATCCTGCTCCCTGCTCCCTGCCGTCCTTCCCGGAAGCGCGGGGATGGGGGGCATAGAAGGTATCCCAAGGTCACCGGGACTCGAGATATCCGCGTAGCGCATCGACATCCGTTTCTTGATCTTGTCGTCGACGCGGGACTTGCGCGCGTCGCGACGGGGTGTGGCTCCGCCATTGGGCCGTGGGGTGCGAGCTGGCTGTCGCTGAGACTTTCCTGTCGGGGCATCTCGTCTGGTACGCAGGGATTGCATATCGTATACGGATTCAGGGATGCGCTTATTCCCTGAGACGTCTCGATGAGGTTCTTAAGGAGAGCGGCCTGCTGCGCAGGCAAGTTTGATGTGAGGTGGGCGCGGCCGTGAAGTCGCGAGATCACTGTGGCACTGCCACTGATATCTTGCTCTCTTCATGGACATCATTATGACTTGCCACCATTCTCATATTGAGTGCTTTGACCTTCACCCCTCGAATAGATCTTTCCAAGACTTTGGGGGCGACTAAACTTGGCTCATGAGTGACAATCTTCTCACGCATATATCTTCGGTTTGTGTTTTGAGCGATGCACTGTTTAGGATCTCGTTTGCCAGACATTGCTATGGCAAAGTGTAATTCCCGCTATTACCAACCCTATTCGGCACCTATGTTCCAGGCTTGGAGCCAGACTGATGTTCAGAGGTGCTCCCTGAACTGACATTGTCCGAGTCGAGAACCCCATTGTTACTGATAACTAACGTTGCGGGTTTCCACGCATTAGGTCATTTAGGCAATTGGCGAGGCCTATATGCAGGCAATGTTGACAAGGAACTCGCACCGATCAATTGACGCTGGTGGGACCTGAGCCAGAGCTGGGTACGGAACCTGTTCTTGTTCTAATACTGAATACGTCGTCAGGTACGACTAGTTACCTATAGCCGCTCATGGTGACTTAGACATAGTGCATACATTCGGTAAAGATCCCGTGTGATCTAAACATGCTCATCTGCGATTGAGCCTCCGAAGCCGGACGGACGTATCGCTGACTTTGGCCGAGGAACTTGTGAGCAGATCGCGCCTCCGTCGATATTGTATGCAGATATCCCGTGATCTTGATTGGTTTTGTAACTCATGTCCCGTTTAGAACAGCCGAGTGTGCCCGGGTTTCCTGCTGTTCGCTGTCGTCGTAAATCGGGACCTGCATATCCGGCGACATTGGTGAACGCATCGGTGCGAGATTCGTGGAACCGGGTCCTCTTCGTCTTGACCCTGTGATAGGCAGCATCAGCTATTTTTCGAGAATCATTGTGTGAGTCTTTTCGGGTTGCGTTGACACAAGCCAGGAGATCTGAACAACTTGACGTTCAAGTCCGTGCGAATGGTCACGATCTTTCCTTTTCCTGATCATTGGCCGTGACGGTATGAACGTGGCGGGAGCAGAAAGAACGACGTCGGCAGCTTTTTTTCGCGTCGCGGTGGACAGCTTCCCGTCTCTTCGCAAGTCCACATCTGCTCTCAGTCGCTCGGGTCGCTCATTCTGGATATCGTGCAAGTCCGTGTCTTCGCTCCATTGCTGTTGTCCAAATGCTCGCAGCGGCTGCAGTAAGACTCGACGTCAGACGCATCGCAAGCCATCGCCAAGTCAAGCTACAACGCGAACCTGAGAAACTTCGAAGTCAAATCGGCGGCAGTGCGAGACTGTGATTGTGTTGTTCTTTCGAGCATGACTGAGGAAGGGCCAGCATCATCTTGCGAACGTGAGCCAATTCAGCCGACCCTTGTGCAGTATCAGACTCAACTTTTGGATAGACTGCCTTATGTCGGTTCGTGACATCAGCAGGCAAAGAAAGGCGATCGCTTGGCTCGAAGCCTGGTCACCTCCGGATGAGAGTTGCGACACGGCATTACGCCGACGTTTACCCGGCCCACAGGCTCCTTTGTCGCTGCTCAAAGGCACTCGAGTACCCTGAGGGGTGTTGCAACCAGTTTCTTGGGCAGGCAGTGATTTCACTTTGGCCGAAGAGAATCCCAGGGCGCCTGAGCGGGAGCAATCAATCATATCTCTTGTTTTGCCTGGCAGCTTTCATCGACCCTTTGCAGGGGCATCGTGTCGCACTGCCAATGACTACAATCGCAGTCGGTACACAATCAGATCACTTCCTGATCGTGCCAGTGTCTCTAAATAAGACCTCCTCGCCGTCGGAACTGCCTCAAGCTCGACAGCTGTGCGGTGTTTAGTGCTTACCCGCGGAGTAAGATCCCCACAAAGCATATTGAGTTCGTGGGCTGAGCGTGGTGTCCCTAACGGTAAGTGCATGTTTCCAGGTGAACTGCTGTTGGGCTGCTCTGCTCTCCTAGAACTAATGACGTGCGGTATGTCGCGGCCGAGCCTATGCCGATGATGTCGATGGAGACGATGATGCAATGGTGCAAGAAATCCCTGGTCGTTGTTACAGTAAAAGGGAGGCTATATGTATATTGTACTCCCAGGAACCATCCAAGGAATAGTAATATATGCCACACCCAACTGCCGAGCATCGCGAGAAAAGGCGCCATCGTTCTAAACCACACCCCGGGAATTTCGCTGTCCGGCCTCGGTCCGACACATCCCTGGACAGGACCACCATGTACAACCCTCATGCTCAACGACCTCCCTCAGCAGGGCCTCCCTCATTGTCAGGCCGCGCGTCGATGGGTGGGCCTCCCCCGATGGTGCATTCCGAGCAGTACGAGCAGGAGTACGACGACGGCCGTTACGAACAACAACAATATTCCGATCCAGACGACGAGCAGGACGACTTCTACCAACGAAACAATGCGCCTTCCACATACGCTGACGGCTATCCCGTTGGATCCGTTGCCACCCAGTCTGTACGCAACCCCTCGCCCCCACCAGGTCCGATATTGGACCACTCTCACCTGCGACCGGGCAACCAAGCATCCCTTTTATCCCACCAACGCACCCTCGAGCTCTACCGCGCCAATGCGAAAAAGACACAAGACCCCGAGCTCCAGTTCGAGTTCGCCGTGTTCATGATCGACGCCTCCAAGTCGTTACCGATACCCGTATCCGAGCCCGGCAATCTCTTAGAAGTGGAGCGCGCGACGGAGAAGCGCGAGGAGCTCATCCGCGAGGCGACCTCGCTGCTCAAGCGGCTAGCAGACCGCGGACATCCCGCGTCGCAGTACTTCCTCGCCGACTGCTTCGCGAACGGAATAGGGACCGTCAAGAACAAGCAGGACTTTGACCGCGCGTACCCCCTGTTCGTGCTGGCCGCGAAGCACGGGCATCCGGACGCTGCGTACCGCGCGGGGACCTGCTGCGAGAACGGGTGGGGCTGTCGGCGCGAAGCGGCCAAGGCGCTGCAGTTCTTCCGCAAGGCTGCGGCCGCACTGCATCCCGGTGCGATGTACCGCCTGGGCATTGCAGAGCTCAATGGCGAGCTGGGCCTCAGTAAGAGCCCCAAAGAGGGCGTCAAATGGCTCAAGCGCAGCGCGGAGCACGCCACTGCCGAGTTCCCGCACGCACTCCACGAGCTCGCGCTCCTCCATGAACGTGGGATCGACAACGTGCTGTTTGTCGACTACGAGTATTCTACAGAGCTTCTGGCGCAGGCAGCAGAACTTGGCTACGCGCCCAGTGCGTATCGGTTGGGCGAGTGCTACGAGTACGGGAAGATGGGATGTCCGCAGGATCCGGCTTTGTCGATTCACTACTACGTGCGTTGTCGGTTTTGAAACAGGACTCCTTTTCTCATTCTCACTAACGCCGCAGAACATCGCTGCCCAACAAAACCATCGGGACGCCTGTTTTGCACTGACGGCGTGGTATCTTGTGGGATCGCCTGGTGTGCTTCCGCAGTCGGATACGGAGGCTTTTCTCTGGGCACAGAAAGCTGCGGATGCGGGCCTGGCCAAGGCGATGTATGCTTGCGGTTACTTTCTGGAGGTCGGCATTGGAACGCAGCCGAATCCGCGCGAATCCATGAGCTACTTCAAGCGGGCAGCGGAGCTGGGAGACAAGCGAGCAATCCAGCGGCTTAAGACACCGAACACGCCGTTGACATCGCCTGTTGGGCCAGGGGGCATGCTGCAGCGCGGCCCAGACGACAGCCCGGCTAAAGGAGGCAAGGACAAGGATTGTATTATAATGTAGTAGCCGATTACTTAATGGACGTATCTTACAGCTTTTTACTGGGTTTTGACGGTCTTTCAAAAGTAGAAGTCGTCTTCGTCTTCGTCCCAGTCGCTCCCGTAAATGTCTCGCATCATCTTTGCTTCATCATCGGAGTAGAACGTGTCGAGGAAGCTGGGCCAAAACAACCCTGGATCGATGTCGCACCGCTCCCACGACTGAAGAGCACGAGTCGGCGGTCCAGGAGGCATGGTGATTCGAAGCCTCGGTCGTTGGTTGTCGATACCAGGCACCTCCGGACAAGCCAGATTGCAGTAGTAGTCCTCGTTCAACACAAGATCATGAGTGATGTCGTGTTCTTGAGTTAGGTGATACGTCAATTCCGTCTCCTCCATCGTTCGCGACTCTGGGATCCCGTTGACATCAATGCAATGTGCGCAGCACCAGAGTGACCGAGGCAGCTGTGACACAGTAGCAATCGATTCCGTCTCGCTCGGATCTGTTCCATCAATGGTAATCACAGTCAGCTCGGTGACTTCGACCTCGAGACTGCGAGCGACGGCAGAATCAGCGTCATCCAATCGGTACCATGCGCCTTCGAATGCACTGTGTTCTTTCAGGTCATGTTTCAGCGCATTGCGCCAGTCGAACGCCCGTACTTCTGCGATGGAGTGCGAACTGGGCGCCACCGTCTGCGCCGAAGGACCTAACACAATCTGCTTCTGGCCGGGTCTGCTGCTGGGGCCTGCTTCGGCGCTGGGATCTACGTCTGCGACCTTTCTAAGGGCACAATGATGACAAGCGAATCTAGCAGAGGAAGCATCCATCTCTTCCACAGTAGTCACGTCGGGATCCTTTCCGCACAGAGCGACCAACAGTCGAATGACAGAGGGCGCGCGTTTATGCATCATGAGCGACGATGTGTGCCACAGCGTGCGATCATCGGACAGGCCGTTTGACAGCAGCGAGAGGAAGTAGGGCATACTGGACAGAGATGAGCCCGTCAGACAGCGATGGCCGAGAACACGGGGCCAGAAGAGTGGGAGTGCTGAGCCACTGCCACAGGAATTGCAGTGGAAAACTGTTGTTGCAAGCCTCAGTGTATCCGAAACTTCTTGGTCACTTTTGCTGCTCGAGTCAGTCCGATTCCGTTTCCGAAAGAGAGCCACCATCTCGGTTTCTAATCGCTCCCGCCAGGTCGCAAACATTGCAGGAAACTCGGGCAGCAAAACGTCAAAGGATTTTTCATCAACGCCGATCTCGGTCGGCTGATTGAGGATGTCTTCGATTTGGGTTAAACGATGAAAGTCTCCAGCACTAGGCATGACCTCAGTCCAGGGTAGTTGCGACCGCTTGTAGTTGCGTAGCACATTGTTCGCGACGCCTTTACGAACGAGAATGAGAGCACCACGCTCTTTTGCGATTCGCTTTGTCTTCATGGCTTCCATGTACTGCACGAGCTCCACCTTGATGCTAAGCCATCCTATGTCCCATCAGCTACGGCCAACGCAGGACGGAACAGGCTCGTACCGCGGTCGGTCAGTGGATTTGTACCTTTCACAAGTTTATGCGTTCTCAAATCGTCACGAGACTCGAGGCTTGTAATCTCAAAGCCCCAACCCAAAGCGGTGAGCCGATCGACGATGGCATTGTAGCGGTGGTCCTTGCGCGCGGTCAGCTCTTGCGACCGGTTGTCGGCTATCCCCCGAGACCATGCTTCACACAAAATCGAGTGCTGAAGTCGTCAGCATCGGAAGAAGCGTGGACAGCAATCGCACCTGCTTCAAGTCCTTGACAAGCTGGGTCTGTTCGCTGATGAAGGCCTCCTTGGCTTCCTCGGTTTCCAAAGCCAAGTACCGTGTCACAATATCCATGATATAAGGGCGAAAGAAAACGAGGTTCGCATGCCCTGTATTACAAAAAGTGAATTGATGATTCAAAGATATTGATATGGCCGACTTGCGAGTATAATCACGGCGAGATGGGGCTACATCTTGAAGGAGTACATCCGTTTTGGGGAAACAACCCAAACCAGATACACGCATGTCCAATCTAGACGCATGAGACAGACAAAGAGGGCTCAATCGGAGCACTCACGCCTGCGTTGGCCCGGCACATTTGGAACATATACGGACAAAGAGGGCCCAATCAATCTTTGCTTGTCAGGTGTCATTGCAGAGAGCACGAGAAGGGAATGGTTACCTTGCGAGCCACTTTTGAGCAGACCTGTGCGACAGCGATGAGGCCAGAAAAAAGAAAATGAGAGATTCTGATGCGCACCTGACAGGTCGTATTGAAGACAAAATCAGTCCACTGAGGCTCATTCATCCCTGGACGTGGTCCGGGGAGACCTGGAACATTGCTAATGGCGGCGCGCCATACCGTAACGGAGCTCCTGTGCATGAGTATGCCTCGCAATTCTCTAGATGTCCGAGCTAAGCGCAGCAGATCGTGAGGATGGAGATGGCCGAAAATCTGCATGAGAAAAGGCCTCAGCGCGTTGCGCAAGAGAAGTGAACTTGCTTGATGTTACCTCAAAGATAACATCCATCGGGATTGAGAGAAGGAGAGCGAGGCGACCGGCCTTGTATTTCCGCATACGTTTCGCGATTTGGACAGTCTCTACGCTTTCCAGCTTCCGTTTCTTGATTGCTCGTGCAGGGTGGCCACTCGATGCGGCCAGAGACGCAGTCTCATTATTGGCATTGATATCCATAATGCCCTGGATCACTGGTGTTTGAGAATCAAATGCGATCGTTTGGCCGCTGGGAGTCTTCGCGACTTTCGACTGGGCACAGTCCGCGCACACAGTGATGATGGAACTTTGCACGACAAGTCACTGTGTCTCGGAAAACGCCGAATTGGACTTCCTGAGAAGTAAACACGATCACGTGTCAAACATTACTTTCCTGTACTATTACTACTGATGACCATTGTATTTCCAGCTCACCGATAGCACTATTTTGGAAGATTTCTCGCGCGTTTCTTCGGTCCGGGATGAGCATAGTTGCCGTGCGCATGCGCGTCTCATCCGCCATCGACGTTTGCCAATCGTTTGCCGAGTCAACGCGTGGCAGAACTCATCAAGCTTACGAGATATATCACTTGCCTTAAGACACTGCCGAATGGCCGTTCTGCAAATATACATCCACCGTGACCTTCAAGCTCTTTAGCCCCGCAATGCATATCATACTCACTGGCGCAACCGGTACCGTTGGACACGCCACCCTCCGGACTTGTTTGGCATCTTCAAAAGTTACTCGTCTCTCTATCTTATCCCGACGAGAATTTTCTTTGCCAGAAGGGGATGGCCTGGACTCTTCCAAAGCCAAAATCATCGTCCACAAAGACTTCAATTCGTATCCAGTTTCTCTGACTGAAGAACTCAAGGATGCCGATGGCTGCATCTGGGCTCAGGGAATCAGCCAGACACAAGTCTCGAAAGAGTGGGCACAAACGACGCCACTCACACGATGATTTTTGAAACACCCGATTTACAGTGAATACATCAAGATAACATACGACTATCCACTGGCTGCCGCAAAAGCGTTCGCAACGCTGTCGAACAAGTTCAACTTCGTCTATGTATCTGGTGAAGGGTGTGTTTTGTTCCGCGGGTCGTTGGCATTCGCGCTGATCTCGTGTAGCGCTGACCAAGCTGAGAAAGCATCGACGCTGTTCGGAAAGATCAAAGGACGAACAGAACGCGCTTTGCGTCAGCTCCCATCGGAACCTTCACTAAGCTCACTCCGTATATTCAATGTCCGCCCCGGCTTCGTTGACCCGGTTCCCGAGACGTACCAGGCGGCGAGCTTGCCCAAGCGTATGCTATGGTCAACATCCCGTGTCATCGCAAAGGCTATGCCAAGTATGCATTCGCCTGCTCTATCATTGGGCCAAGTCTTGGTGGATCTGGCCACAGGAGACGGCAGTCCGCTGGCTGCGGGGCCGGGAGTGGAGGATGAAGGAAGATTAGTACGGTCTGTCGGCATTCGTCGTTTGCAAGGCTTGTAGCAGACCATCAGATAATTCCATGTTTTTGAAGCTTCGGAAGGGTCGTTATCTTGGAACCAGCTCTTATTATCTTCTGCTGTATCTGGTTGACCGTGAGATCTTGAGAGCTGAGGGAGAGTCAAGTGGCTGTGCTGATCTGGACCGAAAGCACGTGGGCAGATTCCCCTTCGATATGGCGTCCACCACCCAACTCGTCCAGTTCCTGCAGGGGACCCTCAATGCCGACCCGAACATCCGAATCTCGTCGGAGCTCAGCCTGGCTCAATTTCTCACTCTGCCAGGCGCGTCACCCGCACTCTTCCTCCCTAGTCCACGATCAATAACTCTCCCTTCCTCTCGTCGCGTTCAATAGACGCGGGACTAGCGCTTTCCTCTCTCGTCTCTGCGAAAAATGAAGAGATGTCCCTTAGGCAGATGAGTCCTGCGCGTTCTGCAGCTTTAAACGCGTCTTGATGACTTTTTCTCCGCCTAGCACTCCGCGAGCATCATGCTGCGCAAATACGTGACGGAGCACTGGTCGAAATACTTTTCGACGTTCAAGGGTAGCGAGCCCCCGGCTGAGGTATTAGCTCTCCTATTCTCGATGATCTACTGACTGATCAGCGCTTCTGTAGATCAAGGCTCAGATTCGTCAAGTAGTGTTTTCAGGCCTGTCGGATCCAGATCGCAAAATCAGGAGTCTCTGCGTGCGTCTCAAGTATCATGGACATGTGTCATCCGCTAATCTCGCTCATCTCTTTAGGCCCATGTTCTCTCCTCGATCGCGAGCTCGGACTGGCCGGATGAATACCCAGACCTACTTCCTGCCCTCATTGGCCTGATCTCGTCAGGATCCTCAGACTCCGTCCATGGGTCCATGCAAGTCTTCACGGAATTCATCAAATCGGAGCTGTCAGAGGCACAGATATTACCTGTTCTCCGTGACCTACTCCCTGTGTTGCTGTCCATCTTGGGAGCTCCGCAGGTGCGTGACTAGCTCTGCAAATCGAGTGCCTCCTGACGCAGACAAGACACACTCTTCCCTCACCCGTGCACGAACTGTTTCGGTGTTCAGACAATGTGTGACTGCATTGTACATGGTCAAGGGACAGCACCCCCAAGCTGTGAAAGACGCTATCTCGACTTTTCTTCCCACTTGGCTCGAAGCCTTCAAAGTCTTATTGAGCAGCGACCCTCAGGCCGAAATATCAAATGCTCAGGATTGGGATGCGCTAACCGTTCGCATCCAAGTGTTCAAGGTGCGTAGAGTAGGTATCCAAAGCTGCCCTTCTTCTGATCGTCGCTCAGACGCTTGATACCATTCACACTTCCTTCCAGAAAGCTCTTACCCCACATCTCGATGATTTCCTCTCGCTGTCACTGAACCACCTCCGTTCTCTCTTCGGTACCTTCTCTCAGTACTATCTGACTGGGAACGATTCTGCTCCTCGCTCTTCCGACAATGAGGCTGTCGAATTGCCACAACTTATCTGTCCTATTTTCGACTTCGCCGGTGCTGTCAGCCGAGGCAGCAGGGCCAAGGCTTGGTTTGCAAGCCAGAATCTGGAGGCCTTCGTTGGTGCTGTCTTCAACTACTTACAGATGACTTGCGAGGATGTGAGTTCGCTTGAGATCCCATTGGACACGCCATCTCATTCCCTTCAAGGAGGAAAATTGGGCTTCGGACCCAAATGCCTTTGTCGCCCAGGAGGATGACCAAACTCAGGCTTATAGTGTCCGAGTCGCTGGCTTTGATCTTCTTTCCGTGAGTTTTCTCTACGTCGCATCCATCACAATCACTGACAGTGATCCAGTCCTTGATCGACGCTACGCAAGTCCGGACAGTGAACGCTTTTCAAGTTACGATAGAGCAGATCATCACTGCTTCCCAGCAGGGGCGAGAGGGCGGTAGAAAAGGCTGGTGAGATATTGCCATATTCCGCTTGCATCAGCTCCCTCGTCTGACTGCATTCATTCAAGGTGGAAACCTTTAGAAGCTGGGCTTGCCGCTATTGGATCGCAATCGGAGGCTGTCCAAGAATGCGTGGAGGATGAGCAAGACGCCGAACGCCCCAAACCTATCGACATCGAATATCTCCTCAGCAATGTTGTTCCCTCTATATTGACTCTCTCGGGTAACAGAAACAAGTCGACGGTCACTGCCCATTACTGATAGTCCCATAGAGTTTCCATTCCTCCAGGGTCGCGGGTTTGTATTTGCGAGCCAGTACTCTACGCTCTTACCTGCTCAGCTGGCGGGTCAATATGTAGATGCTGCCGTCCAAGTCGTCGAGGCCAGCGAAGCAAGCGTGCCGGTGAAGATCTCTGCGGTCCGCGCAATATACAAGTTGGTTCATCGCTCTGTTCGGAAACTCCTGCTCATTTTCTCTCAGTTTCTTCCAGGGTGGAGATGGGTTCACGCTCGCACCCTTCGCTTCGAGAATAGCCAAGGATCTTGGCCCGTTCCTTCTGGCAACATCAGAAGACACTCTTTCTCTTGTTCTCGAAACGCTTTCCGTTGTTGTTTCCATCGACAAGGGCTCTTGGATCACTACCGATGTGGCAAGCGCATTAGTCGCTGTCATTCTCGAAGTTTGGACCAAGAACAACGAAGATCCGATCTTTTTGTCGAATGTGGATAACATCTTGACGTCGTTGGCGGCGTCCTCGGCAGAAGGAATTTACCCGACGGTGGTCAAGCAAGCTCTGCCCATCTTATGCTCGGCGATTAGCTCCACCCCTCTCGAGCAGTCCTGGATCACGGCTTCCGCAATCGAACTGGTTAGCAGCCTTATCACCGGTGCCCAGCAGGGAAAGCTCGGCGATGGATTCTTTGCTGTGCTAGCACCTGCGCTATTCAAGTCTATAGCTGAGGCTGAAGATCGAGATGTGCTCCAGGTACGCCACATTTCCCGCTCCAGGTCCGACTCTGATGCTCTTGTAGCACGGTATCTCATGCTTGACCCTGGTGATTCGCAAAGATTGTAAACAACTGCTCTCCTGGTCCGACTCAGGTCGTAGTGGTCTTGACAGTGTCTTCGGTGTGATTGCCAATGCGCTGCAGAGCCGGGATGAATCGGGCGGATTGGTCATCGGGGATCTGATCATTCACTTGCTTCGCAGAGCCGGTGAATCCGTGCTGCCTGTGCTGCCGGAGCTCTTGCAGGCTATGATTACCCGCATGTTGACAGCGAAAACTGCTACGTTCCTCCAGGTCCGGCATTTTTTAGCTTATGAAAGATTGTGCTCACAGACAGGCAGAGTCTTATCATTCCCTTTGCTTTTCTCATAAACAACCAGCGCGACACGGTGCTGGATTTGTTGGAATCTATGAACGTGGAGGGTCGATCTGGGCTGGATATTCTCATCCAAACGTGGTGCGAAAACGCAGTGACATTCCAGGGCTTTTGGCCCTCGCGTGTCAGCACTTTGGCGCTGTCGCAGTTGTTCATGTCGGACCGCACGGCTCTCACCAGTCTGGCTGTGAAGGGGGACATCATACTCAAGCCCGAGACCCGAAATGGTAAGTCTTGTCTTCCGTGGACGGCGCAACATTGAGCATGCGGACGTCGCAGTCATTATGACACGGTCCCGAACGAAGCTTAGTGCGTCGAAAGCCAGTCCAGCGATCGATGCCTATGACTGACTAAGCCAACAGGCCCACTGGAGTTCAGCTCGATTCCGTTCCATCTGAAGGCGCTCAAACTGCTGGTGCACGAAGTGCAAGCGGGAGGCGAATCTGCGACTATAACAGCCCAGGGTGATACCTTCGATGTGGAGACAGACGATGGGGTAAGCGTCCCTTGCCACCGTTCCTCCGATGTATCTCATTTCGCATAAGGACGAGGAGTGGGCCGAGGAGGAGAAGCTGGAGGACAACGACGAGTTCCAGTACCTGTCCGAGCTGATTGGACCGAAAGGCGTTGCTTTCGACAATGATGATGTTCTCGAGGGCGATGACGACGAGGACCTCCAGCAAGATCCTGTTTCCACTATGGACATGCAGGCAAGCATTTGTTTCAATTGAATATTACAGCCACCCCTGACTTTCTGCAGGCACATCTGCTCTCGTTCTTCCGCGAATGCGCCGCGCGCAACACAAACAACTTTAGCAGTATTGTCGACCAGATGAGCGCAGGAGAAATGTTTGTCATCCGCCGGATTGTTTCTCAGTGATACCTCCACTAGTAAATGTACACTAAATATATATCTATCCTACACCGGAATTCTATCATAAGCCTGCTAGAAACTCAAGTCCTTGCCCAAATCCCATTCGCGCACCGAGCCTGGTTTGTCGTACTCAATCTCCATCACATTCGCATTACCTCCCGTCCAGCGCTCGCCCACTTCACTCGACGTGAACTTGGTCTTACTGCTGCTGCTACCGCTCTTCACCCCGAGCCGTTCCATCATCTTTTGCTCCGCTTTATCCTGCTCTCGCTGCCGCAGCAATGCTAGCATCGCATCCCAACCATCGTATTCGGCATTGTTGATCATCCCAGTTGCAGGCACTTTCGGTGCCGTCAACGGCGCCACATCTAGCCGCGGATCATACGACTCCTCGAAATACTTGTCCATCTTCGACGGCAGCTGCGCAGCAGGCTCGGGTCCTGGTGAGGGCGAGGACGAAAGTCTTCGGCGCTTGCTTTCACGCTTAGACCTCGCTGGCGGAGGAAATGATGGCGGTGGAGGAGGCGGCGGTGCTTTCGGTTCAGGAGGGCGCCCGTCAAACGGGACTTTATGCTTGCCCTTGGTATCTTCCTTTTTACCGTTTTTATCCGTCTTTTTTCCCTGCGAATCTTCCTGCTTCTTGACCTGGGGGTCCTCCTGCTTCTTGACCGTCGTGTCGTCTACAGACGTCTTCAATCGTTTCCGCAGCACGTCTTCGTGAGAGACAGCATCTACGAATGAAGCAGCATTTGTCTCCATGGACACAGGAGAAGGCGAGCGTCTCCGTTTCCCAGAGCGAGACTCGTTTCCGTTCGCAGCTTCAGTGGACGATGACATGGAAGGTGAACCGTCGCGGTGATCCTTTCCGCTTGCAGAAGTCCCCGCCTCCTTCTCATCATCCAGATTCCGGCTGCGCGATCGATGCCGGGACTTGCAACTAGACCGCTTTTCGTCCCGGTGCCGACGCGAACTGCTGCCCTCGCCGCGATCACGAGACTGAGAGCGGTCGCGACGGTGCTTGGATGCAGTGTGTTTGTCGTCGTCCCTGTGTCGATGATCTGTCGACCTTGACCGCCGCCGACTCGGCCGGTGGTCTCTATCCCGCTTCCGTTCCTGTCCCTCGTCCCGACGTTTCTTGTCCTCGTCCTCGTCCTCACCATCCCATGTTTCCCAGTTTCGTGGTTTTCTCTTGGCCCGCTCGGCTGTGCGGCCATCCCAGTGGTCCCACCCATCCTTCTCCTCGCGTTTTCGGTGACTCCGGCTGCCCCCGCTTCGACTGCCATGCGACCGCCGCATCTTCTCGGCTGCAACCGCCTCTTCCGCTCGCGCCCGCCGCTCGCGCCTCTCGAGCTCGTCTCTCTCGCGCTTCAGTTCCTGCGCCGCTTGCGCTTGTGCCTGTAGAATAGTTCTATTGTGGTCGTCTGTGCTTCGTATGATGGATGTCAGGAATCGTTTGTTCGTGCGCGGAGCGCTGCTATCCGAGCTGAGAGAGACAGATGAGTCATTGAAACACCCTCTCGTTGTATTGCACGGAACCTACATCCCGCTACGCAAGTACGCTTTGATTCCATCCTGTCCGAATCGCTCTGCCTTCTTCTTGGCCTCTTTGAGAATGAGCTCGGCGACGTGGCGGTCGAGATCATCGTCTGTGACTTGTTGCGGGACGGAGTTCCCCATCGAGGCGCGAACAAGCTCGGCCACTACCGAGGAAAGAGTGGACATGTTGGTCGTGGTAACCTGCGCAGCGTGTCTTGTTTGGGAGCATCTACTCAAGGTGGCTATGCCGGTCCATTAGGCTCCGTGACATCGCGCGCGCTCTGCGCTCTCGCGTTCTCAACGGAAACAAGTGCGATTCATGAGTTGGGACGGCCGCTCTCTAGGTTGCAATTATGAGTACAAGACATGTCTGGACTGGTTTTCTGATTTTTCCATGCCGCCCGTTTCCACCTCTATTGGGCCTGCCGTGTGGCTGATAATAAGAATTTCAATTTTAGGACTTGTGGCTGAAGTGTCTTGGAGATGTCTCTAGGTTATGATTGTGAGCCTTGAATATAGTACTCATAGTTAGTTCTACGGCGGTTGTCGCTTCGCATCAGCCCATCAAACTTCCCAAATGCAGATCTGTAAACAATCGTTTATTCAAGCAATTGCTGGGTAACTATCAAGCAGCTGGGCTATCTAATCTATGGGCATGTTGTACAGATCCGTTGACTATTCGAAGTGTCGAAAAGTCATAGAAGCATTAAATCAGAGATTAATGGGAATAAAGCAAATAGTAGGTTGTCCGGTTCCATAGAATGGGATCGAGATAGGATGAGGTACTGGAAGCTCAGATGGATGTGGGGTGATGTACAATGGCGCGTGAGGGGGTCGTGAGAGATCGTGAACTTGGTAGAAGAAGGCAGGCCATGGACTAATGGTCTAGACTGGCTCGATTCCATGCATCAGTGGCATCGAAACCGTTCCTCTGCGTAAACTTGTGTCAGCAAAGAGTAAAAAAGGCTTCAGTCAAACCACGCACCATGGCCGCACGAAAGACCCGAGCATCTCTGATCATCTCCAGCTCAATGCCATGATACGCGCAGACCAGCTTGAGCGCCGACAAGTGCGGGTTGCGTTCAGCCCCATTCCACATCCGGAGCGTGATGCCCCGCAGTTCCCCCCTTCTCAATCGAACAACATCGAGCAACGGTTGCAGAAACGTCCCGTCATGATCCAGTGCCAGTGCGATGCGTCGCAGCCCAGATGGGAAGTAGCCAGGTTTGAAGAGCACTGCCGCTGCCCGCGGCTGATCAGTCCTCAACGAACGCAGATCAGGGCAGCGTTGCACCGTCTGCACTTGCACAGCAGTCGAACAGGCAGGCAGTGCCAATGAGTGTAGTGTCTGGCCCTGCGTGTCGAGCAGAAAGTCCATCACCTCTGGGGAGACGTCGCGCGTCAGCTCGAGCACGTCGAGGACAGAATCTTGTAGAAGCCACTGGACAAAATCGATGGAAGGCGAAGCCTGGAAGTTCATGCGAAGCTCCCGCAGCTGAGAAGGCGGCCAGCAGCCCGGTGCGTCCGTCGGCGTGGACCCGCTCAGAGCGAGTGAGATCAACTCTGGCCACACTTCAAAGAGTCGCAAGACGGACTCGTGGTTCTCGGACCAATTGCTAAGCTGGAATGCGCGAATGCGAGGTCCTGCCTTGAGGCACTCGAGAGTTTTCTCCTCGAACGAAGGTGATGAGCGCCGCACACGTAACACGTCGGCAACACCGGTAGATTCCTTTCCTGGAAATGTCGACCCGTAGACAGAGAGGTCGAGGCTGAGAAGATTCGGGCACGCGCAAACCGCGTGCGCGAAGGAAGTCTCGGAAAGACCCTTGGGTTGATTATAGTCCAACACGACCCTTAGCTGAGTGACAGACTCGCCCAACACACGGCCTGCTGCCGTGCGCGGGTGCACTGCGGAGAGGAAGGAGGCACAGGCGTCCTCGGTGACCAGATGCACGGTGCGGAATAGTAGCTTTTGAGCGGGGAGTGACCAGTCCCGGCATACCAACGCGCACTGACGGAGCAGTGCGGCATGTTCGAAGCCTTCGCCGTCAGATGCGTCTTCCATAATGCATAGCACGAGTTCGAGGGGTAAGCGAGGTGTGCGAGAGTAGGCTGGAGGTAGTCGCTGCACTGGACGGGAGGTATCGTCAATGTTCGTTGGGCGAAAGAAGGCAAGCAAAAGGTCGCGAAGTGCGCGAGGAGAAAGGGAAAATAGGGAGGTCATGATGAAGGGGGAAAGACGGAAGGAATTGAGGGAAATGAAGTCCGATACTTATAGCGGGTAGAAACATACCTCATAACTACCTCCGACTATACTCCAAATCGGTTGAACCAGTGCATGGCACGCCTCGAGTCAGCGCACAAGTCAGACAATTGCAGAACCGCCAAAAAAGACATCGTGAGAATCGATCGCATGCTCCTTCTCCTCGGCAACCTTGACGGCGGCGATCTCGTTAGCGCGTATCCATCTCGTCCCGTTGCCTGCCACCGGGAACAAAGGGAATGGAGAGGGTCATCAACAGGCCGTCAGACTGTGTTCTCCATTTCACCGCCCACTTGATCGATGAACTCATGCTCACAGGGATGGCCCTGCGGTCACGGTTGCGCTGTGGGGCAGCTCCATTCCATGATTGCCATTTGTGTTTACGAAACGACCACAAGGGGTGTAACCGCGTCTCATGTTCTCCATTCGGCCGCAGCCTCGCGCGATACGCGTCCAATAGCGACAGTACGGGTAGCCTAGTCCGTTCTTCTCGTGTTTTCACAAACAATGGCCCTTTCATGACAAGCCCCATTTGCGCGACCACCACGTAACCGTCGCGCCTGCGCATTCATTGGGCGCGGTATTCGCGGGCATGCCGCCCTTCCAAGCCTGATCTCGCAAACTCGCTGACGGGCTTGGGGTGACCAAATCATCGACGACGGATGCTGCCTGTGGCCAGCGGGCTGTCAGCTAGAAGAAATGCGCCCCTAACGCGGATTGAGCGTTCCGGCGATTTCTAATTGGCTCTTAGACTCTTTTGTGGCGCACGGTGTGGACGTGCAAGTCGCGAGCGTTCTCGAATCCCCAGTCTACCTCGCTGAATGGTAGTACCAGCAAACTCCAACCGTCCTACACCCGGCCCCTGATCCACGTCCAACAACCTCTGAATCGAAACGTGTGTCCGCCCATTTGCGGCCATGAGCTTGAGCTTGCAGCTCAGAATCTGATAAAACTGACGTTTTTTTTGGCAAGATCAACCAACATTTTTCCTGTTGCGAGCCGGGACTCGAACGGTCCGCCGGAGCTCCATGTTGGTGACATGTGGTGGAAGACATACATATGTAGATGCGTGTCACAGTTCGCAACCCATCCACACCACGCATAGCCACTTACGCGAAACCAAGTCCGACTCCAGCCGACAATTAGCCAATTCGTTTTTTGTGTCACCTGTGACTGATGCCACTGGCCACGATGCTTGGCGACTTGGTAGTGCCGGAGCTCGCCAAGGCTCGCTGCAAATAATTGTTTCGCATTGAATGAACCCCGGGGCCACGCTTTTTATGCGTATCACCGGGGGCGCCGGTCTCCATTTTTTCCCTGCCACGCCACGGGCGGGAGGGTTTTTGCAGCCGAAGTCTGGCTTGCCCTGGCCCAGCAAGCACAAGCGCTGACAGGCTTTCGAAATTTGAGTCATTGGCAATCCAGGAACATACCATCGTCCTGAGTGTTGCGTTCATCCAAGTTGGCAGTCAGTTATCGCAGCTTGATGGGGATGCAGCTTGGATCCTTCCGCTTGATAGATGATGTAAACTCACTCCTGGAAGCCATTGTGTTCACTTTAAGCTCCGCCCGAATGTCTGCGGAATTTTTGCTTGCCCATGGGGACAACAATGGGATGCGGGCACCCTGGTTCCCAGGTGGGTTGGGGCTTCCCAGGCTTCCTCTGGATTGCCGGCGCGCACACACTTGCGCTGGGCCTGGAGCGCTGGTGGTCCCACAAGGGGCCCGGGGGAGTTCAGGCTTTTACGTGTCCTTCTCTGTTGATCTTAATTATCGATGACGCTTGTACTATGTTCCCAGTCGACACTCGTCCATTCATCACGTATCGAGCAGGTAATTGCGACTGCGAATCCTATTTGCGTGATTCCGGAGCCTATTAGGTAGAGCTTGGAGTGAGTCCAGCAGCCTCTAGAGTTGTGCACCTGCTAGTCTAGATTAGTCTGGAGGATGAAGCCTCGCGACTGCAAGCGTGGCAGAAGTATTCCCAATATGGGAACTTCCTTACCCAAAGAAGCAATTGATCCGAAATGGCGGCTGAGAATCAGCGTTCACAGCCCGAAGTGAGACTCTTTACACTCTCCTTCTATCCCGCGTCTCGTTCTCAATACCCTCTCCAGGACTTGGCAGATGGACGCAGACAACCCTTGTATGGATGGACATGCTTGGGCCGCACACTCAGTGAGCCCATGAGAATCGATAGGGGCGCTGCGTAATCGATCGACCTTGTCAATGTCGGTCAGCAGCCCTCCGACGCTGCCCCCCTCATCCAACCGACCATGAGCCGCCTATCCCGACTGCGCGCACTCGCTGCCTCATCCTTCGTCTTCTCCATGGTCGCACAGGCGCGCGCGCTCCTCGACGCCCTCGCCCCCGCCGGGTCTGCCTCCGCTTCCTCAATGGTACAGAGACTCGGCGGGGCCAACGATACATACTCGCCCTACGCGCCGCACCCATATTTCCTCGCCGCGCTCTTCCTCTCGCAGGTTGGTGTCCAGTTGTACTGGCTGCGGCGGATGTATCCTTCAGCGGGACAGAGCGCCAGTTGCTATCAAGGAGGAAGGACCCGGCGGCGCGAAACGCCCGAGACTGAGGTGCTCTGGGAGGCAGAGGAAAATTACATAGGCGATGGTGGAGCGGCCTTCGACGCCATCCCGGTAGCGCAGGCCGAATCTCTCTGCGAGCCGACACAGATGGTGTATGCTCCTTTCTACATCGGCGGGAACCTCCTTGTCGGTATGTGCCACAACTAGGCGTCGTGGGTGGGGGTGCCTGCTGACTGGTGTTTTCTTACAGGCGCGTCGTTTGTGGCGGGGATGCTCAGCAATCACGTCCTGCTGTCCCAGAGCCTCGTATTGTGCAATTGTGCAATGCAGCTCGCCTTTGCGCTGATCGTCCTGCGCCCGTCCGGAGGCTACCCGCTGACGAGGGCCAACCGCACGACGCATCTGGTCGCAAAGACGAACGCAGGGGTGTCCGTGCTGCATGCGCTGTGGCTGACCTGGGGCATGCTGTCCCTCGGCGCCGGTCGGCCGCGCATCCAACAGCAAGCGCACTGCGGGGTGCTGCTGGTCCTTATTGTGCGTTCCAGGCGCTCAGCGTTCTCGCGGTACTACGATACTGATTAGGCTGCTGCTGCTGCTCTGTGACAGACGTGCGCTTCTGGCCCGGATCCCACCCTCGGCATCTGCATCTTCCTCGACCTTCTGGCGCTGATCGCGGGGCGGACGGACGATCCGTGGCGCCTGGCGTTTTCGTGGATGACGGGTGTCGTGCTCGCGATCGCGGTGTTGGACTTTTGGCTCGACTGGCGAACAAGAGGGCGACTGTTTCAGCCCCAGGCCTATGACCACGGGATGTCAGGCTCGGGCTACGAGGAGGACCCGGAAGTGCGACATGCGCCGCATCAGATCTGGCTGGCGGAAATGTCTACAAGACAGCGCGATCGCGTTTAGAAGGAGAAGAGGATTGTGCAACGAAATCACACGAGCATTGGCAATTACTTGTGTGCAACACAGCGAATATGTAAGTACTGTAACCCAGATATAAATAAACCATCACATAGCGAGTCCTTCGAAATAAATAGTGCCATTGCTGGCGGTGCTGGTGCGGTTGTCATCTTTGGCCAGCGCCGACGATGTCGTCGACAGCCGGAGATGCTTGGGCGTTAATGGCATCTGAGACACCCGGACCGAAGGGCCGGGATCAGCGAACGGGTTGACCGGATCAGCGAACGGATCAGATGGCGCCATGGTGGAGGCCCATTGGGGATCTTTGCTCGCGAGGGAGCGGGCGAACGTGTTGGAGTCCCAGGCCATCGGTTCTTGAGTGTCGGGGCCGGACGGAGGGTCGACTGCCAAGCTGAACGTCACGGGTTTGGCGCCCTCAACCTGGGTCGTGTCAGTGATGTCGAAGGGCTTGGGCGCATTGAACGGAGAAGCGACAGGCGGAGCCACCATTGAGAAGGCCGGTTCGCCCGGATGGCCCGGGGCCGAAGCCTCGAGATCTCGGAAGGGAGAATCGGGCCGGGAGCCAAGATACAAAGCTCGACTACGGCGGCGTTTGCGGACGCAAAGGATCAGGAGGATGGCTGCGACCGACAACACCACGCCGCCGACGATGCCACCGATCATCGCTGGCATTTTGCTGGCACTGGCGCTGCAAGCGAAGGTAAAAAAAATAGCCAAGTGTGAGCAGGTGGTGTAAGCTTACTTGGCCTGGGAAGGCGCAGAAGTGGCGCCCGGGCCAACACGGAAAGTGGAAGTGGCTATGGGAACCGAGGTGGAAGACGTCACAAGGACGGGCACGGAGGTCAGCACGACTGCTCCACCGGACGTAATTTGGGTGGGCTTGAAGGATGTGAACGTCGTCAAACTCGGGCTGAAGACCGTCGTGACGCTGTCCGTCGGCTCGGCGTCGTGCCCAAGAACCCTGCAAACGTTGAAGGGGATGCGGGAAACAAAGAAACAAGGAAACGCACTTGGCACCCGCCAGCTGAGAAACAGTCCGTGTAGCCGTCGCACTGAGAAGCACTTAGTTGGCCGACGACGCTCCCTCACAATGACGTCACTCACAGAGCCTCGGTAGCCGTCGCGGCCTGGCTAGTGGCTGCGACTGTCGCCGTAGTTTGCACAGCTTCAGCCGAAGTAGCCGCCAAAGACACGCCCGCACCCTGATTTGTGAGATCCGTCGTCGCTGCTGGCGGCGGGATAGATGCGGCGACGACCGTCGTCTCCGCCGCAGTGACCACACCGTTCGTGTTGGCCTTGGCCCGAGTCGTCGCAGTATTCACACCCGCGGCATCGGTCGCAGTCGCAGCATTCGCGGCATCCGTGGCGGTCGCAACAGTCGTTTTGCCCTTGGTCGTGGCGATCACTGTTTGGGTAGTGGGGGGAGAAACGCTATCGGTGGCAACAGCTGCCGTAGCCTCATTTGTGGACGAAGAATTGTTGTCCTTGCCCTGTCCTTTACTTCCAGCGGCGGTGCCTTTACCAGTTTGGACGGGAGCAGCAGCAGTCGTCGAAGTGGCAGCCACAGCCGTGGAGGTATCAGCCAAAGTCGTCGGGGGCTCCGCCGCGGTAACAGTTGCACCGGCAGTCGTCTGCACAGTCGCCGTCGCCGCATCGGCTGTCGACGAAGTTTTGACACCTTTCCCGCTCCCATTCGAGTTCCCCTTGCCGTTTTGGCCACCGTCGCTCGGCGGAGAGTTGTCTGTGGCCGTCGTGGACGGCGGAGCTGCTGATTGAGCCGTGACCACAGCAGTCGTCGAAGTCGCGGTCGCACCGGGATCGGTGGCCGTCGTTTGAACTGCCGCGGTGGTTGCATCGGCGGCGGTGGATGAACTCTTGGGGCCCTTTCCGCCCTTGGGTTTCCCCTTGGACGTGGTCGTCACAGGCGGAGCCACCGTCTGCGCCGTGGTCGAGGCAGCCGTCGGGGTAACAGCAGCGGCTGTTGTTTGGACTGTCACAGTCGCTGCGTCGGCAGTCGAAGAGTCGCCTTGTCCATTAGAGCCTCCGACCTGGGCAGTCGTGACTGGAACGGAAGTCGTGACATCGGACACCGTTGTCTGGATAGCTAAAGTCGTGGCAGACGCAGACTTGTTGCCCTTTGAGCCCTTGTGAGGCGGCTTCCCGGCGGTGATAGTCGACGGAGGAGCGGCGGTCGCCGAAGCAGCCGTGTCGGTCGACTGGGTGGCAGTCGCCGTAGTAGCTATGATGACACTGCTAGTCGGCTGCTCCACCGGAACGGACGGGCTGGACGAATCGGTAGGTGCCACGCTTAAAGCCGAAGCCGAGGACGTCGTCGACGGGGCGGAACCGGACGGTGCAGCAATCCCCTGGCTGCTCTGCCCATGGTGGCTGTGAGTCGTGGCAGGCTGACTGGTGGCAGCTGCAGACAGGGTGACAGATGTTGCAACCGAGCTCGAGCTGGGCTGAGCAGTATTCGACGCACTAGCAGCCACGCTAGTCGGGGCCACAGTTGTGATCGCCGCAGAGGATGCTACAACACTGCTGGTAGTGCTGGTGGCCGCATCAGAGCTCGGACCTAGGGCCGAGGCCGAGGCTGCGTCGCTAGATACGGAGATCTCGGCAGTGCTCGAAACAATGGCAGACGTTTTGACATCAGCCGACGTTTGGGAGATCGACTGCGGAGTTGCCGACTGCAAGGTCTTGGAGATGGCTGCCTCAGTGCTTGATGCTTTATCCGCAATCGTCTCGACGACGGACGAAGTGGCAGCAGTGGGAGCGGCCGTCGGTTTCGGTTTCACATTAGTCGTCGAATCCGCACTGGAAGTGGTCTTCAATCCAGCGGAGGATTTGGCATCTAGACGACATAAGATACCCGACCCAATCGCAACAACAACACGCACCCTTGCTGACATCCGTTTCGCTACCAGCGTCGTTGGCAGAGATGGCAGTTGTTGAGCGTTTCTGAGCAGAGCACAATTGGTTATTCATGAATCGATTGGGTTCCGCTCGATCTTTTGAGCGGAACGCCTTATCACGATTACTCACAACTGATGCTGATTCATCCGTCTCAACGCCATCCGCATCTGAACAAGTCACCCTTAACGAACCTTGATGATGATGCTGAGAGAGTTGGGCTATACCTGTGTGCACTGCCGCCCTCTCGTTTGAGTGAGCCCGAGACCCGAGAGCTATGCGGTGCGTGAGTGATGCGCGTGAGAGCGCGTTAGAATGGCTGCGTACCATTGCCCGTCACGTCATTATCCGAAGAAAAGGAAGAGGAAGAGCCCGAAGAAGAAGGAAAGAAAGGCTGACGCGCTACCTGAGCAGCTGAGATGTCGAGGACGCGAATGAGTCAATGCAGGTAGATGTGCATCACGGAAAAGCACACCGTCGGCAGAAGAAAGGTCTCGCGGTCGACCGAAGTGACGAAGCAAAGCGGGCATAGCAGGGTACGAACGAATCGACTAGTAGCAGAAGAACATGGAGGGAGGAAGAAAGCACAAATGATCAGCGTCTTCCGTTCATAGCCGGATGACAACCCATTAGCCAGGGAATCAGTTGTGATGCATGGGTGATGCGAAGAGAAGTTATCACACATGTTGCTGTAGGTGGTAGCTGATACGGGAAGCCGTCTACAGTACGTGCGTGGCATGTCCGGATGGGATGATGACGGAGGGACCTGCGACAGACGGACCGACGGGGTTGCTGATGTTACTCCTGAGATCTGAAACCTGGCACAGGCCGGACAGAGACATGATGTGTTGTTGGGCTTGCTTCGATTCGAGTACGTGGTTAGTACGCGGTTTGATCCAGCATAGATGTTCTACCTCTCCCGACAATGACGGTCAAGACGAAAGAGTGCATCCTCGGCGCTTTGTCTTCGGATGCGGTTGGTTCACGTGCACGATCAAATATGCCAATTGAAGACCTTAGATAGAACGCTTTCGACTTCCACGGCTGGAGCCGTTCTTTCTTTTCTCTTGACGACATATGGCGAAGCCCAAGCAGCTGGATACTCGACGCAGGTCCCTCTCGGACCCCCTCGCTGCCGCCCTCCTACCTCCGGCAAATGAAACTGAAGAAGCACGCGAATTACGGCTGAAGGCTGCAGACGACGCAAAAAGAGTCAGCGATGGAATCGACGAGATGATAAGGAATGAGCGCAGCTCGCGGAAGAAGTCGCGTGCGGAGGTACACGTTCTCCTCTTGGGCCAGTACGTGTTCGTTCTCGTCATTTCTAATTCGGGCTGGATGGTCGTCTCAGGTCCGAGTCGGGCAAGAGCACTTGTATCAAGCGTGAGTCTGTCTCTCTCTGCACCTTTTTTCTGGGCCAGTGTCCGGGGCGGTCTTTTCTGCCATGTCTCGTGGTCCAGGCACATCGTGCACATATTGTGTCGCTTCCGTCTGCTTGGAATTCTGAAAAGAACATTCCACCTGAGATGCTGGCTCGGGTGCGGTAGCGGCCGACCGAGAGTTGGGGCCACAGGTCTGAAGATAGACTAATGCATTCTTTGTAGAATTCCAGCTGTTGCATACCCCGGCTGCCTTTCACGCGGAACGAATTGCCTGGCGCGCTGTAATATACCTCAACTTAGTCCGGTCTATACGACAGTATGTGCTTTGTTCGTGTTCTAGGTCTTCTCCAGACTGTTCTCAAACTTAAACAGGATTCTGGACGCGCTTCAACCGGAGACTGAGCTCGAAGAACACGATGACGGAGATTCACTTGAGACTGCTTCTGTGATCATTTCGTCAAGTGGACGACCTCCGTCTGCCATACTGGGGACAAAAGTTCCGAACTACGAGCGTTATCGCCGGCGACTGCAACCTCTCGTAGAACTCGAAGCCCGGCTCATCCGACTGCTCTCCTCTGCGGATGAGGAAGAAGCGACTCATCTTGGACCTCAGCCGGCCCCTCCACTTCAATCATACGGCAGCGATGGCAGGCCGACACCCACGATCTCCATCCCTCCTTACAGCCAATCAGCCAACCCTTCACCGCTCGGTACGTCGGCATCTTCGTCGCCAACCAGCACAAACGAAGTCAGCGTGCATACCTCTCGCAACTGGAAAAAGGCGTTTTCTCTTGGTGGCGGGAAAGCAAAGAGTCCGAAAAGCGTGCATTCGAACGAAGTTGAAGGCTGGTGGGAAGATCCCACCGACCCCGTTCACGCTCTGAATGCCTGCGCTCCTTTCATGCAAGAAATGTGGAGAGATCCTGCTGTCCGCCAGCGGCTTCGAGAGAAACGGTTGCGACTGGAGGAGAGCAGCGGATTGTGTGTCATGTTTCTTCCCTGTGCTGCTGATGGACCGCACTAACTTGTTTCCCTCCAGCTATCTGGACGAGATCCCTCGGATCACAGCCAAGATGTATATTCCGACTGACGGTTCGTATCGACCTCTGTCAATTGTACCCGCGTCACTGATTGGCTGCTGAACAGCCGATGTTCTCAAGGCCAGACTGAAGACGATGGGTGTTGTCGAGCACACTTTCCTCATTTCTGCGGGTAGCAACCGCGGAGTGGAATGGAAGATATACGACGTCGGTGGAGCGCGGAACCAGCGGCAAGCATGGGCACCATACTTTGATGACAGTATGTCGTCCCTTCTCTGGGGTGCCTGAATTGACACTCGATTAGTGAATTGCCTGTTGTTCATGGTGGCGGCTTCGGCCTTCGATCAGGTGCTGGCTGAGGTAAGCATGTCTCTTTTCACGGGGAAACCCTCACTTACTCACTCCTCCAGGATCCTCGGGTCAATCGTCTGGAAGATTCCATACAGCTATGGCAGTCGGTCGTGTCCAACAAACTGCTTGCTCAAGTGAACATTGTGCTCTTCTTGAACAAATGCGATCTGCTCCAGGTGCATAAATTCTTGACCCCTTCAATTTTAGTCGTCCCTGACGCTCTCAAAGGCCAAGCTAGAAGCTGGTGTGCGACTGAGCCATCAAATGATATCCTACGGTGACCGGCCAAATGATTATGATTCTGTATCCAAATGCAAGTCATCCGACCATGCCAGTCGCAATACTTCTTACTGACTCGCATGGGCAGATTTCCGTAACAAATTTAGCGCGATCCACCATGCGATGACCCCGAACAAGGAGCGAGAACTGTACAGTATGCACAAGCTGATTCCCTCAATGGACGGAGCATTGACATCCATGCAGTCCATCTCACGGCCGTAACTGACACAAGGCGCACTGCTACTATCATTTCCAACGGTCAGCCTCCGCTGCTTCTTGCTTGACGCTCTCTTACCGGCTGAATTAGTCCGGGATATCATTATCAAGGGCAATCTCAGGAACATGAAGCTCGTATAACGCATCAAGAATCTCGCCACTCTTCCACTCATTTGGCTAACTCACAAATCTCCCACTTCTATTAATACTGTACATATCCCAGTTTTTGCTCGCTTGTCTCTCCGCTTGTGTCCCTTGCTTTCCGCACTGATGTATCTTACGCGCATATCTGACTACGGGTTCTAATAGCTATCTCTGTATACATTACCACCAAACCAATAATAATGTCCGGAGAGTTGCAGTTGACCACTTTGCCGATGCGTGACGTCGATTGCAAATGTTTCGTGCTTCCATCCTGCGTGTATCTTGCTCCCTGCGTCCAACCACTACCATCCATCGCTCTCAATCGATTCGCCACTTACGAAACTTGAGATCCATGTCGTCGCTCAACATCGTGTCTACTTCCAGTGCGTTCCCCTCGATGATCGCGGTCCAGAAAACGCGTCATGTCTTCCTTTCCAGACGCACCGGCTGCTGTCGGCCCATACTCCCAGGTGAGAATCGGATCTCAAGACACTCCACACTGGTCTCAGCGCTTGCTGGTCTAGGCAATCAAACTGGGCGACCTGCTCTTCTGCTCGGGGTCCATCCCTCTCGAACCGACAACGGGCACAGTGGTTGACGGTGGTATCGTTGAGCAGACCGAGCAAGCAATGAAGAACATGACGAGTGTATTGGAAGCCGCGGGATCGTCGCTGGACAAGGTACGCGGCCTCTTAGTGCACATGTGCAGGATATATTCTGACTAGTCTGAAGGTGGTGAAAACCATTGTGCGTCGCTCCGTCGCGATCGTTTTCGCCACACACTGTCTGATAATGGCTCCTTAGGTGTTCCTCAAGTCAATGGACGACTTCGTGGTTATGAACGGCATCTATGCTAAGGTGTTCGGGGACCACAAGCCGGCTCGGTCGTGTGTGGAGGTTGCTCGTTTGCCCAAAGACGTGCTTTTTGAGATCGAATGCATTGCCAGGTCAGTTGTGTACCATCTCCGATGAGTTAGACAGCACTCTTGACCAACTCTGCTCAGCCTCAAGTAGTCATGTACAGCCGGAAAATGTAATTCAAATGTATCAAGTTTACATCAGCTCGATAACGTTCTTCAAAGTGGTTTCGTCCAGAATTTCGAAACCCTTCTCCGGTGTAACCTGGGATACATTTGAATATGAGATGACCAGATACGGGGCTCATTTCGACGCACCTGAGCGACCTGGACATTGTGTTGGTCCAACTTCTCCTCCATTACTTGTTTTAGCACTCGGAGCGTTAATATCTGGGCTTCTTGCAAGGTCATTTGCTGCGGGTACAGGGTAAGGGACGTGACCAAAGAAGGAAGGAGTAGCGCGAACTTTGTGCCACTTGTCCTGCAGTTCACTCTGCGCCGCTTCTGAACCAGATCCGATTGCTTTCGCGTCGAATCGTGTACTGGTCCCAGAAGGATCCGTGTGATATCTTCAGATCCGTTAGACAGGATATATTAGTTTCTTTAAGAAACGCGCACAATTGAGGACCAAGTTCGTCGACACCAGCAATGAGCAGCGCAACGCCGAAGGGTCGACTCATCATGGCTTCTTCGTCATGTACACTTTCACCAAATCGCAATGCCAAGTCGCATACCGCCTGTGCGACACTTTCAACTTTGATCTTCTCGTCGTAAGTAAAGGAGTGGTTCTGGGCTGTCACTCGTGCATGGTCGATCATGGTACGCGCGTCTGCAGTCAAACCCGACATGGCACATCCCAGATGAGAGTCAATCTCCATGATCTTTTCGATGGAACTGGATTCGAGGAGGGGGGAGTGCACACGCTTTTCGACTGCAATCACGACACCAGTTGGAGTCCGGATGCCGACTGTCGTTGAGCCAAGCTGCAAGGCCGTTAGACTTGGCGGCGCGTAGCCGGCAAGCAGTACAGACCTTGATAGCCTCCATAGCGTACTCGACTGCACTGAGTAAGCGCAAAGACATGAATTCCACTGGTTGAACGCACCTTGGAATAGCCGGCCCTCCGGTGAGAAAGTGTTGACACCGCGATCTTGTAGCACTCGGTGAGATATAGTCAAGACAAGAGAAAGCCAAAGCACCATATTCCGAGCGCGTCAAAAACATGGCAGCTTCTCCAGTGAAATGTAAGATCGGAAAGGATGGCTACGACGCTTGAAATCCGGATCGAATGGAGTAGAGTGGGTGGAAGCAGGACACGCGTGACGCGACGCGTATGTGCGTCACTTCGGTCACGAACTCTGGTCCCTCATCTAATCTAATCGGAGCACGGCCTCAGAGGACCCCGAACAGCCACTCCCCGAACTTTCTAAATACATAATGGCACGTTCGTATTCACTGCTTTGCTGTCCACCACAACGGCGCATCTGAAAACACGCCGTTCAACACCCGTGATAAGTCACAGCATGTCTGAACTGACTGCACAAGATCTGCAGGACATTCTCCAGTTCGCTGTTGCTCTGGCCCGCACAGCAGGCAGGGTCATCCTCGAAGGATCTGTTGCGATCCAGTCGGCCAGTGCAGGAAAAGATGTCAACGAGAAGAAGAACTCTGTTGACCTGGTCACCGAATATGATGTCCGCGTGGAGGAGCTCGTGAAGAAAGAGATTGCAGGCAGATATCCTGACTTTGATTTCATTGGCGAAGAATCCTATTCAGCTGGATCTCGCCCTCCGCTGACTGACAAACCCACCTTCTGTGTGGATCCCATCGATGGTACAACCAACTTCGTGCACGGATTCCCCTTTGTCTGTATTTCTCTCGGACTGATCTACAAACGTCGACCGGTGCTTGGTGTCATCTACAACCCCTTTCTCGACCATCTCGTGAGCAAACTCCTCTTTGGTGCTTGATCAACGATGGAACCCCGCCTAGTACACTGGGATCAAAGGGCAAGGCTCGCACCTCACCCGGGGAAGCGCGCAACCGGTCAAACTTCCGCTCTCTTCACCCCCCAAGCCTCTTCCTTCGCTGTCGCAGGCGCTCATTGGTGCGGCTCTTCCGTAATCAAAGGACTTGATGGATGCTAAATCTGGCTCTGTAGCCATCGAGTGGGGATCTGACCGTGCGAACAAGACAATCTCAGCCAAGTCCTCTTCATTCGGTCGTCTGGCAGGGAACCCTGCGCAAGATGTGCAAGGAGGGAAGATGGCACATTCTCTGCGTTCTGTTGGATCTGCGGCTCTCAATTTTGCGCTTGTTGCGCAAGGAGGACTCGATCTATACTGGTAAGTGAAGTTGACTGCGAATAAACAAGTTAGTAAACTCATATTTGTTTCAGGGAAGTCGGATGCTGGCCCTGGTATGTCGCACCATTTCAGAACTGGAAGTATCAGCTGATTTGACTCTCAGGGACGTTTGCGCGGGAATCGTGATTGCAGAGGAAGCCGGGGGTATCGTATCTGGCGGTCACGACGCCTTTGCCGCTACGGCTCAGACTGCAGCTTTTGGTGATGTCACGGAAGCGATATTGACGGGGAGAAAGTACGTTGTAGTCCGTGGTGTCGCAACAAGTCAGGCTAGTCGCGTTCTATCTTTCCCGATGATTGCTTTTGCTTATCCGTCTCTTACAATTCAGGAAGAGTCGAATGTCGATGCCCAGAAACGCATCATACAAGAATTTTACCAGGCCGTAGAAGATGTAGAGGCCAACTGAATATAAACTTTAGCTAATTTGACGCGAAGGTTTGACTATTCTCAATTATCGGCTCTTGGCGAGAGTAACGCGTGTGAACGGCGGAGAGAAAGGCCATGATCGCCTGTACGTCATTGATTGGATCACGTGGCACCGCGGGGGTACCCAGGGTGCTATTATGTACCAGCGAGGTATTGAGTGAGCGTTACAGCTGCCTAGCACTTTCTTACCCTTACTGTGCGATGAACTCCGATACTTTTTCGCTCCTGAGGAACTCGAGCGTGTATACACTCGCAGGTCTCACATCCAAGACAATATCGGTCTTCGGGATCTTCTTCATCTCACTTTTCGGTAGGCGTGCCCTAGCCATCTCAAGCACGGGGTCACTGACCTGGAATAGCCGTCTCGTTCCCAGGCCTTTCGCAGCGCTCAAGCCTGTTGCGCATACCTCATGTCGCGTTCTTTATCGGAAAACATTTCGGGACGGGTGTCATACTGTCAACTGCGTTCTGTCACCTATTACAGGATGCATTCGAGCATTTGCAGAGTCCAGAGGTACAGGACAAGTATCCTCGGGTCCAAAAGCAGACCGGTCTCATAATGTACGCTCCTTTCCGGTTCTCGTCTGCAATCGCTGAATATAGTGCAGACTGGGTTCGCTGCTGCTTATCTTCATCGTTGAATGTTCGTTCGGCTTGCAGTCACTTCGATACTCTCTAACCAGCTCCAGACGTCTCGACTTCGTACGTCGACTACCTTCACGCGGAACCATCTGCACCCTCATCCCCCTTCGAATCCCCGCACATCCCCGTTTCCCGCCTTCCTCCTCCAACAGAAGTGACTCCACTCGTCGCTCGGCCGAAAGCTTCGCCTTTGCAGCCTGCTTTCCTAGCAGCGCTATTTGCGCCACCCCGACACTGCCCGCTGAGCCGACATGACGGGAGGATGCTCAGTGTCTGCGTGACTACCGCGAACCATGACGGAGAAGTGTTCGCGTATCCCACCCAGGACTTCGAAGCGAATCCAGAGCCCCGGAAAGAGGACCACAAAGTCGGCAGAGGAAGGCAGCTGGTTGGAATTATTGTGCGCCCGTTCGTTCTCTTCTGGAATATATCCTGACTCCGAGCGTGTGGGTAGGTTCTCCAGCTGGGTATCATGCTTCATTCGTTAGTGATTGGACTCACCCTGGCCCTCACTTCCGGTGGCGATTTCAGTATGTGTTCCGCCTCGTTCTCCGAGCTGCGTGGAATCGACACTGCTCATAGCTTCCCTGCTCACGGCGATCATCTTCCACCAGTTGTTTGAGGGTCTCTCCCTTGGGATCCGGATCGCGTCACTTCCTGCTTCCAAAACCGGTGGACGAGACTGGTTTGCGATAGCTTTGGTGCTACTGTTCGCATTGACGACACCCGTGGGAATGGTCATCGGAATGTCGTCCTTTTCAAGTCACGCTGAGAGTGAGATAGATCCCGCACGCCGTTTCCGACGTTGACTGAAATGGACGCAGATCTTCCGAGCACTACACTCGTTAAAGGAATCATGTCGGCAATCTCTGCAGGAATGCTCATCTATGCCGCCACCATAGAGATGCTCGCAGCTGACTTTGTGTTTGGGAGTCTCGAGGACAGCCCCGGGCATGGCCACGGGCACGGCGGTCATTCACACGAGGTCGAAGTAGATGACGATCAGGAAGCCGAACAGCCAGGGCTCCATCCCAGTCCTGGTCGCAGAGCACTAGCCCTGGGGAGTGTGCTTGCTGGTGTTGCTAGTATGGTGTTGGTTTCGCTCGGAGAATGAGTGGCCGTGATTTGCTTTCGTGTCATGTACATGCTTTGGCTACGTTGATAGCGAGGTGTATTGTAATTGTCCTGATCTATTTATATTTGTACAAACCCAAGTAAGTGGGTGCTAATTATGCCTCAAGTACGATACTTATAACAATCATCTCCGGGACATGGCTATTCGCCTTGCTTGCTTCCAGTCGTCCAGTTCGTAACGCTTGCCATTAATCGCCACAGTCCGCAAAAAGGATTTGTGTCTCGATAGAGCAAGGAGGAATTTCTCGTCAATGGAAGGATCATCGACTACGGCCCCGGGTCTCGACCGCAGAGTGAGCCGCACTTCTTTCACCGACCGGAAGATCTGGGTCCACTGCGCAATCTGCTCGGCGTTGTACGGCGCGACAACCAGGTCCAGACACGAGACAGCGCCAAACGACTTCTTGTCGTCGGGTGTCATCTTCAACATCGCGTCGAAATCAAAGACGATCGAGTCCGAGAATAGAGCAAGGGAGAGTGTGATATACGGAGTTTGGCCTCGATCGGCTAGGGCCTCGCAGACCCTGTCAAGCTTAATCCCGACTCGCCATATTTCGGACTTGCCCTGAAACCCCACGGTCAGTCGTTCCAAGTAAGGAACGCGGTCCCAAGGCTCTAGGATGTGCAGAATAAACTCGACAGGAGCTACAAGATCCTTGAGAGCCAAGAACTTGGGGACGATCCCCTCCTGCCACCTGGTCGGTGTGCCCGGTGCTTCGTCGTTGTTGCCGATGGTAAGTGATTGCAATCGAGGCAAGCGTGAGCACAGTCCCAGGATGTCAACGTCAGATATGGAATCTAACTCCGACAGCGACAGTTGAGAAACTTCGCCCGCCCTTTGGCCGATGAGAAACAAGACGGGGCCCCAAAGCTCCTTTTCCAGAGATATCTCAGAAATGGCGAGGGATGCGGGAGAACAACGGCGTAGAACCGACAGCGTCCAGCTGAGGAAAGGCGGCGTGAGCAGCACAGCGGACTGGATGGTCAATGAAGTGAGGTGGTAGCCGTCCACTGTTCGGGATGGGAAAGAGACTTCACCGCGCTCACGACCCTGCTCCGGTGCGCGTCGGAACTCCCACTCCTTGCCGGCCATCAGAGGTTCCGACGTGAAGAGCTTCCTGATCGCTCTGATTGCTCGCCGAGAGACGGACTTGTCGACAGAGAGAGCATATGACCGGGTGAGATAGCCCCCGTACCGAATGGTGAGATGTGTGCATCTTCGTTCAAGCAACGCGTTAAAGAGACCACCCATCACTCGGGTCCATTCCCGTAGCGCAGGATCATCTCCTGTCGAATTGCACATGCTGTTTCTCGCGTCTAGCTGCAGGGTCACTCGGCCGACTGAGCGGAAACGCTGTATGAAATTCTGGAGTCGCCGCACGTGGGGGAGCAGCGGGAGGACTGAATCGCAGCTGGGATGGGGCATGAGACAGGTGAGGTCCTGGATGCCCGTAATGAATAACGCCATGTTTAGGGCGGCTAATGTATCGGCGCCGTCGTTCGAGAGTGATACGAAAGCCGATTGGGATGGGTCGGGCATGCCTTGGCGCGCGAAGAAGATGGGAAGCGCCAGAAAATGCAATCGACGACATAGGACTGCGAGGCTACAGAGGGCGTCCGACGGGAGTCTGGGGTTTTCCAGGATGATGATGAGGAGCTCATTTGGAAGGGAGAGCAAGCTGGTGCTCATCGGCTGGGCGTCGCCGCGTTATCATGGCTCGTGGTCGGTGCATATGCCTGTTATATACGAGATCAAAACACGAATCAAGTGATCTGAGCTCGGCCCATGTGTTCAATGTCGCAGAGCCATTGATGACACAAAGTGTTCGAACTCAGCCGCCCGCTCCAACGTGGAAGCGCAATCCGCAGCAAAATCTGTCAAGAGAAGAAAGTTCGCGCTCAAAGGCCTGCTCTTGGCGATCGCGGCCGCCCTCAGCATGGCAGTGCTGTATTCCAGCCACAACTCAGATAAGCAACAGTTTGCTCGTTTTCGGCTCTTGAAAATTTCAATCTTTGTGAATGTTGTTTAGAAGAGGCGTCGGTATGCAACGATGGCCGCGCCCGTTCTGCGGTTCTCGCGGCAAACCCACGCTATAAAAAGGATGTTCCTCATTCCGCCTTCCAGTTATTTTTAAGCCGGAACATAGCCAGAAGCCCGGGTATCTCGGTAACGACATGTCGTCATGAAGCGGGTTCCTCGCCAATAATATCCATTGAACGACCGAGTGCGCGTCTCGAGCTGCCATCAAACGATGATGGCATTGCCACGTCAGCACGTGAGCGTGTTTCCGTCTCGTCCGGTGCGCTGCCAAATCCGCTTGTCTTCAGGCACGATGAGCACCTACGTCGACGCTGTCCAGTCCTTCGGTCCGTTTCCCCAGTCTTTGCGTCGAACGTCTTCTCAAGCTCTCGTCTTCCGCAGTGAAAACCTCTCCCTGGTGGCTCTCGACGCTTCTCGCGTTAGGTTCTTTCGTGACTGTTCGATTCGTGCAACAAACGGTCTCGGTCCTTCTCCAGACGTTCGTCCTTCCAGGGATCAGTGTGGGTTTACTCCACAAGCACCTCTCGACGCTGTTCTCATGGCAATGTGTAGCTCAAAACCTTCGGTGCAAAGAAGGGCGCGTGGGCTGTCGTCACCGGCGCTTCGGATGGTATCGGGAAGGAGTTCGCTACCCAGCTAGCAGGCCAGGGATTCAACGTGCTTCTTGTGGCGCGGAATGCCGCTGTGTTGAATACCGTCGCTGAGGAAATTAGTCAGTCTTTTTCCTCGTCTCGCAAAAATCTTGTTGATGGTCGACAGAATCAAAGTACCCCACAGCACAGACCGCTATACACACCATCGACTTTGCTGCGGCTGACGAGAGTGCTTATCAATCCTTCACCTCTGCTGTCCAGGCTCTCGATGTTGGTGTCCTTGGTACGAAGTCAGCCATTCATCTCCGCACTCACACTCATATTTCCCGACAGTCAACAACGTTGGAAAGTCACACTCGATGCCGGTCTACCTCGTCGACACCCCTCTTCCCGAAATGAACGATATAGTCAAGATCAACGTAAATGCGACTCTGCGCGTCACTTATGCCATCCTTCCTGGCATGGTTCAGCGCAAGCGGGGTCTCGTTCTCAACATTGGGTCATTTGCGGGCGCTGTTCCGTCTCCCATGCTGGCTACTTACTCTGGAACCAAGGCATTCTTGACCACTTTCACCAGTGCCCTTGCCGAAGAAGTCCGAGAGCACGGCGTCGTCGTTGAGCATGTCAACACGTACTTCGTCGTGCGTGTTTCTACGGACCGTCATGATCCGGTTCTCATCTACCCCTAGGTCTCCAAGCTCTCTAAGATTCGCCGCGCTTCGATGATGATTCCTCAGCCGAAGCCCTACGTGCGCTCCGTGCTGAGCAAGATCGGTCTCGGCTGTGGCGCTTCGTACAGCGGCCGCCCCGAAACCAGCACCCCCTACTGGTCGCATGCACTGCTCGATTACGCCATCACCTTGTTTGTTTCCCCCGCTGCTGGGATCTCGTACACACACAAGCTGCACAAGGACATCCGGCGTCGTGCTTTGAAAAAAGCAGCCAAAACTCAGTAGACTAACGCCTGATGCATTCAATCCTCATCGTCTGTTCTCGCTGATTGCGGACTGATACCCCACTGCGCCCAAGGGCCCGAAGTCGTAGACGACGGAACGAAGAGACCCCATGTGATAGCGTAGTGATCCAGGACGAGGTCCAGCTCCTCTACTTCATCGACCAATTCCAGGCGTGATATCCTATCGATCGTCAGTCGAACTGATAGCACGGACTGCGGCGGAGATCAACCTTTGAAGCTCCGAGACGGATATGTATGACCTCCGGATGTCCTTCAAGGTAAGTGCCCGAGCAGCTGCGAATCCGAGATCCGTAAAACGGCGAGGCAAAGAAGCCACATCCGGGTACGGCACTGCGCCTGGCAAAGTGACATTGCGAGCCTGAGATGATCGATGTAAGACTGGTAAATGCGGCCAAACCGCATAGCACACCTTTAGGTTATCGAGCATGACGCGTCCGAACGAATCCTGCAGCCGGAACATCTCATACACAATGCTACCGAGAACTGCGCCTCCTTCGACTGAAAAGAAGTCCGTGAACCATTTGAATATCGCAGCAGAAGCTTCCGGGGCCATGTAGACAAGCACACATTCGGATAATATGAGGGTCGGCAGGTCCGCATGTAAAATTGGGCTGAGAAGCGTACCCCATCTTTCGGCCGGCGGTTGTCGGAGATCAACGGGGAAGAGATGGTACTTGGGGGAGGACAGGCCCATACCGCGTTGAACTGTAACAAAAAGATCGCGCCTCACTGTGAGCTCGAGTCCGGGTCTGGCTAGCCTCTGAGCACCCACCGATCTTGACGTCGGACGTAGAACCCAGAACCGCGCTCAAATCCTTGCTCTTCCGGATGGCCATCGCCTTCTTCGTCGTAATCTCCGCAAAGTCCAGCTCGACATATGCAGCGAGCGCATCCTTACTCGCGCCTGTCTATCTGAGATGGATGGTATGTTGTATGAGAATGACCGGTCGGAGGAAATCGAGGCCCGTGGGTGACGAACCGCAATCCGCCAAAAGCGTGTATCGCTCCCTGCTCCGAGACTGACGATCTGGCACCTAGTGCCCTGCTGCGCACATATGTCTAGCCACCGGAAGACGAGATCATCGATAGCAGTGGCGCGGACGAACGTCCCGATGTTGATCAGCGGCGGACGAGGAGATTGGAGATGTGCGCGGGGGATCAGCGCTTTGACAAATGGATCTTCGAGGTACCCCTTTTGTACAGCCGAGAGTCTTGCCAACGCCGCGTCGGTGTCTGTCAGACGGATTGCCGCGTCGGAGTCCTGCGCCGGGAACATGGAGATGGATGACAATCGTAGCAAGAATTCGATTCCAAACAAAGATGGTAACGTTACACTGATTATGTACAAGGTTGTAGATGATGCAAGCGATACGAGTGCGACGAGAGAGCGCGATACACAGAACATGCGATAGAATACAGATTACAGTGGAGGTAGACCAGGAAAGGTACAGCATGGGACCGAGAGGAAATTATACAACCAGAGCTTGTAATCGATTCTTGATTTCATCAAGCAAATGGCATGCAATGTCCTCGTGCTCTGCGATGAACGTTTTGAGCTCTGTGTTCGACATGGCCGTCTTTTCAGGTACAGGAGTGATGGCTAAAGAGCAGTCAGAAGTGGAGAGGATATGAAAGTGGTCTGATGACGGACTGATGGATCCCAATGCAAGTTGATTGATGTGTCGCTTCAGCTTTTCGGCATTCCCAGTGCGTAGAGTGATGACAAGTGCCCGGTTCAGCTCGTTGACAGTTTCTTCGAGACGCTGGAAGAGTGAAGCGCCGTGCATGTGCATGTAATCGCGATTGAGCTGGAAAGAACTGAGTCAGCCATACTGGAAGCTAGAAGCTGTGTGATGTAGTACCTCCTGTGGAGGTTGTTAGCAAATGAGAGTATATGTAGAAGATCACGAAATAATACCTTCATTCGCTTGTACATTCCCGGTCCTTTCTGGGCTGCTGCTTTTTCATATTGAGGTTGGAGGATGGCCTTGGTCGCAAGAGGCCATGCACGCTGTGGAACACCTTGTCTCTGAGTCACGGTGACAGCAACCGAATTCACTTGGTTCAACACAGTTTTGAGAAGGTCAAGATCAGATTGTGCACGAAGAGGATCTTCGAACGAGTGAGGACGGAGGGCGGCTGTCGAGGATGAAACGCACCAGCAGCGGTCAAGTATAGGCTATGGGTCGAGATCTCTGCGCGCAACTCTTCGTAGTACAGTCGAAAGGCTGATCCCAGTTTGTAGTTGTATATGTCATTCCACGCGTTTAGCACCGAAACGAGCTCATTCTGCGTCAATTCCACGTTGATGTCTTCTTTTTCAAACACTCCCTCTTGTCGCATAAGGGTCCTGCATGAGTGAGCCGATGAATCTTCGGTAGTGAGCCGAGTCTCGTGCTCACCGATATCGGAACCACTTCTTCGTGGTATGTTTCTCGAAGACAGATGTGCTGCGATCCTTGGCGATAGCCAGCGAGGTTTTCATGACGTGTTGCAGCTCGTGGAAAAAGAGATCGTTGACAGTGCCCAGCATTCGATCCAGGACGGCCGCGCACTTCTACTGAGGGTGTCAGGAGACAGGTCGGCCCATCATGAGACGATCGTAACCTGGTCGAGTTCGCTCTTGAGCTTCGTCAGATCAGTTTCCTTCTGCGTCCCCGCATCATGAGGTTTGATGCTGACAATCTTGTCTGCCCGTTGGACGATGTCGCAGAAACCGACTAGACCAGACTGAGCATGAGTCAAGGCGCGACGTTCTCCGACTGTTCGAAGATGGTCTGTTAATCGGGGATTCCGGTCTGTCTAGACTGAATCCAGGAATGAAGCAATCTTGGATATGAGCTCACCTCTTCTGCGGTCGAAAACATCATTGCATCGTCGGTCTCAATTCTTTTCAGACACCTGCAGAACGTCTGAATAAGTATTCGAGGCAAAACCTGGTATCTTACATAAAGTCTTTACTCCCTAGGAGCGAAAAGTTTCATAATCACTTTGCTAAAGAGACTCGACTTACCAACAGCGAAGACGGGTATATCCACGTTTGGTATGGGCTTGTCTTTGGGCGCTAAGTCCTGGAACATGTATTTGAATTTGTTTTGAAACTGCAATTCCACTAGTTGTGCACGTCCTTTCTGAAATCGAGATGAGAGTCGCTTGCGGCTGGATTTTCAGACCTACAGCTAGGAGAGTGTTTCTCTGTTTGATTTCGGCGACCCTCTGGTCGTGGCACTTCTGCACCTGCCGAAATACATCAACACTGCGATAAGTCGTGATGAGCGAAGAGGTTCACCTGATTTTGAAGATCGTTCAGTCCATCCTGATGTTTCTTTGACCTTGACTTTGACTTCATCTTCTTCTCGAGTTTCCTGGTGATCTCATCTTCGTCATCCAGAAGAGCTTGGATGCTCTAATTAACGTGTTAGACGAGTTGTAATGCTTGCTAGTATATGTAGCCACCGATTCCAGAGCGTTGACCCTTACTTGCTCCGACTGTTCTAATGTAAACTCATTACTGCTGATGCGGTTCTTGACAAATGATGATTAATCAGCATTTCGCTCCAATCAAATTGGAAATGAATTCGACCTACATCGGCGCCGGTGAGAATGACCGCAATCGACCGGTCTTGTACCCGACCATCAACGATGCATTGGTTGATACTGGAAGATGAACACCACCGTTTCCGAGAACCTTACGGCACACTCACTAGGTGTTAAGATGGGTGTTGACATCCTTATCGTCCTTGGCCCTCGAAATCCCGGCAACTAGACAACTGCATGAGAAGCATGCAGGCGGGACATTGAGCATGACTTCACCGAGGAACACCGCATCAGCTTTTTCAAGATAAGACGCAGCGACGGCATCTCTCAAGTGATCCACGTCTCCGAAGCCGGGCAGATCGACCAGTGTCACCCCAGTCGAGAGAATCTATCCACAAGTCAGCTTGCATTGACTAAAACACTCGAGAAAAGACAGACTTCGAAAGGGCCGCAGATTCGCACACTGCAGGGCTAATAAGCGAATGCTCTGTAGACATTGGTTATCACGCACACACGAACAATCGGCCAGAGCTGTCGTGTGTTTTGCTGACTCAAGGTAGAGGCCAGGAATGTCTCGAGCTGTATCCTGATGTGAGGAAATAGAGCAATTTGACCACCAAACGGTCTAGACTGACGTTCTTCTGAAAATTGTCGACGGTCGCATCATTCAGTTTGACGGAGGTTCCTAGATGCTTTGCAAGCTCGTTGTCGTCACGGAAAGATTCGAAGCTCGGCCATTGGTTGACGTGTTTGTCCGAGATCCTGGAATAAGGATTCGATAAACGAGATTCGTGCTGACTTGAACACGAAACCCACCCCGGAAACAACTTGGAACGACTTCTGAATATTGCCCGAGGATGGAATGCATGTGAGGAGACGCACCTGACGCATTCGTTCCCTCGCCTGACTCACTGCAGAGCTCTTCAACTCCTCGCCTTCCACCTGTACTTCGTCGGAGTCGACGTCATTGTCAGTTCTATATCCACTTAGTGCACAGTTCAACAATTGCAGGACTCCCTCACGCTTCTGTGTACAAAGTGCACAGCTCCTACGCATCATCAAGCGATCAGATGACGAGGTGAATGTGTAGATGACAGAGAGCTCAGACCTTTCTCCATTGGTCCGCGTGCTTAAACTCGACTTCTGCCTGCAGCGTATCTGTGGTCGTGTTCAGTCCGGCGATGTTTCGCCATGCCAGACTGGTCACAACATACCGTTGTAACTGATTTCTGTGATCACTGCTGTGCAAGCGCCCTAACGCCCGTGAGGACAAGGCGCAGACGTATGGAGAAGAACGTACAGCGGCAGAGGCGGCAAGAATGGGTTTGCGTAGCAGGGCGTTCAAGAGTGTGGATTTCCCGGACTGGCATGGTTAATTTATGGTAAAGGGATGGTGTGTGTAGACTCACCCCTACTGTGAATGAAGCGCCAAAAAGGTAACAGGCAACGGAGGAACACACCTGTGCGACCTAAAAGCGCAACTTTATACGGGCGTACTGCCTCAGCGTGGCATTTGGTCTCCTGAAGTATGCTCTTGGCCTCTTTCCAGTCACCATCCAATCCTGAGGGCAAGATCCTCTCAAGTAACGCCAGTTTAGGGAGCAGAAATTCTGATGTCGCGCTCCGGAGTCAGCGAGGGTTGAGGGCAGACATTCTGCGTACCACTCGTTCTTTGAACGATAGATGCAGAAGGGTCATCGATGTCCATGTCCGAGTCCGACATTTCTGTCTGTACAACGGCGCGTTAAATGGCAGGCCGCGAGCATTGGGTGGAAACGCGCACCAATTCGGAATCGTGCTCTGAAAGGTCCATTTCGTGAGGCGAGGTTGATGAAAAAAACGCGTCGGGCAGCTGTGAGATATTGTCAAAGACGAACGCGTCTAAAAGTAGCTGTTCGCGGGTAATCATTTGATCGCCGCACACACAAACGATCCGATCATGACAGGACATGGTCATCGATCATGAATTACAACGTTGTGTTTCTAGGCTCTAGGTAGTGGACTCGGTGATTGTTCTGGATACAAGTTGCTCTTTTGTCTGCAGCGTGCGCAGGTTTTTCAATAGACAATAGTCTCCAAACTCGTTCTGATTCTGCCAAGCCGCCGCTGGCAACCAGAGAGTGCGGGTCAGAGTGTTCGAGTGTCTTGCGTCCAAAAATGGTGTGCAGTAGACTCGGTCCCACGCTCCTGCGTCGATGGAATAGCGAGGCTCGAGGCTCGAGACAGACGGGTGCAGAGGAAAGTCAAGATCGATGAGATAGTCGCAGCTTTCGATGGGGACCTGGGCATGATGAGTGAAAGAAGTGAAGGGGATCAGATAACGCACATAGAATGCTGGTTGCTCCTTGTTCAGATCGTTCAGGCTGTCCGGGACCTGGCGCGTGGCGGGCCGGTCCCACCATCCTGCCCCTGTACCCACATTCTGCATCGAGTCTCCCTCTCCGAAGTGCCCAGGCAGCAGACCGTCGAATTGGCTTTTAACGAAGTCGACGCGGATACCATCAGGAACGAGATAGTGACCGGGGAATCTGTACCACTCTTTGCTTGTGCAAAGTGTGAGGTTGAACCGCTTGATGAGAGAAAGATCGACACGAGGAATTTCTTCCTCAGGTGTCCCCGGCGGAACTACTGGCAGGAGACCCGTATCATTGAGGAGCCTAGGCAACTCAAATGTCTGCAAGTGATGCATCACGGAAAGCGGAGAGTGGTAGTATATGATCAGCGCAAGGATTCGCGACAGTGAAAGAGCTGCAGCTGTGATAACCACCGATGAAGTGAATGTTCTAAACATCATTGTCTTGGAAGCCTGGAGACAAGATACATCAGACTGATCATGAAACATGACAATGTTATCTCACCTGGTACGGAGATTTCGTATAAGTGATGAAACCTTTCTCGAGCCATCCTCGCATCAGGTATAGAGCGACTGCAGCATTGAAGCAGAGCAAAGGATAGGCAGGAAACATAAAACGTTCCTCCTTATGAGCTTGCGCAGTAAGAATGCCCAGCCACACGTAAAAAGGAGCAAGGCGAATAGCCAGAGTTGTATATGGTGATGTCCGTTCCGGGCCGGTCACGGTCACGAATCCCAGCCGCTTGCGGTCGATGTAATAAGTGACAGCGAGAGCAGGCAGAGAAGAGATTGCCAATGGAGTGAGGATGTTGAAGTTCAAGCCGAGGTTGAGCAGGTAGAAGTTCCATGGCGACGTGCCATAGAGCTCTGGTCCACGCTCAGATCCACCAAATACGTTATACTGCACTATGTTCCAAGGGACGATGGTCCATTTGCCGTATGCGACACTGTCGATGGCAATGACCGGAATCTGAAAATCGTCAGTGCAGCTCTGGAATGCAGCTCAAAAAACATACGAATAGCAACGACGCGGCCAATCCGGCCATGAGGAGCTGCTTCCAACGGGTCATCATCCACTTTGTTTTTATCTCCGCGGGAACGTGATCTGCACCGAACACGAAGAGTTCCTCACATACGAATGGGATGGAGAGCGCCAGAGCGAATGGCCAGCCGACGACAGCACCAGTTGCAAAAAACAGAGTGACGAACAATGTGCGTCGGAAATTGCCTTCTTTAGGAGGTTCGAGGGAATAGGCAAATGCGAAAGTGGTCATATACATGGCAAATGATGACGGCAAGAACGCTTCGGAGTTGAGTATTCATGCTAGAAGAGGCAGAAAAACATGGCTCACCAGCAGATGCGTTCCACATCCCAGCGCTGCACAGTAGCATGAAGAATAGGTAGCGGCCCACTCGCTCTTGAATTCTTTGATGAACCGCACGATATAATGTTGCTTCCGCGAATACAGAGATTACAGCAAGAGTAATCCGCACTGCGAAGAACGCGACTCGCTGGGAGGACATAAGCGTGAGGACTGCTTCCAAAGGTATGCATAAGTTGCGCACCTTATCTTCCGAAATGAATTTGGCGATTTTCGTCGGGAATAGGTGTAAAACGATGTATGCCCAACTCCTAATAGCGTATCGAGGGGAGGTTTCCCAAGTTTGGAAGCCGTAACCGTGGTCCAACAGATGGAGAGGCTCCCAGAAGTTGAACACTAGTGAGTTCAGTGGTCATGTTATAGCCTCCTTTTCCTTTCCTCACCTTCATCACAGTCGTCAATGTTGGAATACATTGCACCAGCGACCCGCATCAGAAGCAGTATACGGACTGCCAGCGAAAAACTTGGGTTCCATGGTCGCCGTGCTGCTCTGCGCAATTGATCTTGGAGAATTCCCGTGTGCCTTGGTTGGGGCGCAGCTTTGGGTTCTGTTGGCGGCCGTCGGAGGCGGATGTGTTGGACGTCAGCCATTGAGGAGGATTTAGCCTTCTGACTTTGGTGACCAGTTCCGATGACAGCCGGTCTCACGTGGCCTGTCACGCGACTTACACGTGACGCTCGCGTCCTTATTTCGAAATAAGCTTTCAACTCGTGTCTTCGATGACGCGAATCTCATTCCCAACAAACACAACTGTGAATCTCTGCTAGTTCGTCTGGAAATTTCCAAAAATTTCCCGCGAGTCTCTCTCAGGCTTGTGGCGTAATTTCTTTGGACAGTCTTATACAAAACGCGGCCAAACTTCTATAACCGTTTCACACTCTATTCAGAAAGATGCGCCAAAAAGAAGACTGCAGTTCTTTCGCATCACTGCCTGGAACCGTAGAAGATGACGCAATTCTGAGAATAGAAGCGAAGAGAAGATCGATTTGTCTGAACTGAACCATAAGAAGCGAGCGTTTGTATAATTGACGTGCCTTCCTGTCTGAGTGTTTGTCAGCCTCTCTTTCTTGACTCTATACACATTCCACTCTCCTCTCATCCCGTAATGGCGGACTCTCCTGCAACAGCAGGTACTAGTCGCTCCTCGCCGATCTCCATCTTCAACATCACTGACAACTGTTACAGAGTATTTCATCTATATCACGCAGGTATACTTCTGCGGTGTGTCGCGTTCATTCTCTCTTTTTTGCTGGGTTTCATCCGTTATGTAGCTATGTGTGAGTTGTCGCCTGCAACGCTGTTTCAATCAAGACCGCCGATCTCGTTCTTATAGATGCGGTGGTCGTTTGGGACTGGCTCATTACTCTTCCGCGAGAATGGAAATATGTGAGCGCGATAACTCTTTCTGAATACGCGCCACTAAAAGGTCTCAAGGTCTGGAAAACGCATTGGACTCCGGTCAAGGTCTCCTACCTCTTTTGCAGGTTCGCAGATATGCTTTTCTTCCTGGTGCCTCTCCTGACCTTGATCGAAAGATACTGGGTGATTGTCGTCGTACCTTACCTGCTCTTCTGTTTTGTCGGAAACCACAGCAGAGAAGTCTGTCTCAAGATCTACAGAGTATGTTACTTCGACTGCTTGGAAAGCTTAAATATAATGCCCGCGGTCTTTTACAGATTCCAGTCAGCTTGGCACTGTGGAATCAAGTCGGCTCCGAATGTTGGGCCTCTCTCTTTTATGCGTCTGTTCAACTAACCAGATATTTCTAGCTGTTCTCCTCATTCGCACCTATGCTTTCTTCAATAGAAATGGCTACGTCCTTTGTTTTCTCATTTCTGCGATCTCGGGAGTCGTAGCCTATCAGCTTTATGTGGCTACCACTCAGATGCTTTGTGAGTTGTCTTTCGCAATCTAAGCCAGATCTTCACTATAAATCCCGTGCCAAGTGTTGCCTTTCGTGCCTCCCTTGGTAAGTACACTGGATATATGCGCGACCGTCCTCACTCAACGACATCTAGGAACGTGGCCCTTGTTTTCCTGAATCCAAACCTCACTCGGCGCATCTGCTCGGTTCGTAATCTCTGTGCCTTACATTCGGATTGTTCTTTGACGCGCTTGTTTTAGGTTTCTTCGTGCGTAACTTCCTGCGATCCTCATGGACCACTCGATTACACGGCAAGACAGATCGCCCCACTTCTTTTCGATACTATAGTGACCTTTATGACTGTGGCCAAAGCCATCAGAATCCGTCGTAACAATGGTGGCCCTAGCAGTCGTTTGATCCAGACATTCATTCGCGAAGGTGTGATGGCTGTTGCTCCCTGAATTCTAGCTCTCATCAAAGCTAGGCGTTTTCTATTACATTCTCATCTCGGCCGCCAACTTGATCAACGGAATTTTCTATCTCCAGTGCGTTCTAAAGTGATGACTTCGTGGTGAATCGTAACGATTTTTGTTAGGCCTCGCCAAGTCATCTCCGCCATCAATATTCCTCTCAGTGTCATGATGGCCCCTCTGCTTGCCTGTCGTCTGGTCAGTCTTCCTTTACATGCATGTCCACTTGGCTCATCACTGATCCCTCTAGATTTTGGACCTCCGGGAGCGTGGATCTGAGACAGTTTCGCACTCGGAGGGTACTGGAATGGCTGCTTTCACAACCAAGACGATGACCCAACAATGCTCGCCATTCACCCCTCCGAGCCACAGGATCAAAAGCGGAGTCTATAGTCGAGGGCGCATGACCGACTCAAACATTGTGCTGAGCACTTTCGGCGGCAGTTCAAGCATTCATCCGGAACTGGACCTGGAGCAAGACGTCACTGAGCTCGATGAAATCCGTCTTGGCTTGGGTTTGGATTTGGGCAAGCTCAGTGCGGCGGTCGGGGGTGCCGACGGTGAGCCCCTCGATGAGAAATCGGAGCTTGGTAGCCCTGCGCCGGCCTATTCGAGCGGTATGCTGGAGATGGGTTTCCGCGCTGCCAGTCGCTCCCCCAGCTTTGAAGAGCAAACTCGTGGAATCCGTGTGACTGTTGATGTCGAGAAAGCCACTCACACCATGTGAATTCATATTTCCTTCTCGTTCCCTTCTCGCATCCCTCCCATCGCTACAATCCCGCTACATCAAGTCGCTTCCACGATAAACATTAAACCCCGTACATACATTCTCGCTGTCCTTGCAATCGAATCGTCCATGTTTTCGAATCCAGATACATCGTCATCCCTGAGTTTCAGTCACGTGTGCGTGTCAGGGCACAGCACTGCACGGTCCCGATTAAGTAGTATATGCATCCTCGTCTTCGTTGCCAAGGACCGTTATGCTCCTCACTTTTCCTCCGGAAGTCACTCTCCATATATTCTCCTACCTCGACCTCCCGGACCTTGCTATACTTTCTACTCTCTCACCTATCCTAGCTCAGCTTGCGTCGGATACTGCACTCCACAACAACCGCCTTCGCGTGGTGTCTCCTGCTCGCGTGCAGCATGATCTCTTCGCTGTGAGTCCCCGGGGCGAAATTCTGCGGCCCAGCGTCGGCGACCTCGTTCAGCGAGGCGTCATGCGTGGACTGGCTATTGAGAGAAGATGGCGTGCCGGGTCATACTTCCATTCACACATCGTGCGTTGCGTACCATCTCCAGCCATTGCATCCACTGAAGCCCTTCTGCACCAAGTCTGTGATTCAGTATGAGGCTTCGCTGTCTCTAGCCCGCCAGCAAGCCCGTCACGTCGTGTCGACACAGCATCTCCGCCACCGCACGGAGTCGAATCCCTTGCGTCGTCTATACCATTCTCAAGTATATCCAGACATCGAATCCGCCTCGACGTCGATTTCACGGTCCCTCCTCCCGATCATGCGTAAACTGAAATGGTCCCTGCAGCGGGATAAGATTGCCAGGATCATGAGGGACGGCAGCGGGGTTTTTGCTCTGCACCAGTGGCTCGAAGGACGCAGCCATATTCTCAAGGATAACGAGCGCGTGCGCCTGGCCATCTGTCCTAATGTCAGAAAGATAGTCAAATTTTACGAGAATCTGACACCCCGTTGAACGGTGGTGCTTTCACCGTGTCTGGTTCCTGATCCTTGCCCTCTGTGTGCCTCTTCAATTCATGTATGACCCCACGATCGCAGAATATCCTCTTTATAGCTGCATGCGACCTGATCCGCTTGTCTGATGTGACTTATTATCTTGCTATCTTATCATGATCAATTCGATGTCTGTTCTTCCCTTGACCATTGAAGTCTGTGTCGACTCGCTCCAGTCCGCTCTCAAGTTTGAATCTACCTGGATAGCTTTGCATTTTTTCACTGAGAAGCCGACGTAGCGCTATAGCTGGTGGAGCGGACCGACTGGAAGTTTGCGGCAACCTAGGCGTTGGTGGCGGCACAACACCGAGTCTGGGTCTATTGAAAGCTATCAAGCGCGCTGTAGATGTCCCAATCATGGTCTGTTAACTATCGAAGTGCTCCCGGCCTCGGATTCATGTGGTCTAGGCGATGATTCGCCCGCGCACAGGCGACTTTTTGTATAGTGAGAGTGAAGTTGAAGTGATGCTGGAAGATATTCGCATCGTCAAGCTGGAGGGTGTGGCTGGTGTGGTGATAGGTCAGTCGATCTGACTACCCGAAGTTCCATCTCAACGTGCTGGAGGCGCCCTAACTGCCGAAGGGCGTGTCGACGTCGGAACTACTAAACGGTGAGCCCGGCGGAAGTGGAGGTCCCGTACTAATTGTGTAGACTCGTCGATGAAGCACTGCCTCTGCAAGGTATGGCTCACCATTATTGGTCGATATCTGACGCGGATAGGCGCGTGGTAGTCTGCTTTCACCGTGCGTTCGACATGACTCGAGACGCCGCCGAAGGTGAGCCCTACGACCATGCTTCTGCGTGCTCAAGGTCTGGATCCCGGTTAGCTCTTCAAGATGTGATAGGAATCACAGGGATTTCTCGTATCCTGACAAGGTAGCGCCCTCTTTGCCGAGCTTGATGGCTAGATGACATGCATTCATTGCAGTGGACACGGCCCGACAGTTTTGGAAAATCTCTGCACTGTCAAGACACTCTGCACGACACTACAAATGGCTGGGCGGGATTCACCATGCCCACTCGATATCCTCCCTGGATCCGGGATCAACGCAACAACCGTGGGCCCGGTCTTGGATGAACTGATCCCTTGTGGACTGCGGCAGATACATCTCAGTGGAGGATCTTGGTTGGGAAGCGATATGCTACATCGGGGCCCGAATTTGGGGATGGGCGTGGGGGAAAACGAGTGGGGCATTTGGGTCACAAGCACTGAGAGGATAAGAGAGGTCCGTCGCAAAGTAGACGGTATCTGCAGAGATCATGCCGGCAAAATATCATGAGGAAAACATGGGGAGAATGTGATTAAGTCGCCAGCTTCCAGGGGGACAACGTGCAGGACGCGGGCGCTGGAACCAGCTGTGATCGCGATCATCACGGGCGATCATCGATGCTGATGCCGATTAGATGACGTTACTTACCGCCGGAGGACCGAGGGCCAAACGACCAAAATACGGGCAGTGTGCTCAGTGTTTTCTTCACTCAGCCTCTCTTTAGAGCATGTCCGCGAAAAACAAATCGCCGCCACCTCCTGAATCTGCGCCCCCCATCTGGTGGTCGAACGCCTCCTTCTTCCTTCTGACTCACGCCGCTGCAATTTATGGAGCCCTGTTCTGGAGACCGTTCTACACCGTCCATAAAGCTAGTCTTGTGCTGGGACTTCTGGTTTGGCAACTGGCAGATTTTGGGTGCGTCGGATTTGACATTCCCGGCTTCGCTGCTCAGCTTGTTCCACAAGTATCACCGTGCGCCCACTTGACGGCAACAAATGGAAGTTAGGCTCATCAGCTCCTGCCTAGATTGGGTACCATCGTCTGTACAGTCACCGCGCCTTCAAAGCCAAGCTTCCAGTGCGCGTAGTTCTCGCTGTTCTTGGCTCAGCGGGGTTCCAGGGGTCAATCAAAGTAGGGGTTTTGGTTTTGGAGCGGATCTGTCTGTGTGCTCAACTTGATCTAGTGGTGGTAAGCTCAGTCTCCCTCACACTTGAGCATCCGGAACCTTTGCAAATCTAGGTGCTTGAGACACCGTCTACACCATGTTTGTCATGTTCATGCATTGGGAAACTACTGAACTGACCATGCACGCGTCTGCAGCGCTTCACCGATGATCCCCAACACGATCCGTGAGTTGTGGGCATCGTCGTTATCACGCAATGTCGCTGAGTCTTCAAGATATGCCGCCACTCGCGGCTTATTCTATTCTCATATGGGGTTTGTTATCTCATCTCCTCCACTAGCCCAATCGACCGATACCATGGCTTTAGATGGATCTTTTACAAGCCCACGTATGAGCGTATGGAATTGGTAGACCGCGAAGACCTAGATGCTGATCCTGGTGCGTCCCCATTCTCACTCGGGCCTCTGACTGAATTCTGTTTAGTCGTCAGGTTTCAGCACAAACACTATGGTCAGTCTACCTGACATACCGCTGCCGTGGCTGACCGGCGAACAGTTCCGCTTGCTCTTTTCTTCGGAATAATTCTTCCGACTTTGCTTGGAGGTCTGTGGGGTGATGTCAGCGGTGCTTACGTTTGGGGGGGCCTTGTGCCACGACTGGCGAGTCCGTGATAAAAGCGCTTGATGTTGTTTTGGCTGCTGACTGATGGTCCAGTTTGGCACTGCACTTTCCTCGTGAACTCGTATGTCACGTCGGAGTCCCTGGTCATCGCCCGTTGTGCCTGATTCTGCACAGTCTTGCGCATTGGGACGGCCTGCAACCGTATTCGGACGAAGACACTTCACGCGGTAACTTGGTGAGTGAAATATCCTCATTGCAGAACAAACGAATCAATTCATAGATTCTGGCATTGCTCACCGGTGGGGAGGGCTCGCACAACTTCGTGAGTCTGGTCACCATCCTATTGACCCGCTCTGGCTAAGCATTCCAGCATGTGAGCCTGAAGGCGCCTTGTTTTCAGTCGTCTAATGCCATCCAGCACTCGTTTCCTCATGACTACCGCTCCGGCCCCCACCTGACCAATTGGGATCCATCAAAATGGATCATAAGTCTGCTGCATTCGCTTGGATTGGTCTACGGCCTTCGGAGTGTCAGGGAAGAGGATCTTAAAGAAGCCACCGACTACATGCATTACAAGCACAAACACGGCTCTCCCCCTGAGGAGCTGGAGACTGATTGGACTGGCGAAGCTTGGAAGCTCTCCCGCGCTCATGAATATGTTAACTCCAAAGCTGGAGTATGCCTGGTGGTCGTTGGCGATTACTTTGTCGATGCTACCAGCTATCTCGGTGAACACGTCAGTCCACTGCGCTGCTTAAATCAATAATCTTGTGACGCGTTTTCTAGCCGGGAGGAGCTTCGGTCATCAGAAAATACTCTGTCAGACCTAACCAGGACTTGGTAGACGCCACTTGGGCCTACGACGGCGGTCTGAAGTGAGTGCACCGTCGTTTCCGGGTACTTGCATTCATGGTCCATTAGCAACCACTCGCGCTCTGCCAGGAGACGGATGCAAGAGTTTCGAGTCGCTCGATTCATTCGTGATTGATTTTTTAGATACATATATCATATATGGTAAACGCCTTTGTCTGTAATTTGTACTTTTGTGCAGCATTACTCAGCGAAGCCGTAATATACACGCACAACGACCATGGAGGTGTGGCTTGCAAAACAGGATTGACTAGTTCCGAGAAGTCTGCAACTTGCAAAGCACCGTCTCCTGGGCCACTGTCGCCCAGTCGATCTTGAAGCCAGAAGCTGGTGACTATTATCCAGATCACGTGCATTAGTTTACAATCGCCGAAAAGTCCGAAGTGCATTGTGCTACATACCACCTATATCGCCTCTGCAGTCCCCTCATAATCACGATCACCGCGACTCGCTACGCATATCATGAAGAGACAGCTCAGAGGAGGAGAAGGAGAGTCTTCCAAAGCGAAACGGCGAAAGGAAATGCCCAGTTCTGATCAGGATGTCGTCGAACCCCTTACGGAAGTGGAACGCGTGAAAGCGCGTCTGGGCGAAGTGCGGGAGCAGGGCCTGAAGATCTGGAACACGGTAAAGGATGCGACGAACAAGGAGTGCGGCTTCCCTCGATCATTGTGGCTCATCCACCTTGCGACGCTGACTGCATTCTCGTAGCGGACGGGTTCTTTCTATCGCTTTCCTGAAGAAGCCCCCCAAGAAGCTCTACCCGGACTACTACCAATTCATTCAACACCCCATTGCACTTGACGACATCAAGAAACAGCTCGAGTCCAACTTCTATCCCACTCTCGAGGCCGTCCGCCAAGATTTCGAACTGTGCTTTGATAATGCGAAGACATACAATCGACAGGACAGCGAGATATGGCTTGACGCGAAGGAACTTCACGTGGGGCCTACATTGTCTATTCAACCCGCAGTGTGGCTGAAAATCGTCGCAGAAAATCGCAAACAAGGCCTACAATAAATTGGTACCAGAGGATGAGGACACGCGGCCACCTTCTTTGCATAGGCTCGCGAAAACAAGAATGCAGAAGCTCTTGGAGAAGACAGATGATGAGTGCGTCGCTTTCGCTCAGTTGTCGCCGTGTCTGAGCGTTTGCAGTGGTCGAGTAATGTCCCCTATATTCACCACACTACCTGACAAGAAGATTTGGGCATCGTACTATGTGCTCATCAAGCGGCCTGAGTGCTTGGATGCTATCATGGTGAGATCCCCAGTTTTTGCTGCATCTTGTGGAGCCCTCAACTGCTCAAACAGAAACGCATCAAAAAGAAAGAATACCATACGATGGCGGATTTTGCAGACGATGTCGAGCTTGTATTCTCTAACGCTATGGAATTCAACTTGGAGGGGAGCCCTATCTGGAACGACGCCTTGTCTCTACGAGTACGAGCCACCTTGGAATTGTGTGTTGTGGCTGATAACCTCTTGCAGGATTATTTCCGTCAGCTTATGACTGATCTTCCTCCTGCTTTTGCGGTCCCCAGATACCAGAAGCCCTCCGCCACCAAGATCAAGCTCAAGATGCCGGCTGCATCCACGGCAGCAGGACCATCGACAATAACCGCTCCGGCACCGTCTGTTGTGCTGCGAGTCCCTACTGCGAAGGTCGTGACTACCAAAACAAAGGTCTCCACTCCTTCGGCTGCCCCAGCACCTTTGCCAAATACTCAATCGATATCGTCGGCACCCCCAAAACCTACGGCGAAGGCTGACACGTCGGAACTGCCTCCCAACACTCTCCCATCGACGAATATGATCAAACCTTCGACGCAAGCTACCGCGCCAGCGACAAAACCTACGCCCAAACCTGCCCCAGCCCTATCCCCTCCCCCATACATCACCACTACATTCAAGGCTACCCCAACTCCCTTACCCGTGGCCCCGCCAGTGGCTGTCCAAGTGCCGAACCCTGTGCCACCACCAGCGCTACCGCCCATCATGGCGCCGGCTCCCCGTTCTGCGGCACCAACGCCAGCGCCAATTGTGCCGACGCCCGTGCCCAAGCAAGCGATGTCCATGTCGAACTCGCCGGCTCCGCCGCCAATCCCACCGAGTCACATGCTCAAAGGCGTCTCTTTGACGATCGAGCCGTGTAAGCGACCCTTTTTGCTGGACCATCGAGATGGGGTGAAGACCTGGGTCATGCGTCTGGGGCCTGGTGAGAATGGCATCAGAGTCTCGGACGTTGCATACATGGGCGACGACGACGCAAGCAGCGATGACGAGGACGAGGAGGAAGAGACTGATGCCATGGATGTCGATCATAAGAAAAAGGGAGGGAAGAGTGCACAAGCCGCTTCTGAGGTCAAAAGAGAGAATCGGAAGATTACTGAGATCCAGGTCAAGCTAAATGGTCTGCTCATTTCGGAAAAGCAGCAGCAGCCAGGACATTGGATGGTCGATCTTCAAACAGGCTCAAACATCATCGAAGTGGGAGAGAAGGGTGGTTTAGTCTGGAAAGTTTACGCAGACAGACCTGTATAAATAGTCGCCTGTGGTTCCAGCCGTCTTTGTTTGTAACAGATGTAATCTAATCTAATCATCCCGTCATCCCGACCACGATGTCCTCCCGCGTGCGATGCATGGTGAATCAGCCTCTACTTACTAGCATTTCGGGAGAGCTCACCTCTCCCCAAGTGGTATGACGACGATAGAAATCCGCTTTTGGGTGGCTGTAAACCACGTGGAGGCACTTGCTATTACTCTCATCCATGGCAAGACGAGTGGAGAACTGCACAACGGCGGCAGATGGTGAGTGTGGACCGCCCCGCATTTCCAGACCCTTCGGTGCGTAGATGCAGCTTTGCATCGTCATTTGTACCCATACCGTGGTACAGTATCGCTCGGACAAGACCCGGGGCGACGATCAAAGCAACAGCCGTCGCGCAGGACCCTCCACTCGCGACCTGCGACGCCCAGATCACGACGACTTCGACTCAACCAGTTGGAGACCGAATGAAGATCCCCCGAATCTCACATCCAGCAATAACATAGCTCTTTCTCAAAATCGCCAAAGCCAAGACACTTCCCATCGCACTGCTATGAACCAAGCCAGCACCTCTAAACTGCCCCCACCGACCACTGGGTCAGGGAACAGCGCTTTTGGAGCAGTCTCTACCAGTGGTGACGATGGAGGATGGGGATCTGGAGGTTCGTGGAGCGCGAGCGGGTCTAATGTCTCGGGAGGCCTCCGACTCGACAATGTCTGGGCTGGTGCGGAGCCCGACGCGTCGAAAGCGGCTTCTGGACACTGGGATGGGCCTCCTCCTCCGAAGGCTTATAGAACGCGTTCGATTACTCCCCAACCTTCCAAGAAATCTGTTTTCGAGGACCAGCGCGTCCCGCCACCTGGGCCTTCACGTCGGCAGGACCTGCAACTTGATACAACCGTCCCTCTGATACTGGCCGACCCTGGAAGTGCCTTCCCGACTCCTGTTCTGTCGGTCACGCCTATATCTGCCCTTTCTCCGACCCGCTTCGTTCCTGGTTCGCGGCCAATGACGAGATCCGAAATCCATACTGCCATCGTTCGGTAGGTTGAACTTCCAACGATTATTTATATAAAAATCACTCTGATGAATCACTATCGTCCAGAAACACCGTGCGCTATATCCGAATCCGAATGGAGTTTGACGAAGCAAATGAACAACTCAAGCGATGGCGCGTCACCCAGAAATCGGCGCATTTCTCGCGTGTTTCACAATCTGCCGGCGAGCAATTGAACGAAATCTCGCAGAGGCTCTCGCAGAGGCTGGCCGTCATGGAGCCGCGGCTCCAGAAGGCAAAAGAAGATCTCCTGGGCTTGCCGGACCTGCCACCTGCCGGACCGATGCTCGCTGCTGCCGAGGACGAGCTGCTAAGATACATGGAAATCGTTGAGACGTGGTTAAAGCGCTTTACGCCCGCGATGGAACCGCCTTCAAGTACGCCTGAGCCCGATGCCATGCTTGTCGATCCGCCAGAATCGCCTCCCCAGACGGCCAAAGTTCTATATGCAGAGATTGTCACGCGTGCGGAAGCACTGGAGACGAAGTTGGAAAGGCTGGACGATCAATTGCACGAGTCTCTGGGGCAGAACGAGATCAGCGGGAAAGTTCGGCAGATGATGCAGGTCAACTTGAAGGCCAAGGTCGAGGATCCCGCCCGTTCAGAACTCGACAAAGCCATTCAAGCGACTGCGACCAAATCGACAGAGGCAGGACAGCTGGTTGCTCAACTCATCAAAAGCAATGCCGATTTGCAGGTGCGGATCGATGATCTCGGGGCTCAAAAAGAACGACGGAGAGCGTTCATCCATAGGGTCGGTTATCTCGATGTCGGGAAGCATATGTATTCACACTTCCTCTCATTTTCTCGCAGTTCGAGGCCCAGATTGACGAATTCGAGAAACAACGTGTGCAGCGAGAGACTCAGCTTACTCTGATGAGGAAGCAATTCGCCAAGATGGCCGCGCCGATACAGCCTGCTGTGACCGCAGAGATCATGGAGCACACCCAGTTGCGAGTCAAAGAAATGATCGATCGCGAGATTGTGCCCGCACTCAACGCTATGGAACTCAAGTACACCAGTGCCATTCAACGGAGAATGGAAAGTCTGCAGCAAGCAATTCAACCGGCGCTTGACAAGACGGCCGAGATCAGCGAGAGAGCGAAAGCGATGGAGTAATTGGGTAGCCTAGCCTAGTCCTCTGGTATATATCGATGATACGACTGTGATTCTTCGCCGAACTCGGCAAGATACCTCTGGAGCATGTCCTCTCGCTGAGCAGGGCGAACTTCATAACCCTCCGACCCGCGTCTTATCTTGACGCCGCGGCCAGTCTCTCTGTATTCATCCTCGTCGCTGGACTCGCTGGCCTCGGTGTCGTCGGCCGGTCGGTAATCAGGATGGTAAGGTGGTAACGCGGAAGCCCCGTTGGCAAGTTTCCGCCTCCTCGCAGCGTTCGAGGGTTCCAGATCCGGATTGACGCTCCCATTCTCGTAAGTCCATGGTGAATCAGGCAGCTTGAATCGGTCGTCCCGTGGCATGAAGTCGGGATCCTCTGGTGGCCATCTCGGTTGCTCGTCTGCTTCCGCATCTAGAGAATCCATCAGTCAGCACTGAATCTGATCAAGAGTAAGAACAAGACAGTTCTGTTGGCAAGACACTCACCGTCACACTTCCAAGTGCTGTGGTTTCATTCGAAGCTGTGAGAGCTCAACCCACTCACCATCGTTCTCCGTCAGGTCGTAGTTAAGTCCAGAGCCAGGAGGAGAAGTCGGCCAACACCAAAGCCATGGATTTTGTCCAAGCACTGATTCGATGTTCCGGCGTGTACCTACATTCTGCGAGCCAATCAACAAAGATTGGAGCAACTTTGAATGAAATTTACGTAGGGAAACTTGACCTAAACACCGTGGGGTTGAGTTGTGTGCTAGGAAAGAACGGCAGAACCACCACATACTTCTTGGATCTTGCCTTTGCGCACCATTGTGGCAACTTTGTCCTTCTCCCAGCCCTCAATCGTAGTCGTATTGTTTTTGAGGCCATTGAAGTGATACAGACTGCATTGATTTCTAGTCACAAGACGTTCTGCGTTCAAGTCAAAATCTCACCTGAAAGCGCCTACGGACATGAAGACCGGGACACAAGCGACATAGTTGAGAATAATGAAGATGAGTTCTGTACTATCGGGCTCGTCCTGCTCTACTGTTAGCACAATCCCGATGTGAGCGGATGGACGAGCTCACCCAATATCTAGCTCCCATGCTTAGATACACTCGCCGCGAGATCATGACTAGATGATAACCGCACGCCAGGTCAACGTAGAACAAGAATCGAATGAAATGGCCGTAGTTGAAGTGACCGACACAGTTGTTGATCCAAGGGCAGTGGTGGTCTGGAGGCAGTAAGCAGATGCACGGCTCGAGACGGAAAGAGAGTGTACCCATCCGCAAGACACATCTTGTAGGACGCGTTCGTTAAATCAGAGCGCTTCAGAATGAATTCATCACACACTTGTTACACTGGCGACAGTGGTGCGCTCTTGGAGGTTTATGTTTCTCGCACATCCGACAGTATCTCGGCTTTCCCGTCAGTTTCTTGACCTCATAACCATCCGCTTGCGTGTCTGGCTTCCAATTGTCCGGAACATGTCCAGGGTCGACAGTGACGCAGAGAAAGTAGTTCCACAGCAACATGCCAACCAGGAGGCTGATGGTTGAGTACGAGACTAGGGCGTCTTGACCTCGCACTTACTTGAACGGCACCAGTAGCACAAGCAACGGAATTGATACCACTCTGCCGTACCACGGCCATACAACGAAGATTTGCGAAGAATAAGCAATGAAGGAGATGAGGAGAAGAACAAAATTGACGACCAGGCGCCCGATGAGTCCTGCCATGGGGGACTTGAAGAGAGAAGCCGTTAAGCCAGTTGATGGCGGCTCAATGCCGATGATGCTGTGTGGCTGTCAAACTTTTGCTTTCGTTCATGATGCGACCGTATACGAAGGTCGCGAGGCTCGTCAGCCAGGGCATTCGATGGAATTCGACCGCAGCGGATTCCCCCCAAGTGGGCTCGTTAGCCAGTCGGCTCACGGTGCAAAGCTCTGCTGAGGTATGTTTGTCACGCGCACAGAAGCGAAATGTGTGCTAACATGAGCTGCACGACAGTATCAAGTCCCGGAAATGGATCAATACGCTCAAGAACGAAAGGCGCTGATAGAAGAAAGGCGGAAACAACGGATTGAGGAACGTGTTGCCCGTGAAGCTGCTGAGCGCAAGCAACGGGCTGCGCGTGCCGCTCAGCGGTCTCCTCCAAACTTAGCGCCGTCTGCTCCCACCGTCGCTGCTACTACGCCCACTCGGCCGAACTCCTCCGCCACCCCTCACACAAACCCAGAGGCCGAGCCTAGTGAAGATATGGTGGCTCACCGTAGGCAACTCCTCGAGGAAGCGCGCGCGGAACGGCGTACTGCACGATTGGCGAGGGAAGGGACTCGTCCACAGCAGACGCCTGGGTACCAGCGCCCTCCCTCCTCACCGCGCGGGCCGCGCGGAGTCGCCGCTGCTCGTGGCGATCAACCTTCCAATGGGACAAGATTTCCAGGACCTGGCAAGGGCGAAGAAAGGAGACCACGTCGCCCGCGGCGTCAGGATAAATTTGGGAAAGACTCACTTTCTGACATGGAAAAGTACCCTCCGGAGATTGAAGAGTGGGTGATGAGCGAGGATGTTATTGAAGTGGCTCCTTTGCAAGGCCCCGAAATCGCCAGAGTAAACCTCAAACGCCTCTTCCTAAAGGAGCGTCCATCTTCCCGAGATCGTCAAACACTCCTCGAGACCGTCGGTGGAGACTATTCACGCTTCACCGCGAAAAGCCCCCAGCATTTTGTTTCTGCTGCTGCGAAGCTTGGGCCAGGAAAGCACTCAGCAGTAGCCTCTGCTCACAGCAAGGATATCATTGCGAAGAAACGCGAGGAGATTCACGAAATCGCGAATACTTGGTCTGCGTAATACATATGATATTCGAATAAACCTGCTTTCGTGTCATACTAAGCGCGAACTTCTTCAAGAATCACTCCCTGGGCCAAGAATTCACGGTATCAAAGCAACCCAAGTTCTCACATCCGAATCATTCTTCCTCCGACTCGATATCGGAGGCAGACGGCTGCAAAGTTTTCCTCTTGGGCTGGCGAACATCTTCGGCTAGCTCGAAATCGTGACTGTCGCCCAGAACCTTTGGCAGTTTATCCCCAAACGCGTCGGCGCGGCGTGCTGACTTCGACTGGCGCGGATTCTTCTGGATTTTCTGGGAGTATTTGACGAGCGATGGTACAGCGGGACGGCGGCGTGTGAGAGCTGAAGGTTTCGATTGTACGGTTGCTTCCTGCTTGTTTTCTAACCCTTCCTTGGCTGCGTCGGGAGCCTGCTGCTCATCGGATCCAGATGGACTGTCGGTGACGGCACTGAGCTCTGATTCCGCCTCGCTGGCAGCCGCATGATCCTCAATCCCTTGCTCGCCAGCGTCCTCTCCTCTCTGCTGATTGTCGTCCTCGAGAGCATCGGGCGACAAAATCTCAACGGGAATCTCGAACACGTACGCGTCGTTCACGACGATATCAGGAAGCTTCACGCCAAACGCGTCTTGCCGGCGAGATTGCTTGAGCTGTCTGGGATTCTTGACCAAGCGCTCTGCGTAGATGATGATCTGGCATTTGGCAGGCACGTCGCGTTGCTTGGCCGATTGCATCTTCCTGGATGATTGCTGCTCAACAGTTACAGCCATGGGCTCGTCTGCCACGACAGGCGTATCTTCTTGAGTAGCGCCGCCGGCTTCTATCAGGTCTGAAGTTCTGAGACGGAGATTGATGAAAAAGAGATTGAAATGGTAGAGGAGCACGAGCACCTACTTCACACTCTTTCGCGTCATATTTTTGCGCCGTTTCGCTGGCGAAGAGTCCTCATCTCCATCGGAGGCTTGAGTAATCTTTCTCTTCATAGCTGTGGCGACGAGAAGAATGGAGGAGTCGCAGGAGGGCGTTGCTCAACAAGCAAACGTGACCTTGGACTGCGAATTACTTAGTCTGATCTAATCTGTTGTCCCTTACGTAATTACATGAGATGGAATGGTTAATTCACCAGAGCCAATACAACAACAGAATATAACTGGTATGAGACTGAATCAAGATCTGGATCGCCTAGGACACCTCTTCATCCTGGTCGTCTCCAGGATCGGCACAGTCCATTGCCGTATCCTCCAAGTCCGAAAGAGCGTCGTCGCTCAAAGCATCATCCTCGAGCTCGTCAGCGTCGATGTCATCGTCCGGAAGAGCTGCAATATTCGGCTTGCAAATCTCTTCGGGTAGCTCAAAGTTGTAGGGGTCTTCGAGGATCTTAGGCAGCTTGCAGCCAAAAGCCTCGAGCCGCCGAGCTTGCTGCAGCTGACGCGGGTTTTTGGAAGCTCTTTCTGCATATATTACCAAGCCGCATTTTGACGGTCGTCTCTGCCCAGCACGTTTGCGGGAAATAGAACGCAGCGGCAATGCTGCAGAACTGGAACCCTTGGTTCGCTTTGCCGGTCGAACTGGAGAGAATGTCCCAACGATCGCCTCTATGGGCGGTGCCGAAGACTCTCGCACCACCTTTCCCTTCCCACGCGACGGAACGACCCGTAGCATGTCGATCTCCTGAGATTCTGGCGAAGTAGAGTCGAGTAGAGAAGATGAAGACGTGCGGAGAAACTCTGTAGGCGGTGGTACAAACTGGAAGGGCTCGTGGTCAGGTTGTTCCTCCAGACCAGACACGGGGCTGTCCTCGTCCATTTTGCGTCGCTTGACTGGTTTTCGCGGTCGCCGGTGCTTTTGCGCCGCCTCCGGATCGTACAGCTGAAAGTTGTCGCTGACCACATTCGATGAACCTGCCTCAGGTTGCACACTGCTACGCCGTCGCTTCTTCGAAGGCGACGTTGACTTGGGTGTAGCGATGCCTGGTGTAAAATTGCCAGACTTTGACCCGAGCTTCAAGGTCACACGGGTAGGCAGCTTGGAAGCAGCTGGACTGCCTTCCCAGATCTCCATCTCGTCGTTCGGTCGGGTGGAATCTTTGTAGGCGAGGTCAGCTTCACCATCATTGGAAGCATTGAGTGCCTTTCTAGCACGATCGGGGGGGAGGAGCAACCGATACCGCTCCTCGAGCGCAACCGCTGTCGTCAACATCTCTTTCCTTCTTCTCTCGCCCTCCAAAACGGAGGTGTTTCCCATGAATGGCAAAAGATCGGGATCTCTCTCGAGCTCTTCGTCTGGAGGTTGAGGAGAGAACGAAGAATCTGGTGCAGCGAGGAATGCCGAGTTCTCCATGGCCCGTAGCTGTTCTATCCTCTCCTTCAATTTGTATTGCTCGTGCTTGAGCTTCTCTCGCTCCCGCAGGCGGTTCCGCTTCTCGAAAGCCTCATACTTTTTATGTCGCTTCTCATAAACGCTATCATCCGCCGCATGCACCTGTATTGCAATTAGCACTCGATGGGGGAGACGTGGTGCAGGACGCACAAGAACATCATCGTGGCTGCTTCGGCGCAATCGTGCAGCGACCGTATGTTCGTCTATCCTACTGAACTCGGGGGTTTCGATGAGAGTCTGTTCCCTGTACGACTGGATGACTTCTGGGCGGTCGAAATAGCTCTCGTGGGCAGGCAGGCTGATGCCCGAGCTCGAGCTCGCAGACCCAGCGAACTGAGTGGCTATTCGTCCGAGAGTGGGGTCCGTGGTTAAATAAAAGGGTGTTCTGGAGGGGATAATTGGGTCTCCGTCCGCTAGAGTGGCGCATTTAGCTCGTTGCAAGGACATTGAGTTCGATGTCGCACATTTATTCGATTGGAAGTTCAGTATCATCATGTCGACATCACAATTCCCAACACCGGGTCCACCCCTACGAATGCGCGAGGGCTGTACACGCTTTTGAGGGAAGAACCCTGAAGCGGCTCTCAAAGACGCTTCGTTATCGTCCATGGCCAGGGTTGATGACATTCTGGCCGCTGCAGGTTCTCTTCTGCCGAAAAGACCGATGACGATGATGAGGACCTGAGCTTTGAGTCTGCTCCGGAAGCCTGGTGCAACTGGGTAGATTGTAGCGACAGGAGAAGATTGGGAGAAAGCAAGGTCAAGGGGACACCTCGCAGGGCCAGTCCAAAAAAGTCACGTGTCTCAATGTGCTCAATCAATGACGGTCCAGTGTGCAGCCGATCGACAATGGCAAGCCACTCTTCCTCAGAAGTACATGCATTCTTTCATCACATTGTCCTCTGAACCTGGGAGGATATTGCCCCCGTTTCTGATTTCATATCGACAGATATTCATCACTTACGACATGTTCTGCGTTCATTTTAATGCAAACACCCAGCCATCCGTCTCCAAAGCGTTGATTGCAGTGTCTGTGTCCTTCTTCGGAATCTGTCGTGAAGGCATGTTGTGATGTAGTGCGCCTGCGATCCAGACTGGATGGGCTTACCAGAACGTAATCGGTGTTCCTGCAAAGTGGTCACTTGCGCATTTGCTTCGCGATGGAAACAGTGGCTCTTACCATGTAGAGAGAGCAAAGACCGGCACGGAGGCCCGCTTCAGAGGTTCGACAAAACCAGCGAGGACACCCGTCAGTTCTAGAATATGGATGATAAACCTAATAACGCTTGTTGCGCGAGAATGGGCGTAGTCACCGAATGGCATTGGCCCTGCGATCTTGATGGCCCGCCGGGTCGCGTCTTCTGATTTGATTATGGGCATGCCTGCGCTGTATATGCCGACAACTGAAAGTTCCTCATGTGTGCGGGTGACAGACAAGAACGGCGAGTCGCCAGCTCCAACTTCCAACAGGGCTTCCATCGTCTCCCTGAACTGTCCTGGCTCTAGTTTTGAGACAAAGTAGCTCCCCGGTAGGAGTTGCAGATCCAGACATGAGTGAGCGATGGGAGGCGCCATGAACAGAGATGTGGAATGCCAAGCAGACACAAATTAGACAAGTACAGATATTCGCTATGTATTACTTTCATCAGTGCCATGCACTGTCCATTCTTCAGCACCAGTCCATGCCGTATTCTGCATCGGATAATACGGCTGCTGAAATGACCCTGGATGGGAATATGCCATTCCGAACGCTTGCGCAAAGCGAGGATTGATATGAGGCTGCACGAAACCAGGACCTGGACCCGGACTGGGACTATATCCTGACCACTGAGGAGCTTGTTGGTTCCAGCCCCCGGTCTGGAAGTTGGAGCCATCGGGCATTTGCCCGGTGGCACGCGCTATCGCCATGGAGGTGGGAGATAGCGGTCGAGGAGGTGGTTGGGTGTATTGCTGAGGCTCGAAGGGCCGATCGCCGTCCTGATACTTGGATGGGCGGTCCCGGAATGCCTGGCGGTCCCCGCCATTTCCATTACGGCCACGCTCTCGTCTGCCACGGGAGCCACGTGTTCGCCCTCTCTGCCTTATCGGCCGCCCATCTTCTCGTTCGGCTCGTGATGGTGGTCGTGAAGATAGTGTAGATGATGCGCTCAGTGTTGACGATCCTGGAGGCGGCTGGTCATAGACGTCGGAGTACGGGTCTTCGTCATAAGGAATAGGCGCGGGTCTCGAGGGTCCAGCACCGAAATCAGCATCGTAGACGCTATGAGCTCCGTACGGATTGCGATCGAAAGCGGCCAAATCTTGGTCACGCATCAAAGTAGGTGATGGTGAGGGTTGTCGTGAAGAGACAACAGAATTGGCACGCGATTCTCGTCTGAAGAAAAGCTTGAGTAAGAGTTCGGCCACCTGGATTATCACCCTCACTTTCGCTTCAAGCTACTCTTGTATGCGGCTTCCGCCTCGTCATCCGAAAACTCGAGTTCATCGGCTGCAGGTTCTTCGTCGTGCATATTACTTGCGTCACTGCCTTTGAGACGCTTCAACGCTTCCACGAATACAAAATTGCTCCGTCGTGGCACGTGGAAGACCTGACGCGAAACTTGGACCTTCTCCTTGTCCAAAGGATAAGACGTATTGAATTTGACTTGATACAAGGGCTGAGCGGTAGGGCCAAAGGTTTCAAAAACCTGGCGCATATGAGAAACACTGATCAGCCAGCAGGGGAATAACCCACATATCCGAGCACTTTGCGGTCTTCAAAAACAAGTAAAGTCTCCGAGTCCAGCGCCTTGGCTGAAGAGCGATGAATGATATCGTTCGCCCGCCCTTTGACGATGACGACCTGTCCAATGATAGACATGACTTCACCAATGTGCTCCAGAGCCTCATCCTCCTCGACCTGTGAGACATCAGGAACGACGATGTCCTCCTCGACCTTCTCATTCTTTGTCTGAAAGTAGGACATCGTTCCTGCTGGGACGCTGGCCTCCTCTTCGTCTTCGCCGACTGTATTATCACCCGCCCGTTGCGCCGATTTGACGCTATCATCAGAATCGGAGTCGGAGTCAGAGTCAGATGAGTCTTCAGATTCAGAGGCTGAAACTGGCAACGCTTGCGATAGAGACCGAGTTTCTTCAACAGGCACGGGAGGCGAGATTTTCGCGGGAACAGAGTCGTTTTCACTCGGCACAATAGGTTGCACGATAGCAGTGGTGCTTCCTTCCGTAGAGGTGGCAGTGGGCTGCTGCACAGATCCGGCGGTAAGTTCATTGCTAGATACAGAGCTATCTTCAAAGATTGAGTACGTTTACAAGCAGAGGGCGAGATTTCCTACGTAGCAGCAAGTTTTAGAGGATCATCTCCAACATCCTCTGTTTTGATGAGGTCCGCCTGGATTTCATCTTCGCTTTCGTTCTCACTGTCTGTGTCCGAACCAGAACTATCGATATCTGAGTCGTCCGACAGAGGCTTTGCTGGTGGTCTCGGAGGCGCAGTTTGCACTCCAAGGATGTCCTGAATAAGCCGCAAGTCTTGAGGAACTAGGCTTGGAATCGCGAAGCTCATGAGAGGCGGAAGAAATTTTGAGAAACGCTGCGTCACATCGCGTGACATTACGCGGTCACGCGTCTCGTTTTTTTTCCTGCCAACGTCCGCCTCTGATATGTGGCCAATAGCTCTCTGCAGGAAACAACTGTTCGCGCCTTCGCTTTACTTCCGCAACGCGCGTAACTACTTGACGGAGAAGCCGTCCATCAAACTCGTCGCCGAACTCCGGAAGTTGACGGAAGTCTCGATCGTCAAAGCGCGAGAGGCTCTAAGCGCGTCAAACAACGACGTGAACGGTGCATTAGAATGGCTGAAACAAGACCTCCTCGCATCTGGTGAAAAGAAGGCTGCTAAAGTGCAGGACAGGCACACAGGCGAAGGTCTTGTCGGCGTCGCGGTTCTGTCTCCGGGAGTCACCGCTTCCCAGAGCGGTGGCGTGCGAGCGGCGATGATTGAGCTCAACTGCGAGACGGATTTTGTTGGACGGAACGCGCTTTTTGGCTCACTGGTAGCCGACATTGCTCACACCGCCGCCTTCCTTGCAGAGCCTTCCGCCACAGATTCGCATTTCTCTCCATTGCCAGTCGAGATCCTTCAGGATGCTCCGCTCCTCAGTTCCCAGAACCCGAATCCCAGTCCCGACTCAACCGTGAGCCGCGCCATACGAGACCTTATCGCGAAAGTGGGCGAGAACGTCGTCCTCCGCCGTGCAGTGACTGTCGTGCGGCCGCCACCTTCCACGCTGACAGTGGGCTACCGGACACCGTTCTACATGCACAATTCGATCAACGACCCCACCCAAGGTCGGATTGGAGTGCTAGGTCTGCTCCAACTGGCTTCACCCCACCTCCACGAGACATTCCAGGATCCCACGTTCGTAGGGGAACTCGAACGCATTGAACGGTCGTTGGCCCGACAGATCGCAGGTTTTGAGACACGTTCAGTCCGCGGTCCGGAGGGTGCCGAGGATGCATTGTACAACCAGCCTTTCATGATTCCCGGTGACATGTCCGGGCAGCCGGTGGGCAAAGTACTTGAAGCATGGTCCAAGGCGCAGAAGATGGATACAGTGGATTTGCATGCATTCGCCAAATGGACTGTTGGAGAGTCTCTAGCATAGATCTAGAAGTATTACATATGGACGATTACCGGCTCTTCTTGTCCACTCGTTTAACATACGGAAGCCCCCACTTGCTTGATAATGTGTAATTTCGCTGATCATCCTTGACGCATAGTGACCTGGGAGCCTCGTAATCAATATCTCGGCATTGCTGGGGGTAATTGCGGCTTACAGGTCTGGAAATCAGTCAATACGAGAGGAGCACGATGGAAAAGAAACGAACATTGAATCCCAATATACTTGAAGTAAGTTCCGCTGGCCTGGTAAGATGTCAATTATTGATTCGGATATCTGTACAGGTAGCCATCCACCGTGAACTGGACAGGTGAACCATCAGATCAGGGCTACAAGGCAGGACGAAGCCACCCACAACATGCCACCAGGAATGCCCTTCTAGGAGGAAAGCTGCAGGCCATCCGATTCTGATCTTCCACCTGCACAGAAACAGTTTCCCAAATGTGACAATCCGGAGACAATTCACGCACATCGTCAAGGTGTTGCAGAAGATGTTATCTAGATTCCAAACGAGGAATGCAAACGAGAACTGAGCGACTCCAGAAGTGAAGATGCGTCCTATCAGACGCTTGTTCTCGGGGGAAATGCGCCGCCTGTGCGGTGAGCGGGCAATCACGAAGTAGATCCGGCCCGCGACAGTGAAAAGCATGGTCCCGAAGACCATCTGGTGGTACACTGGGTTTCGGTAGAGATAGCTAGACGCATTGGGGATAACGAGATACCGAGAAGCCTGTCCGGATCACGACTCACTACGACCATGTGAAAAGCACATCGAATGCAACAACCGAGTAGCCCAGTATTCGTGTTCGTCTGGTCTTCATGTCAAACTTCGTGTCAAGGTCAAATAAAAGCCAAAGCGGCATCGAGGCGACATAGATCATCGGTAGCTCGTCAGCCAGCTGTGCCTGGAACAACAGTGTTCCGTGGAAGTAGGCGCTCCCTACGCCGATGAGAGCAATGCCCAGGTATCCGAGAGCAAACCGCGTTGGGACTGGCAGGGGTCAAGACAGGAAACACGGTGGATGGGCTGCGGGCATACGTTTCTCGGCATTACACCTCAGCAGCCCAAATAGAGCGAACCCGACGGTAGCGAGATTCGACACGGTATTAGCCATCTCTACAAGCATTCATCCTCAGAGTAGTTCCAGATCAGCATGAATAGATCCAACCAGCTATGTAGTGCGAGAATTGATAGTTCTCCTCGCACCTAGCAAGCTAACGCTCCGTCAACGCTCAAGCGCATCACAAACGGTGCGCACCAATCGAGGGTCGCCGTCGGCGGGCCATGATATCCGTTCCGTATGGTAGTCAGGTTTGTCGCCTGAACTATCATCGTGTTGGTGATGGTGGTGGCAGACAAGCACTCAGAGGCAGGAGTTTGGATTTATATACAACGCGATCGCTTTCACGTGTCGACGCCGCGAAAAGCCGAGGGTCCGATTGCGCAAGAGCCAGGCTGAGGAATCCCACAAGAGAGCGCAATCGGTGGCCATGGAGCAGAGTTTCGAGATTCTAGGCGCGGAGAGGCGCGAAGAGACGCGAACAATGGTGTGTAGAACGGCGGGTTATGCATGATCAAAGACGCGTCGGGCGGCCCGGAGGGCCGACACCAAAATGAGTCGCGCGTGATGTGCACAGCCATCGGCTTTCAATCAAACCCAACTTACTCATCACCCAAAAAAGTTATGCGCCGTGCAGGAACAGTGCTCGCCCGGAATCGAGGCAACGGGCTGTACCAGGCCTCCAGACGCCGGCTGAATCTCGACTCGACGCCAGACTTGGGCTGTCGAGTGACGACGCTGCCCAATAAGATACGCGTCGCGACCGAGGCAACTCCGGGACACTTCTCGTCAGTCGGGTTGTATGTTGATGCGGGTTCGAGGCTCGAGACGCCGAGCACCTCAGGGTCCAGTTATTTCCTGGACAGGATGGCGTTTAGAGTGCGTCTGTTAAGGGTGGCTGATCACTGTCGTGTATTGACGCTATTTGGCAGGCGACGAGTACACGGTCAGGCGACGACATGGCGGCAGCCGTGCACTCACTCGGTGGCCAAATTCTTTGCTCCTCCTCCAGAGAAGCAATCATGTATCAGTCGTCGCATTTCCACAAAGGAACGCCGGAGGCAATGTCCCTCATTGCCGACACAGTTCTGAACGCGTCGTTTCTACCTGAGGAAATCGAACTTCAGCGCGATGCAGCGCGGTACGAGATCCGGGAAATCTCATCCAAGCCGGAACAAATCCTTCCCGAGATCCTTCATGCTGTTGCTTATGGCAACACTGGCTTGGGCAACGCGTTAATGTGTCCCGAGGAACAGGTGGACAGGATCAACGGATTCACCCTACGAACGTTCATGAAGCAGTGGTACCGGCCAGAAAGAATGGTCATCGCTGGAGCTGGAATGCCTCACGAAGAGCTGGTTGAGTTAGCAGACAAGTACTTCTCTTCGCTGAAAGCTGCCGACGTGAGCATCCCACCACCAAGACCGATCGTGCCCCAGCCGCTCTCGTCTGCCACCTCCCAACCGTCTGTCGTGCACTCGCTATCCCGTGCGGCATCGTTCTTGTACCCCAACTCTGCTTCCGACGAACAGAGCCTGGATATCACCCCTCCGCCATCTCTGTCTTCGAGTTATCAGGGCGGGCACCGGTTCATCTACGACCCCGAGTCGGAGTTCGACCATCTGTACGTCGCGTACGAGGGCGGGGGCATCCACGACGACGACATCTACGCGCTGGCGACGATGCAAGTGCTGCTCGGGGGCGGGGGGTCCTTCTCTGCGGGAGGGCCGGGCAAGGGGATGTACTCGCGCCTGTACACTCATATCCTCAACTACTATCCGCAAGTGGACCACTGCCAGTCCTTCAACCACATCTACACGGACTCGTCGTTGTTCGGTCTCTTTGCTACGTTCGTTCCGGGCGGAGAACGGGGTGGAAACTCGCCGACCCAGATTCTGCCGCATCTAGTGCACCAACTTTCGCTGCTGCTCCACACGCCCGTGCCGGCTGCCGAGCTGAGCCGGGCGAAGAACCAGCTCAAATCAGCGCTGATGATGGCATTGGAAAGTCAGGCTGTGGAAGTCGAGGATCTCGGCCGTCAGGTGTGTATCCTTCCTGTTGCTTGTTTATGCAGATGTCTCTAAGTCCTGGCAAAGATGCTGGTCCACAACCGCAAGATTCCCATCCATGAAATGACTGCCAAAATCGACCAGTTGACACCGGCCGACATCAAGACAGTGGCCGACAAGGTCTTTGGTGCGCAGTCAGGCAACAAGCCGACGATTCTCTGCAAGGGACATGAGGATGTGGGCTCGTGGAAGGAGATCTTTGACAGATACAGCGTCAGCAGCGGATAAAATTATCACTAATATCCTCATGTAATTCATCCCCCTCACACGTACTTGGAAAAACTAGATTACATCTGATAGCAAAAAAAAATACAGAAAAGCAGATAGATGATGGTGAGTCTAGGCAGGTGCCATAAAGCTGCCTGCTTGACCGGAGCCCCGACCAATAGAATTGGCCAATGCCCTCCGTTTCTCCTCCCAAGCCTTCAGTCCCCGCAGAAGCTGCACAATCTTATCCCGTTTGCCCTGCCGAACGTCGTTGATGCTCACACTCCCCATCCGGACCTCGTTGTCCAGTAAAAAGTCGAACAGCTTGAAAAGGCCGTCCAGGTTGTCGTCCGTCGGGCCTTTCGGGAAAGCAGAGTCAAGCACAGGCGGCGAGTTCGGTCGCCCTTTGATGGACTCAGCAATGCGCATCAGGCCCAGTCCATCGCACAATGGGCCGGCGGTATCCATGATGCGCAGATTCGACGGAAGATGCCCGTTGGCCCACTCAATCAATCCTTCATCCACGGGGGCTGCCGCTGTCGTCTGCTGGGACAGTCGCCGTGACGGCCGCGGCGGCGCAGACGACATGGGAGTGCCTGGCGCAGAGCCGGTTCCGCTCTCCGTCGTCTCGTTGGTGAAGAACGACTCCAGTCTCGTCCTTTCCTCTTTCGGCGCGGATTCTGCTGTCGCGAATCCGGTCAGCATCAGTACTCGGGCATCCCGGGTAGACGGCTGGTCCGTATTCTCCCGCCTCAGTGCTCGTTGGGTGGCAGCTCGTGCCGTCGGTGACGGCGGCCGGGGAGCAGGATTCATGGTTTGCGCGACGATCAAGGGTATAGTTGGTATGTTGCACGATGACACGACCGGTTCTGGTGAGTGATCAGAACGAATCAATGACGACTTGTCGTAGCACTTACTGGAATAGTCTCGTCCGATGGTGGCCTTCATGATAGCCTTCATCCAGTCTCGCACAATCGTCTTCTCGTCCGAGCTGAAGTAGTGTGTCTTGTCATGATCATGGTCGATCCTGAATCCGTATTTCCCAGGGTTAATCGTCTCGTCCACAGTAACCTTATACCCCACGATGTTCACGTAGCCCTTGATTTTGGTTTCCTAAGAACACCATCAGTAACGGAATAGAACAATCCAACGCAGACAATGCTGACCGCTTTGTTGCTGCTCCTCAAACAGTACAGATCCGACCCCTTGAGCACAAAGTAGCGCAGCTTCCAACTGTTGTACCGCTCGCTCTTCTTCCTCATCCAGCCCGAGTGGTCCGACGCACCGATCTGCTCGATGATGCTCATGCCTGGCTTGAGCTTAGTCACACCGGCAGCCGCACCCGGCTCAGCCCCGGTAGCGTTCACTTTAGTAGCAATACTTGCTGCCTTGGTACTATCCGTGGCGTGATTCGACGCAGTCCGCTTGCGCAAGAGTGTCGGCGAGCTCCCGTCTTTAGGAGAAGTCGGCTGTGGGGGAAGACCATCGGCACTGGGGGTTTGCGACGTAACGCCTCCGCCCGAAACACCGCCTCCTGGCGTTGACGGACGACCAGACTTGCGGGCCAATCGAGGGAGCGTGAAACCGGAACCAGCCTTGTCCGCTGGCTTCTCGGTTTTATCAGGCTTTTCCGTCTTCTCCTCATCAGCAGCACCGGAGTATCGAGGGGCAGGTTTTCGACCCAGCGTGGGACCAAACGAGGTGCCGAAGATGCTCAGTCGGTCGTTCGACTTGGCATTCCCATCGATGCTCTTCTTCCCTCGGGAATGACGGACGGTCGACGCCTTCTTCTTCACGGTGCCCTTGCCAGAGTCGCTCTTGACGTCAGCAGCCGACTCGGCGTCCTTCGAGTTGACGCTTCCCTCCTTCTCAGTCTTGTCGACGTGCGTTGACGAAATGGGCGAGGCCAGCGGCGACCGTCCTCCGGTCCCAAAGAACTTTTTCTTTGAAGACGTATTGGGTGCCGGAAGCTCGCTCTGTTAGTCACCGCTGAGGACTCATTCTTCATAAATAAGTAAGCGGGGTGACTCACCTCGCTCATGACCGCTCTCTCGTCCTCCTGCGTCTCCCCGTCAGCAGCTTGCGTGGCCGACACATTCAGCGCGCCGTCGCTGGGCGACAACATCAATTGAGCAGGTCGGCCCTTAGACCGACTGCCATTGATCTGATCAAGGGGAATGCCAAGCCCAATCGGGGCACCTTCTGCAGGCAGTCCGGAGACTTCACCCAATCCATGAGATACACCGTAGGTTTGCGCTAAATATCCGTTCTGAAGCGGTGAGCCGACGGAGGACTGCAGACTATGGTGTGCGTTGTATGATTTCTGGGAATGTGATTGCGACTGAGAGCGCGAGTGCCCGACGTGATGCGGCGAGCTATTGTACTGCGGCGACCCGTTGTGAGGTGCTGAGCCCGGGAATTGTTGCGAGCTCTGGGAATTTGTGTACACCATAGCATATTGTGGCATGTTCTGCTGCTGGAAATTAGGCGGCATCTGGAACGAAGCAGATGGGGATGGTGGACGCCGAAGATCGACAATGGCATTGGCGATGCGCATGCGCTTCCCAAAGGCCATGATGCCGATTTCGGTCTTCAACAAATTCACATCTAGCTCGATGAGCACATCCCCTGTGATTTCTTGCTCTGAAGAACGGGATGTCAGTCAAGGAATATCAAACGCTAGTTATGCCGCACCAGTGAATTTGTCACACACATCCTCGTCGAAGCCCTTGCTCTTGAGCCAGTCTACAACTTCGTCGACTGTCCACTCTGACGGGTGCTTTGATGTGCTGCTAGCGCTGGCGTTTCCACTATCGTCATGTCGCTTGTTCTCGCTCTGCGCCGAAAGAGGCGCAGAACCGACACTACTCGGCTTGGATGGGATACCGACAGCTAGACCGGCAGCGGATGTAGAAGCTAAGCTGCTGTGTTTGGAACCAACAGCAGCGGCTCCAGCGGACAAAGCTGGAGAAGGAAGTCCCGGGGAGACCATGCCGAATGTGTCGCGAGCTGGGGTGTGCATCCGCTCCGGTTCCACGGCAGCAACAACAGGGGCAACGATGGGGGTCGGGGCTACGAGCTCTGGCAGAGTGGGCGACACTGGAGATACAGGGCTGGGCGGGACTTCGGTAGGCAGTTGGAATGTAGACACAGTCGCCGTCGCAGGGATGTCTTCAGCAACCCGCATGCGTCCGAGCCCATCGACGGATTCTGAAGGCTCATCCTCTTCAGGAATGTAGGGGTGATCCCGTACTGGAGAGTTAAAGTTGTCTTCGGAGAAAGTTTCTCCTCCGTCCTCGTCGTCCTCGACGTCACTCTCGTCGCTGAGCTCCACGGAGATTGGGGGGACGACGATCCGGCTCGGGCCTGCCGACAGCGCCTCAAGCTTTTCGGCCTCCGCGACCGCTTGCCGCGCTTTCTCTGCAAGTTTGCGCCGGGCTCCCTTGTGCCAGCCTTGGCCCTCGCCCTCGCTCATGTCGTAGTCCGTCTCCTCCTCTTCATCGTCTGTTGTGAGGTTATCTCGTGTGGAGGCAAAGCTGAAGGATCGAGCATCGTGATCCAGATTCATGCTGCTGTCCCTGGTGCGGCTGCCGAGCTGCTCGATGGCTTTCTGGACGTCGGTCATAGTCGCCTTCATAACCTCCCCGTTGGTATCCGCGCCATCGACCGCTTCGTCCGCTCCCTGCCCATTGAGTTGAACTTGCGGAGTATGTAAGACCGGGGATACGGAGACTGACTCCGGCTCCTCTGCGAGCGACTGGAGAGGGGCGCTGATTGTCTCAGTCGGTGCAGGAGAAATAATGGTGGACGCCGGTGTCGGCGAGGCCTCGGTCTGCGGTTCGGCAGATGTAGTGTAGCTCTGAGGAAATAAACCCTCCCTCCCTGCTAGATTCCGCCCTCTCCACCATCCATCACTGTAGAGGTCGTCCTTCTCAATGACCTCAATGCGCTCGCCGATCCGAAACGATACTTCGTCCTCGTGCTCCGGAGTGAAGTCGTGTAACGCATAGACGTACTCGGGCATTGCGAAAGCAAATGAGAGTACAAGCTAGCGAGGACAGAGGACCGTATCTGAGGGTATACGGGGTGAGATCGAAGTTCTGGAGAAGGGCCAGAGGTTGTACGATGTTTGATCAAAATGACACGTGCGACGCTGTGCAGATAGGAGAAAATTATCTCCGTACAAACATTTTGTCAAAAATGTTACAAATGGTTTCTGTGCTACAATCTTTTCCATTTCGAATCCCGCCGGGTGCCCAAATAAATTTCGGACTGTTCTTCGTGGCGGTCCATCCAAGCACTGATGGAGGTTGGCACGAGATTCGTCACAGCGTATCGCTGTCCTTCGTCGAGCTTCGCATCCAGAGCATCCCAAACCGTCAGCTGGGCGGATCTGTTCGCCTGCCTGCGTCGAGTACATGCATCCTGGACAATGAGCACTCGGAAATTCCGCACTTCCCGGGGTGGGCAAATCGACTGTCACGTGTCTAGGCACACATTATCAAATGTGGTGATCACTCACCTTTAGTTCTCGCTCAATCTCTTCTGCAGCTCGTTCTCTGTCTTTGTCGAGGCGCTCAAGAATGCTTCGAGCAAGCCATCCGGCCACCTTCCCGTTGGTGCGAGCAATAACATTGGCTGCGCCCTTCGGGTTCTCGAGCTCGTCATACAATTCATCAATGTCATCCGGGGGATCTTCTGCATTACACATGTCAGACTCGACTCGCTTAGATCGCAGGGTGCCTACCACTGTCAGGCCGTGGGACATGAGGACCTGCACGACGCTCCAGCCGTTCTGCGTAGCCTTGGTACCGTGACTCTTTCTTGGACAGCTCTTCTTGCAGCCGAGCCTGCTGTATCTCTCTCTTCCTCTGCAGGGATGCAAGTCAGTTAACAACAGACAGGCGATGGACTATGGACGGACGCACTATCCATTTCTCGGCAGCCTTATCTTCATCTCGCTGATTCCACGGTCCCTCTCGGTGTTTCTCCCCGTTCTCGTCTTCCCAAAATTCGAGAAATGCGATAGGATATGTCTTGGGACTCGGTCAGAAGAAAGCGAGCCTGTAGAATCCCTCACCTTGACTATGACGAGATCCATTCCAGCAATAATCCCTCCGTCACTGGACAAACTGTGCATTGTTGACACCCACGATGCATCCTGGAACCCCATCTTGGTGTGCCACGGCACCAGATGGCAAGAGTTGCCTGATAGCTCTAGTCTCATCGAGTCATATGCTTCAAGCACTTCAGAAGGATCTTTGCGGTCGTTTGAAAGCTGCTCCGGTGGTCAGTTGGAGACGAAGTTCTGATCTCTGTTAACGAACCCGGGCACCCATTATTCCCAACTTGCGACCTATGGTGAGCAGTCCTCTGCGAGCAGCTCTTGCCATTGGAGCATCCACCTGTGCCCGGAGACGGTACCATCCGTCGGTGAGCTCCAGCTCAGGATGTGCAGGGATCGGTGAACCGTCTTCTGCGATGCTGGGCTGTGACCACGTGATATCCGAAATGCACAGAACCATCGGACAAGACGCAGGCGAGTCTCGAGCAGTGATACATCTCAATGCAGGTCTGACACCTCGGTTGAGTTCACGCTCATACCTGCACGAGTTAGCTCAGTCATTCGGAGAGCGACACTCGCCTCACCGATACAATAATTGCCGCATCACTTCTGCCCAACACCACCGCTTAGTGTTTGGGTTATTTTCCCGCTCCGGATCCATACCAACCATCCCAGCGAGTTTCCATAAAACAAGCGACCAGTGGTTATCCACCCATGACCTGGTAGCCAAAGAACAACCACGCGATAACAGTTCTGCCAATGCTGCGGTCGGACCAAGTAAAGCAGACGATGATTTAGCATGAAAAGAGTAGTACGGTGCTGTGGCCAATGTGATCTGCTTCATTTCTGGGACTGCACTGCGAGTCGTTAGCAGCAACTCTGGGTGGGGTGACCTTTCTCACATTCCCATGTCGTCTAGTTCTTGCTCTGTATGCGCCTGAGGTGTCAAGCCAGAAGTCAGCAACGTTTGTCGTTCGGAAGGTCGACTCAGATCAAAGTAGGATGCGCGAGTCGGGCGAGAAGGCGTCAAAGATTGGATCTTGGGTGTTTCTCTTTTTTCCAACTGCTTTCTACCAGGTTCCCCTGGCTTCATGCCTGGCTTGAAAGGAGTGATGAACGCAGGTGGCCTCGCTCTGCTACGAGGGACACTGAGGGGTGTTGCGGATACCAATGCAGCTGGACGGAGTGGAGTTTGAGGCAAGACTGTTGACGAAGTAGGAAACGAATGTTGACTGGACGCGGTGGCGAAACCTGTACGCGGAACTAAAGGTGAACTGGCGAAACCCGGTTTCGAGAGAAGGGGAGGTTTGAAGGGTTTAGTCTTCCCTTTGAATTTGCTTAGCAATGGAGATGTGAAAGCTGAAGTTGTTGAAGCAGAGGTGAATGAAGCCAATGCTCGCGACTCGCCCGGCGTCGGAGTGCCCGGGGAGTTGAACGCGTTGTCGAGGACTCGTAACGCAGGTCTCTCCGGAGACAAAAGACGAGAAACATTGGATGCGTTAGTGAAGCTGTTCTCCACGTCTACTCGGGATTCAGTGACCACAGAGGAGCTATGGCCAACCTGGTCCCCGGCCCATATAGCATCGATCTTGGCTTTTGCTTTGGCGAGTGCCTCGCTCGATGGCTCCAAACGACCTTTATTTGACGCTTTCATGAATCCAATCGGTGCTGAGGCAAATCTGGCCGTCTGGAACGCAGGAGGTGGCATGTCCGTCGCAGGCGCAAACCATGCGTCGTAATCCGGCTCTGGTGGAGGAACTTCGGGGGATGAGGTCGGGGCATATTCTTCGCCCCCGTGACTTTGTTGCATAGAGCTGAAAGCGGAGGCTGCAGAGCCAAACCCTGCCAACTTGGTAGCCGGAGCGAAGCCAGAAACTGGTGTGGCAGAAAACGGATTGTCGGGGTCATCACGGGGAGGTGGTCGTGCATCGTCACGGCCCGGAGAACTGGACGATGGTTGTGAACTGTTCGTGTGAGGCGGCGTCCTCCCGAAGCTTGCGCCTTCTGTCGTCTGTAAGCCGTCGTCGGGAGCAGGTGCGGAGAGCCTGGGTCTTTTCGGCACTGGATAGTCTTGAAGCGTATTGGCTAGACAATTGTGAGAAGAGATTCCTCAATCGCAGTCTTGTACCTGAGCGGAACATCAACGATGCATGGAACTGGGCCTCTGCCAGTAGGAAATGAATAGACGGCGTATCCTAAATGTTTGTGTTGATTGGCAAATTGCACGTGATTCTCGCGCGTCTTGTCACTGGGTCACGTGACCGTGACTGCACATTACAAACCTAGGATATAAATACATGAACAGGTATCTACTCGGCTCATTGGCTGCATATATTGGGATACATGAGATTCGTCGGATCCTGAGGAATCCATCCAAATTGCAAACCCTTCTGATAACTCCACTCTTCACCGTTTCCGCTTTCTGTCTTCCAAGTCCTGGTGAACAGTGAGCCAAACAAGAGACGACTGCGGTATGGCCGCACTGACCACTGTATCCATCCTTGGCCCTTCTCGTATGATATTACTTGAGCTTCCCAGAACTGGCGCAAAAAGGTCTTGTATGATGAGCTGAATGAGGTTGCAGCTCCCGACTGTCCAGTGCAGCTACCGATACGTGTAGAGCCGGAGAAGGACCCGTCATATCTACTTCCCACTCCACGACCGTTGAGATATTTGGCGCAGTCCGTGGCAGCTGAGTGGAAGTTCAATCTCAAAGTGAGTGATATACTTCACAGTGGTTTCATACCTGGCGTCCATTCTCCGGCGATAACCCAAAGATCAAACGACGAAAGCGAAGATTGTTTGGCGCAAACGGTGGATATATGCTGTGATTGCGACATCGCAACTTCCTGCACAAGGTCAGGAAGGAAAGAATGTGAGAACCCAGATGTTGACTGACAGGGTTCGAGAAGATCGTGTAGATGTGGGTGTCCATTGCCACGCCTTCGTAGTTGGGGTACGTGAGAACACCATTCCAATAACTCAAAGGCTGTTGCAGTTAGAGCTATGGCAAAGTAAGCAGGCGGCTGATACGCACCTGGAAAGCATCATGGATGAGTTCCACGGTGTTGCCTGGATGTCATGAGCATGTAATTGGGTGATGGAGAAGGAGCATGCTTACTTTGCTGTGACGTTCCATATGGATATCTGGGTTTCGTGTGAAAAGACCGGAAGCAATGGAAATTACATCCAAGCGACGCACCGAATGTTACCAAAGCTATCATACCAATACTGGCGCACAACAGACAGTACATCCGCACTCACAAATCCCGCGGGCCTAGTTAATGTGAGCAATCTTGTAAGGATCTCGGCTTAGAAACCTACTCGTTGAGCGGGGCGATGATCGGAACATTCGCCGTGTTGTCGCGCACCATGCTCGCAATCGTCTTGATGATAGCATCTGTTCTTTGAACGTTGGTGTTATTCGAATGCCATTGTCTGGGTGGTAACAGATGAGATTATGTGGATGAGATGGCGTGATGAATGCATCGCACGGCGTGGAAACTCGATGTCCGCTATTATCGAAGCCGTTCTGGCTACCTGGGGCGCCGTGTAAATCGACAATGAGCTTGAGGCCGTGGTTTGTGGCCCAAGTTATGGCTTTGTTCAGGTACGCGAGTTGTCCTTGGATGTAAGGCTCTCCGGGACCGACTTCGAATGCCCAATAGCCTATGGGGAGGCGAACGTGATTGAGGCCAGCCGCGGCTATTGCTGCGAAGTCTGACTCTAAAAGACGTTCGATAGACTTGAAAAGTAATTAACAGGACGCTAACCAGTGATCCAGGTGTTCCAATGGTTGGTGAGGGCGGCCGAAGCTGTTGAACGACTCTGAAGCTGACAAAACGTCCATTCGTCTACGATGTTGTTATTCCCGGTGTTGTCAAACAGCGAAGGGGTGATCCATGGCTGGCGATACAAGCTCTCAGTGACTTTGGATGCGAGCCGGTGAAGAGGGCGACACGCACCTCGAGCACGAGCCAGCCACCCAGATTCACGCCGCGAACCTTCTGCGATCCGTACGGAAAGCCGGGGCTGAACGCGAGGACTGCGGGCACCAGAGAGATTACAAGGAGGCGAAGAAAACGAGCCATGGCAGTGATGTCGGTGCATGAAAGTCGCCCTTCTTATAATTTGCACGACCGGAGGAAGCCATCACCTGTTGCCGGAAACGGTGCTAAGTAGATTCAGGTATTTCGAGTTCATGTATCATGTGCCGCTCGGCAGCCACGAAGAAGCATGGCGGAAGCAACGCGGTAGGCCTATCACTGTGTCTGTGACACCCACGCTCCCGGACATCCGGAAAGAGAGCCGCAAGATTCCATGAGGCACGAAGGCTCTTCGTGCAGTTAGTTGTATGGGACTAGGCGGATTCCGAGAGCCGTGCAGTGGAAGAATGCGGGGTGTCGATCATCGATCGAAGATGAATGAGAAGTGACTTCCCATTTGGATTTCTCCACATTTCCTGGGAGGCACGTGCACATGGTCTTGTGAGGACTTTGAGCACGAGAAGTCTGTTCTGCGTTCAAACCTGTTTGGAGCTGACTCGTCTTGACCAATTCATGACTCTTGGACAGATGCCGTTTTTACTGTCCTGCTCGCCTGACAGTTTCTCCGAACAAAACCCTTTCATCTCGGTCTCACCTGAACAGCGCCCAGTAAACTTGCACCATCTCTGTGTTCTCTGCCACCACGCAATGTATCTCCGGCGGCGCCGCTGACTTGTACGTTGAAGGATATCAACGATCGACTCGGACTCAATCAAAGCATCACCTGTAATCAAGTACCGTCCAAGCCCCATCCCAAGCACTTGAGCGCGCTGCGGAAGCGTCCGTTCTTACGTGATGTTTGTCTACAACGTCTGAGTACTTGTTGACTGTTTGGCTAAATCGCGCTATCGCCGCTGCCGTCGTTGTCTGCTGCCACCCATCCCTGCCGGCCAGTGCCTTGGGGCCATGGGCGTTTGGGGCCGCACCGTCTTGCTTGGAGCCGCCGCCGCCTACGCTGTCTGGTATCTGTTCCTCAAATCTGACGATGAAGGGGAGGTGGATCAAGCCAAGGAGAGCGGTGCGACGACCGGTGTGATGAGGGTCGATGCGACGGATGCTTCGGGGAACTCTTTGAGGAGTGAAGCACGAGCAACTTACTGCCAGTTCGACTACTACAGCTTTGAAGCCAACCACTGCGTATCACAGATTCACAGCGACTGTGATGTACAATCGACAGGTTTATACCAATCGCCTGATAATCTCTACCCACCCATCCCGGAGCAATTCGGGCGACGGCTGTCCAAATCTCTCCCTCCGAGGCGCTCACCAGTATCGAGGGCGCATTCGCAAAATATAGGCGTTCCACCCCAGAAGTCAACCCCGCTTGGATATCCATCTCCGACCTCGCACTGTTGTCTTCCTCCGATCGGCGGATCGGATGCAGATACCGGTTTCGGACACGAGGTGTTCGAACATGAGCCCTCAAACCCAGCGGACGCCTGGGCGCGTATCCCAGACGAAGCGGTTCGTTCAATCGCAGTGCTTTTCTCAAGCTCTCCATGGTATTTCTAGGCCACGTATCGAGAGTCCGCCAGGATTGCGCGTGAGATGGCGGCTTCGCTGCCCAAGCATAGCACCCGTGCGAATGAGCTCCGAAAACTCAGGAAGAAGCATAACGTCAAAGCGTGCCAGATCATCTTTGACCGTAAGCGATCTTGAATGTCCGTCCTACTAATCGAATATCTATTCGTCAGATAACAACAGGGTAGATTTTGGCAGCTGATCCGTGCGGAACTTGTGCTGAAGTCGACATGAGAACCTACCACCCGGCACGATTGATCTGCATAATCTGTACATTGATGAAGCGCTTGAGAAAGTCGACTTGTCGATACGTCAGGCGAAGGGCAAGAGGAGACAGATCTCGTTCATAACCGGTGTGTAATTCTGACGGTTTTCAGTCTTCACTACGATGAACGTTCTGAGCAGGCAAAGGCCGACATTCAGCAGATCAGCGCTCCACACTCAAGCCTCGAGTTACCAGCCATATCAAACGGTGCGTGGCGTCTATTGGGACACTCTTTCTGCACGTTGAGGGTACGAACTAGGCAGTGGACATATTCTGTGCAGGAGGACCCGTGCAACGCAGGCAGGGTGATTGTAAGTCTGGTCTGAATGGCTGTGACTGACTATGTATGAACCCATGTATTACTCGTCGCCATCTCGCATCTTCTTGTAAAGATTGATGATAAGGTCATTAGCAGTGAGTGTGATTATCCTTCGGGCTTCGTTAGAGTGAAGACAATGTGAAGTTAGCCTGGGTGCGTACGTGTGAGGTGCAATGCGCATAAAATGCGCAGTCGACCCTTTGTACCAGCCACGGACTCCCTCGGCCTTGAAGGTCTTCCACAGACAGTCGATGGGGTTCTTGTACAAGGTACCGACAAGCCTGCCATCAGGGCCTGGAGCAGTTGGCTGATTGTACATTCGCGTCAAGGCCTGCGATCATCAGAAACTCATCCGACGTTCTGAGATCTAAGCTCACTGTGTCTGCCGGTTGCATTGCTATGCACTGTAAAATTGAAATCAGGACAGTCGTTGGCAAAGTATTCGGCAATGTCTTACAACACAAGCCCCGGAGACAGCGCTACTGGCAAGGAATGTCCAGGTGCTGTTTGCGGGAAGGATGCCGTGGTCGACGAGAAGAGTTTTGGCCAAGTTGTAGCTCGGCAGTTGGACCTGGAAGTAAGTCAGCGTCCGATCAGGGAGGCAGCTGACAACGGCGCACTGAAGAACCCATAGACGTTCGTAAGATGGCCGCATCTATACCCCTGAACAACCCCCGAATCCCCTCCGCTTTGAATATAGTCGATAGCGCATGAAAAGAGCTTTTGTAGTAATGCTGAGCTCCGACCGGAAGCGCAGGCGAATATGCTTGCATCCGCGCCTTCACCAAGAACAAAGGACTGCCCAACGAAGCTGGAGGAGTTTCAGCACGATCCAAAACACTGCATGCAGTGCTTCTCCACCTCCGACTGCCCCACTCGTTGCACCGGCAAGCACTGCGGTGAAGGGTGATTGCTCGTCGGGATTTCGGCCGAAGAGAACATTTAGATTACGCCGAAGAGGCTCGTAAAAACCTGCAGTGGATATTGAGCTAGGTGTTCGACGAAAAGGGCCACGGTAGCGCGCTAACCCAGCCGGGAGCCATTTAAAAGTATCTGGTCTGCAATGAGTAGGGAGTAAGGTCAACGGCAGATGTGCATACTTGATACGCATACTACAAAACAGTCAGAGAACAGACGAGTCATATATGCAAAGACTTGCGGCAGGTCCTAGTCCACGTTGTATTCCCCGAATCCCTTCGTTCGCGTACGTTTTCCTTATGGCATCTAAGGCACTGCTGTACACTTTCGGAGTTCCAGCTTTTGCCAGCTCGCCCTGCAATTGCAAACGCGTTTTGGCGACCTCAGCCGGATTCGAGACAGTCACCTAAAACCAGGGTTTTGGTATCGATAGCCCTCTGGGAGGAACGCGGCGGTAGTTGAAGCATCGTGTACTTACTGCGATGCACGCTGCGATCCCACCACAGACAAATCCTTCAGCTGTCGAAAGGCGCCCCTTCTGGGCAGCAGAAGTCATTTAAGGAATCGCACTTTGGCGGGCAACGGATAGCGAGCGTGGTTCGAAGATGTGGTCAAAGTCCGAGTTCGGATGTCGCACAGGATGCATGCGGGCCGCGGCAGACAGCCGTGGTAAAAGCCGATCAATAACACCCAAAATCGGCCTAGGCCCGCGGATACTCCGTATCGGGTCGGTCCGCCAGCTCCAAGACTTTTACTCTATAAAAGTCACTTTTACTCTATTTCCGGACCGGTCCCACGCTACGAAAATTTCCAATATTTTGGTCGCTCATTGTCCGATTTGTTGAGGCCATCAGTCCCGGTCGTGATCGAGTACTCATGCCGGTCGCTGCGGCTTACGGGAGAGCTTAGAGTGTTCCAAAATTGCGTGATTTGGCCATATTCAAGTCATATTTTAGCCAAAATCGGTCGGACTTCGCCCGACTTTTACTCTATGCCGGACCGCTTCCGCGCTCTGGAGCTCGATTTTACTCTATTTTCGGACCGGAAATCCAAAAATTTTCGGCCAACTTTTACTCTATTCCGGACCGACCTAATACGGAGTGTCCGCGGGCCTATCGGCCTGTTTCCCGAACTGTGATGTGCTCCGATGCATTACCATCCGTTTAGCACACAGACGGTCGTGTTCGTCGCGGTGCTTGCTGTCGTTCTTCCTGCAGTGTTCAGGATTGTCTCCTCGCCCATCCTCCTCCTCCTCATCTCACCTTTCGTCCTCCTTTTCCTCGGGTTGGCTTTCCTGGCACTCAATGTCCTCGTCAGCCATCTTCTGGACTCCAAATCCTCCGGAACAAGGAATAATCTGCCCTACGCTGCTCGGCCTTTCGTATTCTCTAGTCCGGCAGCATGGCAGGCCGTATTGACGCGTTCTCAGTGGTCCCAGGACAGTCCCCAATCCTTCCCGCCCCTGGTGTCCAATGCACCCGTTGTTTCCGGTGCACTAAACGACATCCTCATCATGATCGTGCGCGACTTTGTGCTCACTTGGTACAAGGAACTGTCTGCATCCCCCTCCTTCCCCATGGCGGTCTCATCCGTGCTTCACAGCTCACTGTCGAATATACTCGACCGTGCGGCGGCCATCGACTTGGCGGAGTTGCTCGTCAAACGAATTCTCCCCAAAGTCACAGCACATATCGAGCAATTCAGGCAATCCGAGGTCGCGTTACGTGGCGCAGCGTTGGAACGGCGGCTTACGCAGTCGGAGGAACTGGATCTGTTGTTGGCCAGTCGGTACTCCAGCAAGAACGGGGCCGGCAAACTCCATCCATCGGTTGAAAACTTATCGACCACTTTCACGAAGCAAACAGAGGAGGCCCATCTTCGAGTTTTGGTGGACAAAGCTTTGCCGTTCGTTCTGCCGGAGAAAGAGGGCAACAGTCATGTTCTCAAACTAGTTGTGCGGGAGATTGTGGCATGTTCTGTGTTGCATCCAGTCATGGATATGGTATCGGATCCTGATTTCTGGAACAAAATTATCGACCAAGTGGTCCGTCAGCTTGTCAATTGCAGTTTGAGACTCTTCGGCTGATCTTCCCCATAGGCTGGAGCTGCTATTCACGAACAGTACGCCATTGATCTCCGAAACTTGAAACATCTGACACTCCGATAGGAAACTCATATCCAAAGTGCGTAACGTACTAGAGGCTCAATCCCCAAGAGCGAATCGTCTCTCTACCGCCCCCGTCTCCTCTCTGCCAGCTACGGAGACGATCACGATTCATACGGATATCCGTCGATTTGAATCGTTTCTTCGAAGTATCAGTCGTTGTTCTTCCTTACTTGATGCCCGTCGTTTGAAGAACGACATCGTTGGTGAGATCCGGCGCACACGTCTCAATCTCTGTGCGTATTCTCTTTCCCCCTCTGAGTGCTCATCTCTTATGCATAATAGCCAATCACGAGAAGGACGATTGGATAGACGGCGAGAAGACGGAAGATGTGGTTGCATTTCTGGACAGGCTATATACAGCAAAGCGAAGGGTCGAGGAGCGAATTGTCGTACTGGGTGGAGGCGATGACTCCGTGCGTGTTCATTATGCCCTTGTTTGATGCCGGTCTGACTTGCCACTCAGGAGCGTCAATCTGGATATCAGGAGCCCAGTGCCAAGACTGGGTTGACGCTTCGGGACGTGCTCCAGAATCCGAGTTCACTGTCCTACTTCATGGAATTCATGGACCGACGACAGCGCTCGTTGCTTGTTCAGTTCTGGCTCACCGTGGAGAGTTTCAAGAACCCGCTGGAGTCCGTTGATTCCAGTTCGTCAGGAGATGAAGACGAAGCCATCCAGGACAAGTCCATTTCTGCGACCACGACGGAAGACATAGGGATGATCTATGAGCTCTATTTTTCCACCCCCACACCTCATCCAACTCTGGCCTCCATCCCGAAGAAACATGTACAACGGATCACGAATTTCGCTTCCCAACATCAAACGTCGCCGTCGATGCAACGTATTGCTCGAAGAAGCGTGATGATCGCTCAACGGCAAGTTGAGCGCGACATGGAGCACGACTTTGAAGAGTTTGAACGCTCCGAACTTTGGTTCCGTGCCATTGGAGATACCGACTCTGGACGTCCGAGCCAGAAGCAAGCTCCGAAGCCTCCGTCTCTCGACGATAAGCGCTCAATGACGAGCCCGGTCGCAATGCACACCCCACTGCAGTCTCCAGTTAAGGCGGGCTTCGGTTCGGCTGTTCATGTGCTTTCGCGTGCCGAGAGCACTCCGGGTCACGTTCGACAGCGCACAGCGAGCAGCAGCTCGCTGAAATCTTTGAAGTCTCAATCGTCACAAATGACTGCCTCGGCGCACAATGCAACCTCGCGGCCGTCCAATTTCGAGGTGTTGATGTCACCTGTTTCGGATCCTTCTGAAAACGACACGCGTGCCCCACTGTTCGATGACCCTGAGGATCACGTCCAGCGTGCGGAAGAGAAGCGCATGGAGGCCATTCAGGCAGCGCTCACCGATATCATAGCGCTGGAACAGGAGAGCGCACGGGAGAAAGAGCGAGTGAAACCGGTCCGCCACAAGTCCGGTGATCAGGAGCTTGTATTTCCGATGTCTCGATTGCCATCTTCAGATGGCAAACGCCGTGCGATGTTCGATGATGAGGTTGACGAAGCTGAGGATGTGCACGACGAGGAGGACTCCAATGAAAATCCTGGCACATTCCAGCTTGCTGCGCCTGGAGATCTGCAGCTTTCTTTTGAAATTGCCCGTCTGAGCGACAAAATCACGAACTTACAATCGCAAGAGGCCATCTTGGTCACGCTCATCAAGAAGGCAGAACTGACGGGGGATACGCAAGAGCTCAAGTTGCTTAACAAGTCCAAGTCTGCCATGAATCGGGAGTTGCGCGAGCTGCAGTTCCAGAAGGTGCAATATGAACAGCAAGATGCGGCCAACCGGCTGTTCTCTGACCGAACTAAGGTCGCCATCGTCAACTCTACCGTCGGGGAGGAAGACGGCAAGTCGGTTGTCCGATACCTTGTTGAGATCCAGCAGCTAGCCCCGGATGGGAGCTTCTCGTCTGGATGGGTCGTAGCTCGACGGTACAACGAGTTCTTGACGATGCACAACAAACTGCGTGATCGTCATGGGATGGTCAGGAATCTCGACTTCCCGGGGAAACGACTCGTGACCGCCCTGTCTGGAAGCTTCGTGGATACGAGAAAGGCTGCGCTCGAGAAATACCTCCAGGTTGGCGGTCGTTGGACAATGTCGAATCGACGTGTTATTGACATCCTTTGCAGAATCTCATTGCGGTGCCTGTCTTGTGTGACAGTGACGAATTGCGCGCATTCCTATCGCGAGACTCCCCCTTCGTAGCATCGGAGCGGCCTGTAACAACACCGAAAGAGCACAGCACCTTTGCTGGCGCCAATCTCGTGAGGAATGTGTATCGGTCTGTCACCGAGAGCATCGACGATATGTTCTTCGGGCCGTCCATGCTTGACGTGATGATTCAACGACTCACTCGCCAAGCGGCCGAGTTTGCAGGGATCGCAGGATCGAGTGTTAATGACATCGACCTGGTTGCACAGGCCCTGAATGCGTCTGGAAAGACTTCATCCGAGGCCGCAATCATGCAGCAGCTTTCCGGTGACCTGAAACCACTCGAGGGAGAAACAAGCACTTCCACATTCTCAGCCCCGATCTGCGATCTCCTTCTCGCTGTGTTTGAGCTGAACAAGACGAACAACTGGCTGCGTAGGCAAGCTATTGTCATCATCTTGCAGCAGCTGTTGGGTGGCACTATCGAGCGGTATGTGTCTCAAGTCTCCCCTGGCTCCTAGAAATCTCATGTTGTGCAGGAAAATCCGGGAAAATGTCAAAGGCATGCTCGAAGAATCACGTGTGATGGTTTTCGTGAACTTGTTCCGCAATGGTCTTTGGCCTGGAGGCAAGCTGAAACCTCCAAGCATCCCCAGAACAGCAGAGGAGAAGCTCAGAACAAGAGATGAAGCCAACCGCAAGCTCTCTTCTCTCGTTCCAGGTCGGTTGCTTTCCTGTCCGTCATCAGTGCTGATCAATCCCATCAGACCTGGCTGCAAATATGATCGGTCGTTCCAACGCCCGTCGCGGCGCTCGACGGATCTTTGCCGTGCTCCAGAACCGCAGACTAAACCAGCACATAGCATATACCATTGTCGATGAGGTATGTGCATCCCTCCCTCTCTCCTTAGTTTTACAACATCCCAACCATGCCACGCAGGTTTTCGCTGCTCTGTTTCCAGAGTCCACTGTCTCCCCGAATCTTTCATGAAATCACGCGCGTATTGTAATGACACACCCTATCAATTATGTATCTCTGCATCGGCCATCGAGACGTCTAAAGCATGGGCTTGCGGCTCTATCTTAACCTTCGATTCGGCGGATGTCTCGTCCTCCTCCATCTCGAGAACGTCAGCTTCCGATTTGACCGTCGTCGGCTTGTTTGTCATGGGCTTGGAGGTTTTCTTTGCGGTCACGGCATTCGCAGTTCCGTCGTCGAAGCTGTTTACAAGTTTGAGCAGAAGAACCGGGGTGGGCGGATTGACGGGGGTGCTTACACTTTGATGGCATGGAATATGAATCCCCCGGTCCCAGACGTGTTCATTGTTGGATGTGTCCGCCCGGGGAGCACCTGATATCTTCGCATCCATACTTCTGATACCGAAGGACAGAGATACCCTGGTGTGCCTCGGATTTTGCCGTGCAGGTCAGATAATACCTGAGCAGCCGTTTTAGAGGACAAGCCGCGTGTGTGATCACAACGCACCTGCCCGTAGGGACTTTGAACCACTATGGACGCAGAGCCAGCCAAATGTGGAACGAGGCGTTCCAAGATAGAGTGAGGTTCGTAGTCGCTCGCGACAATGAGACTATTGATGCTGTTAGACCGAGATGCCACACATGCACCACACTGCACTCGCCTTTCGAATTCCCCCGCATACAATTCCTCTCGAATGCTGTTGATGAGATCTTGGGCAGCTTTCCGCCTGTCCATCCGCGTGCGTTGCCTGTCTGACTTGATTTGCTCAGAAGGAAGTTCAACCGGCGCGACGACTGAGCACTAGGACTGTCAGGAAATCACGGGGCGAGACGACTTGCAGGTCCTACCGGGTACATGTTCCTGCTCCGTCAGGGCCCAGTTTATCGAGGCAAGGACCGGGGCGACAGTCTCTTCGTTGAAGTTCATGTTCACAACAGCAGGGTAAGCCGGTGGAGAATCGTTGTTGCAGAGCGTGATCAGACGTCCTTGGCCTGTGGACGGCTAAGCTTCAAGCCGGATCAATGTAGCACAGTCCACTCACCGCCCATTCGCTCCAGTATACCAGCAACAAGGAGACCCGAGGCGTCATCTACTGCCAGATACCTTCCCCCTGGTCGTATGTTTGCCATGTGAAGGATTTGTGACAGAGCGTCGATTCGTATGTCGCGTACGCGCGCAGGGTCTTTTCGGAACCAATACTCGCAGACGTTGAAGAGCGTTGGTTCGATGCAGGTGAAGACTTTGCCATATCTGCATGCCAGTTGAAATCCGACTGAGAATGGCAGTTCGAAACGCACTTTGCTTCCTTTCTCTTCTTATACTTCTCCTTGCTGTACTCCGTTTTCAGAGAGTAGTTTGCATGCTGTTCGATTTGAAGCCTGATGATTTCCTACGTTCGTCAATGGGAGTGGGGAGGTGGGGAAGTGAAATGCGTACCGAAGCGTGAGTACCAGATTGTTTCAGTGTCTGGATCTCTGCCAGGGTAAGAGGCTGGACAGATTGCCCGTCATTTATGTATTCGTTGGTGGCGTCTGTATCCTCTACGAGCCGGTTCAGCGGAGGGAGTCTTGCTTTGACACTAACATACCAATATCAGCCATCACACGAGGAGGCAAGACCTTCAATTTTTTGTCGATGATGTCGTATGTTCGCCCAAACGGTTGTCCGATGAGCTCATTGGCGGGAAACGCGCCGACTTTGCCAAGTGAAACGGTCCTGCAGATCTTGTGTTCCTAGAACGCAGACGACAGGTCCATGACCAACTTACGCATTCTGCTCCACCTTGATAGCCTTGGCCTCGCCATTCGGTAGTCGGAGAAGCAAGGTGGCTCCAGACTTTATCACCGATGTCCTTGTCTCGTATAGCGGCGGTGTAGGAGGGTTCATGAGGAAAAACTTAGAGTGGCTGTGAGCGATAGGACACGATCGATTGATCTAATGATTTGATCGGCACTTTCACGATCTCCGTGCCAATGTCCACCGATGAACTCGACCAGCTACTGAGAAAGACTCAGAAAGAACCTTCCACGCCTTTGCTCCCTGATGAGCTCTCGTATCTCATCACTTCCTTCGTCCCAAGCCAACCCGCTGCTCTTCGCTCCAAGGCATACTTGGTGCTGTCCGCTTTCTGCCAGGGCGTGCGGCAATCGTCCTCGGTGAAGGGAAAGCAGCCTGACCCGGCCACGGAAACTCTCTATGAAATATTCGAACCAGCCGTGGTCTCACGACTCGCCGACTCGGACGACCGTCGAATACAGGAAGGGTTGTCTTTCCTCACAGCGCTGTTCCAGGTCGATGGGGAGACGGGTTCGCGTATATTTGGGCAGGATGGGATCCTTGATTTCATGATGGACAGTGTGGATCTCAAACCCTCGCGGGAGCTGGCACTTCTCGTCGCGCATCTGCTCAGTCAGGCGTGTGGGATCAAGCGATGTCGCGCGCTGATCACGGCCGCAACCGTCGAGTGGCTCGAGGAACAATCGAGGAACTCTGACGATCCATCTTTGCGTGCTGCTGTGTCTGTTTCGCTGGTGAAGCTGTCGCGGGGGAGGATTTCCGACGCTGCTGCGAGTGGTGTGACAGAAACTCAAGAGCAGCCTCAAGACGAGGATCAGCTTGCGGATGTCATGAAGAGCTTGGTCATCAACAGCGACGACAAGTCATCCATTTCCGATGCAGTGGAAGGGCTTGCCTATCTCAGCGTGGATCCCACAGTGAAGGATGCACTCTCAAGAGATCCGGTCTTCTTGAAGCACTTTTTCTCACTTATCCCTCATCGCAAGACTCAAAACTTGCCTGCGGAGCCCAATACTACCCTCCTATACGGTGTTCTACTCACCATCGCCAATATTTGTGCATATCGGCCCCGGTTGACAGAGGAACAAGCTCAGATCGCGAAATTGAAGCGGATGGCCAACACCGCTAAGAAACCCTCCGAAACTACAGACGCTTCCTCTAGTCTGGATGACGATGACATCGTCAAAGATAGGATCTCTCGACTAGTCTCTGCCGGTGTTCTCGAGGTCTTTGCGGGTGCAGTGCCAGGCACTGACAGCATTGGTATCAGGAGTGCGGCCGGGAAAGCTCTCCTCAGTATAGTTGAGGATCGCGAAAACCGAGGAAAGGTGCTGCAAAATGGCGGTGCAAAGCTACTTGGCATCATTATAAAGAAGGCCCTAGACTCGAGCCCTGCAGATTCTAAAGTCAAATTAGAGGTGGTGGATCTCGAGCCTATCCAGGCACTCGCCAAGCTTGCAATCACGTCGTCGCCAGTGCAGGTCTTCGGGCCAAATGATGGCGCAATCTACGATGCCATTCGGCCATTCTCGCTCATGCTACAACATCCATCCTCGACGCTCTTGCAAAAGTTTGAGGCATTGATGGCCTTGACGAATTTATCATCCCACAGCGCGGAGACTTCATCGCGGATCGCTACTGCGGAGGGCTTGCTCAATGCCGTCGAATTGTTGTTGCTGGAGGAACACCCCCTCGTTCGAAGAGCATCGATGGAGCTTATCTGCAATCTTATCTCTGGATCGGATGTGGTATACGAGCGCTATGGTGGCACCGAAAACAACACCTCGACCAGGGCAAAGCTACAGATCGTTCTCGCCATGTCGGACGTGGAGGACCTGAACACGCGTCTAGCGGCGTCTGGGGCTCTTGCCACGATCACGGACTCACCCAGCGCTTGCGCCGGTCTCGTTGATCTACAACTCGAGCGCCATCGCATGCTATTGATACTCGCTCAGCTGGTCGATCCTACACTCTGCCCCGAAAACGATGACGACGGAGAGCGTAGTATGGACACAGCCCCTGGTCTGGTGCACCGAGGCATCGTCTGTGTACGTAACATCATGCTCAACACCAACGATGCGGCAAAGCGGGAGCAGCTCGCACAGGAGGCTTCGGAGGCCGGCTTGATTCAGGGCTTGGTGAATGTGGTGAAAAGCAATCCTGCCCCAGCCATTCTACAGCCAGCAGTCGAGGCTTTAAAGTGTATAATGGACACGCTCAAGAAATGAATCCGTAGTTTCCGTAGTCAGAACCACCGAAACTGCGTGCACAGGCCTCGGCAGTTACCGAGTATGACGCATGCGATCATTACCCTACTTGTTACCCACTGCTACCGTCCTCCCTAATTCATGGTCAGCCCGTGTCCTCACACGCTCTTCGTAGTATTGAGCAACTCCTCAGGCGCCATCGAAAAAGGCGGGCAAGAAAGCCGCAGGCTCAGCGCCGCCAAAGAAGGGTGGGGGTCAAGCGGGCAAAGTGGCCAAGGCACGTTTCATCGTCCCTGGCTCTCGTGTCGCACTCACGCATTCTCCACTCAGGCCGACTGGAAAGAGGGCTTCAAGAAGAAGCAAGTCGGAGTATCCGATATGACCCTGCTTACCACTATCAGCAACGAAAGTATCAACGAGAATCTCCAGAAACGTTGGACAAACGCCGAAATATATACCTATATTGGCGCCGTGTTAATCTCAGTCAACCCATTCCGAGGTCCTCTACTCCCATCGTCCGAATCGGACTCCTCCACTCACACCACTTTCACAGATCTTGGTATCTACACCGACGAGACGCTACAAAAATACCGTGGCAAGAACCGACTCGAAGTTCCTCCCCACGTGTTCGGAATCGCCGAAGCCTCATACTATAACATGAATGCGTACCACGAGAACCAGTGTGTAATCATCTCGGGCGAGTCCGGTGCGGGAAAGACAGAGGCGGCGAAACGGATTATGCAGTATATCGCGGCGGTCTCGGGAGGGCAGGACAGTAGTATCCAGGAGATCAAGGACATGGTGCTGGCGACCAACCCCCTGCTAGAGAGTTTCGGATGTGCAAAGACGTTGAGGAATAACAACTCTAGTCGCCATGTACGTTACCAACCACAAGTCCAGCGCCCCCTGATCTCGATCGCGCAGGGCAAATATCTCGAGATCATGTTCAACTCGCAAGGAGAACCTGTCGGTGCACAGATTACCAACTATCTCCTGGAGAAAGGACGTGTTGTGGGTCAGGTGGAAAGCGAGCGAGACTTCCACATCTTCTACCAGTTCACCAAGGGCGCTTCGGACGAACATCGAGGTACGATTATCATGTGGTCAGGTGATCACAGTCTCAGATTCCTCCAGAACTCTTTGGAATCCAGGGACCCGAGGCGTACGTTTACACCAGTGGGAGCAACTGTTTAGACGTGGCTGGAATCGACGACCTTGACGATTACCAAGAGACAATCGTAAGTATCGTAAACAGACGCCTATGTCGTGTGATCTGACGGCCCTCAGAAAGCGATGGGTGTCATTGGACTGAGCGCTCAGGAGCAAAACGAGATATTCCGCATGCTGGCTATCATTTTGTGGCTCGGGAACGTGCAATTCAGCGAGCTAGACGATGGAAATTCGGCTATCGCTGACAGTGGTGTTACAGATTTTGTGGGCTATCTCATGGAAGTCGACGGAGCACTTGTCCAGAAGGTGTTGACCTCAAAAGTGGTGGAGACACAACGTGGAGGACGACGAGGATCTGTATATGACGTTCCATTGAACCCAGCGCAGGCCAGTTCGGCCAGGGATGCCCTCGCCAAGGCAGTGTACAACAATCTCTTCGAGTGGATCGTATCCCGGGTCAACGTGTCTATGAAGCCTCGGAAAGCACACACTCAAGTCATCGGCATTCTTGTATGTTTCCGTCTTTCGTCTTAGAATGTTACTCACCAAGTCCCTAGGATATTTTCGGATTCGAAATCTTCGAAGTGAGTCCTCTGCTGATTGCAGCGCTTTCTTGTTCATCCGACACGTTACAGGACAACTCTTTTGAGCAACTCTGCATCAATTATGTCAATGAAAAGCTGCAACAGATCTTTATTGAGCTGACTCTGAAGACGGAGCAAGAAGAATACGTTCGGGAGCAAATCAAATGGACACCCATCAAGTACTTCAACAACAAGATTGTTTGCGACCTCATCGAAGAGCGACGACCGCCAGGCATTTTCGCTGCCTTGAACGACGCCTGTGCGACGGCGCACGCTGATCCGACTGCAGCGGACAACAGCTTCATGCAGCGTGCATCTGCGCTTGCCTCAAACCCGCACTTTGAGTCGCGAGGCGCTCAGTTCTTGGTCCGCCATTATGCGGGCGATGTGATGTACAATGTGTCTGGCATGACCGACAAGAACAAGGATACCCTGAACAAGGACCTGCTCGATCTGATCGCCAGCAGTGGAAACCAGTTCTTGCAAACGTTGTTCCCTGACCGCCCCGATCCAAACAGCAAGAAGCGACCCCCCACTGCCGGAGACCGTATCAAGGTCTGTTTGGTCACTCGCTGAACACACGTTCTCACTTTTAAGCCCAGACCTCTGCCGGAGCGCTCGTCGACAACTTGATGAAGGCACAGCCGTCGTACATCCGAACGATCAAGCCGAACCAGAACAGGAGCGGCAGCGAATACGATTCCAAGGCCGTTCTGCATCAGATCAAATATCTCGGTCTGCAAGAGAATATTCGAGTCCGCCGAGCTGGTTTTGCGTACAGGAATACGTTCGAGAAGATGGTCGAGCGATTCTATCTGTTGTCCCCCTCCACGTCCTATGCAGGAGAATACACCTGGCATGGAGATGCAAAGTCGGGTTGCCAGCAGATTCTCAAAGACACAGGCATCGCGCAGGAAGAATGGCAGATGGGTGTGACCAAGGCGTTCATCAAGAACCCCGAAACCGTGAGCCGTTCTGCTCCCGACGAGAAAGGTGCTGATATTTCGTGCGCAGCTGTTTGCTCTGGAGACAATGCGTGACCGTTACTGGCACAACATGGCTGGTCGTATACAGCGAGCGTTCCGCAATTACCTACGCTACAAGCATGAATGTGCGCGTCGGATCCAGCGGTTCTGGAAGAACAACAAAGAGGCGTTGGTGTACGCCCAGGTGCGTGACTACGGTCACGAAGTCTTGTCTGGCCGGAAGGAGCGTCGGCGGTACAGTTTGTTGAGCTACCGCCGTTTCATGGGTGATTATCTGGACCTCAATGGGAGAAGTTCATTGGGAGAAGAGCTCATTGGGATCTGCGGAATTGGCAAGGAGAAGGTCACATTCAGTGGCCGGATACAGTTGCTTGTGTCCAAGCTTGGCCGATCGAGCAAACCCAGTCCCCGATTCATCGTCGTCGTGAGTATCTGGTCGTCTTTATAATGCACGTGGCTCACGCGATGTAGACTGAGAAGGCAGTGCACATTATCGTCACCCTCGCCAGAGACGGTCGGGCGCAAATGTCGCTCGAACGCAAGATCCCGCTGGTCACCATCAGAAGCATCGGGATGTCCAATCTGAGAGACGATTGGATGGTGGGTTTGTTCTTGGTCTTCTGTGTTCTGTCACTCTGATATGCGCTCAGGCCCTCAACTTGAGCACAGTTTCGGAAGAGGGCGACCCTGTGTTCAGCTGCTACTTCAAGACAGAGCTGTCTGCCAACCTGCTGACCTTGACCCAAGCCAGCATCTCACTGCTCATTGCGCCGACGTTAGTTCTGTCATCTTATCTCTCATCAGCTGACCCACGTCATCAGTATCTCGTATGCTAAGAAAAAGGAAAAGAAGGCAGAGATCAAGTTCATCAGAGATGAGACCGTGAGGAAGGACGACCAGTACAAGAGCCACACTGTTCATGTTGCTTCTGGAGAAGCTGCAGGCAGTTTGTCGATGCCGCCTGCGAAGAGAAAGGCCGGGGTGGTTCGGCCCATCACTCAGGGCAAGTTGCTGAAGGCTGGGGGTCCTTCTGATGTTCGTCTTGCAGATTTGGACCATCCTTCGAATGCTGAAGCCCATATTTTCTTATCCAGAAACCGAAGCCTGTCTCAAAGCCGAAGCCTGCTGCTCGGCCATTGCCTGGTAAATCAGAGGTTGCGCCAGCGGCGAGGCCTATGGCAGCAGCGGTTCCCAAGCCTGTGGTAGCGGCTGCAGTCAAGCCAACTCCGACGACAGTGAAACGAACGAGTATGGCGCCGCCGCCTCCACCGCCTCCACCGCCAGCGCCGGTTGCCTCATCGACACCGATGTATCGGGCCAAGTTCGACTTCACTGGAGAGGAAGGCGAGATGAGTCTGACGAAAGACGACCTCGTCGAGCTTCTCGAGAAGGATGACAATGGTTGGTGGCTTGTGAAGAAAGGCGGCGCACAGGGCTGGGCACCCAACAACTATCTCGAACTGGCGCCGGCACCGAGTGTAGCTGCACCTCCGCCTCCCACTCGACGGCCTGTTCCAACGAAACCTGCAGCTGCGCCCGTGACAGCTGATGCCTCGGCACGGCCTGTGGCCATCCCTGGCATGGCGAATGGCAACGGCTGGAAGAAACCCGCTTCAACCGATTCTACCCCAGCCAGCTCACGACCTGGAAGCTCGCTTGCCGGAAAGGCGCCACCTCCTGTTGCAGCGAAACCGAAGCCGCCTGTCGCAGCGAAGCCAGGTGCACCCAAGCCTGGGATGAAGCCGCCGGTGCCTACGGCTGCAAGACCGACTGCCGCAGGTGCACCAAAACCGAAGCCCATTGGAGGTGTTGCTGCTGGTGGTGGCGGCATGGATTTGGCTGCAATCGTAAGTGACCAGAGGATATCTTTCAGCGATCCATTGATTGCCTTGCTTCCAGCTTGCGAAAAGAGCACAGCAGATCCGGGATGACGACGACTAGTTGGGTAGATAATGTACAATGGACCTGTAGTAGTACTAAGCATGCGGATGGATGCATGGGTATGTTTCTATATAGAGAATTCCATGAGAGATTATTGTATTAATCTTGACTGCTACGATGTGGGAGGCACAAAAGGCGACGGTGACCTCGAATGCGCCATCGCCAATTCCTCCACTTCATCTTCTGACCGGAAACTCACCGTCTGTTGCATGCTCTCGTCCGCCTCGTCGTCGTCTCCATCTGCGGCTTCTTCAACTTCGTAAGCGCTCAGCACTTTAGTGATCTTGACGGGCTCCGGAAAGTCCTTTGGCGTGCTCTCTAATGCCCGTCGACCCGACTCCAGTAGCGTCTCTAGGATCGCCTTCACTCGCCGGTATCCTTCGTCTTTAGTATTATCAGCTTCATTCTCCTCCTCCTCTTCCTCCGAATCTGAGCTTTCTTCTTCCTCCAGTTCGGGTTCCGGCTCGTCCAGCTTGCGGAAGTCCCGGGGAGGAAGGACCAGCCGAGATTCGCGCAACTTACGTCGCAAATCCCGGATCTCTTTGGCCTGTCGGTGCTTCGTTTGCTCGAGGGACGCATTGATGGTCAGTAGAGATTTGTTCGTTATCTCAAGGTCGGCAATCTGATCGCCCCGGTGTGAGACGGAAGAAGAGAATCCATGCAAGCACGTACCTTCCGTACTGACTTCGCCTCTGCCCTGACTTCTCGTTCTACTTGCCGGACCTTCTCAGCCTCCGAATCAATGTCTTCTTCATCATTATCATCTTCGTCGTCGTCATCGTCATCGTCGTCGTCGTCGTCTTGCGCACTGAGGCCCATGAGCATCTCCAGCGCCCCATGAACCTTGAGTCGCGAGTTGGAGTCGGCCACAGACGAGCGGGAGGAATACGACAACGCAGAAGTCGGCGGGGAATTGGTGGGCAAGGGAACAGCCGCAGGATCAACTTTGGCAATCGGGCTGTTGTACGCGCTGCCGTTGATGGTGCGGGGTGGAGATGTATAGCGCGCAGCGTGACTGCTCGACGACGCCTCGGGAAAGGATTGGTAGTGGGAGCCCCCGCCGGACGGGCTGGCGCTTGCACTTGATCGGACAGAAGCGGTGTATCGGCCCGCTGGTGTCGACGCTATGGATGATGGCGGGTGAAATGGACTGGACGATGAGGAGGCGGTGGAAGAAACGGACGGGACCCGAGGTCGGAGGGGTGCTTGTGCGCGCAAGGACCCATAGTGGGGAGACGAGGAGAGCGAGTCGTCGACGTTGGTCTGTTGCTTCGCGAATCTGGACACTTTCGCTGTAACGCGCGGTGAGGGACCCGAGCTGCCGGTCGTTCTCTCGTCGTCGGAGAGATTGAGAATGTCGGAAACGGTGATGGGCGCGTTGCGGGACGCGTAGTCGAATCCAGTCAAGGAATGCCTGCGTGCATCCTGGACAGTGGGAACCGCTCGAGCTGTCAGACCGCGTGTTACGGTTGCCTTGGGCCGAACTGTTCCAAGTTGCTTCGTAGGGGATCCCGATCGGGGTGTCAGACTGGGGGCAGCAGTTCTCGTGCTGACGGAACTCTTGACGGAACCACTTCTAGATATCGTGGACGGAGAGACAGTACTCGCCGCCTTGCGTACAAGGGTCGATGTCGCGGTGCTATTCACTTTGGACTTTGGACGGAACACAGGCGGCGGAATGTTGGACGGAATGTTCGATGCATTCGACTTGAACGGCGACGGTGAACGGGCTGCATAGGGCCGTCGCGGCGACGCCTCGGTTACTTTCACAGTAACCTGCTTCGATGTCAACAGATATTCGAAGAGATGTATGTGCAGGGGACCTTTCCGCGCAGGCCAGAGCCAGAGTCCATCAAACGACGGTCTAGGTAAAAGTACAAGCTTGAGTTTGTAGTCGACCTTGTGATGTGATCATCACTTTGGAGCCAACACCCCCTTCTTGACCAAAACCTCTTCCACAACCTTTTCGATCATCGCTTTTAAGCCGCTATCTCCACTGCCTCCCAGCGCACCTACGACGCTCTTCTCTACGTACTTGCCCACCATGTCCACTTCAATGTTGACGGTCGAACCAAGGGGTTTCTTGCTCAGAGTGATCTTCTCCTGAGTGTGTTGGATGAGCATCACACTGAATTTGCGTGCCGCGTCATCAACACCCGTAACAGTCAAGGACGCGCCGTCGATTGTCACGTAGCCTTTAGGGATGATGTAACGGAGCAGGGATGGCCGTTCTGCGGTAGGTTCAGGGAATTGGAACGTCAGGCGGAGCGAGTCTCCGTCTGATTTTTGGTCAACCACAGTTGCAGTCGTGTCGACGTGCGCCTGTATAATCATTTACTACGGATGTAGTCGAGCTGAGATCCAAACACACTCACTTGCACGAAATGCCCTCCGAATCGCACATGAGCACCCATGGCTCGCTCGAGATTGAGTTGCTCTCCCACCTTGCGCTCTCCTGCAATACATGTCAAGGCCAACTCGTTCTTGAGATCGGTTCACGGACCCAGATCCGTGCGCTGCAAGGTCTCGTTGGCAAGCCACACCGTGAACCAGCCGCCCTTGTCCCCAGCGTCAAAAGCGGTGACGGTTAGGCAAGCCCCATTGACCGCGATGGAGTCTCCGATGTGCGCGTCACCCAAGATTGGTGCTGCGTCCGAGATGGTTAGTGTACATCCAGCATCGTCCACAACGATGCTCGCGACAGTGCCGAGGTGCTCGATCTGAGGACGTCAACGATGGGGTCGGATCACGTAGTGAGTCGTATGTACCAAGCCTGTGAACATGGCGGGTGGAGAATCGAATGATTGGGCACGCACAGCCTGCGCCAGGTTGTTCCCTGATTGGGAAGCGCTCGATATCATCGGCATTAGAGCACATCAGAAGATCTAGAATTTGACTCTGAAAAGTTGCTGTAGCTGCGAATTGATTACAGCAATCTCAAAATCGACGGGCAGGTCAGAATCGGCAAGGAAGTGATCAGATTACTTAGGTCCTGGCTCTGATTGAACCTTGTAAAATACACAATGAGGACCTTCAGCCTTGAAGGATTTTCACATGTGAAGATCTCACAGAAAATATTTTCACTCAGCACTAACCATCGGGTGCTGACAGGCCCGCGGAAACTCAGTATCATGTCACTCAAAAATAAAGTAAAACCAGGTCCAAAAATGGCCCAACCTCACTCAGTAGAATAAAGTAAAACGGGTCAAAATGTACCAAGGTACCTCAGAATTTAGCGTAAAACAGCCCCCAGTTGAGCGGTTTCGGGCTTGAGGGGGGAGAAATGTTCTAAAAGCGAAGCTGATCAGACAAATTCCCCTCGCTTTTTACCAGCTCTCACCCATTTAAGCACAGAACGTGCAGTAAATCTCAGTCTCAAGAGCTCAAAAAAGACCTCACGTGAACGTATGCACAAAAACTGAGGGGTCCCTCGAAATTTAAAGTAAAACTACCCCAAAATGGCAATTTTCGTAAAGTAAAACAGTCTTTCGTCCTTGAGTGACCTTATACTGAGTTTCCGCGGGCTTGTGCTGACTTACTTGGTGGCATTTGCGCTGTATCAGTGTAGGTCAAGAAGCCTTGTCCTGCACTGCAGAGATAGAGGCACCTGACAGATCAGGATCTTATCCAAAACGTGGCCCTCACAAGAACCCTTAGTTCAGTGGTAGAATGTGTGATTCCAGACAATCCTCTCCGGATAATATGCGTGGTTCCACAAGGTCGTCCGTTCAATCCGGGCAGGGTTCAATTTTGCATGCATCGAATTGTATTTCTACTTTTTCCTTGTGTCCGATGAGCCAGGATGGTGGCCTGAAGTTCAATACTATTCCGAACAAAATTATGTTCAAGTGTGGCTATGCGCGCAGCCTGATTGCACATACGCAGACGACTCCATTGCGTTTTAGATCTGCGTTGCTTCTGGTTATAATTCCAGAGAGCTGGTAACGCCAAGTTGGCAAATTACAGCAACGTTTCTCGAAAGAACGTTTGGTCCACTGGAATGGACATATGTACATAACCCATGATGTATGATGCAGAAGCTGTGCAACCGCGGCATTTAGCAGCATGGCCAACGCACCAACTCTAAACTTTAACTCACACCACGCGCTTTCTTTCCGCCAACATGTCCGCTTCCCTTCGCTCTCGCTATGAGGCTGCCGGCCAGGCTCACCTCTTCAATTTCTGGGACTCCCTCTCCGCAAGTGAACAGAAGGATCTGACGGACCAACTCGAAGCCCTCGACATTGAACGCGTCAACCGCATCTACAAGAGGGCCGTTGAAGCAGACGCTGCTGCCGCTGCCCCTGGCCACCAAGATCCCATCGAACCTCTGCCTGCAGATGCTTCGGACTCGGTCAAGGACGCGGCGAAGGAGAGAGAGTGGCGCCAGATTGGTCTCGAAGCCGTCGCATGCGGATCTGTCGGCGTGTTGCTTATGGCCGGTGGACAGGGAAGTCGTCTTGGGAGCAGTGCCCCCAAGGGCTGCTACGATATCGGTTTGCCGTCCCACAAGTCGTTGTTCCAGTACCAAGCCGAACGCATCTTGCGCCTGCAAACGGTTGCAGAGGAGGAATTCAAGAAACCCGCGGGTTCTGTCGTCATCCCCTGGTATGTCATGACCAGCGGCCCCACCCGGCGCGACACGGAGGAGTTCTTCGCCAAGAACTCGTACTTTGGACTGGACTCGAAGAACATCATCTTCTTCGAACAAGGTACCTGTAACGATGCAGACTCGGATCTATGTTAACGCGTCTTTAGGCACGCTTCCGTGTCTCACAAACGATGGTAAAGTCTTCCTTGAAACTACCTCGCGCGTCGCTGTTGCTCCCGACGGCAACGGCGGCCTCTACGCGGCGACGCGAAGCCCGCTGTCGCCGTCCGATAAATCGCGCACCGTCCTTTCCGATCTATCCAAGCGCAAAGTGCTCTACGTACATGCCTACTGCGTAGACAACTGCCTCGTTCGTGTCGCCGATCCTGTGTTCCTCGGTTGTAGCATCAAGAAACAGGCCGATTGTGCGGCCAAAGTCGTGACGAAAGCCTCGCCAACGGAGTCGATGGGGGTCATCGCCTACCGCGGCGGCAAGTTCAGTGTGATTGAGTACTCGGAGATCACGAAGGAGCAGGCCGAAAAACGCGACCCATCTGGAGAGCTGTCGTTCCGCGCGGGGAACATCGCCAACCACTTCTATACGACGGCTTACTTAAACAAGGTGGAAGCTTTCGAAGACGATCTCGCTTTCCACATTGCGCGCAAGAAGATTCCTCACGTCGATCTGGAGAGCGGCCAAGTGGTCAAGCCAACGAAGCCGAATGGAATGAAAATGGAGTTATTCGTGTTTGACGTGTTTCCGCACACCGAGCGGTTCTCCGTGCTGGAGGTTGCGAGAGAGGAAGAGTTCAGCCCTCTCAAAAATGCACCCGGCACTGGCTCTGACGACCCCGAGACGAGTCGCCGCGACTTGCTGGCCCAACACAGGCGCTTCCTGGAGAATGCGGGCGCTCGCGTTGATGCCGGCATTGAGATCGAGATCTCTCCGCTGGTAAGTTATGCCGGAGAAGGGTTGGAGAGCGTAAAGGGAAAGACGTTCAGCAAGTCCGGTTCCGTTGGAGAGCTTGTTGAGCTCGATGCGTTGGTCTGAATGGGCTTGGAATATCACGGACTCGATGTACTCAGTGGTGTAAGATGTTGATTTGGAAATCGGTTTCCTACGTACTGGGCTACCCATCTGCAGGTAACGTATTCAGCCGAGGCCCTTTCTTCTCCAATTCCTCGCGAAGTGAAGCGAAAAGACGTTGAGTGCGCTCGGCATTGGGCTAAAATAAATGTCAGATCGCAAAACAGAATGAAAGATGATAAAGTATATACCTCCTTGCAGCACTGTATTAGTTTGTCGATGAGTATTGTTTGGTCATTCTGCGCCTCCTCAAGATCTTTCCTAAGTTGCTGAACCTGTGAAATGTTAGGAAGGAATGGCACTCAGTGTGAAAGCCCACCTCTTCTGCACGTTTTTCGTTTCGTAACTTCTCGCCTTCTGCAAGCTGCTTTTGTTCAGCAGCACGAGCTCGGGATAACAGCACCTCGAGCTCTTTCGAACGAATGACACATTCAAAGTGCTGTTCGCGCAATTTGTACTGCTGGAGCAATTCTTTCAGTCGTTCTCGAACTACACCATCGAAAATCTCTGTGATGGTGCGCTTGGCCCTAACATGCCGTCAGCTGTGAATCAACCCATTCAACGGTGAAAACACACTCTTGAGGGTTCTCCGTCCAGTTCTTCCTCAATTGCTGGCGCTGGGGCTCGATCTGCTCTTCCTGCAATAGATTTTAGATAGTCACGACATATGACAGTCTCGTCGACTCACCTGCTCCTCCCAGCCCGGTCCCTCCGTCAAGTCCATCAACTCGACAGCGAGAATCTCATCATTGTCGTCCATTCCGGCTTCCTCCGGCGTCTGGTCGGCATCGATGGTGCGCCCGTTGTGCGTGAAGACGAATTGCATCGACGAACTTGAAGCACCCGATCCCGTAGATGACACAGCATCTGATTGCACCATCCCGTTCTCCGCGGTCACAGCCGTGCCACCCTTGGACGAGGTCCCTTTCTGCCCACCAGACTTTTCCATCCTCTCTGTCCATGCGTTGAATAGCCGCGACAGCTTCGTTTTGCGCGAGATCTTGAAGAATAGCTCCGCCCGATATCGGCACACGACTTTCACTACGATGTCCGGCGTTTCACGGTACTTGGCATCGAGAGCTTTAGCTTTTTCGGCACGTTTGGTGATGTCATTTCGCATTTGGATCAGCTACTCGAAGTCGTTGGTATGCATTGAACCGGTGCAGGGACAAGTACCGACCTCGTCCTGAGCATCCTCCACCGATTGGGCCAGGCGCTTTCCGTCTTCCTTCGCGCAGTGTCAGATTATGCCAGGTGGCAGCTTACCTGACAAATCTCACCCTCAGACGTTTGTTGTCCTGGGGCGTATTAGTCCGGAGGACAGACTGCACAAGGCGCCATTCACCTTCTGCAATTCGCGAGCAAGGTTTTCCACCTTAATCTTCGACTGGTTTGCTTTAGTCAATTGGCCCTTGGCTACGAGCATGTGAGCAACGCGCAGAGCGAGATCGGACGAACACAGACCAGCATCTTTGTCTTTCACTAGTTTCTGCTTCTCTTTCGCGTGGTCCCGTTCCAGACGTTTGAATTCGGCAAACTGCCTCGTGGTAAGGCCACTGCGCGTGCCAGTCGCGCGTAAGAAAAAAACATACCAGTTCGATGTATTTCGCGTGGATCGCAGTCTCCGACATGCCCCTCACCGATTTCTGCGCTTCCTCGGCTTCACTTCGATGTAAGAGAGAGAGACAATGAGGATGAACGAACGAGCGCGACGAACCGAATCTCCGTTCCTCCTCCTCCTCTAGCACCTCTTCCTCTTCCAACGCGGCGATCCGGTTCTTCAGACTCTCGTACATAGCGGCCGGGTCGACGGGTGCATCATTCTTCTTCTTCCCCTTGCCAGCGTGCCCGTTCACGGGCGCGGGCCCGTGTGCGTGGTTATGCGCATGTGGTTGTCGATTCGGTCCTGGGTTGGGTGCTATCGCGTGATTCGATGGTGGTGCAGGAGGAGCTGCAGCAGGTGCTGGGGGGGCTGGCGTAGACCCGTTCGGTAGTGGTTTGGTTGGGCGCGCGGCGGAAGGGCCCTGGTTATGGTTGGTGGTTCCGTTCATGATGGACCGGACTCCTGCGCCGATTTCGGCTTTGCAAGAAAACAACCAATCAGCGACAAAGGCAAAGCGTTTCCATTTACTTTTGGGAGGCATGATCTTTTGTGTTCGATGGATTTGGCTACTCTCAAGCCTCATTGCCACTCAACGAAATTCCATTTCTGTGAGTAGGCCAAATCGTCCTACGATCACGCACATGCGCGTCGGCCAGGCATGCCGACATGCTGAATACACGAGGTATCAGATAGTAGATATTACATTTCGTTTGTTCCTTCTATTCTCTGCTTCATATGATATCGGACCGACAGAGTGGACAACTCGATGAATGACTTGTGCTGAACCACTGCGACGAATAAGTTGGCAAAACATGTCGAACGTCCTCACGATACACACCTTGTACAAGCATCCAGAGTGAAATCTATTCTTGCAAGTCTTGCAAGGCTTCCGTGGAAGAGTTCCGTCCATCACGCTGATGATCCTTGGGACAAAATGAGATCACAAGAAAGACTGGCGCAGAAGCACGTACGAATAACAGATGGCGCATTCAACCTGGCCCTCAAAATGACCGGTCACGTTCTTCTTGAACAGTCCGATCCCATCTGCTATGCGACCGTTCTGCGAGAGCTAGGTGAGTGCACGAATCAGTGGAGTTTTGGAACGCACCTGCGACCAGAGAATTTGCTGGACAGCAAGGATCCACGCCCGCCATCTTGTTTCCTCCACCCCCACCCTCTGCACATCCTTCACCTCAATCTTGTGCAATGGCCAATCGGATGGTATCTTGAGTTTGATTTCCAACTGATGTTCGTCCACCAGATATGCTGCCGATACCTCATTAACATTCGACGCAACTTTAACCGTCAGGTTCTCGTCCGCCAACTCGGCAGTGGCTTCCGGACTCTTGACGTGAGCCAATTCCGCTCGTATGATGACTGGGGAGAAGTGCAAGGACGTGTAGGTGGCGATACTGTTCGACAATTGGCGGTCCTTGCAGTCCAGAACCCAGTTGTAGATCAACGAAGGCACGGTCAGGAGGGCGCGATAGTACAAATGAGCTGCAAGGACTTGAAGACTCCACAAACTGTCTCCCGGTTCATAGACTGGACACAGTCAGATTCTTCACGTTTGAACGCCACAAATACCTACAATCCACGTAATACTCGTCGACTACCCATGCGTCAAGCTTGAAAGCCCTGGGTATTCCCTGGTCGATCTCGAGCAGATTGAGAATGTTGGGAATGAACTCGTTGCCGACGAGTTGTAGTGCTCGTAGATGGTCAATGTAGCCCAATCGGATCTTCAGGGACTGAGTGGCGTCAGCAACAAATGATAGAGCCGGAAATGAGACGCACAGCATTGGCGAATAAATCAAATACAACCATCCAGCCGAGGAGATATCCGAACACGATCTGTGATCATGTTATACTTCATACGAATGTTCGACCGGGCAACCATCGCACCGACTCATCTGCATCAAGCAACTCCAGCTGGTTGATGTCCGTAGTCGTTCGCAAGATCTCCAACAGCTCAAGAGGAAGCTCAATTTTGGAGGAAGATTCAGCGTCCACTGCTGCTTCGATGACCAAGTGTTCGGTGTGCTTTTGGGCTGCGATCTGCAACAGGCGGTACGCCATCTTTTGGACATTGGCCGAAGGGTCCGAGAGCAGGTGACACATCTAGATTAGATTAGATAACGTTCGAGGGTCAAGATGAGATAAGATCTAATCACTTTCGGTAGGGTTTCTTCGCTGATAAGGGAAGGAGGGAGATTCTGTACGACGGAGAGCACAAGTTGTCGGCATATTGAACGAGGCTGAGAGATCACAGCATCGTCTGACAAACATGGGTTTGTTGGACTCTAACGCAAGTCACAGACACATACCCAATCGACCAGCTGCCAGGTTTCGCACCATGCCCAGTATCTGCATGTGTCTTTCCTCCCAGTTCGCGCGGAGAGTCTTATTACTTGCGGCCAGATCTTGAATGAGGATGATCAGACGAAGAGTGCGTGCCAACGAGACCAGTGTATCTTCCTCCGTGAGCGAGGCATTCTGACAACCGAACGTCAACAATGGACCGGACTGACGAGGATGCATGGATCAGAATCACCTCGAGGTTACTTTCGACGACGTCGAAGATGAGTTCCCAGTGGGTCCCAGGCACATTCTGAACGAGCGTTGCGAGATAAAAGAAGACGTGCGTCATGGCACTCTCCAACTCCTCGTCGATATCTTCGTCAGATGAGATCCACTGCTGACAAGCCTTGAAGACATTGACAGTTCTCTGCTGGGGAAGGAATACAACATCGGAGCTGACATCGGGTGCACTGGCAGCCAGCTTGCGAAGTGTAAGCAAGCCTAGTGTGTTAGCTTTGGCGGGGCTAACGCCCATCAAATCCGCTGCCAATTCGTTTCTGTATCTGTCCAACTGCGGTGGCTCTAATGCGGAGGCGCTAACGGCAGAGATGATGGCAATACACGTCTCAGGTGCTAAAACTTGTCAGACGGACGAGGTAAGCGAGCCAGGAGGGAGGACAGGTACCTGTCCTCTCTACTTTACGTGCCACTCTAACCCAGAGCTCAGCCTCTTTTCTATCCGTGTTATGCAAGATCTGAGCCAGAATCCTGTTTAAAACTCGGCAATCTCTGATCGAATCCTCTCGACGAGCACGCCCAAGCAAGTCGACTATCAGAACATCTAGAGGAGTGCCGCCAACGAGTGGTTTGTCGTTGATGATGCAGGTCAGAGCTTTTGATTGCTCTGTTGCAGCGGTGAGCACATAGGTGGTGATTTGGAGTGCTTGATCAACGATCGATTTGGATGTGGCTGTCTCAAGAGACAGAGGGGAGCTGGCCGGCAACGCGATTGCGTCCTCGACATACAACGCGAGCGCGACAATGTACTGCAAGGTCCACACATTGTCACGTGCAGCACGACGATCTGTTACAAGAGCATGTAGCAGTGCTGAGCCAATGCGGATGAATGCGCGGGGAGCCGCAGTCTGATATCCACTAGCGTCAGTGGGCGGGAGATGAGGATGCAGCACTGCCAGGCTCGCCGCTGCCAAACTCGAGGGAATGGTCTGGAGCATTGCATCGAAGGCCTCGTGGGTTGGGAATACATCTCGGACCAAATCGAAAGGTCCTGGGAGACTACCATCGACAAGCACTGCAATAACATCATCTGGACTACAGCAGAAATGAGCCTCGAATGTCAACGAGGTGAAGCACGGACCGGACGATGACATCTACTGAGCTGATCAGGGATGAACATTGTTTCTTGATCTCATCGACGACAGCAGTCTTCTCAACAGCCTGAGCATCCGCACTCCACTGCAGCCATAGATTTCTTGCAGTGTTGGTAACCTCGCTCAGCTCGCTTCCTCGAGACAAAACGAATGCAATGAGCCAGACGGCGGGTATCAAGGTTGCCCAATCAGATGACAGTAGAGCATCGGGCCGACCACCGAGCACACCAGCCAGCATGTCAAGATCCGCAGTGAATACAGCCAGTTCTGTCTTGGCCGTAGTTGCAACTGCCACACGCGCAACCAGTCGAGAAACGACGCGAACAAGAGTGGCAGTGCTAGCTTGTCGTGAAAGAAAACGTTCACCGCTTTGCAGGATTTGCACCAACAAGGTTGCGGGAAGAGTAATCCCATCCTCACCACTGATCAATGTATCCAGCGGACCATGCGCATCTTCCCCTGACTGAACAGCCAGAAGGCCCTGAACGGACTTGGCTGCAGCCGGCGAAACGAGCTGCCCCAAGGCTTCGGCCGCACCTTCAGGATGCGACGCAACGGCTGCAAGGAGAGACAGATAGAGCGACTGTCTCTGGGTTTGTGGTGCGTTCAGAGATAGGAATATAACAGTGGAGGCGAGATCATCAGCAGCTTGTATGCGCAGTTGGCCAGCAGAGCATCAAGAGACTAACGAATCTCAATTGCAGTCCCAGTAGCCGAAGCGTGAAACGCACCTGAGCCACCTCCTGGTCTTCCCAAACATGTCCACCGAACGAACCCAAGGCCTCCGCGATGAGTGTTCTCCGCCATTGTCCATCCTCGGCACCTGGAATCGCAGCCTTGAGCACCTCGACACAAAGACGGCGTCCAGTGACGGCTAGTCGGTGTGCAACTTCTCCTGGCACAAGTTTTCCATCGCTAGAGGGAGTCCATTCAGAGGGATAATCGGCTGGAGATTCGGCGAGCGCTTTTATCACGATCCAAACGAGTTCGGCCTCCGAGTTTTCTTTACCATTCGAGCATGTGGTGTGTATGCACTCTGACATGGCAGCAAGCGACGTCTCCAAAAGTTCTGAAAATTAGAGTGAGTTAGACAGGAGACAATTCAACGGAGACTGACCGACAGAAACACCGCCAGCCCGCACGCAAGTCTCCCTCAGAATAGTCCCCACCTTGTTACAGTCTGCGTACAATCGCAGATCACTTCCACTACACAAAGCTTGCCAACTCCGAGTGATTTCTCGCTTGAGGAGCACGTTCCCATCCTCTGAGCCTTCCCCAGCCCGTGCCCTCCTTGCAACGAAAACTGCACTTTCGAGAAGAGCACTGATGAAAGCTGTCCCAGCTCGTGCTCGAGCAGGTGCCAATGCGGTTGTGAGCGAGGGTGCAGCTCTTTCACCTAACGCAGCCCAGAAAGACTCGAACAACGGATCAGATGGGAAGAGGATCTGAAGAACATGAACAGCAAAACCACATGAGGATGGATCCGGCCGACCTCCTTAGGGATGGTAGACAAGATGACAACGACACTGGGATACGCCGATACCGGTGCTCCCCCGCACGCTTTTGCCAGAAACGCAGTCCGAAAATGTTCATAAGCGCGAGGCCCGGCCAGTGCCCAAGAGCTGGGGTAATCTGATTGGGAATTAAGTGGCTGAAGTAAGTTTTGGAGCGCCAGAGATCGGACCTCTGACCGTCCCCAGGAGACCGGCCCACATGGAGCCCTGTACACCCCCATCTGGTTCAACCCAGGCGGCGCCCAAGACTGCGCGCGCTAGAACGTCCACCATCGGTGCCGGGAGAGGTTTGCGAGATAGAAGAGCTGGGATCACAGCCCACGCTGCTCTCCTTAGTGGTGGTTGGGCGTGGCCAAAAGAAGACTCTGGTACTGAGTGTTTTGCATATGTTGTGTACTCATCTTCCTCCTCATCGTTCTCGTCGTCGTCGTCATTGTCGGTATCAAGGGACTGAATCTCGTATGAGTCATGGTAGAGACAAGACCACAACGCAGGCGATGCGATGAAGGGAGGAAGCGGGGTGTCAGTGGAGGATTCTGAATGAGATGCATTTGTCAACAACAGTCGTCTTCCTTCGATAATGAAGCGTACCAAGGTAGGTCTTCAAAGCGCCCAATGCTGATGTCCTCAATCTTGCGCGTCTGTCCTCTTCGTTCTCCTCCTGCTCTTCGGCCTTTAGCCTTGCAGGGGGTGCAGCTTGCGGAGCCGCTCCCGTAGGTTTGGCGATGTTCTTTCCACCCTTGCCCGATGAAGGCGCGGGTGCTGGTACTGGTGCGGGGGGATTGAGCTCGATGTACAACGCATCCGGATCCAACAATACACGCTCCAAAAATGCAGGATCTGCAGTCGTGATGGGCTGAACAGCACTGATTACCACCCGGTCCGTGTCGTGTGCAACCAAAGCCCACATCCCCTTCGCCGTATCCGACATGTTGACGTCCAGCGCATCGCGGAGTAAAGGAATTCGAAACATCGTCGCGTGGATGCTGGCTGTCAGCATTCGCAGTTTGCGAGATGGATGCGCAAGCAGGCCGGGCAAGTGGTGCGTCCATACCGGAATCATTTCGAGCAGTGTATACACTTCCTCTGCGTCCTCGGACTGGCCGGGGAGTCGAATTTTGCTGATCCATCCGGTCTGCAGCTCCTCCAACGCCTTGCCCTTCGTCACACCGGCCTTCTTGCCCAACGTCCTCAGCACCACTACAAGCTCCGCAGGCAGCCGATGTGCAAGCCCAGTCGTTTCCAGAGGATCGGGAACGGCCGCAGTGGGCTTTACCGGCGCGATGTACACCTTGGGACGCGGAGGATCTGATCTCTTGCCTCTCTTCCCTTTTTCGCCCTTTTCCTTTTTCTGCTGCGGTTGAAGATCGAGACCAGCTATCCCTGCCGCCTTGCGCGCATGCTTTTTTCTTGTGCTGGATGTTGCAGAGGAAGATTTAGGCGGCATCCCCTACGGCTGTACTTGTAGACGAAAGGAAAGTGTATTACGTCATGTGGTCGCTTCCGTTGATGACTAGGGTGCTCTGAGTCAAGCTTGATGAACAGATGAACGAATTCGAATGAACGGATGAACGGACTAAGAATCAAGTAGCCCCAGTTAGACTGGTTGACACGGGCCGAAGAATCACTCCAGAATAACCATACACACAAATAATTACATATGCTTGTTACGACTCAAAGTCTTTTGTCTGGAGCAGAGTGAGTGCTGAGGTCATTCCGATGAAAGCACTGAAAAGCCTGAAGTGAACACAATTCAGATTGGTGTGCAACGACATGGAGGGGTATAGCTGATGGGAGCAAGCAGTACATGATACATGAATAGGTCAGTAGTTCCGTGCAGGATTTCGGTGTCCCAGGTGAGATATTTCGAAAATTTGGAAGCAAGGATTATTGCGATGTACATGCGGTGACAGTGACTCCGCGGATGGGTATATGGAAGTCGCGTGGCTCAAAGACGGCAGGATCTAGGCCTTGAGGGATGAAATAAGAGGCTGTGGGCCGTGAAGAGATTGCCGTAGCCCACCTTGTGAAGTCTCCGGGCTCGACCTGAGAGCACTGCCGCGCCAGGATTATGCTTCATCGCCGAAAGAGAGCAGAGTCTTTTTTGCATCTTTCTTGTGTTTCTTCTTCTTTGGTTGGTGATCTTCCGCCTTGCTGGCTAGAGCGTTGGCTTTCCTCTTTGCTGCGCCAGTTTTGAAACCGTTCTTCGTGGATGAGAAAGACAGACTGGGTGCGGGCGCTTTGACTTTCTGATTCGATTTGTCGCCATCCTCCTTAGGTCCCAGATCGGACTTGGACGACGAGGAAGGTTCCGATGGATCGGGAAGTGGTGCTAGTCCGCGTTCTGAAATAAGTTGAAGACCAGAGGAACTTGATGGCCTTAGAAGTTTGCTCAAACCTTGCCGTCGAACGTTCTCAGCCTCTCGTTCCGTCAGGTGCTTCCCTTCTCGTAGTACAACAACTTGAGGCTTCTCATCAGCGTCGTCTTCATCAGCACTCCCAGGATCTTCGGCTGGTCTTTCAGGAATTGCAGGTCGTCGTGGAATGGGCGGTCGCCCTGATCCGTCGTCGGGTTCAAACTCATCATCGTAGTCGTAGTCTTCTTCGTCAGGTATCCCAGAGATGCGATTTTGCAGTTTCTGTAGAAACTTTGGAGTGGTCGCGCTGTACTGCAAACGTGAAGATATCTGCTGTCGCGTCAGCTCTTTTGGTGCCATGGTCGTAAGGGACTCGTGAGATCGCTGCTTTTGGCACAATATCACGTGGGAGTCATGTCTATTTACGTCATCATGATGTTTGACGCGTCTGTTTCGGCCTTTACACCGACCGCGGCATCTTTGGCCGTTCAACTCCTTCAATGGCTCCTCCAGAAGTGCTTGACTATAATGTGACATGGATGGACCATACCTTTCGCACTCGCAAGAACACGGCGTCTCTACTGGATCCCGAACTTGAGAATGGCAATTTGACCAGGAGGGACTATGATGCAGTTATGGGCACCTTGCCTGGATTTCACTACAGCGAAGTAGGCTCTATGCACTCTCGATGTTTCTTCAAGTTTAATTTGGTGACAAGATGACCGGCTTTGCTATGAGCGGTGCCGGTACGCTCGCATACGCACGCTTCTACAAGACCCCGACACCGTTAGTGGGGCTGGCAGGCTACGCTTTTGGAGCTGTCATTGGAAAAGCCTTCAGGATATACACGCACTTGTCACTTCTGAGGTCGATCGACGACGTGAGAGGCTTCGCTCGCGCCATGGACAACGTCAAAGCCAAAGTTGGTTACTCTCCGGGACTTCTCTCAGTGAGGAGGAATATTCGACCCAAATTGGACGAAGAAGACGCGTTCCAAGCAGACACAGGTCTGTCTGTGACCTCTGTCAAGGATGTGCTTTCTGACATGACTGTAGAAGCATACACTTTTGCCGAAACCAATGAGAACCAGCCAGAACACACCCAGAGAGGATTCTCTTCACCACCAACACTTCCACCCCCACATGCAGCGCCAACTGCGAATTCGAAGTCGCGGTGGGACGAAATCCGTGCTCAAAGGAGTACGCCAGGGGAAAGCAGGGCCTGGGACAATATTCGACATGGCCGACGAGCTGACGGCACACCTCTTCCCAAACCAACACCATCTTCCCTTGGCAATGAAAACCAAGAAACGTCTTCGACGCCATTCGCATATCGCGACGATGACCGTGCTGCTGCGCAGGCCAGTTTCGATGCCATGTTGGAACGCGAACGGAGAATGAATTCATAGGATTCCATATACAAAACGGGCCAAGCAGTGTACATTACAAGAATAAAGCGTTTACGCTTTGAATTACGATAGCAGTGCAAGGTTGGTACAAGATGATGAGGCGTTCTCAGCCGATGTGCATCCACTCCTTCAAGCCACGGCCGAACTGTTTGGCGCGATACTTGAGAGCGCCTTGCGACCTGGGAGTGTACTGGAACCTGAAGCTCGGTTCCTGATCTCGCTCCAGTGCAGCCAGTGCCATGCGCAATTCCATTTCTCCGCTGACAGAAGAACCGGAATGGAGTCGAGAGACTGGTGTCTCCGGCGATCCCGGACGTCCCATCCGCAGGGCTATCCAAGACCGTGGATATTCCTCAGAAATCGGTTGCGTGGCATCGTCCGAAATGTCGTCTGACACTGCCGGAGAGACTGGCCGCGAGACTGATCCCGACATGCTTTTCCGGATGACTGAATAGTATGGCCGACTGGGACCGAAACGGATATTCGACTGCGAGTACGCACGATTGTGCGGTGCGGGTTTCCGCGAAGCGTGCCCGACGACAGTGGACCCACTCGGATAGGATGGCCGCTGATCGATGCCGTAATCCGCCGTGTCGGATGATGAGATCATCGACTGCGAGCGCTGGATGACGGGAACCTCTGTGCGCGCGTCGGAAATCGGCGATTGAGCAGGCGCGGAGATGCGGTACACGGATATATGTTTCTTGCGCCGCAGCGGACGGGTCGAAGAGCGCGGTGTGGTCGACACAGAAGACGCTGGTGGCACATCCCGAAGAGGCCTGTCCGTTCGTCGGACGCCGAGATCGATGAGGTCGAAGCAGGGCGTGAGACGGTCGTAGCTGAGTTCGTGAGCGACATGGTGTGAATTGGCGGGGTTGGGCCGATCTGGTCTGCGAGTATGGTACAAGGTGGGGTATAAATGCAGTATATAGCCTTCGTAAAAAGTCGTGAAAGGTTTCCAGACAACCGATTTTCGTTGACGATGGAGGAGGAAAGAAAGCAGTCGATACGCGGCCTCCATAGGGCCACGAGCGCCTGTCATTTATATGCCCGGGAAGCATGGCATCAGATTGAGCCGAAGGAGAAATGCAGAGACCTGCTGCAACACGCATGCTTGAAACAGTGGCGTGCACTACGGTGTACAGGCAAGTAACTAGGGCCGGGGCACCTGCATGGGTTTCCACAGACAGGCTACGCGGCAGTCCAGGTCCGTCTCCTGATGGCCACAGCTCGGGGATTGGAGAAGAGAATAGCATCCCGAACGATCCATGGCATTAAATGAACGAGCCGACATGAGACTGACACGCGGTGGAAACGAGGTGGAATAAACGTAGACGTCGACGTTGCTGTGCACACGCCGCACTGCAGCCGAGTTCAGCAACGTCCAAATGCGTCCGTCACATCGTGACACCCGCGCTATCATTCAACTCGCACGACGATGGCGCGTCCGCGGAATGCGCCCGAGAAAAAGCCGAAACCCACTACTGTGCCAGAATCCGTCGTCGACCGCACCCTCTGGCAGTCATATACAGGTAATTGACTGGCGTCGAAGAACGTCTCAGCTTACGTCTCGCAGCCCTTCCTGCAGGGACTCGCCTCAAATTATCAGTTGCCATGGCCACATTCGCAGTTGCTGGCATCGTCGTGTCTAATTATCTCGAAAAGGCGATTCCTATCGAACACCCTGCTTCCAAGGATGAATAACAAATTCTGCCCACTCCATCCTCGTTACATTACACGGTGGTCGACTAGGGAAGAAGAAACCAAGACAGCGACACTAGAAGTGTCCCAGGTAGTTTGAGTGCAAGTTGTGGACAGCTTAGGTTGTCGAGGGTAGAAATGACAGGCCAATTGTGAGTTGCACACTGCGTTTGACGATCAGCGATACTATCGGTCTCGTATGGAACGTTTCGAGGCACTCGGTCGACGAAAGAGAGGGTCGAGAGGATGTGGATCGAATGACGGCAAGTACATAGACAACCGTGCCAGCGGACCCAGATGCGCCGGATGAGGTGAAGCGGGGGCAGCGTTCGGAACAGGACTCGCCAGGTCCTTTTTGGTCATGGATTCGAGGGATGACATGGTCGGATACCTGTGACCATCTTCACTAGCGATCTTGAATTCCCATTCTCCCTTCGCCCAGTCCGGAACCATTTCTTCTTTGCCGAAGTCGTGCTGTTTACCGAACAGAGCAAGGAGCGTACCGTACCAGGTGTCGAAGTAGACGATAGCGAGAAGCACCGCAGAGACCACAACAGCGCCTAGTGTAGCGATTCCCACAACCTTCCATTTTGCAACATCGCTCGCTCCACTTGCTGGAAGCACAGGGTCGCTTGCCGTTGTCGTCTGTGCTGAAGTGGTAGTAGACGAAGGGGCTTGCGAAGCGGACGAGTCTGACCGCCCAGTTTCGGTGATTTGCGAGTTGGTGCTTGTGGGTAGAAGACCAAGCGAGGTTGGAGTGATAGAAGGAATGGTGGTAGAGGACGATATTCCAAACAGCCCAGTACCAAGAAGCTCGCCGATGCCGTTCGCCGTTTTCTCTGGAAGATGAGGATGCCGGCGAGGGGTACTGAGATCAAGTGTATCGGTGGCGATCGTCGGGTCATTCGAGGTGGAGTAGCTTTCATCACCGAACAAACCTCCCAGTCCGCCCATGTCATTTCTAGCGTGATGGAGCGGACCAGCAATGACCAGCGAGTGCACAGCTAGGAAGAGATACCATCGCAAGCGAAAGGGCATGGCAGTCGAGAAGAACTCCGGTGGCTCGTGGCTGTGCCAAACGCGGTCACGAGATACAATGGATTATAACAAGTCCTACGAAGCTCTATGATTTTAAGACGTGACAAACCCAGCTATAGATGCGAAAAGGGGCCAATCGGGACTCTTCCGACACATATCTCGGAATAGACCGCCCTGCGATCTCAAGAGATCCTGTGGGGTTCCAAACTCGACCAGCTGGCCATCAGCCAATACCAAGATCCGGTCGTAATCGATGATGGTCTTCAGTCTGTGAGCGATGGTGAGCACAATCGCACTCGACAATTCTTCGCGTATTGTGCGTTGAATCTGGGACGCGGATTCTCAGCGAGACTAATCACGAGCTGGGAAGAGCGCACCTGATCATCAAGTTCCGAGTCGATCTGAGAAGTCGCTTCATCCATGATGATGATATTCGTCCTTCGTAGAATAGCACGGGAGAGAGCCAGGAGCTGGCGCTCGCCTGCGCTCAGGGACCCCGCGCTCACAGGCATGTCGAGCAGACTCTGTTCGCTGCCGCTGTCGTGTTGCTTCAGTAGAGCGGTGATGTGGCATCGGTCTAGGACATCCAGGCATTCCTGGTCCGAACTGAGCCCCAACGGATCCAGATTGCTACGGATGGTCCCAGAAAAGAGGGAAACGTCCTGACTGACGATGGTCTGTACTGCATGTTACTTTGCGCCTCAGTCTGAGAAGGTAATCCTTACAACTCTCGTTCGCAGATCTTCGAGACCTATTTGAGAGATGTCCACCCCGTCGATACTGATGGGGTTCAGTTTTCAAACATGTATAGAAGGAGAAAAGACTTGCAGGATTCTTCCGGCAATCGGCTCGACCATCCGTAGCAGGGATAACGCAAGAGTCGATTTGCCTGATCAGCGATTCAGGATGGGGCCTCAATGAACCTCGAGAAAATAGAAGCTACCTGATCCCGTTCGGCCCACCTGCAAGGGGATGAGTCTCTCGGCACGGTCAGCATATGCGTGCGACTTACCACCCCAATCTTTTCTGACGGGCTGATTCTGAAAGACACCTTCCGAAGAACGGAGGGCAAGTCCGGGGCATAACGAACCTCCAGATCCTCGACGACGACATCTCCAGAATCAGAAGGCCAGTATGCAGGAGGCCTATTCTTTTCGACGATGGCAGGAGCTTCTTGTGGAACCTCTAAATATTCCACGATACGCTCGACGCTGTTGAAATCCAGCTCGAGTTGAGCTGCGACTCTGAAGGATATGAGTCCAATGGTATAGTCGGAAGAGTAAGCGATCTGGACCTGACAAGTTGTCTGCTAGCCTCTGCAAAAATGCCCGCTTGTACAATGACGATAGCAGCGGCTCCATCACTCACACCCATCCACAAGGCAAAAATTGTAGTGGCGAATACAACCAGAGACCCGAGACAGTCGTATCTCCATCTGAGCCAGCCACTGACGAGCCACTGGGACATCGTCAGCTCAAGCTCAAAATCAAATTGATGGAGGGAAGACCTACGTAGACATGATCGAACGTTTGAAACTTGTCGACTTTGGTGTAGAAGCGATCTTGGTATATTCGCTCCATTCCAAAAGCTCGGACATGCGTGATTCCACGCAGTAGTTCATCGAATCCAGCAAAGGCCGGACTGAGCGAGACTGACTCGAGACGGCGCAGATCCCGAGATGCACGGACATAGCTGGGAGCCAAGCGGACATACAGCCACGCAATAAACAGTGCGAAGGGAGCGAAAGTGGGCACAACCGCGAGAATCACACAGAATGATGCCACAAAGTTCAGAACTCCGCTCAAGCATTGTCGTGCCGAGTTTTGCAGCGCGCCATCCACGGTATTGATGTCAGTCGTAAAGCGATTCAATATTCTGAGAGAGATTGAGAGCAAGGTCAGATAATGGAGGTAGGATTACACACCGTCCGATCGGAGTGACATCGAAGAATCGAGCGGGCGCCCGCGTCAATCGGGAAAGCAGAGATCGGAACAGAGCCCGAGAAGCCTGTAGACTGGCATAGTAGCCCAATCCGAGATAAAAGACTACAGAGAATGCACCGAGCAGAGAAATATAGAGATAGACCATCAGCCACGGCTTGACATCCACATCTGGAGAAGGCAGATTTGACCAGGGAAGCGTCCAGCCACCGGCGGTGATGACAGCGCGCAGATAACTCTTTTCGTACGCCTCTCCCCAGCTGGCAAGAAAGATCTAGAAAAAACCGTCTCAGATACGGTGCCGAATTGGAAATGGTTCGCACCTGGTTGCTGATGTTGATCACTCGGATGAGCAGCATCAGCAGAAGAGTCACGATCCAAGACCAGACGCCAGCAGCTCGAACATAAGTCATGTAAGTTCGCATCGAAACTCGTCCTTCTGCACGAGCTTCGACTTCAATCAGTTTCCCGTTTGCAGGGGCTTTCTTGACAGGTTCCATCACCACAATCGATTGCCCGAGTCCGCTTCATTGCCAACGGAACCTTCTTCCTCTTTTGAAACATCCTCAAACCCTTGGTCTTCCATCTCTACAACCTTCTGTAATGTGCCATTTTCTTCGAAACTCTTGATTGTTCCCTCGCGCAGCACACGACCGTCCGCTAGTTCGATGATGTAATGTGCCACCGGTGAGCAGATGCTCACGTGGTGGGTCACGAGGATGATAGTGCGATCACGTGCAAATCTTCCGCGTAAGCAGTGCTCCACGATGTGGCTTGCAGTATGCATGTCCACAGCCGCAAGACTATAAGAAGTAAGATGGGATTTTGGAACGGCGGTATCTGCTTACGGATCGTCGAGTAAGATGCACTGGGAGATCAGTCAGGAGAAAGATTGTGATATAGGGAAACACAGAACTGACCTTGGCTTGAGAATAGAATGCACGAGCAAGAGCAATGCGAGCTCTCTGACCACCTGAAAGTGTAACACCGCGTTCCCCAATCTCTGTGCTCAAGTCAAAAAGTGGTCGGCAACCCGGGCATTGGACTTGCCGGTCATGTCTCCAGCCTCGAGAATGGTGAGATCGTGCACAAGAGCACAAGCTTCGATCACAGCTTGATAACGCTCTTCGTCATAGCCAAATGCAGAGTTGAAGACAATGTTGTCTCGGATAGTAGCATGTTCGAGCCCTAGACGAAATGAGAGGGAGCCAGATCAGGTGCGGAAGACCCACATGGGTTCTGTGCACAATACGCGATGTGATGGTGTGACTTGTTGAGGAGTACACGGCCTTCAATGCAGTGCATTTCTGTGGATGGCTCGTTAGACAGAGAAGTTATCTCAGCTTTGCGCGCACCTCCAAGCAGTCCGGACAGTAGCGCCGTTTTGCCAGAACCCGTAGCACCGCTGACCAGCGTCAGTTTCCCTTCCGGGAATAAGGTGTTGACAGGACCAAGTCTGAAGCGTGTCCCTTCCACAACGGTTTTGGGAGGTACCTGCCATTCAAAGACAGCGGAGTTGAACCCGATACCGTCAGTCGAAGGCTCCTCTGTGTTCGTGAGAGTGGAGGCCCACTTGGGTACTTCATCCTCAGCAAGAAACGCTTCTATCCGTTGCATAGAGACATAAGCATGCAGCAACGCAAAGAATTGACCCGGGAGTGCCGTCATTGGCTCCTGCAGCTGCGAGAAGAGTGCCAAAGCGGTGAACGCCTTGGACACAGTTAAGCGCTCTCCGGCAATGAGGGTGTAGCATAAGAATGATGTCAAAGCCGTTGCAGAAGGGATCCATGTCCTAGGACGTGTCACAAACAGTGACCATGCGATCCGAATGAGCGCACCAGATAAAAGAGATCGCTGTGTCAATGATGTTCTCTTTTACCCGCCAACCAAGTTCTCGTTCGCGGGCGATAGAGGCAGTACTGGCCCACTTGTATTCTGTCGCTGTGAGCATCAATCCAGATGCGATCCGAGAAAAATACATACCCCAACCAAAGAACTTGAGGAAGCGGATGTTTTGAAGCAGCTCATTGACCCTCTCCATCCGGCCATCTTTGGCTTTCCAGGATTCACGTGTCACAAACACGTTATATCTTGCAAGTGGATAGGTCACGATGTAAGCCACAAGCACGACGACGACACCCGACAACGCGCTCCATCCCAGGATCCTAGTACAAGTGAGCGAGCACGAAGAAGTAGGTTCCGTCGAGACCCACTGATACAGAAATACAAGTGCGATCGTGAGCCTAATCTGCAGATATTTGATGCTTAGTACCGATTTTGAGAGATAGGTGCAGCTTTACTGGGGCCATGAATATACCATTGAATTCCCAAAATCGCTGGGCAACAGCATATGAATCTCCTCTGCGGCGAGTTCCAGGTCTTCGTAATTCTCCAATGGCAACCAAACGCACTGCATCAAATTCACGATCCGACCAAGGTTCGCATTATCCGGCTCGTCCTGACCGGCCTCTTTCTCCTTGACCTTGCCACTCATGTCTTCACGCACAAGAGACTTGTAATGAAGAGCACAAAACAATTGCCCTCGAGTCCTTTCATAGCAACGACGTTGATGCCAGCCCTGGAAGAGATCTACCTGCGCGAACGAGAGATGAGCAACAAATACAATCAGCGTCCAGAAGTATGCTGTGCTGCGAGCTTCGGAAGTCGGATCGGACAGGACAGCAAGGATCTCTTTCAAAGCATAGGGTGGGACGAAACCTGTGGAACGCAAGCAACCATGAACACCGATCAGAAATACCGATGACCACCTTACCAACAGTGGATGCTTGGAAGGGCAAGGTAAATCAGTCTCGACGTTCACCCCATGACGAAACACGCACCCCAGAGCTCCATAACAATGTCTAAAATCAGATCGAGGGAGTTGGACACGAGCAAGAATCGGATGAGTGAATGCGTCGGATGTTGTGTGCGGTATTCAAGATATTTGTTGAAGAGATTCTTGTGCTTGAAGTACGGAGATAGCTGCCAAACGTCCTCGTCGTTCAGTCGGCCTTTGTCTGCTGCACTCAGTAGAGGCTCGACGAAGGTGAAAGTTGACCATTCAAACAACGTGACTTTGTCTTCCGGACACGAAAGCGACGAGGAAGATACCTACAGGCCCAGCTGGTCAGTGTCAGAGGGGGCATGAAGCCGGATCTCTCGCACGTCTTTCGTTCCAGCCACGTTTCTAGCAGGCACGATTGGTGCAACGGGGAGGCTAGACAGTATGCTGACGAATATGACCGGGGCAACGATGCGCAAAGACGCGGATACGTAGAGACTGCTTCGCGTTCCAGCCCTGACCAAGTCGATAAAGAGTTCGACGAGAGGCCAGATGCATTGCAGCAGGGCGAACGTCAGAGAAAGGTAAGGCGGGGTCGAGGGCGGTTGCAACGTTAGCCTCAACGCGGTGTAAATCTGCACAATTGTGAATATGCAAAGGGTCGCGACGACATCATCAACGCACCCATGCCAGAGACACCAAAAGCCAGCCCATTCCGTCCCCATCACCCGCGGCGCAAGCGTATGCGAAATAGCCCAGGAAACCGCCACCCTGGATAATCGCTACGCCGACGACAGAGATGGTCTTGAGACGGGATTCATGCACTCTATCGCCCACAGGCTCCGCAAGATCCTCCAAAGTCAGGAAGTTGCGGAAGGGTGCGTGCAGCGTTCTCCATGCTCGCTGAATCGGTTTAGGCCAAGGAATGCGACACAGGACATCGTAGGCCAGTGTGAGAGCCACCAAGACCACCGCGACACGATCAGCGAGCGCGAACGCTGCCATTCCCAGAGTGATGGTCGGAAAGAGCTAGGTTGATATCCTCACACTTGCATGCGGCTCTAGTCGCCGAACATTCTCCAGCACTCATGCGTTCGATCGAGCTGTCATTCTGACTTCTAGCATTCACGCAACTGCATACAATGACGAAGATAAAGTATATATGCCGTACCCTAACCCGTGCCCCCCCTCCCTCGTTTCAAAGTAGCACAACCTGGGAAATGGTCAGACATTTCTCGACAGCACCGCGATCGAGGCAGAAGTCAGTAAACCCGGTACTTGATCTCATGGAAAGATCGTATAATAGGGAACCACGTTCATCGTATACGATACGTATGCCAAAAGAGAGGAGAGGATACTCACTCAGAACTTGCTCGGTTCTCGTCCCGATTCTAGATTCCAAGGTCAGAGCCAAGTGTTATCAAACAACGTGGCAGGGTCACATGTTATGAGCTATGACTGATCACTTTCCGCTTACGGCAATATCCCACCCAGAGCGACACCTCTACAGCGTCATTACAAACTGCAGTGCCCTCGACTCCAAACAACCTTGTCCTGAACCATGTCTTCCAGAGAACCTCTATGGTATTGTCATGAAGTCGCTCGCTCTATCGATGTGCCCCATTATGATTCTCATAGCTGTGCAGTGCAATGCCGAGATGCGACCACTAATGGTCCCCGATCCCGTGTGCGCCTCCTGTCGAGGGTCCTTCGTAGAGAAGGTCTATCAAATCTTCCTCGCGCATGCACAAAAGTAACGAACGATGCTCATAGATGGAGAACCCGAGCGACGATCCTCGCGAATTTCATCAAGCATTAGGTCCAGACTTGGGTGGTGCTGAGGATATGCCGCTGGGACTCGAGGCATTCTTGTGTGCGTTTGCATTTATTATATTATTTGAAACGCTCTGAACAAGCACCGGCAGACGCCATCCAAAACATGGCTCGGGGACCCGGAACTGAGCGCACAGGGCCCCGATCCCGACCCACGGATCAGCAACGTAGCCGAGTGAGTCTCGACTTGCGTTACTTCCGCTTGATTGCCTCATCCTGCGCAGAGCCCGAATGTTTCCCGAACGTTTGAGATTCGGAGCTCGACTGGCAATGGACCGCCTACTGCCATCCGCTTCGGTAGCAATGGGGGAGGAATCAGCAGTCCTGAAGATCCTGACCAGCCGACAATGACTGAGTGCGTCGCTTTGGGGATCATCTCCGAGTGTGGGGCAGCGCGTTGATTCAGATGTAGCTTTCTGCGCCGACGGGGCGAGGCTGGTATCACAGGGCCTCTCATGGCTCACTATCTCATGGCTCTTCTCGGCGGACGAGAGTCTATGGGTGATGTTTTCGGGCGCGGGATGGGCGAACCCATGCAACCGGGCAGGATGGGCGACTACGTCTTCAACCAAGAAGCGTTGGACGAGATACTGAACCAGCTGATGGAGAACTCAAATGCGCATCGGCCAGTAGCTGCGTCGGATGAGATTGTGGACAAGCTCCCGCGCGAGGTTCTGGAGGAAGGATGTATGACTGATTTCTCATTCGAGCTGTCATTTGTTCAATTGATCTACAGCTCCGACTCTGGAAAAGGATTGCGCTGTTTGTAAGGAACAGTTCAGCCTTCAAACCGAAGATCCCGATGAGCAAGTTGTGGTAACATTGCCCTGCAAACATCCCTTCCATCAACCGTGCATCCTGCCATGGCTGAAATCGAGTGGAACATGTCCCGTTTGCCGGTAAGCCTCCGGGTTTGCTGATGTGTTTATGCTGACGACTTGTGTGAACAGGTTTGCTCTCGTTCCGCAGCCAGAACAACACGGCTCCCATGGCCCGACTCCTGGGGGCAGCTCCGACGCGCCAGGCAACGGCCCACCCACAGGGCTTTTACAGTCGCTTTTCGGGCACGTGAACTCCGGCGGCAATCGAACATCACCCAGGCGCTCCAATTCAGATTCCACGGGAGGTCAATCAAGTCGTGTTCCTGGTGCGTGGGACGAATTAGATTAGAGCGTGGCATAGGCTCTGTTCTACCAAGTCGACTCGAGTTAGCTGTCTTTAGATCTAGCGCATCCTTTCGATGACCACGGTCCGGGAAAATCGATGCGTTTCCTCGTCCCTCCCCCGTTTTTGCCTCCGGTCTGCTCCGGAATATGTAGCTGTACTAATTATACGTACGAATGTGAATCATCCAAATTGCATAAAAAGAAAAAACCACTGCTGGACAAATGCCGGTCCATCAGATCAGCTCGAGGGAAATAAGTGGATCGGATCGCTGGGGTCGTTATACCTCCGCTGGGCACTGAACATGCTGAGATATACGTCGCATCAGTCCCAGCCTTCACGCGTACTACCGGAATCAATACAAGTCACAGAAAAATGAGGCTAGATCGCCTTCGTCGAGAGCAAGTATGAACAGTAACAAATCGCCGATGGAGCACGGACTACGCAGGGAGCCAATGGTGGGTGTTGCAAGCAAGCCTAGCGAATGAAATGTTTGAGTACATTCCGATTTTTGAAAGTTCCAGTTCGGGAATCAGGGATACTCCCGCAGAATGAATCTCATCCAGGAAAACTCAATGCGCCGTAACCAATGACATGGATGGTACAATTTGATAGGTATAATGAAATGACCCCTTTTCACAAACAACGAATGTAGTCTACAAGCGCCTAGTACTCATAAACTTGCCCAGCAGGCCCATCTCCTCAGTTGGTGGTGGCGGAGGTGAACGAGGTGGAGGCAAATCCAACCCGGTTGTTGCCAGTGTCGAAGACCGAGTAGAAGCGCTCGAGGAAGGCGTAGCCGTTGATGAAGTCAAGGCCGGAGCCTAAGCGGAATCGGTCAGCACCAAGCAGAATTGAGTTTAGCGGTGAGATGAATTACCAGCGGGACCGTTGTCAGCAACGACAAGGTAGATCCTGCTTGCAGTTCCGCCGATGGCAGTGTTGAGGGAACGGGGCCAGATCTGACCGTTGGGGGTCAGGGAGTGGGTAGCCTGAGTGAATGTGAGCCCTCGATGTTATATGATCCATATCTTGCAGTGGAGCACGTACACCGCCAATCAAGAAGTTCAGGTTCTGGAGGGCAGAGAACTGAGCAGAGGTGATGCGCAGCAGGCCAGTGCCGCTGTCAGCGACACCGCCGGTAGCCTTCTCGTACTTATTGAAGGCAGCTGACAGACGTATCAGTAACAATAGCCTGGGCAATTGGTTTGGAGTCCTCACCGGTGGGCAGGTAGATCAGAGTGGTTCCGGTGTCGACGATGCCAGGTCCGGTAGACATGATGGAGGTGGTGCCATCTTTGGGGCAACGCGTTTAGAATAGAAGCAATGAAAGAGAAGAGCGGCACGCACAGGTGATGGACTGATTGATTCCCCAGTAGTCACCGGCAGGGGAGGTACTCGTGACCGAAGTGTAGGTAAGCGTGCCAGTGTACTTAGTGGTGTCGGGGGCTCCGAAGGAAATGGCACCGTTGTTGTCCACAGACGAGGTCGTGGGCTCGAACGAAATACCGATCACATCAGAGAGATCGTTCCGGCGCTGAACAGGTTGTCCACCACAGTGGGGATCTCGGAAGAGCCGGACACGGTTCTGGCGCAAGTTCAGTCAGTTGCCCACGTTTTTCATGAAAGGCGCGCACCCTTGAGTGAGGTCGACAGGACCGATGCTAGGGATTTGCGTGAGCGCTATTACTGTCTCGGAGAGGATGACCACATACCCGAGAATACCGTCGACGCCGCTAAAGCCGCTGGCGCTCGTAGCAACACCGATCGACTGCTTGGGGATGACAAGGCCGGTTGCCAGAGTCACTCGGTCAGTGTACTCCTGGCCGGAGAATGAGCCTTGGCGGAGCCGTGAGTTCGGCTGATCAACCATCCACGAGATTGAACCTACCAGATCCGTACGAAACCGACTGCGAAGCATTCATCAGGGAACATGGCCAGCGTTGCGATTGATGTACTTACGACGCGGCTTCCAGTCTTGGTGGAGGTAGACGTAGCGACGTAGCTGGTTCCGGCACCAACCCAGGTGTTCGAGGAACCAGTGTCTACGATGAGATCGTCTATAAAACATGTCAGAGCACTGACATTCTGCGGCACAGCGTTGGACGCACAGGTAGTAGCCGGGCTGCCGACACCGACAGAGGCCTGAAGCTCCGCTCAGACAGGCGCACAAGGAGTGAATAGCGCACGTACGATGTAGCTGACGACCTGGTTGGACACAGGCTCAGAGGCACGCTTGCTCTTTCCGGCCTTGAAGTTGGCGATGCGCGCGTAGTCGGCCTGCTTGATGGTGGCCGCGCCGGTGAAGTTGAACCGGCGGGCGATGGGCAGGCTGACGATGTTCTCGTCGACCAGAACGGGGCCGGCGGAAACACGGAGAGCGAGGAGGATCGTGGGCAGGAGAGTCAGAGCGAGCATGCTGGAGAAGAGACTGGTTGAACCGGTGAGGATAGTCTCAATATCCCTCTGCCTTTTATACAACCAGCTCCCAATGCACCCTCATGGAGCTTTTGATCGAAGTACAGAGCGCAATCCGCAATGTCGATTTCGGAAGCTGATTTGCGGCGAATATCGACATAGAAGCGTTTTCTTGCAGCACATGTGTCTCTGCGATTTCGGTGATCTGCGCAGCGGTTGTCGCCATCTAATGTTGTTATTAGCCCGCTGCAGAACCACATTGCATTTCGGCAAGCGTATCAAGAAGGTGCGCGTCGGCCAGACCAGGAACGGAGTAGAGCTTTGCGTAAGATAACGAAGCGCCTGTTCGGGGCCTTTCAGTTCTGGAGGCATCCCAGGCGTGACTCTCTGCAGCGACAAGAAGAACCCGTCGCACAAACACTAGCGTCCATTCCACGCGGTCTGAAGGACTAATGCATAGAACAGATGTGCGCAATGGCGCGTCATTTGCCATGAAAGACTCGATATCGGACAAGAAGTCTGTTGGAGGCACGCGGATTATTGACAGTAACATGCTGGACGTGCTCGAAGAGCACAAGCAAGGGGGATAACGCTATTTTTAGGACACAGACAACGATCATGCTATCAATCTTAGACTATAGGATGCGCGGGAAGTGCCGTCAAGTGCTGTGCGTGCCCGGACCTCAAACCCGAAGGCCCCAGCACCCGGCCCGGCCGGACTGATATGCCCACGTGATGACACTGCCCAACACGTGCCGCTTTTGGATGGGACAATGGAAGCTTTCCCTGCTATGTATGCCACTGGCCTTCACTGCTCTCATCTTTGCTAAATGTGCTTGACACAATGTTGAATTAGTGATTTAGTCACTTTGAAGTGCATGTGGAAGATTGCAGGAACTCACCTCTTTGCTTTGCAAGGGAACACTCAAGAATTGAACAGAGACCAGTACTACAATAGGATCCAGAGAGCTTTTTATCGGCCAGACCTCGGTTCTCAATCAAGAGGCGCATGTCACAAGTCGTGGGGCTCATGATCAAAGCTCAAGCCGTCTAATTTCGCTCAGCACGGCAGAGTGCGTTGGTGTTCAATAAAAATTCATTGGTGCAACATTTGACTTTTCGGATACAAAGGACGTAGTCTACAAGCTTCTGCTGCTCTGAAACTTGATGAGTAGACGCATCTCTTTAGTTGCTGGTGGCGGAGGTGAACGAGGTGGAAGCAAATCCAACCCGGCTGTTGCCAGTGTCGAAGACCGAGTAGAAGCGCTCGAGGAAAGCGTAGCCGTTGATGAAGTCCAGACCGGAGCCTAAGCAGAAATGGGTCAGCACCAAGCAGAGCTGAGTCTAACCGCGAAATGCATTACCAGCGGGGCCGTTGTCACCGACCACGAGGTAGATTCTGCCGGAGGTTCCGCCGATGGCGCTGTTGAGGGAACGGGGCCAGATCTGACCATTGGGGGTCAGGGAGTGGGTGGTCTGAGGAAATGTGAGCCCTCGACGTCGGGTGATTGATATCTTGCGGTGGAGCACGTACACCGCCGATCAAGAAGTTCAGGTTCTTCAGCGAAGAGTACTGAGCAGAAGTAACGCGGAGCAAGCCAGTGGCACTGTCAGCAACAGCACCGGTGGCGCGCTGGTACTTGTTGTAGGCACCTGACAGACGTATCAGCAACATTATACTGGGTAATGCAGTTTGTTTCTCACCAGTAGGCAGGTAGATCAGGGTGGTTCCGGTGTCGACGATGCCGGCAGAGCGAGACATGATCGAGGTCGTGCCATCTACGGCGCAACGAGGTCAAGCGGAAGGCTCAAGAGATGAGGATAGTGATGCGCACAGGTGATGGACTGCTCAATGCCCCAGTATTCATCAGCAGGGGAGGTGCTCGTGACCGGAGTGTACGAAAGCGAGCCGGTGTACTTGCTCGAGTCAGGGCCTCCGAAGGAGATGGCACCGTTGTTGTCCACGGACGAGGTCGTGGGCTCGAACGAGATACCGATCACATCAGAGGAGATGGTCCCGGCGCTGAACAAGTTGTCGACGACGGTGGGGATCTCGGTGTTACTGTTGCCGAGAGTACTGGGGCAAGTTAAGTCAGTTGTCCACGTTTGTCAAGCAAGGCGCGTACCCCTGAGTGAGGTCGACAGGGCCGATGCTGGTAGGGTGTGAGCATCCACACGGATCACAGCGCACAAATACATACCCGAGAATGCCGTCGACGTTGTTGAAGCCGCTGGCGCTGCTGGCGGCACCGATCGACTGCTTGTTGATGACGAGGCCGCTCGCCAAAGTGACGCGATCGGTGTACTCCTCACCGGAGAACTGGCCTAGGGACAAAACTTAAGGCGGCCCGGAATGCAACTGCCGTGAGGGCGCTTACCAGACCCATACGAGACAGACTGGCGAACAACGCGTCAGCGGCCGCACTTGCTTTCAAAACAGATGTACTCACGACGGAGCGTCCAGTCCGGGTGGAGGTGGAGGTCTTAACGTAGTTCTTGCCAGCACCGACCCAGGTGTTGGACGAGCCGGTGTCTACGATGAGATCGTCTAGGAAATATGTCAGGGCAATGCCTCCCGATGCATAGCGTTGGACGCACAGGTAGTAGCCGGGCTACCGACACCGACGGAGGCCTGAAAATGGCTCGGTGAGACGCACACGGCAGTGGGACTGGGGACGTACGATGTAGCTGACAAGCTGGTTCGACACCGGCTCAGAGACACGCTTGCTTTTTCCGGCCTTGAAGTTCGCAATCCGCGCGTAGTCGGCCTGCTTGATGTCGACAACGGTGGTAGCGTTGATGCGACGGGCGATGGGCAGGCTGACGATGTTCTCATCGACCAGAACGGGGCCGGCGGAAACACGGAGAGCGAGGAGGATCGCGGGCAGGAGAGTCAGAGCGAGCATGCTGGAGAAGAGACTGGTTGGGCCGGTGAAGATGCTCCCAATGCCACTCTGCCTTTTATACAACCAGCTCCCAATGCGCCCTCATGGAGCCTTTGATCGAAGTGCACACTCTCCATACTGCACTGCAGCGTCGAATACGGAAGCTAATTCGAGGCGAGAATATCGACATGGACGCGTTTGCTTGCATCACATGTTTCTTCACGTGTTGGGTGATCCATCTAGCCGTTGTCGTCATCGAATGCTGTTCCGAGCACTTGCAGAACCACGTTGGGTTTCGGCCACCGTGTCAAGAAGCTGTATGTCGGGCGGACGAGGAACAGAGAAGAGCTTCGTTTGCATAGAACAAGGACCTGTTTTAGGTCTCATAGTTCTGGCCCACCAAGGCTTGCCTCCATATATCGACGAGAACTTGATCCTGTCGCACAAACGCAAGCGTCCATTCACTGAGGTCTACAGTTTAGCGGCACAGAACAGATGCGCGCAATGCCGCGGCATTGCGCGTGCAAGAGTGAATATCGCAGAAGTTCGTCGGGCACGCGGATTTCGGCAGCAACATGCTGAAGTCGTATGTAAGGACACAAGAGTGGCACGAGAGGGAAAGTCCTATCTTTGGGATGAAGCCCATCACTTGCCAACTGTCAATCAAGAAATGCTGCTTCTCTAGAATTGGGTTGTACATACATGTAATGTTGTAGAATAAGTAGAGACTGGTAAAGTAATCTATGCAAAACGAACTTTCTCTCCCGGGCGACCCTCAGAGAGAAGAACGACAGCCTAGAGGCGAAGATAAGCACCATGAGCACGAGGAAAGCTGACAAAGACTGACGTATTTGCCACTGATCTTCCATCCTGGTTCCGACTTGTCCAGGTTCTCCGCGGTCTTGTCTCCGTCGTCACCCAGTCCGACAACGACATCACTTTTGATTGTGCGCAGACTGGCAACTTTTGGTGCTCCAGCAGAGCTCGCCATCGGGCCGATGGCCATGTCGAACGGAGTGCTCGCCGGTGCCGCACAGTCATATGTGAGCTTGCGGTGGTTCAGATCACCCTTGAAATAGACCAGATCCGATCGCGACAGATGAAGGAACAAGTCGGGAGCTTCAGAGTGCAAGTCCCAGAACGTGTACCCTGTGCACCAGAAGGGGTGCTGTTCATAGACCCACTTGCCCTCCTTCTCGTATTGCTGAGGCGGCCGTAAGAAGGAGAGGAACGAATTCAGGAACGCAACACACCTTCCACCGCTGACCAAGGCGGCGTAGAGATTCCAACTCGACATCAGAAGCCTTCGGAAACAATTGTCCGTAGACCATGGTGTTGAGAAGCCAATCCCAGTCTTTTCTCGTAACGTCCGAAACAAACCATGCGAACCGTTTGCCGTGGAAACGGATCTGGGTCGCAAGGCCGCTTTGCAGCAAGAAGTCGGCTGTATGACGTGAGTATAATGAATAAATGCTGCTTGGTTCACTCACCGTATACACAGTCGCAGTACAGCTCAAAGCCGGCATTATCGAGAACGAAGTCGATGCGGCCACCCGTCTTGCGCAGCCCCTTGACGGTATCCCACAGCTGGTTCAGGTGATTACCGAGGATGTTCTTCTCGGTAGCCGCCAAGTGATCGCCTCCGGTCGATTGCAAGGACTTGATTTGCTCTTCGGTCATGTTGATCAGCAGAGACAAGTCTGTCGAGTTTCCCCACAAGCAAACTTGAGTGAGCTCCAAGAACATCAACCGCTCCGCCTCCTGCTTGGCTGCATCGTCCAATCCATCCGCAAGCTTGAAAGGCTCGGCGAAGCGCATTGAAAGCTCGAAGACCGCTTCAGATGATCGAGAGAAGGTATCGCACTAGGCCAGATTGAAATTCGCGAGGCTACTGGAGCATTCAGACCAGCCCACCTTTTGCCGATAGAAAACATCGTAATCCTTCCAGAATTTGCTAATGCTGAAGCACTCATGGAGTCGCCGATACTTGTAGGCCTCGGCAAACAACCAAGGGGCGTTCATGAAATCTTTTCCTTGGAAGTATTTTGCAATTTCCTAACGATTTCAACATTGCTTTCAAATCACTCGACTTCAAGCGTACCTTGTTCCACAAAGCCACATCAGCCTCATTATCGTCGATGATGGGACGGAGTTTGCGATTCTCGCTCAGGTCCGCCATCAGGTCACCCATGCGCTCGATACATGCAACCAGATCGACGACTTTTTCCTCGTCGTACTGATCATTAAGGGTGCGCGTCGTGTCTTCAATAGCCTTGCCGAGGATAGTCGGAAGACGCGATTGCATGGTAGCGTGGGCAAATGAGTATTCGTGGTAGCCACGGTAGGCGGGCCATGGTGGGTTGTTGGGATCGACCTATTGAGAGTCAGGGGCGCAAACGGGAAACGATGAGGGCGAGATGCGCACACGGGTGGGAGTGCGAGGCCACGGTGCTTTGATGTCTTTCTTGCTCGGAAGATGGCCGAGGGAGAGTGTGACACGCGAGGGCGCGCCTGATGCGGAGGGCCCAGCACTATTTTCGACATTGAGAGCCATTGTTCGTTATGAATCCTGTTTGCTTATTAGAGACGATCGGCATCAAGCATTGAGAAAGCCGTACTGAGTTGGCGTGAGAGGCGGACGGAGGTGAGAGGATGCTGAACAAGGCGGGGGATGGAATTTTCAGGCTGAAAACTGTTGCTTTTATAGATTGACATGATATCCCGCCGCGTCTCAAAAAACGAACGGTTTCGCCGTAATCGGAATGAGGGGTTCGCCTATCAACCGGTTGGAAATGACGCAGTATGATGTCACTGCGCCGGTTTACGCTGCTGAGTGTCCAGACGCGCGCAAAATTGGACGCCAACACTTGGTGAGCCGAGAGAGTATCCCACCCAACTTGTCGCTCGTTAACGCGCTCTCTGGATGTTCTGGGAAACGATAAATAAAAAGCCTCAAAGACACGTCATCCTGAAATGAGATCGATGCTCCACAGTCATTTGTAGCCTCAACACGCGCTCGCCTTGGTCGCGCCGAAGAAGGTCGGGAATGCTGTAACACGGAAAAGAAACCGCATGCTCCACATAATATGTTCAACAAAAATCGCGGTCGGCCTCCGTCGTTCTCTCTGGCAAGTGGAGTCCCTGTGCAGCACCGAGTTCGAGAATAGGGACGACAATGACGTGATGACAGCTTCGGCCGAACCATTCGGAGAGATCACGCCCATCAGTCACATCAGACGTTGCACGATCACGAGCAAATCACGTTATCTCGGCTGGCATTGTTGACGGCCTACTGAATCTGCTCTCACGACCACAGCCAGCCCGGGCCTCTCGCTGCCATGTCCTGGCAACTCGGCATGAACGAAGTTACTGAAGAGATTCAAGCCTACAAGAATAAGATATCTAGCAAGGGTGCGATACCGGTGCACTAATTCAACACCTCAAACTGATACTCAGCTTTGGTCGCAGAAACCCAGATCGCCGCCCAGCAAAATGAAATCATGAAGCACGCAAGTGAAATCGCAGACTTGAAAGCGACTCTTAACGAAACATTGCACAAGGTATTCCCTGGACGAAGATATGTGCCACCTTGCTGACAACCGACAGCTCAATCACGAAACATCTCGCGCTATATCTCTCGAATCCAACCTCGCCAAGTGCACCGAAGATTTACGCAACGAGAGTTTGGCCGCACAGAACGCCTCTGCTGCCCTTGTCGGGGTGCAGGAGAAATTGAAGAACAAGGACCTCGAAGTACGGGCAATGGAGGACAACCTGCAGTCCATGTCGCACAAGTCTGCTGGATACGATGCCCGAGGCGCACAACTGTCGAAAGAGAAGGGGGTCCTCGAAGCTCGCGTCCGGGAGTTGGAAGTGAGTCTGCGACATCTCAGCACCCCAGCTTCGACTGCTACTACGCCGTCGCGCCAACGCGCCGCTGCCCGAAGAAGATCCTCCTCCGTTTCAGATGCCCACAACGCCGTTCTGGTCGAGCAAGAGCTCAAAGTCGCTCGCGAGTCGCTCGCCCAAAAGGACGTCGAGCTCCGGCGACCGCCACGAAATTGGCCCAACTACAATCGGAGCTGGTCAAAGCCGAAAACGAGAAGACTGCTTCCGAGAAGCGACTTTTGACACAGCTTCGTGATCTCCAATCTTCCTTGCAAGAGAAGAGTGAAGAGCTGGATTATCTGAGGGAGCAGGATGGCGGCTCAAGGGAGGAAGAACTGCTCAAGAGGATCGATGAGGACGACGCCCGGATTGCAGCATTAGAGAAACTTCTCGCCGAGTCGACCGAAACGAAGAAAATGAAGAGCCAGATTCGACAGATGGAACAGCAATTACTAGTCGAGAATCAGCGCATTATGGAGGCCGAAGGACGCAACGTCGACATCGTAAGGGAGCGGGAGGAAGCACTGGATGAGCTTGAGGGATCTAGAACGAAGATCCGCAAGCTCGAGGAAGCATTGCAATTGAAAGATGCTGCTATGCACCGCCTCGAATCCCAACGGTGCGTTTACAGTTTTATTCGGGACTCAATTTCTAAATTTCAACAGCTTAAACTCACCATCACCCTCCTTTGAGCAAGATATTGAACGCATGCTTGGAGCCATCGATCGACTCCGCAGCGAGCGCGACAATCTTCGACGTGACGTCGAGTTCTTGCAAGCCGAAGCTCGATTTACGGAAACAGCACTGCAAGGTCGCGTTGCCGCACTGACGACCAGAGACAGCGAGCAGAGTACCGAACTTTGTGAGCTACGAGAGGAACGGGCCGTGTCCTGTCGAAGGATTGCTGAGAATAACGCGCGTATTCAAAAACTGGAACGTGCAACGATGGTCTCAGCGATCATGATGCGGGATCTTCAAGACACGATGGCAGTCGTACAAACCCCGGCAGCCCTTGATAGCGCTCAAGTGGCCACCCTTCCACAACCTGACGACGCACTCGAGAACGCGCTGATTCGTTTGAAGGAGGTGGAATTGCAACTGGGCTCCGCAGCTCAGGGCCTCGATACTATGACTAGGCAGCGGGACCAGCTAATGGCTCAACTGTCGTCCGCCGAATCGCTTCAAGACGACGCTAATGCGCGGGCCGGTCGGATGGAGAAAGAGATTTCCGATTTGGCAAGCGACTTGGACGAAGTTTCGGCTGAGCGAGATTCTTTGAACCTGCAGGTCACCAACCTGACCCGTGACCTTGAACTCGCACAAGAAGAGCTGGCCGAAGGGGAGAAGCGATATTCTGAATTACAGTTCCATCAGCTGTCGGCGATGACGACTAATGCCGCCTCAGCAGCGATGCGTGCTCAGCTTGAAGAGCAGGAGATGCGGATTCTCCGGCGCACAGAGATGGTCGGGATTTTGCAACACGATCAACAAAGGCTAGAGACCAACTTGAAGCTTCAAGAGGAGAGACTAGCCGAGATGGTGGGCGAGCTGGAGATCATGGCTGCTGAGAAAGCTGCCATGGTCGAGGATTGTGCGGAGGCTCGCCAGGCCCGCGATGTTGCCGTTGCACGTGTGGAAGAGATGGATGTCGAGATCGAGGCTCTGGAGTCCCGCGCGGTCGAGTCCGAAGCTGCTCTCTGCTCTCTGATCGGTGTTACGGTCGAGATGAGATCGTCATCGAAAGCACAGACCGTCGACAGCCCCTCGGAGCATTGGGAAGCTCGGATTGCCGAATTGAAAAGCTCCCATCGTGAGCTCATATCCACCCTTCAGGTTAATCACGCAGAAGAAATCCGGACCCTTCGTGAGGAGAAGACTGATGGTGCTGATCTGGAGGACGAGTTGGCTCAACTGAAAGTCAAGCACGTCGAAGAACTCGGTCTTTTGCAGGGCCGACTTGTGGAGACCGCTAGCGTGCTGGACGAAGCCCGCGCTCGATTTGCTGCAGCCGAGGAAGACCTGCGGAGAGCGAACGCGGATCTTGCCCAATCAGAGTCCGCCGCCCGCGATTCGACCGCATTAGTCAACGAACTTCGCGCTGAATCTGCACGTTCTCGGGCTGATGATGCTCAGATTATCAAGACATTGAACGACAAGATCGCGGTCGCTGAAGTCTCGACAGAGAAACTGCGGATGTTGCACGAGGAGTCTATCGCTGCGTTGAACGCAGCCAACGGAAACAAGGACGCCCGTCTCTCGGAACTCGAAGCTCACATCAAAGAACTTGACTCCCAAATTCAAAGTCGCACAACCCAGTTCGATCGTCTCAGTGTGGAGACCGAGAGCCTTCGCGAACGACTAGACGAAGAATCCAAGTCTCGCCGACAGGAGAAGTTGGAGCTCGATGAACTGATCTGCTCGGAACGTGATCGTGCAGCTTCTTCTCTAACGGCTCTCCAAGAAGAATTGTCGAGTCTGTCATCGGAGCTTGCTCACGCACGTTTGCACATTGGGACCCTGGAAGGAGAGAAAGTTTGTCTGCATGCCGAGATCACAGAGCTCCAGGCGGAAATCCAGCGGTCATTGTCTTTACGACGTCACCTCGAAGGGCAATTGCTCGATCGGCAAGTTGAACCTTTTTATCTGACGCGACCACCCTGACCAGTCATCCAGGGAGAAAGTTGCGAGTGCACTCAAGACCGAACTTGAGGACGCGAAGAGTCGGCAGATCAAAGCCGAGCAGGCTGAGCAGACAGCAGAAGTCAATCTCAGCCTGCAAAGTGCACAACATCGTCGGGAGATGAGCGAGATTCAGCGTAATTTAGCGATTCTTCAAGCTCAGCCGGACACAACACCTGTCATCGCAGAATTGGAAGAACGCAATACGGAGATGGAAGAGCTTTTGAGACAGAAATGCTCAGAGATTGAAGAGTACGACGACCGGGCCATCGAGTGCGTGCTTTCTTTTGCCCTATAGACATTGGCTGATACAGAAACAGGTTGTTGAAGAGCAACAAAAAACTCGCCACCAAGGTCGAAACGCTGAATCGCAAGGTCCAGAATCTCCAGGCCAAGCTGGCTGCCGCGAAAGTAACAGCACCAACGCCAGTCATCTCTTCCGAAATCAGGATGGAGGAGCCAGTCCCCATTCCTGTTCCGACTTCCTTCCCCGAGATATCTGCACCAAGACAGCGGTCGACTACGCTTTCTGCTGCTCCGATTCCTCCTGTATTCGTTCAACCCAGTCCAGGCCCATCCGCATCCAAACGTATTGCCTCGGGTTCTGCTCTTCCAAGGCCAAAGACGCCAGAACGTCGAGCCACGCCACTTGTTTTCAAAGCTCAAACACCGGAAAGACGGGCAGTATTGGCTGAACCGCCTTCCCCTGCAGCACCTGTTCTGGGACAGAAGCGTCGCGCTCCAGACGATTTCGAAGATGTCCGGGTTCCGACACAAGGCTTCACAGCAGACAGTCTTCCAGATGAGAACAGCACACCTCGTGTCCGTCGGATGCTGAACAGCATACATTCTGGGTTCACGCCTGTCCGCAACAGTGCGAGTCGCGCAGTAGCAGCGATTCCATCACCGAACAAACGCGCGATGCCGGCATCGCGATCGGTGTCTATAGCGGACGTCACAAATAGCCCGAGGCTCGGGGACAGGTCGAAGCGAACATGGTTAGGGAAGATTCGGGGCTCTTCGCAGCCCAGGGCAGCCTCCTCACGGACCCCAGATTCATGACGACTTAGTGTTTTTATTTACGCCATCATATGTGTACTTTATTATTATCCATCTTGAGTCTTAACCACATCAACCAACCATTTCAATCCTTGCGCGTGGATCGCGCTATGTTCAAATTCGATCGATCCGTATACCTCGACCTATCGCTCGACTTACGCGAGAAAGCGGATTGGAATGTCGCGAGTTTGAGGGTGTTCAAGTACCCGCTGGACGTGTCAGCTATTGCAGTGGATCCTGTGACGAGCTTGTTGGCCATCGGTATGGTGCACCTAGTGCCCCGGCGCTCGCGCATGTCGGGCTGACCGATCGGCTAGGGACGGGCTCTGGGTTTGTGCATATCTTCGGGGGGCCGTCGGTCGAGATACAGCTGGTGCTGCCCGAACCGGCGAAAGTGCGGTTTCTGAGCTTTGCGAATGCCACTTTCCAGCTGGTCTGTCTGGGTAAGTCCTTGTTCACTGTTGTCTAGCTCTGAAGTCACTGACTGGGGATTGAGTGAAGATGAGCGCAGTCAATTATATGTCTGGGAGCTGTCCGCTTTCGGGAAGCCCAAGCTCGTGGCAGCGACGCGATTCGACAACGCTACGTACGCTGAGCCTCACCACCAGTCATTTTAATATTCTGACGCGGAGCGAATTCAGTTCCTTGGTCGTTTCACCTTCGCATTCCCATGTGTGCAGTGGCCCTCTCACAAGCACCCCATGTTGATTGATGACCTCCAGGCCTTCATCGCTCTGGAGTCGGGTGAAATCAGGACGTATGACTTGTTGTGCCTTTGCAAATCGCCGTACAAGATGCCGAATATGTGGGCGCTGTACGAGGCAAAGACGATGGCAGATCAATCAGAGGCATTGCCAGGCTCGTGAGTCGCGATGTTTCCAGATGTCGGCGGTGTGGTAACCTTGCACAGCGAGATCCCCGTGGAGGTTGTTGTGCATCCTCGAGATCTCAATCTGCTGTTTGTCGCGTACTCTGGTAGGCCCTTCAGTGTTTCATCATTGACTGCAACTTACTCAAGCTGGACGCAGGCGGTGTCATTCTATCCGACTTGGTGAGACGAACAGTGTTCGTCCGAACTCTCAGCCTCAATCAGAATTGAGACTCAACGTAATACACTGCGCGCTTTCGAATTGGTTCTACCAGCTGGCGCTCCGGGGGGCGCCGGTTACGGTCACCCAGTATGTCGCTGTGTGGCTTTCGCGCTACTTTCTCTTATTTATCTTATGCTTCAGGATATCATGACCCATCGCCGCCCGCCTGTGACAGCTATAGCCATCCATCCTGCAGGCCACTTCTTCGCTGTGGGCTACGCGGATGGATGTATCGCATTTTGGGCTGTTGAAGATGAAGATCAGCCGCTCGCCGTTCGAACGATCGACGCGACTGATGTTAATGTTGTCGATATCGAGAAGCTAGAATCAAGTCACGAATTACAGGCAGAGAGAGAGCCAATTTTCAAGCTTGCCTGGTCGTCATATGCAAATTCAACCGACCCTCGCGGTGGGACGACGACTCTGACGGTTCTCGGAGGCATGTCCTTGGTTCCGGGAGATCCAACCGGATTCACGGTGCTCCAGCTTCCGGCTTTCAATCCAGGCGAGCCACCGACTCCGGCGCCGAACAACGTAGCACTGCATCCTTTCATGCGATCTGCGATGCAAATGGCTTTGACTCCACTGTCAGACTACTTTTACTACACGTCTGGAGTTGCGCAGGACTTCTTCCTTGTGCCGAAGAGCAGTCCCCATTTTGCTGGACATCACGATCCTCAGGCGATTCTCGTTCCTGTTGAGTCGATTGGTGGAGCCCGTGTCGTCCAGGCATATCAGTTCCCGCCTCAGTCGTTTTTAGAGGCTGTTGCAGCCGGGGCAGATGCACCAGCTGCCTCCGTTGAGGATGAACTTGCGGACACACTCAAAGCTATGACACTGACGGAAGATCCCAAGCACTTGCGGCTGCCTGTTCCATTGCACTTCGGTGGGGCAGGTGTATTCGCAGCTTCTCTGTTCAACCTGGACAAGGACAACTACAGCACTTTTGTAAACGAAGAGGATTCTTCTGAAATGGCATTACCGCTAAGCGGAGGAGTTGCTCTGAACGACGAAGACCATGCTCGTGAAATGCGTCTTGCCAAAGTTAGTCCCCCTGAATTCCCGAGTGTCCTTTCGGTTGCTGACATGTTTTTAGTTCCAGGCCCATCGAATTCTCATGACGCAGCATCGGGACCTGTCGGTTGCAGTGCAGTTCCATGACTTGAGTGCCCAGTTGCTCGTGACAGGAGATGCGCCTCTCGACACCCACTTTCCCAAGCCATTGCCCGGACTCACCATTGACCTCAGCATATTGCTCACTGATCCTGCCGTCGTCAACAAATCATCTCCCGATTTGATCGATCGCGCTCTCGTTCAGACGGCTCGCCTTTCGCGGCAGTCGCTTGAATGTGCTGTGCTGCTGGCTTCGGGGGAGTTGTTTATATATCGATTCAAGTCTGCTTCACGGGAGCCCCGGGAACATTTTGAGAGCTCAGACGAGGAGATAGTACCCCTCGCCCACGTCTTTACAGCAGAAAACGCCAGGTTCAGTCCTTACTTCGTGCTCTCCGCTGGGAAGCCCGTTACGGCATTTGCTATGTCTGATATCGGTGAGTCAATCGCAGGTTCCTGCTACTTTCCTCATGTCCATCTTGCAGGCTTCCTGGCTGTTGCACACGGAGAATCATTGCTGGTGGTAGACATGCGCGGCCCTCGAGTCATCTTCCGGAAGGCACGGGACAAAAAGAAGGATCGGCTCTCCATGCAGCTGCATTCTGCTGATGTCGGTGTCATTTCTGGTCTGACCTGGACTGTGGCAACGACCGAGGATGGTGGGTGCATTTCAGCCTTCCTGCGTTCAGCAGTCGACGTTTCACTCCCAGATCATCATCTGCGCATCCGGCTAATTGTTGGGCACTCGTCGGGCTCTGCTGAGGTGTTGATGATTGGGAGAGATGCCACTGGGTGGAAGGTAGAGGCTGATGGCACAAAAGGAGAGATGGCGTCCAATCCCCTCGCGATGGGCACATTTGTAATCGATATCAAGCATGGGAAACCTATACATGCTACCAAAGAGCAACTTGGTCGGGCATCCCAAGATTCGGGACCTACAGAAACGGACACGATATTCGTCACCGCTGGGGCCAAGGGGGCGAAGTCGTTCAAGAATGTGAACGGGCCGCGGATCGGAAAGACGGATTGGGGAAACAAAACGGGGAATGTAATCAGCGTCCAGATTGTTGAGAAAATGAGTGCGTCCTTGCTTGTTTCCACCTCAGTTGGTCTGGTTGACGATGCACATCTAGGCTCTCGTGGACTGGTCGCTTTCACAGACAAGCAGGAAGTATTGACTTATTCTCTTCCAACGCTGGAACACTTGTACACATTAAAGCTCCCTCTCGACGACAACGCGTGAGTGGCTTGCGCTCCATTGAATTCGGAGTTCTCATGTCAGCCTCCAGAATCGTCAGTTGCGACGAGTCGGGTGACTGGATAGCATACTATGCCAATGGTACGGGGTGTATTCTGGAGAAAATCATCTACGGGACGGTCTTCGACTTCAGACGCGCATTTTTCCCTCCCGACATCAATCTCGCTCCCTCGAGACGCTCGGCTCCTGCCCAGCCACAGCCTGTCTCGCTCGGACCGACATCGGTCCTGAGCTCCTGGTTCCGCTTCGGGCAATCCATGACTGGTGACCAGCTCGATGCACTTAGTGAGTGATTGAATGTTTCATCTTAGGTATACTGTCCGACGCATATCCAGTGGCTGGGCCTGACCGGCCGATTCCCGAACCACCGAAAGGACCTGAAGGTCAAAGCCTGGCTTCGTATGCTTCAGCCCTGCCCTCAGCAAGCTCTGTCGCACAATCAGTCAGCGGTGTGCAAAATAATCTCTACTCAAGACTGCAGTCTGCCATGGGCGAGCGATCGTAAGCTCACATTCGTTGCAGTGGCGCAAAGACTGACCGATCTTAGTCAAATGCTAGGCGATCTGGAGGATCGATTCAACTCCCTGCATGAAGGTAGTCAGAGCATGGTATCTCAGGCTAAGCGCTTGGCTGCCGAACAAAGTGCAAAGAGATGGTTTGGTCTTTAGTATCAGTTGGTAGTTAGCAGCCATAATGACATCACCGATTCTTCAATGCACGTGGTCGCGATGAGTTACGTCAGCGCATTTCGTCCGCAGACGCAACGCACACGTCTCTCTCGCCATCATGACCACCTACGAGCCGCTGCACAGGCAATGCCGTACCCTCGAGAACATGTTTATACCAAACTCACCTCCTACTCGCAACTCGTGTCCAACATCTCACAGCAAGACGACCTCGAGGCATCAGGGTCCCCAGAGCGATGGAAGGACATGGAGCTGGAGCTGGATGATCTGTTGGAAAAGGCAACGCGCATTCACTGGAATAGGCCCAATGGTGCTGATACATACTCAAGCTAGAAGAGACCAATGAGGAGCTCTCTGCCCTCACCAGCGAACCGGACAAGATCTCGCCCTCCATGCTGAGAACAATTCAACACCACGGGCAGATATTCCAGGACAATGCGCGTGAGCTGAAGCGCACAAAGGTATGTGAATTATCTATCTGTGGGCGGGGGTGTAATCTCCTTCCGTCCAGACGAGTGTGAAGAACGCGCTCGACCACGCAACTTTATTGAGCGGTGTACGCAACGATATCGAGTGCGCCTTGTTTCTAATTGCTTGACCTACGGACACGTTACTCAGTCGTTGCAGTGCATACAAGTCATCAGCAGCTGATTCGCTATTAGCGGAGCGGGGTCGCATTGATAGCTCGCATGCGATGACGGATGCCATGCTAGAGTGCGTTGCCACCAGCCAGACGTTGATTTCGGTGTTCTCATTGTGCTATCTAGTCAAGCGTATGAGACGCGGGCGGAGTTTGGTCGGCAACGAGCATCTTTGTCCGGAATCGGAGCGCGGATGCAGGGTGTACTGAGTACGTTCCTTTCGGCTTTAGCGTGCCTGTCTGATCTTCGTTCGTGTACCAGACACTATGCCCGGTATCAACAATCTCGTTGGGATGATAAAGTCAAGGCGTCGAAGGGACTCTATCATCATGGGAGTTGTTATTGCAGTGTGCATCATTATCATTATATCCTATCTCTGGAACTAGTTAATCTACATACCCCGTTCGCCTTTGAAAACGTTCCAATTAGCCTCCAGTCGGCGCACGACACCCCAGTGTGACTCCTCAACTTCATCCAACCACTCTGTCTCCTTGGTCCACCCTTTGGTCTCCGCGACCAAGTCAAGTATCTCGACGCAGCGCGCCAAGTTTCCATCGATCACGGGATAGTCGGACTCGATTAGAAGTCGGCGGGGATCGCAGGCGGCGATGAGAGCTTTCAAGTTCTTAGAGCGGCCATTGATGGTCGTGGAGACAGACATGAAGACGTTCGGGTGCTTTTTCTGCAGTTTGGCAGGTCAGCGCTGCAGCAGGTAGGGTACTCTTCGCTGCGAGCACCTGCAGTATCGAGATGACCTGTGGATCGACCGAGCAACTGTGAATGTCAATTCTGCTCCAGGATGAGAATCAGCTACTAGTGCAAATAGGACCTGAATCTAATTGACCGGATGTTCGACCAATTTCGCCCGTGCTTGAGCTTTAGATTATCGAGGAGTGTGACAGTGGGTTGAGGGCATTTGACACTATGCAAGCTGACGCTGCGCCCGAGTTCTACCGCCAGGTCAATCTGTGCCTCGAGAATCGCAAGCTGATCTGGCAAGGAATAGTCAGGCAGGAGCTAATAGATGAAAGTCGGACAGACGGTCAAGAGGGATCGTGAATGGGGAAAGACGTCGCGGAGATGCATAGTAATCATAAGCCACGCGATATATTCTGTCCAAGCCGACTTCGCCGAGAAGTGCCGCAGTCGATTCAAATCGCATGAAATTAGATCTCAGCCCTGATAGAACATCTTCCAGGGGAAGAGGCTCTGGCAAGAGAGGGAGCAACTCTTCAAAGGCGGCTAAGCTATCTGCCGCCGGCTGATCTTCTCTGAGGAACAGAGACCGATAGTGCTCCCTTTTTGGGGCAGCCCGCAACGAGATGTGATGACAGAACCATGGATGATGGCCTTGTCTAATTTCAGAGAAGGCACATAGCTGAGAACCTGAACAGCATACCAAAACACGGAATCACTTTCTCGGGGTACTTGAGCGCAAGATTGCAGACACGGCTATTTTCGGTCTGGATGAGAAGTGCGCGCCTGACGGTAGTCGCCTAGCCAGTAGGACACACGCACCTTTGATCATCTCTGTGAGTGCTCATCGCGCAGACACGGATGCCAAGACGGTCCATTGATTCCGGCGGCACGTAGGATTCGGTGGGATGGCAATGTACATCTACCACATGCCTGAGAACATCTGCCGGATACATGGTCATCGGAATGTTGTGTTGTCTGTTGCACAGGCGGCAAGTTCGGGGTTGTTGCGTAGTAGGGCCCACAGCGAAGCCACGGGGTCTGATTAGCGCCGTCGAGAATCCTTCGCTAGACGAGAATAATCCGGCAGGAGTTGGCGCCCGCAGTTAGATGGGAATCCGCTCAATGTGAAGACGAGAGTTGTATTGGAGAAGCCGATCATGCTGGTCACCCGAAATGGAATGTCATCAGTGATGAGGAAGAACCATGCTCTTTTGGCTACCCACGACCATCAAGCATTCGGGACCATTCCTCACGCGACGAATGACTTTGGACGCGTCTCCTCCGATTCTAACTGGGCTCACCTCTCCATTGGACAAGTCTCTCTTCCGCAAATCGATACCGCTCCTCGGAGTTCGATTTCCTGCTTTGAAAATTGGTACGGCGCGCAAAGATGAAGCTTTGAAACGGTGCCATTTGTCCAAAGCCCAGACATGAGAGAAGCTTAGAGCGTGGCTTCACAGATTCATCCTCGATGTCCCGAGACTACGATCTATCGTAACAGATCCTTCAAATCCGACTGGGGACAAGCTGGTCCTGCTGAAAGCGTCTTCGGAAGGTGGATCATATTCCAAATCCCGCAAATATCCGTGACATATTGCCAAGGAAGCCGAACTGCCTGCTCGAACCGTGGAATTCTTGAAGGCCGAATCCGACGGAACGGTTCCGTATACTTTGGAATTGGAATATGATCATTGGACCGCAGGTGCGTGATTATTTCTCGCTCTCGGAAACAGCCGCTTGACCCGATACAGACCAGTTGATACAGGCTATCGTTCCCGATGAGCTTCGCGAGCGATCCCCGGCTGGGTTCGCGATGACGGGGCATATTGGTGAGTTGCTGTCACCGTCCGGGAGAGTCAAGTTCTCATCTCTACTTCCTCCAAGCGCATCTGAACTTGAAGGAAGAGTACTTGCCTTACAAGTATCTCATTGGACAGATCATTCTTGACGTAAGGGAAATCAGCCTATCACATCGTTAGTTAGCTGACTTCCTCAGAAAAATGTCGCTGTCCGCACTGTCGTCAATAAGCTGGATCAAATCGATACGCAGTTCCGCTTCTTCAAGATGGAGCTCTTGGCTGGTGAGCCGGAATATGTGGTTCAGCACGTGCGTCCCATCCGAGTCGAGCTTCCACCTATTTAACGATGGACTAGCAAGAAGCGGATTGTCGTTTCACCTTCGATTTCACTCAAGTGTATTGGAACTCCCGACTTCACACCGAACACGAAAGGCTTGTTTCGCTGTTTAGTCCCGAAGATGTCGTCGCGGACGGATTTGCTGGTGTGGGACCATTCGCCATTCCAGCAGCCAAGAAGGGCTGCGCAGTCTTAGCCAACGATCTCAATCCACAAAGCGCCAAGTATCTGCAAGTCAATGTGGATGACAACAACGTGCGGTCTGCGTTTATCTCTCAACTTCAAGCTCTCACATCCACGTCAGGTTGCTGACGTGGTCCGTGTGACCTGCGAAGACGGCCGTGCGTTCATCCAGCAAGCTGTCAATCGACTTGCGTCCGACCCCCTGCCGCCATATTCTGGGCCAAAGAAGAGCAAGACTCAACAAAACCACGACCGCAGGAAACAGCGCGGTAATGCGCCCGTTGCGACTGCAACTGCGACACATCCCCCACGGGACAGGATCTCTCACTTTGTGATGAACCTGCCCGACTCCGCTATCACTTTCCTGGATGCCTTCCGAGGAATCTTGTCGAAATTAAGCAAGGAAGATGCCGCACGAATTTACCCGACCATGCCTATGGTGCACTGCCACTGCTTTACCCGGGAGATAGAGCACGATAAGGCGGAGAAAGACATCGTTTCGGTGAAAGCAGTTCTGTTCTTCCAGAGTTGAAACTAATCACCTATCAGCGTGCTGAGGAAATGTTGGCACATCCTCTGGAGGACTATTCTCTTCATCTCGTGCGTTCTGTTGCTCCTAGCAAGAACATGTACTGCATTAGTTTTAGCCTTCCTCGTGCAGTTGCGTTCAATACATAGCGTTGTGTGTTTGCCTCGCCAAGACCCGAGCTGTCTGGAGCGGAACGTGCCATGGGGTCGCCTTTTGTTCCGAATTACGTAAGCGAGCTTGAACCCGGCTTAACTTCGTCAGAACCGTCCAGGCCAGCACATCCTCTCCTTCTGTCCTTGACTGCCATTCTAGACTTCATAGAGGGTCCCGATTCTTTTGAATAGGCCGACGTCCAACCTATTAGACGCAAATCATGTCCTCGATTGGGCGCCTCTTCTTCCCCACTATTCACTGTGACTCGGAGAAGGGCACGTTGGCCTCCGCCATTCGCTCCGCGGTTGCTGTGCCGGACTCCGAGCTGAAGAAATGGCGGCGCATCTTCGACACGAACGCTAAGGTTGTGAATGGAGAAAAGTGCGTTCGGCCTAAACGTCCGAAAACCTCGTACTGACCCATACATTGGAGGTATCTCGACCCAGAGACATTCGTTAATGCTATCGCACCGTCGGGAGACCTCACCAAGTTTGGGCGTGCTCAATTTGGCATTCTTTTCCGCGTCGCCGACACGTCTCGACGCGGCCTGGTGTCCTGGCAGGATTTTGTGGTTTTCGAGACACTGTTGAAGCGGCCCGATGCCGATTATTGGATGGCGTTCCAGTACTTCGACGCGTGCGACCATGGTCTTGTTCTCAGAGCTTTCCGATTGTAACGCCTCCTCTCAGGGACAAGTCTGGCAACATCGACTACGACGAGTTCAAAACAGTGTTCAGTAGCAACATCGGACCGGATGCCATACCCTTTGACTTCGATTGGTACGCCTTTCCCGACTGCCTGAGACATGCGGACTTACGGCTATCTCCCCAGTGATTGGGTCAAATTATACCTGGGAAAGAAGAACGGGTCTCATGTGCTCGGCTGTAAGCGGTTCTTAGGCATGAGCTGTCGACACGGCTGACGGACAATCCTTGATCACAAGACAATGAATTTACCCAGCTTATGAAGGGTTTGCAGGGCGAACGCCTTCGTCAAGCTTTTAGATACCTAGACAAGGACCAAGACGGCTTCATCTTACCGGAGCAGTTCAAGCGAATCATCCTAGTGAGCTCCAGCTACGTGACTTGTGTCCATCACTGACAAGCCGCAAGGAAATCGCTGGGCACAAACTATCTGATGCGGTCATAGACAGGCTTCCGACTCTTTGCACATTGAGTCCTGGACAGGGTATTTCCTACTCCGAAGTGGTCGCGTTCCACAATGTAATCCGAGGCAAGTTTCATATCTCTCTCGACGATCGGTGGTTTCTTACAGGAGCGTTTAGACATGGATATGGTCGAGAGGTAGGAAGGATGAAGTGTTCGCAACTGTTGATTGAAAGGGTCCCAGAATCATTCGTGAGGCCACCGACAAGGCAAAAGACGGACGCATCGACCAATCGGACTTCATCAACCATGCTGCTTCCAGCTCTCGGTACTCGCTTTTCACGCCCATGGAGGCCTCGATCATCTTCCACTTTGCTGGTCGAGGCATCGGTACCCAGCGTCTTGCTCTGGTCGATTTTGCACAGTTGCTTGACCCGCGTTGGAGGGCTCCTCATGAGGAAGCAGAAGTCAGTGTGAAACCCGCTTCGGTTTTGCATCAAGTGTTCCATTCCGCGTACAACTTTGGTTTGGGGGGTGCGTCTTCGGCTTTGATTTGCTTCCGAATCTAACCTTTCTCAGGTATTGCGGGTGGTATCGGTGCTACCATCGTCTATCCTATAGATATGGGTAAGCTGTTCTCGTCAGTGTTGTTTCCATCTCTGACTCGTCTTCAGTCAAGGTGGGCGTTCTCCCGGTATCACACACCTCACATGCTAGACACACAGCATGCTTTAGACGCGGTGGGTTACTCGCGATCAGTCATGATGGTTGTTGACACATCTGCCCAACAGAATGCAGAATCAGCGAAGCACGGTTGTGGGTCAAATGCTGTACAAGAACAGCCTGGACTGCGCCAAGAAGATCCTCCGGAACGAAGGGTTTCTTGGATTCTATCGTGGCTTGGGGCCGCAGCTCGTTGTAGGTCCAGAGCCGGCTTAAAGATGTGCATTCGATTACTCCGTTTCTAGGGAGTCGCGCCTGAAAAGGCCATCAAGTTGACGGTGAATGATCTCATCCGTGGCAGGGCGACGGATCCGGAAACTGGCCGAATCAAGCTTGGCTGGGAATTGGTGGCAGGCGGCACTGCCGGAGGGTGTCAAGTTGTACGTCAAGTTTCGCACCTTGCGCTGATAGGCATTGACAAGTCGGGGTGCAGGTGTTCACCAATCCATTGGAGATTGTGTTCGTGTCTGCCGTGTCATGCATGCAGTGTCTGACATCTACACAAGGAAAATCCGGCTCCAAGTGCAAGGCGAGGCGGCCAAGGCTGAAGGGTTTGCGCCCAAAGGCGCCATCCACATCATCCGACAATTGGGTGTGCTTGGGCTATACCGAGGAGCCAGTGCATGCCTTCTGCGGGACATTCCGTTTTCTGCCATCTACTTTCCGACTTACGGCCATCTGAAGTCGGATTTGTTCCACGAAGGATACAATGGCAAACAGCTGTCGTTTTTGGAATTTTTGGCGTCTGCAGGAATAGCGTGAGGCCGTGCTTCGATCCCATTGCCGATCACGCTGATTTTGTTCTCCCTAGTGGAATGCCTGCTGCTTACTTGACAACGCCCGCAGGTTGACTTTCTTATGCACCGGGTGTGATTGGGATTGACACCGACCCTGTTGCAGATGTAGTCAAGACACGTCTGCAAGTTGAAGCTCGCAAGGGGGAGACCCATTACAAGGGACTGACCGATGCTTTCGTCAAGATCTGTAGGCAATCTGTCCAGGGCCGGCGCTGTTTCGTAACTGATTGAGGAACAGATCGAGAGGAGGGCTTCCGCGCTCTGTTCAAAGGAGGTCCCGCTCGAATCATCCGAAGCAGTCCTCAGTTTGCATTCACCCTGATGTCGTATGAGATGTTCAAGAAAATGGTGAGTGCTCTTTTAGTTTATCGCTGCTTGGAGCGCGGGCCAACTCTTTCACAGCTGCCTGTAAGTGCTGTTGATACTTTGGACGGATCATTTAATGATGTGACACGTCCAGTACCCCTTCGATAATTCCCCACGCCAAGCCCAACCAGCTCTCAGACTGAGGGCTGAGGAAATGAGCCAGGTTCGCGCCCGGAATGCCCTCAAAATTCTGTTGGATATGCACGGGGACTTTGGAGGCCGAAAAGGCTCACGAGCATAGATTTCAAATGCGATACTTGTCCAGTCCACGTTTCTATCATCGAGGCAGTGCCAGCCAATGAGAGTGAGCATCCCAGCAAGCAAAGATTCCGCTGGAACCAATAGCAGCACATCCGAAATCCTGGGTTCAATCAATAGATTGGTTGATGCACATGCGCTTGTTGTGGTGACAACAAGCTGAAACCCGGTCCAAAACAAGTGTCAATACCCAGTGTCACGGCTTCTGTGATCCCTTAAGACTTTGCTGCCTCTTCCATTTGCCATCATCGCCCTCCCTCCCTTCGCGGATTTCTCTTTCGTTCTCCGTCCTCCCCTTTTTCTCTAGTCTTTCTTTACTTTACAGTAAGCTCCCTTATCCGTTGCTTGAGCTATCTGTCTCTTATCGCGCGTTCTTCAGGCGCTTGTCGCTTTTGAGGGCACCTGTCTTAATCTACTGCCAGACAGTCACCGCCAGCGTAGACCGCTCATAGCCCTTCGACTTCTTCAAAACTCTTCTCCAGCACCTCGCAGCACACATTCTTTACAATGAAGTCAATGATCTTTGGTCTTTCCCTGGCTAGTGCAGCCGTTGCCCAGATCGCCAATGGTGTGTCCATGGTGTCGTATGCTTCACCCGCAGCAACCGGTGCGCAAGACAACTCCAACTACGGCGCGTATGGCGCATACGGTGGATCCCCGGCACCGTCCGCCGCGCCGTCCGATACCAGCGGCGGTTACGGTTACGGTTCCCCTGCCCCACCCAAGCCCCCGCCGCGTCTTCCTCGTCGGACATCTACCAAATGATGCCGTATTCGTCTTACATGTCCGGCGGATACAAGAGCCTGAGCTGTGGTTACGGCTACTCCAAGAGCTCCGATGGATCTTGCCAGGCTCAGTCCTGGGTACGTAGCGATTTTCGAGGATCCTGTCCCATTGCTAACCCTGATTTGTAGTACTCCGCGCAGAACATGGGTTGCTACGAGACAATCATTATCAACCACGGAAGCAGCGGAGGCTGTGGCAGCAGTGGGTGCGGCGGCGGCAGCAGTGGCGGATACTCTGGCGGTTCATACGGTGGAGGAGGCGGAGGATGTCCTCCTGCTGGCACGATGACGATGACTGTCACTGAGACCATGTCCGCATCTACCGTCACTCAGGTACTTCCGTGCGCGTTTCGTTGCTTGCCAGCTTTCTAAAATATTCTGCAGACCGTCATGTCCACGATGACTGTGCCCACGACCATCACCATGTTCGAGACTCAGACTGCGACCCAGACGAACACCCAAGTTGTCACCCAGACTAACGTCTACACTTCGATCGAGATGGTCCCGAGTATGTCTCCATCTTGCTTCTCGCATCCCGGGTCACTAAAATCGATGCAGCCACTCGCGTCTGGGTTTCCACGCAGACCATCGACAACACCAAGACTGTTGACATGACCTTGACCACCACGGAGATGAAGACTGCCACCCGCGTCTACACTCAGACCGCCACCCAGACCGACACTGCCACTAAGGTCGTCGACCACACCGTCACTGACCTGATGACTGTCACCCAAGTGTCGACCATGCTTGTGCCGACGACTTACACCACTGTTGACGTTTCGACCAAGGTTATCGACAACGTGCGTTTCATCGCCTGAAACAGAAGCGGGAATGATACTGATATGTGATAAAGACCCAGACCGTGATGGAGACGCAGACTAAAGTTGTCACCGACTCGTTCACTTCGATCATGACTGATGTGCGCAGGAGTTTCATGGACCATCAGAGCTGTTGACTTACTCGCTTTAGATCATGACCGCTACCGTCACTGATTTCAAGACCATGACTGACACTGTCACCCAAGTGCAGCCCACGACTTGGGTCCAAACCGTCGTCAGCACTTCGGTCATCGACAACACCAAGACCGTGGAGAACACCATCGTCTCGACTGTCACCTCGAGCGTTACCAATGTGCAAACGACGTGCGTAGTGGATATGTTTTAACCAGTTGGATTCTGACATTGCGATAGCACATACCTGTCGCTCCAGACCCAGACGGCCACCGTTACCACGACTGATGTTCGCAACGTCCAGGAAACCGGTCTCTCCAACTGCCTGGGCAACGTGCGTCCCTGTTCGTTTCCACTCCAACTCCAGTGTATTGAGCAGTTTCTAGTGCAAGTCCATGTACGGTCTCAACGGTGGAAACAGCAACATGTCCAACACTTATGCCTCCCCGACGGCGGCTACCACTGCTGTTCAAGCCACTGCTACTAGCGGTGGCTGCAGTGGATCCAGCTGTGGAGGATCCAGCTCCTCGATGTCGGGTTGCAGCGGCTCGAGCTGCGGCGGATCCAGCTCCTCCTCTTCCGGCTGCAGCGGCTCTAGCTGTGGCGGATCTAGCTCCTCTTCTTCGTCGGGCTGCAGCGGGTCGAGCTGCGGCGGGTCGAGCTCTGGCTCCTCTTCCTCTTCGGGCTACTCGAGCTCGAGCTACGGAAGCTCTGGGTCGAGCTCGAGCTACGGAAGCTCCGGTTCGAGCTCTGGCTACGGGAAGTAAAGGGTCCGGGCTGAAGGCATAATGTTCATGTTGTCACGAAGGTACCTTGTCACGTCTTTTCCCAACCCTGCACTGTTGCAATACGGACAACCATTATCATGGACATCACTATTTCGTTGAATTTTGCTGCTTTATATATATATATTGGTGCTTAATGTGTTTTGAAGTACTAGCTAGAAGGGAGCAGGTGGATCCTTGCTCCAGGCCTCTGATTCCGCCCGTCCCTCGTTGTAGAAACAGAGCTTTTGTCAACATTGTCGCCGAGAGATTGATATGACTCAAAGAGTTATTGGTCGTATCACGAACTGTGCTGTAAGCATATGCTCAGACTCCATAGTCTGTATCACCATACGTGCGTCTGTGTGTATAGTCATCGCTCTTCGCTGTCGTGCGCGGTTGAAATGCTCGGTCAGCGCGGTCACGAATCCAGGTGATCTATTCCTCTCTTACAAAAGCAAGTGATGTGGCCCTTGCTTCTTAAGGCCGGACGATCTGTTCCTTGCTCACTAACTGACTGACCACCCATGCCTCTGACCATCGTACCCGCCAACACAGCGCCAGCCGCGCTGCTCGATCGACCTGAAGGATACCTCGTATTCTACTCTGATGTAGAGGACGGCCGGATGTGGTGTGGGGCAAGCACCTGTTTCCCTGGTCATCTCGGCGATCTGATGCTGATGCGTCCGTCCATGCAGGATTGCCGCGCGGTGGATGACGTTGTTCAGAAGACGTTCAGCGCACCGGATGGCCCGTCCGCGGCGATCGTGTATGTGGGGAGCAAGGCCGAGTACATACATCTTTCTGTCTACTTTGCATCATGACTGCTGACACCATGCCCCCCGAACTAGGTGGAGGGCGCCAAGTAATGTGTTCCGCGGAGAGCCGTTCAAGTTGACCGTCGTCCCCACGATCGTCAAGATCGATCGGCAAGAGGTGTGTACTGGATCGTCGCGTCACGTCTGTGAACTTGAACTTGAGCTGATCCTTTGCGTCTCGTAGAAGAAAGAGATCGGCCGGTTGGTAGACCAGGACGAGGTCATTCCTAGGCTCGAGTCGTTTGTTCGATAGAAGTTTTAATCGACGATCTTGCCGCCAGTCTGTTCTGGTTCCATCTCGCGACCCAAGCTCAGACCCCCAGCTTTGCTGTGTTCCATCTATTGCGGACGCCCTAGCTGCAGCATTAGGCGTCACTGACTGATTGAATGTTTGCAGCGCTCGTTGCGACGCGTCCATGCTATGCAGTACCAATTCGTCGGGCCCGCCGACCCCGCCCCGGGTGTCCGATTTCTGGCCACGGTCTGGTCTGTTTCCCGAAATCGAAGGCACACGGTTGTTTCATGCCTGCACTTGTCTCTTGGCACGACCAGCCCGGTCTTTCTGTGGACCTCGTATAATGCACAGGGACATCCTGATTGGCTCGATGCGCGTATGCGACAGGTTATAGAACTGCCCCTGTCCTCCATGGATTCATCGCAGCATGTTTTCTCGGTGTTTGGTGCGGAGTGTCTGCCGAAATCGTTCAGCAGCGAGTGGAGTGATCTGACCTGGTTCCGGGTCGGTGGTACACTGCGGACCTCGCGAGCTGTTGGCCGGACACGCTGACTGTGTCGTCTTCATCGGACTCAATAAGACACGCGCCGATACGGAAAGTGTCTATGAATGACCTAGAGCCGCATACTTCGGTTCGTCGCGTTCCCGGTCGTAGGCGGCGATCTCTCTGAGCAAATTTACGTGTAGGTATATACCACTCCGATTGAATTGGCTGCTGCAGAAGCCCGGACGTTGATCCTCATGGGCCAGCTGTGGGTCTGCGAGGCAATGTTCCAACAAATCGCTACAATGTGTACTGTGACCCGTTCCTCGCTGCATCCCTCTGCCATCAACAAGGTGTCCTCATCAACTAGACGGCACAACAGAGGCTTCGCAGAAAGTCTGGTTCACATTGTTTCTCCTCTCGTTTTTGTTTTGCCTCACTGACTACAGCCTATCAGGCTGTTCGCATGACGAAAGCGGGGGATAGTGATGTATGTCGGAGTGGGGACGAGCGTTTGACGCATGTACGAGCGAATCGGCTTTCGAATGGACGATTCTCAGACGTCTGTAGAATTGGGCTTCCTGGAAACATGAGATCGGGTACTTGTAATCTGTTGTGATTTATGTTATGTATTCCTCATAAAGTCAATATTATGTATTCCTGGTGAAGTCATGGGCACCCCCCGACTTTTCGGTGACGACGATGTCTCCAATCCTCATATCCTTGCCGGCCACAGCCTTGAGCATGTCCCAGACAGTCAGCAGGCCGACGGACACGGCAGTCAGCGCTTCCATCTCAACACCCGTCTTTCCCTCGCACGATACTGTCGCCGAGCAGCGGATGCTGTAGCGAGCGGCGCCAGAATCAGGGCATGTCTCGATCTCCGGTTCGAGCGTGGCGGATTTTGGTCAAAGCCAGCGGGTGACAGAGCGGAATCAGGTCGGATGTTCGTTTGGCACCCATGATCGCGGCCAATTGGGCGACAGTCAAGGCATCGCCTTTCCGACGCGCCTTGATCAGCCCGCTGTCCTGTCCGTCTGCGGGGTATGTCGATGTCACGAGTTCGTACGCAATCTGCGGGATGTAGATTCGACCCGAGGCACAGGCGGTTCGGCGCGTGGGCTGTTTGTTCCCGACATCGACCATATTCGCACGGCCGCTATCGTCCAGGTGCGACAGTCGTGCACTCGAAGAGCTGAATCGCAGAGACGGGCGGCGGTGCGTTCTGCGAGCGCGGGCTGCATCGAATTCAGCCTCAGAACTAGTCTGTTGCGATGTGCATTACAACTCAACCGCCGATGAGAATCATAGGTCTATTTTTGATCACGTCGATATCTTGCATCCCGGCGTGCTTCTCCTGTTTGCCGCGCACAGCTGCTCCGATGGTCTGCAGCAGCTCCGAGTCACTGGCTCCGCGGCGCATCTCGTCTCGTAGGGATACCTCTTTCGCATCGAACAGGCATACCTAGCACGCACATAAGCTATGATTCCTCGTCAGTCGAAGCGCACACACCTTGATCTGACCATCGGCCGTAACCCGGAGCCGATTACAGGTAGAGCACTGGTAGCCAGGTTCAGTTGGTGATTGCTTGAGAAAGGTGGATCACTTACGAAGTGGTCTGACATGCTGCTGATGAAACCAAAGCTTCCCGCATAGCCAGGTATCGTCCATGTCCGCGCGGTATCGTTCAATTCGTCCGGTGCACGAGTAACAGTCGGATGCTGACTGGTGATGGCTTGGAGCAATTCTGCAGAAGGTATCATCTTCTGAGCGTCCCATTTATTGCCTGGGTTGATCAGAACTAATTCATGTATTCACTTCTGGGTCCCGTACCCGTGAATGGCATGAACTCAATGAACCTGACAGAGATAGGTCTGTCCTTGGTCATCGCTACGAAGTCGAGCACTTCGGCGTCGTTGAGGCCTTTGACAACGACAACATTCAGTTTGACGAATGGAAGTAGCTCCAGTGCAGTGTCGAGAGAGCGCAACACAGCATGCAGACCTCTTCGTCTCGTCATCAGTTCGAAACGGAACTCATCCAATGTATCGAGGCTGGAAAATGGTCAATTTCATTCGCGATCTGATGAGGTGACTGAGGACCTCAGGTTGAGATGGGTGAGACCGTTTTGGACCAATTCTGGCAGCCGGCGGTGGAGCGCTATCCCATTGCTGGTCATGCCGATCGATTTCAGACCATGTGCTCGCAGATCATTCAGGCCAGCTAGGAACGTTGAGCCACGACAACTCGCCGCAATGAAAGAGAACATCACCGATGATCTGCGAGATGTCTTTGCGAACAGTGGGCTCGCCGCCGGTCAATCGGATCTTCGTCACGCCACTCTTGACAAAGAGCAGTGCAAGGCGCAAGATTTCCTCGTTTGTCAAGAGATGTTCGCTCGGTGAGAGTTCGACGCCTTCACTGGGCATACAGTAGAAACCTTGAAGTCGTTTAGTCAAGGCTCGTTAGAAAAATGATGGCTCACATCGTAGATTGCATCGTTCGGTCAGAGATATTCGTAGATAGTCGTGGCGGCGATGAATGTGTCGATCAAGAGGGAGCCACTTTGTCGATTTGGGCAATCTTCTCCTGAATAACACTTGAATGAATTCCGGGATAGATTTATACTGGTACCGACTTGAGCCCGTACTCTAGCGGCCGAGTGCGCAAAGCGGGATGTACGGAGATGACGCGTGGTGTTACGAAAGCAAGAAAACATATCCGACGCGCGAGCCAGGCCTTTCGAGGCCACTCCGTTCCAAGAAAGCAAATCCGGGTGAGCGAAATTACGCTGAGACGTCTTGTAGCCTCGGACCTCTCCTACACAGGAACTTGATTGTGGCCGGGCTAGACCGTCTTAGGACGTGACTCACGGATTGTGACCACACGTGAATCGAATCAAGGACGCGTCACCTCACCATCGCTATTTCCTGGACTAAACGCGTCTCTCGTTCCTTCCAACACATTTCAGCCCAGCATGGTTCGCATTCCAACCGCTCCATCTCCCCCAATACTGATCTCTCGTAGTCGATTATGGATCAAAACGGTGGCTCCGTCATAGCCATGGTCGGCAAAGACTGCGTTGCGATTGCCTGTGACTTGCGACTCGGAAACCAGGCGCTAGGAATATCGTCCAACTTTGAGAAGGTATTGGTCAATCATGCATCTCGCCTGGTCACTCACACGTCCCCAGATGTTCCCAATTACCGACCGCATCTACCTTGGACTGCCGGGATTAGCTACCGATGTCTTGACGCTGCACGTTCCGCGCCCTCATTCGCCGTGCTCGCGCACTGACCTGTGATATTAGCAAGGAACGATTCAGACTCCGAGTGAACATGTACACTATCAAAGAGGAGCGGGAAATCGAACCGGAAACATTCTCCAGGCTGGTTTCATCAACGTTGTATGAACATCGCTTCGGACCCTACTTCTGCGAGCCTGTGATCGCTGGTCTCCAAAAGACGCCGTCCGGGGAACTCAAACCATTCATCGCTGCTACCGACCTCATCGGGTGCTTGAATTTCGCCAAGGACTTCGTCCTGGCGGGGACGGCGAGTGACAAGTTGTTCGGTGTGGCCGAATCGTTGTGGGAGCCAGATCTTGAGCCAGAAGATCTGTTCGAGACGATATCGCAGACGATGATGAACGCTGTCGACCGTGATGCGTATTCAGGATGGGGTGTGATGGTGCATGTTATGTGCGTATCTCTTCGTATGTTTCTTCTTTGCACCTCGATTGACAACGTTTCCAGAACGAAAGATAAGATCATTAGCCGTACTCTGAAAGCTAGAATGGACTAGCTACTCCATCCAATACATCTCCTCGAATCCAATTGTGCTACGAGCAACAAGAAAGCGATATCAGTCTGTGACCGGTGATGAGACTAAACTAATTGACAAAGATACCCGGAGGACGAGCAAGCAGTTCGTCGAACGAGCTCGGCTTCTCTGGTTCTGGCTGGCCCATGAGCGCTTTCGCCTGGACTTCCCACACGGCTCTGCTGAGCTTGATGAGGCGATCCAAGTTTTTGGTTGCCTTGAGCTCATCGATGCTGATGATAAAATCCAGGTCCTCGTGGCAGAGAGATCGGCCGGCACCCTCCGTGCCTCCCAATGACAAATCAACCCAAAGCTCCTTGAGCTTGTTGATGAAATGAGGAAGACTGCCGCCCTTCGGGCCCTCCCCCACGCCTTTGATCACGGCGTAAAACGTGCTGCGGGCGACATGCATCGTGCGAGGCTTGAACGTGTCTAAGCTAGAGGCAAGCAGGTCAAACATGTGCAGCAGTTTGGCTGTCTCGACCGATTCCGGGTCGATGAGCCGAACAACGAGCGTTCCGCCCTTCTTGATTGCCTGGAGGCCGATGATCAGCTCCGACACGAAGAAACGGTCGGAGATGTTGGATTTGGGGTCCCTGTGGATTTGCTTCCCGTCCAGGAGCACGACGTCGAAACGCTTATTGCAGTCGAATGGAAGCGCCCTGAGCGACTTGGTGCTCCCCCGAACCACGGATGCAGGCAGCGGACCGAGACGATAGTATGTCAGGTCGGCGTAGTGGACCTTGAACCGAGCCTGGTGCCTTTTTTCGACAAGGAAGGGATGTCCGCCGGTCTCGTTTTCCGAGGAGATTCCGAGGCCTTGCGCAAAGGGATTCTTGTTTAGGATGTACGATGAAAAGCCTCCTGGACAGCACCTAAGCTTCGTCAGCCCATCAGCAGTCAGGGCCAAAGCTCAAAGCCCACCCCAGATCCAAGAAACGGAACGGGTCCTTGCGAGGGATGCAAGCGGTTTGGTCGTCAATCTCTTTAAACACGGCCTTCATCTTGGAGAACCAGTAGCGGTTCTGTCGAGCGCAGGCATTCACGGCAATTCTCTCCTTGTGCTGTGCAAGGTCTTCTGGTTCCTGTGGCATTGATCAATGGGCAAAAGCAAAAAGGCACATTGCAGATGGACAACGCACCTCAGACGTAGCCTGCATGCGAGCACCCTCCAGCATTTTCAGCTCATCAGAGCCACGAGCGATGATTTCTTCGGTCAGAATACGAGGAGAGCCTGGGTCTGAGCAGCAAGATTCGACCGTAGAAGGTGCAGTGGATTGATCGAGTGAGGTGAAGGAAGTGTCCTCTCCGCCATACGTCGAGGGCGAGCTCGAGGTTGAGCGCGAGCGCGACGAAGAAACCGACACTGGAGTGGAAGGGGTGTCCATGGTTGGTGGAGTGGGGTCTCGGTGGATTCGAGAATCGCTGGCCCACTTATACAGGTACCAGAAAAGGTTACACATAATCTAGAGCCACTTGGGAGAAGGAGAAGAAGACTAAGATTGTGCGGCCTGACCGATGGCCTCGTGCCAGAAACCAGTTCGAGACAGCTTCAGCCGCCCGTTCCGATGCAGTTTGCGCGTAGTATGAGTGCTGCTTGTGACCCCAGTAAGGAAAAACTACGCGACGAGTTGACTGTGGATCTCCACGAGAGAGACAATCAGACTGCAGACCGCGAATAGATGTCTTCTCCGACTCGAAGGCTGAGGTTCAGCCTCTTGACCCCGACCGAAGTGGAACCATTTAGACGTCGAAGCGGATATTCAGTGGAAAGAAGTGCTGCCTTTGACATCTCATCGGAGAAGAATGCGCCTCGGAGCTGCATATGCGTTCAAACATAGATTTAGAGCAGTACCATAGATAGAGAAGTGAGAGTGGGGAGCTGAGATGGGAGAAGTGCAGAGACCTATGGCACGATCAAGGTTATAGAGTCAGTTTAAGTCGGATTCTAGAACTCGAAGAACCAGACAGGCGCCGATCGTGGGGCGGGTCCAACATGACAACCTCCACTGGCTCGTGATATCACACTGTTCACAGAGCAACTATTTCAGTCAGTTGCGGGAGACAGTCTCGAAGAGCCTCGAAGAGGCGACGGACCGCCGCGGACCCGCCGCGATCATGAGTGTCGAGGAGGCTGTGCTACTGTACGTCATTGTGTTTGGCACGATCATAAAGCCGCGTTTACCCCACACGGACTTGCCAACACAACTCGCGCGCTCACCTGCACCATGATCACTCTCCTCAGGCCAGCAAACACTCGTTCCTTAATCACGTCCTCCAAGAGGTCCCTCTCTGTTATCCAGGTATGGATCCAGTATGGTCTCCGCGCCTGCAGTGGCTGAGGTCAGCACACAGTCCTTACTGCACGGGTCACCTGAGGCCAAGCAAGCCGGAGAACTCGATGTCCTTCAACATTCGCGTCTTGTGGGAAGAGGGAAATACGTTCATGGCTTTGACGGTGCGTGGGCTTTGCCAGCGTTCGATGCTCTGATTTCGAACGTCACTTCAGTTCACCGCGTCAGACCGGACAAGACTGACGAATACAAAGCTGCTGCGTGAGACAACTCTCGACCGTCATCATTTTTCGCTTCATATCTCGATGCTCTAGGGAGGAATACTATATGGGTGTCAAGAACGACCCTGAGCTACGCACTAAACTGACAGGAAACTGGGAAGTGCTTGTGGGAGAAGAGGACACATTCATACACATCCTGGAGTTCGAGGGATACGAGAAAACCTCGCAGCTCCTGAAGTCGTCGAAGGTTGTGTTTCTATAATCAGTGCGGTTCTTGATGCTGACCAATGTCGGGCAGCATCTGCAAGCGTACAACAAGCTGGCGCCTTTCTTGCGATCCCGCTCGTCCCAATTAACTCAAGAATTCGCGTTCCTCCCTACGGCGCCTCCGCATGCTGAAGGAGGCATCTTCGAGCTCAGATCATACCAGCTTAAGCCAGGAACTCTGTTGGAGTGGGAGAACACATGGTGAGCACAAACACTCCCTCGGTCCCTCGGTTAGTGGCCATGCTGATTTTGCTCAAGGCGACGGGGGATAGAAGCACGCAGCAAATTCGTAGCGCCTATTGGCGCGTGGTTCTCCCAGGTTGGACGACTCCATCAGGTTCACCATTTGTGGCAGTACCCGAGCCTTGAGGTTAGGAAAGAGGTTCGCGAGAAAGCATGGCGAATTGACGGTTGGGCGGAGACAGTGGTTAAGGCAAGTCTGATTCTATTTTCGTCCGAGAGCACAGTCTCATTCTGATGTCAGACGTCGCAATTAACCAAATTCATGGACTCTCACATCCTTCGTCCTCTACCATTTAGCCCGTTGCAGTAGTCAATCATTATCACGTATCGCACAAGTTTTGTTGTTCAAGTAGGAATTGGTTCAAGCGTCCTCAATTGGATTAGGCTTGAGTTTTTGCATCGAAGAGGTCAAAGCTTGGGCTACGCCGAGAATGCCCCGGGTCCGATCAGGGATCTGCGATCTTCGGCTGTGTGGTTCCGAATCCCGAATCCTGATAACCAAGCCAGAGGACGTCATTGACAACTGCCATCATCTTGATTTGTTTTCCGAGACTTCCTTTCTGACCTCCGCCCTTATGGACTACTCGGACGTATCAGAGGACGAAGCTCCTCGCGACTCACAAACTAATAGAAAACGCAGCAGCAGGGGTGCGAATGGTTTTGAATGTCTCCTGGGTTCGAAATGCTGACTCAATGTTACTCAGCTTGTGATCAGTGCCGAAAAACGAAGAGTAAATGCGAACGAGTTGGGAACGAGAACTGCAAGGGCTGCCATCTCGCCAATACAGGTATCTACGGCGCCAAAACTTCTGCGATTCCTTGCTGACCCTTACGATTAGTATGCACATTTCTAGGTTCGCCTCCTTCCCGTTGCTGCCCATCTTGTTGACGCCGCCCAGGGCCGTCTTATAAGCGAGGCCCCCCGAAGGGATACATCCATGCCATTGAATCACGGTGGCATCAAGTCGAATCATTGCTCGGGGCACTGCTCTTATGCAATAATCCGCAAGTTCGGGGGATCGTCCGAGAGGTGTGCCTGCGTGCTTGTATCTGATTGCCAGAATCTAATGCGATAATCGGAAGATGAGAAATGATGAACTGGCACGGGAAATACTGGATCGTGTGGATGCAGGGCCCTATGTGTGTTGAATTCCGCTCTTCCGTCGCCTCCTCTCATCCGCTTGCCTAGGGTCCATCAGGGCGACTTGATCAGCCAGGAGGGGCCACGAAGGAGGACTTCTTTGCTTCCATTCTGCGGAGTAACGCTCCCAATGCCGAAAATTCGCGCTCCCGGAGACAGTCCAGAGTTTCGAGGGAGAAGGTTTCGTCAGTGCAAAGTCAGTCTTGGTTGTACCCCCGTTGCGGTCGCTCTCAATCAGTTTCAGATGTGGGGATATCAGTCGTGCCTACAAAGGAATGGCAGGATAATCTGTCGCATCGGTTGGCGTCGGCTGCGTCAGGATCCCGGAGCCCCTCATTTGATCTGTCGGGTGTGCCGTTCACGCAGAGACGACGACTAGACGATATGCCTGGCGGGACGGTGCCTACCCCACCGGAATGGAAGGATATGTACACATTCGAAACCCATGGTCGGTGGTCACAAGGTGGTCCCAGTTACCGAGTTTGAAGTCTCCCCAGATCATCGCGAGGAGGAAGCGGTCGAGGGCATGTGCGCCCTGTCACTCGATGAACATCAAGAGGTACGCTTATGACGCAAAGCATTGCTTGTTGTGTCTGATTCCGTCCAGGTCCGTTTCCACGGCCAGACCAGCGGATTGCATCTGCTGGGGAGAAGCAGCCGCACCGATGATCGGCAAGAAGGAGGCTTGTGGTGCGTGATCTCCTTTCTCCCCAATTCAGGGGATTCTGACATTATCTGCAGGAAACTGCCCATGGCTCGTATCTGGCCTCCTGTCAAGGACCCTGCGGCACAGCTCATCTCAGAGGAGGAAATGCACAACGAACTCCCGCCACTTCACATTCAAGACCATCTCCTCCAGCTATACTTCACGTACATTCACCCCGTCTTCCCATTAATCCACAAGCGCCGATTCTTGATGGAGTACAATGCAAGGTGCGTTTTTGTCAGCCGCTACTCCTCCATCTCCATTCGCTGAGTTTGAACCTAGACAGACAAGGTCTGCACCATTTCCCTCAGATTCCGACCAGGACTAACTCTATCCAGTTCCGTCCATAGCCCGGCTAGCTCAGATTCAAGACTGCAACCTGAGCCAGCGCAAAAATGCTCGCCGCTGCTCCTATTGGCCATTTTCGCCCTTGCCGCCCGTTTTTCAGACCAGGACACGCCTCCCCCAGCCAAAGGCAAGATGTGGGAGGCGGGAAGTTCGTACTTTTCTGCAGCAAAGGCACTCTTGGGTTTGTCCTGTCGATTGAGTCGGCTGAATCCAACGCTGAATCCATCCACCAGCGAAAGTGCTGCATCGATCACGACCTTCGACATGCCAAACGTTATTGCTGTTAGGATATCGAGAGTTTGGAATCGGAAGTATGGAGCAGGGTTGGATCTACATCGGTGTGTCACATCTTCCAGCATGTGGAGCCGCGCTGACGAAAATAGGGATGGCCATTCGGATGGTAACGAGCTGTCTCATATACGTTCTGACTCATTCACGCTTCCGCAGGCCAATGATCTCGGTCTCAATTGCAATCTTAGCGAGTGGCGGAATCACAGCTCGACGACCAAATTGTTTGGGCCGGAAGAAACGCAAACCCGTCGCCAGATCTGGTGGACTTGCCTTGTCTGCGATCGATACGGGAGCATGTATCTCGGGCGGCCGATAGCCATCCACGACGATGACTTCGACACCCCCCTTCCCGAGGTTGGCCGAACTTTTTGACGTAATGCTCGACGTTCATCTGGGCCATCAGGACGAACCAGATCAACCGTGGGAAACACTGACTCCGAACTTTGTCGGCAGTGCCAATTATCCTGGCATCACGATGTCAGCTTTCCGTGAGTCAGGGAAACTGTGTGAGCTGTGATTTCGCTACTTAATCTTGCTGCTCGCTCATGAGGGACCAGCTCTGATTCTCGGTGGCGTGATTACCAAGATCTATCCGGTTCGTTTCTTGCCGCTGGCCAATCGACAAGCGAGTCTCGCACAGCTTGAGAGCCGGCTCGATCAGTGGTACCTCGCGCTGCCTGATGTGCTTCGCTACGATGCTTCGAGCAAACGTGTCACACCGTCGCCTCCTCTCTTGCTTCTGCACATCAGATACTGGGGCACTGTACTTCTTCTCCATCGCGCCTTGTGGGTTTTGTGACTGTGACTATTTTTCCATGGCTGACAAACCCACAGCATCCCGAACTGGAAAGGGCGAGTCATTGACTGTTGGCGGTCGATCTGGATCTGTGGAACTGACCGTCGAACAGGTCCGAGTCCACTTCATCACATTCGACGGCGGAACTCAAGGCCTTTGATCTGGCACAGGGTGCTGCCAGCCAAATCAGTTCGCTAGGTGGGTCCTGGTGGGCGCAACTGAGCGCATTCATATGAATCTGTGACAGTCACGGCTTATCGGGAGACGTACTCGTTGAAACGATGTTCGCCGTTTTTGACATCGTATATCTTGAATGCCGGGTGCGTGTTACTTTCCCCATTTGGCAATTGTGCTCACCCGCAGTGGCGCCAGCATCATGCACATCTCGACCTGTCAGTCCCTATTGTGCCGCAAGATGCATTTGCTCATCAGCTTCTAGTGACACTTCGGCCCTCCAATCCGCAAGCAACACTGGGTCAGTGCTGATGATCGGAAATGGATCCAGACACGCTTACGCCCATACAGGCTTCCAACAATGCCTGTCAGCAGCCAAGGAACTAGAGGCAAGTTTGGCGCTGTCGGATGTGCAGCACGTGTGCTGATGGCTGACGGATCCCACAGACCATCTGGCCCAGTGCGGCGCGCGCGTTTGATCTTCTCAACGGAGTCAAGCTGGGCAACCTCAACACGCTTCCCCCGTTGCGGAACCAGGAACGAAACAAACGGCATGCAGAAGATGCATTTGGCCCAGATCGTGCTCCAGACTATCCCGTCAGGACTGACTCGGACCTGGGTCAACAGGAAGGAGTGCAGGACATGGCCAACAAACTGATGGCTCACATGCTGGGCCTGGATATCCCCGGTGTCGAGCCTTCGACGTCGTTCTATTCTGGATGCGACTGGTGGTCCCGCAATCCAGAAACAGGACAGCAGCAGACGCAGAACTGGCCATCCCCCACCGGGCCGTCGATGTTCAATCCGTTGACCATGCCTGGGCAGACCCAGGCTCAGTCTCAGCGCCAGTGGAATGAACCAGCAAGAGAGGGTCGGCACTACAACAGCGAAGGCTATTCGTACGACCACTACGGGGTCTAGTCACACACTGTAATTGTTCCCATGTATATAGAGCCCATCAAGTCATAGAGATGATAGAAATGATTCGGCTGTAACAGTCTTGTACTTTGTCTCCATCCATCAGAAGCACCCGTTCGGCTGCGCTCAGCACAATGTCCAATCTTACGTTAGTCTTTGTCCCGATTCGGCCCAGTTGTGGGCTGTGACCCACCGAATCAGATCCCGAGAACAATGCGATTGGCATGCGCCCACAAACTTGATCCCATTTTGCACCATATCCCGTCCATTTCCCACCAGATCTCATCCCAATTTCTTCCCGTTCGAGCTAGAATTTGACGCGGGAACGTCCATGTCAGATCGGCATTAAGTATGGGACACACCACGATACACAAGCCCATCAGAATCAATGCACCTGCAAACTTAGCTCCATTTCGAGGGACCCTTGGCCTTTTGAGAAGACCACGACCCTCTTCTTGACCGTCCCCTCGTCATCTCTCCTTCATCCGTTCTCCTCATTTCATTTCCTCCCGCTGATTTCCGCACCCCATTCTTTCTCCCCGCTTTCCCTCCTCATGGCCTCACTTAAGAACATCCTCAATCCTGAACGGAGACGATCTGTAAAGTGCGTAAAATGGTTTGCCACTGACAAGTCACTTACCGACAAATAGACTCCTGGTCAGCCCGCCAGAAGACAATCACACAGCATGGGACTCGACAACTCAAGTCAGTCCACCCGACTCGCCTTCGGACGATGATCAGGAGGACTACAACCCTTTGGAACATATTCCCCATCCCGACTGTCCCGATTCGCTCGCCTGTCTCCCCGATACAGATGGCCGACCCCAACATACCCTGCCCGTCATTTTGCGCTGCGCGATTCTGGGGAGTCCTCGCAAACGTCTGACGATCCGTGAAATATATGCTGCGATGGAGGAAAAGTATGCGTATTACAGGACGGCGGGGGCGACATGGAAGGTGCGTTCTTTACTTATGCTCACATCCTGAATAGTGGCATTGATGCATATGCATTTTTGTCTCGCCACAGCAATCCGTCCGACATCATCTATCTCTTAACCGATTGTTCGAGCGACAGCCCCGCCCTGCCACGGACCCGGGTTTTGGCTCATACTGGACCGTGAATCTTGCCGCACCGCCAGGAACAAAGCGGCCTCGAAAGCGTGGCCGCCCCAACAAGGAGGCTCAACCGCGTGCGAAGAAAAACGATGTGATCATGGTTCAGGCGGAGGACATGGTCGGTCGAGCGGCTGGCAAAGGATCTTCGAAGCGTGTATCCCCCACAGCCCCCGTTTTACGGCATCCGGAGCAATCCATGCAACCACCGATCGAGGCTGCAGCGCCGCTCGATGATGAGGACGATACGACTGATATGCTCATGTATGAAGACGAGGCTGTGGACGAGCTGGACAGCCAGACGTCCGAGGAGGAGTGTGAAAGCGAAGAGAAGATGCTGCTGCATCCGTTTGAGCGCCGGCACTCGCTCAGCGGCGTGTTGACACCTTATGATCAAACAGGCGGATACCACATGTCACCAGCGTCGCCGACTTCACACCTCTCGCCCCGGCGGCCACCGTCGCCGCCGCATCACTCAATCTCGCCACGCCAGCGGCCTGCTGTGGCGGGCTCGTCCTCAGAGGACATCATCGAGAGGCTGCAGATGGAAATGGCTAATCTGCGCCGCCAATCAGCCGAGGCTATAACATTGTCGATGCGACTATCAGACCAGCTGGCAAATGCCGAGGCCGAAAAGTCGAAAGCGCAGTCGACGCTGAAGGTCACAGAGATCAAATTGCGTGACGAGGTAACGCGGCGACGGCAAGCGGAGCGCGAAGCGGACAATGCGATTCGCCTAAGGCATGCAGCGGAGGAGGCTTTGAAATCCGCACAGTTTCACACGGACATGCAACCGCGTGTTTCCAGATGATTCACTTATCATGATCGAGGCTAGCTATCGTTATTTGGGTATTTACATCCGAGTGACACTTTACACGAACTCAAACCCGGTGTAGCAATATCTTATCGGCTCTGCAATTCTGTTCATACGCAAATCCCTTTCTATGTATTTTTGGAATTAGACTACGGTTCGTCTGCGTGTTCTTGATGTGTCAAAAGGCATCGCCACTGATGCACTAGGTCAAGTGATGTCCACCCCCTTGTCTTGGTCCCGTCTTTCCTTTTCATCACAGTGCATGTCTATCGCGGCGAGATGCATGACGAAGAGCAACACCAAGCTGCCCGCCTGTAAATCCCACGGACATTGCTTATATCGGTTGGAATGTTCACAGCTCCTGAAACGAATTCATCCACCTCATCCCCGGCTTTCGTCGTATGACTATGGTCTTGGCTCGTGCCCTCAAGACCAACAGAATTTCCATTCCACCTTTCATACAGATTCTGATTGCGATTTCTTGCATGCATTGTTTCGTTGGCGTATCAGAGTCCTGAGACTGTTTCTGCCATGTGGAGACTATTTGACTGCAGAACTGGTGCATGTACTCGGAAGTCAGTTCCAATCCGGGTTGTCTCCTATTTCTTTCTCAATAGCAGGGTCCAGAGTCATACGCCGATGACTGGGAAGGCTTGAGTACTTTATTCGTCCTACGCTGTGGCCTCCATCACAACATTTGACTGCAATACACGAGTAACTTCTTCCCCCCGTTACCTGAGAGACGGTCTAGCCCTCGGCCTGAATCTCGCCATCTCCTACTGGTTTTCGAGAATCAGAACTCTCTGATATCAGTATTAAATCTTGATGCAACACTGCGCTCGACGGACTTGCGTGTGAGCCAAATATAGTCCAATTATCCTCGCACTTATATCAATATCGGATCCGATGTCTCTTTGACTAGATGCTGCTCCTTTTCTGTATCCTATTAACCGAGCCCACTTACGATAATCGGTCTAAGCGCTTTAAAGCACATCAATGGCGTGGCGGTGCTACTTGGCGTCATGGATACACTACTAGATCGGGACCAACACGATCGATTCCTAATGATTGGATCAGTGATTGAACTTTTTCCTGCTTTCGATGTCGGTCCCTACGAATCGCCCGAAGCTGAAGACCGCGTCTGTTACATCCCTTGCTCGTCTCGTTTACAAGGATTGACAAATAATCAGCTTCAAGAATGCCCGCTCCATCGCACCTTTGTACACTTCCGGGCCCGTCGCCGCCTTTGAAGATGGAACCAAAATATTGACCTGTGTGGAAGAAACGGTTCTCTTGACCGACGTCGAGACGGGCGTGGAAATATGTCGATTCGCAGGGGTGCGCCTTCCCGTCCATGGAAAGAGAGATCGGACTTGACCCTGCGCTCAGGATACAGAAACTATTTCGTCAATATGCCTGTCACCTTCCGCAAAATATCTGACCGTGTTCTCGGGTTCGCTGTCGCTCCGCGTCTTCGAAGTTCCTCCGACTACGGCTCCAATTTCCAAGGCGGTGCAGCCGATTCGTGTCATTGCCCGCGCTCACGAAGCCCCGGTGCATGTCTGCAAAATCGACCCTACTTCCACCTACCTCGCGTCTGGCTCAGCGGACGGAGTTGTGAAGGTGTGGGACATTGCGCGTGGATTCATTACACACGTTTTCAAGGGCCACGGTGGAGTGGTTAGCGCGCTCGCTTTCGACTACCATCAGGATCCGTCGTCCGTCAAGGCACAGCGCAAGATGCAGCTCGTCACCGGATCTGTGGATACCCGCATTCGCATCTTTGAGCTCACGGACAGTGCGTCCAGAGCAAGCGGGACCCAAAAGCCGGTTGCTGTTTTGGAAGGACATGTTTCTGTCCCCCGCGGCTTAGATGTTTCGAAGGATGGCAAGTGGCTGATTAGCGGGGGTCGGGACTCGGTGGTTTTAATTTGGGATCTCTCTTCGTTGGAAGAACCAGGTGGAAAGGGTGGGAAGGGCAAGGGCAAGTCCCAGGGCCCGAAGCTGGTTCGAACCGTGCCTATTTTGGAACGTGTGGAATCTCTCGGGCTGCTGAGTCCCGATGAGGATTTGACAGGATCCACTTCTACTGCGGACAAACTCCGCTTCTACACCGGTGGGGAACACGGTGTGGTCAAAATCTGGAATGGCCGGGATGGCAATGTGTTGTTCACCCTCGGCAAGGAGCTGAATAGCCATCAAATATCGGACGATCAGGAGACGCAACGACAGATTGTGGATGCGATGTAATGTCTTTCATCTCTGGTCCGGCCGCCATATGTCTTACACGTGCCCAGATATCTTCCATCCACTTCGACAATAATTGCGATCCATGCCGACCAAAACATCATATTCCATTCCCTTTCGACGCATTCTCTAACGCGCCAGCTGATCGGGTTCAACGATGAGATTGTGGACATGCGACTTCTCTCCATTCCTTCTCAGCGTGATGCTCGGCTGGCCCTTGCCACCAACTCCTCACTTATCCGGGTGTACTCTGTATCAGAATTCGACGCTCGCCTTCTCGAAGGCCACACGGAGATTGTGCTTTGCCTTGACACCACTGCCAGTGGGGTCGTGTTTGCGAGCGGGAGCAAAGATCATTCAGCCAGGCTCTGGGCCCCCACGACATCACAGGACCCCTGGAACTATGGATGCGTCGGTCTTTGCGACGGCCACGCCGAGAGCGTCGGCGCGATCGCACTATCCCGTCAATCTATCGCCACCCCAGGCTTCATGTTCACTGGAAGCCAAGACCGGACGATCAAAATGTGGGATGTCTCTGAGGTTCCGATGGAACACATCGCGGACACGGAGCCCGTAAAATGCCGCAGTCTCATGACACTCAAGGCACACGAAAAAGACATCAACGCGCTCGATGTGTCACCAAACGACCGTCTGCTTGTCTCCGGGTCACAAGACAGGACCGCCAATGTTTACGAGATCGACTACAGTCCGGGCCGCGGCGGATTGCGGCTTGTTGGAACATGCAAAGGCCACAAACGAGGTGTTTGGACTGTCCGCTTTGGAACGGCGGAGCGTGTTCTGGCGACGGGAAGCGGGGACAAAACCGTCAAGCTCTGGAATCTGGATGATTTTACTTGTGTCAAGACATTCGAGGGACATACAAACTCTGTCCTGCGCGTTGACTTCTTGAACGCGGGAATGCAGATGGTTAGTTCCGGATCTGACGGGCTGGTCAAACTGTGGAATGTTCACGACGAAGAGTGTGCTGCCACCATGGACAATCATCAAGATAAGGTGTGTAGGCACCTCCAAGTTCCGGTTCCTGCGACTGATTGGATCCTTTCCCAGGTCTGGGCCCTTGTAGTCAGCCATGATGAACGCACTGTCATCTCTGCCGCAGCAGATTCCGTCGTCACATTTTGGGAGGACTGTACCGAAGAGCAGGAAGAACAGAAGCAGTCTCAGCGTGCAGATCTGGTGCTCAAGTGCGTAGAATTCACTTTCTTTCTGAGGATGTTTGCTCAGATTGCGGACCAGAGAGCAAGACTTCCTGAATTATCTGGAGCTGAACGACTATCGCCGAGCGATCCAGCTTGCCATCTCGATGGGCCAACCCGGTCGCCTGTACAACTTATTTAAAGACATCAGATCGGCGGCGGCCGAATCCTCGGAACCCTCCTCGTCCATCACAGGAAGTACGTCTGTCGATGAAGTGATACGCACTTTGGGAGGCTCCGACCTTGCAAGACTGTTGCGCTTCGTGCGAGACTGGAACACAGTCGCCAAGACGAGCATCATTGCCCAAGGTGTCCTGTTCGCCGTCGTCAAGCTGAGGTCTGCAGATGATGTGGCTGCTGCCTTTGGCGACGAGTTGCATGAGAGCTCGCTCGCCGAAGGTGTCAAGGAGAGTGATGGGGTCAGCGGTTCTACCGCCGTGAAAGAACTTGTGGAAGCGTTGATTCCGTATACCGAGCGACATCTGGCTCGGGTCGACCGTCTTGTGCAGGAGAGTTACATGGTCGACTACATTCTCGGGGAGATGGACGATGGCATGTTTGACGAGGAGTTCGATGCCATGGACGTACAGTAGTTTGTTCCAAAAGTGCTACCAATACACAAGAAAGATACATCGTAGTCATGCATTCATGTCCATGTCTGCAGTATGAAACAAATGAACACCGGAGAAATAGTCTATACGAGTGCCGGAACTCATGCTGCCCTGATGCGCCCTAGCCGACAACCCCGAACACTGTTGAACAACAGCAGCCAGTCACCCTCGTGCACATCACCCTTTTTCAGCTCCCCGGCCGCCGCCTCTTTTATCCTCTTGTGCCGCAACAACCATTGCCGCAGGACGCCGGGAAGACATCCACTCGCCAATGGGGGAGTGATCCAGGTCTGGTTGCGATAGAATGCGACATTGGACACGGAAGATTCGGTTACTTCTCCGGCCGTATTATACATGATAACATCCGCGTCGCTGTCAGTCGGTATCAGGCCGACTCGGACTCGCGCAGCATCGTAGAGAGCCCGCTGGGTTGTCTTCGTCGACGAAAACAGCTCGTTTGGAGGCGTGGGCTGAGTGTCGAGAAGCAGAGACATAGGGGGGCCATAGAGCGTTTCACTAAGAAAGAGATCCGTAAATCGGTGTGAGTGTCATCGATGCAATGGTGTCCCCACGTACCTGTCTGTTAATGGTCGAGAGAACGACGGTGAAGTTGGATCCATTCGGAGAGAAGGGCCGACAGAAGATGCGGTGGCATCGACTACGCCTGTGCGCGAGACAGTAATGCGGATCTGGGGGGTTGATCCACCAGTCGTTCGAAGCTACTAGGAAGTGAGACTCACCTTCAAAGCTTCGTTCGAATGTCCACTTTGAGACGCGACCGCCGCCTCGCACGCACGAAAGATATTCTCAAAGGTAATTGCTGCGCGAGCCTCTGGCCAACCGTGCTAAGACAGAAACGCGTTAGTCGCATGGCAATTCGTTCGAAGTTGGTGGCCGACTTTGTCATCTTCCGTCGCTCTGAGAAGACGCTCGACATGATAATCGAGTAGCAAATATCGGGATGGCTGGCCTCCCCGGTCATTGAAGCGCAGTCTGTCGTAGATGAATTGGTCGTAACGCGTCGTCGTGAGCAGCAGGTAGGAGTCCATAACCAAAACCCAGAACTCCTATCGTGATCATCGGTCAAAAATAGCCGACATCAAAAGTCTCCGCTCTTCTCTCCGGCTCTCCACTGCCAGTGCCACGCGTTCTGCCGGTCACGATTGAACTTTCCTGCATTTCATTAGTAATAGTATGGGAGTGAATCGAATTGTTTATATGTCGGTGGCAACACCACTCCCTGGACTGTCATACGGATGTAAGATTCAAAATTCGCTTTCTCGATCCTCGTCGGGGGATGGTCACCATCAATACCTCCTCGAGGTTGTCAAGAGGGAGGGCGCATGAAATCACTGGGGCCCGGCCCGCCCAACCCGAGTTTGTTGCTGATGTCAGATTGCAAGCCTCCAGCCGCCGGAAGTGTCCGAAGCTGTCTTGCGGACGATTGCGAGGTGATCGTGCATATGTTGTTGGAGCTTCTCTCTGGTCCGCACATCAAACTGGAACTCTTGGCCGCACTAACCAAATTTTTAACACCGCCGTCATCTGCTATGGATCTGGAATGGGCTGATACAATTTACCGCCCGGTCCGTTCAGCCAGTCGGTGGTTTTTGACGCAGAAAATTCAAGAGCCTGCAGAAGACGCATTTTGGGTCAATAGTTTTATATCGCTTCTGTCAAGCGTGGTGCCGCATGCTTATAGAAATGGCACTCGGGAGTTGGATTGAGCCTCGATCCGAAGATGCACCGGAGGCTCAAATTATGGAGTTGAGCATTCCGGAGTGACAACTTCCAATTCCGTTGAGATAGCGTTCAGGTGGCACGTGATTAGTTATGGATCATCCTGGGAATTCGAGCCTAGCGGTACATGTACTCGTAAAGCCGCAACACAAGGATATCGCTGGTTTAGTGGGAAATCTGCCACGGTTGGTTCGCAAAAGGTTTGTGAGAGAGATCCATGAATGTGCCCTTTCGGATCCCGTCCGGCAAGTCCCGACCTTCTGTCGCGTGGCACGTGAGCCTACCGTGCTTTGCACACTACATTACTATTGCTACCATCCAGGGATCGGTGCCCATGATCACGACAGCCTCACTGGTGGAATCTGTGGTGGAGTCTGAAGCGCAATTGGACGTCGATGATGTCGACGACAATGACGAAGAGGACGGTGCACCTCCTGCCAGTGAGTAACCCTCGAGTCGCAATGTCTATGGATCCGTTGATTCTCTCTTCCAGGTGGTACAGAAGGGGCCAAGAAAAAGAAGAAGAAGAAAACAAGCCCAAAAAGAAAAAGGTCGAGCAGAGCGATCCTCCACGAGTCGGAATGTCGAAGATCTTCGCCAATGGAATCTACCCGGAGGGAGAGATCCAGCACTACAAAGACGAGTGCGTTTATAAAGATGGCTCGAGGGAATGACTTATCAGGAGCTCGTTTGTAGCAATGCTTGGAGGACAACATCCGAGGAAAAGCGGCAACTCGAAAAATTAGCCAACGAAGACCCGGAAGAGACATATCAGAATGCTCGACGCGGTGCCGAGATCCACCGAACAGTGCGGCAGCACGCACGAAAGAATATACGACCGGGAATGAGCCTGACAGAAATTGCGGAGAACATTGAAGCAGGTGTTCGTGCTCTCGCAGAAAACGATGGTATCGAGGGTGGTGTTGGCTTCCCTACTGGCGTCAATCTCAACCATTGTGCTGCCCATTTCACTCCGAATGCAGGGGACAACACCTGTGCGTATGACCATGTCTGCACGTTCCTTGCATCACTGACGAGAGTTAGTCCTTCAAATGGGAGATGTTATGAAGGTGGATATCGGGGTACACATTCAAGGCCGCATCATCGACTCCGCCTTTACCCTGTCGTGGGATCCCAATTATGATCAGCTTCTCGCGGCCGTCAAGGCAGCCACTGATACGGGCATCCGAGTGAAGCTTTCCCAGCGTTCGCATCTTCAATCAATTGACTGATCATGTCTAGGAAGCGGGGATTGACGTTCGACTTGGTGAACTCGGTGGACTCATTCAGGAGACCATGGAGTCTTACGAGGTAGAAATCGGAAGCAACGTTTATCCTGGTTCGTATCAGACTACCTCCAACCCCAGCTGTAACGTTAATCGCTTGGACGTAGTCAAGTCAATAGAGAATCTTTCAGGCCATACGATCAAGCTGTATTCGATTCACGGTGGTTCGAAGGGCAAATCTGTCCCGTTGGTTAAGACCAAGGATCAGACAAAGATGGAGGAAGGAGACTATTTCGCCATCGAGACATTTGGTTCCACGGGCCGGGGCCGAGTAGTGGAGAGCGTGCGTGCTTTCATCAGTGCTCTTGGACATTTTATTGACTGTGCTTCAACAGGGTGAATGTTCCCATTATGCCCGAATTTACGATGCCCCGAATGTGCCGTTGAGGTACTATCAAAAGCAGATACCATGACTGAGACTGAATGTCTGTACAGGCTCACATCAGCGAAATCGCTGCTGAAAAGCATCAATAAGAATTTCGGGACACTTCCTTTCTGCCGGCGATACTTGGATCGGCTTGGAGAGAGTAAATACCTACTGGGAGTAGGTGCCAAGCACGTGTTTCTTCGGACTCATTTCTCATCTCACATGATAGCTCAATCATCTCGTTGCGCAAGGCATCGTGGAAGATTATCCCCCACTCTATGATCAGGTTTGTCCGTACTCATTCTCCGTGTGCAGGGAAGCTAACCTTGTATGACAGATTGGGAGCAGGACTGCCCAATTCGAGCACACAATCTTATTGAGGCCAACTTGCAAGGAGGTCATAGCAGAGGAGACGATTACTAGAGTGTGTCTCGTGTAGCTGTGTGTCCGCAGTGTGTTCTTTGGTGTAGCTCAGACATAGTAGCCCAAAATGGTGAAACGAGTTGCCACTCGAATGACATAATCACGCGCTTCCCCAAACCTTGTGGTTTCGGACCTTGATGCCCCCATTTCTATCTCCTTGCCATACCCCGCATCGGCCTAGTTCGGACTCGTCGCCATGGTCGGTCTACCGTGGTCCATCTGGAGCGCGAGCGGTCACGACTCCCAGCAACAGCCTGAGGAGGATATAAGACAACCTTCGCTCCATCACTACGCAAAGCCTGGCTCGGTGCCTCCGTCCGCCCGTGTCGAGCACACGCTTAAAGCGGCCGAAAGGCCACGTCTGCGGCCATGGCATATGTGGAAGTACGGAGTTGTCGCGATTTCGAAAGGTAAGTCTGAAACCTGTTGCACGTCCTACGTCATTGACACTCTCCAGCGACTGAGATGACCGGCGCTGTCCTATCGCACAGTATTTGGGGGCCGAAGAGGCCAACGTGGGGACTCGAAATGACGATTATCACGAGCTTTATGAGAGGAGCGGGTAGACACAGCGCGCTCGTTGACATTGTGCGTTCAGACACACTCCACCGCGATCGCTTCTGACCTCGCATCTCGATCTTCAGGCCACTATCCGGATGATTATGAGCTTAGTCGGGCTTATTCCCTTGCCATCCGACGCGCTCGTCACACCCGTTACGTTCCGGGTACGCAGGCGAAAGCTGCGAGGGTTCCTTGCCGACCTCGATGCAGCGGAGGACGGAAAGAGGGAGCTGTCAGGGGAGTGGGTTGTAGGGCGGCGAACTTGGCACCGCCTACAATCCGAATGGAAACAGACGCAGCAACGCCGCTCATCCAGTCCCGCACAACCACCGGAACGAAAGACGGAGCGTGTGGTGTTGTACATCCACGGGGGCGCCTATTACCTCTCCAGTGCCGCCGGCCAGCGTCTCATTACCATTCCTCTGTCGAAGTATACTGATGCACGCGTCTTTGGCAAGTGTTCCTGTTCTGCATCTTGTTGGTCTTCTTTTTGACGTGACCCTCGCAGCGCTTGATTATCGCCTCGCACCCGAAACTCGGTTCCCCGGCCCCCTCCATGATGCAGTATCAGCGTATCTTCGATTGGTCGAAGAGCTGCATATACCGTCCGAAAACATCATCGTTGCCGGCGACAGCGCCGGGGGAGGATTGACTTTGGCGCTTTTGATGTATCTCAGAGACAATGCCTATCCGCTTCCCTCCGCTGCTTTGCTCATGTCGCCTTGGGTCGGTCAGTGTCCAGTGGTTTTCGGAAAGCTCGGTTTCTCACCATTCCGCAGATTTGACTATGAGCTGTGAATCTTGGGACCTCAATGAACCATATGATGTGGTCCCCATTCCAATCGCCACCAACCACATGCATCCTATTGCTTTGTATCTGGGAGACCAGGTCGATCAATATCTGACCCACCCTTACGCGAGCCCTCTTTTCGGAGACTTCACTGGACTCCCACCGTTGCTCATACAAGCAGGCGACGCGGAGGTCTTACGTGACGAGATTGCGTTGCTCGCCCACAAGGCGACGCTAGCCGGTGTTGAAGTTCGACACGAACTGTACGAAGATGCGGTCCACATATTCCAGACATATCCATTTCTGGACTCGGCACAACGGGCGTTCATGTCTATGCGGGAATTCGTTCGAACCAATCTTCCTCCGCAGAGACTGCATGCGCAGGCGAAAGAGGGTCTGGGTCGGGAAATACACACGGCGAGGGCACATGTTGTCCGAGGCGACGGCGAGGCGAGCGAGATCGCGAAAGAGGATCTCGAGGATGAGGAGAGAAGCTCAAGCGAAGAGGAGACGGCCAACCGCAGGGATGGCTACTTCACGAGCTGGGGACCGTCCCGGTTCTCAATGGTATCTCCACCGACATCAGACGACGAGGATGACCGAGTCGAGGATGTGTCTAGTGCTGTGGAACCCTCTCAGACACCCATGCTTCGTCGCATCAGTTCAGTCGCTTCTGTGATTCTGCCGGAACATCGAACTCCCCTCACCCGCCACTCATCGCACCATCGCCGTCGTTCCAATTCGCAAACTCAGATGCCTGCTGTCACGCCCAGTGCACCTGCACCGTCGCCGTCGATTCGCCGTAGATCGATCACCAGCCACCCTGATATCACCAAACTTGTCGAGAACTGGACGCAGCAGGGGCCGGCCAACGAGACTCTTGTCTACAAGCATCCCTCTCCTTCCTTGCGGACGCCTTAGCCTTCCTTCATTATATTATTTCTAGTATTTGTATTTGTAGAGCCACCCCAGAGTACTACGGATCTCGCTGCGGCCCGCCTTGTATTTCAAGCGCATTTTTGTAGATCTCCAGCTCCTCGATGATGTTCATCAATGCATTGCATTCCCAGTTCCCGTACAGGAAGCCTTGGTACAGCATCGTCGTCCCCAGCCAGGTGATTAGCCCCGCCAACAAAACAAGGACCGGATTGATCCACCCATGCGCATTCCACGACGAGCCTACGACCAGCGCCACGAGACAGATGACACAACCGGCGAACAAAGAGAGCTCCTTCCGAGCTCGTTGGCGAGAAAACCGGTAACATGCAGCCAGAGCCTGCATGGTCGTCGAAAGCGAGTCGGAGGACAGCTCTGAATCCGCTGGCGGAGCACCAATCGACGCCGCCATGGACCACACGTTCCCTCCCGGATCAGCCAGATCCACCGGCACATCAGAGCCCGACCGGATCTCCAATGTTGCCTCCACCGCGAAGTGGTCTGAGAACGAAAAGGGTCGAGCGGGGACGTTGTCCGTCAATAGCACGTTGCATTCCGTGCATGTTAGTGTCGGCAGCTGGCCCTCGCGTCGACCAACGCCCCGAACCGGCTGCCGATAGAAAATGTAGTCGAGACGCTTGCCCAAGAATTTACGGGCGTAGGGTCCAATCGGTTTGCCCGCCGAGTAAGTGTTTATGGGTGAGTCTGCCGTGACACCAAAGTCCGAGACTGCCTGCAGGGCGGAAGGAGACGAAACGTTCGGTGCAACGGGATGGGCCACAGCCCATGCGTCGTTCAGGGCCGCATATTCACGAATGAGAGCCATGGGTAACGAACTGGGTATACTGTTGAAGTCGCCGGCCTGGGAAGCAGAAGTCAACAAAGAAATAAGACGCATTTCAAGCCAACACTGACTGCGATAACGTAGCGCCCGAGTTCGGCGGATTGACGGGCGAGCTTGGAAAACTCCCATGCATTCACCAAACGGTGGGCTCTGTTGTGCTCCGGGCCATCTTCTCCTCCCTTGGCGTACAGCTAGGCAGAATTTGAAAACATTGGCTTGACAAGATCGATCGGCGGAAGACTCACATGGGTGTTGAAGATCTCCACCTGTCCGAGGATGGGGTGCGATATTATTATGCTGACAGCAGCCTTGCCCACGAACCAGTCGCCTCCTCCGACATCTATTGGAGAGCCATTCAACGAATACGGGTGCGCGGTCGTTGCGATTATTGGGAATCTGGAGAACAGGGCCAGCCCGGAACCCAGCGCGCCGCTTTCAACGTTGTAAGCTCGTGTCGCATGCCTGACTTGGGCACGGATGCGCGAACCTGTAGAAGAATTTGGTATATGGGAGTCGCTTTATGAGGTTTTCTCGGACGTGCTCGTAGTCTGCAAAGACCCAGATTTCTTGCAGGGCGACTATGTCGTGGTCGTACCTGGCCAACTCTCGGCGATGGCCTCGACACGTTCCCTGCGATTCTTCGAGACATATTTGAGGCCCCTTGAGTAAATCTGAGTCGTGGGAATGTCAGGAAGTTGCAAGACGCACCAGCAGTTGAGTGTGAGTATTCGCAGCTGGTCGGTCATACTTAACGAAAGTAAATTAGGTAAACCGATTGACGTGGGCTGCCATGTGTTATCACAGAGACATTATCTAATCTAGAGTAGACCAACTTCAAAGCTTGTCCCCACTCGAGGTGTCATAACGCGACTCGAACAGATTTCTGCGCTTTTCTAATACTCGAAATCGTAAAGATTTTATCAAAAGAGCCTAGAAGGGCTTCGAATCGCCGACTCCGCGTCGCGACGTGCTTGTCTTGAGCTGTTTACTTCTCGTGCCCATAGATGCACAGCCACGAATATCAGTCCTTGCCATCAACGCTGATGTCCACTGCGCCTCTGACCCCCGCCGAGTCCGTCCACTCTCGTCCCTCCTCTCTTCAAGCCGTCTCTCATCACCCCCGTATCCAGCATCGAAATCGCTACGCGTGCCGCGGACAACTTCACCCGCATCTACTACAAGGCCTATGACTCCGCCTCGCGTCTGAGCGAGCTGCCCAAGTTCTACCGGCCCACTTCCGCCCTCACCTGGAACGGCACCCCCTTCCAGGGCGCCACCGGTCTCACGACGCTCGTGGAGAACATGCCCCCGACAAGGCACGAAATACAGTCGTTTGACTGCCACCCCATCCCTGGTGCGCGTCCTCCTGTGGGTCCATGATGTGTGCCTGATTTTGGACTAGGAACGACCCCTGCTTCTCTGCTGATCGTCGTGTCTGGGAATGTCACGCATGGTCTTGGACCCTCGGGCAATCCACCTGGAACGGCTGCGAAGAACAAGGAGGGGCATCCGAGAGTGTTCTCCCAGACATTCATGCTCGTTCCCGACTCGGCAGCTCCTCCGTCCAAACCGGGAGAGCTCGCCAAGTACTTCATTAGCGCTGATGCTCTGCGTTTCGTTGGTTGAATTTGTGTGAGTCAATCTGCACTTGCCTCTCGGATTGCTCTGACGGAATTCAGGCTCACTGTCTATAATTCTCATGTAATCTCATTGCCACTCCGGTTCAATTGAAACTGTACTATTCGTCATCAGGGTCGTTGACGATGACTATGATATGTTCACCCAGCCGCCACTCGCAGTGTAGTGCGATTTCAATCCAAAAATGTACAATAAGTCCGAGCACTAATACATAAATACTGGGGATGTTCAGAACGCTGAACCGAGAACTTTCATAGCCAACGCTCGTAGGATCTGTGGAATTTCAATAAATGGGCTGAAACGACAACCGCAGGTTCACGAACCTCGGCTTTCTGTTGTCCTCCGAGTTGCGTGAAGACTGCCGCGACGCTCTTGCCTTTCGCGTCTCGTATGGCACCTAGGCGGTTTCCGGCCACAGCACCGAGCATCAGCCCAGGGAAGTTGGCAATGATGAAGCCAACGCCAGCTCTGTTCCAGCGTTATTTCATATTCGCAAAGACTGGACAACGAAACTCACCCGCACAAAGCACCGAACCAAGCCCACCTTCAGAAAGAATGAACATCAGTCACTTACGGCAAGTCGGACAGTTTGACTGACCAGGGTACCCGCTTCTCAACCTCGGGACGGAGCAACTGCGCGTCGATGTGAGCCTCTGGCACGAACGATGTTTCACACGTCCCGCACCTCCTCGAACACATCTGCGAAGACGTACTCTGCATCGGGCCTGCCCTCGGGCTGAGGGGCAGCGTTACCCCTCTGCTGCTGCCCTGCCGCGGCCCCGAACATGTTGGAAAACTGCTCAAAGAAGTTGCCTGATACGTCGGGGTCGTCGCTGCGGCTGGCGCCCGCGCGGCTCGTGTATAACGTGTCATATTCTTTCCTGCGTGTAGGATCTGAGAGAACGTAGTACGCGTCGGCCACGGCCTAGGTCGTGTTAGTGAGCTGAGGGGAGACGTGGAGATGAGGCGGCTGCGCTGCGCACTTGGAATCGTTCTGTTGCGTTCCTCTTCTCCGCCGGGGATGCATTGACCAGCCTATCAGGATGAGTCCTGTGCATGTAAGGTTGACATTCTACTCCAGGGTATCTAGAGCCTGTGAACGAACCTCAGCGACTCCTTCTTGTACGCTGTTCGGATCTCGTCCTGAGATGCGGCCTTGGTCACATTCAGAAGTTTGTAGTAGCTGCAGGGAAGCGCTGAGAAGCAGGGCAAGAGGGTTAGATCGAGGACGTACTCGGGAAACGGGACATGATGAGGTCGTGGTATCGTCACGATGCGGGGTAAGTGAAGCGACAGACTCCAGGCAGTTCAAGCACTTATGTAGCGAATCAGTCCACATACGTCACTGATGGAGCTGTTCAATCTAATCTTATCTTACTCGTACACAAAGTGAAACCCGACAACAGCAAGTACAAATACATAACCGATAAGGATAGTTACAACTACCCGGCCGCATCCGACTGCACACGAGGTGGTGTTCGAGGTCGCTCAAATTCTTGTGCCTCGGGGATTTCATCGCTCAACTTCCGTGGTCCGCTGATGAAAGGACGTGGCCCCCGTCTAGCTGCAGCGCCACCCATGTTTCGGCGGGGACCGCCCAGAGGGGATGCGACTGCTGGAGCAGTTGAGCCGAGAAACAGGGGTTTCAGCGCAGGATATTCGTAGGGACTCGATGGCTGAGCGGTGAGCGGACTAGAAGATGAGGGAGGAAGGGATGTGATGGGTGGGGCAGTCGAACTAAGCAACAGAGGTCGCAGATTCGTCGTCACGGGGGAGCTACGCATCGCGCTCTCGTCGCTTTCAGCCAGGCTCAAGTTGCGCTGATGCTCGCCATGTATGCCGGGAATTGAGAGATCTGAGAATAGATCAGCACAACTCAGCTTCGATACGTGGCTGGCTCTCACCTCCGATGAAGGAAGTCACGTCGTATTGGGTCCCACCGGACTCATGTAGGGGACCCCCGTTCTTGACACGGGCCATGAACTCTTCGGCTTTGGGTGTGCCCCCAGCCCTGATCGACTCGGGAAAAGACGAAACCCGGTCGTTAAGCACAAATGGCGGCTCCGGGAAGATACTTAACGAAACTCGCTCCGAGAATCTGACTCTCCGTTGGACATGAGCGTTGCTCGCGGGTCTCCGGCAGTCTCAGGAGGAGGCGAATCCTCTGTACTTTCGGGCTGCGCTTGGAGTGATTCGGTCGAAAGAATGCGCAGTGCGGCGATGCTCTGATCGAGCTCTGTCTGCTGGCGGAGCAATTCATCAAATGAGTTGAGCGATGCCTGAGAGCCACGCGAAGCTTGGGAGTCTTCCTGATAAGCCAGAGCTGGAGTCAATGATCGATGGGAAAGAATCGGGGAGTCAGCTGCCGTCGCTAAGATCCCATTGAGCCCATAGACGGGGGAATCCGTGCCCCGAGGGTCTTGCACGACCGACACAGAAGGGACCGTCAGATTCGGTGTCGCCATTCCATAGTACGAGGCAAAAGAAACTGCCGTCTGGGGCCGGTGTGAGGAGGCTTCAGTCGTGGGAACTTCCAAAGTGTTCGGCGTGGGAGGAACGGGTAACTTTGACGACACCAAGGAGACTGGCGGTTTTTCCTCGACACTCTTCTTGACATCTGATCCTTCAAAGACTTTCTCCTGCATCGGAAGGAAGCCGAGCTCTGGATCGCGTGCGTGCCAGAGTTTCTGCTCGTCGCTCTCGGGGCGTAGCAACCGGCGACCGCTAACGTTCATCCACGTCGAGAAGCGACTGACAACGGAGTCACGGGAAGATGCTGCTGTCACTTGAGGGGCTGCTTCCGAGATGGCGATGAACGGGGGAGAGATGAACGGGCCATCATCGGCTTTGATCGGGGCTCCGGTGAAGAAAGAGCTGCGCCTCTGTCGCACTGGTTCGACGAACTGCTGCGGCTTGTAGAAGGTGAATATGAGCATGTTGAGGATCAGCACATATGACTCGACGGCCTGCATAAATCGCCCCAAGGTCGTTTCCGAGAACTGGACTGGTGATCATGAATATCAGATGACGACGAGGACGAACAGAATCGCTTACAGAACAGAAGATTCCCGGTGCCGATGCCAGTGCTGATCATCAAGGCAAGCATGGGCACAAGGTATGGAGTGAAAGGGCGCCACCATGGTGTCACCGTCGAAAGATAAAGATTGAGCAGCAGTTTGGCCATGAGCAGCACCGACACTGAGATTTGAATCGTCGACTCGGCGACGTAGATGGGCGAATATTGGGTGACAAGGCGCCAGATGACCTGCAGAGCCACAATAGAGATGATGGCGCCGAGAATGCCATATTTGAGAATGAAACCCAGAAAGCCCCAACGCTCCCAACTCGCGCTGTGCAAACGCATCTGGGAGCGCCTTGGTTCTTCTTCGCCACGGGGCTCATATCGGGGGCGCTGCGCAACAAAGGCCCACAGATAGAGGAAACGGAATCCAAAAGTCAGCGCGAAGCCAACCTCCCTGGTCTTGATAATGCCGGCGACAGTCTCAAGGCCGGTCCCTTTCTCCGTCGCCTGCGCGCCTCGGATGAGAATTTGTGTCAAATCAAGGATGGCGGAGCCAAAGGCCAGGAGGGATGAGGAATACAGATACACGGCAGGTCTGAAAAACTTGAGTGGCGGCAACACGAAACGGGTTGGAAACACACAGGTTGGCGCGTCGCATGACGATGAAGAAAAGAAAGACAGCCAATGCAGTCAGGCCAAGACAAAGGAATGGAATATCGGACAAGACATATGCAAGCTAAGGATGCGTCAGACGGGGTGCAGGCAGGGAGAGAGCATACGACGCACTGTCGCGTTGTTACTGAGACTCAATCCCGTTACGTCCGACATCGTTACAGCGGGGAAAACCAAACGCAGATAGAATCCAGTGCGCGAGGGAGAGAAGAAATGTTCGTCGACTGGCGGGAGAGAAAATGGAGGGGGCGACGCGGCAATGAAGCGGACGCAGAATAACGATAATCGAAACGAGAAGGGTGAACGGTCTCGGTGGGGCCTGCACAACGGGAGCCGTTCTGGAGCGGCAGAGAGAATGGGTGACCGCTGGCCTGTGAGGTGGTGGCCGTCCTCCTTGAGGGTGGCTGCAATCGGGTATCATAACTGTTATTGAGAATCTGGATTCTGGGTCGCCGGTCGCTGACAACCAACTGATCCCGATGTTTGATCTGATCAGGCGTTTGCGGATTTTATGTCCGGGATCGTTGTGGGTCCTTATTGCGATGGGTTGCCCTGGATCTCCGTTTTCCGGCGCACCGAGCGGCGCGAAGGTCTTGCGCGACTGAGCAGCTCTGCGGCACACACGATCGACGGAGGTTGTAAAATGGTATGACACTCGAAGGTCGCATCAACCTCTGACATCTGGCAGCATCAACGATGGGTCATCTTGGAAAGGGGCCAGCACAAACTTTAGAGTAGGCTTCAAAAAAACTGCATTGCGAGCCTAGACGTGTCCGAGCCTAGATGCATGAGTGAATACGTGCATCGCTCATTACCTCACTCGCCCCGAAAAAAACGCGCACCATCAAGCAGCGAGTCTAAAACGTCTCGCACGCCAACATTTGACTGAGATGCACTGGGGTGACCGCACTCCTGAGAGAACAGGCACGGACAGGCACCCCAAAATGGTCCCCGAGTCGGCCCGCCCCGGGAGTGAGCTTGGTCAACTAAATTTGCAATCACCCTAAGCGAGCGAGTAAGTCACGTGCATATCATCAATTTCAGGTGCTCGTCCTTGAGACCCGGATAGGAAGGTCTGCGTGTAATTGTCTATTTTTCAACGCACGGGCCGAGTCTACGGGCTTTCCCGCCAGTCTAAGACGCGTCGGGACTGCGTTGCCTATCAGATCGAGATGGTCAGACGTTCGTATGTCTGACATGTCCGAGCGACCCGCGGACTTTTATCTTTAACGCAACTTTGCACGAAGAGTTCTCGGTACTCATAGGCCCAGCCGTGAGCGGCGTCGCGCTCAAAGCGAGACTGGTGAATTTCTTGATCTCGTGTGATCTGGGCGCGGACAGTGCGGGATGATGATGTCAGATTGATTATTCATCATGTCCCAATGAGAGAATCGTCCCACTGTTGTGGCGGATCTGTATATATAAACTCGGCCCATGTCTACATGTCCATGCTGCGATCCATTCTCTTTGGCTCCTCCCATTCCGCCTCCGCTGTTCCGCCACCAGCAGCGATCGCCCTTGTAACTGCGTCATAACAAATACTCCCGGGAATTACATACATCCGATTAGGGACATGTCCCAATAATTCTCCATGTCTGGGCGCTCTTTCATTTGCCTCACCATGTCCACGGCATCGGTATCGCAGAGGTCGCTCCTGGTCACGCTGGCGGCGCAGGCCATGAGCTCGGTGGGATTCAGCGTGGTGCGTGTTAAGAGCTACTTCATTGATCATGGCTAATTGCAATTGGTCACCCTGCGCAGAGTATCCTAGCATGGCTCGTCCTCTCTGTCGTGCCATTACCCAAGCAAGAGCCGCCCGTCATTCCCGACAAGAAGACGCGACGTCGCTCTGCTCCTGCTGCCCTACCAACACAAGCGCCCCGACGAGACTCTTTGACGCCCTCGCTCCTCACATCGCAGTCGCCCAAATCACCCTCCATCCTCGATTCACCAGCGCGGACGCGTCGCGTGTATTTCGCAGACTCCCCAACTACCCCTTCACGACCAGTGCCATCGTTGCTCGGCAGCTCCAACGAACCCTCCGATAAGCCGCTACCCGCCTCGCCGCAGGTCAGCCCGAACTCGTCGTCATCGACACTGGTGCACCCGTACACCACCATCGCCACGCCGACCCTCGAAACATTCCGCGAATCTGCACTTGAATCTGACTCCTCGTCGACCACGGCAGCCTCACCGCGCCGCCCCTTGGCGCTGTCACGCCCGTTCCAGAAAGCGACGCGCCATTCCTCCGGGAGCCCTTCCATTGTTGAGGCGACAGTTTTGCCAGGTTCGTATACACAGTTCATCTCGGCTTGTCGAGATTGACGGGTCGCAGGCAACGCCGGGTCTAAACCCCGCCGCTCCAGTGGGGGTTTCTCGGCACCCTGGCCGCTTCGACGGACATCTACATCGAAAAGCACATCCTCGGGGACGAGCTCTGATCGGTCGATCCCGAGGACTACGACTATGACATCGACCACGACCACGTTTATCTCGACACGACAATCGAGACCATCCCGGCGTGTATCCACACCCGCTCCAAGGACGCTGCCTTATGCGTACCCCTATAACGCCCAACCGCCTGTCGATGACGACGCGTATATTGCCTATCTGAGGAGCTTGCCCCAGTTCGATCAGTCAAAGAGTCTCGGCCTGTCTGAAACTGGAGAACCGTTTCCAAGGGCAAAGGGAATGTCAAGGCGCAAGCTGCTTTGGGACACGGGCGTCCCACCCACCGTCCATTCACGCAACGTGCAGCCAGCGAGAGTTGGGCGGCTGGGAAAGATCCGCGCGCCGTTTTATCTAACTGAACATCTTTATCGTATTTGTATGTCCACTCCTGCTTGCACTTCTCTCCCTTCTGAACTGACTGGATTTCAGACGGGCTTATGAGCACGGCACGAGTAATATCAAGTAATGAAGTAAACAAAACTGCACTTTGTACCATTAGCGCACGTCAACAACATCGCATTCCTCGACATAGACATAGCACATGCCCGACTTAGCCCTGGTCACTCGTTACTCGTTAGACCGTCGTTGGTCAGCAACGCAAGGATTGCTTGGACAACGGGGTTCTGGCCTGTGGTATTGAGCATGGCCCCTTGTTCGATGCAGCGCTGAAGCTGCGCGTCCAACAGCCGACGGAGCTGATTGACAAGCACCCCGATTCGCGGCCAGGCTCGCAGCCGAACAAAGCTCGTCTTGGTACCGACAACCAAGCCGCCAGCAACGTGGTTGACTGTGACGGGTCCACCGAACAGGAGCAGTGCATACATCGGCACCTGGTGGCATCCCGCAGGAAAACCTTGCTTGTCTGATGCTTGTTGAAGTAAAACACGAACGGCGATCTCCACGCGGCAACATCGAAGAGCATGCTCGTGGGATGCAGGAAGACGCGCTCCGAATCCGCGCGGATGTCGTACAAGCGGAAGTCCTTCGCGAGATTCTCGCGCTGAATCGTCCCGGCGGAGAGCTTGTCGAATTTGATCGCAGATTTGGGTAGCTGGACGCGGGCGACACGTGGCCAGAGCCCGCCCAGGATGACTGCCTTGATGAGATTGTAGTTAGCGCTGTTTGTGTTCAACTCTGGCGAGGCTGGGTTTGATGACAGGGGGATGAAGCCCAGGTCACAGAGCGAGCCGATGAAGTCGGTTCGCAAAGTCGTGATGTCCCGCACGGTTGTAGCCGAGATGAAGTTCTGGAGGGGAGCGCTATCAGTCTTCGGATAAAAAAACAGGACTGGATCCACTCGCATCTTCACAGAAGTCTCGGATAGCAGCTTGGCCCTTGCCGTCTTCACGCAGTTTCATGCAAGCGTTATAGGCTTGGAGATCAGTGAGCAGATCGCTGCCAGCGGTGGAGAACCGACTCCGCGCTCTGTGTTATGCATCAACAACTCGGGCCCTCGCTTGCGGAAGTATTCATTCACTCACTGCGCAGCTTCATCTCGCTTGTCGACGGGCGTCAGGAACAAAGGCTTGGAAGACAGCGCGGCAGCAATCGTCAGAACAGGTCCCAGGCATTGAAAAATGGTTCCCAGCACAAGCATCTTGGCTAATCGAAGGTCCACGGGAAGAGCGGACTGGAAACAGGATGAGCAGGGACGATGCAAGTGGCACGACGAGATTCACGATATGTCTGCCTAGCGGAGTTAGCCGGCCCTGTAGGTCAACGGCACCCAGATCCTCAAGAACGGCCCAAGCGGCTTCCATCGCGGACACTTTGGGCGGATCGATGGCACGCTTCAAGAAGAGCTTGACGTCCTCCTCTTCACGCATAACCTTGACCGTCAGAGAGATGCTCTCCAAGGGGACACGGAGAATCTCCGGGACAGGAAACTTGCCCATGTTGTTCTCCTGATTCCTGGTGTATAATTTGTAGCAGAACCCGGGCTGCGTTCGACCTGCTCGACCTCGGCGCTGTCGTCCTGCCGCCCGCGTGATGTAGGTTTCGACGAGTCGCGAAAGGCCTGTCTCGGGATCGAACTGCGTTTCCTTGACTCGCCCGACGTCGACAACATAGATGACGTCGTCGATCGTGATGGAAGTCTCGGCGACGTTGGTGGCCGCGATGACCTTCCACTTGGATGTCTTTACAAACACACGTCGCTGCTCGTCGCTCGAAAGATTCGCGTGGAGTGGGTGGACCTCGGCCTGGCCGCTCGGAAGGCTTTTCCGCATCGCATCCATGCATTGCCGGATTTCTGGCACACCGGGAAGGAAGATGAGGATGCCGCCGCGCTTCTTGTCTGGATCGGTGACGATATATTTCACAATCTCTGCGATGAGCTCGGAATACTCAATGCAGGCTCAAAGGCAGCGGTCATACTCGGGGCTCACCTGATAATCAATCCGTTCGTTACGACTGATGGTTTGAATCGCGGAGATGCTGGCGTCATCTAGTCCTTGAGATTTCTGCTCCTCCCTGAACTTGTTCAGGGCGTCTCCAGTCTCTTTCTTGCTGAACTTCGTTGCCTGTGGACGATAGCCGATGCGGGGAATGACATCCTCCAGATACCTGGGCAACCAAGTTAGCGGCGATCCAAATTGGATGTGTCAATCTGAACTTACAGGTCAGTGACAGGATGAGTGAATCCGGGGATAGTCAGCAATGGAGCTCCACCAAAGTATTGGATGAACGTTTCGTGGTTGATAGTAGCAGACATCAGTACCACTTTGAGTGTCTTGTGTTTCTTGAGGAGCTCCCGCAACTCGAGCAAAAGAAAGTCACCGTCGACAGATCGCTCGTGCACCTCATCGACGATGATATGGCTGACACCGTCCAGCGCATCTCCTCCACCAAGACGGCGGAGAACCACACCAGTGGTGCAAAACAGCAATTTCGTTGTCTTGGAGACTTTGCTTTCGCCCCGAATCGCATAGCCCACGGACCCGTCTTCTATGCGTTCAGCCGCAACACGAGCTGCGACGGAGATCGCCGACAGACGACGCGGCTGGGTGACGATGATGTTGGCAGATGCCCCAGCATCCGCATCGATCAGCGCGTCGAGAATGAATTGGGGCAGCTGGGTCGTTTTCCCGCATCCAGTCTCTCCCACAACCACCACCACGCGACTCTTATCCAGGACATGGAGAAATTCGTCCTTCGCCGTAAACGCAGGCAATTTCTGTCTAGCAGCAAGCATATCCTTGTACTATGATGTCGTCAGCCGGATATGAATGTGGATATCCCAGGATCTATACCTTCAGACCTGCACGGAGATGATCGAATTCTTGCTTGATCTGGGCACTGTTTCGCTCGTCACGGCGATGGGATCCCGGGCCCCTCTTCTTGCGTCTGTTTTCCTCAGGCGCCCGGACATCAGCATGCTCATAATCCACGCCCTCTGTCTCCTCCCTGGGAACGAGGTGCCACAGCACGACAGCCATATCAGGCGGTCCTTCGTCCTCGATTACTGCCCACGCTGCTTCCAATACACGCATAGAGGCCATGCAGAGCCCTTCGCCCGGCTGGATAAAGTTCTCGGTGTCCTCCATCTCCTGCAGCAGCTGCGAGACGAGATGCAGTCTCACGTACGCCGCTATAGTGTTGGATGTGACGAAGAGTGGCGCGAAACCAGGCCGTGGATATCTCTTCTCCTCAGAGATGGGGATGTGTAGTTTGACAGGTGCGCTGAAAAGGGGCATCACGAGCATGCCGTCTTCGACGGTCGCACCCATGGCATCCAGTTCATCTGGATCGATCGTGAATGGCTCGCCATCGCTCGAGGCGTCGACGCCGATGAGCTTGCGTCCAAGCAAAGTGAGGAGGGTGTCGTAGTTATCGACAAGACTCTGATCGCTGTCTATGCATGCTTGAACGACATGGACTGGGTATCCTGCCTCCTTGGACATCTTGTCCTCGACCCAGCGCCTCTTGACGTCGTCCGAGCCCGAGTGGATGGCCGTGACGAACGAGCCAGAGGAGTTTCCCGACGGCAGAAATCGTTGGGGAAGATCACATTCCGGCAAGTGCAAGATGAGATACTCGATCGCAGCTTCCAAGGGGATCGCGAGTTCATCAGATTGCTGGTGATAGCAGACGGTCGTGACAGGAAATTGCACGCTTTGGCGGCCTGGCTTGGAGCGAATCCCAAAGTGATTAGCTGCTGATTCACATTCGGCGCATCTTCCTCCGAGAGAACCGACGGCGCAACATCGGCCGCTTCTGGGAAAAGCGAAATGGCTTGTTTGATCGCATCCTCCGTGAGATCACGGAGGGCTCCAGCCATCTTGACTTCTGGCGCCTGTGCGAACTCCCCCGTGGCAGCTGGGGGTCGGGGAGCCGATCCTCGTTGCAGGTCTTCGATGGACTCTGGCGCAGGAGCTGCTACTTCTTGCCGCTTCCGGAGGCTCTGCGATTGCCTCTCCTCCACTTCCTTCTTGGCAGCGAATGGATCTGCGGCGTACATCCACTTTTGATGCTCCGGACATTTGGCTTGTTCTGCTGCCAGCTGATTCCAGTATTCTCTCGGACCTGGTGGTAAGCCGTAGTTGAACTAGAGCGGAATAGAATCATGGTGGAGAGAGAGAGAAGATTGTCACAGACCTGGAAGCCGTTCCCAAACTAGACAGACATGATATCAACACACACACAACAAACGGGAGTACGGCAAGGAAACCCCGAACTGACGCGATGCAACGCGTAGGTAGCTCCCCAGTGACGCGCTTCGATTGCGGAGGGGGATACATAGGGAGGATGTGGCTCCATGCGCACAGTCTCCTTCTGCCCGCTCTTCTTGTTGATCCTGGCCAGTGTGACCGTAAAGCTATAGCCGGCCTGCTGCCTTCTCTGCGGCCCAAGGATGAGACGCAAGGAGCCGTGTTGGTACAGCCGACTCACAGTGTCGATGACTGCCCTTTCCCATCCATTCTTTTGGCATCTAGATATGACACTGAGAATCCGATGTCAGGGATTGCCGCGATCGCCGCCGCACCTCTCTTGCAGCAAGCTCAGTGGATACTTGTACCCCGGAGGAAACAGTGGCTGTCCATCTAATTGAGGCGCGCCGGAAGTTTCTGCACTCGGGGCAGGTTTCGCCGTCGCTTTGGATGAGTTTCCTGCGTTGCCGGACTTGACGATCCCTTTGCGAGGCGGCATTCCAAAATCGTTTCTTGTTAGGAGGAGAAACTGGACAGTCTAATAAGTTGGAGTATGAATCATAAACGTCGAGCCGAGCGGGACCGAGGACGATGGATGATTGATCGCGTGCAAAGTTTAGTAGTACATGGATCCTCAAATCTCCAAGGCAGACTTGATGTCTATACTATATGCATGTGGCGGTGCCGGCACCTCATATAATGCTCACGTGCGTCTCAAACAACTTCACCAGAGCCCCTTTCACCAACCCGAAGCTCGACATGTCCAACCAGGACTAAAACTCGCGGCTCTCCCTCGTCCTGTCGCTCCTGCATCCCCAAGCCGGCTTCGGTCTCCTACTCGTCTTAGCCACTCACTCTTCGGAGTGACATCTAACCCTAGTCATCTCGAGGCTTCCACGCGTCTTTCTTCCGCTTGAGGGCATTTCCCCGTCCTGTCGTGGGTCTTTGGGGCGATCCAGTTTTTTTTTTTTGGGATATGCGATCGAATGTTGCGCGTCGGGCGCGTGTGGTCCTCTTTGGAAAGCCAGATATCACTGCCGCAATGAAGTCGCTGCCACTCTCACCGCGTCTCCGGCACGTGTCTGGCGCGTTCCGTCTTCGATACGCACAGAGCCCTGTCTGTGTTGCTCCGGGATCCCGGCCTGTCACTGGCAGCTGACCCGACACGTACAGAAAGCTGAGGCATTTTGGGCTTCGGCTCCATTATGTATGCTTTCAAGTCGGCGAAGTTGCTTTTAGACGTGCAAGGGAGAGCGACGCCTGAAATGCAGGACTTCTTCTCGGAGACGGAGCGTGCAAAGGGCACTAGAGACTGGTCCGGGTTTTGTGGGTACTCAATGCGGAAACGGAGCGGTGCCGCACAGTCTGCTTTCCGAACGAGCATCGCGCCCACTGGGACACCGCACAGGCCTTCTTAGGTCAGCCACCCAGTACCCCCATGCGCTCGATTCTCTCGCACTCGTTCTATCCCTGACTTGATCGCGGCGACGCCCATCACAAGCTCCACGCACAAGACGCTGGAAGCCTAAGCCTCAGGCTTTTCCCCTGGTCTGTGCTCGGCACAAGTCCAAATCCCGGCTTCGTTTGCGTTGTGTTCCGAAAGCCGTGGGCCGCCTCTCTTCTGTCTGCATCAGTTCGGCTACTTGCTTGCGTCGAGAGGACGAGGTCCAGAAGCGCCGGCGTGTGCATCGAAACCAACCTGGCTTCACGAGTACGGTTGAATTGGAGATTTGGCTCGAGCTCTGCGCTGTGACGTTCACGGACTCGCACAAGAGAGCGGGCGGTTCCTGGGCTGTGGACATCTCGTGTCTTGGTGAAGTGTGCTGCGGCATCGGCAATGCTCTGCTCCGGTAATGCTGCCGCTGTTCCGGTGCTATTCCACCTCTGCTGTGCCCTCGATGCCCGATTTTCGCTTGCTCCTTCTCAGGAACATCGACCGTGTATGGCTCAAGGCTGTCGCTTCTGTGAATCCTCTGTCCGACTCTCTAACGCGACATTTTGACGAATGGGACGCGGCAGTTATCACGAGCAGTTTGGTTGTACTGCCCCTCCATGCTCAGGCTGCAGAACGCTTTACGCTGCATGGTTTTGTTATTCACCGAAGCATCCAAGACCCAGTCCATCGAAACTGTTTGGCTGCAGCTGATCTTAGCTTCTCTGCTCCTTCTTGTTCTATATACCTTTTCCTCGTCTGTCGAGAGGACTGGTGGCCTACGACGCTGCTGTTTGTTTTGTTCTCTTGCTCCACTCGCTGTCTGGATCTCGTTGGTTTCTGCGTTGGGATGGTTCTGGCCGACGTCTCTGTGTTTGCGGTACCTTCGGGCCGTCGCAATAGAGATTCGCTCTCGAGTTCAGACGACGCTCATGCGCTGGGTCGCTCTTCACAGAAACACCAGCTTGGTCCATCGAGGCACGTGTTTGGTTGAAGGCTCAAATTCAGTAGCTGAGGCACTTGGACTCTGGACGGATTGGATCTGTGTTGCAGCTGGAGCGCGGACAAGAAGATAGTCAATTGCACGCTGGGAGTGTAGAAGCTGGCGAGATGTCCGTGTGCGTCTTGGACGAGAAGCTGTGCGGCTAGGGCTTTTCTTTTCACTCATGGTTGACACCGCTGCTCGTGGTGACTTGGTTGCGGTCGTTCGAATGACGAATGAGGGGAGGGGATATTCTGAACTTCTGGCTGTCACCCGACGGCCGGAGGTGAGGATAACTTGCCAGGGGATGCTAATGATGTGGCTCACGGCGGGTTGGCCTTTGGCCTCGCAAGTGAGACGGCACCTCAGGGGATCATGGATTGGCCCCTTTTTATGGACACGGTGGTTCCGTCAGCAATTTTTCAAACCTGCAAGCCTTCGGGCCGTGAAGCCATCATTCGTGAGGCTGGGGCGGTGTCCCTGCTGATGGAGCGGTGATGCGCGATCAATGTTTACGAAAACAGGCGGCTAATCATCCCAGATTAGATTCTGATTCACCCGGCCTCAGTCCCTATACATTCATCGCTTGGAATCTTACCAATGTACGCGGTAGGATGACTAACTGCAGGGGGCCATGAACACTATAAGAGCTCAATGCCGATACCGACATTCTCTACTCAAGCATCAACCAAATAGACAATGGCCACTAGCTTCCTTTCCGCCCTCACCGTTCGCCGAACCAACTACACGATTACCTCCAAATCTCCGATCTCCGATGCCAGAATCGAAGAGGTCATCAGGGAATGTCTTCTCCACACCCCATCGGCTTGGAATTCGCAATCTGAACGGGCTACTATCGTTCTCGGCGAGCAGAACAAAAAGCTCTGGGCAATCGTCTCAGAGAAAACCCTTCCCGGGATGCCAGAGGGTACGTTCCACTCTTTTAGTTGAGTGCGTGTGAGCTGAGGAATGCGCGCAGAGCTCAAAGCAATCATGAAGCAGAGGATGGACGGGTTTGCCAACAGCTACGGCTCCGTCTTGTTCTGGGAAGATCAGACCGTCATTGACGGCCTAGTCCAGAAATTCCCTTTGTACGAAACGTCTGCTACTTTACTTCCCCTCATGAAGCTGATTTCTCTTTCTCTCTCTTTCAGGTTCGGTCCGGTGGTTCCTGTGCTGGGCCACAACTCGGCTGGCATGTTGCACGGGAATGTCTGGACTGCGCTCGCTCTCGAAGGACTCGCTGCCAGCTTGCAGCATCACGGGGCCAATCCCGTCCTAGCCGCGGCCATCCAAGCTGAGTTCGGGCTGCCCAAGACTTGGACGTCCACGGCGATCATGCCCTTTGGTGTGGCAGCTCAGCCTGCGGGCGAGAAGGCATTTGGACCGATCGAGCAGCGTCTCAAAGTCATCAATTAGATAATAGATACAGCAGCACAGATCGACATTAGATAGACCCAGGGAAAAATACATCATCATCAACAACAAGCACGTCTATTCTTCGTCCGGCATCGTCCTCTGAGTGTGTGCACTCGTCGCAACCGACACTTTGGACGAGTGGAAAGGGGAATCGGGAAAGGCGTCTTCTGGCTGCCCAATCACATTGGCGCCGCCGAGATCGCCTTTCTTGGGCTTATTTTTCTTTTTGCCCTTGAAGCGAGGCCACGACTTGTCTTTTGTCGGGGTGACATTTGCCTAATGGAACATATGAGACGAATGACAGATGGGGAAAGAACACGGGCACGCACCGGTTGGTTGTTCATCTCCATGATCGAGCTCGTCCGGTCAATTTCGAAGAATTCATCCACTTCTTGCGGGGTCAGCTCCGACGCGTCCTGATCCGTGAACGGATTCTCCACTTCCGTCGTGCTCGTGCTGCTCTTCTTCCCCGCGCGCAGGTAGACCCGCGACCCGCCGAGGAACGGATTGTTTCCCTCTGATGCCCGCAGCCGATCGCGAAGCGACTTTTGGCGCTGCTTGAGACCAGGCGGGATCCATCCCCGTTTGCGCAGATTCTCGACCTCAGCTTCTCGTGCTTCGTTCGGGGACATGAGCGTCTCGCCCTCATGCACGGACTCGACGATGGTTTGCTTCGCGACGCTGAACAGCGAGAGCGGGTTGAGATAGCCGAAGATGGACGTCGGTCGCTGCTGGTTAAATAATGCAATAAATGAGCACTCTGAACTTGCTACCAGGGTGTACAGGCTAAAATCCACCCGCTCTCCCGATTAGAATCCACGCACCTGCTTTGGTGCTGCACGCTCTGCTACCGACTCGACCTCATCGTCCTCCTCCTCGTCCTCTGTCGGAGCAACAGGAAGCTGCTTCTTCTTTCCCTTGGCTGGGGCTGGAGGTCGACGGATGAGTCCCCCAAACCAGCTCTGGCGACGGCCGGTTGAAGTTGCAGTTGCAGTACCCGCGGTAGAGGATGATGTTTCCCCTCGGTGGTGGATCCCATGTACAATTCGGCTCCCCACAGACCTCAAACTGAGGCTATCCGACTCGTCTTTCCGGTCGCTTCCGTCGCGCACATCAAACCGCGTGATGACCCCAGCCGACATGCGGTGCGCGAAGTGCTTCTGCACGAGGATCGTCTGCAGAGAAGTGTCGTGTTTCCATGGGCGCACTTTCGACCACGAGCCCGAGTCCGCCGGTTGCTCGATGAAGATGCGCACGCCCACGGGGCGGAGCCGCAGCGTGTTGACCTCGAGGATGCGTTCGAGGGACTCGTAGTCGAGCACGGCCAGCTCCTCCGGGGATATCGAGAACGTGCGTGTCCATCCGTGACGTCTAGCACACGACAAGAGGGTCAATCACACAATCTTCCACTGCCACGCGCGGACGCTCTTCGTACATTGCTACGCAGTTCAGATGCCCATCTGCGTGTCCGTCGTGTCGTCCCACAGTCCCCGGCAACGTCTTCGTGCTGTGCCCTGAGAAGTGCGTTTCGACCATCGATGTCCCGGCGGTTTCCTGCATCGCACAAAGAACTCAATGAGCAAGGGCGCGCACAACGACGAGAGACAAAGAAAGGCGGGGGCGAAATGATAGGGACTTGTATTTTATGGGGTAACGCTAGCAACTGTGGTAGAGCGGAGCGGCATAATATCGAATCGGCAGTACTACTCGGATCGAAAGGACGGGGGGAGACAAATGCGGCAGTAAAGCCCATTGACAGGAACACACCGATTGCGCACTGTTATAGCTGCCGTGCCCGTTAGATGGCGACGGGCGTGACTTTTGCGTGAACATCGTCCCAGATGCCTCTCGCAGCAGATTAGGGAGGGCACTGAGGGTCAAGGCGGGAAGATTGTGAAAGAAACGTGGTTGTCGTGCCTTGGATTTTTACAAGGCAAGGTTGTTCCCATGTCAACTACATAGTGGTGACATCATAGCGTTAAGACCGGAGCCAAGCTCTGCGTCGCAAGGGCAGTCCGAAGGGTGGATGGGTAGCTTTTCCACACCAAATGATATCAAGGTTGCACTGCGATTCTACCAAGTTCGATCGGAGTGGCCACAAGACGATGTGTTTTTGGATGTGTATGAATTCTGCGATTTACATGCTATGTGCGAGTGAGTGATATCTATGAGAAGAACCCATGCTGGAAAGTAAGTTACGACGCGACAGCATTGTAATTCAAGTTACTTTGCGCCGTATACTGCTTGTAGTGGTATTTTTACCTGGTGCCATAATTCTCGACTTGGGCATCGGCAAGCGGCTCATGGTCGGAATGCCAGACGTCCCAGTGGGTCGAGGAAGTGAAGAGACAGTGGGCGCGTTAGGCGGAACTTGTCGCAAAGGGCGCTTAAGCACTGGTGCGGCGGACACCATCTTTTTTGTCGGAGCTGGTTCATCAACAACTGGAAGAGCGACTCTCTTCGGTCCTGTGATATTCCTGTTCCCGGTAGCTATTGCAGGGTTTGGAACCACTGTAGTCGCGCGTCCTCTGTCGTTGGACTGCACAGGGACTCTCCTCGGTCCTGGTCCCTCTGCAATAATCTGTCCTGTAGATGGTCCCGCGGTAGTGGGGGGAACGGGGGAAGGCGTGCGAGTAGAGATAGTCCGGACGGGTGCGGTGACGGCCTCCGCAGATGGTTTCCGCACAGCAGCGACCGTAGGCTCCGGCCGTTTCCTCTTGATTATCTTCAAAGCTGGAATCAGTGCCGGAGGTGCAGGGAGAGTATTCATTGAGGCCTGGGGAGGTGTGGCTTTCTGGGGAGCTGGGGCTACGAAGACTGGGGCAGGGGGGGTGGATAGATGAGGAGATGGTGCTGTTGTGACGACTGAACGGAATTAATGTACGCATACCACGGAGGAATGAGACGCACCGGGAGGAGGCACTTCGACAGGAACGACAGGAACATCTTCAGCGACATCGTCATCGCCGTGCACAAGACTGATGTCGACCAGACCTGCAGTCGGTACTTCTACACAAAAAGTCAGTCAAGTGAAGTGAGACAGGCGATTTCAAGATGATTTAACATACCAACTGGGATGTCCCCATTATGCGGAGGCATCATTCCATCCAATTCAAAACTCTCTTCTACCCCCTGATCTAAGAACGAGATCTTGTCATTCAATAGGTCAAAGCTATCGTCTAACCCCATTCTGAGGTTCAGAGCGAAAGACGCGTGCATGTCAACAGCAGAGGTCGATAGGTTACCTGAGCTCGGCGTGTGTGCTTGCGGAGGCAGCGCATGAGGGCGAGGTGACGGCTCCGAAGGGTGGGCAATACAACGCTGGTGTCTGCGATCAGGCTCCCGGTAGGCGTGACGAGTGGGATCGATATGAGCGAGGCATGGGGCGTAGTATCCTCCTCGCTAGACCCTGAGTCATTGCCTTGCTCCGAGATCCCGTCATCCAGAGAGGAGACGACCAGAGTCGGAGGCGGCGGGGTCGGACTGCTTGGAATGCCACTAGATCCGAGAAGTGGCGCCGGATACTTGTTTGTCGGAGGTGCAGGTCCTTGGTGGCCACTTGGAGTGTCCTGTTCCCCTCTATACGTCCTCGTACACATCGGGGTGCGTTCCACATCGTCAAGAATTGAGTCGACGGAAGGTGCATGTGGCTGAGAAATGTTCGGCTCGGACTCCCACTCGCCATCCTCATCATCGCGCCCTACACCCTCGTCTTCTCTCTCTTCAACACCCAGTGAATATGATGCCCCGTCCAAGTCCATCGTGACGTCTCCGACTTCGACGAGCCGCCGAGTTAAACGTACAGGATTCAAGTCGTTCAAGGTCGATCTCGGAAGGATACCTGTAGTAAGAAATGACGCTCCCTCGTCAAATTCAGGCAAATCCTCCCCAGTGAGAGGGTCGAACAGCTCGAGAACGCTCGGTCGGGGTCGGTTCATGACGGGGAAAGGGAACGTGGTGCTTGTCAAACCACAGTTCCTGATGCGGATAAAACGCGGTCACGAGACTGTCTTGATGTGGCAGTGCCCTGAAGCATGTCAATAATTTCCAGTAGGAAATCTGAAAGATAGCGATTAACCAGGATTAAAGCACGTAAAGCTGGCAATAAATCCTGGCAGAAGTCTAAAACAACCCTGGTCCATTGAATATCGCCTAAAATCGCTGAAGATACACCCAGGGTTACGGTACGCCAAACCTTTTGTGGGTGTCGATATTGAGAGTAGGTACCACGATCTCGTGTCAAAAATAATGAGAAAAAAGTCTCATTGGTCTTTTCTTCCCCGTCGCATCTTAGATTAAATGACTGTTATGTGTCCAACTCCTTGTTACTTTTCAGCTGACGCAGAAGGCGAAAAATGACCTTCTCTTGTCGGCAGCCATGATTGGTCGAAGCAGAAAACTGCTTATGCGAAGTAGGACTCCTCGATATCTGTGTCGGCACGTACTTTGATGATGGCGGATACTCTTTTCGTTGTCATGCAGAGATCTACATTACTGGGTATATACCTCCGCTCAGACAAGCTCTTGTCCTTGTACTTGACAAGCAGATTTAAAATTTTCTCTAAGTACTGGCTAAATCCAAGACTCGCAACGCACAGCTCTTACCCGATCTGAGATTTTCATGCGCGCCTGAGTCGCAGCAGGTCCTATGGCCAAAGGCGACCATATATTCACCAGATTGGTGACCAAATCGTGATGGGATCCCGGATCGTCATCATCATCACGCGTCTCAGAGGATGTCGGAAATCATGTGAAATTTCACACGCAGTCCGAATTGACGAGGCAGACGCGGTTGAAATACGCGACTTTCTTGCAGCAGGAGCTGGATTTTCTCGTTGCAGAGGCTATTTCTGTCAATATGTGATGGTGACGCGTCGCGTTATGTGGGAAGTGGGTGAGAAAGCTCGTGAACTGTAGCCTGTGTATCCAATCCACGTGACTGAATGTAACGAACCGTGACTTGTCTCACGTGAACGCATCACGCACGCGTTTCCTCTCGCCGAAGTCTTCACGCTGTCAGTCTCTGGTTGCCTCAACATCGTATGAAGCGAGACGAATACGCCACTTTGCGCGCAGAAATCAAGAGCTGGGAGCGCGATTTCAAGGCCCAGCATGGCAGAGGCCCCACGGTTGAGGAGATAAAGGAGCAGCCCGAGCTTGGTGCGCAACAACCGAACTACATATATATCGCGGAGTTATTGCTAATACGTGATCTAGCCGACAAATACCGTCGCTATAAGAAGCTCAGTAAGGTGGCGGAATCGCGTCCAGCAGAAAACACCCAACCTCTCCCCGGTTTCAACCCGTTCTCTCCAACGAAGAGCAAGGAGAGAACGAACGGGACACTGTCAAAGGGACCCCGACTGAAACCGTTCGTTCTGGATGTTCGAGAACCGTCGCCGAGCTTCGGAGGTCCCTCAGCTTCAACTTCCCATGCTTCCGACATTAGGGACCCTTTCATCACCACTCCCATCTCACGCGCGCGTAAACGACTTCGCGGCGAACCCGTATCACCATCACCGAGTAAGGACAAACGTCGGCGTATCGTTGCTTCAGGAGGAGACTCGGACGACGATATGGCAGGAGCTGCATCTTTCATAGCCGATTCGCCTGTCAAGCTACCTGCTGGTGGCCGGTCCTTCCAACAGTTATTTGACGAAACAACCGCTGCAAAGCCTGCCTTCCCCGCGTTGCATGGGAAAAGGCCGAACGCCAATCTACTTTTGTCGATCGGCGCCAGGAGCAGGCCAAGACACGACAAGAGTGTGTTTCCTGCCTCGTTGCCTCCAGAACCGGCTCTATCGTCTCAGGGAGAGGATGACCCGTTCATTGACAAGGAGCCGGCGAAGGCCAAGGTCGCAATCCCGGACGATGAAATGATGGTGGACGATCCTGCACAACAAATCGACTCAATACCGTCCGAACCTCTTCTTCCACCCTCCCCGACAGCACAGCAGACGAAGGCGTTGCCTGCTCCTCATCTCAAGGGAAAGGGCAAGGCAGGGCCTGGGCTTAAGAAAGCAAATCTCACTCTTGGAGATGATAGTGATTCTGACAGCGAGATGTATGGCACGCAGCCGGCGGTGAGGATGTTCGATCGAACAGCCTCTACTAGCCGTGTTTTGGACAGTGACATGGATGAAGACGCGTTTAATCTCATGCCCAAGGCTCATTTTGGCACGGAGGACGATGGCGATCCCGTTCCTGCATCATCGGAAGCTATCTTGTTGCCTGATAGTCTCCGCGCCGTACTTTCTCTCGCTCCGACAATTCGTGATGTGCCAGATGAAGGAGTGGCGAAGCATTTGCTCTCTGGTGACCAAGGATACTATGATGCAGTGAAGGGCGGAGAAGTTTGGGGAGTGGGAGAATTTGGCGAAGAGGAGCAGGATGAATTCGCTGCAGGGCAGGTCAGCAGGGCAGCGCAAGGAATTTACGATGAGGAAGACGAATGGGAAGGCGAGGGTGTTCCATGGGAGGTCGGTGAGATGTAAAAGCGTGGGCCGACGGGCTCTTACCCACGTGTCCTACGTCTAATTTGTAGGTTCCACGACTCATGAATACACTCCTGCGGACATGTGTGTGATGTACACGATACCGCGGAAGGCAAGGCGTGGCTTCAAGCAGGCTGGTCCAAGTAGGTTAAAACAGGAAACGACTACCTAGACCAGCATATGCCTGGTCTGTCCAGCATTCTTCCTGCACTCCACCGCCGTTCGAGTAGCATTCGAGAGCGTATTCGTACACTCAGCATCCGATCCAGCACCAGCACCAACACTACAGAATCGTACAAGCCATACTCAGTTTATCACCAAGCCGCTGCAACTATGCCGATTCCTCCAGCCATCTCCATTCTTGATTCGTCCGAGGTCACACAGAAGATCTTGGAGGCGCTGTTGGATCTACCCAACGGACGACGAGCTCTGTCGCGACTCGCCAGGACCTGCCATGCGTGGATGGACCCCACCCTGGATATTCTCTGGCGCGAGCTCGGTGCGTCCCGATTCACATCTGTAGCCGCCGCTAGACGAATCATGCAGACTCTTTGGTGCCCATCTTGGGATTGTTCCCCGGGTCGCTCCTAAAGAAGGCCAAGAAGCCCGGACTGGGTTTTGTGAGTGATCAGAAACGCCTTGCTTCAACTGTCTCATATCGCAATCCTAGGCTGCCGCGCCCACAGACAAGGACTGGGACAAAGTATTAAAATACGGTCCCAGAGTGCAAAAGATCACCTACGACGAACTGCTCAACAACGTCTCGAATACCGTCTTCCCCGTGTTCGAGGAGTTCCGCCCGAAGACACACATTCTTCCCAATCTCCGTCAGCTCACGTGGAAAGTGCTCGCTGCAGAGAATCTGGATCGCGCTGGGTTGTTCCTGACACCGGAGCTTCAACATCTCGTCCTTCATCTCAACGGGGCCGGAGTCAAGTACCCGACCTTGCCGACGTTCCTGGCGGACCTCGGCAGTCGGATGAGGCTCGAGTCGCTGTCCATGGTGTCCTCTGTGGCCCTTCCAGAAAACGTCACCCATCTCCTCATGCCGCAGCGAGGTCTAGAGAAGTTGTCAATCACTGCTCCGGGTGCTCTAGTGCCCAGCATGGGCAAGTGGATTGCGTATTTGCCTAGCCTCCAGTCTCTGCAGCTCGACTTGTCGGGCAAGTCTTCCGTCGTTGTCGGCGGCTTCTTCCGAGACCTGGACTCTGGAGCGTCGACCCCCGAGTCTATCGAGTCACACACTGACAGCGGTGTGTTTTCGGGAGAAGAGGCCGATTTCAGCGAGATCCGCAGGTCTCTGCTCAAGCTCACTGGTGACACGAGAAGTCATAGGGCATTTGCAGAGCTTAGACAGTTGCAGCTCACGGGCTCGGCTGCTGCTATCAATGCCTTCATCTCTCGTCTCTCCGCGTCGGTCTCGTCCTTGGAGTTGATTATTGAGGATCCACCGAGTGCGAGGGATTGGCAGGAGCTCTCTGCTATGATTGGTGACAGATTCGGAAGCTCCCTTATGACCTTACGCATCGGTGCGACTGCGTCCTCGAGATTCAGCGACCTAGTTCGTTCGACTTCGAGAGTGGCCCCGGCTCCCAGCCGGCTTTCTCTGATGCGCCTGTCCGCTCTCCCGGCCTTGAGAACCCTCTCGATCGATCTCCCCGAATCGATATGCTTCACTGCCAAAGACATCGCCAAACTGGCCAGTGTTGCGCCTGGGCTAGAAGACATCCGCCTGTGCCCTCTCTCTCGTTTCACAGCGACCTATCCACCCCAGTTGACGCTCCAGGATCTCACTCCGCTGCTGAAAGATTGCAAACGGCTCACGTCGCTCTCGGTCGTCATCAATGCGAAGGGTGGAGGCGTAGACCCTAAGGTGTCATCCGCTTCGCTGCGCTGGTTCCATATCGGCAATTCTTGGATCACCGATACGTTCCAGGTCGCCATCCTGCTCAGCCAATTGGCCCCATATCTGGAGACGATCAAATGGTTCATGGAGCGCAACCGACCTGGATTCAACGAAGCGAACGCCAGAGGGTGGCAGAAGGTTTCCGATATCTTGCCGTATTTGCAAGACCTTCGGCTATCAGAGCGCAGGGCTGCGATGCCAGAGAGGGAAGTCATTGTTGAATATGTCAAAGTTGAGGCCGCTCGGCCACAGACAGTCGACAAGGGAGTGGACGCGACTGTGTCAACTATGGATTGCGCGATCGAGGCACGGCCTTCGACTGTCGAGTTCTCTATTCAGGCCGAGCCTTCGACGAGAGAGTTCCAAATCCAGGCGACTCCGTCCCTCGTCTCGATAGGCATCGGAGCCATACCCGAAACGTCAGACGCAGAGGTCGATGCAGCTGTGGCGCCCGTCCAGTTGCACTCCATGGAGATTCAGACTGTTGACGAGGGTTTCCAGCTTTCCTCTCGACCCAACCACTATTATCACCCTATAGCCAGCCTTTCACCCCTCTCCTCGTTGATGTCTTTGGCAGGAATCGTTGGAATCATCCGTTTTTTGGTTTCATACCCCCTGGGGATCCCCGTGCGCATCCTCCACAGCATCCTGGGATTGGTGAAGTGGGAGAGGATTGATTCACGGCCCGCGCCAGAAACAGTCGATGTGGCGCTGGACGATATCAATGTCCGTACATGATTACTTTATGTTCAAAAACCCTAGGCTTACTTTATGTTGTATGGTGCTGGCACGAATAATTAGGAATATGCTCTGAACTCAGATGAAACACGTCTGAATCCCCCCAATGTGCAAGATTCCGCCGACGAGACATATTCACGACCTGCGGCGCAAGTAATAGAGACATCGGAAGTTCCGCAGGCGAATGGCGCGACCATAGCAGTAGAAAGCGTGCAGACACACTGCAAGGAGGCAGAGAGCTTGCCGTGGATGCCGACGCCAACAAGTGTTGGCATCATTCGCGCGACGCGTCAGTCCCACTTGACCTTGAACACACCAGCTTGGAAGAACATCATGTCCGACAACAAGAAGCAAGAGAGAGATTTCACACCTGAAGTTGACGCTCTCCTCCCTGAAGCTGCTGCTTTGGCCAAGGTAGTCAATCTACTTCCGATCGAGCTCAGGCTTACCTGTTGGATAGTCGGGCAAATTGCAGCCTGCGTTGGACAAGCTGTTGATTTTGGAGAAGCAAACAAGAAATGTATGTCTGCCCCTCCGATGTTTGAATGTTCTACGATGAAGCTCGTCGTTCCCAGGCTGCTGATCTCTCCTCGACTACTCGATTAGTGAAAGCCATCGTCCAGCACTGTTATGACACCCGAGATTATGACCTTCTCAACTCCAACGTGTCAGCACTCAGCAAAAAGCACGGCCAGTTGAAGGCGGCTATTCAGGCTCTCGTCGAGCTCGTCATGACCTGGCTGGACGACGTGAAAAAGGTGGCTGGCGTGGAGAAGTGGCTGGAGCTAGTTCAGACTCTGCGCACAGTGACCGAAGGAAAGGTGCGTCGGGACGATCTTTTCCTGCGATCCCACATCTCATCGCCTCGTAGATCTATCTCGAAACGCCGCGTGCTCGCGTCACCCTGATGCTCTCCAAATATCATGAAGGTCTTGCAGGTCCCTCTACATCGCCCACCTACAAAGAGAATGTCCAAACCGCCTGTGAGCTCTTGTCCGACCTGCAAGTGGAGACATACTCCTCCATGGACCGCCGCGAAAAGACCGAGTTCATTCTCGAGCAGATGAGGTTGTTGATCGTCGTCGCGCGCTTGAAGGATGCTGAACTGGACAAGAACGGGAAGGAGGTGATCGATGGTGGTGAGACTGAGTGGATCAAGGTCCGAGTAGGTGGTAGGAAGGTTAACGAGGACTTCCTGACGGAAAAGAACAACGAGGTTGGCCCTGGTATGTCTACCGGAGAGCCCTGCTGATTCTACTCGGACAGGATCTCAAACTTAAATACTACGATCTGATGATTCAACACGCCCTTCACGGATCGACGTATCTTGATGCTGCCAAGTACTACCACAAAGTGTGGGAGACCCCGTCCATCAAGGAAGACTCTAATGGTGTGGGTAAAACAGTGAGTGAACGGACCTCAACGTGTACCTTCAACTGAACGACTTTCAAGGCTCTGGAACACATCGTTTACTACATCGTTCTCGCAACCCACGATAACGAGCAGTCCGATATGTTACATCATCTGTATGTCGACCCTGCACTTCTCAAGCTGGAGCTGCACTAGTAAGATTTCCTCGAGAGACCTTTACGTCCATCTCACGCCCAGCTCCAGCAATTTAGTGAAATCCTTCATCACGAACGAATTGATGCGATGGCCCAACATCGAGCTCATCTACGGAGAGTTTTTGCGTAAGACCCCCGTCTTTTCAATCCAGAAGCGTTGGGAAGACTTGCACACGCGTGTGATCGAACATGTAGGCGGACGTGACTCTAAAATCAGTTTTGAATTTGACGCGGTCGACAGAACATCCGGGTGGTTGCTCAATACTACACTAGGATAACATTACCCAGGTTGACTGCACTGCTGGACCTGGATCAGAAGCAAACTGAGGAGACAATCGCTCGGCTTGTTGTCGCTGGAACCATCTGGGCCCGGATCGACCGTCCAGCGGGATTGGTCAACTTCCGCAAACAGCGCAATGCTGAGGATGTGATGAACGACTGGAGTTCCGATATGCAGAAGTTGCTAGGTCTGGTTGAGAAGACCTGGATGGGCATGAACGCAGCTCAAGCTGCACAATCTCGTGTCAAAGCTTAGATCGATGGAATGTATTCATGGCACTCGCTCCGCAGAAGAAAAGAGTGAGAATTATCATTGTGACTTGGTAAAGTTGAAGAAATCCGCATCTCCGGCTTGAGTAATGTGCTCAGTGCCAGCCTTGTCTTCCGAGACAGGAGGCGTGGCTTCTCGAGAAGAATCTGTGTGTTTGACCAGGTCGTCGAAAGCCTCCAGTGCACCGTCAATCTCGTTTGCACTCTCCGCACCAAGATAGCCCTGCACGAGAGACTGGAGTTGGGCATGGGTCATGATGGCCGGCTGTGCTCCTGCGCGAGTCTTCTCTTCTGCGATTTCCGGCAGGGAGCTTTCGATCTGTGCGTAATCACCCTCTATGTCATCAAACTCGTCGTCGGCATACGACAAGTCGTCTGACGGCGCAGGCGCAGGCTGGAGCGCCTCCGCAATCTCGGCCTCCTCCGCTTCTGGCAAGTCGAGCACTTCGTCCATGGCTTTGGTGATAGCAGGGGCATAATTGACGGGGACTCCCGCCTGCCACAGCTTGACGTATTCCACGCCACGAGACCACCGCGACTTGCCGGCGTGCGCCTCCGGAATCATCCTCCACCGTTTCCTAGCAGCAAGCGAGCCTGCGTCCATGTCCTGCAATTTTTCCCAAGATGCTAGTGCCCGTTTTTCCTTCTCGAACGCGTGCTCGATTTCGGTTGGCGCAAAATCAGCACCCAACTGATCGGCTTCCCATGCTGCGTAGGTGGTTGCGACATGGTGCTCGGACCTGAGAGCGCGGAATTGGTGTACAGCACGGGCATATGCCTCTGAAAGTGGAACGTCGAGATTTTGGTGCAGATTGACTGCAAATTGAACGGCACTATAACGTATCAGCAAAGAGGTCAAAGACGGGACATGTACCGCACTCTTCAGCTGAGGGGTTTCGTCCTCGTTGCCTTAGACGTGTCCAATTCGCTCCGTTAACTGGATGCACCTCCACCTCCGACTTTTCGACCAGTGTCGTCGGCCGGAACGCTTCGAATGGGTGGTCGGTGAAGAACTGCCGCCTCAAGTCATCCTCGAGATAGTAGATAGGGAGTGGCCGGTTCTTTAGTCTTCGGAGTTTGGAGAGAGGCTTGAATTTCTGATCGTATGTCGTTCGCTGGGGCGGAGCTTTGGCTGGCAGAGGAAGGGGAGGGAAGGCGAGCACTGGCCGGTACCAGACGGGAGGCGTTTGCATCCGCCCACCGAGCATAAGCCGGGAAATTTGATGGTGCACCTGTGTCGCTACACGCCGACCCATGTTGAGACCGTCGTAAGCTCGAGAAGCAAGTGACAGTGTCGACACGAGAAAAATTACACGTGATCTCCCGTCTGGACGCGGTCACATGCCTGAGTGAGCGGTGAACCTGAACTCTGGTCTGAACGCTGAGTCCGCGTAGTAAGAGTAAAATGCATGGTAATTGGACCTGAGACACCCCTTGATAACTCTGGTGGAGCTTACACTTGCTCAATACAACCTAGTCTCACATTTGACTCGGAGACGAGAACTTAGGGGGAAACGACTCACCACCCTCGTGCTCTACCATCACTCTCATTCTGTCGAACTGCTCTGAAATATTCCAGCTATGGATAACGAGAGCGAGGCTCAGTCCCAGCTTCTAAATCCGCACCTCCAAAAATCGCCCGGAGAAAACAAACTCGCTCGTACCAACCTCGTGCGCGCTCTTAAACGACGGCGGTTCATTTGCCTCGCGCAAATTCTGGGCGCAGCATGTATATGCGTTGCTTTGGTACTACTTGCGGGAACATATCTTGCCCGACGACGAAAGAGCGGTGCCTTGTTCTCAAACTCGGATCGGCTTGACTCTATGACATCCTTGAAGGGTCCTCCAACAAATTCGTTCCGAGGTCAGCTGAATTCATACAGAGATAGTATGTACACTCAGGCTGCGATACTCCTAGACAATTTGCGCTCGGACACGAAATATGTCACAGCATGGGGCTCCGGGGGCTGGAGTAAGTGCATACATCCACTCTCCTCTGGTACTGAACGCTTGCTCAGCCAATGACGTGATTGGCGCAGTCGAGTCATGTTTCTCCCAATTATATCCTAGCTGAAACCTCTACAGATGAACCTCATATATCTGGGCTTGATTACCGAACGTGTTGCGCTGCTCCCGGACTTCCTGCCCTCACGGCTCATGCTCACCACGGTCGGAACGGAGTTTGCAACACTGCCTTTCACCGAAGTGTTTGACCTGCCGTATCTCCGCAAGACAGCCAATATTCCCATCTTGGAATGGCGGGAGGTTAAGGTCAGAGCGAGCAACGGCTGAGATTACGAAGCACAATTGATTCGCGCGTAGGCTCCAGAACGAATGTCGCTCGACGATCTCGGATGCTGGAGCGTTTGGCAGTCCGTCCAATATGAAGATGCCGATCCGAGGCAGAGTTATTCGACCTGGGATTTGCAGCTCGGTTCGTCCCTTCGCACATATGCGACTTCCCTACAATCGATGGATCCGTTGCAGATGTCTCGTACACCAAGACCCCGGAGTGGATCAAGATGAGACCAGAGATCAAGAACGACAGGTTCAGCAGCTTTTGGGCTTTGGCGACTCTTGCATATCCCTCGGCCAGAGAATCCAGCATTTCGCCGCCACTCCCCAACAAGCACAATGTCACACTGCCGCCTGATGACCAGCTGCTGTGCTTCGACTTCTTGTACTACGTCGCTGCGTACAAGGTCGGTTCGCCGGAGATAGCACGCGTTGACAACAAACTGAAGAGCGCCCATCCAGCCACACGAGATCGAGCTTGATTACAGGTGCGTGCAGGACAATCACACATTCAAGTCATGAACGTCTGTAGCCCGGCTTGGCGGTTCGTTGGACAGCACATGCGATGGACAAAAACACTGTCCGTCCTCGCCGAAGACTATGTCCGCCGCAGTCTCGGTCTGCACTCCTATGAGAAGATCCCGCCGTTCATTACAGTGCATGTCAGGTACGTTCAGGACTGTCATGCCAGCGAGCAGCTTTAAGCGACGATCAGACACGGCGATTTCCGAGACTGGTGTGAAGATGATGTTCTTCCGGAGAACTGCTTCGCGCCTATGGGCGCAATCCAGCGCCGAGTGACCGAGGTGCGAGACGAGCTCAGTCAAGTCCATGGCATCGAAGCCAAGTCCGTCATCGTCACAAGCGACGAAACAAATGAAAACTGGTGGCATCTGGTAGAAGCACTGGGTTGGCGGCGAGTAGATCATAGCTCGACCATAGAACGATATGGAGAGTGGTAAGTGATTTCGCTTGACCGACAAGCGAGTGCTCAGCTCCGCAGGTATCCAATCCTGATCGACGCAGTCATCCAGTCCAGTGGATCTGGATTCGTAGGCACAGCACGAAGTACTGTGTCAATTCTCGCCAGGCGGCGAGTGGAGAGCTGGCAGAATGGGCCAACCAGAATGGTGAGATGGGGCAGATTAGGCTCTGACGATCACTAGTATTACAACAACCATGATAAGCACAAGAAAAATTGGATTTGTACATACACCGACCTATTCCACCTCCTCCGCCCAAAGCCTCACTTCATCGTACATGTTGCCCGGGGGTGCCGAAGCAACATGGGCATCCATATTCACGGCTGAGCGTGTGTCACTCAGACTTGAGAAAACATGCGCTGATTTTTGTAGTTCATTCAATCTGGCCTCGAGCAGGTCGCATTTTCTGTGATCTTGGTCAACTTTTGGATCGTCTACTTCGCGCAACTCTTACTCGTGCAGGGCCTGAGTCTCGCTCCTGCGTAGATCAAGCTGCCTTTGCAGCATAACTTCAAGGTTGCCTCTCGCCTTAACACCAAGTGTCAAATGAGCAAGAAACGATGCAAGCTGAACACACCTGAACGGGACGCAAGTCATTAGCTGCTGCCATAAGGTTCTGTCCGAGTACTGTGACCCATTCGACGTTACCCTCCCACTCCGGCGGCCCGGAAGCGGCCATAGTTTGCGGAGGGGCAAGCATAGACGCGGTCAAGGACGAATATGTCACGAGCAGAGACCGCAGAATGGACAAGAGCGCAGGTCGACGGTCTAACGACGTGAGGGACGCGCATTCACGCGACGGAGATGAGAGCTCACCAACAGAGGGATCCTGTGGATACAGCTGATTGCCTCCCATTTCAGCCAGGGAAGGTATTCGATCTTTCAGCTTAGACCGAATCAGCACTCGCCACTGGTAGGGACGATCATCAGGGGGGACTCACGAACCACCGCTCCCCGAAAACGTCATAGTATGGCTCAGGGTCCTCGAGGATCCAATCTACACGGGGCTTTTCCAACTGAATGAGAGGCCAATCGGGAACGTCAGTCTGGTCATTAAGGACTTGATGCTGATTGGTGCTCGCGCTCTGCGCGTCGGCAGTGCGCTCTTGATACAGCGCAAGGAGGGCAAGGTTGTGGCTGGTGTATTTCGTATAGTGACTCGGGGGTGAAGGAAATGGGTTGCGCAGTTCGCCGTCCTCGTCGTCCATGGCTGACAGGAGGCTGTGCAGCCCTGTTGGAGTGTCACGACGGAATCATGATCCGTAGGTTACAAGAACACGGGCCGACTGGAACGGTCACTCCTCAGAACATAACTCACCAGATCTTATTTCACGCGTGTCCGCCCAGGCCTTTAAATATGGGAAGCCGTGATGATTCTACAAGTGCCCCTCTTCTTGGACAATCATGTTCTTCTATCCTCCCGCCGACTCTCTTCCCGTCCCCCACATCCCTGACGACCTGACCATTCCTCAGTTCTTTCTCTCTGCCGCACACCCTGAGCGCCCTCAGCGACCCTCGACCTCGCCATGGCTGATCGAGGATCATTCTGGGCGCACTATCTATCTTGACGAGGTACCTACCTCTGGCGCCTTACTGGACGGCGACTCATTCTGTCTGTGTAGCTGCGTGCTCGTACTGCTGGTCTTGCGAATGCATTGAGCATCAAGTGGAACTTGGGTGCGAACACAACCCTTGCATTGGACCAGCGTGTTTACTTCGTGCAGGCGAGGACCAGGTCGCGTGTCTCTTCAGCCCTAACCATGTCGGTAAATGACTGGTTCTACCCGCGCTTCCTCCGTGCTAAGCGAGCTTGACAGACTACCCTGTATGCTTATGGGCAACGCACACGCTCGGAGCGATTATCACGTATGCTTTCGGTGTCGGCTCAAAGCCGTTTCCTCATCTATTTCAGTCCCGCCAACCCGAGCTATACTGCGTCCGAGCTCGCCTATCAGCTCGAAAAGACCAAAGCCGCAATGGTGTTCGTCCATTCGGACTTTCTGTCGACGGCCAAAGCTGCCGCTCAAGAAGTAGGATTGTCGGCGGACCGGATCTTAGTGATCGAAGCGGCCGGAACCGCTTCGCCCCACTTGGAAACGGTCTCCAAATTCATTGAGTTCGGCTCGAGCCAGCCGAGGCGCTATGTCGAAAGAAAGCTCAGTCCGGGTGAAGGCAAGCGCAAGGTCGCTTTCTATAGCTTCTCGAGTGGCACAACTGGTAAGTGCTGATATCAGTATTGGTGTCCGTTTGCTCATTTGGGTATTGTAGGGAAGCCTAAGGTTGGCGTGCTTTGTTCGTTTCGATCGTATGAGAGCTTAAGGAAATCTCAGGCTGTGGTCATCCCCCACTACTCGGTATTGGCCAACGTCTTGCAGAAAGTTGCCCATTTCCGGCTCAATGATCCCAACCTGAAGAAGAAGCATACGCAACCTGGAGACGTGGGCGTCGCTGGTATGTAAACCTTATGGGAAACTGCAGTTCGTTACTGATCTTTTACAGTCTTGCCATTCTATCGTCAGTCTTATTTTGATCAAGCACATGACTTTCTGATATCCTGCCAGACATCTACGGCCTGGTTGTCACAGTGGGTTCATCAGTCGACGTTGAGAATATGCTTGTGATTTCCATGTCCAGTTGCATTACATGCTTTTTGCCGGCGTGAGATTCTCGATCGCTGTCACTGCTTCTCCTTCTGAATAATGACAGGTCACTCTTGTCGTCGTCCCCAAATTCAATTTCACGGAATTCCTGGAGAGTATCGTCAAATACAAAGTGAACCAGCTCCTGTGAGCTGATCTGTCTCACACTGAAACATGCCCACCCACATATTTCTAGTCTTGTTCCTCCTCAAATTGTGCTTCTCTGCAAGGTATGAACCCTTCAAACTAGTTGTTTCCAGATTGCCGAGTTTTCCAGCACCCTGCATCGAAAAAGTACGATCTGAGCCATGTCAAGTTATGCAGCTCGGGCGCAGCACCACTTTCTGGCGAGCTGATGAACACCGTGAAGAAAGTTCTTCCGAACGCGGCCATCGGACAAGGATATGGACTAACGGAAACTGCCACTACGATCTCATTCCTAGGTGGAAAGCAGGAGATGGGAACAGTCGGCAGTGCAGGGCAACTGGTCCCAGGAGTGGTTGCTCGTGTCGAGCGCCCAGACGGATCGCTGTGCAAGGAAGGCGAGCAGGGCGAGTTGTTCGTCAAGAGCCCCAGCATTCCTCTCGGATACTTGGACAATGAGAAGGCGACCAAGGAAACTTATGTGGACGGTTGGGTTCGAACGGGCGACGAAGTCATCATCAAGGACAGTGAAATCTACATCGTGGACCGACTCAAAGTACGTCGACTTTCCCTTGCATCTCGAGCCTTGTCTGATGAAAGCTAGGAAATCATCAAGGCATGCTCCTCCCAAAACGTTTTCACTTGAGCCCTTCTAACTTCGCCAATTCAGGTCAAGGGATTCCAAGTTGCCCCCGCGGAACTGGAAGGACATCTTCTGTGAGGATCTGGTTCTCCAGCATGACTGAAGCTAACTATCGGCAGTATGCATCCTTGGGTCGTCGATTCATGTGTCGTTGGTGTTCCTGATGACTATAGCGGGGAGCTGCCTCTCGCTTTTGTCGTGCTTCAGCCAGAGATTGCCAAGCGGGCGATCAGCAACCCGGGAGAGATCAAGTCTGTTCTAAAAAAGGTTCTCCTTTTCTGAACCTGGCACGCTCCTTTACTCACCATAATCAAAAGCACGTATCAGATGATAAGGTTGCCTACAAGCATCTCAATGGTGGCATTATCTTTATCGAAGCCATTCCCAAGACACCGTCCGGAAAGATTGTATGCTATGTGCTTCATCCTTTACACTGGTTAACTGACTTCAAACCAAAGCTCCGGCGTGTTCTGCGAGATGAAGCGAGAGCTATCAAGAAGACTCAGGCCAAGTTATAGAGGATTTTAATATTTATTAAAGCTATCACGTAGTGTATCACGTTTAGTCACATGACCGTGTCGCTCTTCAATTATTGAAGCCATGTTTCGCACCGTCCGTCGCCTATACTCTACAGTCCGGCCTAGCATCGCGGAAGCGGATATCAAAGCTTTGTCTGCATGGATATCAAGACCCAACCGGCTCTTCTTGGAGTCCAATCTGAGCGCAGGCCATCTGTCCGACTTGTTCATCACTCTTCCCACTAGAGACGGCAGCAGAAGGCCTTACATTGCGCCCCAAGCCAACGATGAATTACCCAGTGGATCCCATCTGGCCTTTTTCCACCCCAGGAACCCAGAGAGCGCACTGCGCCCGGATGGGACGGACGCCGACTTCTGTCCTCCACCGCCGTTCACACGACGGATGTGGGCGGGTGGGAAGATGACATGGGACCACCGCCATCCGCTGCGCGTCGGTAAGAACGCTGTCATGGCTGCGACGGTGCAGTCGATGGACAAGAAGGGATTCGATTCGGATGCCTCCGCGCCGATGGTGTTCGTGAAGCAGCGGATGGAGATCGCGCAGGAGGGGAGCACGAGTCCGTCTGTCCTCGAGGAGCGGACGCATGTGTATTTGGCTGACACGCCCGACGCGAGCCGTGGAGCTGGGGCGCGCGTCCCGAAGGAAGGCCAGCGGTAGTTCGCAGTTCTTGCTCAGACCCGGCTCTAAACGGGTTGCAGTCGCGGGCCTGCCGGCACAGGCGGATTTCTCACTGAAGTTCACTCCGTCTGCGACGACGCTGTTCAGATTCTCTGCGCTCACGTTCAACGGGCACCACATCCATCTCGACAGAGAGTACGCGCAGACGGTGCAAGGCTATCCGGGTAAGTATGTCATGTGCGACGACTCATTCGGTTCACGTGGGAGGTGGGGATGACGGCTGAGTGTCAACAGAACGACTGGTTCATGGTCCTCTTACGGCACTGCTGCTGCTGGAGACTGCGCAGCTTGATAAGCCGGATGCGAGATTCGCGCAGTTCGAGTATCGCGCGAGGAATCCGCTTATCGTGAATCAGCCTCTGGCGATCGCCGGGAAATGGTCGGAGGATGGGCAGAGCGCGGTCGTGTGGTGTGTTGACTGGGACGGTGCGTCGATCCGCTTTCGCTCCACTACATACTGAATGCTGACGATTCTGCTCAGGTGTTGTGGGGATGACCGGGACTATACAGCTTGCTCAATAGCACATATTTAGCATGTTACAAAGGCTGATTTCTGGGTTTACCCGTTCAGCCGAGAATATATCAGAAGACACGATGAGGACTTACAGAGGCATAGGTACATTAGCTTACTTCTTGTCCTTGCCGCAGTCGCAGCTTTCGCAGACTTCCTTGGTACCGGCATTGGGGCAAGTGGTGGAGGCAGGCTGTGGGGGAGCTTGTCATTAATGAGAGCACAAGGCTCGCGAGACCGGACGAACCATTGGTGTATTTAGTAAGGGTTCCAGATACTGCAAGAGTGGAGAGGACTGAGGCAGGACAACCGAGACTGTGCTCGTTTATATAGCCTGGAGCATATCTAGATTTGATGGCATCGATTGTCGAATTGGGCTAACGGGGCTAGAAGCTGTGGCTCGGGTGGTGGCCGAAAGCAAGGTTGACATAAGCAGACAAAGTATCGATCATAAGATATCATACAACCATTAATATTGCTATTCCCCAGTATACTTCTTGTAATCTGGGAACTGAGGCTCGGGATAATCGTCCCAGGCCTGTTCGTTATCCAGGAAACGGCGCAAACGAGCCACCTGCGACGAGAGGTACATGATAATGATCTGCATCTTCACGTCCAGGTTCTCTTTCGTCATTCGGAGCAGCACCTCGCATGTCTGCAGCGCCTGCATCCGGGTCGTCACAAACATATTCCCCTGGAAGCCAAGATCCTTAAGATTATCGATCAGTTCGCTGAATTCGGAGCACCAGGCAAGGACGCCAAGCTACGTTGCTGTGCATCAGCAGCCAGTTGCGGTAACGAGACCACGGGAGTAGACACACCTGTCCGTATTGTTTGTACCGAGCATACAGCACATTTGGAGCGGCCGACATGGCAAACTCAAACGCAGTGTTCTGTTCGATAACCTCCGGGGGAGGGACGAAGGGGGCCTCTGTCGCCGCCTGAGGTGGAGGCTGACCTGACATCAGCATCTGAATTCACGAGCCAAACGAGACAGCGGGAACACACCCGTCTTTCGGGCGCATTCTGGAACCATTGGAAGTTCGAATAGTCGACTTCGCCTCCGAAATCGACGACCTCAGCAAGTTGTTTGCCGGTAAAATCCATGATCGGCGGAGTTGAATCGTTTGGTGATGGTGGTGTGCGTGGTATCGACCCGTGGGGTGAAGGGTGGGGCTCGTTAATAGAAGGAGATAACGCAGAGAAAGCGGGGGTGTGTGCTGTTTCCGAGCTTCGAGAGGCCTGGTGCAACAGTCAGGAAAGGGTGTCGCCGTGATCGAGCGATATGTATCACTGACCTCGGACGGTTCTTCTTCTAGAGTTTGGAGTGGATATGGATACCGCGCGGATACTTCAACTGAAGTAGGGACGGAAAAGGAAGCGCTGTGGTACGCTTCGGAGGACTGGACGTTGACGCCGAGCCAAAATGGGTAGCTGGGAGCAGTGCTGTTCGACGTGTGGCCAAATGAACTCGCGCTGTACGAGATAGGACCTGACGCGGTCGGATCTTGGGCGTATGTAAGGGGGGATGAGTGACTGCCGTCAGTCGGAGATTCGAGATATATGGAGGCACTGGATTGGTTGAAGGGAGTAGTGTCGCGTCGGGACGGGAGTCGTGTGCGAAAGACTGTCCGAGTGAACGATTTCAGGCGATCGACGGGACTGTACGGGGATATGGAGAGCGCGCTGGTATACTCTTTGCCTCGAAGTGAACCAAATGCCAACGAGAGGAAGGCCGGTGTTGTCGGTGAGTGGGGGCTGATAAGCGATGATCGAGGGGAGTCGTCGAGGCGGATGGGTAAATCGTCCGCAGTGATAACTTCGAAGCTTCCCAAAGCGGAATGAACAACGCGTTGCTGAGGACCTCTAACAGAGTGTGGATATGTGCTGCAGGTCGAGTGGACGGGGCCTCGAGGGCGACGCCGTGGAGATCTCGACGGCAGCAAAGGGACTGGGACAGACGTGTGAAGATCGCAAGCCTCGATGGGAGACTTGTGAGAGAAGTGCAGGAGTCCCTAACAGATCCTTAAGAGCACCGTATACGCGTGCCACGAAGACCAGCAACCTCGTGGATATCGGAGTGAAAAGCAGCAAGCAAGCCTCGAGGCCGCATCACACAGCCACACTGGCAGCTTGGATAGCCGCCATCGGTCAGCGGTCAACGTTTCAACGTTCAACACTAACGCGTATGACATCGGACCATTCCGTGAATAAGGCTACAGCATCACTATTGCGTACACGGAGACAACATGAAGAAGCGTACATGGACAAAAGGAAGCAAGTACAAGAGAGAATACAGACGTGACATATCGGAAATTATTCAAAATTCGATGAGGCGATCTGGTTCCGCAGGAGCCCTCGAGAACCTGCCCTTGATCCACTGTTGAGCTGCAAAAAAGCCCCCCTTTCGTCTGAAGGCTAGCAGTCCCGCGGGCCCCGCCACCAAGCACCAGGATCCCGCGAGGATGATCGCATCGCCAAACCGGGAATAGAGCGTCCGCCTCCCATCGAACGGGAATGGGATATTCAACGACCGCGACCAAGCACCGTCCGGACCGGCCTGGTAAAAGTCATGGAAGCCGTGACCAGCAACGCCTCCGACTCCCCCAGGACCCCCGTCGCACCAGAGCGCGACACTTCCCAGCTCGTTGGCCCGCAGTTTGACTTCTTCCCACATCCGTGCGCCGATGGCGGGGTCCCAGGTGCGTGCCGGTGCTAGGATGAGCGATGGCCGCGACGGAAGGTCCTGGAACGGCGACGGAGCAGCGAAGTCCATGCAGATAGCCGCAGTGATGTTGAGAGGTCGCGTTCGACCGCCCCATTGTTGATTGGGAACTTTGTTGGGTTTCTGTAGAGGCAGGGTGTACATGTCGGGAGGCGAGACTCCAGCAGTGATATGGAATGACTCGGCAACTAACATACGTCAGCACAAGCGGAAGTTGCGACAGAAGAGACCGACTTGGAACCAAGTTTCGCTTGTAATACACCAGATGCGGCTCCATCGACGCGTTTGATAAAAGAGCAAGAGCGTTGTGGGTGATTGTTTTATGCAGGTTCTGAGGATCGGTGACAGTCTCTTCGTAGGCCACAGCCCAGTAAGTTCCGGCAGCGCCAATATGCTTCCGAATGTAAGCGAATGCATCATCTCTCTGAGCTGCACTGGTGAACTTGACAGCACTTTCCGGCCAGAGCACTATCTTGACACGGCTGTTCACAGATTTACTGACATCGACGTAGTCATCCAAGGTCAGAGCGCCGTCACGATGTTGGGGCACCGGGAGTGCACACGCGACTTCGAATGGAGTCACGGATTCGATCACATCAGTGGAAGTCGGATACGAAGGCAGCAAAAAGGAGGGAACAGTGAGGGCCACCAAGAACAAACCCAGCGTCAGCATAGAACCCGAAGTCTGCTTGTCAGTCTCAGGCCTACGACTACTCTCCAAAAGTTCGCCTTCTTCCGGATCTGGGCCGCCTCCCATGTACCATAGACCGAAAGCATCAGCAACGACCACGGCCCAACCGGCAACAATCCAATCGAGGCCGACAGCACCAGTGTAGGGAAGAATCCATTCGTACGCAGAGTACCCCGTCACTGGGCTCCACGAAGTCAGCCTTCCAAGCGGCATGTGGGAAAGCGTGATCCACAGCGAGGACCAGATGGCAGGGAAGACCATGGCTTGGGACCATCCTGCCCGGGAAAGGCGGACGTTCGCTACCACCGCTGAGATAGCCAGGAGCGAGCTGATCCCCGATGCTACAAGAAGCACTGCGACCGATTGCCCTGAATCGGAGAGAGCGCTGAGCGCAGGCACAAGCCGGCCAACGGTGCTCGCGAGGGTGACAAACAGACAGAGCAAAGAGACGTGTCCTGCGGTATTTGGCCGGTGGTAGAGGACGGGGCCGTACAGCAGCAGCACTGCAAGCGTGCCGACCAGTGGAACAAATGAGGGAGACATTGTCAGTGCGAACAGCGAGAATACCACTGCAGCTGAGATACACGCCGTGTGAGGCCGCGCCTGGACGATCGTTCGTAGATTCATCGATGATGGTGGTCGAGCGCAAGCTGGATGAGCGCTTGTATTGGGGGCACTATTGACGTAAAGGTTGGCTTCGAGCCTTCGACATGGGAGGGGAGTCACGGTACTTGAGAAATTGTTGCTCGCATCAAGGGCTCCTACTTTGCACTAAACAAGGACAAGATCTGGAACAATGAGAGGGCTGCTCTAGCTGGTGGCACCAGCATCTCCTTCAAACCTGCACTATCTGCTCCCAAGACTCACAAGAATGCAGCTTAAAATGTCTTCTGATGGCACGCTCTCTCTCAAGTCTTCAAATTCTGTGTAGACCTATGCTCGCTTCCACGCTCTGTAGTTGTGCGGACCCTGCATGCATGTGACCAAGTGCAGCTGCGCAGCGAGCACCACGGAATTCCTTATGTACTTACTAGTTTTGCTAGCTAGCAAGTGTGCGCCTAGAACATTGACTATTTGATGTTCTTGCGTGTAGCTCCCAGGTCGATATGCTGGACCAGTGTGCAAGCGAGCCCCAGATCGTCGTCCTTGATGTACTTACTGATTGACATCGGGCCGGCGAGCCGGACTTCAAGTGCGGTGAGTGAGACTGAGCAGGGCATGACGAGAACTCAGCTCAGGACTGACCACACCACGGAACAGGCCGATTTGCACCCTGATTCAGAGACGTAACTATCGTAATCATACACAAAAACAAATCGAATAACATCCGTGGTGGATATATATGTTATGCAGATGATGAAGCAAAGTCTATGCGCGCTCTGTACAAATTGTGTGGGTATACATGGTGGTGATGCGAAGGAACCGTCAAGATCAGTGAGCGGTGGTAACGCTGGCATGCTTGCCCCAATATTCCGCAAGCTTCAGCGGCGGCTGGTACGGTGACTCCCGCGGAGGCTCAGGCAGTGGATTCGGCGCTCGGTTGGCCAGCGGGTCAGGGCTGGCATAACCAGGGGGATAAATCACTGGAGCGGGCCCAGACGGCATGGAGTGGTAGATCGGCGTCGACCCCGGCTGTTGGAACGGCGTCGAGACCATGAAAGCAGTGTGGCTCGAGCCGTAGATCACTGGTGGCTCCTCGGGGCTGTCCCCGGACGGCGCGACAAACGGCGCCGCCATGCCATGTGGTTCCATTCCACTGAGACTGCGCGCTTTCCACAGTCTATCCATGTCCCAGGCTTCGCGAGCCTTGAGCATGTTCATGTCGGCGGTCGGAGCTAGCTCCGATATTGGCCGAGCAGAGGCCGACGGATTCCGTTCTAATGGCCGACTGGGCACCGCTGGCTGTGGCTTGTTGGCACTGGGGCTCTTTCTCTCGCGCTTGGGCTTGGGCTCAGGCGAGGCAGCCAAACCTTCCGGAATCGCAGACCGTCGTTGACGGTCATTGGTGTCCGCACGCGGGAATGTCTGGGCGCTGCTGGGCTGAGAATCAGATCGCCTCTTTCGCTCGCTGCGCGACTTGCGCTGATCGGAATCGCTCTCTGCTCGCGGATGCCTGCGCTCCTGCGACTTGTTCTTTCCCAGGCTGTTGGAAGATTCGATCACTTCCCACTGCTCGCCTGCTGCTCTGATGGTGTCGCCCGAAGCGTACACATTCCCAGACGAACTGCGGACGAGCTTGAACGTCTCCGTGGCTCTGGAGGCAACTGGCACTGCTATCGACCCAGGTGACGGGTCACGAGGGCTCTTGGAGGGAACAGGCGGGGGGATCGAATCGGTGTCATCCGAAATCAGTGCATCGGCTGTGTAGGGTGTGGGCGGATTGGCCAGCATGGATGACGTGGAGAGCGGCGAGATGTCGGCTGTCACCCCAGCCAGCAGCTGATTCGAGGGGCCCGGTGTGGGGCCGTAATCAGCAGGGTAAGGGACGGGCGGCAACTTGGGAGACAGAGGCCGGGAGTCGGCGCTGGGAGTGTCCCGCTCCCGCTCATCATCGCAGGACATCCGCTGCGACACGCTAGCGACTGATTGCCCCGACATCGGGCGGGATGCGCTCATCGAACTCCGGGACGGCTTCTCCGGAGACCCTCGCGATCGTTTTTCAGGCGACCGAGACGAAGCATCGGATCTACGTTTGGGTTTTTCTGGTGTCGGGGGAGGGATTTCATTCTGAATCATGATGGGCATCTGGTGGACAGTCTCCGACGAAGTCTGGCTGGGATTCGCGACACGGAGCTCGCCCAGACCGGGCTCTGGGAACTCAAGGCTGATTTGTGGGCTCGAGAGCTGCATGCTGCCATTCGTCAACTCCCGCTCATGTCGACTTGAGCTTCCCTGCGGTAATGACTGCTGAGCTTGAACAGGTGTGTTCTCGGGAGATGTTGGATCTGGATTGGCTATCGTCAGCTTCCCGATGGAGAAAGACAGAGCTGCTTCCAGTGAGATCGAAGAGTTTCGGTTAGCCTCTGCTGTGCGCTCCTCCTGTTCCGGATCTGACGCCGTGAGAGCAGACTGAGTCGACGACAGAGATTCTGCGACAGGCACCGGGACGCGTTTTGTGGATGGAGAGGATGCTGTCGGTGTCTGGCGTTCCGGGGATGCCTCCCGTTTCACTGGCGATGGCTGTCTGATAACCTCCATGCCAGTCACAGTTGCGGGTTTACGCGATATGCTGAACCGTTTCGCAATTCGGCCCAAGACACTGCCTCTCTTCTCTTTCTTTGGCGTGACAAAGGAAGAGGGTGGGCCAGGATCCGGAGCTCGGATGCCGCGTGACTGCAGCTGCTCGTCAACTGGAGTTGTCGGCGCGGGCGTAGTATGCCGCCCGAAGAGACCGATGCGGCGACTCTGCTTTCTAGGAAGATCGGAGCCCGGGATGGGGTCTGCAAGGGTATGCAGATGCACAGCTGAGGTGGACTGGGATAACGGGGAGGGAATGACGGTCTTGTGGCGGATGGGAGGCACTGTCATGCTCGCACGTCTTGAACGAGGCCCATTGGCAGCACTCTGCGTCCGGCATTAGTAATCAGAGAGACTCCGCAGTCGCTGTGTGCGCACCTCTTCGAATGACACCGGACTACTGCTCAATCCTACATCGTACGGTGATTCGTGGTGCCAGGCAGTCCCATACGGGTCGGTAATGTCCATCAAGTCGACGTTGTCAGGCGCATTCTGTGATGTTTTCCGTGACCGGGGTGCGACGCCCGTGTTGTCCAGTTGGGACTGGGACGAGTTTGGTGTGGGCGAAGGTAAAGGGGAATTCGAAGTCGAACGACTTAGTCCGGGCATACGCGACGACTCATCTAACCGGTCGCGGGACGCCGAAGAGGACATCGGGGGAAACGAGGGTGAGAATACGGTCGGAGGACGACCCTTGCCCGAGGGAGGGAGAAGGTGGTGGTTTCTATACCACCGAGGTCCTACGGGATTGTGCATCGTATACCGTGTCGTGAAGAATAGGTCGTCTCGGTACCATGAAGGCAACTCCCTCAGAGTGTCCGGAAGGATGTTACGCGACGGCATGGGTGGCACGGAGTCCGAGGTTTCATGGCTGTCTACACTGCGCGCGGGTCCGCGTGCGAGGGATGTGGTGGAAGGAGAGTGGAGGGAGGCAGCCGAAGGGATGTGCGCCGGCTGCTGCTGTTGCGACTGGTTGCTCGATATACGCCTCAAGGACTTTCGGGACCATATGGACGAGGACTTGCGCTTGGAAAGTTTCCGTTGCAGGTCATCTTGTTCCATTTTCTGGTAGAATTCCTTGAGCTCGTCCGGCGACGCTGTCTTGAGAGGCCCCTGGATCTAAGAGGGTGTAAAAGAGTGTGAGAATGGATTGACTTCGCTTAAACGGTCTCGCCAGACTCGCCTCCTCATATGGCTCCGCTTCGGGATTAAAATATGCCATCGTTTGGGGTAGTCGAAGTGAACCGGCAACTGGCTAGAACGTTACGTGAGGATATAGTATATAGCGCCCAGAAGGTTCGTGGAGACGATGTAAATCGAGCAACGGGGTCGCCGGGGTCAAAGCCAGCCACCACACACCAGGTATGGGTGAGGCTACTATCCACGTGCAGTCGGCCGGTCAATCATCGCCTTCAGCTTCGTCTTGGCTGACAAGACTCAGGGCAGTCTTCAGATAAATCCGCATGACCGGTCATAACCAGTCTATTCCATTCGCCACGCCGTCGTGCGCTGTGATCTGATATACACGATAATGGCTCAGTGGAACAAAAAAAGAATTTCAATGTGTGTACGAAATTGCTCAGCAACGCTACAAGCTTTGATGCCACCCGCTACATGGGAAACAGCCAGTCACTGAGTGAGTCTGGATCCTCGTTTCCTTGTCTACGCTGCTCAAAGGCTAACAATCTGTTCAGAGTCCCAACGAGGGTCACGGTTAAGACAGCACGCGATGTGGCGGTGCTGACCACTTTGACATATCTAATCTTATCATCAATGCAGAGCAAAGACTGTGTGCATTCAACTGAGGACGAATGTGAATATACAGGTATGAAGGAAATGTACCACTAGCAGTATTTCTGAACGACTCGCAAGCATACTTCCTCGGGGGACTAATCACCTTTTGCAGAGGCACGGCAAGAAAAGTTGATCCGATCAGCTAAAAACAATCTAATCAGCTACCCTATTTGGGCCAAGTAATTTTCGATTTCTGCCATGTCGATCCGCATCCTCCTAATCGGCAGCGGAGGCAGAGAGCATGCGCTTGCATGGAAGCTGTCTCAATCTCCGCTCGTCGAATCCATCTTCGTCTCTCCTGGAAATGGAGGAACTGGCCAGCTTCCCAAGACCTCCAACATCTCCGTCCCACCGACCGATTTCCCGGCACTGGTTTCGTTCGCCACACAAAATGAGGTAAAAACAACGCGCTGGTGGCTTGAGACGCGTTCCGACACTCCGATAGATTACGCTCGTCGTCCCTGGTCCAGAACAGCCGCTGGTGGATGGTGTGGAGACGTTCTTCCGAAAAGGTGCGCGTTCTCCGCTTGCACGGCGAGGCATCGCGCGCTAAGCTGCTCGTCACCAGTCGGCATCCCTGTATTCGGCCCCAGTGCTTTGGCAGCTCGGATGGAGGGCTCGAAAGCATTCTCCAAAGAGTTCATGGCGCGGCATGCGATTCCCACTGCAAAATTCAAAACGTTCCCCCGATCGGAATACGCTGCAGCCGTCGACTACGTCAAGACATGTGGGCACTCGGTGGTTCTGAAGGCCGATGGACTAGCCGCCGGAAAAGGCGTCTTGATACCGCAGACAGTCGAGGAAGCGATTCAGGGTTTACGCGAAATCATGCTCGATAGTGTTTTCGGATCTGCGGGTGCGTTGATATCATCTCAAAATGGGCTTATGATTGTCTCATTCGAATCGCTAGGTGACGAGGTCGTCATCGAGGAGCTGCTGGTTGGACCTGAGATATCTGTCCTTGCATTCTCCGACGGGTACACAATCGTCCCTCTTCCCGCTGCCCAGGATCACAAACGCATCGGCGATGGCGACACTGGCCCGAACACCGGAGGGATGGGGGTCTACTCGCCTGCGCCAGTGGCTACCCCTGCTATCATGGATCAACTGATGAAAGAGAGTCTGCGTCCGACGATCGACGGCATGAGGAAGGACGGTACGCGTCTGCATTACATTTCTACTGCATGTGTTCAACTCGTTTCACAGGCCTCCCGTTTGTGGGACTTCTGTTTACCGGCTTCATGATTACCGCGGATGGACCCAAAGTGCTTGAATACAACGTCCGATTCGGCGATCCCGAGACAGAGGCTTTGATGCTACTCCTAGATGACAAGACTGATCTCGCTGCTGTGATGCTTGTGAGTTGCCGAGAGGCTTTCTCAGAAGCATAATTGAACGTCACTAGGCGTGTGCAGAACGGCGCCTGGATGCTGTTCCCATCTCTATCCGTCCAGGGATGTCGGTGTCTGTTATCTTGGCGTCTCACGGATACCCTGGCGCATATGCCAAAGGGAAGGTGATCGACCTGAGCGCCGTTCCCGATAGTTCGTTCTGATATTCGCTGTGACTTTGCAACCTGACCAGCCGCAGATGTTGCCGTGTTCCATGCTGGCACAATCGAATCCGAGGGCAAGATCTTGACTGCTGGCGGGCGAGTTCTTGCAGTCTGCGCCCATGCATCCACACTCCAAGACGCTCTGGATGCTGCCTACGCTGCGATCGACAAGATCTCCTTCGACGGCAAGACATACCGACGTGACATCGGTCACAGGGCTCTCAAAGCCGGCGAACGCAGCCAGCTGACATATGCTCAGGCTGGCGTCTCGGTCGAGGCCGGCAACTCGCTGGTCGAAGCCATCAAGCCCCATGTGAAAGCTACCCGTCGTCCGGGAGCAGACGGCGAAATCGGTGGCTTCGGCGGTGTTTTCGATCTCAAAGCGACCAAGTATGTCGACCCTGTGTTAGTCAGCGGAACGGATGGTGTGGGCACCAAGCTCCGCATTGCCATAGAAGTCGGCATCCACGATCTCGTTGGTGCGTCAATCAAACTCCATTCATGTATCCGGGTGCTGGATATCTCCCAGGCATTGATTTGGTCGCCATGTCCGTCAACGACCTGTTGGTCCAAGGTGCCGAGCCGCTATACTTTCTGGACTACTACGGATGCAGCAAGCTTGATGTTGGAGTGGCCTCTCAGGTCATCAAGGGCATAGCTGATGGCTGCATCCAAGCTGGCTGTGCGCTCGTCGGAGGTGAGACTGCCGAAATGCCTGGCATGTATCAAGAAGGTGAATATGTCGTTCCGAAAGATTGGAGCAGTATCTGACGCCGAGAAGATGACTACGATCTTGCTGGGTTTGCGGTCGGAGCGGTTGAACGTTCGGATATTCTCCCGAAAGCGGGCATCGCACCGGAGGATGTGTTGTTGGGCATTGCTTCTTCGGGCCTGCATTCGAACGGCTTCTCTTTGGTGCGCAAGGTCGTCGCCATGGCTGGATTAAGGTACGACTCCCCCTGTCCATGGGACTCCAATACGACACTTGGGCGCTCTCTTCTGGAGCCTACCCGTGTGTACATCAAACAAATCTTGCCTGTTGCCCAGGCTGGCCTCGTGAAGGGCATGGCGCACATCACCGGTGGAGGATTCATCGAGAATGTGCCACGCGTGCTTCCCAAGGGCACCGGCTGCTTCATTGACGCTGCGGCTTGGCCGCTGCCGCCGGTCTTTCGGTTCCTGATGAAACAGGGCAATGTCGCGCCGCTGGAAATGGCAAGAACGTTCAACAACGGTCTGGGCATGGTCTGCATCGTCAGCGCCAAGGACACCGAGGCTGCGATGACTGCGTTACGCAAAAACGGGGACGCAAAAGTGTACAAAATCGGCGAGATCGTGGACACACCCGGTGTGGAGATGCGGAATCTTGAGCGGTGGCTGTAAAAAAGCGATGTTGTAATTGTACAGTAAGTAGGGAGCTGGGCCGATTGATTCCAAGCATCGATGCGAACCGAAGGTGGTGATACAAAGTACAGCATAGGGTTTGACACGTTTAGAGGCATAGAGATGCGCGTAGTACTATAGTATGGTGTGGTATGATACCGGAGCAAGTCAAGCGGAGATGCGGTCAAACGATATACATGAAGTGTAAATTATAGTAACAATGCGGAGAGCAATGAGACGTCAGGAGCCGTGCAGGATATGGGGCGGATGGGATGAATGTGCTGAGGGTGAAAAAATCAAAGTGGGACCGAAGACAAAGTAAGGCGGGCAGGGGGACCAGGTCGGGGTGAAACCACTTCACGTGGTCACGCACGCACGAGAAGGACCGAGGCAGCACTGACGACAATCAAGCGCTGACGGCGACATCAGCACCTGCGGTGGCGACAGCAGCGAAGGAGACAGGGATTTTGACTGCTTCAACAGTTTCCTGTGGCGGTGATCCGTTCTGCAAGCGGGGGGCAGCCTGCAGGATCTGGGCGGCAGTCGGGCCGGCGGTGCCGTTCGCCTGAGTTCGAGCCGGAGCAGCGCCACCGAGCACGGGGAACTCATCTGCGTGGGGAACACGTTGCAGTGAAGCGTGCTTGGACATGGGCGTTCTTTTGGGGCCACCGTTCACCGGCCGGCCTCCTCGGCCTCGCCCACCGGCCTCGTGACCTCGCTGTGGCTGGTAAGCCTCGGGAAATCAGCGGAGAGCAACAACAGACACGTACGTCGTTCAGAGACAGATTCGCCATTTTTTCATCGATGCCGTTGACATGGCCACGTGACGGACGAGGGCCGCCACCCCGAGCAGGGTAGAATGGAGCGTGGATGGGCGCGCCCTCGGGGGGCATGACGTGAGGGAACCGGCACTCATTGCTGGGCAAGACGATCAGCCAAGACCCACGGGTGCTGTCGGGCAAACACTCACCCGTTCTTGCACTTTCCGGCAGGGAAGAACATGCACGGCGGCGGGGCCGGCTTGCGGGCGAAGGTGCCCCGGCGGATTGAGCCGCGTCGGAAGCCGTTCGGCGCATGGTTCATCCCGTCCTCGTGCAGCGGTTTACCGCCCTCGTTGGCCTCTGCGTAGCCATTCGCCGGGTAGCCGACAGGCTGTGCAAAGGCCTGTGACGGCGACGATGGGTGCCCATATGCCTGCGGCGACTGCGGGCCGGGCGGCGGCGCCTGCTGGTGCAGAGGCGGAAGGGGAGGAACCATGGGGATCGGGGCCTGCCCCGGATGTGAATACATAACGGGAGAAATCGGCCCGTACTGCGGGCCACCAGTTGGACTGAATGGGCCCTGCGGTGGGGACATCATGTCGGGCGGTGCCTGTCCGTGCATAGGCATCGGCGGACCCTGCTGGGGAGGTGGGGGAAACGAGGGTGGTGGTACAGGATAGTAGCTCTGCGGGTACGGCTGCGGAGGCATCTGGTCATAAGAGTTGGGGTACGGGACAGGCGGAGGGAGCGGTCCTTGGAAGTACGGACCCTGCGGGTGCTGGAATAGACATGCCGCGCCATACCGGCACGCGGGATAGTATCGACAGGGAATGGCTGACGCTATTTCGGGCGGCGGAAGATTATTCTGTCGCGCGCCGAAGCCCTCTGGATGCATCTGGGGCGGGGGCGGGTAGTACATTTCGGGAGGCGGGCCGCCGTTCATCGCTGGGTAGTACGGATAGTTCGCAGGCGGGTACCCATTCGTCTCTGCGCCCGGGTAGATGTGCCCGTTGCTTTCCCCATTTTCGTGAGGCACAGGAGCCCCCTGGGTGTTCTTCATGCGAGCATGGTCAAGCAGCTCGAGGATGATCGAGTCCGTGGTGTAGGATTCCGGCGAACTTTCATTGGACGCGTTTATCGGATCGGCACCTGCAATAACAGACTGAATACTCAATGGAACTGATCCGCAAAGAAGGCATACCCTTCTCCAGAAGAAGTTTTACAATCTCCACGTTTCCACTCTTGATGGCCTCGATGAGAGGTGTGAAGCCGTTTTCGTCTGTACGAGCGGTGGCGGAAAGTAACGGGTCGGAGACGCGACATATGGTTAACAACGGAATTTTTGAAGGTAGTTAGAGGCGGCAAAAGGATCGCGATGAGTGAAGGAACACTCCGCCGGAGAAGAACGGGAACGCACCTTTCGCCTCGATGTCTACCTCTTCCGAGATGAGTGCCTGGTGTACACCCGCAACATCGCCTTCAGAGCAAGCCTTCCACAGAGCAGATACCATAGCAAAATGAACGGAGAGCAGGTCGGGACGAAGACGGAGGGTGTCAAAGTCAAAGCACACGGGCGGCGGTAAGAGGAAAGATTTTTTTTGATTATGATCGTGATCGTGATTCAATTAGTCAATCAAAATTACGCGCTGCTGATCTGCGGCTTGGATCTCCCTGTGATAACTGTTTGTTTACTGCCAAATGGCTGCCCCAGTACTCACTCTAGTTACTGGGCAACCGGTGATTGGTTATTGGATCCCTCACATATCTTCTATGATGCGACGATTCAAGGTCTCCAGCTGGCAGAAAGGCTATCGCCGGGGCGGACTCGTCTGCGAGGATTCGGATCATTGCAAGGATAAAACCGAACGATTTTCATCCCACTAAATCAACATGCCGATTTGCCCTCCGAAAACACGCTCTGCCTTCGGTGCGCCGCGTTCTAATATCCCAACTGCACGAGTGTCATACGCCTCACTCTGCGGGCCGTTGGAACTTGGAACAAGCTCTTCGCAGAATACTCCATGGGCTGGTCTGTATACCTGATAGTCTCGCCGTCAGTGTCAATTCAGTTCTTTCCCTCACTCGGAAGGTAAAACCGACCGACTTTTTTTTTGGATGAGCACGTGAGAAACAGGTCCCGGACAACTCTGGCCCAGTCAAAGGAGGAGCTCCACTTTCCGCCCATGAAACTGATGTCTCAACGCCTCCGCCTGACGAGCACCTCAATGAATTGTGTTTTATGCGGGATTTGCTTGACACAGGACCTGTGCGATTCTGCTTTTCGTGTTCCAGACTATTTCTGAGCTCCAGGCTACTCGGTAACTGAAGCGAAAGGGTCTTCTGCCCGGCTCTGATTCAAAGGAACAAGACAAAGCAACAATCACAACTGATGGAGGTGACGGATAGTCGGATACCCTGGCCTCCGCTTCGGTAAATGAGATGAAGCTTCATGCTTCGAGTTCAAGCAACGGAAGTTGATGTCGGCACTCTCCGGGTGATGCACGTGGTCTTACTTTGGCACGGTCACGCGAGCGAAACGCACATCTTGTCATTCAACCCCTCAGTCTCCCGCAGTGTCTTCCATGAGTGCCTTTGTAATTCTCGAGTAGCATCTGCATCGCGGCTAAAGGAAGGGGAGACGTCTCAAGCGGACATGCCTTTGCACCTGAGGGACAGGGCTGGTTCTCACTCAAATATTCAATGTCGGGTATGAGATCAAAGAAGAAAGAACGAAACGGCTAAGTCAAGCAGCTGCCTCGACACTGGCATTTCCAAATCATTGTGCTCCCACTTTCGAATGTGTTTCGACACCGAAGCTTACAATACGTCTTATTTTCGTCGCTGCGGCCCCAAAATGGAGTGCACTCGATATAGCCCTGATTTCTCTCCAGCACCACAAAGATATTTCTACCGACTTGAAAGTCAAGTTGATATACTAAATAAAACTACGAGAGTATTTTCTCGGAATCATTCCAAGATTGGATCAGCACCGCTTCTTGATCCTTCTGTCACGTGCAGACTCTGCTACGTACTTTGTCCCTTGCCGAGTACTCACTTAGCCTCTCTTTATTCTTCTCCAACTACACTTCTTCATTTCCTTCAATAATCTGCGCATGGCTCCCACACAAGACAGAACAAATGAATTTCGCTCATGCGTGGAGTCCATTCGCACTCGATCTTCACTACCACATGGGGCGGGCATCAAACAGCGGAATGGCAGGACTCAGCAGAAGAGCGAGTTCTCTCAGATGTCTTCAGCTATTGGGGATGATATAGACAAAACTTCCACCAAGCTGGGAAAGCTTGCGCAGCGTCCGTCGTATTCCCTTGTTGTGTCCATTGTTCTCAGAATTGACCCATATTTAGTCGCCAAACGGAAGACACTGTTCGACGACCGACCTGTCGAGATTAGCGTTCGTTCCCTCTCGAATATTTGACGACTACCCATCCGACCGAATGTATCCAGGAACTTACGTTCATAATCAAGCAGGACATTGCCGGTATCAACAAGCAAATAGCGGCGTTACAATCGTACGTGAAGCAGCGCAATGCGCACGGATCGAAGTCGGCCGACGACAAGCAAATCGAGGAGCATACGAACAACGTTGTGATGTTGCTGCAAAGCAGGCTGGCCAACACGAGCATGACATTCAAAGATGTCCTGGAGCTTCGAACGCAAGTGTGTGCCTCCCACTCTTCTTTTGAATGTCCGTAATGTTTTGTGTAGAACATGAAGGAGTCGAGGACACGTACAGAACAGTTCATGTACTCGACATCCAATGCTGCAACACAAGCATCCAGTGCGTTCCCATTCGGCGGTGAAAATGCTGTACGTGCTAACATACGCTCCAAGGCTCGATGCTGTACGCACAACGCCCGGACCCCATGGGGGATGGTAGTGCCAGTCGCTACGATTCCAAGGGCAAGAGCAGAGCGCCACAGAATGGAGACGTGCTGGCTTTAGATCTAGACTCTGCAGAGGAGGGGAGAGGATCCCAGCAGGGGGCCTTCCAGCAAATGCAACTGGTCGAACAACAGGTACAATCCTGCGTCTCCGTATCCTTGCTCTGATTCACTCAACGTCTCTACAGGATTCTTACATCCAAACGCGGTCGACCGCCATCGAGTCCATTGAGACAACCATCGCCGAGCTTGGCCAGATATTCACACAGCTAGCGACGATGGTGGCGGAGCAACGCGAGACTGTCCAGCGAATCGACGCTGACACTATGGACATAGCCGCCAACGTTAGCGGGGCACAACGAGAGCTGCTCAAGTATTATGCTAGCATCTCAAGCAACCGATGGCTGATGCTCAAAATCTTCGGCGTACTGATCGTCTTCGTGAGTGAATGGAGAAATCGCGGAGATTTGTCGCTCATCCCACACTCAGTTCCTGGTTTTCATTCTAGTTTCGTGAGGCCTGGTGCCCTGGATTCGTCGAGTGGTTGGCTTACTGTACTACCCACACACTTAATTGAATGGACAATAAGAGCTATGTTTTCACTCGGACTATCCGACCGGAATGGCGTTCGTGCCAGTGGCCCAGGGTTTCTTCGGCTTCCCTCGTATCTTGACATGTTTCTTCCCTCCTCTATGTGTTGGACCGTCGTCGTCTTCGTCACCAACCGTCCAAGTCTTGCGCTTCGAGTGAACCTGCTCAAGACCTGACGTAGCCGAAAATCGCTGTGGTAGATCTGGGATAGCAGATAACGTCGGATCCTGTTTGGCCAGCTTCTCGACTCGGTCTTTCTGTAGTAAGGGATGAGTAACACGATGACGCGCAGTAGACTGACTGACCCTCTGCTCGAACAACCCTTTATTTCGTTCCTTCAGCTTCCCCAGTCTCGAGTCGCTCTTCCCGCCGCCGCCAACAGTGAGCTCGACGTTGATCTTGCGCCCTTCTAGTTCAGATTGATGCAGTTTGAGCCCTTGCTGGAGAGCATTGCGGTGCGAGAATTCAACAAAGGCACAGCCCTTGGATTTCACGATGGGCCTGCCGGACGCAGATGGTTTGGGTGTGCGCAATCGAACGGTTGGTGGTGGATCTTACACCTTCGTGAGTAAAAGATCCAAGAGAGCGACGGACCGAGACAAACGTACCGCAAATTGCGAAGTGAGCTTTGATAGCTTCTGCGGTCGTCGTGTATTTCAGGTTTCCTAGATCTTCTGCTCAGGAAAAGGGAATGGAAGATTACTGGGAAGTGCGCACCCACAAACAGAATGAACCTCTGTTTCGTTTTGCTGTTCTCGGGGACATCATCTCCAGCAGTCGCTCCAGCAGGTTTTTTGGCCTTCTTCTTCTTGGGCTCGCCGCTCTTGGCTGGCTCATTCTCATCCACCTCGGCACCCAGTTCACCGGCGTCGCTATCCCGTTTTCGTTTCTTCGAGGTCGGCGGCACGCTCTCGTTGGCCTTTTCCTTTTCCTTGCCCTTCCCTTTGCCCTTCTCCTTCCCAGCCGACGCCTTCCCCTTGACATTCGAGCCACGGCGCGTTTCGCCCGCACCCACAGCCGGAACAGCTTCCTCATCAATGAGATCCTGGACTTCAAGGACAGGAACCTCGTTGTCCTCCAGACCAAGAGCGCTGTCCGGATCGGCACCATCTGCGGGGTTGCTTTTGCGGGACCGGAAGGCGAGGCCCTTCTTTTGGCGCTTCGTAAGCTTTTTAGGTTCACTCATCGTGGCTGAGGTTGGCGCCGTGAACGCGTTGTAGAGGTGAGGTGTGGGTGAGGTTCGCACAGAATCAGCCTGGCAAAAGATGTGTTGGCGGATCACTAAGCTGTGATGCGATCGATCTAGTCTTTCGCTGTCAATCGCCATTTATCGAACGTCCTCATGTCCAGCTCAAGCCTGAGTGTACCTACGCGTCCTTGAATACATTTCAATCTGAAAATTCTCCACGCATCAAAAATTTTGCCTTAGAATGTCTTCTTTCCCACAATCGACTGCTCCCAGTTGTCTGGGAACAAGCGACCCACTTGCGGCTATCGTGCTTATCTCTCTCCCACTCTCCACAAACCATGTCTGCTAGCTGGAAGGAGATCGCGGAACGGAAGAAGGCCTCCCAACTCGACTCTGTGCCGAAAGACTGGCTCCTCTCCGTGTCAGAGCTACCGGACGAGGGGCAGCTCAATGTCACTTCCATTCCTCGTGAATGCGGCAAGCTGTCGGCGCTGGAAGTGGAGATAACCGAAAGCAGAGTTTCTACTCTTCTTATCAACTTGGCGGCGTCGAAATGGTCGTCTGTGCAAGTGACCACCGCCTTCTACAAGCGCGCGATCATTGCACAGCAGCTGGTATGTCGCATTAAGTCGTGGGATCGAAAGCTTGACATTGAGGTTTATATGTGACAGACGAATTGCCTGACCGAGATATTCGTCCCTCGTGCACTCGCCCGGGCTAAGGAGCTGGACGAGTATCTGGCAAGAACGGGGAAAGTCATGGGATCACTTCATGGATTGCCCGTCTCGGTGAAAGATCAGGTTGGAATCAAGGGCATCGAGTCGACCATCGGTTCATGTTTTCTCTTTCTGCTCTCCTCGATCACTCAACGATGTCCAGGCTACGTGTCTTGGATTGGGAATCACGCAAAGAAGAATTCTGTGCTGATTGATATATTGGAGTCGCTAGGAGCGGTACCGTTTGTGAAAACGCAGATCCCTCAGACACTGATGTGGCCCGAAACGTTCAATCATGTATTCGGCAGGTGTGCTCCCCTCGTCCAGTGCTCTCTCCAATCGTATTGATCTTCAAGGACGCTGAACCCTCACAATCGGTCTCTCACGAGTGGAGGCTCCTCGGGAGGAGAAGGTGCTCTGCTAGGTAAATGAAAGCCAGTTGAGCACGAACCCTCTGGCTGAAACTAGTTTCAGCGTTGAAGGGTAGTCCTCTCGGTACTCTTTCCCAATTGCCCGTTATCGATTCACTCATTCGTGAATACCAGGGGTCGGATCAGATATTGGAGGGTGAGAAAGGACCGGCACTACTCGCCTGCTGACACTGAGAAAACCACAGGTCGATACGGATACCCGCCGGATTCTGCGGGCTGTACGGATTCCGGCCATCTTACAACCGGATTCCGTACGAAGGATGTGTAAACACGATGCAGGGAATGGATGCTATTCCTTCCGTGTTGGGCCCGCTGTGCAACTCATTGGAAGGGACCAAGATATTCTTCCAGGCCGTCCTCAGTCAGGAACCCTGGAAACAGGATGCAGCCACCATCAGAAAGCCATGGAGCGAGCGCGAATACGATCTTGCGGATCACGGCAGCGGAGAACGACTATGCTTTGGCATCATGTGGGATGACGGTCGCATGGTGCCTCATCCCCCCGTTCTGCGGGGACTGCGGATGGCTAAGGAAGCACTCGTGAGGGCAGGTCACAAGGGTAATGGCTTCCCCGACACTTTGGTGGCGTCATTCTAACAAAAATCAATCAGTCATCGACTGGGTCCCGTACAAACACAGCGAAATTACGGAAAACATGGTCGGTCGGGTGGGATTTCCTGCACTGGCTTTGAGCTCAAGATCTTCAGTTCAACATCTGGAACGCTGCTGCAACGGAGGACTACGAGGCTGTTACCAGCATCTCTGGTGAACCAGTGATCTCATCCATGGAACTGAGTCCATCTCTCAGCACCGACTCCGAGCTCGATTTCCGACCTGGACACAAGGCCAGAGCCACATCTGCATTCGAGTTATGGCAGTTCCAGAAACAGAAAGGAGTGTTGCGCCAAGAACATCTGCGGCACTGGGCCGCAACGGAGAACTCGACAGGCACGGGCCGACCAGTGGATGCCATTATCTGTCCGATGGCAGCTTACACAGCCCCGCCCCATGGCATGAACAAGTAAGACCAGAAACCACGATCAGGAACCGAATATCTCATGTTCCAGATCGGCACAATACACGATGCCCTGGAACTTGCTCGATTCCCCAGCGATGATTATCCCTGTCGCCAATGTGGATCCAGTCGTCGATGCGAAACAGCCTCGCACGGAGTTCTACTCACGAGCCGACCGAGCAAATCACGAGCAATGTGGGTTATCACACAGCGACCCTGTCTGTGGCTTGTGGCTGACGCGAAATCGCAGATGATCCCGCTATATTCAAGGACGCGCCGATTACTATCCAAGTGGTCGGCCGGACAATGGAGGACGAGGCGGTGATCAGAATGTCTGAGATCGTCGACCAGGCCCTGCAGAGAAATCTGAAATCAAAACTGTAGCCCAGGAAATTAGTTACAGGATAAATGATATGAACTGAAATACAATGGGGCAGTGATACAATAGCAGAGTCTCGTGAACAATAGATCCAGGGAGAACAAGATGAAGATCAGGCCAAAGTGAGACCACCAACGCCCTCTCCTGTGTCTTCAATGTCACGTTCTTCTTCATCGCTCCTCCGACCCGCCAAGCGGGGAATAGGTCTGAGAATGGGGCTGCCCAGCGTTATAGAGCTCCTTAAGGTGGGGCTGGGGAAACTGCTTGGAGGACGAGACATCGAGAGCAATGCCACCCCGACGGTAGGTGACGAAGCCGCGGAGCTGGCAGCCGACGCAGGCATTATGGGAATGGCGATAGGGAGTCTGGGATTAGACCAGCTCTTTGGGGATGATGGCAATGACCCATCACGCAACAGCGTCAAGGATGGAGATACTGCTCGCCGCTTTGATGCATTCTGATAGGGCTCGAATCTATCATCGACTAGGCCTGCCGTTACACACTAGAAGCACAATTGGGCGAATGGACACGCACATTTACGTTTATTCGACCGCACGGCACTGCTGGTCGGAGGCGGCGTCGATCGCCAATGATTGATAGACATGGACGACAGCGAAGACACTGAGGGCGAGCCTGAAGGCTATCTGGGAGTCAAGACACGTTTGGACGTTGGCCATAGAACACTTACGACATCCACATCCATGCTGCCTTGGCCTGGACTTTCCGAGATGCACATACCACTCATGTCATCGCCGTTTACGCTGCCGGCAGGAGTTCGAATGTTGATAGGTTCAGTACCGCTGATAGGCAAAGCAAACGAGGTATATGTCGATTCATCATCGTCCTCCGAATCACTTGAGTCGTCGTCTCGTGGGTATTCCTCTTGGACAGCTTCTTCGGGGTATCGACCTCGATCGGCAATCGTACGCGGTGTTCGGGGCAGGTCAACGCCAGAAGCTAATAGACGCTGGAAAGCGGCTTCAGACTGGACCTCATTCTCTAATGGGCGTGACTCCGCGAGGAGATTGAGAATCCGAGGTGGCTTTACCTATTGACGTTAACCATCAACACACATTGCAGAAGTATAATCCAAGATGAGACGCACTGGGAAGGAGAGTCGTCGAGCCTTGAAGCGCGCTTCTGACCTGTCCGAACTGCGAGATAAGGAACGACGCGGGGGAGTCGCGGGTGGCATGGAACGCCGCGAGTCGTCGACAGTGTCAGCCGTAAGTGGTGGCGTTGAGTTTCCGGAACGACTGGGAAGAGGGTCCCCCCAAAGCGGGTCGCAATCGTCTACGTTCGTCGTGCTCTGGCTCAGGCGGCGTGTGTGCACTTTGTACGCTGTCAATGGGCTATGCATACGCGTGTCAGCAGCAAGAGCGCTCTTGGGCGCTAGAAGGCTAGGCCGGCGGAAGCGCTGGACGACAGTGCTGGTGTCATCGAGGAAGGTAGCAGTGTTTAGGGAGGCCGAGGAACTGGAGGAGGAGCTGCCAGGAAGATGAAAATCAAATGCCGAGGTAGGTAGGGGACGAGCTGGAGCAGCCATTGCCTTGGGCATGTTGGCAGTTGAGTAGAGAGATGTCGGGTGGGGTGACTTGGGAGAATGGCTCCGAGTCTCAGCAACTTCATTGACTGAGGGCTGGTGTGTCACAGCCGTCACGATCAATTGTCGAGGAAAGGAAGTTCCGGGAGGGTCCCGGCTTACCGAGCGATCTAGATTACTACATGGAGGGAGGCCAATGTCCCCACAAGTCTCATTTACATCGACATGTTGCTCGTATCTTGTGTGCAAGAAGAACGCCGTCCACAAACAAGACCGCACGTCAGTTCGCAAATGCAAGATGGCATTGTGACCATCACAAGGGTGAGACTGTGACAAGTGATCCCGATCAGCAGCCACAACACGTGCTTTCCAATTTTTTGGCCGAAGCGCACTGTTCACTCATGTCCAAGCGGTCTGCAACAGAGCTCTTGACATCGGAATCGGGCCAACCATTCTCTAAAGCTTCCGGGAGTGGATCGAAGCGCGAAGATGTCAATCCGGATGAAATGGGCGAGTTTGAAGATGCATGGGAGGATGAAATCGAGAGCGATGAGGAGGTAGTTGATGGCGGAGCTGAAGATCAGGATGAAGACGGTGTGCATCGACTTCCCCTCGACTGCTGCTCCGTGTATCTTACACGATCGCCTTCCAGGTATGGATGTGGACGTGACTCCAGCCGTCGAAGACTCCGATGAACAACCGCCAGCTGCAGACGCGTTTATTCCTGGGAGACACAAACTAGGTCCCGACGAAGTCTTGGAGGCTGATGAATCAGTCTATGTCATGAGGCATTCAATGAAAGTCACTTGGCCCTGCCTCTCATTCGATGTCCTCCGAGATAATCTAGGCGATGAGCGGCAACGCTATCCCGCAACAACCTATCTCGCTGCCGGCACACAAGCTGATTCGGCCAAAAACAACGAAATCGTCGTCTACAAACTAAGCTCTCTCCATCGGACTCAGAAAAGCGATGGTTCGTCCTCCCACTCCGCGTCCTTGTGCTGCTGGCCCACAAATCCGATCTGTAGATGATTCCGACTCGGAAGAAGAAGACGACGACGACGAGAACCTAGACGAGGATCCCATCGTCGAGTTCCGGTCTATTCCTCACCACGGCGGGGTGAATCGAGTCCGTGCCCAGCCGCTTCCCGCATCAACCCAATTGCCCCCAGTGACTGAGCCTTATCATGTTGCATCGTGGGCAGAAACCGGAAAAGTGCACATCTGGAACGTGCGCCCTCTGATCGAGTCCCTCGATGTTCCGGGATACCGAATCGACAAGCAACGCACTCAAGCACCCGTCTACACCGTCAACGCGCACGGCCAAGCCGAGGGATTTGCGATGGACTGGGCGGCCACTGGCAGCTCCTTGCGACTTTTGAGTGGAGACATCCATTCCAAGATTTTCCTGACCACGTCGTCCCCATCTGGCTTCAATACGGTTGCCCAACCGTTCACATCTCACACGTCGAGCGTCGAAGATCTGCAGTGGAGTCCGACGGAGATGACGGTGTTTGCCTCCTGCTCCGCCGACCAGAGTGTCATGCTTTGGGATATTCGCAGCAAGGCGCGCCAGAGCATAAGCGCTATTGACGGCGCGCATGATAGCGACGTGAATGTGATCAGCTGGAATAAGTCAACTGCGTACCTCATGCTTAGCGGTGGCGATGAAGGAGGCATCAAGGTTTGGGACTTACGACATGTCAAGAAACGAGGGTGCGTTTCATCTGCTTACCTTCTTGCTCACAAAACTTATGTTTTGCAGGACGACAATCGAGACCCCGACCCCCGTTGCCTCCTTCTCCTGGCACAAGGCCCCAATCACATCGATAGAGTGGCACCCAACTGAAGACACAATTTTTGCAGCCTCCGGTGCCGATGATCAGGTCACTCTTTGGGATCTTGCGCTTGAAGCCGACGACGACGAAATGGGTGGTGTCGAAAGTGCAGACGGGATGGATCTGCCCTCCCAACTCTTGTTCTGCCACCAAGGACAATCAGAGATCAAAGAGATCCATTGGCACCCTCAAATCCCGGGCACGATGCTCTCCACTGCGTCTGACGGCTTCAATGTCTTCAAGACGATCTCTGTATAAGCTGGTCGTGCTGCGACCCTTGAAAAGTACGACATGCTCCAATTTAATGATGCAGGTGGAATCCGTTATCTCCACGCGGCTCCTACGAGGGCATTAGATGGGATCGGCGACACGCGCAAGTCTAGATGTATGTACTTTCAACACATGATCTTGCATTAAGTCCGTGAGGGCGTGATATATGCCGCGAAGGTCGGCCATGCATTGACGAAGAAGAAAGAGTTGGTGACTGTCGTGAGCTTCCAAAGCAAGCTGTTCCTTGCATCAGCGGGGACAACCCAATCCACTCACTGGACTTACGGCATAGTCCGCGACTTCGGGATGCGCCAGGATGTCAATGAAGATTCTGCCACGCTCTCGATGGTTGTTGTAGGCGAAATCACACATGTTGATCGCACTCTCTTGCGCTTTCGTCAGTTCATCTTCGATTCCTATTCCGTTCGTCAACACACCCTGGACACATGAACGATAATCCATGACTTACCTGCTTGTGCGCGTGGCCAATGCGACGAGGGGAACTTGCCCTCACAACCTATAGGACTAGAGAACTTGTCGACATGTAAGTTGCTTTCAGAAAAGCATGCGCATACATCTCATATCTGTCCAGAGTCAAATATCACGCGCATATATGCAAAGACCCAACACCCACTTGGGCTTCAACGAGTGTATCCAGATTTTGAGGACATCTGTCCACATGAGCAGTTGTTGGCATTCCTGCCTCAAGATAGCTTCAAGTCGCATCACTTGCATGTTTTCGTATCCAGAGTGTTGAAGAAGGACTTTGCTTGTCGAGGAAAGAGATATCGCCTCGCCATGCTCCAACTTCCGCTTCTTAGACTGGGCAGCATCTTCATTCGTCTCACGCGAGATATTGCTCGTACTGGGGATATCGTGCGCATGGCCGAGCTTGTTCAGGGATGTGACCAGATCATCTAATTCTCTGTGAAACTTCCTTCGGTACGGATGCTGGGTGTTCTCGGAATTTCTCACAAAAGCTGCGCGCAAAGAACTTGAGATGAAGTCTAAACTGAACTTGGCGAGAGGCGCACCTTCGCGGGGAGATGACGCAACGCGATTTTTTCTCCTTCTCTTTGGGCCTTGGAACGAAATTCCTGAGAAGAAAGTGAGGGTAATCATAGCGCAAGAGACGATTCTGACCTGCAGTCGTTCATCGAGAGCTTTCTCCATCGTTGAGCGAAAAGTAAAGGAAGGTGCTACGATATGGAAGGGGTGGTTCGTTATTGCCTGCCTCTCCAGACTGCTTATTCTAGATCGAGATGAGGAGAAACCCAGGCCATAAGCCTTGTCACAAATGTCCATTCCGGCCGGTAGTTCGTGACGTCCTGCCAATGATGTTGCTGGGCGGCACGCTTTCTGCAGACGTACCTGATCAATCGGCACATTGAATGGAATATAAAAAGAATATTATGGCATTCATCTTTCGAAACGCGTACATTTCAATCAACGAATGCTTGGTCCGTCTCCTACTAGCGTACCGATCCGGACGCGACGCGTAGACCACGTGGTGCGTGACGCGCTTGGCATGTGGCAGTGCGCCATCCTGAGTTGCGCCCAGCAAGTACACCGCTCCGACTACTAGTCCCCGCCCTCACTCATGCCGAATGAAAATGACGAGAATGACGCTGTGTCTGCCCTCACGGGCTTCTCGCTTTCCAATCTACTCGGAGACCTTGTTCCTTCAACCTCCAGTCTCACCAACCAACTCGGATTAAGCGGTATAGCTGCCCTAAGCTCGAGCCAGATATACGGAGATAGATGGGACGACGATGCGGACGCTGTAGGAAGAGGGCAGGGTGAGGATTGGGAGGATGAGATCGACAAGGAACTGGAGGCAGAGGGTGACTATGAGGACTTGGTAGTAAAAGATGAACCCCAATCCCCTGCTGCTTTGAGAAAGCGACCTACAAGACTCGTCACACGTCGTGTAGAACGTCCCAAGACCGTGTATCAGCGATTCCCTTCGTTTGACAAGGATGGAATACTCGACTTCACGGAGCTCTTCAAGGGATATACGGTACAGAAGTCCCGATTGTCGAAGCGTCCTTTCCACAGTAAGCTTGTCTGCTTCGGAGTTGGGCTCGTATTCTGAACAGTGGCAGTCGAGACTGTGTATCCAAGGAAAAGAGAGACTCCGAGAGGATACTTGGAATCTGTGGTGGGAGACACCAAGCGGCAGGTCGAAAACGAGCGTGCGGAGGCTATTGTGGCAGCCAGCAATGTCGAGTCGGACCTCCGGAAGGCGATCGAGGTGCGCTTTTCCGACTCACTATCAATGTTTTCGACTAAACCAACACCAGGACCGCGAGAATACGGACATTCCACTGGAAAAGCTTTCCCTACGAGATCGCACATTTGACCTCGTCTCGATTTCGAACTGGGAAGATCAGATCATATACGAGCCAGATCCGCAGGCCCTTGTAAAACCGGGCACCGATGTCATAATGGAAGATGCTGAGAAAGTGAAGGCGCCGAATGCCAACAATCTGAACACCCCTGCGAACAAGGTTCTCGAATCTGGAGCTTGGACCCAGAGCATTATCTGGGATCCTCGGTCTGCGTTCAAAGACTTCACCCAGATGGAATTCAATCACGAGGACGACAAGATTCCAGAGGAGAGGACTGGTGCGCGTCTTCGTCTCATCGGGAGCATGCATGTCTCAAGTCACCGTGTGCAGTGGAAACCGTACGGGTACGGAAACGATTCAGAAACGAAGCTGCCATTCGCGACAAGTTCAACCTGTCCAATGACCACTTGTACGAAGTATCGAAAGATGGTCGCCACCGTGTGCGCCAAACATTCGGGCAGATTGCAGTGGAACATGCGTATCCGGCCCAGAAACTGCAGCTTCCCTTCGTGCGTTTCTGCCGTCTCGATGTATTTATATCGTCTGACGTCCACGCAGTACAAGACACGTTTGTCCAAGCAGGAAGCACGATCGTTCCACCGACCTGCCCTGCAATTTCCGTCGAACATCGAGATCCACTTTAGCAAAGTGCGCACTGCCAAGAAACGGAAGGACAAGTCTGGGAGGAAGCTTGGCAAGGGTGGAAATATCGGCGAGGGACTGCGGAAAACAGCGGACATTACGCTACGAGACACGAGCAATTTCGTACTATGGGAGTTTTCGGTGAGTGGTCCGATCTCAGAAGAGCGTGTCCTAAATTTGGGTCAGGAAGAGCACCCACCGATTATCCAGAACTTTGGTATGGCAAGCTCTCTCGTCAATTACTACCGGAAGAAGAGCGAGAAGGATGAACATATCCCTCGGGTCGGTTTTTTCTTCTTCGTGTGCCGAGAATCCTTCTGATGCGCCGCAGTCTGACCTCGGTGTGCCTTTCGTGTTGGAGCCTCAAGACGAGACACCCTTCATGAAGTTTGGCTCGGTGATCCCTGGACAAACCATACCATCATTGTACAACAATCTGCTCAGAGCGCCATTATTCAAACACAAGCCATATCCAACCGACTTCCTGGTAGTCAAGTGTGTATAATTTTCTCATATTTCTCTGACCGAATCTCACACCTACGCAGGAACACGATAAAGGGAGAATCGAAGTACTATCTGCGGGAGATCAAGCACTTGTATGTGCTTGGCCAGACATACCCTGTGACTGAGGTCCCTGGGCCCCACTCGCGCAAAATCACAAACACAATCAAGTATCGACTGCAGATCATCGCCTTTAAACTGCTACAGAAGAGCGCTGGCGAGCGACTGAAGATCTCTCGCCTGATGAAGTACTTTCCCGATCAAAATGAACTGCAAATGCGGCAGAGGTTGAAGGTGATTACCATGTGTGCAAGTGCTTGATCGGAAATAACGTGCTTGCACTTCTCAGGAATTCATGGAGTACCATCGACGGGGGCCGCATCAGGGTTTCTGGCGTCTGAAGCCAGGGTGGAATATCCCCCCGGATGCTGACATGCTGAAGATGGTAACCCCGGAGCAGGTGGTGCTGTCTGAAAGCATGCAGGTTGGTCAGCGCCACTTGCAAGATGCTGGATATGGCCAAGCGGCGGACTCTGTCGACGACAAAGATGATCAATCAAATCTCTCCGTGGAGCAGCAGCTGGCGCCTTGGATAACAACGAAGAATTTCATCTACGCAACCCAGGCTAAAGCCATGCTTCGGTTGCATGGTGAGGGAGATCCGACCGGGAGGGGGGAGGCTTTCAGCATGATTCGGATCTCGATGAAAGACATTTTTGTCAAGGCGGGCGAGAACTACGAACAGAAAGTTGGTGCGTGACTGTGCGAGTCGTGTGCATCCCAGGCAGCTGACAACATGATCCTCAGCCGAGGCAGAAAATCGGCCGAAATCAGCCCACCGGTACAACGTGGCCGAGCAGCAGGTTATCTACAAGTCCGAAATCGAGCGCATCTGGAAAGCCCAATTCGACTCGCTGAGCCGGAAAGATGAGCCGCAGCTGTCCGAGGACGAAAAGGATGAACGTCAGGGCTCTGTGCGCCCGGAACCGGAGGCGTCTTCTCCGGCAGCAGCTGGCTCACCGGCCGCTTTCAGTCGTGCCTCCTCGATGGACCGCGATCCCGAGTCTAGCCGTAGAGTGCTGAGGATCCAGCGCAAGGTGAGCGGGCATTCATGTGCTTGTTCTCATTCAGGATTGACGTGGTGCCAAGGTCATGGGCGAATGGCAGACGGAAATTATCCGCGATCCAGCAGTGATCCGAGCTTATGTTGCCAAGAGACAGCTCATCGAGGAAGACCAGACTTTGACAGATAGCTTGGCTCCCACGGGGGATGCTGACAAAGACGCCAGAGCCAAGAAGAGGTGCGTTCGCGGCCGTCTTGGCATGTAGATTAACATCGTAATGTGGGGTTCCAGGCTGGAGGAAGAGATCGCAAGAATGAAGAAGAACCAGGAACGCCGACTTCACAGGAAGAACGCCAAGATTGTCCAAGCGGGTGGCACCCCCATGCAACTCAATCGCCCTCTGAAGCCGGACACGACCGTGAGTGCCATGTCTTGTCACGTGCAGTGTCTGATCCTAATCCAAGCGACGGTGCGGACATTGTGGACAACTGGGTCACATGAGTCAGTCGCACCCCGTTTCTGCCCGACTCCGAGCTGAATTGCACCCTAGAAACGAACCGCAAGTGCCCGCGATGGGCAGAATTCAACACGGCAGGGCCGGCCACCCCGCAGGGTTCCGCTGCTGTCCCACCTGCAATGCCGGGAACACCCTTCGCGCGGAACCCCACCTTCGGGTTTTCGGTCGCGGTGCCATCTCCGCTGGCGACCAGCAGCACAGTGCCGGCGACGCCAAGCCAGGACGCGGCTCCCGCTGTGCCCAAGATCAAGCTCACACTCAAAAAGACGTAGATCAAGAGCTAGGGAAATGTACAATAGATGTGTGTAATAATAATAATACAAGTTGTTTACGCTGCAACCATCTCGATGTCGCGCGGCATCCCGTGCAACTCCTTGTACTCGGTGTTGATCGACACAAGCAGGTCGCGGATCAGCTCGACGTGGCGGTGCCGGTCGTCCTCCGCCTTGGGCTTGATGTCGTCCTGCGGGTCTCTCCTGCGCTCCAGCCGTATCCGGGACATTTCGTGCGCAACTTCAGCCGCATCAGAGCCGTACAACGACCCGCTCAGCGCAATCGAGCGCAGCGGCGGCAGCACCGTGCTGCGGGACTCGGGACTGGCGGGGAGCGACTCGACGGGCGTGTTCGACCGCGATGTCGAGGCCGGCGACGGCGAACGGGGTCGCTTCAGCGGCGCAAGCTTGTACTGCTCGTCGCCCGAAGTCAGCAGTGTCGATATCCGCGCTGAGGCTCGGTCCGAGTTCTTCAGCAAGATGATCCGCTGGAGAGACTTGTCGCTGTACTCGGCGGGCGACAGCTGAGGCACCGCAGCCGGACCACGCGATGCGCGAATGTAATTGTAGGCAGCGGCGCTCATGTCCGGCGGCGAGAGCGGCATGTTCGGCGGCGTCGACGAGGCATGTGAGTGGGGAGATCCCGAATCATGCGGCGGGCTGTGGGTGTGGTCATAGCCGTGATATGCCGCATACTTGCTCGCTGGGGCGCTTGGTCTGTGGACATACATGTGGTCGTCCATATTGGGATAGACCGCATTCGGATATTGCGGATGATGATGTCCCGTGTATCCAGACCGCGCGGACGGGTGCATGTTGGCGTGGTAGTGATGCGAAGGCGGCTGCGAATGGGAGTGCGGGTACGCATCGTGAGCTGCTGTCGCCGGCGGAATACCGGGCATGCCGGCTAGGCCCAGCTGGCTCAGATTCATGCTGTCGAAATAGGCGTCCGCACCAGGGAAGCTAAACCCACTTCGCGAATCCGCAGCATCTCGTCCTAGCGCGATCAAAAAGTCATTGACAGCCGCAAGTTCCTCCGGAGTGCGGATGTCGACGGACACAGAACGGGGATTGAAGCCGGGTCCAGCACCGTGTCCAGCATACGACATGTGGTTCAGGCGTTCGGCCATTCCTAGATAGGAACATCATCAGCCAAGATTCAGTTTGCGCCCAGAACGCCAAGACAATGCCCCAAAAGCCAAGCCTTTCCGTTACGAGAGACACTTACGATGATCGTATGCCGGGCTCAGCCTCCGTTTCTTCACATCTGTGAAGAAGTCCCCAACCGAATAGTCGTGCGATCGCTTCGAGCCAGCGCTCACGCTCTCCCACTGCGCGGAAAATTCATCGCTCGGCGGCGGAGAGTAACCAGGCGATGGCGTCGGGGGGAAGTTAGGATACGAGCCTGTGGGCTGGATCAACACTGAGGATTCGGGGAACACCCGCACCAGACGTACCATCCGATGCAGTCGACGAATGAGACGGTGCACGAGGTGGGATGTTGCCTTTACCAGAAGCCGGCTTGCCTATGGTCCGACCCGCATCGGCAGTTTCACCGCGGACGCGGGAAGAGTAAGCAGGATCGGCAACAGTGATGGCCTTCGAGTGCTTGTGCTGAGCGTGATGTTCCTCAGTATGGATCTTCTCGTGTTTCTTCAGATCTTGCGGCCGCTTGAAAGACTTTTTGCAGATCTGGAGCGGATGAATGAGAACGTGTGGCGGTATCTGAGAATCGGGTGCGCACCTCGCAGACGTGAGGCTTGAGCGGCGTATGGACTGAGGAAGCGTTAGTCTCTCGGACAGACAGAGCAAATAAGAACTCACCCCGAAGATGACTGGTGATGTGGTCGCGCTTGGCGCAGGAGGTCCCGCAATCCTTCCACTTGCAAGTCAAACAGAGGTTATTTGTGCTCTTGCGGCCAATGTGATCGTTGCATAGGTGGTTGTAGAGCGATTCGGGGTCGGCGAAGGACTGGGTGCAGTCCTGCCACTGGCACTTCTGCGAGAGCTCCGTCTCGTCGGCGGCCTTTGAGGCGGAGAGCGGTGGGGAGGGGGGTGAAGAGGCGTCGGGCATATAATGGGGATGCGGGTGGGGGTGTGCAGGAGGCACGGGAAGAAGCCGGTTGGGAAAATGGGACAGGCGACCGTGATCCTGCATTTAAAAGGTGTCGTGCCAAGCCAGAGGAGGTCTATGTGGCAGTGACCTGCCGCCCGGCGACATCCGACTCCGGCTGCCCAGCCCATACGGTGCTTCTTTGATCGCTTGGCGCTCAGGTCCTCAGGGGACATCGCAACTTCGTAAAGTACCATCTCAGCCAGGGATCCTGATTCATAAGAGGCAGGCGACAAGTAACAGATGAATATAAAGCACCCCGAGGCGCACTATGTCAGATTTGGAGGAGTACAGTAGGCCAGAGCCTTGGAATTTACGCCTGTGGTTCCTTATTGAACAGCCGTTGCAGTCGATTAGCTATAGGAGTCACAGATGTGCTTTCGACTTGATCTTAAGCCAATCTTCAGAAGTGAGACAGTTCACGATCACGGGAACGTTCCAAGGAAACGCCTGAGACCAGCAATAAATATAGAGACGTCATGATGGGGGCGCAAAGAATCGCCAACTGTTGGGATCGGGGCAGGTGAGAATCGACCTGTTTGGGGAACGAAGTAAGGCATTAGATGTACACACAGTCGTAAGAATACACAAGTTTTGAGTCAGTCCGACGTGAGTCAGGCCTAGTACCCGGTTGGATCTGGCTCGTCTTCGTTCACTCTCAACACCTTGACCCACTCCCGATAGTTGAAGTTCCCTTGCCTGTCGGTGAAAGGCCCCTTCAACAGCTTGTCGATCTGCAACGGATATGGATGGATCAGCCCACGCATAGGATGTCAGGAGAACGGCCAAGACGAGATCCAAGATCAGTCTCGTTTCCGGCCTGCCACTGACCTCACGTTCGTTCATGCGTTCGCCGATCTCGCTCAGCCACTTCCGCATTTCGTCAACCTTGACCGTGCCGCTGTCCGCTTCGTCGAAACTCTCAAACGCCGTCAACAATTCAGCTTCCGTGTCGAACTCGAACAGCCGTTCCGACATCATCGTCAAGAACATCGTGAAGTTGATTCCACGGTCAGAGTCGGAGACCGAAGAGTCGCCCGGCCTAGACTGCAAGAGAGCGTCGAGGGTCGAGGCGGAGGGTGATATGCCTGGTGGGAATAGGGATTGTCAGGTGCGGCCATGAGGGCGGAGTTAGCACAGACCCAAGCTGGCGAAAATCTCCTTCAAGTCTTTTTCTCCCACCCATCCATCCTTGTCGTGGTCGATCAGCTGGAACGCTTCCTTGAACTGCTGGATCTGCGGCGCCTGAAACAAAGAGAACACGCCCGAGGGTTCCCGCCGGGCACGCGACTTCTGAGATTTGCCAAGCTTAGTCGGAGTAACATTGGGTGAGAGATAGTCCGGGTATTTGGACATCTAGTACGAGGGCAAGGATGGTTGTGCGGAAGGAGATGAGGATGACATTCAATGCATCAGACGCGTCCACGTGATCTTTACTATAACTTCATTCTGACCTCCCACGTACACAAGCTCGTCTACTCTGTTTTTGAATATACTCTCCACAAGAACCACAAAACAATAGAGCGCGGCAACCAGCGGAAGAAAGAGAATAACCACTCTCCGTGCCCCAACATGAAGTGTGTCGGAGGGGTCTTCTTGAGTGAGGCAGCCACCACGCGGCGGGCGAAAACATCTGCTGGCATGGTGTTGGCACTCTGGCTCGCGTTCATCCGTCGAATCATGCTTGGAAGATAGCTGTAATATCGTGACGTGTCGGGCAGGCTGTGGAGGAAAATGAGGTGGAAAATGGCAGCTTGAAGATCTGAACGAACGAGAAGACTTGGGCTTGATTGTCGGAGATGTTGGATTTGATCCCTCCCGGCGTGACATTCAAGACCTTGATGTTGAAAGGACGCAATTCCATCATGAGGATCTCGGACATGGCATGCATGGCCGATTTGCTAGCCGAGTAGAGGCCGTTCCAGGGCGTGGGACTGGACCAGACTTAAGAGGTGTAGATCGTGCATCAAAAAGCCGAACACACATGTAACCGACGACAGATCCGATGTTGACAATGAGCCCGCTTCTCTTGGCCGCCATGTGGGGGAATGCCGCCTGGGCAACACGCAGGGCGCCGTAGACGTTGGTGTCAAACACATGTTTGGTGTTCGTGATAGGCTGTTCACTGAAAATCGCTCGGCATTCGATCAGAAACTGACGATCGGACATTTGCTCACATGAGAGGGCCTTTTCAAACAACATTGGTTAGGCAACCGAGATAGAAGACCGAGTATACGAACTGACCGATTCCCAGAACGCCAGCTGAAGAAACAGGTAAGTTTCACACCGCTCACAAAGGCTATGTCTCAGTGACTGACCATTGTTCACCACGATATCGATCTTGCCCTGCTCAGCAACAACTTGGTCGACGACTCTGCGTACATCATCGTCGCTGAGAATATCCAGCGTGTGCAGCGAGACGAGAGGGTTGGCATCCAGTCCGTTCATAGCTTCCTTGCGTCGAGCAGTCGCATAGACTCGGCATCCCTCGGCGGCATATCGTTCAACCCTGCGGTGAAGTGTGTGAGTTGCAGGCAGGACTGGAGAGTAAGACGGTCAGTACTCACAAGGCACTGCCAATACCTCCGAGTGAGCAGCCAGTGATAAGAACGACTTTGGGGTCAGACATGTGGATGGGATGGTGGTACAAGAGAGTGCAAGGCAGTCGTCTCCAGATAAATACCTGAGGTAGTTATCTTGGAACAATTGACACTCATTTACAGATCCTCGTCGCGCCCGAGTAGGTATCAGCTCAGACTAAGAGCATGAGGCAGGCGGTGTAACTAATTTTGAATCCTTGTGAGCGAATTGGTACCGAGTATAGCCAAAATCCGAGTGAGTACTTTGACGTCAGATGGTGTCGGGTGCAGGTCGATAGAACGCAAGTGGATGCGCTTCATTTTCGGGTTAGAAAGCGATGGAGATCAGCGTTCCAGGGCTGCCGGTATCACAGAAACTGGTGGTAAGCATTTCCAGTGGAAGTGGTAAGCTGGTAAGAGTCGCGCCCACGTGATGATAGCCGATTAGATTCTAAATCGTGCTCAGGTCTAAGCCGAGATAATCAGTGTTTTAGGTCCAAGACAAGATCGACATCCGCGGAAACAAGAAACGACTCATGATATGACTACGTGGTCTTGGAAAATCGTCTCCACAAAATCCAGAACACCAAGGACCTTGGAAGCCAGCGCAAGACTTGGAAGGTGAATGCACCTCCTCCCAAAGTCAAGTGTGTCGGAGGCTGACTTTTCAGTGCAGCGGATACCACTTTTCGAGCGAATGTGTCCTCGGGCATGGCGTCAGGGCTCTGACTCGAGTTCATCCGCCTCAGGATACTCGGCAGATAGGCGGTGAAGTAGGAAGACTCGGGCAACCTGCGAGGCAGATGATAAGCCCAAGATCGAGTTGGCGTTCTGACCGCGCTGCTTTACCGGAAAATAGATCTTTGGTTCTTGGAGATGTTTGAGCGCACCGCGGCAGGTGTTATGTTCATCACTTGGATGTTGAATGGACGAAGTTCCATCATGAGGATTTCGGACATAGAATGCAACGCAGCCTTGGAGGCGGAATACAACCCGTTCCACGGTACTGGACTGAAAGATTCAATTGAGACTGGACGTGGATGACGACGGAATGTTACCTACATGTCGCCCACGACAGACCCGATGTTAATGATGAGACCACTTTTACGGTCCGCCATGTGAGAAAACGCGGCCTGAGAGACGCGTAATGCGCCATAGACATTGGTATCGAACACGTTCTTGACGTAGTCGATAGGTTGCTCGCTGGTTTGCCATTAGTTAGGCTATGCGGAAGATGTTGGCAGGCGAGACGCAGCACACACATAAGTGGACCTTTCCCAGTTCATGCCAGCTCATCACAAGAGATGTCGCTCACCGATTCCCATTACCCCAGCTGTAATGTTCAGTCATTAAGCTCAGTCAAAGAGAGAGAACTTGTCGGTACCGTTATTGACCACGATGTCGATTTGCCCTTGCTCCTCAACCACCTGATCTACGACTCGTCGCACGTCCTCCTCTATTCCAATGTCCAGAGTATGCGTTGAAATAAGGGGATGCTGATCCAATCCTGCCATGGCATCTTGGCGTCGCGCAGTCGCGTACACTCGGCACCCCTCCGCTGCAAAACGCTCGCATCTGGAAACGAATAGGCGCCGCTGCGATGGTCGGAGCGCAGTGAGAGATGCTTACAACGCGTAGCCAATGCCTCCTTCGGAACACCCAGTGACGAGAACCACTCGCTTTGTGTTGGACATGGGCAGGATTGTGGTCAAGCTTGTAAGGGATTTAGACGTTGGGCCAAGCAGAGCAGTGATCGATCACGACAGCTGCCAAGCGCGCAGACAGAATAGCCGCATTCCGAACTCCGTAATTCTTTCCCCATCCAGTCTCTCTTTCTTTACTCCTTCACGAACCTATTTCTATCTCACGGTCGTTGCTTCCAATCTTACCATGCTCTTGAAATCGAGCGGCCTGCTTCAAGGCGTTTTATTCTCTCTATTGGCTGCTGTCGGGAGTGCCGGCACGCTGCGACGCGCTACAACTTGCAATGGCCACAGCGAAGTGATTACATGCTTCTGAGCGTCTCTATGGTGGCTCATGGAGGGCGCAGCTTTGCAACAGGAGCTACGGCAATATCACCTACATTGGGGCCCACGACTCTTATGCCGTCGGCACTAACAATCGTGCGTTTCCGCTTGTATAGTGGCCCGGTGGATACTGAGGCGGCCTCAGTCGCGGTCAATCAGGACTACGATAGTGCGTGGACTCAGTTTCGCTCATGGGACATTGTTAACGATGCTTTCAGTCACACAGCAACTAACAGATGGAGTACGGATGCTTCAGTCCCAGGTGCACAATAACAGCGGCACTATCCAGTTATGTCACACCAGTTGCGTAAGTCCGCAGTCCTCACCGGCGATTTCCTCCCCCGACGAGTTCGCGGCAGGTCTTGTACAACGGAGGAACGCTCCAAGATTACTTGACGAAAGGTTCCGATCTACCCTGCTTGCTTCTTGTCCTCAGGCTGAGATCGCTTCAGTGAAAACATGGATGGATGCCAATCCTAACGAAGGTCAGCCAGTCAATTCAATTCAAATCGAGTTGCGCTCATCGGACTTTGCTTACAGTGGTGACACTGCTTATTGTCAACTCGGACAACTTCCCGGCATCCAGTTTCGCATCTGTCTTCGCTGCTGCGGGCGTGGACAAGCTCTCGTACGCTCCCACGAGCCTTCCGCTGACATACAACAACTGGCCGACATTGAGTACTCTGATTGACGCGGGTACACGACTTGTGACATTCCTCGACAATGGAGCAGATACAACAGTTGCACCCTACCTGATTGACGGCGAGCGCTTTCCTTGGTCACAGCTATTTTCAGCAATTCTGATCCGGAACAGAGTTTACCAATATGTGGGAAACGCCATTCGATGTCACGACGTCGTTCGATTGCAGTGTGAATCGCTCGCATGTTGCGGACACTGCGACGAGCATGTACGTCATCAACCATTTCTTCGACACTGTCGGTGCGTCGTTTACTCAGGAGACCGGTGGGGGGCATGCTGACGTGCGAATGGTGCAGTGTTCGGCAGTCCTGTTCCGGATGTAGCGGATGCGAACACGACGAACGCCGTGTCAGGAACCAGAGCTCTTGGCACTCAGGCTGCCCTCTGTCAGACCCAATACGGACGACCACCGACTTTCATGCTGGTCGATGTGAGTCGCGAGATGATACGTGATGGAGAAGGTCTGATGTGTAACCTGCAGTTCTATGAATACGGCGGTGGTTCCGTGTTTCAAGTCGCGGCCGGACTCAATGGAGTGACTTATGCTCCCACTACGCCAATCGCAGTGCCCATATCTACCTCCTCCAGCTCATCCACTAGTGGCTCATCTACGACAGGCGGCTCTCCCTCCGATGTCGTAGTATCTCGCGCCCAGCTCGGCGCTGCGGTAATTATCGCTTCACTCGTCGCATATTTCATGTAGTCGGACCTGTATCATTCGCGGACTATTTGCATACACATCTTATCTATCCACCAACCTAACATTCGCTCTGGACTATCGAATCACTAGCCTCAGTAACCACTCTATTCTTACGGTACGCAGTGGCGGTGCGATAAAATGTGGCGGTGCGATAAACTGATGTGGCGGTACGATAAACCTTGTGAGCTGTCATTTTGGCTGTGCCCGTTTTCTCCTTCTCCACTCGACCACCAGTGTACCAAGCGTGATTTATACGAACAATCAGCAGTCGAAGAGTCCTGTCTCTATTGAAATTCTGGGAATCCTTTGAGCGGCCACAGGAGCCTGACTGTGGTCTCCCTCGCTAAGAATGGGCATGCTATGTAAGGGATCCTAGACATCTCGTACGCGAGCACTGCAAGATGGCTATGCCATCGTCCATGCTAGACGTAGCCCGTGCTTTAGCTGTATATCCACCTCCAGCGCGTCGAATGAACGGGAACAGGTCTTGTGGCAACTGGTAAGTGTGATGATCCAGAGCTATCATATACAGATTGCTGATGAGATTTCGCAGATCCACCGCAGGTCAATCACGATTGGCCGATGCGAGGCTTCACCGACGGGCGCGGACCATCACTTCAAGGTTTGCCGCTGCATCTGCGGCGGCACTGATGCCGGCAACGAAACGCTTTCGCGGCCGCGACCAAGCCTCGCTGACGGACTTCACCCACTGTCAGCGGCATGACGAAGATGGGCGAGCTCTCGGCCATCCAATTGCTGACGATCGGCGGAAGAAGGACACGGTCCGTGGCTCAAACGCGCACAGATCCTCATCCGTCCACTTCGCCTCACCGAGTTCATCCAAGAATGGGTCACGCGAAGGGTCTGAAGGCTGTGTGAGTCATGTGGTAGTGCGGGAGGAAGTCAGCTCCGAGGTCCCATTTCGCTTGTTGTACGAAAGATCGCGACACCCTGCGTGCAAGACACAGCCTGGATCATCATCTGTTTAGAAGACGCACACAGAGAAGCGGTTGCTCCATCTTGGGTGTGCGTCTTGCCAGTCGGCCTGATCCGGACTGCCTAGTCTTTTGTATCTTGTGTCCATTTCTGGCAGCGGACACGACCCAGTTTGATCACGGCCGGGTGTATTCTTCCGTGCGTACCACCAGGCCGGCCTTGTTGTTTGGTGTACATGCACAATCGGTACTGATCTGTAGGTGCCTTCCCTTCCTTCTGCTCTCACTCTCACTCTCTCGTCCTCCTGACTCAACCTGATGTTATTCATGGAGACTCCGATTTCATCGCGCAATATGTACATCGACGAGCCAGTTGACCGTACGATGGAGTCGAACGGGTACGTATTGGTTGGTCTCCGATGGGTCCCAATGGGTGCCAGTTGGTCCCTATATTCCTCTCTATTTCTCTCGCTCAGCGAATACAACTGAAGTCTCCAAAGCCAGTGTCGTGATCACCCACGACGACGATTGGGGCTACATCCTCAAGGATGTTGGTCGGCTTCTCTCTGCCTTTGTTTCTCTGCTCATTCTTGATGGAAGGACGACATCCCAAATGCGGTTCAGAATGTCTGCGACTTCCTGAAGCAAGTAGCACAACGATTTGACATCGCATCCGAGTCAGAAGGCGGTAAGCATTGTGTTCCTCTCTATAGCATCACTCTTCTCAGCAGACTTCCAGGCATCCACTATCTCAGCCCCAAACTGAATCGCACGGCATGGCACAGAACATCCTCGTCTCCCATCAGTCCACAAGACGTTCCCACTCGGATTACCTCAATCTTGATGTCTCGTGTCCGGCGACACTCGCTGAACATGCCGGGGCCCCCTCATCGTGAACAGTCCCAGAGTCTGCCTTTGCCGGCCATGAAACTCAATCAGCTGCAGTAGGAACTATGCCTGCTTGAAGGAACTCAATTCGGTCCCAGTTGGCTCGCGGCCTCCATCTCGCGCCTTGCTTCGACAGTGCCTGTCAGAGGATTGGATAGCCCTGTTTCATCTGCAGAAGATGGCTTCTTTACACCGCTCTGCTCGACTGTTCACGCGACATGTCCATAGTTATGATGTGAGTGCAGACGGGCTCAAAGAGAAGGTCGTCTGCCACTCTTGCTCTGGCTGCATAATTAAATCGTCGGCGTTATAAGTGTATTTATGTACTCTGATTTTTTTTGTGGAATCCTGGACCAAGTCTACAAGTCTTGTAATCTTTCGCTGGCTAACTGGAGTCTGGAGCTGAATTTCGTGACAGCTGGCGTGATGCGATCATCTCGGCAACGCATCGGCACGCCCCCTCTCAAGTCTCTATCTATCGTACAGAATCATCCATCCTTAGTCAATCGCCACAATTTGGAAGCTAGTGCTGCGCGCTGATCCATCCGTTCTTGAACTATCATGTCTTTCAAGCAAACGTCTCTGTTTCCACCGACGCCTAACACGACCCGCGGAACGTCAACGAAACTAAGTGCGCACAAGGACAAGATCGTCTATACAAATGGGAAGTCGGTTATCGTGCGTAGAACTCACTCCCAGAGCTAGTAGCAATGGTGCCTTACGAATTCCCGCTTCCAGATTCGTGATCTGAACGTGAGGTCCTGTGTCAATCCCCAGCGCCATCCATCAACGCATACCTTCACAGAATCCATTGCTCGCGACTGTGTACACGGGGCATGTCCAGAACACGACGGTCGCTCGAATCTCTCCATCAGGGTACTACTGCGCGTCTGCGGACGCCTTCGGGACCGGTGCATCGCATTCGCAACACCCGCTGCGCGCGTGAACTGATGCTGCGATCCAGTACGGGTGTGGGACACCGTAGGGGAAGATCAGGTTCTAAAAGGGGAGTACAAGGTCATCGCAGGTCGCATGTACGTCGCACGCCTCGTCGATGTCCCAGGTATGACGTCCCTCATAGAAACGATCTGGAATGGGACGGAGAAAGCAAGCGGATCATCGCCGTGGGCGATGGGCGGGAGAAGTACGCGTCCTGTCTGTATTTCGGGTTCTCATTCCTGACGCTACCGCTTCAGATTTGGACACGCTTTCATGATGGATAGCGGCTCGTCCACTGGTGAGATCGCTGGCCATTCCAAGGTCATTCGGATGGACATGGCTCTCAGGAATATCTGATCATCCTCGTTCAGGCGATCAATGCTGTCGCTATCCGCCACCAGCGTCCTTTCCGTGCTGTGACAGCTGGAGATGACGCTAATATCATCTTCCACCAGGGTTTGTCTGGTTTACCACTGCGCTTTCTGAAATCCTAATTTCGGGCTCCAGGTGTACCGTTCAAGTATGACAAGGTTCTTCTCGCGTCGCGATCTACATAGCAAGCTTTTGATGAGGCTGTTCAGACCATCCGGACACACACCAAATTTGTCCAGGATGTGCGTTACTCTCCTTCCGGAGACCACTTCGCGAGTGTGGGCTCGGACTACAAGGTGTTCTTGTACGACGGCAAGACTGGAGACACGATTGCAGAGTTCACCGACAGCCCGCACAAGGGTAGTGTGGTCCGTATTTTATGTCTTCTTTCGGGAGCCTTCTCTGAGCAATCCAGATGGCTTGCTCCTGGAGTCCGGATAGCAAATCTTTCGCAACATCGTCAGCCGATGGAACCGTCAAGCTTTGTGGGTCGTCGGGTTGACAGAAAGCGATGCCCACATTGATTCAGACTTTTAGGGGACATCGAGACTCATAAAGCAACAACTACCTGGTCGCTGGGAGCTGGGGTGAACAACCAACAGGTCGGAAACGTTTGGAGTCGTGAAACGGACATCGTTTCTCTATCGTTGTCTGGGGATCTCAATGTATTCGATTCCCGTGCGGGAGATAAGCCAGGCCGTGTATTCACGGTGAGCGGAGAATCTCCTTCTCTCAATCTACTCCAGTCCGTCTTAATATCGAATGCAGGGTCCCCAAAAGTCAATCACCGGAGTGGCCCCATCCAGTAACGGAACTTTCCTTGCTGGAACTGCCGATGGACGGATCGTCGAATACACAACCTCCTCAGGCGAAACCAAAGCCGTACATGGACAAGGCCATACCGGCCTGGTTGTGGGACTTGCATCTGGGTCGAACGGCAAGATCTTCTCGGCAGGCTTTGATGATCGACTTCGAGAGATCCAAGCGGCGAGTTTCACTGAAGCTTCCATCGGGACTGCTTCTCAGCCAAAGGCGATCGCAGTTGCTGCGGACGGGACGGTATTTGTTGCCGAAGCCGGGGGAGTCGAAGCTGTGCGGGACAACCAGAAGGTGACGCATCTGGCCACCAAATTTGTACCGAGTGCTGTGGGAACGAGCGCGTCGGTCGTCGCGGTTGGAGGAGAGGATCAGAAAGTCAGGCTCTATGAGTGGAGTGGGACAGCATTCAAGGAGACCGGCGTTCTCGATAACAACAAGGGTGTTGTCTCGGCCATTGAGTTCTCTCCAGACGGAGCTCTGCTGGCCGTTGGTGATGTAAGCAATCACTCCGCTGCAATCCATTCCGCTCAAATCTCCTTAGTCTAGCGGTCGGATAGCTTTGTACGACGTGAAAGAGCAGAAGGTTCGTCGCGTCCCTGATTTTTCACAAGCTTTGACCCGGCGATCGCAGTTGGTCACTGCCCGATGGTCCTTCCACTCTGCTCGCGTTAACTCTTTGTGTTGGACCGCTGATTCCAAGCACTGTGCTTCGGGATCTCTGGACACCCATGTGTACATTTGGAGTGTGGCTAACCCGACTCGAAACATTGCGCTCAAGAACGCAGGCCCCGGTGGTGTGAACAGTGTGCTCTGGGTCGGAGAGGGCAAGTTGGTCAGTGCTGGCGCAGATGGATGTGTCAGGCAGTGGGACGTGGTACTCCATAATTAACCTGAATGCACCGGCATTGTATTCCATGATGTGGTTGGCCCTATACTCCTGCCGGACTCATTATCACATTGCATACTGATCCAGTCAGCATCGCATCGCTATGCTACTTTTTACGCTCCAAACGCCATTTGTAGACTCTCGGTTTGTAGGTCTTGGGATCCACGAACTTTGGCTTCGGCTCCTTTCGTTTTCCTCGCCTCGCGTCAATCTCATCTTCATCTTCCTCGTCATCGTCTCCGTCCACAGCCTCGACACCCGCAATTTTTTGCCGCGCGCCTTTGCCCATGAGTTGGCGTTGCATCTCGAACTCTCGTTCTGCATATCGCAGCTGTCGATCACGGAATAACCGCGCAGAAAGTTCCTTCAACAGGCGCGTGCGATTGGTGCGGGCGACTTCCCGGTGCTCTTCCTCGTCGAGCATAGATTCGTCAACCGCATCGTCTTGTGTTGTGTGGCGTCGGCGTGACTTCGAAACCTTCCAACCGAGGTCGGGTTCTTCGTCTGAAGCTGCGGTGGGCATAGGTTCATCGAGCGATGTATGGGAGCTACTAGCGCTAGCGTAGTGTCGTGCTTTTCATGAGTCAGTACCGAGAAGTGCTCAGTCATACCGCAGATAACACACCTTCAGCTTCATCTTCCACGAACACGATATGTTTTGGGGTCGCACGACCTTTGCCCTTCTTCTTTTTTGTCTGCGAAACGAGCCGGCACTTTGAAGTATCTCGAGTTCGTCGGGATCCAGATCGGCAGCGTCTTCCTCTTCGTCGAACAGTCCCGGTTTCAGCAAGTCCGCCATCGACATCAGCTGGTTTTTGATTTTGTCGACTTTCTAAACAGGGCATTTGTAAAAGGAAGTCGAAAGATATAGCATCCGCGCTCACTTTGAGACCCGCGGCTCTCATCGTGCGGACATAGTTCTCGTCCTGGGTTTTGAGTAGTTTCACAGTATCCTGAGGAAGGGCCACATTTCCTCGGTCCGCAATATGCACACCGCCCTAGAGCTCATATCAGAGAGAGTGAAGCCAATCAGTCCACATTGAGACGCACCTTGGTGGCCTGTTTCGTCATGGAAAAGTAGAACTCATCCTTGTTTCGTTCGTTAACCTTCTGCTTGAGACGATTGAGTCTGTCCTGCTTGGAGTGGTAGTCCCTGGCACGCTGAACATAGTCCTTGTGCTTTTCTAGCACTCCGAGACGCGACCGATGCGCTAGCTGAGAGCGCTCCTTGTGGTTCCGGCGATGCAAAGAATTTCGGAGAGGCATAACTGCTCGGTCACGTCCGTGATATGTGACGACTGATCGCTCGGCATATTCTTGCCAATCTTGTCGTTGATCTCTACTTTTGAGCCCAAAAGCGACCGCCGAGAGGGAAAATGTCCTTCCAACACTTTCGCGTGGCAGCATCATTGCCCCCTCATCTGAATGCCACCATCCCTAACAACCAGACTTTCGCAACGAATCATGTTCCAGTCGACCTCACGCCATCCAAAAAACGACCCTATGGCGCTGGAGACTCAGATGACGGCTACACTCTCTGCTTCGCGAACTTGGAGGAGTTTGATAAATGGAGAGAAGAAGAGGAAATTCAGAAATCGGTCGAATTCGTGAAGGTGCGAACGTCCCTCTGGCCGATTTATATAAGCGCTCAAACCCCTCACAGGGGGATACACATGGAAGTAAAGCCGACCCGCCGCGATTCAAAGATCATACAAAACTAGTCTGTGCTCGGCACTCTCGCAGTGGACGTAAGAAGTATGTCAAGAAGTACCCTGAACGAGTCCGCAAGGTCCCTAGTCGCAAGGTCCGCCTGAATCTCATCCGTTGATGCGCTTGCTCATGGGCGACAAGATTGAAGGTGACGGATGCAACGCATCAATCAGTTACAAGACCTATTTTGACACCGAGGAAGTGAGAGTGTGCTGTAGGTGACCCAGTGAATGACAGATGGCGCGAGTCCACTGACTGTCTCCCGTAGATGTAGACCAGCATTCTCACGAGATCGGATTGGCCAACCTGCCTTTCACCCGTCGCGGGCGCAAAGCGACTGTGGAACAAGAGAAGGAGAAGTCGCGTAGTAATCGCAAGAAAGCTGGTGCTGAAGGGGGTGAAGGGGGATCTCAAGACGGCGGGGGCCCAGTTGCCAGTGGTTCAGGGGCAATCCCGAGCAGTTCACCAATACCATCTCCATGATCGCACCGCTACCGCCACAGCACGCAAGTTTCCAGCCGCAACCACAACCGCCTCCCCCTGCTGTTCAGTCTGCAAGTGTTCCCCATTACCCCCAGTTCCATCACGCACCGCCGCCACCGCCGCAGCCGATTGCTCCTACAGCCTCTGCCGACCGATGGGACAATATGTCGACGCTCTTTGAATCTATCCGAGTCCATGCGCGCAGCTATGATTATCCCGCGCCGAGTGTTGCTGCTCTGGAGGCGGTGCTGATCAGGTTTGTGCTAGATTTACTCGGTACCCACATCGACTGAACACATGTCCAGACTTTACCTCGAATCGCCTGTCACCAGTCAGGCAATCGTGATGCACAATCCCAATATCCAGCCCAATCTCGGCGAAGCTGCGTCCGGATAGTACTCATGGACTGCTCGATTCTTTACTGTAAATTTTTCGTGTACTTACTTGCATCTTGTACTTCTTGTTCGCTCTGATTACCGGCCCGGCACCTGATGACATCATCATAGTTCCCTTGGACAAGTCTATCACCATGTCCGCTATTTCCTTCGCAAAGAATGCCTTCAAAACGGAGAAGCCGCATGTCAGTAGCGCTAAAATGCGGGTCTTTCGCTCATTCCTAGTGCCATCTAGTCTTCGGTCACCGATTGGGTCGATATCCTCACCGCAGACTCTGTGGCAGATGAGGCATATGACGGGTCGGGCCATTCGATCTCTCAGCCACCATTCTCTCCGTCTTACTTCTTCTTAGAATTCCTGAACTCGTCGATTCGATAAGCTTGCAAGGCGGAGGGTGATTCATTATCTTATCAGCTCGTGTTGTGACCAGGCGCTTAATCCCGCGTGCAGACCTGCGGAGGCATCTCGAGCTATTCGGAAGAAGCTCAAACATGGCCGCCCCCATCAGCAGTACCGTGCTCTCGTTGTCAGTCCGCTTTCCAATCGGCCGATCGTACTAGCTGAACTGCGTCGCAGATCTTGAAGGCACTGGTCGAGAATGGCGGGCACAAGTTTCAAAGTGCGTCCATGATCGGCATCGGAAGAGTGCATGTTCAAATCCGATAAAATAGCTACGTTTGCGGATGGGCAGCTGACTGATGCCTTGAAACATCTTGGGAACGACGCGTACACGGACAAGAAAGTGAAGAAGAAGTTGCTGTTGGTGCTGGCATCGTGGCAGGAACAGTTTAAATCAGAGCCCTCGATGGCTGGTGTGGCAGGGCTCTACAAGCAAGTGCGACATGAGCGGAGCGAAAGGGCTGCGTCGATGGACACGATGGGGTTGCCGGACGGTGAAGCTTTGGATCGTGAGGCGCGACGCAAAGCAAAGTTGGAGCGCGAGCAAGCCAAGCTGGACCGTGAGCAAGCGAAGGAGAAGCAAAGACAGGAAGAGGCCGAGAAGCGCATGAAGGAGGCCGAGGAACGCCGCAAGGAGAAGGAGAGAAAGAACCGGCCCAAGCGGGCACCTTTCGACTTTGAGAAGGTTCGACTGCAACTTTCGTTCGGGCATACTTACTGAAACTCTTGACAGGAAAAACCGAAAGTGTTGCATAGCATCGTTGAAGCGTCACAAGCATCGAGTAATCTTGTCAACGCCATCACAGTTCGTAGTAGCTTCACGCTTGCTCTCGCATTGCATTGACTGCCTTGTCCAGCTCGTCAATCAGGAAAAGGAGAGTTTACCGGATAATGCTCGAGTTCAAGAATGCTTGTCGCAAGCGAAACTGGTTCGCAAAAGTATCATCAGATACATCCAGGTCAGAAGTCTGTGGTACATCAACCAGTGTTTGCTGCTCAACCCATGGACCAGCTGGTCGAAAACGAGGAGTTCATCGGGACCTTGATTGAGACGAACGACAGGATCATCCAAGCTTTGGAGATGTATGACAAATTATCTGTGCCTCAGGCTCCAGAAGAAGCCGATGCTTCAGCTGAGATCACGTCCGGACTAGCGACTGTGCAGATCAACTCGTCTGAGACCGAGCTGAATAAACTGCAAGGCAAGCAGCGGGCCGCCATTGAACGGGCGAAGCAAAACTCGTTCCGGGGCCAGGACACCAATGTTCATCCAGATTTGCATGACCTCAGTTTTGGTCCGCTTGGGTCTTCCTCTCAGAACCTTCCGACACCGCTGCGGCCATCGACGCTTTCCGACGATGGGGAAGACGCCAATCCTGCTTATGACCGGGGTTCGCTGTCTGACTTCAGCGACTACCAGTCTTCAGACGAAGACTCGCATCAAGCTGGCCCGTCTCGGGAGTACCGGAACTACGTGACCGTCTCTGTAGACGATCTCAATACGACGCGCCACGCGAACGAGGATCCATTCGCAGATCCATTCGCGGATTGATGAGGGATGATTTCAATGTAAAGCTGCATGTATAGGATATATATACTGTAATAACATTATTGCCACTGGATGTAAGGCTTGGACTCTCCTATCCAGAATGGTCGCAGGACCTCGGGCAGAGCGATGCCAATAAGCTCGTCTCGGTCATCGAATATCGCGCCGTTCTCGAGCAGTGCGACGATCAATCGTGGGATTGCAGCAGCTGTCCCATTCAAGGTATGGGCGAAGGGACTCGTCGGTGTTGTGTTGGGCGCGCTCTCTCTGTACCGAATATGCAATCGCCGAGATTGGTAGTCGGTGCAGTTCGAAAGGGAGGACACCTCGCCCCATGTTCCCCGGCCGGGCATCCATGCTTCCATGTCGTATTTGCGATACGCACTGGCACCCAGCTCTTCCGAAGGCATATCCAAAACCCTATTTCACAGTTAGATTGGCGCCTTCCATCTTTTCAAGACACACCTGAAGGAGAGGTTCAGGCCACTTAATATGGAGATTTGCACATTTTTCATGTCCTCCATCAACTGCTCGCTTTCGTCATGAGGCGAGACAACAAACAGCTCCACTTTGGTGAACTGGTGAACGCGATACAGCCCCCGTGTGTCTGCGCCGCGCGCACCAGCCTCAGCACGAAACGCGTGCCCGACCCCAGCGACCTTGATGGGCAACGTCCGTTCCAGTTGGATGTGATTGGCAAACATGCCAGCGAGAGGGATCTCAGCAGTCGCAGCCAGGATCAAGTCTTGAGACTTGCTCTGGATGTGATAGGTCTGGCTCGCGTGGTCTCGGGGATGGAAGCCACAACGGCCCGCAATGTCTGAGCGGACAACGTCTGGCGTCATGACTGGTGTGAAACCATGCTTGATGGCGACAGACAGTGCATAGTTGGTGAGCGCCAATTCGAGAAGCGCCGCCTCATTAATTAGATAATACCATGAATTCCCGGTCACCGTCGCCGCCTTCTCAAGATCCAGCAGCCCATATTTTTGTGCAATCGTCACGTGGTCGCGTTTTGGAGTTGCTGGTATTGGTGGAGGACCATGTGTAGACAGAAGTACGGCAGCAGACTCGGGTCCAAGCGGGGAGGAGGGATGTGTGTCGTTCGGGAGGGCCAGCGCAGTGGCTAGCATCTCCTCTTCGAGCTTACTCAGAGTTGACTCCACCTGGATGATGCTCTCCTTCATCTTGAGTGCTTCGGCGAGCGCGGCCTCCTTCTCCACTAAGTTCTTCTCTGTCGCGCTCCGTTTAATTCGTTCCCCAACTACAGATCGAGCATTCCGCTGAGAATTAAGTTCGCCCGATAACGTTTTGAATTCCTTGAAGTTTCGAGCAACAGATTGGACCGCATCGTGCGGGAGCGGTGCTTTGCGGTTGAGAGCATTGTTGGACTTGTATACGACATTTTCCGAGATGGCACGGTAGTCTAGCCTCGGTAAAGGCAAAATTCGATGGGTCGTAGTTGCGGAGGTTGAGGAATAGCGGCATTGTCTTTGGGCTCAACAGATTGCGGTCGGTGACATTGTCTGAGAGAGATTAGAGGTACTCACCGGTGTGGAGAAAGGACCGGATGCTCGAATTTGAGCTGCAGCACGCCACTGACATGGAATCCAGAGCAAGGGGAGACTTTGATCGACTCTGCCAAGCAAAACACAACAACGCGTCTCTCTCTTGGATGTCCTCCTCCACATTAACGAAAACAGCCGAGCAGCCATATGAACTCCCCTGGTGAGGCATTCCAAACCATAGCCAAGCTCTGGCCCTCAAATCTCTCAGGGTCGAGAAATATCGACCTGTTGTTTTGGACGATGTCGTCGGGAATGCAGACACCATTGATCGATTGAAGGTCATTGCGAAAGACGGAAACTGTCCTCACATCATCATATCCGTACGCGTTATTTCTAAAACTCAAGCCGGTTTCTTATTAGGGCGCAGGGTATGCCAGGCATCGGCAAAACGACCAGTATACATTGTCTGGCGCACCAGCTACTGGGCGACGCATATAAAGAGGGTGTTCTAGAACTGAACGCGTCTGACGAGCGGTCCGTTACCCCTTCGATTACGGGTGTCGCGTGTCTGACTGTTAACAGTGGAATAGACGTCGTTCGAAACAAAATCAAGACGTTTGCACAAAAGAAGGTCACACTCCCTAAGGGCCGACACAAGATTGTGATTTAGACGAAGCGATAGGTGGGTTCTGAGATATGCACTCTCTTGTTAAGCTGAAATTGGGACAGCATGACTGCGGGCGCTCAGCAAGCGTTGAGGCGGACGATGGAAATCTACTCCAACACGACGCGATTTTGTTTAGCATGTAACATGAGCAACAAGATCATCGAACCCATACAAAGCCGTTGCGCTATTTTGAGGTATGCGAAGCTCCGAGACCAGGAGATTCTGAAGCGGTTGCTGGAGATTTGTGACATGGAGAAGGTACGTAGCCCACACTACACGTGTGTTTGGTTTACATTCTCGTGACGACAGGTGGAATACAACGACGATGGGCTGACGGCACTCATCTTCACGTCTGAGGGGGATATGCGGCAGGCGATCAACAACCTTCAGTCGACTCACTCCGGATTCGGATTTGTTTCCGGCGACAACGTCTTCAAAGTGTGCGACCAGCCCCATCCCATCATCGTACAGACGACCATTCGAGCGTGCATGAAGGGCGATATCGATACAGCGATGGAGAAGCTCAATGAGCTGTGGTCACAAGGCTACAGCGCTGTTGATATCGTGGTGACTGTTTTCCGAGTGGTCAAGACATTCGATGAGTGCGTCGCCGTCGTGGCTTTCGTTCTTCTATTGACACGTTCTCTAGGATGCCTGAATATACCAAGCTGGAGTATATCAAGGTTTATCCTCTCGTTTGTCTCTATTTCTGGCCTCATCTTTCCGGTAGGAGATCGGGTTCACACACATGCGAATTCTCGAAGGAGTCGGGACACTTTTACAGTTATCTGGTTTGGTGGCGCGCTTATGCAAAATGGTGCGGATAACCCTCCATTCTTCAGAACCGAATCTCATTCCAATACCGTAGAACTTGAAACCAGAACTCTTTGTTATAGACTGAAGCAATCTGTTTTCACCCGCGTGTGGTTCGCGTGACACTCAGTGCACGTGCATGTGACGACCGCGCTCTTTTCTCAAATCATCCATGACTAATCTAATGTAATCTTTTGCTTTGCAATCTTTCTCTATTCGCTTCCACCATGACCTCAACGGACACACCAGTCGCGCGGCGGCTATCTTCTGTGAAGCACATCATCATCGTGCTTGCCGGGAAGGGAGGCGTTGGGAAATCATCCGTGTCTACACAACTCGCCCTAAACCTATATCAATCAAGCCCCACTGCGAAAGTGGGCATTCTTGACGTCGATCTGACCGGACCTTCGATACCTCGGATGTTAGGATTAGATGGACAGGGTGTACATCAGAGCAGCAGTGGCTGGGTGCCTGTGTATGCGGACGGCGCGGAAGCTCGACTAGCGTGCATGAGTGTTGGCTTTCTTCTCAAGAAGAAAGGCGACTCTGTGGTGTGGCGCGGTCCGAAGAAAAACGGGATGATAAGGCAGTTCCTAAGCGATGTGCGATGGGGTGACTTGGACTACTTGGTCATCGACACGCCTCCAGGTGCGTCTACTGTGCGATTCTGGGCTACATTAGAGTTGAGGGTTTTGATAGGAACGTCGGACGAGCATCTGTCGCTTCTCGAGCATATGGCCCCAGTCCATTCCCGATTGTCCTCGGTCATTGTCACAACGCCGCAAGCCGTTGCGCTCATGGACGGAATGAAATGCCTCTCGTTCACGCGAGCAGTCAACCTCCCCGTGCTGGGGCTGATCGAAAATATGAGTGGCTACGTATGTCCGTGTTGCGGAGAGGTCAGCAACGTCTTCTCGACGGGCGGAGGGAAGGCGATGGCGGAACGAGAGGGGTTGAAATTTCTTGGCAGCTTGCCCGTGGACACTGAGCTCGTCAGCTTGTTGGACGCCAGCGATGACGTTGTGAATCTAGCCGAGATTGATACCGACAAGAGCGCAGAAGGATCATTCACACTGCAAACCCGCTATTCGAAGACGTCCTCGGCGAGCCTGTTTAAAGAAATCACGGAAAACATATTTTCTGCGCTCGCCGAGCAGGCTGCCAGGAATTGAACGTCGTGGCCAGGGTCGAATTCTGTTAGGTGGACTCGAGGCGATAAGCGGACAGATGCGGAGACGGCTGTCGGGCCGGGCCCTGCCATGCGGCCATCATCTGCGTGTTCTGCCTCGTGTCTGATTGTTGAATCCAACCGTGTTTCCTAATTCGTCATTCCATAAGCCTTCTCATAAGCCTTCTTCTTCCACCCGCAGGCGCTGAACCGCTGTTCTCATGTTTTCTCCCTGCTGATCTTGTACGAACATCTACGATTTCTTCCTGTATCTGCTTCTGCGCCTCCATCTGCTCGCTCTTTCTTCGTCTCACAATCCTCCGGAGAGTCCGTTCATCCTCGACCTCTACTTGACTTGAAGAACCTCGGCACGCGATGGGCACGCGTAATATCGGTGAGCGAAGCTCAAACTCGAGATATAGTTTGGATGTTCACGCAAGGCTACGTACTTGTTCGCGTTATAGACCATTCTGCTTCAGTCTTCGAAGTGGATGACCCCCCTTATACGTCGGCTGAGGACGACCCGTTCAACGTCCGAACCCTTTTCACTCAGCCTCGTCGCAGGCGCCATAGCATGCTGAACAAATGGATACGAGAACAACAGACTCTGCCGACGGATGTTACCGAAGCCGACGTCGTCGATTTACAGGAGGGTCCTTCAGTGCTGCCTGGGCCAGCACCACCTTCCAGCCGATACCTTGCATATCCTGAACTGGGCAAGTTCACATATAATGAAAGTGCAGTCTCCATCAATAGTTACGATCTGTTGGAGGACGATGATATCCCACCGAGCGACAAAGTGCGTTGGAAACTGTTTGATCGTGGCGTCCCCGCACTAAAATCCCTCAGGATCCTTCGAACATCGTTCCACCCACCTCTCCGAATCGCTTGAGCGCCTCTTTACGCCATCTTTCTCTATCATTCCGTTCGAGTTCGCCCATCGGATCTCGGGCAAGCTCCCTCGCAATGCCCCGTACACCATCACGCGGGCTGTTTTACCCCCGGAACTCCCGCAGCAGCTCGGAATCGATGCACCACGGGCGAACTGCCAGCTTGTCCACTCTGAAAGCTTTGTCAGGTGACCCAAGCTCCTTCACGCCTCCGCCCTCCGCATCGAAATCTCGTTGGCGCCCTAGTGTGCTAGGCCATTTTGGGATGTCCAGTCCACCTTCTCCTTCTCAAGCGTCGGTGTCTGACACCTTGCATCGTTCGCGACCGAGTATCTCGTCGAATCACACATACACCTCAACCACACAAACGACCACTGACGGGGACTTGCCGGTCACACCCCCTCGCAGCACTGTAGCCGACTCGGTTCGTGTCAAGAGCCAGAGCGGTCTTCGCCTGGCTGAAGATGCGTCAACGTTTTCCCTGTGGTCAGGGCCTTCCTACCTGGACGAGCTCGGCACTCTTTCGCGGTCGCCAAGGAATCCGGGGTCAACCATGTCGTGCGATGGGTACATTGGCATGCCACCCCGCAGGCCGCTGGGGCCGAAGCCAGGTACTCGCTTAGGATTCGACTCCAACTTGGTCGCATCCGCCCCCGCGCGGCATGCGAAGCAAGAGAACCGGCCTGAGATTGCGTACTCATCGGTCGGCAAGACACGCAGCGTGCCTCGCGTGTCTTTCGCCTCGCTTGGTCCCCGCAAAAAGAAGAAGCGGCTTGTCATCAGTGGAATAGCTGCCGAGGATGACCACAAATTTGAAGCCGCGAAACGGTGGTGTGAGGTGATGATGTGCTTATACTTTCTGTCAAGATTATGCGACTGACAGCGCGCTCAGAGCTTTGGTGAAGTGAGCCAGATCACGCGGATGCCGAACGATGACCTCCACGTGCATTTCCGACAGGCGGAGGTCGCTGATACCGTCAGTCTTGAAGTGTGTATCGCAAGGCACCGAGCACTAATATGGTTTCTAGGTCTGCCGCCTCCGAGCTAAAGTCTATATCCGTGCCGTGGGGAGTGTGCAGCTTTCCTGGTACACGAGTTCCGAAAATAGCCGATGAAGATGTGCGTGCTGACCCCGTTTTTTTTCGCTCAATGTGATAACTGTGCTCACCCTTGTGTTAGAACGACCCTTGCATATTACATTCACTTTCCCATCCGCGCCTAATCTTGTGACGACATCCATGCTTTCCCCACGACTGTTATGTGTGAGTGCTCGCTCATTCCCTGTGTCGTGTCGCTCATGGGCCCGTGCAGCCGTTCATGCCATCAATATGTACAGCTATCACAGGTTACACTAAATACCACTCGCCTATTCGACCATTCTAATCAGGACCGAAGACCACTTGCATCGAGAACACATCTAATACCATGTACATATCTCTATACCCCATACGATTCCACTCGCTGTCGTCGCTATACTGCACTTGCTCTCGTTTCGTTTCGGATAGCCCAATAGGATTTCTGCTTTGCTTTGCTTTGACCGCCCAATTATGGGAATCAATCTCCTGTGTGGTGGAGTGATTGATCGGCAAATGTGGTCATGAACATTCGTCAACCGTCGTTCAGGACCACACATCTTGTCTTAGCCCCAGCTGCATGGAAATCGAGGAAACCACGAATTATCTGAAAACTGAAAGCAGCCACGGAAATATTCCCCTTGTCATCGTTCAAGGTTTTCTCGGCGGAGGATCTACATGGCTATGGGGCGACTTCGAGCGGTATCTCAACTCCGGGCAGGACCCAGCGCGTCATAGACGTGTTATATTCGTCAGGTGAGCCCGCGCAGTCCAGCATCCAGCCAGTCCGCTCACAAGCGTGCAGTATCGGGCCTGTCAGCTCACTCCACGACCGAGCCTGTGAGTTGTATCATGCGCTTGTCGGCGGCACAGGCAAGTGTGTGTGCTTCCATTTAGGGTCGATGCTGAAAATCGAGACCACTCCAGTCGATTATGGAGAAGCACACGCGAAGGCCCATCACCACACGCGCTACGGCCGGCATATCGTGCAGGGTTCATACCCAGACTGGTCCCCAGAAGCGCCTCTGCATTTTCTGGGACATTCTATCGTGCGTTCCAAGTCTCGTGTGAATGACAGGTCGCCCGTTGATAGTGTTTAGGGAGGTCCGACGATAATCAAACTACAGCATCTAATCAGGACGGGGCACTTCGGGCATTCGGCACATCCACGGATGGTGCGCTCTCTAACAACTAGTAAGGGTTGCTTGTGCGGCAATCTCCGAAGACTGAAACACAACCTCCGGCTAGTTACTTCTCCATTCCGTGGTACTCAATCTGCATACTTACTGGGGGAGCGCTCTGATGCGGCACCCTTCGTTCGACCACTCTCCGTCGGCTCCCTGATTGGGAAAGCCGTCCACGTTCTATCGTTTCTCGCACCAGTCATCCCCGCTTCTCTCAGCCTCGACCTGCATGGGGACTGTCGCTCGCTGACGTACCGGGATATATCCGTGCTCGATCTACTGAAGCAGCTGTGGCGAAGCGATTGGGCGGAGAGCGAAGATGTCGCGCCGTTCGACGTGACATTCCAGGCCTCAGACACGAGGGAAGAGAAGGGGGAGGGTTCCGTTGAGCCTGAGACGTATTACAAGAGTTTCGTCTATTGCATGGTTCGTGCTCCCAGCGTCGTATGTGTCATGCATGTCCTGACTTGACTTGTTTCGGGCACAGACCAAACCGCGGCGACGCAGGCTCATCCTTGGGTCTCATTCTAGAATGCACACTCCGTCTTTGCAACATCTCATCACATCTCCGCTCTCTTACTTGCTTTCCCTTCGCATGGGAATGTTCGACTTTTCTACTCTCAAGCCGCGTCCGTCGTTCCTGCGTGACGCGGGTCCCCTGCAACTGGGAGAAGAGTACTGGGCCAACGACGGTGTTGTTCCGTTGTTCTCTCAGTGGCATCCGCTTCCATGCAGGTTTGTTACTGATATTTCCATCTCAATGATTGCTAACATGCTGCAGTCGAACAAGTTGTTCCCACAGACCGTTATCCAAAGGTGCGAGGGTGCAGCCTGGGACCTGGTACGTGAAAGAGGCGGAGGGGCATCATCTGTCGGTCGTTCCGCTGTGGTTGGGCACCGAAACTCAACGGGAGTTTTGGTCGGAGGTGGGGGAATGGCTGCGAACGGTGGAGATGCAGATATAGTCGCACCGACGCCTGCTTTATATGTTTATTGGTAATCTAACTAGATCCATGTTGTATCACAATCTCATGCATAGTCGTATTCCGGGAAGCTACCTATGTGACCTACCTATAGAAATCCGATTCAAATTATCTTTGGGGGCGGTGCAGGGCGGTGCAGTGCATGATGCTTCATTGGCCGTACTCTGATGACTGATTTGCAAGTCACTCACGACACTACTTCGCTTCACGATGTGTTTCTCATCCAAAAGGGAGTTCAAAAGCTGTACTCTTGCCTCGGCCAGTCGTCACCAATTCTACGAGGACATCAAGTGTGATGCTCAGAAAGACATTACTCGAATTGCTCGCGAAGGAGGGGACTTGACTGCCGATATCTGGTGTTCCCGGGTCAACACTAATGAAAACCCGCATTATGAGCTCGTATCTCTGCAATTTAAAACCAAAAACTCGATTATCTGTCCTACCTGTACCGGTGTCCATCCTGTATGTCACGATCGTCATCAGACGTCCCATCTCACTCCCTTCTTCTAGATCTTGTAATCGGCCTCATCATGTACTATTTGAGTCTACTGCTGGTTTCCTCTCAGCTATGTGCTTTCCAGATAAATGCTGACAAATTCTGTTGTTGTCTTCGGTCCTACTGTGAGAGGTTGTCTCGCACACAAAGATCCGAAATATCATCTCAAGCCATCTTTCTCGTCTGATCTCGGACAAGACAGGACCCCTTCTGAATGCTGTTCTCTCCAGGAATCGCAACGTGACTCGGGCTCAATCAGTTGTTCAGTCCAATCACGTTCGAAAATTTGAAGTGCATTTGCACTCTCACGAAGCCCTCATCAGCTCTGAGTCGGAGGCGAACTTTGGATCTGCCAATCTGGCAATATGGAATATGCCACTCTCTTCTCTTATTCCAACTGCGCTCAGAATGGGAACAGGCTACATTGACACTGGGCTTATCCGTCAAAAAATCTGCATGATCCGTTGTGCTCTCAGGGTCCTGCCTTACTTGTTTTCTCAGAGTACAAAGCTTCTATTCTTCCTTGGTATCCGACTTTTCTGCCCTCAAACCGCGTCTATCGTTCCTGGCATCATATCCTCACTAACTAGGGGTAGTCTTGAGAATCGGTTATCTCCTCCAAGATCTGAATGGATGTGGGACATCAGTTATCGATTATCACTCAGTCGGTGATGGTCCATGATCTAGGAGGATAGAACATTCCCTACCATGACACGAGCAATACGGTGTGCTTGATGTTGGAGCTCTGACAAATGGCTCGACATACAGTCGTGGACATGCTACGGGTTCCGATCCGCTTTCTTTGCAAGCAAGGCAAGTGAAGTAGAGAGTGGTTGTACATTCAGGCACACACTGGCATCCTCGGAGACGATACGACTTTCGGTAGCACATGGCTCGTGTCTGAATGGGCGCGTCCTCAACCGGAGGCCCCAGATCCAGGTACTTGAGAATGAGCTGCGCTATGTCGGGGTCATCGATGCGAGCCATGTCGGGTCGCCGGCCAAGCTTCAGAGCGTCCTCCACCACGTCAAAGGTGTCGTCGTCACTAGCACCCCCGCGGAAATACATGCCCTTGATCCAAAAGTCGTTTCCGCCGGTGTAGATCTCCCAGGCAGACATAGCAACAGAATGGTAGTCCTCCTCCCGGGTCGGTGGAAGCTTCTGCATTGCACGGTGCCGGTTTGCAGTCTCATAGCTCATTGTCGGCCCGGTCGTCAAATAGCCATCCCCAGCAAAGCACGAGTTGCCAAAATCACAAAAGCGGAGAGTGCCATCCGCGCAGCGCAGGAGATTGTCAGGCTTGATGTCTCCGTGCACCAGACCTCGCACATGGAATCTGTCGACCAGGTCGCAAATTTCGTGGATGATCGCCACACGCTGTGCCCGAGTCTCGATGGCGGAAGGGTTGATCACCGTCTCGAAGGACATGACGAGCCCCATCAGTACTTGGCGGGGCTTGTACATGTAGCGGCCGAGGTAACGCACGCTGCAGTCGCCCGCTTGACGCACAATCTGAATTTCGCGCGCCATGGAAGAGAAATCAGGATCTGTCGGCTCTTTGCACACTAGTGAGGTCGTCTTTCCGGAGAATTTGACGACACAGATCTCTTTAGAGTTTTTGAGCACTTCGCACGACTCCAAAGGGAATGGCGTGTCTTCTGGCCATGCGCCAAAGGGAGCGGTAAGGTCAAGACTGGCCATGACGGACAAGTGATGGTGAGACAGATTTTGTATTGAGATGGGTTTTGTAGAGTAACATGCAGACGTCATGACATCACCGTGATCGAAGTGACTAGTAATCATCATGTACAACAAGTTACTAGAAAGCGTCGTGTTCCCCGACAGAATGCCTTACTCCGTCGATTCCATAATACATTTGCTGCATCTTACAAAGTGAAACCGAGACCACTGCTATTTGCACATGCCAAGACAGAGTTTCGATGGGTTTCAGAAGGTAAACTTGAAACCAACGAGCTCCTCCGTGACATCCCACAGCCTGGCCACAATAGCCTGACATCCAACGTGAATGGGCGGAGAGCAGAGAAATAAGGAATGGATTACTCACAGGATCAGCAGCCTGCGTCGAGAGCTTGTGGTTCGCCACTTTCGAATCGTCCAGAAACGCCCCCGGTGTTTCCTCCAGTCGCGGGTCAAACGCAGCCGCAACCGTCGTCGCGGAGCCCTCCGGGATCGACTTCCAATGATACTTCTCGAGGCTGGGTGAGCCATCAGGGAGGAGGATACCGAACTCCTTCCGTTTCTCAGCGATTTCTTCCTTTCAATTGATGTTCGGGAAGATGACTGTAGAATGCGCGGAGATCAACATCCATCATCGAGCACAGACACTGAATACTCACTCCCTGGATGCAGACTGTAGCTCTCGATTGCCCCTTTGGACCGACGCGAGAGCTCGGCAGCAGTGAGGATGTTGGCCGTCTTTGCTTGGGCATAGGCGCCCATTAAATCGTATGATGCCTGGTCGGGTATACCCCAGGTCTCAAGGTTCACAGCCCCGAGAAGATGCGCCAGGCTGGACACGAATACGACCCGCGGGGTAAAGGTCTCGGTCCGTGCGGCCAGGAGCTTTGGAGAAATGAGAGCGGTGAAGAGGAATGGGCCCAGATGGTCGATTGCGAGTTGATTCTCGAACCCGTCTGCGCTCAGCTTGAATCCCGCGATAGCGGCGACTGCGTTGTTGATCAGGACTTGGATCGGTTCAGCATAGGCATTGACTTCGGCAGCCGCCCTGCGCACGTCTTTGAGCGAGGCGAGGTCCAGGACGAGTGGTCGGATTTCGGCGTGAGGGCCGTCCTTCTGGAGTTCGGTTTGAGTCAGCCCAAGCCTGACCAGCAAGGATCAGTATGCAGGATTCCACCATCTTCCAGAGCGAAGCTCACCGCTCCTTGTTGTATCCTGTGACGATTACTAGATTTGCATATTTCGCCACGGCGCGCGCAGTCTCGAACCCTATGCCATTGAGCGACGTCCCGGTGACGAGAACTGAGGACATAGATTCAATGTCTTCCGGTTAGATAATTTACAGCGCAGACGGACCGTTTTTGCCTTGGATCTGTTCTGCGAATGCCGTCGCAACGTCCTCGGCGGTCGTGTTGAAGTGAAAGGTAGGACACATCGTTGAAGAGCTGGCCTATCGCACTGCCATTTATAACACTGTTTCGTCCCCCGATTCCGGATTACTCATATCGATTGCTGCCTTCACACCAAGTTCCAAGATGAGCTTGCCGCGGTGGCTTGCCTGCATGACGGTTCCAAAATGACGATTGCCGGAACTAACAAGCGAGTGGGCCCAGATGGTTGCTCATTAGAGCCCGAGTGCTATCTCTGCAGGTGCAGAGCGAAACGGGCGCGTGTCTAAGACTAGAGAAGAACACTAGACGCGAACAGTCACAGAGGCTCACGGAAGATAACGGGCAAGAATGATGGGAACAGTGAGGTCATCAAAAAGAGACTTTTAAGCTGCTGGTGACGCTTGCTAGTATCTGGAGGCAATGCGGGCTGCCTTTACCTTCCTCAATCCATGAATTGCTGAGCATATGGTGGACCTGCGAAAACATCCGAATTTCTTCTCGCGTCTATCATTACTGTACAAATGGTCTGCCTCTCCTGTCCCCGGATATGACTTGGTGGAACTCTGTTGCACGGAGCGAGGCAGATCTATCGGGCGCTACATCCCGATGGCTCATTCGAGCTTCATTCAAACACCCTCTGAGGGCGTCTGGCTTCAAGTCTCGTAGATCTCCGACCTTAGAATAACCCTGCCGACATCCATGTGTTACAGCTCGGGACGCAAATCGACCAACTAGAGGGCCAGACCTAGGCATACTTGGTCGGACAACGTCAAATGCCGAGCACAAAAGCGTGCCAACGACAATGCCAGGCTGAATGGCAACATACACGCCGAATCTAGTGCATGCATCTGCAAGCATCTACGAATAGCTTCCTGGCGAGTTGAGGACCTCCAACTCGTTAAACTGCCGCTGTTGCCGGGACATTGACGTTGCACGTGGTATTCACCTCTTTCGTGGGGTCACGGACGAACGGCTCCACATACAATCGCGGGCATATTGCCGGGGAAGCAGGCTGGGCCTTTTCACAGGACATGCAGGTGATTTTGCGAGTCGCAGTGCACTCTGGGACACACCGGCAGTCCCGCAAGCGATACGTCTTCTCGTAGCACATCGACCACGTCTGGAGATCTGCGTCTTCGACCGGAGGGCCCAAGTCCAGGTACTTGAGAATGAGCTTAGCTATGTCGGGGTCGTCGATGCGAGTCATGTCGGGCCGACGCCCAAGCTTCAAGGCATCCTGCGCTGCATCGTACGCATCAAAGTCTTCGTCGCCCTTGAAGTGCAGATCCCGGATCCAGAAGTCGGTGCCTCCAGTAAACAGCTGCCAGATGGTCATCGCAAGAGAATGATAGTCCTCCTCCCTGGTCGTCGGCATCTCCGTCGTCGCTCGCGATCGGGCAGCGGTGGTGTATGCCATCGTGGGCCCGGGAGTCAGATAGCTATCTCCGGCGACGCAGGAGGTGCCGAAGTCGCAAAAGCGAAGTGAACCGTCCGAGCAGCGCAGCAGATTGTCGGGTTTGATATCCCCATGTACGAGACCCCTGGCGTGGAAGCGCTCTACCAGATCACATAGCTCATGGATCGTTCGAATGCGTTCCGCGCGAGTCTCGATGGCGGAGGGGATCACGACGGATTCGTATGTCATGATCAGCCCCAGAAGTTCACCGTGTGGTTTCAGAAAGTAGCGGCAAATATAAGGAACGCTGCAGTCTCCTGCTTTATTGACGATGGCGATCTCTCGCACAAGAGGCGGAAGACTGGGTTTGACGAGCTCCTTGCAGACGAGTGTCCTGGTCTGCCCTTTGAATGTGTAGACATAGACGTCGGGGCTTTGCTGAAGAATCTGTAGAATGTCCAGCGGGACGACGTGGTCTTCCGGCCACGACCCAAGGGGCGCTCCAAGGTCAAGCATGACACAATGAGATGCTGCGGAGAGAAGGATTCGTTATATGAATGTGGGCGCAATGACACCTCCACGCGACCTAGATATAGCGTCCGATCAGACATGCTTCCATCCAACTGAGACGCGGTCGGCCCAGACTGGCTACCGCAGGAGATCAGAGAGAGTGTCAGGGCGCAAGACGTCTCATGCCGACTGTTTTCGATCCCATCCAAATTGGAAGCTTGATATTTTGATCCGATCACGCGAGCCGGAAATGTTCAGTCTCCGACCTGTCCTCCCAGCGACTTCTACCGAAACCGCAAGCGAGTATCTCATGGTCCCTTTGATTGCCTGACAACTAATTTCATTCTGCTTACTTACTAGACGCGGAACACGTGCAAGATGGAGAGCTGACTGCGGGGTCGCGCACGAACGGCTCGAAATATAATCGCGGGCATACCATCGGCGGAGGCTGGGCCTCTTCACAAGTCATGAAGGTGACTTTGCGAGCAATGGTGCACTCTGGAACACAGCGACAGTTCCGAAGACGATACGTCTTTTGGTAACACATTATCCTTGTCTGGACGTCCACATCTTCAACTGATGGACCCAAGCTCAGGTACTTGAGAATGAGCTTGGCTACGTTGGAATCGTCGATGCGTCGCATGTCAGGGCAGCGCCCGAGCTCGATGCAGTCTCGGACCAGATCTTAGGTCTCGTCGTCGCTGCAGCCTCCCCTAAAATAAATGCCCTCGATCCAGAAGTCGTTTCCGCCGGTGTATAGCTCCCAGATGGTCATCGCGAGCGAGTGGTAGTCCTCTTCAACGGTCGGGGGCATCTCCACCACCGCCCGGAACCGCATCGCCGTCTCGTAGGACATCGTGGGCCCCGCCGTCAGGTGTTCGTCCCCAGCAAAGCACGAGTTGCCAAAGTCACAGAACCGCAGAGTGCCGTCGGAGCAGCGCAACAGGTTGTCGGGCTTGATGTCCCCGTGCACGAGACCCCGCGAGTGGAACCGTCTGGTCAAGTCGCACAGTTCGTGGATAAGCGCCACACGTTCCGCGCGGGTCTCGATGGCAGAGGGAACGATCGCCGACTCGAAGGGCATGATGAGTCCTCGGACTTGCTGCTGCCGCTCATGGTAGTAGCGGCCCAGGTAAGATACGCTGCAGTCCCCCGCTTGCTGCACGATCTGGATTTCGCGCGCCATGGCCGAGGTATCGGGAGGGTCTGGCTGTTTGCACACAAGAGTGCGCGTTTTCCCGGAGAATTTGCGGACGCTGATCTCGTTGCTTTGTTTCAGCATTTCATATCCCAACGGCAAGGGCCACGGAGTGTCTTCTGGCCATGCACTAAATGGCGCGCCCAGATCAAGAGTGTCCGACATGACTCGAGGACGGGAACGCGAGCAGGTCCATGGTACCCACAAATATTGATAACGATGATGATGCCGCTGGCAGAGATAAGATCATCAACCGGTGTTAACTGAATATTCTCGCTCTCGTCTGTCAGCGCACAAACGAAATGACACACGGTCCCATCCCTTTCTCGATCGGGTACGAGCAAGAGCTTAACAGTCTAAGAAGATTTTGTGTGGCCTTGTCGAAGATAAGTAGCGAAAACTCTAGATGAGTCAGTCTCCTGCACACCAGTAACCGTGTCTTCCCAGCGCATCGGCAGAAATTGACGTCGTGTAATCGTTCGAACATGAACAATATTTCCGCCCAATGCGTGTGATCCTATAGCCATGAAAAAAAAGGCGCAACCAGTCCATGTCTCAAACCTTTGACACAAGGTTCACGATCGGAAGTGTTCCAATCGAATGCAGCATCGAAGGACATCCTGCACGTGAGGTTGAATCCTAGAGATCAGATCGGATTCGACGTAGCAATATTCCGAGACTAGGAAGCGCCGACTGCGTCGGCAGATGCCTTGCTCCTCAAAAGAACAAACCAAAAGTTGTACGGACGTTAGAGGCAGTAGACAAAAACACATCAGGCACCATAAACTGCGTGCTTCTTCTCAGTCAGACTTTGCTCCTCCTCATCTTCGCTGTCATGCAGTGCCAGCTTCCCATGCTTCAAGGGGCTCGGCGCAGTAGATTGGTTAGCTATTATGCGCATTTTGACAATGTCGGCAGATACCAAATCTTCCTTCTTTGATTGGAAGGTGATGTGAGATAGGTTCATTGTCAGCATCACAGTCGCACCCCCGCAGTTTAGACATGTAGACCTCTGGTGCCATGAGTCTGCCTTCTTAGTCGTCTCAGTCGTACACTGGTACACCATGCACAATGTGCGTTCCCTCCTTGAGCATTGCACGAATGGTGTTCTGAGCTTCAGGTTGATGTGCGGGCCAAATTTCAAGATCGTGCGCTGTTTAAACCCATTAAAAACAACACCGAGTTATAGCACAGTTCTCACAGCCTTCCACCATTTGATGACCGGGCTTTATCTGTGGTTAAAGTATTATGTATACTGAGACTGGTCATCAACAATGACTTAGCATGAGTGCGGCGAGATACGAATGACATCATATAGCGACGGAAGAAGACGGAATGACAAACGGAGAGAGCCGGCATCTTTTGATCGCGAATTATGGTGGTGGAGATGCCTTGACAAGCAAGGCAATTCCACATTGAATGGATGCTTAATTCACGTATGGCGTGTTTACACAGATCAGTACTACAATGCAAGCATAGATCGTCCTTGAATTACGGTGCTCCCCCTCTTCCTTGTTTACTCGAGTCCAGAGTCGCTCGACTCGTACAGCACCTCGTAGGACGGACGGTCCTCAGAAGGCGGCACGGAAAGCCACTCCTCCTCTTCCGAGCTCACGCTGATCAGCGAGACAGACGACACAGAAGACGCTTCAGACGACCCGTCCGCGGACTCTTCGATCTCGACTCGGGACAGCGGGCCCCCGGGCATCACCATCACGGACGACGAGCTCATGGATGCTTCGTTTGAGCCTTCAATGACATTGATGCTACGCATGGATCAGTTGGAGAAACAGCAGAGACGAAAGGACACGCACTCGATCCAGATACTGTCACCGAACAACTTACCCTCCCCATCTCTCAGCCGCCAGTAACTGACATAGCGTCCAGGCACTTCGGGTGCCTTCAGCTCGCCGGTCCACAGCTCAACCTGAGCCCCGATCTTGACTTGCCCGATCGATACATTCGACGGTCCGTCTTGCTCCCGGGCAAGACGATCGCCAGCAACCCAGACCAGTTCCGTTTCTGCCGGCCAGTCATGCTCGCCACTGTTCGTCATCTGCCAGCACTTGATGAACTCAGCACCGGGGGGAAAGATCTGGCCATCCGGCACAGTCACGTCGATCACATAGTTGGCGCGCAGAGTGGGTTCTCGAGGCATCACAGTTGGAGCAGGAACATCCTTCTCAGCTTCATCACTCTCATATCCGTTGAGCAGAGCGGCAAGTGATGCCGGAGCCTTGACTGTAGATGACTGGCCCGTCGACTCGGTCTCTTCTTGCACAGACAGATGGGAGAAAGCGTTCAACGTCCGCTCGAGCGTTGGCTCACGAACAGACTCAGTCTCGTTCAGGATCAGATGGCGAAGATCGGTCGACGTTGTAGGCCAGAAGCTGGGGAACGGAGATTCGGCGGCAGGAGTGACGACCGGAACCGGAATAGGTGCAGACGGCGAAGCCCAGCGCAACTGCGACTGCTCGATACGCTGCTCCAGGGCGCGGTGGGCCTCGGTCACAGAATGAATGGCAGCAAGCCGTTCACGGTCACGTTCCAGCTCTTCTGTCAGATCAGGAGTGCTGGGCCAGCTGCCTGGTGTTGCCCACGGACGACCCGGAGACGGCGGAGGAGACGGTGAGTGGGAGAAACGCGAAGCCGGGGCGGCAGAGAAACTACGACGTGGGACGCGCGAGAACGCAGACAGTGGCTGCTCGTCATACAATCCACCAGGCATCAACATCGGCACCGGGGACGGCACGGTCGGCGAAGGCCGGGTCAGATAGGACAGTCCTGGTGACGGCGTCGATCTGAAATACATCGGAGACGGAGGTGGGATAGGGCTGGGAGCCGAATCAAAGAATGAGTTAGGATTGACCATGTATCCTCGCGAGAAAGGCTCCTCGATGAGGGTCGTTTGCCCGACTCTATAGACCGTGGGAACAACCGTACTCGGAGACCGCATCTTCAGCAGAGGATGATTGTCAGGGTGGACCGGAATAGGGAAAGCCTCGCAGTCCGCGCACAGATCGAAATCAGGGCAGTCAGGGTGCATGCACTGTTTCACTATTCAAAACCGATCGATCCCGCAAGAAGGATAGGACGAACCTTGTAGCGGATACCGTACACGATCTTCTTGCAGGCATCGCACGAAACATTATGCATAGGATTGATAGCATTCCCGCGGCGCTAACACGATCTTGATCAGCACGATCATCCTAGGACAACTGTAGAAAAGGCTTACAACGTAGTCCGAAGCATTGCTCAACTTGACGAACGCATGGCTAGGATGCTGTTCATGGGTGATACTGTTCGGAAAGATAAGCACATGATGCGGAGGAAACACATACAACGTACTTGAAACAGCTTGAACAAGTATCGAAGTCGGGGCAATCCGCGCATTTCTACTGGGGTGAGAACGATGATCACTGCCCAAGGAAAGGGACGTACATAGCGGACACCGCGGATCCTCGAGTCGCACAGGTTGCAAGTGGCGTAATGCACAGCGGGTTCTGGTTCCGGTGAGGCCGTGGACTCGGAGCGCTCGTCCTGGCGACGAGGGTCGGGCAAGAAGCTCTCACGCTGGTCATCGCCGGTATACACCGTATGCACGATAACCCGGCCTGGCTCCTTGATATCAATGAACTCGTGGAACGGGTTGTGACGCTCTGCGGAGCCAGATGTGACGCAAGCGGTGCATAGATCGTAGTCTGCAGCCACGTAAGCAGAAGTCGAGCAGTGCAAAAAAAAGAGACCGACTGGGGCAATCCATACACTTGTGACGCACGCCTTCAATGGTCTTGTCACACATATCGCACAGCACTCCATTGTGAATGACAGGAGGGGGAACAGCCGGCAAGGAAGGTGGAGCGGCCGGAGCTGGGGCGCCTGCGAATGGAGGAGAAACGGCTGACGGAACGGAGTGTCCGAACGGATAAGTCGGACTATATCCGGTCGAAACCGGATCACTCCATAGACCAGTCGGCAACTGCGCATTCGCGGCCACTGGGGTCTCAACGGGGCAAGCAGCACAGGTGTCCTTCTTCATTTTGTGCGGGCCCATCACTGCAGTACAGAACCCAGTCGAGGCCTCATGGCAACCGGTGCACTGGATGAGTGGTCAGACACCTTGCCACTACCACAGATAAAGGAAGCAGAACACACCTTGACCATGCTGCATGTTTCGCAGATAAACCATGGGCCCTGGAAGATTTTGGCGCACGACGTGCAGTACTTGAACAGACAAAACGAGGATGGCGGGAGTGGCTGCTGCATCGCAGGTGACGGAGAAGGGGAGAAAGAAGTAGCGATAATCTTGGAAAGGTCTTCCTTGAACTGCGCCATTATGCCCTCGATTTGTACCTGGCCCTCCTTGACGGCGCAGCAGGATGATCCTGTTCCAGCTTCGGACTGCGGAGCATCCGTATGCTGATGGTAATTGGGCTGCATGTGTGCCGGGAACGGGATGAATGGACCAATGCGGTCCATGTCGACGTCTATGGTGCTTGTGTGGGTGGGAAGAACGGGGGGAGGGGGGACGATGCTTGTCGACGCCCAAAGGTCCTCAGGCTGAATCCTGGTGGGAAGAGGATTGAACACAGAAGCCGGAGGAGGAGGAGCCGGAACGAAGGGAGGCTTGTGGTATGTCTCGTCGTGGACAGTGAACCGCAGCATGGCATTGGGGTAGAGGCCCGTGTTGTAAGGGGCAGTGCATGA